ACAATTCTAACTTCAAAAACGCACTCAGCTATCTTTTTTGGCTCCATCAGAATTTCTTCTTGAGAAATGCATCGTCCAGATACAAAGTTCATGACTATGTCGACCATACAAAGTACGGTCAACATGTTGTAAAAAAACAAAAACACTTCACCTAGCAGAAAATGGTAAGACGCGTGTAAAGGCATATATATCAAACAAAATAGAAAAACTACAGCCATGTACATCTCATAGTAGAGTCTGCAAAACATTCTTAGTGAAACAACACAGATTACAACGGTAGTACCTGAAGATGCTAAAAGGATGTATGATCCAAGAATTTGACTCGATCTGGCTTTTCCTCTCGTCGACGATTCTCGCCGCCCTCCTGTAAAAAGAAGCACTAGCCGGGTTCACTTCAGTCACCAGAATCAATTTCTTCAAAAATCGTTTCAGCTTGAGCCAAGGAGACGCAAAAACGGAAAGAGTTGGCAAGTAACTCTCCGAATAATCGTCAGAAATGCTGCAAATGTGGTACGTCTGCGTTTTAAACATGACGAAAATTGTGACAAGAAACAAGCACAAATTTACGTTTGTTGCTAAGCACAAGAATCTAGATCAACAAAAGATAAGGATACGTCAGAGGAACAAGACGACGCCAACTACTTAGAAAAATATCAACAACCACAGTAATCGAAACTTTTCCTTTCAAATATCTTTATTAAAAAACTAGAAACCATTTGTATTAAATACTGAATCTTGAACACTCATGACTTGCTTCCAATGAGCATAGACTTTATGTTTATGTTATGTGTCTCCCTCAACCGTCTCTTGACTTGCTCTTTAATCTGTGCGTACAAAGACTCATGATTTTCCAAGCTGCCATCCACATCTCGTAGTACAACCTGAAAACACTTTTTGCACACAACTCTTCGAAATTCCCGTTCACCTGAAAACGCTGCACGGATGCACGATCCAAGACTCCGAGTCCACTTGCTGCTTCTTTTCCTCGAGAACTTTCGCCGAAGTAAGAAAATGTTTCAAACATTCGGGGTTGTACTCCGACACCAGGATCTGTTTCTTCAGAAATCTCTTCAGTCTGGTGGATAAGGAGCGAGCGGGTGTACAGCCGGCAGCAGATTCTCGGACGCGTCGGAATCTTTAATCGCACAAGTATGAGTGTTATTTGCGTCCCTCATTTCGACTTTTTGGCAGTTTTTTCGTCGAAATGATCGCGATGTTTATTACTTGGTTGCTAGGTACCGCTTCAGTTAACCGGTAACCTTTCTACCCAAAGCAACCGCAGCTAAGAACAATCAAAATCAGCACTCGCGTCCATTTGATGTCTTTTTGATCCCGCCCCCGAAACCCAATCACCCCGATCGTAACCAGCAACTCCTCGGATGGCCGCAGGCAAGATCGAATTAGCTCACTTGTTGCGTCCCGAAAACAAGAGCCGCCTAATATAATAAATGCTCGTACAGAAAATACCCCCACAATAAAACGTACATCGCTTGTATAAATTTAATCACTCGATCCTTCCATTACCGCATTACCGGCAAATCTTATCAGAGCGCCATCTGGGCGAAGCGTGACGACGTCAGCGGATTCTCCCATGTCCTGGTTCGGTTTGATCAGGACTCATTCGACATAATCGTTTGTGATATTTCGTTGCGGAGGGGCGGTTTATGGGCAAGTTTAACCGGATAAGATGTGACAAGGGGAGGAAAAATAAACTGAGGGAATTACGCGCCGGGCGACAATGAAGGAATTGAAAGAGGAGGTGATGAAAGACGGGTTAAGGAAATTTATTGTTTTTAATGTAGTTGGAGATGGATGGAAATTTTACGGGGTCTCAAGGACGAGGGTTTTTTCTTTGAAAAATTTATGCATGTGTTTTCGCCGGTCAAAAATAATCCTTCGAGCGATGAGTAAATAATTTAGTACATGTGATAGGAAAACGTCGATGTTTTGTCGAGGCTCCATTTCGCAGTATTATTAGCAGGAAAGAAGCGGCGCTCAAAGTCACCCAGAGGATTCTCCAAATTACAATAAGTGGTGTATAGATCCTGGGTTTCGCCAACAAAGTTTCATCTTCGATTTTGTCGATTTTTCGAGACACTTAATTTTTAATCACCACAGCCAATTGTAAGTACGCATAGCACACTTCATTTTACACTCGTTTGCTACCATTACAATTCTATTTTACGCTTCACTTTGTGTTTACTTGCAAATCACAATCATATTATAAACGCAAAATAAAGTTTAATCAACAATGGGCAACAAAAATGTACCTCCTTCGATCACCTAGACACAATCTAAAGTTATTACTTTATGGTCTACGTGGTTCAGTTTTTTATCTTTTAGCTGCAGCAACAGTTGGTTTAACTGTGAGAATTTTCCACAGGCGCCGATTCCCCATTCCAGATTTGATATACTTTTAAATGGAATGAAATTTAGGTCCTTGGCGTACCAGTCTACAATTTTTTCAGAAAAAATTATTTCAAAACAAAAGGAAAAAGGGTCCCCGAGATTCTTTCAAGCTACTCCACAGACAAAACAGAAAGTACCCCAAAGATTGTTTCAAACTAATCCAAAAACCTGACACAAGAGACCCCGAGATTCTTTCAAACCACTTCAAAACCCAAAAAAGGGTCCCCGAGATTCTTCCAAACTACTTCAAGAACTGGACGCAAGGAATCCCCGAGATTGTTTCAAACTAATTCAAAATCTAGACACAAGGGACACCGAGATACTTTCAAACTACTTCACAAACAAAACAAAAGTAGTCCCCCCAGAAACTTTCAAACTACTTCAAAAGCAAATAACAAGGGATCTCGCGAGATTCTTTCATAACTACTTCAAAAACCTGGCACAAGAGGTCCCCGAGATTCTTTCAAACTACTTCAAAAACAAAACAAGAAGGATCCCCGAGATTTTTTTGAATTAATTCAAAGATACAACAAAAGAGATCTTCCAGAATCTTTCAAACTACTCAAAAAATCAAAACACAAGGAGTCCTCGGGATTCTTTCAAACAACTTCAAAAACAAAAATAAACAGGGGTGGTTCCAGATATTCTTTTATTCTAGTGGTTTGACAATGAACATTATCTAATTTTTACATTATAAATTAAACATTACATTATTCTAACAACAATTTACCTTTACCTTGCCATGACGTAATCAATAATGCCAACTTTAAACAAGTTAATCCTGTGAATAATTTAGGGATAATTATGAAATCCAAACTTACTTTTCGTAAATAGTGGATCATATTTTGATTAAAAGTTTGACTTTGTGTGGTTTTGCTAATGGAGAGATTTTTTACACTGAAGCCATTCACACTAATGAAAATATTTGCAGCAGATACTCACCACCGAACGAATTTTTAATCACTGAATCCACTTATAAATGCACGTGTTTAATTTACTTTCGTTTTGCATTCGATTGAAAGTTCTACAAGTACAATAGTTCTATTTCACGCTTCACTTTTCCGATTTCTTGCAAATCACAATCCTATATACTCTTAATTATTGTAAAATTAATTTCACTCAGGTAGGTTAGTAAATCTAGAAATTTTGTACCGAGAGAGCATAAAAACACGATCAAAAATAGCTACCAGTTTGATGACTGTCGTCCTCACGATTTTTCGACGTTTCATTGACCGTAGAATACGAAAAGGTCGATCTCCCGTTTCTGTCTGTCCTCGGCTTGTTAACACGTTTTTACCATATCGATTAAAATTTATTTATTCGCTCTCAAAAGTACCATTTAATTTTCCTGAAATTCGTGGAACGTTGAGTAACGTCATGATTATGTTTACACCACATATCATAAAATCGAAATATTTATCTCTACGAAAAATTAATGAATGGATCTTTTTTGTGGAACTTGATTTTACACCTTTTTTTTCATTTTTCGATCTTGATTTTCCGAACAACAGTTAACTTAGAAGTATGTGGGAACCCATATTTTTCTTGTGATTTTTATCACAAGACGTAGAAAAATTGAAACGTGCCAAGAATGCAAAAAATAAGTAAATTTTACAGTAGTAAAAAAAAATTGACGGATACACAAACAACTACGTCATTCGTGACGTAGTGTTTATAATAAATTTTCGATTTGTATAAAATGTGCGGAATTTACGACCAAGAGTGAAGAAACCCACAAAACAGAAAATCGCATTGTAATCAATACGACACATAGATGGATGCTAATGATCTATAATGGAATTAATTAAAAAGGAGAGAATAATCAAGTGGGCGAACAAAACCATCTATGGTATTTGACAAAAGGTCAGGAGAAAATGTTTGTGAAATCGATACAAAGTTATGCCAAGTTTTTATATAATTTTCAATAATTTTGAAACTTTTGATAATTCTAATTCCAAAAATATAAGAAAATGGAAAATGGAGATCTCGCTTGAGATTTCGCTGTTTTAAAAACGTCTTAATCAAAATTTTTTCTTTCTGACATTAACATTTTCCAAACAAACGTCTATATTTAACAAATTTATTTTAAGTTTTTCTGTGTTTAATCTCCAATTAATCTCGCTAAACACACATGTCCAAAACCCTGAAACCTTTCGTCCGATTTTTAAAATCGAACCCAATGCACAAAATAAACCACTGCATGCGTCAGCCGTCTCCCTTTATGGCCCGTAACTATAAAACGATGCATTATCCCACCCGTTATATTTTACAGCACACTGCATCCGAACGCACACGCCACCCCCATCAACCATCCAACCTCCGACCCGTCCTGCTCCACCTTTTCCGAATTTCCAGCGCGTTTTTCGCCCTCGTCCGAATTCCTCCGGCTCCCAACTGACGCAAAACCTCGCCACTCGTTTACGGAGCAAATTAGAGCCCATTAAGTTTATTTTTGAATTTCCATAAAACTGCAATAATCCGCACAACAAAACCTCCAAGGTAAATAGCGCGCGAAGACCCAATGACCCCGCAAAAACGCGCTCAACAAGTCTCGGCGTCCGTGCAAGCAACTTCAGGAAAACACAGCCTACCTTGTGTCGCTCGCCGGCTGGTGTCCTCTTCGGGAAACTTTCGGTGCTTGTTGCAGCAGGAAGACGCGGACGCGAACGGTGGGAAAGCGCGTCGCGACGCCCAGTCCAAGCGCCTCTCGAACGACGACTGAATCACGCCTACTGGATGCTGATGCTGGATGCTGCGGGACTTACGCCGTTTTGCCCACGCGGTCGTTACGCCGTTTTTTCGCTAATCACCTCTTAGTTTTGACACTGCGGGCAGGGATTGCGGCGGCCGTAAACACGCGATTTTCGGTTTTTGTGCTTTGGAAATTTTGGGAAATTCGGGGGTGTTTGAGGGCTCGGCCGACGCCTCGCATTCTACACGAATTATCACAGTTTTTGTGTTATTACATGCTAAAATTTGATAATATCGAATTATTTGGATTAATTGCCATTTACGGAAACACCACCACGCGGCCACTATCCAGAAAATTAATTTCGACTTTACCTGTTTCGGTTTCTCGAAATCTTCAAGATTTTCGGTTTGAATTTGAAAGTATTGTACGCTTATGATGTGTTTGACAAATATGTGGCTGTTGCTTTTATTGCACAATTAACTTCCGCAACTTCGCCGCAATTATGTATATTACAACACAGTCCGGTATTAATAATTCTCATTCTAGACTTTTCGGCTTTAGTGAGGTTATCGCGGCCCTTCCAGCTGGACAGATTATCTCAATCCCTGTCTGTTCCCGGTGTGTATCCATGTGTGTGAATGAGCCTTAAATTCCTGACAGAACTAGACGAGAGAAAACATGACCGGGGGTCGGATTAGGTGTAGCTTTGAGTTGTGGGTTCTGTTAAATTTCTAATACGAATTTACCAGTGTTGCAGCACCAAATAGAGCTTTTATTAGAGGGCGACGCCGTAAACAAACACAGGAAACCAAAATGAAGATTAATTTTAGATCTCGCTTAATGTGGATTTCAGAACTAATTTATTTCACACCTGGAATCATTCGGGTAATGAATTTTGCGCCAGTTTTAACGGACAGATGAATTTTACACTCCCGGGATGAGAGATACGAAAACGTGCTCTTCATTGTCTGGAACTTAAACGTTTCTTAAGGCATGAATTTCGCTTTACGGCCGCGTTAAAATAAACTCGCGGAGTGGATTGTTTTTTTATTTAAGATCTGGCATTCTTTCTCAACACTAAGTATCTCGTTGTGGTTGATAGCGATACATCAATCATTGCTAATTACTGATACAATTGGTAGAAATTTAATGATGATGACGTCACGCGCTTCCCGCCAATTTTTAAATTTTACTCTTAGACAAAACTAAAACCGAGCGCAATTTGGAATGTAACGAAATCATTTATTCAATTGGATTAAAATGCTTTGTACATTAAGCTTCGAGTTTCCATTATTCACTGTCTGTTTTATTTTCTACCTGAGCCCGCAGGTCCATAGGGGCACATATAATTTAGCTCTGTCTCTACTATTTGTAACGACTATAAACAACATAAATTTTATGTCGTTATATATAAAAATTTATGTTGCATAAACTTTACTCAAGCGTCTTAACTCCCACAAAATTAATAAAGAGTTATGTCCTCATATAAAAAACTCGTTTGAAATCTCGACTTCGTTGAAGTTTTATAAGAATTTTTTAAAATTCCGACTACACTACAAAGTTGTGCGCTGAATTTGGGGCACTCCCCGGCGTTCAACCAATATCGGTTTTAATTTAAAGTGTAATTGTTCCCTCTACTTAGTTTCGTTAAAACACTTTAGTTCAGCATTATTCAATTTAAAGTTAATTTTCTATTTGCATGCAAAATGTAGTTGCACTGAAACATTTTATAATTACAAAAACGCTCGAACTCGTCGGTTCGGTTGGTACACAAGTAGCTTGAATTTTTTGTTCAGCGTCACCTGTTTCAGTTTTAGTTCATTAAAATTTTTCTCCTTCTTATTTTTCAATTTCATTAGAGTCTATTTGTATCCACTACGTTGTCAATCCTCGGCAATCAAGTCTGTTCACGATTTCCACACTATTCTGATTTAGCAGCTAGAAACTTCCGATGCAACGAAATCAAAAAAGCCACTTCAAAGCCTCCGCTCCCCTATTGGAATTTCAGATTACCTGACATCTGCTAGCCATGTAATTCCCACTTTCGCGAATAAAACCTAATTATGGGAAACCGGAACACAAGCCCGAACTTTCAGCGTTTTCATTTCTCAATCCCGGTGACGCGTCTAATCAAAGGAAGAGGTCCGGATTCATGCAAACTTGCAAGTAAATATCGAATCAATTAATGGAATTGTCGAACGTCGGCGGCCCAGTTTCCCTCGGCTCTAGATTTAATTGGCGGCTGAAAATGCCGGATTCAGTCGGTCGTGACGAATCCGGACAAAGCCTGAAAAAGCGTCCTGCACGTATGAAACATGTGGGCCGCGTGATAATTTTAATAAAAGGAGAAAAGTCGCCGAAAGGGAAACGGAAAAATGACAAAATCTGATTCGGGAGGCTTCTATTTATCAAGTGAGTGTTCAAACAAGCAAAAAGAGCAAACAGGATTGTAAGAATATTTAAGAGTAAACAAACTCGTGAAAATTCAATTGGAGAGTTGGCGAATTGGGTTTGTGTAAGGTGGAGGGCTGGGGATTTGGGGCTGTTCAAAGGGAATTTTAGAACGAGAGCTTAGGTAATAATAATAATGCTTTTTTTCATTTGCGTAAAGAAGGATAAATAGCGGCATGGTTTTTGCGTAAATAAAAAATGGTAGGAGGTTATTTCCACAGAACTTACCTCGTCCCTGAAGTGCACATCAACAAATCGCGCTTGTTTGAAAAATTATAAAAATTGTTTGCGATTTTTACTTCACGAGCGTAAGCCCTCTAGAGTACGAAAAAAGTGGTCTCTCGTTTCCGTCTGTCTGTCTGTCTGTTTGTCTGGTGTTTGTATCCATTGTTATTAGACATCTAATCTCCGAAACTACTGGACCGATTGTTGTCAAATTTTGTATGTATTAGGAATATCCTGTAGATGGTTAAACTCTAACCAAATTTTTGCTAATCATCCCCACCACCAATGTGTTGACGTCATCTCCAAAATTTATAATTAAAAGTATTTTTAAATTTACATTACATACGTGTCTTTGGACGTCATCACAAAATCGTATAAAGTAAAAACTCAACTCGAAAATGCTGGATATCTTTCTTTCGTTTTTCGATTTTTCGTTTATTAAATTTTTCAAATTTCCTGGTTTTTAATTTTTTTAAAATTTTTCAATTTTGGAATTTTTGGCTTTGTCGATTATCCGATTTCATGGTTTCTTTAATTTTCAATATTACGATTTTTAAGTTTCTCTCCCAATTTTTAATCTTTCGATTTCAGAATTTGTTGTTTCTTCAATGTTCGCAAGTTCTTGATTTTCAATTTGTAAATTTTTCAAAGTTTGCAATTTATACTGAAGAAACGAAAAAGTGAAAAATTGAAAAATTGAAAAATTTTAGTCAAAAAAGTTGCCACTGGTTTTTATTTTGTCGAGGATATAATGAAATAAAAATTGCAATTTTTTTTTTATTTTTCAAAGAAGCAGGATTAGTTGGGCTGTATGTCAGTGGCGGGGGAAGTTCTGTCGAAATAACCTTCGACCAATTTTTGTTTTCTGATAACCTTTATAAAATAAAAACCAGAATTTTTCAATTTTTCAATTTTTCAATGTTTCCATTTTTTATTTTTGTAGACAAAAACGGAAGACCACTTTTTTCATGCTCTTGAGGTCGCGAAACGTCAAAAAACATGAAAGTGGCAGTCGTCCGAGGACTCGATTTCTTCCTTAGTTCCCACTCAGGAAGTAGAAATTGCACGAAACCACTATTTTTCGGATTCCCGATCCCTCTCTATTAATTACTCCAAATCCGCTGCAGATATTTTTCGGCTTTAATTCGGGCCATAAATTAATTTTAAAGCTGGTTCCGACCTTGCCCGCGTACCTATTTCCAGAAGGTTCCCGGTGGCTGCACGAAATACAATTTCCAGAGATTAGTAAGATCCGAAACGTAACAAGAAATCGCGATTGCCCATTCACAAATATTTATGCGCTTTCAGGCAGATTTACATTATCCCAACCGTCACGTTTCGGCGTAAACTTGGCCGAGTCCGAATCGGTGTAAAAATAATCCGTTTACTTTATTAAGAGTAACTAAGACGATGCAGTTAAGTTACCGCCAGACTTCACCTACCCGACCGAGTTTATTTGATCGCGGGTTTTATTTCGAACTGTGCTCGTTGCGGCGACGTTCAGATTCTAAATATATTTTTTCGTTCTAAATATATTTGGCGAAATTAAGAGAAATGTCGAAGTGATTGTTTATTCTGGTCGTTACTACCGCGTGGGCGGCGCAAATTTTGATATTTCAACGCGCCGGAAGAAAATGGAAACAAGAAAAAACATTTTTCTGATGTACGGATGTTAAATACACAAACAGGGAATTTCTGGAATACGTATCGCTTTAACGTGAGGGCGGTGTTATGTGGTTTGTTTGAGGAGGGGTTCATTACGGGTTTGTTTTATATTTGCGAGTAAAAAGGCAGTTTGTGTTTATAACTGCGGATAAAAGGCGGCAGAGTTATTTGAAGCAAGTACAGGTGGTACGGAGGAAATGGACGAATTAAGAACAAGTCAGTTTAAAATTTGTATTTCAACAAAGTGGCAAAATAACAAATACGTTAACGCACTAGTACTACTTGGTGTGCATTTTTATTTTGACATCTGTCTTCACTGGCAGTGTGGCAAAAGACTTAATAACTTGTCTTTCCGCCTGGAGTGTTTGTTCATTTCTTCGTTGCGCTTCTATCTGTATCTCGTGCAATATTTCCGCATGGCCTTCGAAGCACTTCTTAAAATATCTCTTCTCTAACTTATAAAGTTCACAACTTTCCACCGCAGTAACGTTAGCTGTTCTTTTGGCATGAGAAACCAAGAGACAGATTTCGCCAAAAAAGTCACCATCTTCCAAATGACAAATCTACAAATGGAGATGATTAAAATGAAAGTGACGGAGTCGCGTTTCACTTCTTTTCCGGACGGAGACACCACCGATACAGTTCCAGTTGACATAAAATACATACACTCTCCTATCGTCCCGGCACTGATTACCGTATCGCCCGGCATGTAAAGCTCCTTTTTTAAGTACGGCAGTATGTTTTCCATAATTTCTTGTGGGAGCTTTTGAAAGATTGCAACGCTGCGAATCAGTTTGCGACATTCGTGATATTTGATTTCTTTTTTTAGTTTCTCTAGATACAACAGGTGAACAGGAGAAATACAAAACAATTAAAGTACCGGAAATGAACTTCTCGACTCGTTGCTCGTTCAAGTACTTGCCTTGGTACCTATGATCGTAGAAATGTCTTACTTTGCTTTGGATACTGACTGGAAAGTGCTTCGCTGACATGTAACTGTTGACTTGACTGATTACCTCTTGGTACTTCACTTCGAGATAGTTGGTGATTTTGAACATATCCATTAACACAACTGGAAACGTTTTAACCAGTCTTAGTGGAAAATTTAATGTGTACCAACCTATGAAAAACGAAACTACAATTCTGCCCAAAATATAAGTGAAGATTCCGGACGCATAAAAAATTGCCGGATACGTATAGCGAAATATAAAGTCTATGCCTGAAATGAAACAAATTATTGAAGTTAAAATGACTTGGCTCGAAGCACCTAGGATAAAAGAAGCTCCGTAATTCATATTTTTTAAATACAACTGGAAAAATTCTTTTAAATCGTCCCTATGTCTTAAATCAACATGAACGTTGTCGGCGATATAACCACCGAGGAAATCATATACCAGTATCGAATAGTAAATCCAACAAGCGGTATAGTGGCAAATAAAGAATAACAACAGTGCAAGTTTTACAATATAATACGTAAGTCCTTTTACTTGAAAGAACTGAAACCGATATTAATAGCTTTTGTACTCCGAAGCAACACTTACATTAAACGTTCTCTCCAAAAACTGAAAAAACGTCACCATTCGGGCAAGCTTTAAAATTGAAAGAAACGTGAAGACATCGTTCACGTCACTGTCCCCGAAGAGATGGTCTGGCACCGAAGAAAGCACATCGCAGATAAAATACGGTCCAGATATATACGCTCTAAAAGAAACTGCTTCACAACCCTAATTCAAACCTAAAAACCTCACTTAGCTATCTTTTTCGGCTCCATCAGAATCTCCTCTTGAGAAACGCATCGTCCAGATACAAAGTTCATGACTATGTCGACTATACAAAGTACGGTCAATATGTTGTAAAAAACCGAAAACACTTCACCTAGCAGAAAATGGTAAGACGCGTGTAAAGGCATATATATCAAACAAAATAGAAAAACTACAGCCATGTACATCTCATAGTAGAGTCTGCAAAACACTCTTAGTGAAACAACACAGACTGCAACGGTACTACCTGAAGGTGCTAAAAGGATGTATGATCCAAGAATTTGACTCGATCTGGGTTTTCCTCTCGTCGACGATTCTCGCCGCCCTCCTGTAAAAAGAAGCACTAGCTGGGTTCACTTCAGTCACCAGAATCAATTTCTTCAAAAATCGCTTCAGCTTGAGCCAAGGAGACGCGAACACGGAAAGAGCTGGCAAGTAACTCTCCGAATAATCGTCAGAAATGCTGCAAATGTGGTACGTCTGCGTTTTAAACATGACGAAAATTGTGACAACAAGCACAAAATTTACGTTTGTTGCTAAGCACAAAAATCTAGATTAACAAAAGATAAGGACTTCAGCTTTCTGAAAATTTGGCTTAATCCAAAGTGGTCGAGGTACTGTTAGCGTAGTGGAACCAAAATGGGTGAATTTTTAATCCAGCGGGAATTTCTTTTAAACAGTGGCGCGAACTAGTGGTTGAACTACTTTTCTTGGTAGTGCTGACAGAGTGGACTAGGAACTTATAACTTTTTGTTTCAAATATCTTTATTAAACAAATAAAAACCATTTACATTATATGTTCAATCTACAGATTCGGGCTGCCGGGAGTGACCAAAATTTGAATCCTATCTATCTGATGGCTCTCGTTTAACCTTCTCTTGGCCACCTCTTGAATCTTGTTGTACAGATTCTCCTGTTTCTCCAAACATTTTCTGAACGGCTTTCTGTCCAATCTGTAAACTTCGCATATTTCTAGAGCTATTATACTCGCCGTGGTTTTTCTGTTTGGTAAAATTAAAGTGATTTCTCCGAAATAGTCACCGTCGGTTAAGTGGCAAATCTAAAAAAGAAAAATTAGCTAGTCTTAATCAAAGTCAACCTATCTGACTTCTTTTCCCGAAGGTGAAAATACGGCGACGGTTCCAGAATAGATGAAAAACATACAATCTCCGGCGACGCCAGCTGATATGATTACGTCTTGTGGCAAATATATTTCTTTTTTCAAATGGACGAATAAATTTTCAAGAAATTCTTGGGGTATAGCTTCGAAGATGGTAACATTTTTGACTAAGGTGCGCAACTGGTGATATCTAATTTCTCTTCGTAGCTTTTCTGAAAAGAAAGCGATTACACTGTGACTACTGCCGTGAATCAAGTACCGGAAATGTTTCGGTCAACACGACTTTCGTTGAAATACTTTTTCTTATATTTATATTTGTAGTACTGATGGACTTTCGCTTGTAATTTCCTAGGGAATTTATGAATCTCCATGAATGCATTGACTTGACTCATCATCGAGTAAAACTTAGTTTCCACACCTTTGTAAAGTCGATAACGCTCGAGAAGCATAACTGCAAGCAAATTGCCAAAGCGTCATGCGTATAATGAGATAATACCCACCGGTTACACCAGCCATAAAAACTTTTCCAAAGATGTAGAAAAGAATTATGCTAAGGTACGTCACAGGGGGCCAACTAAATCCATACTTAAGTTCGACACCTATAAGTGAAATACGTAAAAACTTTGAAGGAAGACAAGTAAAAATGTCGAACTCAAGAGAAAGCTCGTGGAGTGATACCAGTTCACAACGTACCATCTGTAACCAAGTGTCGTATTTGGTACCAGAGAGCCCACCCGCCTCAGTATGAAATCATCTCTTCCTTCACTTGTGTGAGTGAATCTCATCACAAACAGAGGAAGATAAAAAAATAAGCAATTCATGTAGTGAACTATCAGTAGTATCGCCGTCACTAACAAAATATAAAAGCTCTTGATTTTATAAAACTGAAAATTCTTGATTTGGCAATATCGTGTTCTAAAATCTGTACTTACATGAAAACTTCTCCCCATGTACTTCAGTAAAGTACCGAGTCTCACAATTTTCAATAAGGACACATTATCGTCAACCGCTTTATAGTCTGTAAAAATATCTATCGGCAAGGACGACAACAAATCGCATATAAAGTATACTCCAAAAACATAATGTCTAAAAATCGAATTTAAAATCAGAAAAATCGAACGAGTACTAACTTGGCAATTTTTCTTGGATTCATTTCAACTTCGTGACTCGGAAGGCAGTAACCGGTGAGAAAATTCATAAAAATATCAAATAAACAAAATGAGCCCAACACGAAATCAATTATTTGGTTAGACTCCAACAGGAAGCCGTAAGCCGCGTCTATCGGGATAAAAATCAAATTAGCAAGGAACACGAATGTCATCCACATCTCATAGTAAATCCTAAAAAGAAACTTTGTTTTCAAATCCTCGAAACTATCTCTCACCTGAAAACGCTGAACGGATGCACGATCCAAGATCCCGATTCGATTTGCCGCTTCTTTTCTTCGACGATTATCGCCGAAGTTAAGAAAAAAATTGAAGTTTGGGGATTGTACTCCGACACCAGGATCTGTTTCTTCACAAATCTCTTCAGTCTTCTGGATAACGGGGCCAGAGGATGGTCCGCCGGCAACATACTCTCGGACGCGTCGGAGTCTGTAATCGCACAAACGTGGGTTTTTTTTTCATGCAACATTATGAGGTTTCGACAGTTAGTTCATCGAATTGATTTCGATGTTTACTACTTCGTTGCTAAGTGCAGCGTCGACGGGGCACTATAACCATGGCCAACTAAGATCTACGGCCGTAACAACCGGGCTATTGGCTGATTCTGCTAACCTCAAACATTTCTTGGGTAATTACTAATTAGTGCTATTTACCGTCATCTACTTTAACGAAACAGAGAAAAAGTTCATCTTTTTATCAAAAGGGTCGTGGTTTTGGTTGATTAAAGGTGACAATTTTGTCAATTTTGAAAATTCACAAAAAAATTTTACATTTGATGTTCAACATTTGTCGTATTTAAAGGAGTTGTACACCTGATCTAACGATATTTTAAATTTCTTGTTGTGAAAAGATGGCTATGTATATTAAGAAAAAAAGGCAAAATATAAGCCCCGCCCACCCGCCCTATCTCAATTCTGAAGATATTTTTTATTCATTGTGAGCCGAGGGGCGACGCTTAAATATAAAATCCTTATTTTTCTACGAGAAATTACCATGTGAAATAAGTTGTTAAGTAATCGTGTTAGACAAAGAAAACTATGTAAAAAATAAAAAGACAAGTCCCACCCATCTGTCTCGATGTCAATCGTGATGAATTTTCCATTCGTTGTCAGATCGAGGGATCTAATTGCAAAATCGATAGTTTCCTACAAAAATTTACCATTTTAAGCAAGTTTTACCTTTCTTGTTGTGAAAAGAAGACTACACATATTAAGAAAAAAGGGCAAAATGTAAGCCCTTGTAGTTATAGTACCTAATCTGTTTTTCAGACGAGTAGCAATAAATCTTGTACGTTTCGAGTAAAATATGGAAAACCGCACCTGCAACACAGTACCATCGTTGGCCGAACTTTTCCTTTGAAATTCCTTTATTAAAAAACTAAACACCATTTACATAAATTGTTCATTCTATAAGATTTGCGGATTCGTGGATGTGGTCAAAATTTGCCTTCTGTGTATCTGATCCGTCTCTTTTAACCTCCTCTTGGCTTCCTCTTGAATCTTCTTGTATAGATCCTGTTGTTTCTCCAAACATTTTTTAAACGGTTTTCTGTCCAGTCTATACACTTCGCAAATTTCTAAAGCTATTACACTCGCCGTGGTTTTTTTGTTCGGAAAAACTAAAGCAATTTCTCCAAAATTGTCACCGTCGGATAAGTGACAAATCTAGAAAAACGAAATGAGGGAGATACGAGTTGTCAAAGTGAACTCATCCGACTTCTTTTCCTGTTGGTGAGAATACGGCTACAGTTCCAGAACTGATAAAGAACATCGAATCTCCGCTGACGCCAGCTGTGATGATTACGTCTTGTGGCAAGTATATTTCTTTTTTCAACTGGATGAATACTTTTTCAAGAATTTCTGACGGTATAGAGTCGAAGATAGTTACATTTTTCACGAAAGTGCGCAACTTGTGATATCTGATTTCTGTTCGTAAATTTTCTAAAAAGGAACCAGTTAACCTATGCATACTGCTTCGAACTTAGTACCGGAAAGGTTATCGTCAACACGATTTTCGTTGAAAAACTTCATCCTATATTTGTACTTGTAGTATTGGTGCACTTTTTTTTGTAACTTAATGGGAAATTTATGAATCTCCATGAATGCATCGACTTGACTTATCAGTGCATAGAACTTAGTTTCCACAGTTTTGTAAAGTCGATAACGCTCGAGAAGGATAGCTGCAAGCAAATTCCCATAGAATCATGCGTATAATGAGATAATACCCACCTGTTACAAAAGCGAAAAACACTTTTCCAAAGATGCAAAAAACAATTGCCTCAATGTACGCCACTGCGGGCCAATCGAACTTAAATTCTTTTTCGATATCTGTAAGTAAAGTAGTTAAAAACTTTGAATGAAGAAAGCTAAAAATGTCGAACTCAAGAGATAAGACGTGGTGTCATACCAAAACGAAGTGTACCAATTCAAAAAAACGCTCAAATCATGTTCAAGAGTACCAATCTCTTTCAATATGAATGCATCCCTTGCTACGCTACCATGAGTTACTGACATCCCTAACAGAGGAAGGTAAAAAGCTAAGCAAGTCAAGTAGTGAGTTATCAGTAGTATCACCGTCGCTAATTCGATGTAAAAGCTCCTGATTTTAAAAAACTGCAAAAGCCGGGATTTGGTAACATGATGTTCTAAAATCTGTACGTACCTACGTGAAAACTTCTCCCCATGTACTTCAGTAAAGTACCGAGTCTAACAATTTTCAATAAGGGAAAATTATCGTTAACCACGCTGTTGTTTGTAACAATATCGAACGGCAAGGACGACAACAAATCGCATATAAAATATATTCCAAAAACGTAGTGCCTAAAACTCGACCTTTAAAATCAGAAAAATCAAAACGACTACTAACTTGGCAATTTTTCTCGGATTCATTTCAACCTCGAGACTTGGAAGGCGGTATCCAGTACAAAAATTCATGAAAATATCGAATAAACAGCATGCGTTCAATAGTAAATGAACCGTTTCGTCTTCGTTCAACAGGAAGCCGAAAGCCGCACTCAAAGGAATATAAACTAAATTCAAAAAGAACACGAGTGCCATCCACATCTCATAGTAAATCCTAAAAAGACACTTCGTACTCAAATCCTCGAAATTATCTCTCACCTGAAAACGCTGAACGGATGCACGATCCAAGATCCCGATTCTACTTGCCGCTTCTTTTCTTCGACAATTGTCGCAGAAGTTAAAAAAAAAATTGAAGTTTGGGGATTGTGCTCCGACACCAGGATCTGTTTCTTCAGAAATTTCTTCAGTCTCATGGATAACGGGGCCAGAGGATGTACCGCCGGTAACATACTCTCGGACGCGTCCGAGTCTGTAATCGCACAAATGTGGGTTTGTTTTTGATCCAACATTATGAGGTTAAGACAGTTTGTTCATTAGATGTTTATTACTCGGTTGCTAAGTGGCGCTTAAATAGGACACCTAGTGCACTCTGAATGTCGCTACGACAACAAATGGTGTTTTTCCTGTTAGAATCTAGATCTTTTCGTGCGTTTCGAGAGAAATATGGGATAAGGATAAAACGGGTTGTCTGTCAGTGCGTGAAACGCGGTTTTTGTCAGATTTTCTAACTTCACATTGAAAGAAACTTAACTAGATTGACATGTCCTACCTCTGTCTGAATGGCATATATACTACAACACCACCACTACAAACTTTTCCTTTCAAATCTCTTTATTAAAAAACTAAAAACCACTTAAATCAAATGTTCAATTTACAACACCTGCGGGTGCGTAGAAGTGACCAAAATTTGCTTCCTATGTATCTGATGAGTCTCCTTTAATCGTCTCTGGGCTTCCAGTTGAATCCTTTTGTACAGGTCCGCTTGGCTCTCCAAACATTTTTTGAACGACTTTCTGTCCAATTTATACACTTCGCAAATTTCTAAAGCTATTATATTCGCCGAGGTTTTTCTATTTGGAAAGACTAAAGCGATTTCTCCGAAATAATCACCGTCGGATAAGTGACAAACCTGTAAAAAAACGAGCTACAAGCCTGTTGTCAAAGTGAACCTATATGACTTCTTTTCCTGTTGGTGAGAATACGGCCACGGTTCCACTATCAATGAAGAACATGGAATCTCCGGTGACGTCAGCCCTAATGATTACGTCTTGTGGCAAGTATATTTCTTTTTTCAAATGGACGAATACTTTTTCAAGAACTTCTGGGGGTATGGCGGCGAAGATGGTTACATTTTTGATTAAAGAGCGCAACTGGTGAGATCTAATTTCACTTTGTAAACTTTCTAAAGGGAAACATGTTAAATGGTGAATACTATCACGAACCAAGTACCGGGGATGTTATCGTCAAAACGACTTTCGTCGAAGTACTTCATCCTGTATTTGTATTTGTAGTATTGATGAACTCTCTTTTGTAACTTAAAGGGGAAATTATGAATCTCCATGAATGCATCGACTTGACTTATCAGTTCGTAGAACTTAGTTTCCACGTTTTTGTAAAGTCGATAACGGTCGAGAAGTATAACTGTAAGTAGGGTCTCACGAAGTTATCCATATAACGAGATAATACCCACCAGTTACGACAGCCATAAGGATTTTTCCAAAGATGCAGAAAATAATTACGTCTATGTACGCCATAAAGGGCCAACTAAATGTAAAATTTGTTTCGATAGCTGTAAGTGACTTACGTAAAAACTTTGAATAAATGGAGCCAAAAATGTCGAACTCAAGAGAAAGGCGGTGGACGCATAGCAGTTCGTAATGTACGCCTTAGTAAAGGTGGTTATATTTGGTTTCCTGGTACCCAGCTCCCGTATTAGGAATTTATCCCTTTTTGCTACTCCTTCGGTTAATCTCATCATAAGCAAAGGGAGGTAAAAACCGAAGCATGCTACGTAGTGAATTATGAGTACCATCAGCGTCACTAACCGGATGTAAAAGCTCCTGATATTAAAAAACTGTAAAAATCGATGTTTGGTATCACCAAGTTCTGAAATCACTACATACAGAAAAACTTCTTTCCATGTAACTCAGTAAAGTCACGAGTCTCACAATTTTCAAAAAAGAAAAACAATTACTATACACTCTATCCTCTGCGAAAGCGTGGTACGGCAAGGATGACAAAAAATCACACACAAAATATATTCCAAAAACGTAGTGTCTAAAAACCAAATTTAAAATAAAAAAAATCGAGCGACTACTAACTTGGCAATTTTTTTCTGAGTCATTTCAACTTCATTACTCGGAAGGCGGTATCCGGTGCGAAAATTCATGAAAACGTCGAATAAACAAAATGCGTTCAAAATAAAACCCACTACGAGATTTGTGCGCAGCAGGAAACCGAAAGCTGCATCCAGAGGATTAAAAATCAGATTCACAAAGAACACGGCTCCCATCCACATCTCGTAGTACAACCTGAAAAGACACTTTGGACGCAATTCCTCAAAACTGGCTTTCACCTGAAAACGCTGAACGGATGCACGATCCAAGATCCGGATTCCACTTGCTGCTTCTTTTCTTTGAGAACTCTCGCCGAGGTTAAGAAAAAAGCTAAAGTTTTGGGATGGTACTCCGACACCAGAAGCTGTTTCTTCAGAAATCTCTTCAGTCTGATGGATAATGGAGCGAGCGGGTGTACTGCTGGTAGCAAACTCTCGGACGCGTCGGAGTCCGTGATCGCACAGATATGGGTTTTCTTTAGACGCGACATTTTGAGACTTCGACAGTTTGTTGGTTGAAATGATTTCGATGTTTATTTGGTTGCTAGGGACCGCTTAAATAGTACTTTACGAGCGACTATTGCTACGAGTTAAAACACAAAGAAAAATTGTAACGCAGTACCACCACTGCCAACCGTTTCCTTTCAAATCTCTTTATTAAAAAACTAAAAATCATTTACATCAAATATTCGATCTACGACACTTTGGGATTCTTGGACGTGACCAAAATTTGCCTTCTGTGTATCTGATGGGTCTCCTTTAGCCTCCTCTTGGCTTCTTTTTGAATCTTTTTGTACACATCCTCTTGTTTCTCCATACATTGTTTGAACGGCTTCCTATCGAGTCTATACACTTCGCAAATTTCTAAAGCTATTATGGTCGCGGTGGTTTTTTCATTCGGAAAAACTATAGCGATTTCACCAAAATAGTCACCGTCGGATAAATGGCAAACCTAGAAAAAATAAAAGAGGTATATACTCGTTATGAAAGCGAACTCATCCGACTTCTTTTCCTGTTGGCGAGAATACGGCTACAGTTCCAGAACTAATGAAGAACATAGAATCTCCTTTGGCACCAGCTCTGATGATCACGTCTTGTGGCAAATATATTTCTTTTTTTAAATGTATGAACACTCTTTCAAGAACTTCCAGGGGTACACCGTCGAAGAAGGTTATATTTTTGACTAAGGTGCGCAGCTGATGATACCTAATTTCTGTTTGTAAACTTTCTAAAAAAGAACCAGTTAAATTGTGAATACTATCACGAACTTAGTACCGGAAATGTTATCGTCAAAACGACTTTCGTCAAAGTATCTCAACCTATATTTGTATTTATAGTACTGATGCACTTTCTTTTGCAATTTAATGGGGAAATGATGAATCTCCATGAATGCATCAACTTGACTGATCATCGAATAGAACTTAGTTTCCACACTTTTGTAAAGGTGATAACGGTCCAGAAGTACAACTGCAGGCATATTGCTACAGGATTATGCAGATAATGAGACAGTACCCACCTGTTATGGCAGCCCAAATGATTTTTCCAAAGACGCAGAAAACAATTACGTCTACGTACGCCATAAATGAACAATCAAATGCAAACTTTAATTCGATACCTGTAAGTGAAATACGTAAAAACTTTGATTGAAGACAGGTAAAAATGCGAACTCAAGAGAAAAGACGTGGCATAATACAAGTGCGAAATGTACTCCTTAACAACGACCGATAAACCTGGAGTCATACTACCAATCACTTTTGCTATAAATGAATTCCTTTCTTCCATTCCGTTAGTTAATCTCATCACTAACAGAGGGAGGTAAAATGTTAAGCAACCCCAGTAGTGAATTATGAGTAGTATCAATGTCGCTAACCGGATGTAAAAGCTTCTAATTTTAAAAAACTGCAAAAATCGGGACTTGGTATCAACATGTTCCAAAATCTGTACTTACAGAAAAACTTCTCTCCATGTAGATCAGTAAACTACCGAGCCTCACAATTTTCAAAACAGAAAAAACATTGTTAGTCAGTTTTACGTCTGTGACGGCGTGGTACGGGAAGGACGACAAAAAATCACATATAAAATATATTCCAAAAACGTAGTGTCTAAAAATCAAACTGAAAATCAAAAAAGTCGAACGAGTAGGTACTAACTTGGCAATTTCTTCATTACTTGGAAGGCGGTATCCGGTGCAAAAATTCATAAAAATATCTAAAAAACAAAATGCGTTCAACATAAAACTCAACACGTAATCTAGGTTCATCAGGATGCCGAAAGAAGCGTCCAAGGGAATATAGGCCAAATTCACAAGGAACACGAGTGACATCCACATCTCATAGTAAATCCTAAAAAGACACTTTGTACTCAAATTCTCGAAACATACTCTCGGACGCGTCGGAGTCTGTAATCGCACAAACGTGAGTTTTATTTTCCCCCAACATGATGAGATTATGACAGTTTCTTAGTCGAAATGATATTTATTATTTGGTTACTAGATGCAGCACTTTCTGGATATTGGAAATTACCGCAAGCCCAATGGCAATGATTTACAAGGCCTTCGAGAACTTTCCAGTGGTACCTTTATTGGCACTGTAGTACTAGTTCTTGTCGAACGTATATAAAATAGTGGCTTTTGCCCTAACCTAACCTGATCCGACAGAGTACAGACGCTTCCAGATCTTATCCTCGACCTTTTTTCCTAATAAAGGCGGCAGTACCAGGTGCCATAGAACAAGCACACAATTTTTCCTAGTTCGAATTGTTGTCATTCGAAAATAGTAATAATTCTTTAAGGTAAATAAAATATTCTCTATAATCCTAATGTTTTTTATTTATTTTGTAACACGTTATGGTAATAAAATACAAAGAAAAACATTCACAATTCCTGATAAAACACGACCGTTTCGAGAGAAATAATGAAAACCTCACCTGTATCACAGTAGCACTTTTATTACCTTTATTAAAAATCTAAACACCATTTACATCAAATGTTCAATCTACAACACTCGCGGTTTCGTGGGAGTGACCAAAATTTGCCTTGTGTGTATCTGATGAGTCTCCTTTAATCTTCTCTTGGCTTCCTCTTGAATCTTTTTATAAAGATCCGCTTGGTTCTCCAAACATTTTTTGAACGACTTTCTGTCCAATTTATATACTTCGCAAATTTCTAAAGCTATTATATTCGCCGTGGTTTTTTTATGCGGAAAAAGTAAAACGATTTCGCCGAAATAATCACCGTCGGATAAGTGACAAACCTATTGAAGAAAAATATTAGTTTCTCGTTATCAAAGTGAACTCATCCAACTTCTTTTCCTGTCGGTGAAAATACGGCTACAGTTCCGGAACTGATGAAGAACATCGAATCTCTGCTGACCCCAGCTGTGATGATTACGTCTTGTGGCAAGTATATTTCTTTTTTCAAATGCATGAACAATTTTTCAAGAACTTCTGAGGGTATAGAATGAAAGATGGTTACATTTTTTATTAAAGTGCTCAACTGGTGGTATCTAATTTCTATTTGTAAATTTTCTAAAAAGAGTCAGTTAAATTTTGAATACTGCCTCACACTAACTACCGGAAATGTTATCATTAAAACGATTTTCGTCAAAAAACTTCATCCTATATTTGTGTTTGTAGTATTGATGCACTCTCTTTTGTAACTGAAAGGGGAATTTATGAACTTCCATGAATGCATCGATTTGACTCATCATCTCATAGAACTTCGTTTCCACACTTTTGTGAACTTGATAACGATTGACAAGTATAACTGCAGCCAAATTCTCACAGAGTTACGCTTACACAGAGATCGTACCCACCTGTTACTACAGCCATGATGATTTTTCCAAATATACAAAAAACAATTACGTTGATGTACGCCATAACCGGCCAATTAAAATTAAAATTTAGGTCGATAGCTGTAAATGAAATAGGTAAAAATTTGAATGGACACTGGTAAAATGCCAAACACAAGAGATAGGACGTGGAGTAATGGCAACTGATTGAATACCAACGAAGAAACGTTTTTAAATCTGGTTCTATTTTTCCCAGTCTTTTCAAGAGGAATGTATCCCTGGCTACTTGTCCATGAGTAAGTCTCATTATAAGCAACGGTGCGTAAAAATCGACGCAAGCAATATAGTGAACTATCAAAAATAGCACCATTATTAACCGGATGTAAAAGCTCCCGATTTTAAAAAACTGCAAAAATCTGCATTAGATTTCAACATGATCTAAGATCTGTACGTACATGGAAACTTCTCTCCGTGTACTTCAATAATGTGCCAATTCTTACAATTTTCAAAAGAGAAAATATATTGTCCAAATATTTGTGCGTTTCAAAAGCAATGAAGGGCATAGACGACAAAACATCGCATGTAAAGTATATTCCAAAAACGTAGTGTCTAAAAATCAAAGTCAAAATCAAAAAAATCGAACGACTACTAACTTGGCAATTTTTCTCGGTCTCATTTCAACTTCATTACTTGGAAGCCGGTATCCGGTGAAAAAATTCATACAAACATCGAATAAACAAAATGTGTTCAAAACAAGATCCGTCATGCCATCAAAGATGAAGAGGAAGCCGAAGGCCGCACCCATGGGGATATAAATGAGATTAGCAAGGAACACGAATGTCATCCACATCTCATAGTAAATCCTAAAAAGACACTTTGTACTCAAATCCTCAAAACTATCTCCCACCTGAAAACGCTGAACGGATGCACGATCCAAGATCCAGATTCTACTTGTCGCTTCTTTTCTTCGACAATTATCGCCGAAGATAAGAAAAAAATTGAAGTTTGGGGATTGCGCTCCGACACCAGGATCTGTTTCTTCAGGAATCTCTTCAGTCTTCTGGACAACGGGGCCAGAGGATGTTCCGCCGGCAACATACTCTCGGACGTGTCGGAGTTTGTAATCGCACAAACGTGGGTTTTATTTTTATCCAACATTATGAGGTTACGACAGTTTGTTCATCGAACAATTTCGATGTTTATTACTTGTTGCTAGGTGCCTATTAAATAGAGCACTTGCTGGATACTGAAAGTTACTCTAATAATAATAAGACATTCTACTAAGCAGAAACTTAATATACTTTCATGCAAATCGCTTTTGTAATAAAACACTCAATTACGACGATGTGCAGTGCCGGTGGTTTCTCCATCCTGCAAGAAAGTCCGCTTTAGCTTCATCAAAATTCTCCCCACTGTCTACTGAAATTATTTTCCATTTTCTTAATAAAAATTACACGAAACAAAAAATCTTATTGCAATAACCTTTTCCCCGAAGCACGGTGCTTGGATTTTTTTTTAAATAAACAAAACAATTTTCGAACGCGACTATCTCAACCAGAATACTGACTGAAATAAATTTTCTTCTCACTCCTAACGGACTCCATTCATTCTTCTTCGGTCGTTATTATGTCACTAAAAACCACCGTAAAATCTGGAGCAATTTCTGCCATAATAGCCCGATGAAAGGTCTGACCTCCATTTTTGTAATCGATCATGAAACTATCTAAAGTACATTAAAGTTCAACAACCCGCCCAATTCAATCCCGTACATAACCCCGAATCAACGTCTTCACTCACTACAAAAACAAAAATAACCACCGCACTTTATAATTTTTTTACGTCAAGCTCCGCTGCCATCATCGCTCCACAAAAAACAAATCGACCATCGGTAAATAAACAAAAGTAGCTCAAGGTGTCCGATCAAACCCAGCAGTCGCGAAATAAAAGAAACGTTAAAAAAGTGGGAACAATGGAGGACTTACCAGACTACTACGAGAAATAAATATTAATTAACAAAAGTGACTTTAAGAACTTGTATCTACAGGCTGTTTTTGAAATAAATGTGCAAAAAATGGTACCGGATTTGGATGAGTGCTCCCAACAAAAAGGTATAACAAAGTCTTCGAAGGTACAAATCAGCAAAAATCGAGTAAGCAGTTAAAAATGTTTGACGTATCAAAAATTGTCAAAGTTGTCAAAACTCTTCGTTTAAAAAGTTCGCAGTTAATTTTAGGTCCCTGGTGTTTCGTTTTCGGATAAATTTAAAGGAAACTAGTGTTTTTGCTGGATGAACTTGAAAAAATCTTTTGAGCTTTTAGTGTTTTATTTTTTACGAAATTGAAAAACTCTTGAGAAGGTGTTTTTTTTTAATTAACTCTCACTCAGGTGTCCAAAGATTCTTATGCAATTAAGCAAAAGACACTCGGACCTCCTGAGATTCTAATGCAACTAAGCAAAAGACACTCAGGACTCCCAAGAATCGTATGCAACTAAGCAAAAAACACACTCAGGTCTCTCAAGATTCTTGTCCAACTAAGCAAAAGACTCTCAGGTTTCCCGAGATTCTTAATCAACTATGCAAAAGACACTCAGAGTTCCCGAAATTCTTGTGCAACTAAGCAAAATACGCTCAGGCCTCCCGAGATTTTTGTACAACTAAGCAAAAGACGCTCAGAGCTCCCAAGATTCTTATGCAACTAAGCAAAAGACACTCAGGTCTCCGGAGATTCTAATGCAACTAAGCAGAAGACACTCAGGACTCCCGAGAATCTTACGCATCTAAGCAAAAAACACTCAGGGCTCCCAAGATTCTTGTGCAACTAAGCAAACGACTCTCAGGTTTCCCGAGATTCTAATGCAACTAACCAAAAGACACTCGGGACTCCGGAGATTCTTATGCAGCTAAGCAAAAAATACACGCAGCTCCAGAGATTTTTAGGCAACTAAGCAAAAGCCACTCAGAGCCCCTGAAATTCTTGTGCAAATAAGCAAAAAATTTTTGAGGTTGATAAACAGATACATTTTGATTAAAAATTTACCATGCTTACAATAACTTCAAAACGTCTACAAGATTTAAAAATATTCATTTTGTAATTCTTGGTTGAATCAATAAAATAAATTGATTCAGTCATTAATTTTTTTGAGGCACCCCATATAAACAAATCCAAAAAATATTAATGCAGTGATAAATCACAATATTGACTCATCATACTTTGCACATTTAAGATAGGATTTGGACTGCACTAATTTTAATATTAGAAGAAACTTCTCAGTCCTCTTAGGTTCACTAGACAGCTCTTTTTTTTTTCTTTTTGTACATGAAACAACTAACAATGATCAAAATTCTCTTGTCCTCAATACTGCAACTAGTGTAACAAGAAACCAAAAAACCCCAAGTTTCGCTGCTCAACTTTCTAATCAACGCACTACTTCTCTCGCAATAAAAACCACCACTCACATAAAAGAAAATTTATTACAAACTAAATAACAACGTACAAAACCTATCAAACTACCCTCAATATTCAACAATCGGTTTCAATTCGTAAGCAATCCCGCTCTTCTGATCCACAATCAGCCCCAACTTCTGGTCGTACACCAAATCCTCCCCATTCAGCTTGCCGTGCTCCCTCTTCCCTCTCTCGTAGTCCCTCTCGCTCTTGTAATTCCCGCCGTGCTTCCCCGTCAAACCACTCAACACCAAAGACTTGGCTTTACCATTGATGAACTCCACGTCTCCGGCCAAACTGGGCTGGCGCTTCCCCCTGGGCAAATAGTTCGGCTTCTGCTGGCTTTCTTCATAAGCTACGTATTCTTCCTTCTGCTGGCTTTCTTCGCCGCCACCGTCGCCACCATGACCGGCATGGTTGTAGTCCCAGTAGTGCTCGCCGTACCCTCCGTGCTTATCGCCCCACCTCACCTGCAAGAACACGCATTTGAAGAAAGTACAAACGAAGAACGCGAAGAAAGCGAAGATTTACTTTGGTCTTGAACTCTCCGGCGTGGGGGTGGGCCTTCTCGTGGCGCTCGATAAAGTGATGCTCGTTGCCTCGCTTGTGGCCGTGTTCGTAGTGGTCTTTAGCGGGGACGTGGGCGTATCTGTTAGTGGAAGAAGAAGAAGAAAGTTAAAAGAGAGGAAGATTAATAGAAGCAACATTATTAATGAAGGGCGGCGTCTGTATTTACAAAGTGGCTGGTCAAAGTTGGGTTACCATGCCTAGATGGAATGAAGATCTTGCGTGGAAGGTGAAGAAATTAGAACAGAGCACAGCAAGAAATGAAGAAAAGTAATTTAGAGAAAAATTGGGCTACAATAGATGCTTTTCTGGCAAATTATAACTCACATTGAAGTTAAGTGTCGGTGGTCACCAAATTTAAGGTAAGTTGCTCCTTCGAGCCGGATGAAGAGAATAAGATACTTATTAGAAGGAGGGCTTATCTTGAGATTAAAAGGATTGTTACGAAATTAAGTGAACGTTTCTTTTTTTGGCTAAAAAATTACAACAGAGCACAGCAAGAACTGAAAGAAAGTAAGTTTAGTAAACACTGCGAAATTGTTAAAAAGAGAAAGTCGCCTAAGAAACAAAGCAAGTGGGGTTTCGTCAATCCCGTGAAGGATAAGCGATAAACGCGCATTCGAACCGATCGTCCACGCATAAAAGAAAAAGCCGGGGAACCCCAGTAAGAGAATAGAGCCACAAAATATAGAAAATATATTTTTAACACCTTTCCTTGATGCGAACGGTCGTGAAAATTGATTTTTTCGAATCTCTGTTCCCAATCCTCCGGTGTTTCACACACATGGCCAAACTCAATCTCGTCAGGGGAGTGCTGTGCCATGTACATATCCCTGACAGACAAAAATCGACTGTATTTCTCACCGATTCCTCGACCCTCCACAGCCCCCTTCAACAACCCCGCACAACTTACTGGAAATATTTGCTCCCTGAATGGACCGCCGCCGGCCCCCCGAATCCTGTCTCCGCCGCCTGGTGATCGTCCTTCTGCAACGCGATGCTTCCAACTTGCCGTTTGTCCTTTACATCCGCCCCACAGACGTAGGAGGCGGCGCAGAGCAAAGCCAACGCTGAAAACTGAACACCGCAATGAGAAAAGCCGGGAAGCGGCACTCCGGGCCAGCGAGCGACTTCATCCCACTCGCTTGACCCGGCCGCGCCTCATTCCACCCTTCTTATCTTGTGCGCGGCACGAAAACCGCCACTTTGCGTACCTGACACCACATTGTGCAACGTTCGAAGCTGTGCTGCGACTGCCTCGTTGTGCAAACCCGCGCCTTTATATAGCTAAACCGACCGAAACGAAATTTTATTTTCGATATAGTTCCAGCGAGTTCTCTGGCACCGAGATCGCGGTTTTCGTTTCTTGCGCCGCATTCCGATTGCTCAAAAAAGCGGACCTCCGTTAGGCGGCGGTGGCGGGCGCGGGTGCCGCCGGGACCGGTGCGGGGGCGGCACAACAACACGGGTTTGACCGCGCCGGGGGCGGCGCGGCGGCGGCGGGCGCGGCGCGGAAAGCGCGCCTTGCGAAACACTTGGGCAATTATTGAAAGTTTACTTTCACGCAAAAAATCGTTTTGTTTCAAAAATCCATTTGCGGCTAGACCGGATGTTGTCATGCTTTTTCGGACGGTTTCCTGGGGTTCTTGCCTGATATGCAAGAATTAGCTAAACCGACGAATGTTAAGTGTGTTTGTTTTTCTTTTAGTGGTCGTGCGTTTATCCTTCACTGAGCAACGGTGCTCCAAAAGTGGCGCATCGTACGTGGACGTTGGAAACGTTGTTAAAGATAAAACGGATTTAAGTGTGATGATGATGAAAGAAACCTTGTATGGTCGAAGTAGATAGAGTTTGATCAGGAAACTAGAAACAATGAAAATGTAGAAACGCGTGTAATTTGAATTTCCCGCTGCTCGTAGGCTTGACGACGGACACGCCCGCAAAAACAATGGCGGAAAAAATGGAGGCGGATAATCAATGGAACGTAGATAATTAGTTTCCGGGCTTGAAACATTTTTTCTTTGGCTGACTAATGATATCTATTGATAAAAAAGTTCAAGATTAAAAAAAAGTGATGTAATTATGATGACAATAATAAGAAAGAAACAAAAATGACTAAAGTGAAAGCCGAAGAAAAAGATTTGTGGATAATGTTAATCACATAGTGAATAACCAAGATCAAATTATATCCAGCAGTAACCAAACATGGAAACAAAGAACGAAAGTTCCCGTATTTGTGACATTAAAAAAGACTAGTTTTTTTTAAGATTTCTTTAATGTGCCATACTCTAATCACCCATACACCGCCACTCTGTTAACTTGTTTCTATTCGCTGTGAAGAAAAAAAGATTATCTTCAGTTCCATCTTCAGATCAGTCAACACCTAGATACAGAAGAATTTGATAAGAAAACGAACAAATAAATGATTGGGAAGTTAACCACAATATTAGTGTAATCAGTGGGATGCTGTTACAAAAAACAAAGATGCCGCCTTGATAAGACATATTTTCTACGAAATATTGAAGACTCATGGACTGAAATCACTGTTAAAGAAGACACAAATGAATTGCAAGTCTATGTAATAAAACCAATTTCCTCATACGTATCTTGTATTTTCTCGACGACGTTTGTGTCTCGTTCAATTACTTTCTTAAAGGTTCGTTTGTTTGCCTGCCACCCACTTTGTGAACAGTTTCTCATTTGCCATTTTAATTTAATTCTTCCATCTTTTTCATGCAGCTTTTCCTTTAAAGTTTTGCTCCTACTTATTTATTTTGGAAAAGATAAACCCGCTGAAATGGCTTTTGCCGTTAAAAATACATTCAACTTATCTCCATCTGCGCTTAGCGCCTCAGTTATTTATCCAATTCGATTACTTTTTCGCTCAAGTTTCCAATGTTTTCGAAACATCCTGTACAACTCCTGAGTGCTGCGCCTCCGGCGACAATTATTCTGCATCTGAGCACTTTCATGTTCCATTTAAATTTCCCTTCAGGAAATGTGCTTTGATGTTCATCTTCGGCCTGAACTTGAATCCTAACTCTATCCATTTTATTCGAAAAACTAACAAAACCGTAAAACGCACTCCCACTTCTCTCCATTTTAATAAAGAAAAGTCGAGTAAACAAAAACTTAATAATTTAGCCCCCGCAAACCCTCGTTTCAATATCCATACGTCGCCCCCGCCTCCCTAATTCCTCTCGCATTTTTAACAACAAAGTCGCATTTTATCGACAACCGTCCAACTTCATACTTTTCTTATTATCTCCGAATATGTTCCCTCACGATATCCAACTTTATGTAAGACGAACCCGGCCGACGCTATCGATTTTTCAAACATCAAACAAAAAGCTCTTACGTAAAAATGTAGTCGCTCGTCGAAAAACAAACGTGTCGTTAAGCCACTCCCCCGGCGCCCAAGCTCCGCCCACCCGCGTAATTAGTCACGTGCGGCCAGCGCCATCTGTGTCGTTACGTCCGTGCGACATGTGGCGTGTTTGCCGGAACAAGAAAACCGACAAGGATTTATTTGCAGGATACGCTTGTCCACAGGACGCCGTTGCCGTGGCAACCAGGTGGATTTCGCCGATTTGTTGATGACGCATTTGGAGTTATGGATTGGTTATGATTAGGCCTTTATAGCCCCATTGTGGCGATAATGCAAAATGAAGGGCCACTTGGATGGAATTACGGGGGTCAATCAATTGACGGGCGGGCGGTAGGGGTCGTGGGCTGAAGCGGCGGTCGGTGAGGTGCAACGCTGGAAACGAACACGAAAGGGAGTTGTGTGTGCTGCAGACGGGGATGAAACGGCTGCGAGTACAAAGGAGTTTGAAATGGGAAACAGAAAAACAGAAGGTGGAAGTTTCGTGGCAAAACGACTGGGATGACACGCTCTCAAAAAGCTCGGAGTCAAAACTGTGTACTTTATTTCAAGAAAATTCGATTCATGATTGTGAAAATTCTCTCTATGAAAACTATAACGTCTTAACTGTGCCGGAAGATTCTGAAAAATTGACATTTTATATTGTTGAATATAAAAAAAATGTAGGGATTTCCAAAAAAATAAAGACGAAAAAACTGTATGTGATCAAAATCCACAAAAACGTTTAAGTAAATTTTAAAATTAGTCAAAAAAAGTTGAAAATTTCATAATTATTGAAAAATTTGAATTTTTAAAAAATGACTAAAAATTCACCAAAAATTGTAATATGTATAGATGTCGACGTGTTGATTCGAAAAATATAGATGCTAATGGTCCCGGGGCAAGGTTTTAGAAAAATCCGGTTTGAAATTCAATGGTCTTAGAAATCCTAAAAATTGACAAATTTTCAGTTAGCCATTCTGGAAAAACGAGATTAGTTATCTAAGAAATGGAACCGAAATGAATTTCTAGAGGTCGAAATCTACAAAAAAATGTCTTACTAAATTTCGAAAATGCTCGAATAACAAACGAAAATTTAAAAAAGAAAAATTTAGGGATTTTTAAAGTAATGAAGCTGAAAATACACTATACCCTCGGTAATTCGAATCAATTGGGGACAAGTTGTGTTCGGATTAGCGATTTGTTCAAATCAGCGAATTACCGGAAAATATAAAAGGAAATTGAATAACAAGTTCATACATTGCTAACAACAAACTTCTAGAAATAAACCTTTCCACCTACGAAAATTTCGACACCTTTTCGACAATTTTCTAAATTTAACCGAATACATTTTCTTGTCACTTCTTCGACGACAACAACAGTTCTTCCAGAATTGACCATTGAAATATCGCAATTTTTAAAAAATTTAAAAAATTCGAACTAAACACCCTATACTTTTGGTATCGGCACGTCAAGATCTCTAACCCTAAATTTTTGGAGAATTTTTCAAAAATGATTTCTTTTCCATCATCTTCGAAAGTTAACTAAATAGATTTTCTTGTAGATTTTAAGCTCTAAAACTCACTTCTGACCCCGTTTCTTTAAATTAACACTAACCGTTTTTCCAGAATCGGCCATTGAAATATCGAAATTTTTGGAATTTTAAAAAAATTGATTTTAAACCTGTTGAGTACTGAGAATCGGGATTGTTTCCTCTCCTACCTCAGGTAGCAAATTCTTATCACCAACCGCCCTGAAACAGTCAGTAACGGTTCTGTGGTCAGTAACGTGTAAACTTTCATCCAATAAACATCAAAACCAAAATACAGTTACTCAAAAACGTCATCAATTCATCCTGAGCTATAACACTCAACAGATGGCCCTTCGATCCAGATCAGCGCCTTCATCAAACATCATATTACGAGGCATTTTAATCTGCAAGTGTAGTGAGTGCAATCATCGTCCATCATTAGCCGTCCTACAACATTTCAAAGGACGGGAAACGTCGAGGGCACAACGTGGACAAATACGGTTAGTCTTTAGTCTTTCTGGTACGCGTACATTTCCTCAATCGTTGTCAATATGCCTGATAAAGCGGCTTCTCGGTGATCTAGAGGAGCTTGAGAAATTTATAAACGAGGTCCCGAACCATTCAAAAGTAAGCATTTTAAAGCGTCGCCTCCAAATGTGCGAGGAACTAAAAGTAAATAATAATAATAATAATGATAAACTTTATTACGGGAAATCCCATTATATCTAAATTACAAATATAATTAAATACACTAAAAATTAAATTACTTAAATTAAATATCCTACCTAATGTACAAAATAAAGAAAGAACAAATAACAAAAATAATAATAATAATAAAGAAATATAATAAGTAGATAAAAAATTCAAAGATTTCGTCATCATCCATCAATAGCCGTCCTACAACATTTCGAAGGACGGGAAATACCATATGTTGAGTGTTATAGCTCTGGATGAATTGATTATGTTTTTGAGTAACTGTATTTTGTTTTTGATGTTTATTGAAATGTTTACACGTTACTGACTGTTTCAGGGCGGTTGGTGATAAGAATTTGCTACCTGAGGAAGGAGGAGAAACAACCCCGATTCTTAGTACTCAACAAAACCCGAACATTTTGAAAATGTTGCGCGATGACTGACCATCAGCTCGTCGAGATCTACATCCCTAATTTTTTTTAGAATTGTTAGACAACTTTTTAAAAATGAAATTTTTGCATGCTTCAAATTTCGACCCATTCTTCAGCATTTACGAAACTAAACTAAATACGTTTTCTTGTAGATTTCGGACCAGGTCGGATCGGTGTCATTTCTTCGATGACTGCAACCGTTTTTCCAGAATCGAAAAATTTAGTTTTTAAAAAGTTGCCTAAAAACTCACTAGGCCGAAAAAACTGAATAGCCAAAAAGAATGAAAAGAAAATCCAGTTTTGAAATCACTCCTGGAGGTGTATTATAATGGCTAAACATAGATGCGCCCCCTGGTACTATCTGCATACATTCAATTAGACCCGAAACGCTGCAGTGAGTGGCCCCCTACACCACTCTCCCATAGCGATCTTCTTTCCGACTCAAGCTCGTCGCTAGATGTCGCGTCGTCATCCATAATCTCGATGCGTCACAGCCCCAGCCCGCTAGATGTCCCCACGTCCTTTCCGTCATGCATCTGGCAGCCTCACGTGTTTACCAACACCGTGTTCTCGCCGTACCGATCGAGCTGTTATGAAATCATTCACCAGAACAACACAACACGTTCCGGTGAGCACGCTCCGCATCGCCCCAACAGCCCCCACGTCGTGCGTGCCCAGTGCGTGAACGCGATCGCAGAGTGCCGTGGACCGCAATGTCCGCCTTCCCGCAGACGTCCGAGAGCGACGCGTGGACCCTCCTGTCCTTGAAGTCGGCGCCCGCGAGCCCCTCCAAGGTGCAGTGGAGCCCCGAGGACAAGGGCGACGCCATCGCCCGCATCGAGGGCCGCGACATCGAGTACCTGGTGCGCCAGAACCGCATCGTCATCGGCCGCAACAGCTCACGTGGCGACGTCGACGTGAACATGGGCCACTCGAGCTTCATCTCGCGCAGGCACCTGGAGGTCTTCTTCGACCACCCGTTCTTCTACATGCTGTGCAACGGCAAGAACGGCGTCTTCGTCGACGGCGTGTTCCAGCGCAAGGGCGCCCCGGCCATCCACCTGCCCAAGACGTAAGACAAACAATCGAAAATCGATAATAACCCCAAATAAACACGGCATACCAACCATGTGAAGTATTTATCGAGCCGGTGACGTCACGGCGGGGCCAAGGCGGGCCGAAAGCGCCGCTACGGACGGCGGCGCAGAGGCGAGAGTCGCGTGCGGCGGTGGTAAATAGAAAATAAACCAGTATTGATGTGTTGGAGCAAAACACACTGTGCAACATTCTTTTTCGTGGCTGCGAGCACGTGCTTTTCGCTCGGAGACCATGTTTACATACAACAGACAAATAGAGCTATTTCCGCTCGGCTACTTATCGGAGCGTAAGGACGGCGAAATTTTTTTTTCTATCTTTTTTTTTTATTTCAATGGCGACGCCTCGATAAGTCTTCGATGTTTACGATTTTTTAGGTCGCTGGGAGTATTTTCGATTGTTTTTGTTTCGGACGGACGAGGACAAAGAAGACACGTGTTTTTTCGACAGTACGATAGTAAATAAAGTAATTATCGCGGCGTACGAACAGGAAAGGATTTTGCGAAATGCGTTAAATGCTGAATTGACGACTGTTGAAATCGGAGATGTGTGTACTCTGCAGAATGAGGTTATGTAGTGGTGTTACGCGACCACGTGAGCAGGCGATTTAAGTAATCAAGACGGCCAAGATCTAGGGAATCGCGATGTACAGTGTGATTTAAAGCTTTCAACGATCCAGTATCAGTTTTTCTTTTTTTATCGAAAAATGTCATTGCCGAACTAAATTTGAGTCGAAATTTTCTCAAAAAGTGTCACAGTTAACCATATTTAAAAAAGGATGGAAAAACAACAATTGTAAAGCCAAAAAAAAACAAGACAAATGACTTAAAAATTTCAACGTGGAGCTGCCAAAGGTCAAGACGTTATACTGAGTGTTGTTCATTATTTTTATTTAATCTGTACACTTGTTTCTATTATTTATTTACACTTTTCTAAGGATAGACTCCACTTTAAGCTTTCTTTCAAAATAGATGAAAGCAAGCTTAGCACTGAAGCAATACCGCTGACGTCATATCTTTGACAGTCCGACATGATAGTTTTTCGGTGGATACTTCTTTAAAATTATATCCAAATTTATATAAAAAAATTAAACAAACAGTGTAGTACTGATAATATCACTACTGCATTCCCAAATTTTCGGGAAACATGGAGTGAGTCGTTCGTGATTTAATTAATTTTTTGAGTCATCCTGGAAAAGTAATTCTAAAAAAAAGTGCAAAACTATCTTATTTTATAAAATTAAAAAAAAAGTGTTATCATTATCGATTACTATACTACCTCAACTTGCGCTCAGGAAGTCCAAATAGTACAAATATTATATGTACTTACAATTTTAAGAAATGACGTAATCGACTATCTACAGGGGATGAATAAGTAAACTTTAAATATTAACTATTGATGTTTTACCAATATAGCATTTCCGAGCAACCCGTTGTCTGATATCGCAAAGTAAATATTGAATATTGATGACATTTTTTGACAATTTACATAGATAAAATTAGAACTAGGAGTGGGTTATTGCTAAACCACAAAAAATAATATTTTGGCCTGATATCATCAATTTCAGTTGTTTCCAAAAATTTCTGTCCAACAAAGTCACTAATAGACAAACCCACGAAGCAGGAAACATGCACTTCCGTATTTTACGACCTCTAAAACACCAAAAGCTTGTGTTACACTCGACTAAAGGTGTCCCATGTCTTGTGGCCATTCAGAAATTAGCCACTTTTTTGAACACCCAACCTTGAAGTTTCAGTATGAATATATAAAGACTAATTACAGTGTTGGTTTTTGTTTTGTAAACTACACATAATTACAATTTTTTCTTTCACAGTATGCGTAATTAAAATCAATCAACAATTAACCTATAATTATGTGACGTTTATGAAAATTGTCACTAATTAATTAATGAGAGTGTCATAAATTAATTACTGTAATTAAGTAGTCACACGTGCCGCAACACCCTGTATACCATCCGCCAGTTCCGTACAATTAAAAGCCTCATTTCAAACACAACAAAACACTTCCGCGCTGAACGCGACCTTGCTCCCGCCGCGTCTTAAATTCATAAATTCAATCCCCCTGATTAATTATTTCCCCAATTGACATAAATTTTAATTCATCTCCAGCCTCCGTCCGCACTCGGCTTTACGCACACTTGTGCGCCAGCCTTTACGCCTTTACACTTGACATTTCGTTTGTTTGTTGGTTTTAAATTTTATGTAAATCCGAGGCTCGTTTTCATAAGAATGCGAAAATTGTTGTGTAAAGTCATGAGGTGCCAGTGGCGGCGAATTCGACAGGCCGAAGTCACGGTTTTTCTGGATTGATAAAACGCGGTGTCGATTTCTTTTTGTCGAGATTTTATGCCTCTGTTTTTGTTTATTGGGTTTAATTGAGGCGGGATCGAGACGGAGTACCAACATAACAAATGTCAATTAATTGAATGGCTTGATGGATTGTTTGTCGAATCAATAGGAACTATTTTGAGAGATATTAATCGTGACGGGTGATAAGGGAGCAGTTAAGGAAAAAAAACGCGAGCTGAATTCGGAATGAGGAGGAGTTGATTTGTTTTGTTGTCTAGGGAAGTGGTGGAAAATTACGGGTGACAGGTTGGGGAGATCATGGATTTTTCAGTTACGTTGGTACTGCACTGGCAATGTCTAAAGTTTCTAGCTAATTTTTGATGTTTTGTTCTTTGGACTATGTATTTTCTTTAAAAATAACTTGGTGTCCTTTATAATCTTATTCTAATTTTTCGTTTCATTTTTCGCCGAGTTACGACTTTACTTTCTCGTAAAAACCAACCAAGACATCAGCCTGATTATGGTTAGTTTCGTAACATATTACATGTATATTTGACAAATTGATCTGCGTTAACTCAGATCTATTATGATAATTTTTACGTAACGTTTGCAGCCTTAGCACAAAAAAGCTATGCGTAACTCTTGTAAAACTCGCTTAAACATCGATTTTTCTATCCCAAAAGTCCAAATTACGAGAAACCCACTTGTCATTTTGGTCTAATAACCGAAAAATTGGCTCGTGCAGTCGTTAATCATCAGAAAGCACTTCAGCCGTTAATTTTTGTCGATGCTAATTAGAGTTTTTCCACGGTCGAGCATAAACCCACCCAAGCGTCAATTATAGCCCCATCTCGTCGAAAATACCCCATTTCCAAGTCGCTTCGTAAACCCGCCGTTAACAAAATAGTTGGAAAAGCAGGTGCCTCGCACATAATCGATTGTCAACCTCATGTATGAAACGCTTCAATGGCCCCCGACATCAAAGAGAAGCAAACTTAGCACCGGAATAAATATAGTCACTCGGCGACAATGATCCTCGAATCCTCTTCGCCTCCTATTGATCGTTTTTCCATCGGCAAAATCTAATTTTACCCGGAACGAGCGGCGCCCCCCCGACGCACGCCACTGGCCCGACCCGCCACCACCGCCGCCGCCGCGGCACGATCCGGTCCAGGAACCGTCCCCCCGAATGCAAGCAAGTCGCCAGATAAGAGTGCGGCAATTACGCAAATCCGCTCAGGTGGCGCGCGTCACGTGACCCGAATCCGCCAATGACGTCACGCCTTTTCCCTCGGCGTTTGTTTACGTTCGATCATCCAGCGACGTCGCGGATCGACCTTTATCACAGCGGCCTTGGACCCATGCTTCCTAATAAAACAAAACGCCGTCGATTAATAATGAACATCTAGAGCGCGGTCGATGGCGATTGTTATGGGTGACAGTTGCCATGGCCGTCTTCGAAAATCGAGGCACGGCGTTGCATCACGCCTTTGACGTGCGGTAAACAAGGTGTTTATAACGCGAGCTTGGGTAAATATAGCGTTATCTGCAGATCGTCCCAATTATTGTTGTGGCCGGTGGCGGTTCTGCGATGGCTGCGGATTTGTCCGCGGTTATTCCGGGGATGACGTAATCGGACACTAACCGTCGCAGTCTGCTTGATGTAGGGGTTTTTGGATGACGGGAGGGGGGTCGGTCGGTGAAGGTTGCTTTTCGACGACAAAAAATTCCATTATTTCACCGGAGTGATGTAATGGGTGGGTTTGTTTATTCTTGGACGGTCGTGTACTTTTCATTGTTGATATTAAAATTAGGCAGACATATGAAAAACACGTGGCGGGTTTGTGAAGAAAGTTCAATATTGATTCTGGAACGCGGATGGTTTGTTCGCCGCTGGATTTTTGGCGGATCGGGCTTTATTAGGATAGGATAAAGGGCTACTCGAAAATTTACTTCCTTTGTATTTGCTTTTGCCGCCTTTCGTGGGGATCACTCCACTTTTGATTTCACCGAACTCGGTGGTCTCTTGGTTTTTATGAACCTCTTCCGCGTTTCCCTATCCGTTTCTGTAATTCTCAATTTCTCCAGTCTGCGATTTCTGCGTAGGTCTGTTTTTCGTTTTTGTTTTTGCATATAAATTATCTTCCCTCTTCCACACAGCAAATAATGAATTAACTTCGTTAATATTTTCGCCTTTCTGTTTTTTATAAAGTGATCTATGATCTAGCGTTAAGTTTGGTTTTAAATTTTTTGTTAACCTCTTGTTTTTTAAAAGTCCGTTTCCGCTTTTTTTTAATATTTGTATAATTAATAAGACAATGAACTTTCAAATTGAAGGATTTTTAAATCCGCCGCCAGTTTAAAGTGAAAGAAGCCACCGTTATCATAAACTAGTAGACAATACGCTCCAAATACGTTTACCTGTTTGAAGGTCGCATTATCAACACGACCTAAGGTTGGCAGCAATCAGTATTGGCTGCAGCTTCTGCAAGTTTCTATCTGATTTTGTTAATATTGCTGTTGGTCTATTATTTGCCACTTTTCTTGCTGTTATTATTTCGTCCTCTCCTTCCTCTCTCCCGTTCTTTCCTCGCCTTCCTTCCTCTACTTCCCTATTTGTTTCCTTCCTTTGCCTTTTCTCTCTCTCGTACTCCCTTTCTCTCTCCTGTCACCCCCTGCTTCTTTCTCTTAACACCGTTTCTTTTACTGTCTGCTCTTTCCTCTTACGTTCTACACCTTTCTCTTACGCTCACCTTCTTCATTTTACGCGCTGGCTCTGCCTCTTCTTCTTCTTTTCCCTCTTCCTTTTTTTCTTACCTTCTACGTCTTTCTCTTACGCTCTGCCTCTTCTTCCACCTTCCCACTTCCTCTCCCCCTCCTTCTCTTCCCTTCCCTTCTTCTCTCACTTTCTCCCTTTCAATCTCTCTCTTCCTCTTTTTCCCTCTTCTAGCCCTCTGCCTATTCTTTCCCTTCCCTTTCTTCCCACCACCCGTGTCACTTCCCTCTCTTCTCTCTTATACTTTTTACCTTTACATCTCTCCCATTACCCGTCTCCTTTTCAATCTCTCTCTTCCCGTCCTCTCTTATTTTTCCCCTTTTTACTTCCCGAGTAAAAGCTAAGGAAGTACATATAATAATTGAGTCCGACGGGCGAATGGCCAATTTTAGATTTTCTCGACGTTTCATAACCCCTAGACTACGAAAAAAGTAGTCTCCCGTTTCTGTCTGTCTGTCCGGTGTCTGCATCCATTTTTATAAGGCACGTAATCTCCGAAACTGCTGGACCGATTATTATTGTCAAATTTTGTATATATATTAGAAATATCAAGTAAATGGTTAAATGCTAACCAAAATTTTGCTAATCATCCCCACCAAGAATTTGAAGACATCATTTCAAAGCATTCTATGTTTGAATTGTTCCCTAACCGTCCAAATTTTTGCAAAAATATAATGCACGGTATAATAATAGTTTACCATTATGTATTATCTATGTTTATGTCGTCATAACAATTTTTTTATTGATGAAATTACCCCACTGTCTCGAAAAGGTGACAATCTTTATTTAAAAACGTAAAACCTTCTCGGAGGGACCAAATGTATTTTTTTAATGTGAAACTTTCCCGGAATTGTCTATTTTGAAAATGAAAAACCTTCTCGGGGGCGCCAAATATCTTTTCTTAAGAATGTGAAACCTTCTCGGGGGTCCCGATTGTTTTGTTTTTTTTTAATGTAAAATCTTCTCGGGGGCGCCAAATGTTTTTTCTAACCCTCTGCCTCATTCTATTAACTCTATTCCTTTATAACTTGCCTTTTCCTCTTTTGTTCTACCTCTTCCTTATGTACGCTGCCTCTTCCTTTTACGCCATGTCACTTCCCTTTACGCTCTGCTTCCAGCTCTTACTCTTACGCTATGCCTCTACCTCATCCACCTTGCCTCCACCTTTTCCTTCCTCTCTTTTCATCATGCTTCAGTCTAATGCCGTCCCTTCCTCCCCCTCTCTTTCTTTGGCATCTGCTCCCTCTCTTCTCCTTCCTTCCCTTCCGCTTTCTATCTTTCCCTCTTCCTCTTGGCTTCAGTCTTACCCACCATAGTAAGAATTATAATTGATTCAAATGCTTGGCACTGTCACTTTTAAACGCTCAAGAAAGTTAGGTTATGATATTTTGAGTTGAATAAATGTCATTGTCAACCATGTCAATTTCGACAACGAAAAATAAAGCTAGACAGTTCTACCAATTTCAAGCAAAATCTGTGGATACCAACTGAAACAGTAATTACTGATCACATTGTATATTTGGAAAATATAAACATAAAATTAAATTATGGAGTGCATATTTTAGATTGTCACTTCTCGAAAACTAGTCACTAAAATCTAAATCAATTTGGATGGTTATCCCCGCTTACGCTCGCGTTGTTGCAAACATTTTTGTTGCACTTGTCGACTCATTATTACGAGGCACAATTTTATGAAATCTGAATTACCCGAAATATCTGATTCAACCCGAAACGCTGCACAAACAGCACGATAAAGCAAATTCGGCGGAAGATGCTTGAACTATTGTAACGTTTAAAAATATCCTGCGAAATTTTAGTGGCGTAAAAACGGCGGAAGGTGCGTGCATGCGCACCCGACAAACCTAAATAAATAAATCTTAATTACGAAAATATTTATGAACATTTTGCGCGAACTAAAACATTCCGCTCGAATCCTTCCCTAATTGAAGACTTTAAATTTATTAATTACAATTATAATGCTGTTTTATTATTAGAATTTTAATTCCTTGTGCATGCTCTCTAATTAAACTGCTTAATTTACGGAATAAATGTCGACATAATGTCGCATTTTAATTAATACTTGTAATAGACTGCACCGTTCAAGATAATAACCAAAGAATTATTGTGGCGTACGCTGGTTGTAAAGTTGATTGCGTGTTACGACAAAATAATCATCGGAAAACGTAATAAATTGTTTATTATTTGAGCGTTTTTGTTATCGGGAATTCAGGCAGCAATTACAGATTTCGGCTTTTGCGAGCCGATAAATTTTGAATACGTTGATTGAAGCCCGGGGGATATAAAAAATAAACGTCGTATTGTGAAGTACAATGCAAAATTCAGAGTTTGAGTGGATTTGTTAGCTCTTTGTCCAGGTCGTGATAAATAAACAATATTGTTGTTGTATCGATTGCAACGAATTCACTTGTTTATCTGCTGGAGATAACGTTGATAATTTTAAGTCGGTTAAGTGTTCTTTGTCTATTTGAAGTAAATAGAAGGGAACTCCTGAAGACTGTTTGGGAAGTCGTAAATAATAATCAAAATATGTCACTCTTTCACGAATAAAATTTCTTCGTATTGAAATCCTTCCAAGACCCATCTATCAAAAGTGCAAGCTAAGTACCGAGAGCGAAGATAACGCTTTATCAGCTTCATTATTTAAAATTAACATTTTACGTTGTATTTACACGAGAAGCAACTTTTATCTTTTTTTCGCGATGACATTGCCAAAACCGTTTATTCCAAACTTCGTCTCCAATCGCCGAGGTCATAATAATAATCTCGTAATTTTTTCTGATTTTGGCAGCAATTAAAACCGACTTCGTTATCTCGTACTCGATTATTTACAAGCCATCGCGTAAATAAATAGAAGTTATATTTAGTCATATTTTCTGATAATTACTCTATCACCGGCTTATTTTTACACGTATCTATTCACCACTTTCCCAAACCCCGCCGATAAAACCGTTATCACCATCTCGCACTTCACCTTGACTGTTTTTTATTCATTCTGTTTCTAAGCGAAAAAATCGGTTCTTCAACCTCTCATACATAATGCACGTTCACATTATTAACGCCAGTGCATCTAGAATGTGATGCTCCACAGGTCAAACCCGCCGCATAAATCGATTAAGTGTGACTTTTTCCACCGCTGGCGCTGCCGTCGCCCCCGCCATCCCACTCCCCGACCGCCCGCTAGAGGGCGCAACACTCGCAACACCAACCTAACAACAATTTGCTTTTGCAGGTGCCAACTGCGATTCCCCAGTACAAACATCCGCCTGTCGTTCCAGTCCTTGGTGGACGAGAACAGCGAGCCGCCCCCCAAGGTGCGCGAGGTCTCGCCCGTGCGGATGCGTGACCGGTCCGGGGGCGGCGCCGCCCCCGGCGGCATGGGCCCCCTTCGAATAAATATCCCGGACGCCAGCGACGTATACGTGAGTCCGTTCCCCTCGCCGACAGGTACTATAAGCGCAGCCAATAGTTGCCCGGCTAGTCCTAGAGGTAGCCCCCGCCGCCAGTCGCGTTGCGTGGATTCACTCCCCCTTTTTGTAGGAGGGCACGGTAGGAGAAACGTGTCCGCTGATTTGCAGATGGTGGCGGCTTACGCCGCCCAAGTCGCGAGGAGGGACGACGGAGGGGGTAGTCACCATGTTCAGAATCATAGTCCGGACCATTATAGGCATCCTACCTCAAATGGAAATTCGGTGGGTTGAACGAGCGAGGGTTGAGGATGGGAGTACATGTGTTTGTTTCAGGTACCTCCCGTCGTTATCAATGATGGGTATGGGGCAAGTAGTAGCAATAAAGACGATTCGAAACCGCCATATTCTTATGCGCAGCTTATTGTTCAAGCGATAGCCAGCGCACCAGACAAACAGCTCACTTTATCTGGGATATATAGTTACATCACTAAGCATTACCCGTATTATAGGACGGCGGACAAGGGCTGGCAAAACTCAATCAGGCATAATCTCAGTCTGAATAGATATTTTATTAAGGTAATTTTACTTTGTAGAACTAAACTGGGCTACCAGTCACATTTCGTACTCTGTGGTACTTCTTCCTTTCATTGTGACGTATAGTACCTTGTTCTGGAAACACTACGTCACATTTTCAATTCTTAATTCAAATAATAATCACTTTCAAACACAAAATTTTAAAACTACGTAATTTTCATGTTTGCTCAAAAATGGTACCATCGCACAACACCCGGAAGAACGTAACCCAAGTTGCTTAATTCGTCTTGATGTTGGTACCTTTGAACAAAGAGAATTAAAAAATACAAAGAACTTGACGTACTTCAAGTATTTTCTTACCGGCTACTATGAGGTAGTACCTTCAGGCCACTTTGAACGTTTTAATTTGTATTTCTTTTTTAAATTGTGAATCAGATATAAGTCCTGTGATCAAAGGTACCAGAATTGTATTAATTCAAAAGTCAAACAAAGAAATTGAAATTTCGCGTTTTTGTGATCATGATACCTCAACAAAGATGTAATATATTTCTTTCGTTCTTTTTGCTTTTGATGCTAAGCCAATACTTGTGGTTTATGAATACGCCCATATTTTGTATTTTGACGTCCAAATTTGGATAAAACAAACTTGTAAAACCACAATACAAAGGTTCTGCAATCATGCAAACTTTAAGATTGTCATCGGCGATAAATATTTCGATCATTAATCAAAATTTATCTGATTATCTCCTCCAAAAAGTGATGTCATCTCAAAATTTTGCTGGATAAATCCTAACTAAAATGAGTCCACACTTATTTTTTATCAAGAAGTCATATTTTTAAACCTGCTTATTCACTTATGGTTTGTCAATTCGTAATGAAACGACTATTAGAAATTGAAAAAAAATTGGTGTTATCTTTATGACTGTAAAATCAAAAGCCTAATCTATGTACTCTATCTAGGATCTGTTTTTCTGTTATTATTATTATTTTAAAACAAATTTGAAATTTCAAAAGATTTTAAATACCGCATTTTTCTCTCTCAGTCATTATTCAACAATAGTACCTTAATTATAGTATTACCTAAACGGCCAGATATAGTACCTCTTTTCTGAAACAAACCACTTAGCTTGTTATGGTAAGTGATATTTTTATTATTAATGAAACCAATTGATTGTTTTCAACAAAGAATTTAATTATAATTCAGAAATGGTACTGCAATCACAGTACTTCCAAGAAGATTACCTATGTCTTGAATTCTTCTGAAATCTAGAATTTCATGACATAAGCAACCTTGAGGAGACAAAACTGTCTCTTTCTCTTAGTACCTCGAAAATCAAAACAGAAAATTTTGAAAAGCTTTACAATCGTGAACATTTTTATCATTTTAATAGCAGAAATTTTTCTTTTTTTAAAAACATGAAAATTTTTTAAATCTGGAAAAGTTGAGGGCAATGTCCAAGTGTCGAAAATTATTTTAAAGCGTTACAGTAAGTTTAAAGACAGAACTTTTAAAACTGTTGGAAATCAAAAATCCACGGTACTAAGACTTGAGAAGCCTTAAATTTTTAGCTTGTAATATTATTTAAATGTTAAATTCTTTGTATTTCTATACCTCAAACAATATATAAATAAATCAAATCCTAGAAATTTAAAAACACTGGCAGTAAATGTTACAATGCTAAAAGTGTTTGGGTACATTACAGTTAAAAAACTAAGACAATATTTTGAATGGTTTTTGACATATGAACATAGAATATAGTAGGCAACCTTAAGAACCTACTAACTACTTCCTCTCTTTGCAGGTCCCCCGCAGCCAAGAGGAGCCCGGCAAGGGCAGCTTCTGGCGCATCGACCCCCAGTCCGAGTCCAAGCTGATCGAGCAAGCGTTCCGTCGACGACGGCAGCGCGGCGTGCCATGTTTCCGGGCCCCCTTCGGCCTGAGTTCGCGAAGCGCCCCCGCCTCGCCGAGCCACATCAGCATGTCGGGACTGATGACTCCCGAGTGTCTGTCGCGGGAGGGCTCGCCCACCCCCGAGCACATGCTGGAAGTGAGCCAATCTGCCCCCGGCAGCCCCGGCAATCAGACGGTGGCGTACGCCGGCTCCGGCACCATGATCGGCCACCAGCAGATGACGGCGCTGGTGGGGGCCACGAAGGCGCGGTTGCTGCTGCCGCACAGGAACGACTTAGGGGACCAGGTGGCTAGTGCCAACGGGCAGGAGCATAGAGAAGGTAGTTACTTTTTTCTGATAGTTGAAATGTCAAGACCCACTTCACCGGGTCTTTAATCGTGTGTAAGTTGGTAATGGAAGGTTTTAAAGTAGTTTTGGTTTGGTTGTAGAAAAGTACCACATTATGGCATCTAATGTCGTGGAAGAACGGTCTCTGTCGCCTGCTACGTTTTCGCCGCAGCCTGTTATTGTTCAGACTGCTAATTATTCACCATACAGGTAAATATGGCGGAGGGGAGAAGTACATAGGCGGGGCTGAGATGAAAGGGAAGTTGTGTAGATAATTAGTCACGTGGTGTGTACTTTTCGGCTTTAGTTATGACGTATAATTTGACAGAAAGCTTGTAGTGGCATGTAATTTAACATTTTGAGTAGTAACCATTCGTTTGGTATTTTTTTGTTTCAAGTTTGTGTTTAATATGCGAATTAGGCATAGGAGAAGTTTCAAATTGTATTAGTTTGAAATATATTCTCACTTTTCGGGAAACTGTTGGATTTAAGTGCAATAATTTGGAATACTTTCTGTTTGTTCAAACATTAATACCAAATGTATAAACAAAATTTATTTCTTTTAAATGCTATTAAAATATATCCTTCTTGATAATCCCGCAGGTACCACACTATAATTAATCCTAAATTCCTTATCTCGACATTTCAAAACGTACACACAACAAAAAATATTTCTGTCGTAAATCTCATAAAAGATACAAATTACACAAATCATGAGCTTTATTCTATAGACAGAACGGTTCGTAAACACTATTTATAGGATTATCAAAATGTTGCAAACAATAAACAAAGTAAAACGTTGATAACAGTGTCATAATCTCACACGTAAAATTCACCATCAACAAAAGTCAACCTCTTAACACTCAAAACATATATATTGACGCCTAATCAAAGTATATCTATCTCAATTGGTATCTTTATTGTTATCTTGGCAGAAAACGAGTACCGAGTTGTCAATTAAGGTAATTGGCGCTGTTAAGTAGTTTTAGCGTTGCGCCATCTGTGGGCTAGTTTCGAAGCCGAGAGTAATTTGTCGTTCTTGCAGCGGTGGGAACAACTACGGCGCTGTAGGCTTAGATCTAAAGAGACACGTGGAAGAGCAGAGCATGGGGAGTCCATCGAGTCCCGGGGACAACCAAGACAGCCTGCAAGAACCGGAGGTGAAGAGATCACGCCACGAACAAGCGCAATACGACACAGAATAGAGCTAAATTAAGATAGGGTCAACCAATAATTTTTTTTATCAAGTCACATGGAAAATTGTTAATTGTTGTAAATAATAAGGACACGAAATTATTTCAGTATTTAAGGAAAAGTGAAGTAACGGTGACAAGTGACGTCGTTTGTGAATTTTTGCAAAGAAAGCAGTTGATATTTCTTGCTAGTTTGTACCGGTGATGAGTAAGCGCGACCACTTGTTATTGTTACAGTTGTTAAAAATCTGATCTTTTGTTGGTTATGAAATTGTTACGGTCCGAAAGACGATTCAGTTTGACGAGGGACTTAAAAAGGGAAAACGATGCTGCCGTATTTTCATTATTTTTTTTTTAAACGAACCAAGTGAAGAAGCTTATAGCATTTTTTTCGGTTTTATAAACAATTATGGCATAGCTGGTATATGTGGATAATTGTTTATAATTTTATATTTTGCGTATAAACAGTCTACATTTATTGTTAGTTCTACATGTATACAAAATTATATTAAGAATATTTAATAAAGTACTATTATTGCTGTGATGACTTTTTTATGCACTTGTAACAATATCCTTGCACAAACGACCGAGTTCCTATTTTTATTTTATCCTCTGAGAAAAAAATTCATCACAACAATTTTCACACTTGACGGCGTTTTCTGTAATTTTCCTACTTTGCAGGAATTTCGTTACGATTTATTTGGATAAATTGTAGCAAATTTTGTACAAACGAAGCAATGATACCAGTTTGTGTAATAATTATATTTTTAAACGAAAATCTAATCTTTTACACTAAATGTCTTCACGTTGTCTAGAGAAATTCTTTTCTCGAATTAATATTGTTGGTACAAAGTGTAGTTTCTTTCTAATTAAAGCAACATTCAAAGTGGTAGTTTTATTTATGCGCGAAATTTATTATTTACGATTATCATTAATTACTAATTGTTTGCCATCTTATTAATTCGCCCGTGTTATCGATTTGTTAGTTTTACAATTTCTTATGTATTTTTGTTTTCTAATTTTAATAAAAATTATTGTTTCCCTCGCAAGCCACATTTATTAAACACCCTAGAACTTTATTTGTAAGAAAAAGGAATGTATTTAATTCATGTAGTGTCCTACAGATGGCGCCGTAATAGATTCGTGTTTCTGGTTGGTGGTGCCACCTGGTAACCATCATCAGTTATCAGATCAACTACTTACCTTTTCTCTGAATTAGGGAAACCCAGAGAAGACGTTTTTGGCCACAATCCCGTTTGTCCCTGTAGTAAGAAAAGGTCTATAAAAAATTCAAAACACTTGGTATTAAAGCTGCTTATCTTTTTATAGGACAGTATTAATCAAAGGTAAAACATAAATAAAAATTGTAACAGATTATGTTATCATAAATAGCAGAATTGAATCATCTTAAATACAATAGCTTTTTAACTTGAATAACAAGCTTTATAACAATGTTAACGCAACAACAAATCACTAAAAAAAAGTAAACTTATGTTACTCTACATTGTCAAAATGACATATTTGTCACCAATAAAGAAAGCTGTTGTCATCTGAGTCATCAGTTAAATTTGTACTTTAACAATTAGCTTTCTAATAAAAAAAAGTTCATGATTCATAGAAATATTGAAAGTAGATTTTTAAACTCGGAAAAAAACAATGTTTTCAAAAATAAGTCCAATTTATTTTTTATGCGATCTACATTCTACATCATTTTAAATTTTTAAAAAGTTAACCGTACGAAATTTCAAATTTTGAGTCGAACAAGTTCTTAAAAATATAAAAACATACAAAAAAAAAAACAGTCCATAATATTTACATTCTATTACCACAAGTGTAAATGTTATACTCTGAAATTTATAAAAAAATAAATTTTTCCTTGATCCTAACTGCGGAGAAATCATTTCACAAAAAATATTGACATATTTTATCGCTTTCAGCAACCAACACACCTCACATTGTATCACTCTATCAATAAGTACACATGTACAAATTTCCAAAATAAGCACAAGAAGTGTTTCCAAACATTCCAATCAATCAGCCTTTGCCAAGAACTGATAGCGATTAGATCGTTAAGAAAATAAACCCAAGTATTGCAATTCTTGGAATTTTTTTGCTTACCTATCAGTATAATCAGTTTACTTAATTCTGAAGACCACTGATATATAAATACTGCTGTCACTGATCAACCAAACAGACACAAACCAGCAGTTATCAGTTACACACCCACCACGAAAATGCATCCCACAGGTAAGACCAGTTAACACTTTTTTTTTAAATTCATTTGACGATTTAATTGATCAATAGGACACCACCCTTGTGGATGTGGCCCTTGCCACGTACCGCATAAACCCCATTGCCCTCACCACAAACCACCACCACCACCCCCGCATCATGGAGGTCCCTGTGGCGGCCACTGTGGCGGCAACTGCGGCGGCCACTGTCAGCCGCCCCATCATGGAGGCCACCATGGCCCCCATCATGGAGGACACCATGGAGGACACCATGGACACTGTTGAAGGACATGGATGTTCAATATTAATTTTTGTATATTTTGCATATCGTTATTAAATAAATATACGAGTTTAACTAATACTATGTTTTTCGTTCACATTTGTAAGTCAAAATTGCGAAAAAAGTGTCGTCAACCCGATAACAGATAATTTAAATTTTTATGGGTACACTTTCGATATGCTTTTATTAGTCGCCACCTGCTATTGTATATTAAAACCGATAAAAAAAACTTTGGAAAATGTGCTCTATATATTACTGCATAAGAGCTCTTTGTTATCTGACAAATGGATTAACTTTACTTTAATAAATACCCATCACCTATTTCAACAGTCAGTTAGAAAATGAACCACCATCATCACTGTCCTCCGCCCCACCATGGGCATCACCCTCCCAGTAAGTCCATCTATTTCACATTTTCTTTGTTATAGCTTATCTAATTTGTCAGATTGTCACCCTTGTGGGTGTGGACCTTTACAGGTGCCACATTTACCACACTGCCACCATCATAGGCCACCACCGCCACCTCACCATGGGCATCACGGGCCTCATCCCGGCCACCACCACGGCGGTCATCACGGGCCCCACCACGGACCCCACCATGGACCCCACCATGGTGGACATCACGGAGGACATCATGGACATTGTTAAAATTTGTAATTTTAATTTATACCAACAACAAATGAAAATAAAAACTTTGTAAATCCAACATGAATACAATTAAATGCGCAAATTTGTATATGTGGACCAAAATAAATGTTTTTTTTTTATATAAGTTGTAAGTAGATTGCTTAGGGAAATGTACATTTATTAATTATTATTAACGAATTACTACAAGATCGACGATTCTCAGAACATCTAATTCACCGAAAATTTAAGCCGCTAAATTTTGTTTTAGAGTTCGTTCTAATCGCATAACCAGAACTGCCAATTCTTTACTTAGTGTTAAATAACTGATAACACTGATAAGCTGTCGCAAAACACTCTAGCTGTCAATCACCTTGACTCTCCTCAATACCCCACCCCCTCTGCCCCTTATATAAGCAAAATACATAATCTCTCTTCAATTTAGAAGTACCTATCTTGTCTGAGCATCATCATTCACAAAAATGAGTCATCATCACCATCACCATGATCATGGCCACCACCACCACCATGACCAGCACCACAACCAAAGCGTCATCGGTAACATCGTGGAACATGTAGTAGACGCGGTCACCCACCACCAACATTGTCCTCCTCCTGGTAAAATTAATTTTGATTTTTTGATCCATTTTATTAATTGTTTTTAAAGGCCATCACCCTTGTGGTTGTGGATTGTTGCATTTGCCACACTTAGCCCACTGCCAACATTACCGCCCCCCACCACCCCCACCATGCGGACCTCATCATGGTCATGGTCCCCCCCATGGACATCATCATGGAGGCCATCATGGACACCACGGACACTGTTAATTCCAGTGCAATATGTACGTCGGGAAATACAAGCCAAAGAATAGTTTTGAAATTGGTAGTTTTAATGTATATTTTTGTACTATGAAGTAAAAATACAAATTTTATAAATGAAAGATTTGTTTTATTGGTAGTTTTTGAATTGGGAAATGTTTAATTTATTGGTAGTTACTGCATCTGGTAAATCATAATATGAAGGATCAAATCGTTATCATATTGTCTACATTTAGATGAATTAGTTTATATAAATCGTTATAATATTTTACATAACCATATAGAACGATAGATAAATGAAAAATGACGCATTCCTAATTTAAAATATTGTAATTATTGTAGATCTGGCCCAAACATTCGAACTATTTTTGACATGATTCATAAGGTTCTATAAATCGAGATAGGACTTACGTTTGAAAAACATGTACGTCAAAACAATTCCTACCAGACGCAAGTACTTACTGACGTCTATCCACAAAATAGAAACTTGATATTTGAACCAAATGAAACACATAAACACAAAAAAATTACAAACATAAAAATAAAACCAAAAAATATAAAATATCTAGTCATAGTAGCAAACAAAAATTCCTTGTAAGTATGCGCAATTAGCCTTCCACGTAACCAAAAAAGATAGCTTATCTAAAAAACAAGCATCATCATATCGATCGTTGATGATTCATATCCTTTTGTATTTGATGTAACAAAAGCCCCTCCACTTTCACGTTTCAATATATAGGTACTGATGCGACATCATTGATTATTATTTCGTCGAAGGTCTTCTTCCTGAATAGAATAGAATAATAGCAATGGGTCACCGTCGTCACCACCACCACCACCATCATCACCCCCATCACCACCCCCATCATCACCACCATCATAGTCTTGTTGGTCATATTGTAGAGAGGGTTTTGCATCGAGACCATGAAAGTCACATGCACAGTCACTGCCCACCCAGTGCTCCCCCAATCGGTATGTTAAGAGAATAGAATCATCATTATTATTATTTATTTTTTATTTATTAATTTTTTTTATATAAAGGACTTGTCTACGCCAACGGAGTTCCACAACAAACTGTCGTCTACACAAATGGGCCTCCACCGGGTCCTCCACCCCCATATTACGGTCCGCCACCCCCATATTACGGTCCTGGAAGAGGGTACTGCAGCCGCCACCATGGATACCATTGTAATTGTTCCTGCTAATTAGGTTTTCTTAATTAAAAGGAACCACCAGATGTAGCTTTATTTTGTTTTGTGTACCTTATTTATTGTTTGTTGTTCCTGTTTTTACTAAATAGAAAAAATAAAATTCTTGTTGATAAATCAGGTGATCTTTTATAATATTCACCAGGATTTGACGTTTGACGTCTCCCCTATTGTGTTGCTTCTTGGGTTAAATAAAAATCACGCACTCTCACTTTATCTTATCTGTTGATTGGCCATATTTACGAGCACATCCATGTGTAGTTAATTTTATACTTTTTTCATAATTTAAAAAAAAAATCAAAATATTACACACATTTTTATTTTTATATGACATACGAAATTACACCCATTGCATAATTATATTATTAAACAATTACATGGGAGATAATTCATATTTAATAGCAACTTCTTCAGTTGTCAATGCATGCAGATGGGTTCTCCCCTTGGTGGCGACATTGGTGTCCACGGTGCCCATGGCGCCCATGTTCGAAGGACCCATGGTGTCCAAAATGATGGCGGTGCCCAAAATACTGATGCTGTGCGAACGGCCCGCAGTGACCGCGGTGGCCAAAACGCTCATGGTGCCAACCATGATCATCAAATCCATCAAACCTGCACGGTCCTTGGCGGCCATGGTTTGGTCCATGCTGACCTTGACGGTTACACATTGGTGGCGGATTGCCACTGGACGGACATTCATAACCTAATGTAAGCAATTAAAGCTAAATAAAAATTAGAAATAATGGAAAAATTTACCGGAACATGAAGGTTTGCAGTCGTCTTGGTCAGTGCAGCGTTCGCAGGACTTATTTCTCATCATCCGGAAAAATCTGGGGTGGTAGTGGTGGTCGCAATGGTCGTGATGATGGGTTTCTTCAGCCATTGTTGTTAGTTGTAGTGGTAGTTGTTACAAAGTGGCAACTTTTGATGCAGGGTAGTGCTATTGATTGGTTTATATAGAGATTTATTGGTTACCTAGTGGTGGGGGCGATGAGTCATTGCGATTAAGCTATTTTTGCTTAAATCTTTGGAAATAAGCTATCATGTTTGTTTTCGATTGGTGATTGCGATCACATGATGGTGGTGTGATTTTCATTGTTTCTTAGTATTGACGTCAATTATAGCTTATTTGTTGCTTTTTATCACAATGTGTTTGAAGTGGAATGAGTAACCTGAATTCCTGCTATGATTAAAAATACTAGGAACTTTCATCATATGTAGCAATCAAACTTTTGACAAAAAAGCTAAACAAGCTATAGAAATCCATTGACGTCAGTGCTAAAAAATAATAATCATAACACCTTCACGTGGTCGCAATCAAAAGCAACATAATAGCTTAATTCCAATGATTCAAGCAAAATAGCTTAATCACAATGATACGCAAAAAAATCAGCGACTCATCACGCGCTAATCCAATCTCACCGCTACGTACTTCCATGAATCCCCCACCACCAGGTGATCATTAAATCTCTATAAAAACAAACCGATAAAAACACATTGCATCAAAAGTGGGTGCTTTTGTACGAACTACCACTACAATCAAATCAAAATGGCAGAAGAAACCCACAACGACCACTGCGACCACCGCCACCGACACCACCAACCCCCCAGATTTTTCCAGATGATGATGAACAGGTCCCGTGAACGCTACACAGACCAAGACGATTGCAGACCATCATGTTTCGGTAAATTTTTCCCTCTTATTATCTATTCTTATTTTTATTTATTTCTGCTTGTTTTAATTAGGAGCTGAATGCCCATCCGGCGTCAATTTGCCACCAATTTTTAACCATCATGAAGGTCCGCACGGGCCACACCATAGGCGCCACGGACCGTGCAGGTTCAGTAGATTTGATGAACACCATGGTCACGGTTGGCACCACTGGCACCACGGACGTTTTGGCCACCACGACCATTCTGGCCCGTTTGAAAACCATCAGCACTTTGGCTTTGGACACCACCATCATTGGCACCATGGTCCATTTGAACATGGGCATGGGCGTCACGGGCACCAGTGTCGCCACCAAAGGGAGAACCCAACACCTTGTCATTGATACGTGATAACTGAAGAAGTTGTTTTATTAAATGAGAATTAATTAGCACGTAATATGTTTTCAGTTGTGTTAATATGGTGTAATTATTGTAATGGTGTAATTTTGTATGTTAAATAAAAATAGAATGTTTGCAATACGTAACGTTTTTTTTTTAATTATCTAATTTAAGTAGTACTAAATGGAAGGTGTTAAGTAAATAATTTTGCTGTAGATAACGTTGTGGATTTAAAATGTCAAACACAATACTGATTTCCTTTCTACTTTTTTATTACAACGATGAAGTAAAACGACAATATTTTGGTTAGAATGTTGAAAAAGTGTTTCGAACGATAAATATGTAGAGGAAAAACAAAGGGAGAACTCAGGTGTTTAAAAACAGCCATGTTAAAACAGTGACTTTTTATCGTGATAAACCATAGACGTACACACAACAGTAAAGGGGTGAATTTTTTTATTATTTAATTTTACATTAAAATCAAGGTGAAATCAACCTAGGATAATAACAATTCCTGGATTTTCAGTAATTCCCTGGTATCTGATTTTAATATCCCCCACAATTTACACAATAATATGAAATGTTGCAAGTGACAGTTTGAGACAACAATTTTGTGCATCAAAAAAAGCTTTCAAAAAAATATTGGGCGTTGTAATAAGGACTCATAAAACACAAAACAGAAGAAAAATGTAATAGAGAGACCCATTAGAACGGAAAGAATTCAATTAGGGATATAAAATCGGCGTCGGCTTGAAACATGCTTCCTTATGTAGAAATATTTCTGTGAATTTAAATAAGTATCCATTGTTAATGTATACAGTTGTGCAGACAGGGTTTGTATTCGCAGCGGCGTATTTTCTCCATGCAACAAATATTTAGTTAGATAAGAATGCTACCACAGCGTCATCGAAAGACTTTCCTGTTAAGAAAGTAACCAATAATAAGACACGATAATAAAAGACAGATATACAGGGTGTCTCAGAAATAAGTTCATTAACTTTGCCCAATAACGGAACTCGTGAAACGTAGAAAGTTCAGTTATTGAAACCAACAGCTTTAGTGAGTCGGTCACTAGAAAAATAATGGTATAATAACACTAGTTTACAAATTTAAACTTTTTTTCATATCCAAGAATAAAAAAAATATTTTCTACTTCTAAATTACTTACTGATAACAAATCCAAAAACGGATAATTCCTATCACGTCAGGTTTTTTCATAAATCCAAAATAATGAACTTTGCTTTTACCTTCACGTTAGTGTTAAACTGATTCATGTTAATCCACCATTGTCGCATAAAAAATGTCTTCGAGATCGTGCAAAGTAAGTGCAAATCAGTTTTGTTACGTTTGTGGTAAAATTATAGTACCTAAAGCGGGAAAACCTGTTCAAATATGCTTAAAAAGAAGGTATCAAGGTTTTTGGGACGAAAATGTGTTACTGTTGGTCTATTATAAGGGAAACTGATAGTACTGCCAATAGAAGAAATGCTAGTGTTAATCATTTTTAATTTTCAGTCATAATGTTTATAATATATACTAGGTGTTGCTTTTATTTGATACAACCCCTGTAACTTCCTTATTCTTAAAGATAAACCTGTATTTCTTTGAGCATATTAGTGTCATTTTAAAAGATCTTTGTGAGGCCAACCTCACATTTTTATTATCACTTCCCGTAGAAAAATCAAAAGCAACCAATTATTCTAAAATCAATACTTGAAAAATTTTAAATAAAACATTGATGACAATCTAGTAGCTTGAAAAATTGACTCATGTTATTTATTTGCGTAAATGATCTTTTAAAATGATACAAATTTGCTCAAAGAACTATATGTTCATATATATTTAAAAATAAAAAAATTACAAGAGTTGTATAAAAGAAAAGAAATACGGGGTATGTTTATACAAATATCTCAAAAACCTGACGTGATGGATTTTTTCTGCTTTCAGATTTGAATTTCCCGAACCCAAATCCTTTAGATTCAACTATTTTCGTCTTTGGATATAAAACCTTGTAAACTAGTGTAATTAGTATAACAATTATTAGTGTCCATGGGCGGGCAACCTTAACTGGGATAAAACTTTAACAATTTTTAACTTGATAATTAATAAGTTCCTGACAAAACCCTATTAAAAAAAGTTGTTGAATTTGATGAGCTCTATAACTGACTAAAATTAAAGCACTTATTTCTGGGGACATCCTGTATATCTACTTCAATTGATATCTCTCCCTGTGTGTCTATTGTTAGTATTGATATAATAAAGACGCCCCTATCCTCTCATCTTGTGTATATATACATTTTCCTGCACTTTTCATGCTTATTTCAACGAAGCTTCTCGTCCCATCTTAACACAAAAAAAACAAATATGGACAACTATCGTTCTACTGTTGCTAAACCCAACGGTAATACTACAAGTAACACGCGTCCTTCAGAGTTTCTCTTCTCTTCACCAGAATCTAAAACTATCGGTAAGTTACCAAAATACAATCACCATAATTATTATTTCCTTTTTTTTTAGTCTACGTGCAAAGAGCCAATATAAATATACATTTTCCTCCTAATAATGTTCCCAACGGTTCCAAACGGTCTTAAGTGCCGTAGTGGCCACCAATGTAGTTGTTATTAATAATAATTAATAATAAACAGAATCAACATGAATAGTATTATTTCATTTTAGTGTGCCTTGTTTATTTTTGCTTTCTTTCTCTAGTGCCCAAAATATTTCCTGTTTACACATGCTACTGAGTAACGTTGGAAGAATTTTCCTTTGAAAACTTATCTGTAAGAAGACACACATTTAACATCTACATCACCTGTATTATTTATAAGTCATCACGAGTGTATAAACATGTAAGTATTTTTTTTTATTTTGCTTTCAAAATAGGCTCACTGTGAAACCGAAAACAGTTTATTTTGTCTTAATGTTGGTTCCATGTCAGCCATGAACACACTTTCCTCATTTGGAACTACTTTTAGACTCTTAAAAGACTGAAAATTTCCTATTCTTAAATGCTCTAACAAATTCTAAAGAAACAATTTTATATGTTATACCGGTGTCTGGAAAATGGCGGATTAACTCTCCGCTACGCTCTTAACAATCAACTGGTGAGTCTGGGAAAAATAGTAAAAAAAATCCTTCTCACATTTTGGTGGAGTTATAATGATTTTAAAATTGGTTCTTTTGTTACATTTAACAACTAAACAACTCATTCATTATCATAATAACTAGTAATAAAACTTTTAGTTAATATTTTTCTCCCCCATGACTATGTTTAATTACCATTTCAGGTAGAATACACAAAGATATGGCTGTGTTGTTTTTGTAATAATTTGGTAAAATTCCATTTGACAACAATGTTTGCCTGATATAAAGCGAAGGTGGATTTAAGTCACCATCGTTACTAAGAACCAGAAAGTAAGCCGGAGGTATTGACGCATTAGGTGTGTGCTGTGTTGCCAATTTTACGTTTATAAAATTACGTTTTATTCGCAATCTACATCATAACGAATTTTTTCAGTATTTTTTGGGACTCCCGAAACTCCCGTATATAACGTATTGAAGAGTTAAACCGCCATTTTCCAGACAGGCGGTATATAAGAAAAAAAATGTCAAAAATAAATTAGTCACCCGAAATGATAAAATTATAAAATTACACAACAGAAACAAGCTACACGATGAGATTCATGTGGTCTGTTAGGACGATGTGGCCCATGATGACCATGAGGTCCATGACCACCATGTGGACCATGTGGTGGCGGTCCATGAGGCTTATGTTCCAAATTGTGTGCATCAAATTCGGAAGCCCTCAACTAAACAAACAACAAAAAATAATACAGATTAAGAGCAACAAATATTTAATTAGATAACAATGTTATCACAGCGTCATCAAAAAACTTTTCCTGTTAAGAAAGTAGCCAATAACGGAACTCATGAAACGGAACAACTTTTTTATATAATAATTTTTTCGAAAACTCAAGTATACCCAGAGAACAACTGTACTCCTTTCACTACCAGAAAGTTCAGTTAACACGTAGGCAAAGCTTTAGTGACTGGGTCAATAGAAAAATAAACGAACAAACAAATTTTGTATCTCTTATACCCCAACGGATGAAGCCGGATTCACGAGGGAAGGTAAAATCCGTCCGCCTTTAGGGAGCAACACTACTTGCAATTTCTCTCTAAATTTTTGTTATGTTAACATGATAAGAAACATACGTATCCTAGTAACTGTTTTTGACCATAAATTATTAATTATAATAATTATTAGTGTCCATGGGGAACTGAGGATTCATGGCCGGGTAACCTTAACTGGGATAAAACTTTAACAATTTTTACCTTGATAATTAAAAATTTCCTGACAAAACCTTATTAAAAAAAGTTGTTGAATTTGATGAGCTCTATAACTGATTAAAATTGTAGCACTTATTTCTAGGACAGCCTGGATATCTACTTCATTTGATATCTCTCTCTGTATTTATTGTTAGTCTTGATATAACAAAGACCCCTCTCTCATCTCACCTTGTGTATATATATTGCCCTGCATTTTTCATGCTTATTTCAACGAAGCTCCTCATCCTATCTTCACAAAAAAAAAAAAACAAATATGGACAACTATCCTTTTGCCGTTGCTAAACCCAACAGTAATTCCACAACTATCTATCCTTTAGAACATCTACTGCCTTCAGGTTCTAATACAACTACCGGACCACAATATAACTGTAAGTTACCTAAATAGAATCACCATAATTATTATTTCCTTTTTTTCAGTCTACGTGCAAAGGCTTATTGTAAATACAACAATAAGAGATGTACATATTTCTCCTTATAATGTTCCCAACGGTTACAACCAGTCTTACAAGCCGCATTGGGCATCAATGTAGTTGTTATTATTAATAATAATTAATAATAAACAAAATCAACATGTACAGTATTATTTCATTTTGGTGTGCCTTCTTTATTTTTTGTTTCTTTCTCCAGTGGCCAAAATAAGTATTTCCTAATTATTAGCTACGTGCTACTGAGTAAGGTTAAAAGAATTTTGCTTTGTAAACTTATCTGTAAAAAGACACACATTTAACACCTACATCACCTGTATTATTTATAAGTCATCACGAGTGCATACACAGTGTGCATCGACTTTGCTTTTAAAATAGCCTCGCTGTGAAACCGAAAACAGTTTATTTTGTCCAAATGTTGGTTCCATGTCAGCCATAAACACACTTTCCTCATTTGGAACTACTTTTAGACTCTTTAAAAGACTCAAAATTTCCTATTCTAAAATGCTCTACCAAATTTTAAATAATTTTCGTCGGTTCAATGGTAATTTTCAAAATATCCACCGAATTCTTGAACAGAAACTTTATTTTTTTGCAAATGTTTATCAAACCGTTATTGAAAAGATTATTATTATCTACAGGAAAGTTGATGAAAGGGTCCTTCCTTCATAGCATTGAAAATCCGCATGTTAAATTGATTTTTTTTATACTAATATTTGGCACTTGAAAATGTTCTTTAACGATTTGTTGTTGTTTATTCGTAACTTTATTTATCTGCGACACAGCAAAATTGATTTTTTAAAACAGGTGCCTGCCAAGTTCACGCTTTACGATAATTGTAACTAGTAAATCGTACTTCAGATTAACGTGACTTCCCGTTAATAACTAACATGCAGTTTAATGTGTTGCTGGTTAAAATTATTCATTAACAGAACAACAAATTAAAATTATATAGATAAATTAGGTCACGAAACTTCCACCTACATGAAACAATATTACGCAATATTTCACAAGAAAAAAAAACAAAAATACCGACAATTTTTCGTGCATCAGGTTACCGACTTCACTCTCCCATTATAATCTCATCAAATCGTCACACAAATTAAACACAATTTGCCATTTTTAGTCAAAATAAATAATCGCACCAACCAGAAACTGCCGAATCATTCCATGAATCATCCTCCCACCATGTAATGACGTCAGCAACCTTCAAGTACACTCCGCGCTATTTACATCCAAATATAAACGTACAGCAAATATCTGCACACACACAACTGACTAACCAGACTGTACAAACCCCCCACCACTCATAAACAGTCCCCGCCGTCCCTCGCCGCCTCCTATTTAACCCGCGATTGTGCAATCAGGTCACTTTTGTTGTGCTTTTACGTCTACAAGTTTTGTTTCTTTCGTGATCCAAAATGAGGGTGAGACACCACTGCTGCTGCCAGCGACCATCCCCTTGTTGTCAGCGTCAACAAGATACTCCTCCACCTCGACAAGAATCTCCACAACAACCGGCACAACAACCGGAAACGCCTCCTTCCGGTAAATTTATTTAGAATAATTTTTCTACTCTTTATTAATAGTTGCGTTTTTGCTAGCTGTCTGCAGAGCAGGAGATGCTGCTGCCCCTTCTGGAACTGCGAATACAACCCCAGAAGCTCCTCCAGCACCCCGAGAACTGCCCCCCGTGCCTCCGCATCACGGTTGCCATTGTCAGAAGCAAGGTAAGGATAGGCACCATGGTATGAAGAAACATTGGGGTAAACGCAGCCACCACCATGGGCATATGGGTGGTCATGGATGTAAGGGGCATGGAGGACACAAACGTGGCCACAAGGGGCATGGTGGTTGTGGAAGGCGCGAGGAATATGGGCACGGATGTCATGGATATGGGCATGGATGTGGACGTGAACATGGACATGGACATGGACATGGACAATATGGGTGGCGCTTTCCATGCTATTGAATTGTAAATCCTATGGGTTTTTTTTATTATTGGGTACCTTAGATTGTTAATAAGGTGAAATGGGGGACAAGGGTTCGTGATTAGGTATATTAGGTATATTCGTATAAAATAAGATAACACACATTTATATTACATAGTATACTATATCTATAATAAATATTTTTTATATGTCTCATGTGTAGTTTTAATTTAAATGTCATGATCTGTTTCAATAAATTTGAAAAAAAAATCCTGGGTGAAGTTAATTTATTTACTCCAATTTACCATAAGCTCAAAACCAAGGCTGTCGCTGTCACTTAATCTACGCCACTGTGCATAATTCAGGGTCACGCCTATCTAATCAAGAAATTGTACACCGCTGTCACATTACAATATAAATAAAACAACGTTCCTCATTATTTCGCAAATGACGTCAACAATGTCCAGGTACAGTCCGCGACTTTTCGATAGCTGTAAACGTACAGTAAATGTCCGGTAGTGAACACATAACTACCGCAGACTGTACACAACTCCCACCACCTACAAATCCCCTTGCCCCTCGCCGGCGCCTATTAATACCGATTGTGCAATCGCAATCAGTTTTGTTGAGCTGTCAATGAGATACGTTTTTCAATTCTCTTTTCTTAGTAATAAAAAATTGACAATTAAAAAAATGAAAGTGAGACACCACTGTTGCTGCCAGGATCCGTGCCGTTTCTGCCCCCGTCGAGCAGAAGTCACTACTGTGGAAGGCGCCCCACATGAGTCCGGACCGCCCCCTTGCAGTAGGAGTATTTAGAATATTTTTTCTAATATTTTAATTGTCTTTTAATAGCTCTTTGTAGAGACGGAGACGCGGGTCCCTCTTCTGGAGACCTGAGTGCTCCCCCACCAGGCCCTCCAGGTCGCCGAGCTGCTTCCCCTGCTTCTTCAACTACTTCCTCTTCATCGTCTTCGTCATCGTCTTCATCTTCTTCGTCGTCTTCGTCTTCTTCGGGCTCTTCACACCACAAACGCTATCGTAAGAAGAAGCATGGTAAAGATAAGCACCATAAGGTGAAGAAGCACTGGGGTAAACGATGCGACCATCGTAGGCCCATGAGCGAATGTGGGTTCAAACATAAGGGACACAAACGTGGACACAAGCACCATGGTAAACATGGTAAAAAAAATAAACACTGAAAGCACAACTGTGACAATGTTTTAAATTAAAAATCCTGCATTGGGTTTGGGGTTTTTGTTTATTATGCATATTTTGTACATCTATGACATGTAATATTATAGAGTGTTTTAATACAATGGTGAAAACATGCTTTTTATTATTTATAAATCCCGCCAAAATATAAACCTGGGTACTACGCATGCGCCACATCATTGAGACACGCAGCCATTTTCTCACTAAACCACAATCACACTGAGAAAATTTAAATTTGGGAAATATTAAAGTCGTATTAATGTTCAACCAAAGTAAGACATATACGTTTTATAAATATTTTTCTAAGCCTAGATAAGTATATTAGACATACTTACAGTAAGAACTATTGACTTATCTCTTACTCATTGTTTTTTTGTTTATACTACGAAAAGATAAGACGTCTGGAAAACACTAATTGTTATACACAAGAAAAAAATGTCAAAAATAAATTAGTGACCCAAATTGATAAAATTATAAAATTACACAACAGAAACAAGCTACACCATGAGATTCATGTGGTCTGTGAGGACGATGTGGCCCATGATGACCATGAGGTCCATGACCACCATGTGGACCATGTGGTGGCGGTCCATGAGGCTTATGTTCCAAATTGTGTGCACCAGATTCGGAAGCCCTCATACTAAACAAACAAAAAAAAATAATACAGATTAATAATCTATAAATTAAATACTTACTTAAAATTGCAGTTTCGTGTGTTCGTCAACAAGGTTGTGTACTACACGTTTGCCAATTTTATTGCTTCCATTGGTGGATTCTTATCTTATCGTACAAGAGTACCTTAATTCATTCCACAAACAGGTAGATAAAACTATTAATAAAAAAATAAACGGACGAAAAATAAAATATAAATAGATCAGGACACTAGTGATTTTCCATTGACTCAATTAGCAAATTGGTGACAAATAATCGACCTTGAACAGCTACTAACTGTTGAAACACAATCTACACTAAATAAAAAAAACTATAAACCAATAAAACGTTTATTAACATAAATATAAAATTAAAAAACCCACACAATACAAAAAATATCACAGTATGGTACATGCACAGTACTTGGCTTCTTCCCATTTCCTCTCATCCTCGTCGTGGTACATCCCCACGTCATTCGGCGGCACGTAATGCCCCTCGTAGTGGTGGTCCAAATCGAATCTGGAGCCGTAGACGCTCCCATCGTCCACCTTCACGTCCCGGGAAGAACCCACACTGAACTGTGACCCAAAATGGCTGTCACTACTGTGATGGAACTCGTTGTGGTACCTGTTGCTCATTTTGACTTTCTCCAAACAAATAACAAGACGAAATGTGCGAAAAACCTTATCGTTCCTTATCGATACACACCACAAAAATACTAAACAATCACACAACAACAACTTTTGTCACGTGGTTTAGGCGGGGGCGGCGGACGCAAAGGGGGATTGGGGCGCACGTGGCGCGGGGGGCGGTAAGGAGCGTGCAGGGACAGGGGGTCATTAGAGGTGCACATTACGGAGAGACGGACAAGAGGTTGATGTTACATAATGAATATTTACGAGATTTTGTGAGATTTTATTGACGAGATGTTATCTTATCGGGGGGATTAAATGCGATAATTGATTCTAATAAGCACCTGTTGTTTAAACACATGTTATGGGTGTTGGAGTAATTAGTAGCGAGGAAGATGGTGATTGGTGGTGGGCGGTGACGTAAGGAGGCGCGAGGTTCAAATGATTGGTTGGGTAAAAGGAGAGTGATGACGTCACTGCTGCAAGTCTTCTACTGAGAGAAAAATGCATCGTTTGTGCAAATGAATCAAGTGTGCACCTTACAGTTGATAGAATTGAATAACAACAATTATATCAAAACTGTCAACTAAAATGATAATTTCAAAGTCAACCTTTTTCACACAGAATGTTTCAACATTTGGTGATTTGTCAACAAAACTTCTATTTTCAGAAGTCGATTCTGACAGATGTGGAAGACCTAAATTTTGTGTTAGTAGATAGAAACAAAATTCTATCAGAGAAAAAAAATCAAACAAACAATTAACCAAAAATTGCACGCATTGTTTTCCTGTAGCGTTGTGGAAATTTCCTCAAGTGTTGCTCAAACTATCTCTTATCATATAAATTATCGTCCTATTTTTCACTAAGATTAGATAAAAGAAAACAACACCTTTGTATAGTCAACAAAATGAGCAACAGAAAGAAGCAATTTGACAATACTCTCTTAGCTGTAGGAATTGGGACCCTCCTCACAGGGGCAACTTATGGTTTGTACAGTTACTTGAGGTCAAAATGTCAAGAAAAAGCATACCCATCAACATTCCCAAGGTGAGTACAAAATCCATCAATATCGTGATACTTATCGTGAAAAAATGCAGCCATGAGAGGAAAGAAAACATTCTTGAAGTAGACATTTGTCCCATTTGTTTGGAACAAATGACCTCCAACGGCACCACTTTTTCCTGTCAACACACTTTCCACAAGAAGTGTATCTCCCAATGGACCGAAGTCAGTAAAACTTGTCCAGTGTGTCGCATGCTGTTAAAACAAATGTGAAACTTACTTTACCCAAACCATGAAGGCTGTGGATTGCAAAAACAAGAATCTGGATGGCCGTGATTCCAAGAAAACTACTTATCTCTACTCACATTTATTTAATTTATCTTTATACTTGTACTAAATACACGTAATCTCGACAAATCTTCTTGTATTCAGTTCCCAACTCCCCCACCATGGCCCCGTCCACCTCATCCAAAGCTTTTCATTTCTCGCCCTTTGAAAAACTCCAACACGCCGCTGGACGCCGCCATAGCAACGAATCAACATTTCCTCTTGTCACCGTTGGATCAATATTTAAAATTTCGGGAAAATGTTTGAGGAATTCGAAGAGTTGCCGGAACTTCCTCCCCTGCCGGAAATCGGATCCGACGATGAAGAAAATCCGAGTCACTTCATCCGCCGGATCAAAGAGGATTTTTTGTATCCTCCACTCATCGCACCGCAGTCGTGGACCAAAACCGTCCCGGAGAAATTCTCACAACAGTACTACAAACCTAGTGAGACGATCGGTGAGTAGCAACTTTCCAAAAACAAAGTTACTAAGAAGGGAGTAGGGGCGGCGTTCACACCGTCGGCGCAGAAGTTGAGGATTCAAGCCTTGAGGGTGAAGCCGAAGAACAAGAGAGATCCAGAGAGGAATCCAATCGGGGAAGATGGAAAGTTGTGTTATCCTCCGACAAAGTACAGGTACATGCAAGAAGAGGAAGACAGGATTAGGGAAATGGAGGAAGAAAGGAATAGGGAGAGGCACGTGGTCCCGGGAATAGTGAATCTGGAGGACTTGCTAACGGGTGAGTATATGAGAAAGAAAAGGAGACAGATGGACATCAAGAAGAAGGAGAAGAATATGAAGAGGAAATTGTCGCGGGAGGAAATCGATTACATACCGGACGACACCAAGTGAGTACCTTTGTTAACAAACAGTATACTAACCCACCGATTGAAGAAAATTGAAGAGACTGCAAGCGGTTCTTCCTAAAGACCCCGACAAACAAAAACGCATCCTCTTCGAACAAACTGAGAGATACATGAAGATATTAATCTCCGAAGAAGACGAAACACGCTACAACTACTACTTCAACGAAGGTATCCAAGAATCAGACTTGTCTCCTTACGACAGAACCTACATAGTCAAAGCCATCACGAAAATACCAGCAAGATACAAACTCTTGAAAGACTACAAACCCATGATCACCACCCACGAGAACGAAATCATGGAATTTTATAGTTACCACACCCGAAAAAACCTTCTCCACTACATCCTCAAAGACCCAAAAGAATTGAAACGGTTACGCATCCAACAAATCCCTTGTGATTACCCTGTTTTGGTGGTACGAGCACCAGTACCATGGCACAATACTTTCTGTGTATCGCAACAACTAATGGAGAAGCACTTTTACAACGGGAACATAGTTGTTCTTCAAATAAGAGACCTGTGGGAGAACAAATACGTGGACATGATGATCATACCAGACAACCGTTTGGAAGATACAGGAAAATTCCCCTTAGAAATGGAAGATCTGGAAAGACAGATCGACGCGATTTGTGACGAATCGAGACGCATCCTCGTCAAGGAATGGTTACCGTCGTGCGCAGACGTCTTCCTCAAAAACAAATCAGCGTGGAAGAAGTACATCCCGATGAGACCATCGGATTCCCCGGTTTTGGTGGAACGGTTCTTTGATTGTGTGAACGGGTTGCTTTCCATGCAACTCAGAAGTCTTGTGATGAGGTCTTTGGAACATTTTCTGCGCTTCTTGGTCAAATTCAAGGTAACTACGAGTACTTTGTTGTTGCGATTTTTGTTAATTTTCTTCCAGGACGGTAACGATTTCGGAAGCGAGTACCAAGACATGGCTCTGATCAACTTGCCAGTGATCAAAGTTACTCCCAGAGTGGACAAAGAGACCCAAAAAATTGTCCTCCACCCTCCTCTGACCGACATCAGCGAGTTCATTAATCGCTGCTTCAACAAAATTCTAGAAGTCAATAGGAAAATTCCGAAGATCGAGAACATCATGTTTCCAGGTTTGTGTTGCTGTTGCGTCGACTTTGTTGACGTTTTCGTTGCAGAATTTGCATCAAAGGAAACTTTCTTGTTCCCTGTATTGCGTGAGGAGTTGCCTGTCGAAGACATCTTCCAGGAAGGTTTGAAATATTTCGACACTAATTTGATCGGTCCTTTGAATTATTTGAAGATGTATGATAAGTACCTCTACATTCTCGAGGGAGAAGCCGAGAACGAGATGTTGAAGTTCTTTGAAGTTGTTCCATTCCCGTTTTTGAAAGATTTTGCCAAAAAGATCTACTACTATGCAGACTTAAGAGACGAGATGATCTTCCTGAGACGCTCTATTCCACTTAACTTTATCAGTTTGGAGTGTGGGGAGCTCAACGACACTTTATACAACATCGTAGATAATATTCGAAGCCACATCGTCAACTACTTCATAACCGAGAATCATGACCACAACCGAAAGTAAGTGTCTTTTTTAGCTTCACCCGGTGACTTTCTCCTTCTAGAATTTGCGACGTCTTCGACGAAATGTCGCAGAAGGTGAGCGTTGGTACCGACACTGTCGCAGAACTCGTCGCCCTCTTTAATTACGTGATGGAGTGCAGAGACGTCACCATGTACAACTTACGAGAACAGATTAGGAAGACTGCCGAAAACGTGAGTTTCCTGATGGACCATGCCCACTTGTCTCGTAAGTACCTCAACATTCTTTTCCCCTTTAACAAGCCCGTGTTTAGCCGAAGACATCACTCTAAATTCTCGAGTGTTCCTCTGGCCCAAAGAAATGGAAAACATCATCGAACTAGCCATACAAAGACTCAACATGAAAAGGGAACAAGCGGAAGTCAACCTGAAAAGCAAACGAACTATTTTCGAAGCCAAACTCAAACGTCACGAGAAACTGTTGGTCGCTTTCAAAAAAAGAGATCCACCTTTGTTGACTATGGAAGAAATGGAGGACTGCGTGACCGCAGTTGAGGATCTCGTCCAAAAACTCAACGAAGACAAACAAGAAGCCGATATAATCAACGAAGAAGAACAATTACTAGATTTTGATCCTTCTTCTTTCCTTAATTTACAAAAAATGCTCACTGTTGTCGATCCGTACGACAAACTGTGGCACACGGTACTCAATTTCCACGTTCAGTACGACTTGTGGTACTACGGGCCGTTCGCCGATTTAGATGCTGAAGAAATCTCCGAGTCCGTTGAAAACACATGGAAAATCCTCTACAAACTTGCTAAAACTCTTCACGATAATCCAGCAGCGAGAAGAATCGCGGAAATGGTCAGAGCTAAAGTTGAGAAGTTCAGACAGTTCTTGCCGGTTTTGCAAACTGTGTGTAACAAAGGGCTGCAGAAGCGACATTGGGATGGCATTGGTGAACTGATCGGTCAAGAGATCGTGGTCACACCCGAGCTGACTCTAAACGACATGATCGAACTGGGATTGCCTAAATTTACGACACAGCTGGAAGAAATCAGTGTATCTGCATCGAAAGAGTACGAACTGGAGAAGAACTTGATGAAGATGAAAGAGGAATGGGCTGACATTGCCTTCGACTTGGTACCGTACAGAGAGACCGGTGTTCACATTTTGACGTCTGTGGACGACATCCAGCTGTTGATGGACGACCATTTGTTGAAAGCACAGACCATGAGGGGTTCCCCGTACGTGAAACCCTTCGAAGAGGAAATGCAAGCTTGGGAGCACAAGTTGATTTCGATGCAAGATATTCTAGAAGCTTGGTTAACTGTAAGTACCCGATGTTTGACAAGACTGGTTCAATTTTTTCTTTAGTGCCAGGTTACATGGATGTACCTGGAACCGATCTTCAGCTCCGAAGACATAATGAGACAAATGCCGGCGGAAGCTCGCAATTTCAAACAAGTGGATAAAATCTGGAGAGCCATTCAATCACACACCGTCAAACATCCGAAGGTCTTGGTGGCAACCGATTTTAAGAGCATGCTTAATTCTTTGCGGGAGTGTAATCGTCTGTTGGACGACATCCAGAAAGGACTGAACGACTATCTAGAGAAGAAGCGATTATTCTTCCCACGGTTAGTACGGCCGTTCGAGTACCACCCATCCAACTCAAACATTCCAGGTTCTTCTTCTTATCCAACGACGAGCTTCTGGAAATCTTGTCAGAAACTAAGGACCCGTACAGGGTGCAACCTCATCTCAAGAAATGCTTCGAAGGCATCAACTTGTTGGACTTCAACGAAGAGGAAGAAATCATGGGAATGATGAGCGTCGAAAGAGAATTAGTACCGTTCAGTGGGAAAATCGTCCCGGCTGAAGCTAAAGTACGACCACCACTTGCAAAACTCTGTCTCATTATTGTCTTTGCAGGGAATGGTGGAGAAGTGGTTGGTCCAAGTCGAAAGCATGATGTTGCAATCACTCAAAGACATCACAGCGGAGTCGCTCAAAGCCGCTGCCACCGCTAAACGGATCGACTGGATTCACGAATGGCCTGGACAGATCGTCCAGTGTTGCAACTGCATTCAATGGACGAACGACGTGACTCAAGCCATTCTTGAAGGAACGCTGAAACAGCAAACCGAACTGTGTACCAAACAGATAGAAACCAGCGTCAAAATGATCCAAGGTCGACTGTCTATAGGTACTCAAATCACAGTCGAAGCTCTTATAGTAATAGACGTCCATGGACGGGACATCGTCAAGAAACTCCACGAGCTAAAGGTAAAAGGGATCAGTGACTTCAACTGGATTTCACAATTAAGGTACTACTGGGCGGAGAACCTTGTCCGAGTGTGCATGATCACGACGGAAGTTATGTACGGTTTCGAGTACCTAGGTAACACTGGGAGGTTAGTAGCGACGCCGTTAACCGATCGCTGCTACCGCACACTCATGGGGGCTCTGAAACTCCATCTAGGAGGAGCTCCCGAAGGACCCGCCGGTACCGGAAAAACCGAAACTTGCAAAGATTTAGCAAAGGCGGTCGCGAAGAAGTGCGTGGTGTTTAACTGTTCCGACGGATTAGATTACAAAGCTTTAGGGAAGTTCTTCAAAGGGTTGGCACAATCAGGAGCTTGGTCGTGCTTCGACGAGTTCAACAGAATCGAACTCGAAGTGCTTTCGGTTGTAGCGCAACAAATTCTAAGCATACAGATGGCCGTTGCAGCAAACCTAAAAAAGTTTGTTTTCGAAGGTACGGAAATCACTCTAGATCCGACCTGTATGGTTTTCATTACCATGAATCCTGGATATGCCGGTCGCCAGGAGTTACCCGATAACTTGAAAGTGCTTTTCCGGACGGTGGCCATGATGGTACCGGACTACGCCATGATCGGCGAAATCTCGCTGTATTCGTACGGTTTCGTCGAAGCGGGACCGTTATCACAGAAGATCGTCCACACGTATAAACTCTGCTCGGAGCAACTGTCGTCCCAAAATCACTACGACTACGGGATGAGAGCCGTCAAGTCCGTTCTACTGGCTGCTGGGGCTCTCAAAAGACAATACCCGAGGACTTCGGAGGCCCAACTCGTCCTGAGGGCCATCATCGATGTGAATCTACCCAAATTCTTAGCTCAAGACGTTCCTCTATTCGAAGGTATCTTCTCCGACTTGTTCCCCGGCGTCGAAATCCCCAAGTTCGAAAGAGACGAGCTCATCCAATACCTCATCCAAGAAATTAAGAAGAAAAACTTACAACCCACGGAATGGTTCGTCGGGAAGTGTATGCAAATCTACGAGATGATCCTCGTCCGACACGGGCTGATGATCGTCGGACGTCCGATGGGTGGTAAAACTTGTGCTTACCAGGTAACAACGTCTTTCGGTCAATTCAATCCCCACAAAGTTTCTTTCAGTCGCTAGCTGAAGGTCTTGGAACTTTATCCAAAGACCCCAAAGCTAATCTTCGCGAAAACCGAGTGGTTTACCGGATCATCAACCCTAAAGCCATCACCATGGGACAATTGTACGGCCAGTTCGACCCGGCGTCCCACGAATGGTCTGACGGTGTTTTAGCCAACACGTTCCGCGAATTTGCAGTCAGTCCCACCAAAGACCGGAAGTGGATTCTGTTCGACGGTCCAGTGGACGCTGTTTGGATCGAAAATATGAACACGGTGTTGGACGACAACAAGAAACTGTGTCTGATGTCCGGAGAAATCATCCAAATGTCGCCTCAGATGAACCTGATTTTTGAACCGGCGGATTTAGAGCAGGCCTCTCCGGCTACCGTCTCCCGTTGCGGGATGATCTACATGGAACCGAACCTACTGGGTTGGAGGCCTCTCTTGAACTCGTATCTAACAACCTTGTCGAAGTCTTTGATCCCGGAACAGATGGAAGTGTTTTGCGACGTCATCGACTGGTTGGTGCCGGCTTGTTTCAAACAAATTAAAAAATTGAAAGTGTTTGTGGAGAGTTCCGAAACCCATTTGTTCCATGTAAGAAAAAAAAAACGGACAATGTTGAGTTTCTGACTTTTTTTTCAGACTTTCACCAGACTCTTCACGTGCATGTTGGCCAACGAACAACAAGTCAGCACACTGTGGTTACAATGCACCTTGATCTTCTGTCTGGCGTGGGGTTTGGCCTCGATTTTAACCCTCGAAGGCCAACAAAGCTTCGACGTGTTCTACCGTAAAGTTCTGAACGGAGAGTCCAAAAAGTACCCCAAACCGAAATCGTACAAACTCAGCAAAGCGCAAATCTTTCCAGAACGGGCTTCCATTTTTGATTGGATCTTCGACAAACGCAACAACGGAAGCTGGATTAATTGGTTGGACACGGCGGATAAAGTTCAACAGATACCTTTCAACGCGAAACCCAGCGAACTCATCATCCAGACGAACCAGTCGTGCTGCCAAAGGTTCTTCTTGAAGCTGTACCAAGACAACAAGCTACCTTTGTTGTTTGTGGGACCTACGGGAACCGGGAAGACTGCAGTGGTTTTGGACCACTTGATGAATCTACCGAAGGAGAAGTTCTTGCCTAACGTGGTTAACTTCAGTGCGAGGACCACCTCCGTGATGGTAAGTACGAAGAAAGGGAGTTGTTGGTGATGATGTTTCGTCAGACCCAGGAAATGGTCATGTCGAAGTTGGACAAGCGACGACGGGGGGTGTATGGACCTTCCATGGGCAAGACTTGCGTTCTTTTCGTGGATGATTTGGGTATACCGCAGAAGGAGACGTGGGGGGCTCAACCACCAGTGGAGCTGCTGAGGCAATGGATAGACCATGGTCATTGGTTTGATAAAGACACGACGGTGCTCCAGTTGGTGGATGTGGTAAGTATTGTGATATCACGGTGTGTTTTAACGAAACGAAGAATTTTATCGGTGCGATGGGCCCACCCGGTGGGGGTCGCAACGAAGTCACCGACCGCTTCCTCCGCCACATGCAAATCGTCGGAATCGACTCCTTCGACGACAACACCCTCACTAAAATCTTTTGTACGATTTTGGACTGGCACTTCTCCAGAGGGTACGACGAACCAGTGGCACGTCTCTACAAATGGTGCGTTGGGGCAACCATGGATGTGTACAAGCAAGCGATCCTCCAGTTCCTGCCAACCCCCGCGAAGTCGCACTACACTTTCTCTTTGCGCGACTTCTCCAGAGTGATCAACGGGGTCATGCTAACCCCACCGGCCCGCATGACCGACCCAGACAAATTCATCCGTTTGTGGATCCACGAAAGTTATCGAGTCTTCCACGACCGACTCATCGACGACGAGGACCGCAAACTCCTCTTTAACATCGTTCGGGAATCCACCTACCAGAACTACCGCCAACCCATGGACAAAGTCTGTGCGATTTTAGTCCCTGATGGAGAGACCCTCGGTCCCACTCACATCCGGAACTTATTCTACGGAAACTACATCGAGCCCGACGCCGAACCCAAAATCTACGACGAGATCACCGACCTAGACTTACTGACCGAAAAAATGAACTACTACCTAGGGGAGTACAACTTGATATCGAAGTCACCGATGAACCTAGTTATGTTCAAGTTCGCAATCGAGCACGTGTCCCGGGTGTCACGGGTCCTGATGCAACCCAACGGAAACGTACTCCTGGTGGGGATGGGTGGACTGGGGCGGCACAGTGCCGCCCGTCTCGCCGCCTCCATCGCCGAACAGAACACGTACGAAATCGAGATCACCAGAACGTACGGGATTTATGACTGGCGCGAAGATCTGAAGAAGCTACTATTGAAGGCTGGGGGCGAAGGAAAACCGATCGTGTTCATCTTCGCCGACACGCAAATCGCCGACGAGATGTTCATCGAGGACATCAACACGGTGTTGAATACCGCCGACGTCCCGAATCTGTATGCTCCGGACGAGAAGGCGGAGATTTTAGAGAGGATGCAAGCCGCTGCGAGGGATAGCGGGAAGAAGATCGAGTTGACGCCGCTGGCGCTGTACAACTTCTTCATCGAGAGGGTGAAGAGGAATCTTCACGTGGCGTTGTGTTTGAGTCCGATCGGGGATTCGTTTAGGGTGAGGTGTCGGATGTTTCCGTCGTTGATCAACTGTTGTACCATCGACTGGTGAGTCGTTATTTGTAATTGTAGTTTTGTTAAGAGAGACAGAGTTTCGTTTCAGGTTTCAGAAGTGGCCCGACGATGCTCTGGAAAGGGTAGCCTACATGTTTCTCATAGAAACGAACTTCGATGAGCCTACGACAGACATGTGTGTCAGAATTTGCCAGTACTTTCACCTGACGGTGTCTCAAGCTTCGGAAATGTTCTACAAGGAGCAACGACGGAGGACTTATGTCACTCCGACGTCGTACCTAGAACTTATCCAAACGTTCAAATCTTTCTACTTCCTTAAAGTGGAACAAATCACCAACCAGAAGAATCGCTACGAAACCGGTTTACAAAAACTAGACTTTGCTGCTGGTCAGGTCGGTTTGATGCAAGACGAATTACGCGAACTACAACCGAAACTAGTGGTAGCGTCGGCGGTCACCGAGAAACTCATGATCAAAATCGAACAAGACACCGTCATCGTGGAAAAAAAGAAAGAGATAGTGGGGGCCGACGAAGCCTTAGCTAACGAGGCGGCAGCAGCCGCTCAAGCTATCAAAGACGACTGCGAATCGGACTTATCCGAAGCAATGCCAGCCCTCGAGGCCGCTCTCAAAGCCTTAAACACCCTCACCCCCAACGACATCACCATGGTCAAATCCATGAAAAACCCTCCTTCTGGAGTGAAACTCGTGATGGAAGCTGTAAGTTACCATAGAAAGAACGACAACAATAAGTATCCACCATTTCCTTGTAGGTCTGCGTGATGAAGCAAATCAAACCCGATAGGAAGCCCGACTTGACCACCGGTCGCATGGTCGAAGACTTCTGGGGCCCCTCCATCAAGCTCCTCGGAGACATGAAGTTCCTCGAAAACCTAAAAAGCTACGACAAGGACAACATCCCGACCGCCGTCATGAAGCGCATCCGTGAAAGGTAACCCCCAAGCAGTCACCTCCTCAACTTTGAATCTCTTCGCAGATACATGCCCGATCGGGAGTTCAACCCGGAACGCATCAAGACCGTCTCCACCGCCTGCGAAGGTCTCTGCAAGTGGGTCCGAGCGATGGAGGTATACGACCGAGTGATCAAAATCGTGGCTCCGAAGAAAGCCGCTCTGGCGGAAGCCGAAGCCGAATTGGCAGCCCAGATGGACACTCTTAACGAGAAACGGGCGCAGCTGCAGGAAGTCACCGATAAACTTCAGGCGCTGAACGACGAATTCGCCGCCGAAACCAAGAAGAAGAAAGAGCTGGAAGACCAGATCGAGATCTGCTCCCAGAAACTAGATCGGGCGGAAAAGCTGATCGGCGGGTTGGGTGGCGAGAAGTCGCGATGGTCGCAAGCCGCCAAGGACTTGATGGCGTTGTTGGAGAACGTCATCGGGGACGTGATCTTGTCGTCGGGGGCGGTGGCGTACTTGGGGGCCTTCACGGTGGATTACAGAACGGGGCTGTTGAAGGACTGGAATCAGTTTTGTCTAAAGTTGGGGATTCCGTGTTCGCAGAATTTCTCGCTGGTTGCCACCATGGGAGATCCGCTTGATATACGAACGTGGAATATAGCGGGGCTTCCGGTCGACAATTACAGCATCGAGAACGGGATTATCGCGACGAAAGCGAGACGGTGGCCGTTGATGATTGATCCACAGGGACAAGCGAATAAGTGGGTGAAGAATTTCGAGAAGCAGAATAAACTACAAGTAATCAAGCTAACAGATGCCAACTACGTGAGGGTTTTAGAAAACGCGATCCAGTTCGGCACACCTGTAATACTCGAGAACATCATGCAAGAGATCGATGCAGCGTTGGACCCGGTTTTGATCAAGAACATTTTCAAACAACAAGGAATTTGGTATTTGAAACTAGGGGACAACTTGTTGGAGTATTCGTTAAATTTTCGCTTCTACATAACGACGAGACTGAGAAACCCCCACTATTTGCCCGAAACGGCAGTCAAAGTCACTTTGTTGAACTTCATGCTGACATCGCAAGGCCTCCAGGACCAACTTCTGGGGATCGTAGTGGCACGAGAGCGACCCGAACTCGAAGAGAAGAAAAACTCGATGATCGTCGAAAGCGCCAACAACAAGAAGATGCTGAAGGAAATCGAAGACAAGATTTTAGAGGTGCTGTCGACATCGGAAGGCAACATCCTGGAGGACGAGACCGCCATCAAGATCCTCTCGTCGAGTAAAGTCCTGTCCGAAGAAATCCAAGAAAAACAGAAATTGGCTGCCGTCACGGAGAAAGAAATCGACAGTGCGAGGAATTTGTATATACCGGTCTCGAAACACTCCTCAGTTCTATTCTTCTGCATATCGGATCTGGCGAACATCGACCCCATGTACCAATACTCGATGACCTGGTTCATCAATCTTTACAACCAGTCGATCACGAATAGCGAAAAATCGCCAGTTCTGGAGCTACGCCTGGGCTACTTGAACGACCACTTCACCAACAGCATCTACAGGAACGTCTGTCGTTCGCTCTTCGAGAAAGACAAGTTGATCTTCTCCCTCGTTCTAACAGTTGGGATCTTGCGATCCCAGAAACTCATCGACGAAGACGTCTGGACGTTCCTTCTCACCGGAGGCGTGTCTCTAGACAATCCCTTTCCAAATCCGGCCCCCGAATGGCTCTCCGAAAAATGCTGGTCCGAGATCGTCAGAGCCAGCCATCTGTCCGGTCTCGACGGCTTCAAAAACCACTTCGAGAAAAATGTTCAGGTATGGAAAAAGTTCTACGATATCTCCAACCCGAACGAAGTCCCGTGTCCCGAGCCCTTCCACGAACTGAAAGGTTTAACCAGATTGGTAGCGTTGCGCTGCATCCGCCCGGACAAAATAGTACCAGCTGTGCAGTCGTACATCGTCGAAGAAATGGGTCCGAGGTACCTCGAGCCGCCACAGTTCAACCTAGAGGAGTCCTACAACGACAGCCACTGCTGTTCTCCTCTGATTTTCATTCTGAGTCCAGGGTCTGACCCCATGGCCGGGTTGGTGCGTTTCGCGGCTGACAAAGGCATACAGAAGACGGACTTGATGACGATATCGCTGGGGCAAGGACAAGGACCCATCGCGTCACAGATGATCAACAAGGGACTCGAAACCGGCCAGTGGGTGGTTCTGCAGAACTGTCACTTGGCGGCTAGTTGGATGCGGGAGTTGGACCGGATTTGCGACGAAGTGGTCATTCCGGAGTTTGCCAACGAGAATTTCAGGTTGTGGCTGACGAGCTACCCGAGTAACGCCTTCCCGGTGGCCATCCTCCAGAACGGTAGTTAAACGAGGAGGGCTAATAGTATCTAACTTGGTTTCTTGTAGGTGTGAAAATGACGAATGAGGCTCCGAAAGGGTTACGCCAGAACCTTCTGCGTTCCTACATGTCGGATCCTATTTCTGACCCCACGTTCTACAATTCGGTGGAGAACTGGAGATCTTTCCAGGTCATTTTATTTTCGCTGTGTTTCTTTCACGGGATCGTGCAAGAAAGAAGGAAATTTGGGCCACTGGGATGGAATATTCCTTACGAGTTTAACGAGTCGGATTTGACGATTTGTGTTTTGCAGCTGCAGGTACGTGGGGGTTTGCTTTGGTAGGTACTAGTTAGTTGTTTTAGATGTTTCTGCAAGATTATAAAGACGTACCGTTTGACGCCTTGACGTACTTAGCTGGAGAGTGCAACTACGGCGGTCGAGTCACCGATGATAAGGATCGCAGGCTTTTGAACTCCCTTTTGTCGATTTTTTACACACCGGAAGTCATCACGAAACCACTGTAAGACAAGGAGGAAATTTGTGTTTCGTATAATTGAGGGAACATTCCAGGTACGCGTTCTCACCAAGCGGACTTTATTACGTACCTGTGGACACTACTTACGAGGGTTGTCTTGGTTACATACGCAACCTTCCGATAATACCCCAGCCGGAAGTCTACGGTTTACACGAGAACGCCGACATCACCAAAGACAATCAAGAGACGCAAATAGTACTACCAGAAGTGTATCTCGGTTCGGACTAATCGTGATTTTGTAGCTACTCAACGGAGTTTTGCTCACCCAAACCCACATCACAGCCGGTGGTGGTGGCGACGACACCCAAGACGTCCTTATAGACCTAGCGAATGACATTCTCACCAAAATACCCGCACAATTTGACGTGGAGGACGTCAGCGAGAAGTACCCGGTGATGTACAGCAACTCCATGAACACCGTTTTGAGACAGGTACGCAACTCAACTAATCAGAAACAATCTGATTGACATCTTTAGGAACTCATTCGGTTCAATCGACTGACGGAAGTGGTCAAACGTACGCTCTCCTTCATGATTAAAGCCGTCAAAGGTCTGGTGGTGATGTCCGGAGAGCTCGAAGAAGTGTGCAAGTCGCTGATGGTAGGAAAAGTACCAACAGCGTGGGCTAACAAGAGCTACCCCAGTTTGAAACCGTTAGGGTCTTATATACTCGACTTGATTCAAAGGTGGGTACCACTATTTGCGTACCGCAATTACTAAAAGGTGTCTAGGTTGAAATTTTTCCAAGATTGGATAGAACAAGGACCGCCTACAGTCTTCTGGTTGTCGGGTTTCTACTTCACCCAGTCTTTCCTCACCGGAGTTTTACAAAACTTCTCCAGAAAACGCAAACTACCGATAGATTGGATTCACTTCGAGTTTGTCACCACCAAATTCGAGAAAGAAACTCCGAACCCGCCGGAAATAGGAGTGTATTGCAAGGTGAGTGTGACTCGGTTTCTGTTGTTTGGTCAACGTTGCCACCGTTCATTTACACGCAGCGAGTAGTAGAAATAGAGGAGTTCAGTATTTTGGTGGACGTAAGTAGAGTTCCGGACGCTTGAGTAGTAAAAAGCACGTTGTTAAAATTTTGAGTGTTATAGGGTCTCTTCTTGGAAGGAGCCCGCTGGGACCGCAAACTCCTGAAACTGAACGAATCCCTCCCCAAAATCCTCTTCGACACGCTTCCAATCATATGGCTCAGACCTAACGAAACCTCTGAATACAAACCCGTTCCTTGTTACAACTGTCCAGTGTATAAAACCAGCGCGAGAAGAGGTGTTTTGTCGACGACAGGACACTCGACGAACTTCGTCATGTACATGACCTTCGATTCGGACAAACCGGAAAGACACTGGATCAACAGGGGAGTCGCTGCTTTGTGTCAACTCGACGATTAACCTTTCCAATAAAATACTAAACTAGGAAAAGACTATGTTGTGTTTATTTCCAAGTCGGAGTCCGACTTTATATCGGACGATTGCGAGCCCAGCGAAGTCGCGCTTTCTTGATAGCAGGTTATGCGAAGAGCGGGACTTTCTGTCTTCACTTCTTCTTCCGTGTCTGAGAGGATGACGCTGCAGTCTTCGGAGGTGTTGATGGGCGGCGGCGTTGGCGGGAGCGGCGGTGGTTTCGGGGTTTCCACCATCTCCACGATCCTCGTGTTGCTCTCCATATTCTTCTGCAGGAAGCAGATCTTCGACAGTTCTTCCAGCCGCTGCTTGACGATGTCCAAGTTCTTGCACTTCTGCTTCGGTGGATCGCTTTTGTTCTTCTTGGTTGCCTTATCTATGTCGTTGTGGAGATTGTTCAAGAACTGCTGTATCTGCTCCTTGATTATGTCGGCTACTTGATTGGCGTACTTTTCCTCGTTTGCGTCCTGAACATTCTTCTCACAGTCCCCCACTGCAAAACGGCGCATGAAATGCGGGTTAAAGTATAACAAACACACACTTTTACCAGGAAGGGGATCAATGGGAGCATTCCCTGGCACCTTCTTGACCGCGAAACTGCTCTTGCTTTTTCTCTCTTCGTTCTTGGGGCTTTTTTTCTCGGGGACTTTTTCCACGGCTGCCTTCTCCTTGGGCTTCGCAGCCTTTTTCCCGATCAAGTACGAGAAGATCGGGACGAAGTTGGTGACCATGGGGAGATGGAACACGGCGGTTTTGTTGTCGGCGTTCTTCTCGATGAGGGTGTTGATGAACTTGTGACAGGAATTTATGTAGTTGATGGCCTTTACGTAGTCTCTTCGCATCCCGCCGTCGTTTTGGCCGAACCTCGCGCAAGGATAAAACGTTAGATTTTCTTCTTTGATCAGAACGACGCGTTCGGTTTGACAACTGGAGGATTTTCGTTGGGCCAGAACACGAGGGAGGGGTTTGGGGGCGCTTTTGGCCGGCTTGGTCGGAACGGGAATGAAGTTACTTCTTTGATTCCTCATTCTGCGAATTTTGATTCACATAGCGGAGAGAAAATTGTCATTGCGACAAGGCGGAATTTTGACAGATCGAATGGCAATTGTTTTGGGGAAAGAGTAGCCTCCGAGACCCACATGGTAGAGTCAAATAATTCAAGAGGTTATTAAGAGGATTTATAATTCTCGATAAATGAGTCACCGAGTGACCCACACAAGATAATTAACGTTACTCATAATAACTCGCGCGTCAAACGTAACCTCTGATAAGATTACAACAGCCAATATTGTTTATAAACCGGTGAAAGGAATCCGGTTTCAGTTACAAGTTTGTTGTCGTTGAAAAACAATACCTTCGTAGAACTTTTTGTACTTAAATCAGCTGCAAAAATGACTCACGGCGGCCATTTTGGTGGACATCACGGCGGCCATCACGGCGGGCATCACGGCGGACATCACGGCGGGCATCACGGTGGGCATCATATTGGTCCTCATGGGCCACACGGTCATCATGGACCGCATCACCACCATCACCACCATCATGGACCGCCGCCACCCCCAATTTTCCCCCACCCTCGACGACGAACAAGATATGTGGACTGTTGCTTTTGCACGATTTTGTAAATTTTCTTTGAAGTATTAATGTTGAAGCTCAAAACGTATTACATACTCTTCTAGTCATTGAATGCCCTTTTTTGTATAAAATAATAAAACGCAACTAAACTTAGAAATATCTTTTATTTCAAAATAATAATTTACATTCTTGCACAAAGATGAATCTATTTTAGTCCAGAGATAAATCCCAAAATAACTACCTCTGATAAACACGTGCAAATAATCCTTTTTTAATACAAAGGAAGCGTTGATTATGCCGCCTTGTTGAAACGAGACGATACTTATTAAAGTGTCAAACTAACCAATAAGGTCGTTTCGCTGTAGTAAATATCACTACTCTATTATATTTCTATACTTTTAAATGCCGAATCCTGACTAGTCCAGAATGAATACTTTGATATAGAAATGAGGATAATATACGAAATTTTGCGTCATCTCCTCAATTTATATAAAAAATAGCTACTTCCTGTTAATGTAGGATGAACCACGGATGGAATTTGACGATAAAAAAAAATCATTTATCAAGTATTCGTTTATTAAACATAAATACATCACTTTCATCGTACAAAACTTCACTTTAGTATATATATACATATCAAGAACAGCTTCAAAATATTTGTATTGGCAATTTCCACAAACATAAAGAGAATATGTGTTGAACTTATGATAAGATAAAATAATTCTGCATACACATTATACACAAATCATTGCCAATTATCAATTTAAACATCAGTAATAAATAAAAGTGACCAAACAACACCTCTTGCATAATTACATACGTCACTTTACACTCAACACTATTAATAAAATACATTTGTTAGTAACAAGTTAGTTTTTGATAAAATACTGTAAATATCACATTAGAAAAAATTGCAATAAATAATTTGGCAAAAATAGGAACTACGAATATTTTTTAAACCTAGCATGAAAGTCATCTTCATCGACAGAACTCGAAACTGAAAACACCCAATTAATTAAAATTTACCCAAGAACGTCAACTCACCGTCTTCAGTAAACTCATGAGGTAGGATTCTAGAAGGATCGACAAATCGATTATCACGCAAGTGGGGGTTGATCTCTCCTTTCGTCACATCGTTGTACATCTGCACCAAAAACTTCTTATCTTTCGCCAACCAAACCAGAGTTTCCTTCAACATTTTCACTTTATCCCGATTCGCAAGCGCATGTTCTCTCAAATAATACACCAAAATCCTAGAAAACTCGTCTCAAACTCAAACAAAAATATAAATCCAAGTTACCCCAAAGCTATCATAATGAAAGCCAGCCCTCCGGGTTTCGTCACGTTCATGATAACCCTCCAAGCCAAATCCTGTTCTAAATCCTCGATATGAGTGGTTACAATTTCGTACGTGTAGTTGTAATGTTTGAAAGGACCACAAGTTTGTGACGTTCGAACACTACAAAGTTGCCTTTATTATTCAATAGAGTATTCAATTTTCAAACTAACCTCTTCAAAGCGTACCCATGTGTCGCAATAATCAATAAAATACTAACAAAAATCATCATCATAAACCACGTTTGCGTCTGCGCAGCCCGCCATGTTCGTTTCGGAGGTCGACACAGTTTGCGAACGCACCCTTGATTGACGTACCATATAATAAACATTTTGAGGGTCACTACTGCGGGCAAAATCGGGGAATATAAAAATCCCACCCACAACAAACCCTGATTGTAGATTATTTGCAAAGTGTGTTTAGCGATGTTAAATTCGGTCTTTGGTTCGCGGTTGAGGAAGCTACGTTACACAAAAAAAAAATAAAAAGTAAGGTTATGTTTGTTACAAATTCAACTTACTAGCGCCCTATGAAGTACCCAACGTCTACTATCACTGATAAAACGACCGAAAAAAGAAAATCGAATATTATTAAGCGGTAAACTTCCGCAGCGAGAAGGGTTTCCCAGCAGTTCTAAAACAAAGCATCACTATTGACGTACGTAAAGTAGATCGTCACGTACTTTTCCTTCTGCGTGAATTAACCAGAACGCTAGAATTGTTCCTAGTATCACAGCCCCGAGTAGATAGGTGCGTCCCAAAGTTATATAAAGCGTTATTCTAGGGTTTTTGTAATCTTCGTGTCTAAAATTTCAACTAGTAATGAACAATTATTTAGTCGCACGACATACTTTGATATGTAGTAGAAAAGGGACGGAAACACCATTATAATAATGTTTATTACTAAAGCAGTGATGTACACAGCGATTTCTCCCTCATTGGATTTTTTCATCAGAACCCACGTCATCCAACCCACGGCAGCCAAAATCACCAACACCAAAATATTAACAACCACTTGTATAGTGTACGTCCAGAACTTAACCAAACACGACCAGTCTTCGACGTCTTTGAGTTCTTCGCTTAACAGTTCTTTCAGCTCGTAATAAATCGACGACGATTTTAATTGCGCCGCTTCTTTTGTCGCTATACCGTAGTCCCACCCACAAAAAATCCTATTGGCGTACACGTTCTGTAATCCCCCTTCTGTCTCGATAAACGTACGCCGATAAGATTCAGCCACACTACAACAACAAAAGTCACTAAAATTCACTACCGCTTACGCGGAACTAACCTCACAGCTAAAACAACAAACGAAAGAACATACAGTATAACAGTAACTGAAAAATAAGAAGCGGGCATATCGAAACTAAGGTGCGGGATTACCTCAATAAACTGGTTTGTGTAGTGACCGTAGTAGAACACGGTTTCTATGAAAAAACCCTACAAGCTTGCCAATGCACGAAAAATAAAAAAACCAAAACAAACTTACGTCGCCAATAAAAATGTTCCGAAAGTTGAAGCTCTGAGTATTGGTGGTTTTATTGGAAGCACTAGTGTCTAAAATAATTTGTGGTACTACTAGCAAACCCAAAGACAGCAAAGCAACACCGAAATTCATAACAAACAGCCATCGCAAAAACTTGAAGTAGGAAGCATAACCTGAGCCGAAACGGCCTTCTATATCTTTCAGACTTCCGTGCCACAGTTCGAAATAATTGAAATTTTTTAAACTGGCCACAAACTAAAAAAAAATCATTTGTTGTCGATCGTACACATTTTGAGTACTGCAGATGGATTGACTGGCGGCAAGTTTAAATCAACCAATTGCTATGACGCTCTTTACTTTAAACACCAGCGACTCTCAAAATGTATCACAACCGACAATGCCACTTTTCGCACACGAACCTTTGAAAAACTGATGTTAATGCTGTATTTGAGTCTTTTCCAAAACCCGATGGGTTTCCTTTTGGATTTTTGGCTCACAGACTTCGTCAACTTGCTCTTAACGCACCTCTTCATGGTCAGACCTTGTGGTAAATTTTTCAGCGCTTCTCTAAAAATTTAAAAATCACACTTAAAACTTGCTTTCTCGATAATAAAAACACACTTTCTGAGTTGTTCAGACACCGGTGTATCTTCCATCAAAGACTTGTCTTCCTCCAATTTTTCGACGATTTTGTTAGCGTGAAGGTCTAGGTTGCCCCTCGGTCCGGTGAAGTAGGCTTTAGTGAACTTCTTCATCCCGGAAACGACCAAATTGGGTCTTTCGCTCCCGTAATCCCGGCTTCGTGCTTCATGTCCCAAACTTCTCGACCGTTGGGCCAAACTTGACACTGTTGGTACTGATGCGAAGTAATCAAAAGACTGCGCAGACCTCTCTGACATGGGTATGGTGTTTTCGTAGGCAGCCATTCTGTTTTGTGGTTGGTAAGCTGGTGTTCGATGGGTTGGTCTAAAATTGTGGGTCCTTAACCTACGAAATCATATATTGTGAATTTTACCTGTACATTTTGAGGAAAAATGAGGCTAACTGAGCTAGATTTGGGTGATAATGGGTATTATAGTCTTATCAGTAAATTAAACAGGCCAAAGCCATCCAAATTGTTTACTAATACTTCCTATGATAAGCTTACTATTATGATTAATGAGTAACAAATAAAGAATTTAGATATAATGAGGTGATAAACGAATTCACTTACCTTGTGTGGCATCATCGCTCGTCTTTGTTGTCGTGCAAAAAATTGTTTTTGTGTAGATTTTATCAAAGTGAGGTTAGAAAGGTGTCACAAATGTCAAAGTTGCCAAACGATCTGAGTTTGGGTACGTTCATAACCACAGTTTTTAACAATTATAAAAACCGTGCACAAAATATTGTCACTACTGTTGTAATTATAATTGTTGTAGAATAAATACATGTGGTATAAAAATTATAATTTAACTTTAAAATTTTGAGTTAAGTAACGCATGCTCAGTAGATCCATTTTGGCACATGACGCATATAAAGTTATAAACAAACTAGCCATATTTCTCTTGTATTTACCGTCGTTATAAATAGTTACGTTTTTATTACAAGTGTAATATTTAAGAAATAAAGAGGAAAGAGTAAATTACAGAGAATCCCCCAAAGTATAAAATCCAAGAAACGACGCTTATGTAACTCATCCAGAATTTCGCATGACGAAAATTTCCTAAACCTCTTCAACTTATCTCAGCTTCAAACATTACGAGCTACATAAAACCCATGAATGATAATTCATGCGTAAATGTTTATTCTTATTCGTAATCAATATTTGTATGAAATCATAGCCTTATCACTGCGTATAAATACCAAAACTCTCCTTTTAACCTCCACCGTACAAATATCTCTTACAAACGATCAAGAGATCATTCATCGAATAATTTCGACAACAAACGCAGCTCATTTCTTATCGCAAAATGTTGAAATTCTTAACAATTGCGTCTATTTTTCTCACGCCAATCGCTGCCAACGAACTAGGAAAATTCGTTGAAACAAACAAAGATTTCGCAGCTGCCGTATACACAGTAAGTACTTTATTAAACTCTTTAAAACAGTTTTTCACGAGCTTCATTTTTATAGAAAGCAACCAAACACAAAGGCGAAAACTTTTTAATTTGTCCCCTCTCTGCTGAAATCGTGCTAACTCTCGCCCAAAACGGCGCCAAAGGCAAAACCCGCAGCGAAATCCGAAAAGCCCTTTATCTTCCAGACTCCACTGAAGAAATCAACTCAATTTTCAAGAAAGTCGTCACTGATTTGAAGAACCATGAAGGTTTTACGCTTCGCTCGGCTAATAGAATCTACGTCAAAGAGAAATACCCAATCAAAGAACGTTTCGTGAAGGTAGCGACCGAAATTTATGACTCTTCTTCCGAGAATGTGGACTTCGGGAAACCTAAGGAGGCCGCGAAAGTCATCAATGATTGGGTGGCGCAAGAAACCGACGATAAAATCCACGAATTAATAAATGAAAAAAGTCTTCGTGAAGACACAGTCGCGGTTTTAGTGAACGCGCTGTATCTTCAAGCCAGTTGGAGGAAACACTTCAAGAAGACGCTAACCCGAAGCAGAGATTTCTACAAGAGCGAAGAAAACGTGGTCCAAGTGGACACGATGATGAAGAGCGACTACTTCGGGTACTTCGAGAATAAAAAGCTTGATGCGAAGTACTTGCAGATGCAGTTTAAGGGTGGGCGCAATGGGAGCATGGTTGTGGTGTTACCTAACGAGAAAGAAGGGTTGAAGAAGCTGGAGGGGAAAATTGGTGAAGTTTATCGATCGGATTTCTTGTGGGAGTACGTCGATGTGACTTTGCCTAAATTCAGAATCGAGACGAGTATTGACTTTAAGAAGATTTTGAAAAAAGTGAGTTGAGGTTGAAAATGGAAAGACTGAGTTAACGATTGGTTTTAGTTAGGTGTGAAGAGAGCTTTTACCAGGGCTGACTTTAGTGAAATGGCTGGTAAAAAGGGAGAGGTTGCCATAACCGACGTGGTGCAAAAGACGTATATCGATGTTAACGAAAATGGAGTGGAGGCGGCTGCCGCCACAGCAAGTAATAGCTATAACACAAAAATTATACTTCTGTTCTAACTATTTTTATTTTAGTAATGTATCACCCCAAAAGCTTGATGGATTTCTTTGGAGAGAAGAAAAGCTTCATCGCTGATCACCCTTTCTTATTTTACATAATTATAGATGACATTGTTGTTTTTACAGGAAGAGTGGTGTCCCCCTCAGGCTAAAGTACAACCTGAGAATGCGTCGTCATCGAATATTTTTTAAAGATAGTCTAGTCAAACCTTGCGTAAAATTTATTTATCGTGTGGTTGTTATTGACCTCATGAACTAGTTCTTCGTATTTTGATAAAAGATAGTGTGTGGTGACAAAGTGCATCGAAAATAAATAAGTTTGAGAAAAACAATTGTAAGATTTTATTTTCCAGTCACACTATAAAGTTATTAATTTATTAAAGCACCAAAAGAGGTGTTTTTAAAATTTTAATGTTAGTGTCCCGTTCCCTCTTAAGTCACCGATGACGGCGTCTTAACCAACGCATGCTCCTGATCTGTCACTTGTCAAAAAGTGGGGTCAGGAAAATTAGGTTATGTTGTTGTTATAAATGTGTTTGTGGTATTTTGCAATAAGAAATTTTGCAACATAATAAATTACTACATATCATAACATGAAACAATTCAGACTCCGGACGAAGTGTGGTGAAATCAATGCATTTGTTTAAAAGGTGAGTTCGCACCAGTGGCGGCCCGCCAACGGGGTCAGATCGAGAAATTTATTACTTTTTCAAATTTTATAATTCATTAAATTAAGTACTATTTTGCTTATTGTTAAAATAATTTGTTACATTGGTGCACAAAAAGTAAGCTTTAATTCTTAAAAAACTTGTCACGTGACCAGCTGCACCAAGTCATGTGACACAAACACAATCGATTTTTTTCAAAAATCGTTACCATTTCAGGTACGTTCAAAAACGGAATGGCTTTTATTAACTGGAATTTGGTAACCACGGCCGTGCCTACGTACTACACGTACATTCTTCAACCGTCAATTATCGCCCCTGTTGCCATTGGCGTACCAAATCCACAGTTGCCAATATTGCAACTAAACGAAGGAGTGAAAGTGGTACCAGACAACGTTAATCCGGTTGCAAACAGTGCGGTTGTTCCAGAACTACCAACATTGCAACCAAAAACAAAGAAAACAAAACTAGAAGCTAAAAGAAAGTTGCCAAAAATTGCCCCCAAAGTCACTCAAGACTGGTCGCTACCAATTTCGCACACACCCGCACCCATAAAAGAAGAACCTCAAGACGAAGAAAACGAAGACAACAAAAACTGGACAACTACATTTAAAGAAGAAATAAACACTTATGAAGATAAAACGCAGCCGCAAGAGTGGCCACAGATCTCCATAAAAGAAGAAAAAATCGAAGACGACTTCGACTCAATCCACGTGAAAGAAGAAAACGAAGAAAGCGACGACTCTGAAGCTAGCTCAAGCGACCCCCTCCCTCCGCAAAAGTCGTCCAGACGCGACAAAATCTTCACTTGTGACCACTGCGCGTACACGACCACTTGGCGGGGGAATTTGACCAAACACATCGTCAGTCGACATACATCGTCTGACGATATCCAGTGGCTGCAATGTGCGCACTGTCCCTACAAAGGCAAAACGAAAGACTACTTAAAGTGCCACCTCTTGCACGTCCACAACATCTCGGTCAAGTGGTTCAACTGTCCCCACTGCTCCTTCAAGGCCAAACTCAAAGGCCACCTTGATCGCCATATTATCGTCAACCACACCGAGTCCGAAAAAATCCAGTGGTTCTCGTGCGACCACTGCGACTACAAGGCCAAGTTCAAAATCAACTTGAAGCAGCACGTTTTGAGCAAACACACAGCTTCCAAGGACATCAAGTGGTACGAGTGTGATTTCTGCGAGTTCAAGGCCAAGCGGAAGCGGAACTTGAAGTTCCACAAGTTGAATAAGCACACGGATCTTGATAAGATCCAGTTGTTCGAGTGCGAGTTTTGCCCGTACTTGTCGAAGAGGAGGCAGGCGTTGACGGGGCACATCAACGCCGTCCACGGGGGGAAGAACGGGAGAGGAAAATTGAAGACTAAGGAGATTCCGGTGTTTATTGAGAACAGGTTGTGCTGGAAGAGGGTGGTGGTTGATAATGCGGAAGAAGATTGCTCGTTTAGGTGCTCCCAGTGTATGTTCGTCACTGTGGATAAGGAAGCGTTCCGGAAGCATGTCCTGAGGGAGCACATCATCACGGAATTGACCGAAGAGGATAATAATATTGTGAAGACTAAGTACACCACCAAAGATGTTTTAGTTTTTGTTGATAATGTTCCTTGTGTGAAGAAGATTATAGAGCGGGTGCTCTAACAGAGTTAGGGAATTTCGGCGCGTAAGGTTGCCATTTTTTCTTTTGTATTTATTTATTTTTTTGTATTTGTGTAAAGAAGATGTGTAATAAATGTAAATATAAGAGAAAATATTTTTTTATTGTACAGAAAATTCTTGGTAGTTTGACTTTCGCGCTAATTTTGTGTTTGTGAACGTACCCAAGGTCATCACACTTTCTCCTTGTAGACGCCATTGCCATGGCCTGCTGGGTTGTAAATTTGTTTTTGTAAGCAAGTTTTGTAACGAACAAAACATTTTGTGATGAGGTAGTGTGCTATCAAGTAGGCTGTGATATAATGTCAATTTTATCGTTTGGATCTCTAAAAAATCAGGAATTTAAATATACACGGTAGGTTTAAAAAACGCCATTTTCTGGTATGAAGTTTTGGCCTTTGTTGTGTAAAAAGTGAAAAAACGATTGCGTTAAAAATGAAAGTCTTTCATTGTAGAGCTAACTTCACTGTATTGTGTCTTTTTTTTCTTATTCTAGATACATGACAAAATAAGAAGTGAGGTTAGATTAGTAAACAGCTGTTTTATTGCGTATCAGAACAAACACACGATAAGAAAAAAGTATGACAGATTTAAGGATAGCAAATAACAAGAAATGTATTAAAAATATGATTCGTTAATTTTAGCTTGGCTGGATATATTTTGACATAAGATCGAATTACACTGATAAAAAATGTACAGTCGTGAAATTAAAAATGTCATTAAGTAATTTGCAGCCATTAATTCAAATGGTTACAGGTTTTTTTAAATAAAATTTAACTAAACGGATTAAATTTAACCACGGTTGTTGAAACATCTTTAAATACGAGGTTTAAAGATCAGCCGTTTTCACACCACACCAAAACTCAAAACGACACTATGACGTCATCTCTTTTCAAGGGAATTAAAATTTTAAATAGCGTTGATTCGTTTTGTTCCAGAAATGGCGCATCTACCTCAATCTGAAAGCGCCTATCACGTGTTCGCTCAAAAATACATTGAAAGATGCAAACAAGTGCAAAAGCTGGCAAACATGCATCCCACATACCAACAGCAAACGTTTCCTGCTTACAAAAAACCACCTTCAGTTATAGTACTAGATGACGACACTCCACAAGAGGACGACACCAATAATACTGAAACTTCCAGTCGTCTTCTGGAATTATTAGTGAACGATTCTACAAGTGACGATCCAAATACAAATCTACAAAAAGGTTGTTCATATCGGGAAGAGTCGACGGATCTTCATATTACAGGCGTAAGCGTTTTGAGAGAGTGGATTGACATCAGTGAATTAGATCTTCAGAGACATGTGAATTTGGACGTTGTGGAAGCACAGAGACGTTGCAGTACTGAAACCATTCCTAGTAAAAATAGCCCTAGAACTAGAATCCCTCAACCAAACGAATTATACAATAAAAGAAGAGAAGAGAGGAATCATAACGTTGTGTCAACTACGACGGAAAAAGAAGATTCGTCGAAAAGAAAAAAAGTCGCTTCTGAGAATGAAGAAAGCTGTAGTAAAGCTGTCACAGTTGAAACACCTCATTTAGTTACTAATCAAAGAAAAGAAGATGATGTGAGAGTGTTGAGAAGTCGTGATAGACATAGCTTGACCAGAAAAGAAGATTCACCGAAAAAACGAAGAACTAGAAAAGAGATGAGATTCACTTTTGAAGACGGCGAAGATAGCTGTCACGAACCTGATGAAGACTGGGTGGAAATGGGTGAGGATGAAGATAGCGACGAAGTTGAAACTGATTTAACAAACGTGAAAGAAAAATCAATAAAACGAAGAAAGAAGGTGAAAGTGAGGCGAAACCAAAGACGGAAAAGTGGAATACAGGAAACCAGAAACAGTATTTTAAGTGAAGGAACGAAAATCCATGATGACGTATCAAAGGACCAAATAGACGTATCTGAAGATGCATTTAATTGTGACGAAAACAGTCAAACAACTATAGAAGAAACAACACAAGACAATCAAGAACCTACCATTATTGAAACAAAAATAGATGTGTCTGAAAGTATCCTCCAAGACGAACACGGCGAACACTCCATAGATACAGAAGAATCCAAACAAAGTTCTTCAAACGAAAACGAACCCGTTGAAGAAAAACAACCAATTCTAGAAACGAAGATGGATGTTTGTGACAAGATCATGGACCAAGACAAAAAAGAAAAAGAAAAAATTCCGGTGATGGAGTTGCAGCCACCGATAGAAGAAAACGCGAAGCCTGAAGATCCAGAAGTCGAAATATTGGGCGATAACTGGGCCGACGTTGACGTAGTAGAAGTGATAAGTTCCGAAGAAGAAGAAACCACTCAGAAAGAAAACGAAGGAAGATACAAATGCGAACAATGCTCCTACAAGACCAACTGGAAAAGCAACTTAAGCAAACACATAGTCAGCAGACATCAAACTTCTTCCGAAATCAAATGGTTTGAATGTGCACATTGTCCCTATCGCGGAAAAACAAGAGAGTACCTCCGTTCCCATCTGCGACAATCCCATGAGCAGTTCATCACGTGGTACAACTGCAACAAGTGCCATCTCAAATTCAAGGCCAAACAATTCCTCGAGTATCACGTTTTGGCGGTTCACACCGCTCCCGAAGATATCCAGTGGTTCAGATGTGACGAATGCGATTTCAAATGTAGAGTGAAAATTCGGCTGAAAGAGCACAAATTGAATAAGCACACGAGTCTGGATGAAATCAAGTGGCACAGGTGTAAGGTGTGTAATTATAAAGGGAAGACGCAGAAGTCGTTGAGTAGGCACGAGAAGAATAAACACGTGAGTTATGACCAGATGCAGTGGTTTAAATGCGAAAAGTGCGATTATGAAGGGTCGGATCGGTTGTATTTGAGGAGACATATAAAGGCGAATCATCCGGAGGTGATACAGAAGGAGCTCGATGATATTTCAGAGAAACAGCTCGAGTGTAAGATATGTGGGGTTAAAATGTTTAGCAAGTCGAAGTTTCTGGAACACTTCAGGTGGAGCAAAGACTGTTATTTTTGATGGATTTTTAACGTGCCTTTTGGTATTGTTTTTTTAAATATTTATTGATACGTTTATATTTGGATGTACAAATTCGTTTTTAAGTGCACTTACGGACATTTTTTATTGAATAAACATTTTTTACGTCAGAAGTTCTATTTTTTTACCTGATTGTTGGTTGTCTTATAGGGTCTGTCAATGTGTCTTCACAAACTTCGAGCCGGTTACTTTAAGTTTTGTATGTTTACGTGCTTTAAGATTATTATGTAAATGGACGAAAAGAAAATATTGACCGTATATTTTATACCGAGAAACTATAAAAAACACAGTCAAAGTAATCTATGGATTTTTGAAGATTTGTGTTTGATAGAACTTTGGTTTTGTCATAGACATAAATACGTTCATTGCGTATTATCACTTTTCGTGTATTGTTGGTTGCATATTCAAAAAATTTCGTTTCCCATAATGCACTACCACAGTATAGATATCAATTGATGTCTATACTGTGGCGCTATGGGGAGATTAGACAGCTGTCAATCACTAAGCAGGTAGGCTAACCGATTGTTTAGGACCTTCATAAAATTTTATTTAGGAGAAAAGATTAAGTACAGTTATTAAAATCTGCCGAAATACGGCAAAACGCCACTTCCAATATCATCCTTACTATAGCACTTGAAGACTTGTGCGACATATCTACTTGTTCGTAATACGAAAATCTTCATGGAAATAGTTTTTATATTGCATTAAAGGCTTTCGTTTTTTTAATAAAAAATAAAAACAGAAAAACGTATTTTTCTTTTTGAGCCAAAGCTATAACGTATTTTGGCTTAAAAAAATCTGACAGTGTAGATAATATTATTGCTCACCTGGGAGTAAACATTATTTTTTCGTTAAACTATCCATTTTTTAGTTATTGTTGATTAAAGCAAGACCTAAAAAGGGCATTTTTTGTAAATGTAGGCAACCAAACATCTTCTTTCGTCAAGAACGAGCCAAGAAAGTGTATGATTTACGATAGGGGTTGGTCATTATTGCGAGATTAGACGGATTTAAAACCCTTATTGAGAAAGTATGCAAATGAGGTGACCGTAGTGTGTTCTACCTGAAGGTTGTAGCATCGTGCAATTATGTAGGAGTATTATATTAATCGAATTTCAGAATAACAAATAAATAACCGAGTTTGGATTTTTTACAAAACTGCCTAACTTGTTTCAACAGATATAATTGCTACTGATCCCAAGTTAGACAAATTTCAAAATCATCATGAATCAAAGAATATTGTTGAAATCGTAATAACCCAATGGATTTTTTCTCGGGAAAATGTTTTGGAAAGACTGTATTCTATTATCAATGAATTTTTAAATGTTTTTAGTAACAATTTTTGTGGTTGTTTTCGATACACTGTATGATATTAACAGTGAGAAAAAAAAATGAAAAATTAAAATAATCGAGAAATCTAATAATCGAAAAATCGGAACCTTAAAAAATAAAACCGAAACATTGAAAATCGAAATATCGAAGAACTGAAAATCGAAAAATGAAACATCAGAAAATCGAAAAAATGTAAAATTCAAAAATCTAAAATTTAAAAATCGAAACTCACAAATTTAAAAAATCGGATAACTGAAATATCGAAACATCGAAAAACTGGAAAATTGAAAAATCAAAAGATCACGAAATCGTGGAGTCGAAAAGTCAAACAATTGATAAACCGAAATAGGCCAAAATCGAAAAATCGAAAAGTTAAAAATTGAACAATTTATAATCCAAAATCGAAAAATCCAAATCTCGATAAATCGAGAAATCAAAAAACTTAGAAATTCGAAAAATTGAAAAATTGAGAGATTGAAAGATCAAAAGAACGAGAAATCGAAAAGTGATGAAGTCGAAACAGAGAAATCGACAAACAAAAAGTTAAAAGTTGAAAAATTGAAAAAGCGGAAAAATTAAAAAACGAAAAAATGGAAAACTGAAAAAACTGAGAAACCGAAATAGGCCAAAATAAAAAATTGAAAAACTGATAAATCGAAAATTTGAACAATCAAATATCTATAAATCGGGAATGAAAAATTAACAAATCGAAAAATTGAAAAACGGAACATCTAAAATCGGGAAGTCGAAAAATCGAAAGATTAAGAAATCGAAACATTTGAAAAATTCGAAAACTTGAAAAATTCAAATATCGAAGAACTGAAATGAAAAATCGAAAAATCTAAAATTTAAAAAATGAAAAAATCTGAAATTGAAAAATCGAAAAAGTAAAATAATCGACTCATCGAAAAATCCAGGAGTCAAAACTGAGATATCTGAAAACTGAAAAATGGAAAACCTGAAAACTGAAATATCCAAAAACTGAGAACCTAAAAAGTCGAAAAATTGAGCAATCGAAAAATCCAAAAAGTGAAGTAGAAAAATCGAAAGCTTGAAAAAGCTAAAAAATGAAAAATCGAAAAATTAAAGAATTGAAGAACAGGAATATCGAAACCCTCAAAAGTCAAGAACTGGGAAAATCAAAACATCGATTAATTGAACAATCGAAAAATTGACAGTTTATAAATCTAATACCGGGAAGTCGAAAAATCGAAAGATTAAGAAATCGAAACATTTGAAAAATTGAAATATGGAAGAGCTGAAATGAAAAATCGAGAAATCGAACAATCTAAAATTTTAAATACTGAGAAATGGAAATACTAAAACATGAGAAATCTAAAATTTAAAAATCGAAAAAGTAAAAAGTCGACACAAATATTGAAAAATTCCAAAACTGAAATATCGAAAAACTGAGGAATCGAAAAACTGAAAAATCCCAAAACTGAAAATCCAAAGAATCGAAAAATCAAAAAAGTGAAGTCGAAATACCGAAACCTTAAAAAAAAATCGAAAAATTGAATAAGTAAACTGAAAAATCCCAAAATTGAAATGTCCAAAAACTGAGAAATTAAAAAATTGAAAAATTGAGAAATCGAAAAATAAAAAAAGTGAAGTTGAAAAATCGAAACCTGAAAAAATAGAAAAATTGAAAAACCAAAAAACCTGAAAAATCGGTCAATTGAAAAATCGACAAATAAAGAGTTAATATAAAAATCAAAAATTGAAAAATCGAAATATTTAAAAATCGTAAAATTGAAGAGAAAAACTGAAAACAGAGAAATTGAAAAATTGAGAAATTGTAAAATCCAAAAATTGAATAATAAATAGGAGTAAACTCAAAAGTCCGCAAACTAAAATTTCGAAAAACTGAGAATTCGAAAGTTGAAACAGCAAGAAATTATGGTCGAAACCGGTTAGGATGTGTATCAGCAGATCATGGTTCATGGCTTATAAATCAAATCGTTTCCGAACGCTTAAAGTCGACATTGGTCTGAGTGCGCTCTGGTCTGCAGATCAAACAAGTTCTCAGACGACGAACTGTAATTTGTGTGGCCTGAATTGAAGTGAAGGAAGCAGTAAGCAGCTTGTAATATTCTGGTAAATCTAGTGTCAATTTGTCGAAAGTAAAACGCGTCGTTAAAAATATTATGACATTTTTTCTATTGTACTTAATTATATTCCTAGCTAGGAACAAACACTGTTCCCAACATAAGTCGAGGAGTCCTCAACCTTCATTTAATTTAAACTATGAAGCTTCTCTATGTTCTCTGGTAAAACGCTAACAAAAATTTGTCTAATCATCCCCACCAATAATGTGATGACGTCACTTCAAAACAGTACATAGTAAATGCGTTTTCAATTGTATGAAATAACATATAGTTTATGATTCCGTATTTACTTTTTACCCGAAATGTCTAGATTTTTGAAAAAAAAATCAAAATTATAAAACAAAATTTTGCAATATAATTTTGAATATGCAAAACCGAATGCTTTGAAATCTGACAGATGTTTTAGAGTAATGATAAGCATGATAAATTTATTTCATTTAGGCAACTTGTTAAAAACTTTTCAACGCATCGGCCAAAGTTTCGAAATGATTTATGATGCCTAAGCAGGTGGCCTAGTGCTTAGTGCTACCCTCATTAATAAAGAATTTAGGGTTTATTATTGCCTGTATTTGCTTGCTAATGGCTTGAAGGAACACAACAAAATGTATTTATTAGTATTACTTTGGACTTTTTGGTATTTTGTAAGGAAGTTGTTTTTGCAAAATTGTTTACTAGTTACCAGTCTATTTGGGATGTCGTAAAAGTATTTGTGTTTCCACCAAATTGGGCTTAATTAACTTTAATATGAAGATTTTTATTGGCTATATGTGCTTTTTGCCAAAATTAACAAATTTAAACCATGAAACTATAAAACTGGCGCCAATATTTAACTGCGAAATGTATTTGCTCACCCTCCCCTAAAAATTGATGACATCACCTCAAAATTTTGCTTAGATATGCGAAGTGTCGATATATTTTATTGATTAAATCAAGAATTGCAAAACGAATACTTTGAAATATTGCAGACGTTTAGAAGTTAGTGTAATCATGGTATTTTTTTAATCAAAATGTATTTGTTTATCAACCCCAAAAAATTGATGACGTCGTCTCACAATTTTACCTAATAAATCCTATCTAAAATGTGCAAAATATGATCAGTCTATACATGTTATTGATCATTGCATTCATATTTTTTAGATTTGCTTAAACAGGTGGCTCAAAAAAATTCACGAATGAGTCGATTTAATTGATTAAATCAGGGACGGCTCACTTCACTTTCCCAGAAAATTTTGGGAAAACAATATTCTTATTTTTAGTATCAAATTGTGTACAGAAAAAACTCAACTCGAAAATGCTGAATATTCAACCTTTGATGAAATCTATTTTTAAAATTCGTACGTCAAAGCACCTCAACACCAAAATTTATCAGCAAAGATCGACGGCACCGACACAAGCGTGACTCACTATTCAAATTTCGTTAATTATCCTACCCAAGGATTCGTTTAAAGGTTTTAAAGCCTTCAACTAATCCTTAGAGACGATAATGAAAATTTTCTAGAAGTACTTAAGTAGTCGTAAACCAAATATACCGTCGAATGAATTTTTGTTTTGAAACTGTCAATATTACTACCGTCCTAAAATTGTTGTGTGATTCACAACAAAAAAAAAATAGTTGGTTATTTATCAAAAAATTCATACCGAGATACATTTATAGACAATATTGTAAAAATATATATTTGCAAATTTATATGTATTTAATGTGATTAAATTATACCGTTATTAGGTTTTTAACCAATAATAAAAGAAAATAGAAAACTAGGACAAAATATAAATTAAAGAAAAAAACGGTTTTGCTTAGAAAAAAACACAACTCTTATACAATTTGTACGTACATATACAGGATGTGGCACTTCGGCGCGTATTACTTGCTTTAAAATATTTTATGGTGTGGTACTGCAACACGTGTTGCGATACACAGTACCTTTTTCAGGTAGAAACCGAAAACCTGTTTTTGTTTTTCTGTTAAAGTTACAAGCAACGTGTATTTACATTTATCAGTCTTGTAAATGTTCACATAAAAAAAAGCACCGATTTTTTTTCAGTTTTCAACCTATTGTACGATTAATTTCATCAAATAAAAATTAACCATGTATTTTGCAAATCTTAAGTTTTTCGTTTGTTTACTAAAGGAATTCAGGTTTAAAATTCAAATTTTGCGCTGGTAAAGTTCATCGACCTGTGGCGGTTAGACCGCGCAAACTGAAAAATTTACCTGACGTCTAGGAACGCATTTATTCTGTTCATGGGATTAAGTGTAATTTGAATAAATATTCACTGCATTTGAATTTGGGAGGATAATTTTATTGCATCTTGGAATTTTTGGTTTACCTCTGCCGATATCCCTTTGTGGTTTCAGTCAAAAATCATCCATGTGGAATAAAAGTAAAAAGCTGGATTTTTTTTTATCGTTTGGATGTTATTAAAAATAATGTACATATGCAACAAATATCTAATGTCTCCCCAAAAAATGTTTCAAAGTGAAAAAAAGTAATGAGTGATTGCAATGAATTGTTCCCTTAATACCTTCACTAATTAGTTTCTTGGAAAGGATTTTCGTTTCGAGTTGATTGGTGAAATTTTGGGACGGGTCCAACCCCCTACCCTGATGGTATAAAAACCCCCACTAGTAGCTAAAATTTTACACTTTACAGATTTAGTGAAATTTCTTCAGGTATGTAGTTTTTTATTTTCCAATACAGTGCTGTTTTGATATTAGCGTGTTACCAATAATGATAAAAAACGACTTAAAATATTTTCGCTACAGTCCTTAATGTCAAAACGAGCACTTAATAAAACCCCTATAGTTTGTTCACATTTTAAAAATTCACCGATAATCTCGAGGTAAACCGCGGTCGAATTTTTAAAACGTGTGACTGATTATTATTTTTTCCTGCAAATTTTAGGAAATATGGCCGTTTTTCGCGACAACAACAATAATGAAATTTTTAATGACGACGATGACGGTCCGGTGAGAGAAATGGGTGAACCACTAGTATATAGACGACCAATAGGCAGTCGAGAGTCTTCCGAAAGGCATTTCAAAGGACTGTATGAAACGCCGTTTTTCGCTTTACACACAATGTACAATGCGTTCTCAAAGATCGTGGATAATGAATATGACCCGGAGGGTGCGGGAAATCCAGAAGGTGTGTTTATACCTTTTCTAGGACTATATGTGGACGAGAGCGCGGCGAGTGTGATCACAGAAAACCCAGAGCTTGCACAAGACCTCTTGGATTCTATTAGACACGAAGATTATCTTCGGAAACAACGATCTGCGATACCATTACCTCCACCACCAGTTCGCGAACCACCGCGAAGGGTTTTTCGTGACGAGGACGGATATGAATTCGATCAAGATATCGAATCCGAATTGGTGAAGCTTCTGGACGAGGATAAGGAAGTAAACCCCTGGTTGAATATGAATAGCAAGGGTGAAGTTCCACTGCAGAGACCTCCGGACGAGGATGAGGAGGTATATGAAGAACCGTGCTTATGCACAATTTGTATTGGCGAACTTCTGGGGCAGTTCCCTCCGGACGAGGATGAGGAGGTAGACGAAGAAGTCTGGTTTTATACAAGTAGCATTGGTCAACCTCTACTACAGGGTAGTCCGGACGCCAACGAGGAGGTATTATATGAAGAACCGTGCTCATGCACAATTTGCATGAGAGAACTTCTACTGCAGTTCCATCCGGACGAGAATGAGGAGGTAAATGAAGGACCATGCTTATGTGAAATTTGTACGGATCAACGTCTACGGCAGGACTCCCAAGATGAGGATGAGATGGTAGAAGAGGAGGTAGATGATTTCTACGAAGACTTAGACTTTTCAGATGTGGATTAAGGATTTCTGAACTCATAATTTCAACGGCAGAGGTTTATGAGAAGTAGATGATTTCACGGGCATTTCCAGTACATTAATATGATATACAGAAATTTATTGTTAAACTCATGATAATAAAACTGTTTAAATTTTTTCTACATTTTTTTTGTTTTTTTTTTGACTGAAAATTGTGTGTTGTAAATCTGACTGTACACAAAGTGAGAGCATCTGTCTGAACTTTGTTGACGTCCGTGTGGCTGTCACCTGTCAGACGCGCTTCCTCAACTAACAACCGTTGGTGTTTTGTAAGTAAGAAATTTAATTTTCGTCACATAAAAATGGCTTTTTTTTATTCGTGTGTTTGCGGATATTAATTTTCGATCTAAGAAGTTCTTGAGAAGGTTACCTAATTGACATGTGGTGGTGTGTTTGGGCTGCGTTACACAATTAAAACTAGTTCATAGGTTATAGTCACTTTGGCAATGTTTAACTGGACAAGTTATGCAACTAAATATACAGCTGTGTTAGCTTTGTCAAGCACAGATTAAGTAGAGATTAGATTTGAAGTAACAGTAATATTTAAGCGAAAATCACTGTTAATAAAACAAATTAGGAAAAAAAAAACACAATTTTGACAATTGGTCTTTGTTTTCATTTTCAGACGTTCGTCGTAGAAATCAACGACAAACCAATCGTGCACTAATGATATCCACAGTAGATCTAACACATAATGAAAGCAAATCAAATATGACACAAACACAAGATAATCCTAACAGTAACAACTGTAATAAAGACCTAAACAATGTTGGACTTTTGCAAGTCGTGTCACCAGAAAATGAAAAAAATATTATCAATATTGAAGATAGCGAAGATGAAGTTGAAGAAGATAGCGATGTGAATAAAGAGAAACTACGTGATAGGCAAACTATAAGAACTGAAAAAGCTACAATTTCAGTAACACCAAGTCAAGGAACAGTGTTTTGGGTGATGTTACAACCTCAAGAGATGCGTGCAAATGTTGTCAACAATGGAAAGAAACAACAAGAAAAGCAAACGAATGATAAAAGCGCAACACTAGGTAAAACAAGTATATTGCGAACAGTTTTAATGGATTCTGTGACGATACAAGAGAATGAAAAAAGAAGCCAAAGAGAAAAACATCCTGTAAAAGCTTTGAAGCCAAAGAAAGCGCATGACACAACTAGTGAAAGAAAGAACAACAAAAAAGAAACAACAATAGTGATTGAAGATAGCGATAAGGATGACGATGATGAATCTAATGTACCGCACAAAGTAGTTGGACGCCGGACAAAATGCGCCAACATCGTAAAATGCAAAAAATTTACCTCTCAGTACTACAAGTGTATGCAATGCAATTATGCAACAGGATTGTTGAGTTATTTTCGCGAACATTTACAAAGTGATAGACACAAATGGTTGCTTAGAGAGAAAAAGTGTGTCAGTAAATGTATAGATAAAGAAAAAACAACTAAAAACGAAAAGCCAAGGATAAAATTCAATCCGCAGATAAAGTTAGTGAGTGAAATTATCAAAGAATACGTAAAAGAACAGCAAAACAAAAAAGAAAAAGCGCCAATAGTTATTGAAGATAGTGACAAAGAAGAGGACGTCGTTCAAGACGAAATAGAAGTGGAAGAAAATAGGTTGCAATCTAGTGTACAAGAAAAGGTAGTAGAAACCCAGGCCACCAATCCCAGCGTTCCACAGCAAACTCCTTTGGTGTATAACTGCGAACCGTGCCGTTATACCACAGAACACAAGTTTTATTTTGAGATTCATTTACAGAGCGAAAAACATGCAAGTGCAATTGGAAATGGTCCAAACTCCAGCACAAAAAGAAAACGAAACGACGATACACCCACTGAAAACAACAACCAAACGACAATAATTATTGAAGATAATGATAAACAAGATGAAGCACAAACAAGAAGCCAGAAAAAACTGCTCTTCTCTCGTTATCAGATTGTTCAAGGACTCGCAAAGAATCATGCCTTGTTTCTAAAGCAACCGACTTCTGGATGGTATGTGTGTGACCCGTGCGGTTATGCAACCGACACAAAACGATTTTTTGTAAAACACGTAAAAACCGAAAAACACAAGCGTGTCGTCAAATCGTTGAAAGATGTAACCAGCTCTTCAATCGGTGAACTAAAAACGGAGAAGTGGTACAAATGTGAGCTTTGCAATTATATAACTAAACAGAGGAAATGTATATATTTACACTTCAAAAGCTGCGAGCATATCGATACTGTGGTTGCTGCGGCAACTGGTGATCACAGAGAAGATGATTGTGTACGAAATTGTAATTTTTGTAATTATGTAACGGTAAGCAAGGTAAATTTAAGAGTACATATTTTGGAAAGGCATAGACAACCCAGAGGGGTTTATCAGTTCTGGTGCAAAATCTGCAACTATAGAACCCATGATAGAGAGTTTTTCAGGTTTCATTTTCGCCACACAAAACATAAAGTTGCAATGATTCAAATGACAGAAAAGTTGAAAAAGGTTGATAGCGAGATGATCGTGGATGAAGTAGTGGAGGATTTGGAGGAGAATGAACGTGAAAACGTTGCCGAAAGCGCAGAACTCTCAAACGATACAGACTGGACGGAAATTGAAGTCATCGTTGAAAAAGAAGAAGAAGAAGACAATGAATTGGCGATAGAAACACATAATTCTGATGAAAATAGTGTTGACCAATTTCTATTTGATTCGTGTAGTTTGAACGCTGCAGAATGTGATTCTTTGCAGCTGGACGGTTTGAACCAGGATGCATACAGTGAAGAAATCAATGCACAAGATACTGAAGACTGGGCTGACGTTGACGTGGAAGAAGACACAAGCTACATTGAAAATGAAGAAATTGACACAAATTTAAACAATCACCTCAGATAATATATTTTGTACAAGCGCCATATTAACTATGATGTGAGTTCTGTGAATTGAAGCAATTTACATCACTTTTTTGTTAATTCAGTCGAGGTACAATTTGAGTTCTTGTCAAAATACGATAAAATTTTGACACATACTTTAGATTTAAGTGAGTAAATTTATACTTACAAGATTATTTAAGTTATTTATAATAAAACCGATATTAAACGTTTTGTGCTTTTTTTTAATGAAGAGTTCATAATTGGAGTAAAATTGTGTGCTGTAAACCCGACTTTCTTCTTTCGAGCCACATTGCTCCAGTATTAACAAAACGTCAATGACGTCAGTTGACATTAAGCGTCGAGTGAATAACCTCAAGATTTGTTTACGTTGAACTAATTTCGACCGTAAGTACTCGCATAAATTTTCTTAACACTAGAAATAGTACAAATAATGATATCTTGTCCGTGTTCGTGGTTAAATTTGATAAATTTCAACGTCAACAGATCGCCACAAAAATGGTGGGCGTTCATTGGATGTTGACGCGCGCAACATTGCGAATGGTTCATTGGATGATGTCACTTATTATGCAACATGAACAGCATTTTTTCATTTTCAGCAACATTCACAACAAAATGGCGGCTCCACTTGGAACTATACCCTCGTCAACACGATTTCTGTATGCATTGGTGCCAACCCGAATTCAATTCGTCCCTAAATCCAAGCAGGCAGCTACTTCAGGTCAGGTCAGGTCAAACAGTACGCAAATAGCAAAAATCAGACAATACAAACGCACCGAAATGCGTGAAAAGAAAAAAGTTGTAACATTCAACAAAAATGTCCCTGTGGAGGAAGAAATTGAAATAAAACGAAACTTTAGATCTCGGATGAAGTACGAAATACACACAACTACGGACAAAATGCAAACCCATGACGCAATTTTTTTGGGAGAGACGGGACGGGAAGCGGGAAATATAATAATGGTACAGTATAGTATACAAGAAGAACACAGTTACTCCTGTTGCAATTATGACCCAAAAAGTGAAACAGATCGGGAAACACAAATCGCCGAAGAGAAGACAAAGACGTGTGAACCCAAAGGTCATGTAGATCTGGAGATACAACAACCTGGAAAGAAAACCAGAAGCCAGAAACACACGTGGTATACCTGCCACACCTGCGATTTTAAAACGAAAATGGAAGATTCGTTTCGCTTCCACGTCCAGAGCGGAAATCACAAAGTCATCGTATACGCCGCAAAGAAAAAAGAAAAGTCAGCTACAAACACAATCAACAGAAGAAAACAAGTTGATGTAGTAGACAATGAGGCGCCTCCAGAAATCAAAATGGAAATAGTAGAAAACGATCTACCAAGAAACGAAACCCACGAAACCACAAAAATGCAAGATTCCCTTCAATTCTCCTCATACGCCACAGAAACCGAAATCAAACAAGAACCATGTGAAGATTGGGCCGAAGTTAACGTCCACGAAGACACCAAAGAGTGTATACCACTCGACACAACTCCCCCCGACGACGTCCCCGACGCCAAATTCAAATGCCTCCACTGCAAATACCAAACCGACTGGAAAAACAACATGACCAAACACGTCGCCGCCCGCCACACCCCCTCCGACAAAATCCAGTGGTTCCATTGTGCCCACTGCTCCTACAAAGCCAAAGTCCGCGAAAATCTCCTCAAACACTGGCAATACGTACACAACAAAAGCCAGACGTTGAAGTGGCTATACTGCGACAAGTGTTCCTACAAAGCTAAGGGGGCTATCCTTCTCAAAAACCACGTTATAACTTATCATACTAGACCCGACGAAATCAAATGGTGGGCTTGCGATGAATGTCCGTTTCGGGGTAAACTCAAGACTCAGTTGACTTGGCACATGAAGACCAAACATCGACCTGTGTGGCTTTGTTGCGACAAGTGTCATTACAAAACTATGGAAAAGAACTCGTTGTTGTCGCATATAAGGATGCACGATAAGATTTTAAAGTGGTTCCGGTGTAAGCAGTGTCCGTACCAATCGTTTCGGATTCGGGAAATGGAAGAACACATTCGTGCGTTACATGGGGTGGAAAAGTTTGATTTTGAGCTCGCGGAACTGAGTTTTAGTCCGAAAGTTCCGACGAAGGTGGAAAGGGATGCGTGTTTTGAAGGGGGTGATAATGGGGGGGTGAAGTGTAAATTCTGTGATTTTGTTACAGATGCGGCGAGTGAGGTGGAGAGACATATTGGGGAAAGGCATAATTTGATTACACTAGTGTAGGTTTCGCTGTAAATATTTGGAACTCAAAGCATCATAGTGATAATCACAATTTGATTAAAATTGTGTTGACAAATCTGCCAGTTAGGTATTAAGATGTCTTTATTATATTTTATTTTATATGAATAAATTTGTTGCAATCGTGTGTAGTACCGTATACTTCGTTGTGGTGGCGCTAATAGACGACAACCGAATGTCACCGAGCTCATTGTTCGCAACCACAACATTTTTTTTGGATTAATGCCAGTGGCGTACCACAAAATTGTTACGCATTCCTGTGAATTTAAATCCGGTTTTTTATTAGTTTTATTTGTGATGTTCGAGTTTTCGTTATTGACTTATGAATATTTGTCATTGGTAATTGTTTGTTTTGGTTTTTTAATGAAATAAAATATTTTTTCTTTTAATTGATTGCCTTTTTACTGTCCGCCACTGTGGCTAACAAAATTGTGATAGTGAATTCCTGAACCCTTATTCTAAGACTAGATGCGTTTGTTATATCTTTCCATTACCAGAAAACATACACGGTGTTGGAACTAATTACTAACTCAATCAGTAGTCATTAATTTGTTACCCCGAAACCTAACCTCACTTTTCGGATGGCCAAATGTCGCAACTGAATGAAAATTCCTCGTCGGCGCACAAAAGTGTCCTGCAGTCGGAATACACGGATTTCCAAGATGCTTTCTTTAAACAGTTCGTTCGACCGTTTCAAAGAATATGTGGTCAAACCCCAACAAACGAAGTTGTGACAAAGAAACCCCAGGAAGCTACAGCCCCCATACCACCACTCTTAAAAGAAGAAAAAATTGAAAAAGTTGATTTAACTTCAGAGGAAATAAACACAGACCTTTTTCTCGATTGGAGAGATAACTGGCAGTACGTAGACCCTACACAAAACAACTTGGTGCGTCCGGAAATAAAACTGGAAAGTGTGGATTTAAAGGAAAATAAACATTGGGCCGACATTGACATATCAGAAGATGAAGTGGTGACGCGACCTGAACCCAGCATCGAGGATGAAATATGCAACTATGTGTTGTATAAACACACTTTGGAACCTGATCCCGAAGCGAATAAGGCAAGTGAAGCTTCAGCTTCACGCTCATTTGAAAATATAGTAAAAATTGAAAGTCCGAAGAATGGGAATTTCAAACGTGCAATAAATTCGCAAAAACTGGCAAAACCTGCAGTGCCAACAAAAAAAAGATCCAAAGTCCTTCAGAAGAAAGTGAAAATTGGTGGCGCAGAAAATCAACAAGCTCAAAATTATGGGTATGCATTCGTCAATTCAAGTGTACCAATTTACGACTACGGCACAACTTATCGCCAAACCTTTGAAGCAGTGACAGTTCCAAATTTGAGCAAAAATGGATTAAAACAGAACGTTAGTCGAAAAAGGGCGCAAATTAATCAAGAACCACAAGTTTACGGGATGTTACATCCAAATGGACAAATTTATGGTTATGACACAGCTTCCTTAACACCTAGTGCTCCGATGAACAGTGAAGACGCTTTGGTTATTCAAATCCCACAGTGTATAGAATCGAGTGGTTACGTTCCAGTTGCAGTTCACGCTGTAGGTGATTATATAATAACAACATTAAAAAATGAATCCATACTTTAGTACGTTCATTCTTTGATTTATTTATTCTCCTTTTATACAATGTATAGCGTTAATCAAAAAATACAATTATTTTCCCGTTAAATCGTAGTGCTTTTGCTTCATGTGCTCCTTCACCCTCTCCTTCCTCTTCGTCTTATACCCGCACACCTCACACCCGAACCACTCTATATCCTCCACCGCCGTATGCCTAAACAACACGTGTTTTTTCAACCCCACCTTCGTCTTGGCTCGAAAATCGCACTGCTCACACTCATGCCACCGAATGTCCTCTGCCGCCGTATGCCTAAACAACACGTGCCTCCTCATATTATCGTTCGTCTTCGCCTTATAATCACAATCCTTGCACTTCAACCACCGACTTTCATCGAAAACGTCGTGTTTCCCTACTACGTGTTTATTGAGTTCGCTTTTGACTTTCGCCCTATAGGGACAATGACCACATTGAAACCACTCCACTTCATCCGGAGCCAAGTGTCTATACGTCACGTGCCGCCTCAGGTGGTCCCTTCGCTTCGCCCTATACTCGCACTGCCCACACTCGAACCACGTGACTTCCCCCTCCATCGCATGCTTACTTAAAACGTGCGGCTTAAGCTGCTTCTTCCAGCGGGTTTTGAAAGGGCACTGTTGGCATTCGTACCACTTACAACTAGACGAGTCGTGGGTGAATTTGTGACTCTTAAGGTTAGCTGAAGACTTGGCTTTGTACGGACACTGGTCACAGTAGAACCACTGGATCTCGTCTAGGCTCGTGTGTTTTCGCAAAATGTGCTGCTTTAGGTCGATTTGGCGCTTGACTTTGTAGGGGCAATGGGGGCAAGTGTACCACTGGAGGTCTTCGCTGTCCGTGTGTCGGAACAAAATGTGTTGCTTCAGACGCGATTTTCGTTTGGTTTTGTAGTCGCACTGTGTGCATTGAAACAAAGCGGGGTCCTCTTCATGCCTACAGATCACGTGTTTCTGCAAGTCGCACTGCATTTTGGCACGGTAGGGACACTGGGGGCACTGGTACCACTGGATACTCTCCATCGGAGTGTGTTTATACAAAATGTGGTTACGCAAACTGCCCTTGCTCTTAGTACGAAACGGACACTGCTCGCAGTACACCCAACTAACATCCTCCGGAGACGTATGCTTCGACAGAATGTGGCGCTTGATGTCTAATCTATATTTCGTAGTAAACTCGCAGTGGTCACACTTAAACCACTGAATCTCCTCCGGAGGCGTATGATGGTACATTACGTGTTGTTTCAACGCGCAGCTGTACTTCGTGATATACTCGCACTGCTCGCACTTCAACAACTTCACCAAGTTGCAGTTGCGTTTGTGTATTCTCAAGTCCAGTTTCGACATAGCTTGGAAGCTGCATTTTTTGCAAATGATGGGCTCCTGAGGGGGCTGCAGGAGTCTCGAAGTGAAGCAGGTCCGCATGTGGCGGTCCGACGATACTTTAAAAGTGGTGCGGAAGTTGCAATTGTCACAATCATAGCTTGGGGGGTTTTTCCAACAAGTGAAAAGTCGGCGGTTTCGGGGGCGCATGAAGTGGTTGTTTCTGAGGTGGTGCAAGAAGGCGAAGTCCCAAAGGGTCGTGTAGGGGCACTGGGGGCAAGGGAGGGGCTCCTTTTTCACCATATTGGGGCGAAATTGGAGTCGGACAGTGCTAACCTACAAATGTTAACACGGTGAAGGGTAGGGGCGGGGTGGTGAATCGCGTTTCTACTGACCTTTTTCCTCGAGGGAAGTGTGGTGGTTGTAAAAAAGTGCAAAAGTTTGGGTTTCTCACATTTGAGGTTATGTTGACAACTAGTGAACTAGAAAATGGAGATGGAATGTGGGTCTGCATCTATGGAGTTGATACAAATAGAACGGCTGTGACATGAACATTGATTAGGGATGAGAGAGTTTTGAGAAAATTTGCATATCTTTTATTTGTTCACACATGTTCTTTTTTCTTTGCCGTTGCCCCCGTTCAAATAAAATTGTATCTCCTCCAAACTCTTCCCCTTCGTTTCGGGTACAAATTTCACGATCAGTACCAATCCAACAATACAGCAGGCCCCGAAAGCCCAAAATGGCACAAACATCCCAAACTCGTCATTCGTAATCTGGAAAAATTTCGACGCTATAGCCCCCATACTAACAGAAAAACTGTCAGCAATACCTGCCGCCACAGTTTTGACATTTGTGGGAAATAACTCACTGATTACAGTCACAGTGGCAAATCCGAGCCCTACACTAAACAAAATATTATATGCAACCAGAGACGTAATAGGCACCCACCCCCAACTCTCAGTAAAGTGTGGAATTTCGAAATTCTTCAAATAAAAATAAGTGCCTAGAATCAACACGGAAAGCGAACAACCAAGTGTCGATAAAATGAACAAAGGACGCTTGCCGCACCTGTCCACCACAAAAGTAGCGACAAGTGTGACTACTAACTCCACAGCGCAGTAGATAATTACTGACATTTCTGAGCTAAAATTGCTTCCAGCTTCTTCAAAAATCATAGTTGTGTAGAATAGACATGGGTTTTTCCCGCTGAACTTATTAGTAACGCATACTATAACAAAAATGAAGCAGGCTCTTCTATTTCCACGCACTGTAAATAAGTCCGTAATCTTCCCCTTATTTTCCTCTTGTCGTTCCACCGCGGTACACAACTCTTCCATTTCTTCATCCACATCCCCCCTCCCTGTCAGAATCTTCAAACTCTCCCGCGCGTTTTCAAATTTCTTCTTCTTGATGTAGTAATACGGGGACTCCGGCATCCACACAAACGTCAAAAAGTGGATAACGGGAACAAAAGCACAAATCAACGACGACGTGAAGATTGAGTACGTTTGGCCTATTATGTTGATGAAAAGAGTCCCCGCGATTCCGGCTATCGCCACCATCGAAGTCAAAAAGCCTCTGATTTGAGGATCCGAAATTTCTCCTATATACATTGGGAGGACTGTGTATAAAGCTCCTTCTGTGGCGCCAATTATGAAACGTAAGACTGAAAGAAGGAGGATGGAAGGGGCAAAAGCCATTCCTATGAAAGATAAGAGAATGATGGGGGCCATAAGTAAACTTGTATTCTTGCGGCCGACGACGTCACCCAAAATGGCGGCGATGAAAGCACCCACTGGAGCGCCCACTAGTGGCATGATGGCGCACCACGAGCCGGCGTCGCTAGTGGTGGGGATGGGGGACGTGGGGGCTAAGAGTTGTGGGAGATAGGGGGACGTCCATCCTAAATTAATACCAGAGGTGATGACAGAAAATGTCCCTAGAATATAATAAAATTAAAAAGTACGAAAGAGTAAAAGTTTGTGGTTTTACCGGAGAAAGTGGCCAAGTATTGGAATAGTCTCCCTTGATTTTTAATGAATGGGATATACATTTTGAGCGATGGACTACCAAAACATGACTATCGTCTGTGAATTTGACATGTGTACGTTATATAACGAAATTATCTCGAGACGATAACAATTTAAATATTTACTTTTTGGCTTTGTTGTTTTAGAAATCACACAATATAGATTTAGTCACGTTCAGTTTAATGCCGAATGTATTTTTGCACCTTTTTCAAATATTGAAAACAATGCTGATAACAAATGAGCGCACGATAAATCTCTTGTGACGTAAAATATAATGAATGTATAAACATAAACACACGTAAGTACGATGGAATTTGATATGAAAATAATGGCAATAGTAAAAGCAAATTATTATTATTATTTAGTTTGTCTGTATTTGTTTAGCTTGTCTTAAAAAAACGTCAAATCTAGTTTTATTGCATTGGTCATGTTCTTAGGTTGGCACTCAAAAACCCACCAATCTACATAACCTCGTAATTTGAATTCGAATTTCAACGGCCTTTTTGACAAAAGTCATTTAAGTTTCTCATTCATCGATTTCAACAACACAATGTCTGAATCCGACCTAACCACCGAAAACCTGGTGTTAAAACTCAACCTCAAAGGCCACAAGAAACCCATCACAGGAATTTCCTTCGACCCAGATGGGAGACAGTTCGCCAGCAGCAGCGAAGACAAATCCATAATGATATGGAACATGCGAGAAAACGTGCGCAGCTACAGCTTCGTGGGACACTCAGATATTGTTACAGCGATCGAATACTCACCCAACGGAAAACTCCTGGCCACTTCTTCGCAAGACCAGACTGTACGGATATGGGTGCCCACTTTAGTGGGCACGAGTACGGAATTTAGGGCCCACGCTGCCGCGATTCGTACCGTAACGTTTTCACCAGGCAGCGACAAAGTAAACGAATTTGGCCAAAAATTGTCACTATAATAAACTTTGTGGTTGCAGATATTGACAGGGTCGAACGATAAATCGATCAAATTGTGGAACGTGGGGCACAAACAATTTTTAACGTCGTTCGTGGGCCACAACAATTGGGTGCGGAGGGTCCAGTTTTCGACCAACGGGGAAACGGTGGTGTCGTGCTCGGACGATCAAACTGTGAGGGTTTGGGATGTTAGGAGTGGACAATGTGTGCACGTTTTCAGGGTTTCAAAAGGTGCTTGAATTTTTTTTTTTAGTTTTTGTCAAGATTTTTATTTTGTTTTGGTTTTCAGGGAGTCCCACTGGTTTGTCTTTGCATAAAAGTGGGTCTGTGGTGGCTGTTTCCATGGACTCGGGGTCTGTTAGACTTTATGATATTAAGGCTAAAAAGTTGCAACAACACTACGTTTTGCATGATAGTACGACTAGTGTTTGTTGGCACCCAACTGCCAATTATTTACTGACTGCTGGTAAAGATGGTAAAGTGATTGTGGTGGATGTGATGGAAGGGCGGCCGTTGTATACATTACAGGGGCATAATGGGGCGGTTACGTACGTACAATTTAATACAGACGGTGAATATTTTGCCTCAGGTGGCATAGACCAACACATAATGGTGTGGAAAGCCAATTTAGTAAAATAGGTATATAAGTATTTATTAAAACACGTTTTGTACTCTATTAATTATTTATAAATAAAGCATCTGTACATTAACAATATATACAAAATATATACATTTATTGGTTATTAAAAAATCCACAAAATATTGAAAAAGCAATTAAAAAAATTGTACCTATATGAAGATAAATGTTTTAATTACAACTGCAGCATATACTAGCAAACAATAAAGTGACTTTTACAACTTAATTTAATTAATGTATGACATTAATATACAGTCTCCGAGTGTCACTAACGGCACATCCAGAATTCATAGGACTCCATCATGGGTTGACTTTTGAGGCGTAGTTGGTGTTGTTTAAACCTATATTGTTACAAACATATTTCCAATAAGTATTTTTTCATGTTCATTTTTTTATGTATCATTTTTTTCTTGTCTTTTCTTTTTTTTCATTTTTTTTTTCACAAAATGATACAAATTAATTACAAAATTTCCTCACTTTACAAAAATGACACATCGCAAACGAAATTAAAATGTGTAATTTTTGTATTATAAAAAATTTTACAATGCTGGAGTTGCGGGACTCATCTATTGGGATATGACTTAGGATTAGGACTAGGGAGTTACAACATCTACATGGTTGGTATGCACTTTTTAAACCTTACAAATACAAATTAAAAATTGCATACTATACATAAATAACTAAATTAGATACAAGTCTTATAAAATATCACAGATTCGTTATAATACAATTTTAAGAAAAAGCCGTTTTTCTCGATATAATATCCTGTAACACAGCCAGATTAAATGGAACAAGGAGAAAAATGAAATACAGAAAAAAATTTACAACACATGCAACCTAGTAATCATAATCGACAGGAAATCCCGATCGAATCTATTCTCGAACGATGGTAAAGCAAAAGCGAAAAATGTTAGTGCACCGTGAGAGATTCGTAATTGCCGGATAACAGAGAGTAGAATAAAAATCAACTATTTGAACTATCGAATCGAACAATAATTTTAACAAACTAAAAATAATAATGATAAGAAATGACGCAACAAAACACAATACCTGCTCCTGACTTCCTTTGTTCTTGTGCTTCCTCGACTTCTTCCCGAAAACCTCCGGATTGTTCGCCGCCCCCAGTCTCAAGTGAATCGGTAACTTTCCCTCTAAACACGAAACGAACAATCAAAGAAAAAATCTCGAACGAAACAACGCGCCAAATACCTGCATTTTCATCTTTATTTTTCGATTTTTTCGCTTTGCGGAAACCCACCCCTTGGAGGGCGTTCTGGAGGAGCCTCGACGGAACCACGTCCGGTAGGGGATGCTTTTGGCGCTCGGCGCGTTTTCGACTAAGTTGCGCCCTCAAATCACCTTGAAGAGAAAAAAAAATCAGCCACGCCCACTCCTTTAAAACACTCCTCCTTACCTTCCGATATATTCGAATTTGCCACCTCTTCCGCACCCTCAGGCGCCGTCTCGGGCTCGACTTCCTCTCCCTCCTTCTTCGCCACTTCAACTTTCCTTCCGCTCTTCTCCTCCCCACTCTTCACCGGCTCCGCCCTTTCGTACTTCGCCGGATTCCGGATCTTGATCTCGATCTTCCTATCACTGGCGAATCCGATTGGTTGCTTCACCTTTTCGGTTTTTTTCGGCGCCTTGCTCACCGCTGCTTTCTTCACGGGACTCTTCACCGGAGTTCTGCTCCTGAAATTCTTCCTCCTTTCGTTCCTCCTCCCGATCTTCTTCTCCTCCACCCTCAAATCGTTCTTCACTTCGGTCTTCACCCCGTTTATCAGTTTCGTAAACGACAACACCGGAACCTTCTGGTTACTCTCTTGTTTCGTTTTGAATCTTCCTTCGTTGTCGCTGTCTGATTCTTCGTCCGAAAACAACGCGTTGTGATCTAGGAGGATCGCATCGTCGCCGTCGTCCCCTTCCAGTAGCGCCTCTTCGTCGATGTCTTCGTCGTCTTCTTCTTCGATCTGTTCTTCGATTGGTGCTTCTTCCTTCTGCGGTTCAGCCTCTTCTGAATCTTCTTGTTTCTTTAACCGGATCACACCTTCAGTCATCACGATTTCGTTGCGTTCGAATTTCTTCCGGCGAGCTTCTAGAATCGGGTCCAACACTTCTTTCTTTTCTTCGTTTTTCTTAGTTTTATCGTCTTCGGGCTCAGTCTTAGTGGGGGGTTTGACGCCGAGGCGGTCGTGGATTGGTGGCTTTTTGGGGGAGTTCGTGCGAGGTGGGAGGACCTTACGTATGGGGGAGGTGCTTAACGAACGCCGCTTGGGAGACTTGGATAACCGTTGAGGAGACAACGACGACCTGTAATATTCATTAAAATGACTCTAAGTAAAATGAACCCGATCGCAAAAATACCTTTTTGGAGTCTTCGACCGTCGAAACCTTGCTGGTGACGGACTCCTCGAATACGACCTCCGCTTCCTCTTCTCCACGATAGCTCTGTTCTCCATCACGAAAGCGGCACTCCTCGGAGACAGCGGCGCCAACGTGATGTTACTAATAGAGAGCGGCGACAGCGGCCTTTCGTAAACAGGCGGAGCCACATGCATGGGGGGTAACTGCGGGGGCGGCGCCTCGAAAAGCACCGGCGGGGGAGCATACACCCCGTTATCGAATCCAATTGGGTTAAAAGGCCCGAACGTCTGCACCGGAGGCGGGGCGAACGCCACGACCGGCGGTTGCATCATCTCGGGGGGAGGAACCTGATGGTGGACGACCGGAGGCCCGAAACTTTGCACGTTGTGACGACGAGGAGGCTTCTGCCACTTGCGCTGGCGGAAATTGTGAGGCGCCTTTTTGGGGAGTTCCGGGTCTGGTTTGAGATTTTCTTTCAGAACCGGGAGAGGTTTAAGTTCTGGGGGTTTTTCAGGGCTGGCGGGGGCAGTGTTGGTTTCGCTGACTTTTCGCTTTTTCTTGGGTACGTGCTTGGGCTTGTCTTCTGGTTTTGTGCTGACTCCTTGGATTTCGTTCTCGAGCTCGGCCATGAGGGCTTCGAGGCTGCTGGACCGCTTCAAGTCGGTTTTTTCTTCGGGTTCTGATTTAGAGAGTTCGTCTTCGGAGTCTGACCCGGAATCGTCAGAGTTGTCGTACCTATCGAATTTGCTCGTTAGTGTGTCGGGTTTTTCGGGGCTTTTCTCGACCTTGCAGTATCGGTCTTGGGGGAGGACGAGTTTCGGGACGTCGTCCGATTTGTGTTCGAGGGGGCTGTTGGTCTCTGTGATCATGGGGACCGCGATTAAGTTAGAGTTGCGATTCCAGCCATTGAATTGACCCTGAAATCGAGAGTGAGGTTAACAATTCGGGATTTTTATAAAATAAGTTACGTTTCTGGGTATGCGTCCTTGTGGCGATCTGGGAAACTTCCCGCGTTTCAGCTTTCCTCTCGGTGACCCATTAAAGTAATACATTTTTTCTTTGGCACCAAAATGAACTACTGCTTGTGCCTCATTGGTTGCTTTTCTTTTTAGCGACTGTAAAGCTGCTAAGCGTAAAGCTTCTAAATCTTCATCTTCTTCTGGGCAAGACAACTGGAACAAAAGAGCGTTGTGACAATGCTACCAAAGTAAATAAAAACAAAACAGGGAGGAACAGTAACGAAAAGAAAACGTAAACAACGATTTTACCTTAGTGTTGTCTTCCATTTTATGATTTTTTTCGCGATTTATTGATTGGAATCAAAACATAAATACTTTAACAATATGGCGCTGTCAATTTCACTGCCACAGGGGGAGTGCGACTTCGTAGGGTTGGTAGCGTAAATGTCACCGAGATGTTTCACATTTTTTATAAACAACAAAACAAATTTAAACATTTGCAGAGAACACCACCACTTACTATCGCACACGATGCTAATTAATGACTGAAACGGGACGAGCGTCCGACAAAAATCACGAATTAAGTAATTAGGTGCCAACTTGACACAACCAAAATCCCTAGGTATCGATTGTGGTAGACGAGCAATGTGTTGTCAAATAGGAATTAGTAATAACAAATAGCAATTTTCTAATTATGTATTATATTTAAAACGATTTGCTTTATTATTATTGCTAGGTTTAACGACCAGTGCCGTTTTCACCAAATTTGCCGGACCGTGTATGTTACTATCAGCGGAAAATGGCCTGATGTTACCTCACTTTTAGCGAAATTTATTTATTTATACAATTATCCTTATTTTAGTCGAATGGAAACGCACCTCCAAACATGAAATACCGGTAAGTCCACCCTCGTTGTTGTACCGCTTCTCTGATAAAAACTTCTTCCAGTTGTTAATTTTGTGAATGAAAATGGAGGCTGAACCTCTCATACTCCCAGACAATACAATAATAGATCCAACCCAACCACCTCCAAGCTTCAATTTCCCCAAACCCGACTTCACCGAGATCGTCCAAGACCACTCTGACCCCCCAAGTGACAAAACTGAACCGGCACTCCTCAAACCGACATTCAAGAGTGCCCTTCAAGCCAAAAAACGCCTCCAGGCCTTCTCATCCGCCCGGCCGGGATCTCTACCCTCGTCGCCCAAAAAACTCAAACCAAGCATCAGCAGTGAGGAGAAAAGCGACGATGGGACGCCGCCCACCGCGAAAAAACCATTCAAAAAGGGTAAGTCACCAATTTATCCTACCGCCATTACTAGACCCCCTCCCGCATTAAAGGCTCAACCCATGACGACAAAGCCAAGGCCGTAATCGAAGAAATTGAAGAAATGAAACGCGAAGAGATGGCCTTTCTGGAGCTCCAGAGGCAGGTCTTGAAAAGATCGCGTTCCAGATCCAGATCTAGATCTCCAGGTGAGGTTAAGCTCCCGCGCGCCCTCTTGCGGAGATTTCACGAGTCGCTTGCAGATAGAGGTCGGTTCAAAAAAGTGGAGAAGAAGTCGCGCAATTATCGGCGGCGCTCGCCGAGCCCCAAAAAGCGAGACAGCCCCAGAAAACAGCGGGAGAGCCCGAAAAAGCCGCGCGAGAGCCCCAAAGTCGCGAAAAAAGTGAAAAAGTACCCGAAAAACTGGCGCGAGTTTGTCGAATTCAACGCGACGTTTGACATAAACAGCGAACTTGACATGCCGCCGCCCACTGGGAATAACGAGTAAATATTGGTAAAATGGCGCTTTTTCCGATTTTCATTTTTTTGTTTAGGTTGTTCAAGCAAATGCTTTTTGAATCTCCCTCGCTCCCTATAGTCCCGTTCAAAATGAAGACCGTGAACAGGGAGGACAAGGTCGTCCCGTTTGAATACATAAGGTAGTGTTATATACGGGGTGTCTTCGAAAAGGACATCATGTGACGTGGAATGGCTTCTAACCTTGTTTTTTTTTTAAGATATACTCGAGCAAAACCTGTAATACCCCATAGCGTGAATTTTGGTGCAATAAAAGAGAGCTGCATGACGAAGAGGACGCTTTTAGATGCCCTGCCCAAGGACAGTGTCACCAACATTGAAAATTTATACTCAAAATCGATGAGGTAAGATTTATTTATTCTAAAAATACTGAAAACCGTGTATCTCATTTTTCGATGTTGGCAATAAATAGTTTAGATTTGACGTAGCCATGTCAAATATGACATTGGATGAATTTGGCCTTGAAATATTTTCTCACTAAGCCACAATCACACTGTCGAAATTTGATCTTTGTCGCATTATTAAGAATTATCACTACCAGAATCTTTTTGTTTTGCAAAATTTGTTAATTTTTCTTGTTAGGTTCGTAAGTGAGGAAGACGACCCTAAAGTAAGAAAAACCAAAATTTGGTACCCAAAAGCATGGAAAGAGGGAGACGATGAATGTAAGATTTTTGAAAAGTCCGTAGGTTTATCGTTTCTTCAAAGTTATACGGGTGAAGAAGAAGAGAACGATTTTAATGAAGAAGAAGTTGTTCCAAGCGCGAAACCAGAACCGGAAGAAAAAGTAGAAATGACTATTCAAGACGAGGAGAAACGTGACAAAGAGAAAATAATCGAAAAGGAAAAAGAACAAACCACCGAAAAGGAAGAACACGATGTTAAGAAGAAGAAAAAAAAAGGGAAGAAAACTGAGGACGAATCTGAAGAAAAGCCAGACAATGCAGACAAAAAGAAAAAGAAGAAACACAAAGACAAGAAGAAAAACACGGACGAAAACTCAGCTGAAAATGTTACGAAAAAGAAAAAACGAAAAAAAGATAAATTGAAAAAGAAAGAGAAACCGGTGAAGGATAAGAAACTCAAGCGGAGGAAGTCGAAAGAGAAGAAGAAAAAAGATAAAGATAAAGAAAAAGCTCCAGGTGAGAAATCTATAGAGAAGCTAAGTAAAGAGCAGGTGATTGAAGAATTGAAAGAAATTGAAGAAAAATTAGCCCAGAAACGGCAAGACAAAGCCAAGAAAACCGAAAAAGAAGAAAAAGGTCGGAAGCGCAAACACTCGGATCGAGAGGAAGATGCGAAGCGGACAAAGCACGAAAAACCGCGAAGAACGAGCGATGAAAACGACGAAGCAAAAGTGGAACACGCGTTAAAAAGAAAACTAGAAAAGGCGAAGAAGACGGAAACGACTGATGATGCAAAAAAGTCAGAAAAGGTAGAGAAGGAAAAATCCGACAAGCACGAAGAACACGTGAAAAAAAACGAAAGAAAATCTCGTCATTCGGACGAAGTTAAACTGGTTCGTAAGAGAAAATCGCGGTGGTCGGAACCCGACGATGAGCTCCCGTATTTTATGGATTTGAAAATAATCGAAGAAATATCGAAGGACGAGCCGCCGATAATTTACGACAAACCGAAGAAACCCGAAAGTGATACTGAAAATGTCAAAGAAGTTAAGGAAACGACGCCGGATACCGACGAGTACCACTCACATTGGGAAAGCGAAGAAGATATTTCTTCTACAGTGCCGCGGCACGCTTTGAAGATGAACAGGTCGTGGGAGAGCGATGAAGAATTGTTTGAAAGAAGCCACAACCGGAGCAAAAAACCTGCAGAGTCTTACGACCTCGAGATTCCTCTGAACATTACAAACTTTTCGCGGAGATCTTCAAATTGGGAGGAGAAGCCGCTGTCGGTGGTACAAGAACTGAAACTGTTGGAGGAAGAACGAAAATCGTTGAGTGAAGAAAGAAGAAAGCTCGAACTTGAAAAGCAGAAAATTATGAAACTGCAAGAGGAAGCCAAGCTTGATCTTCTTACAGACAAGAAACCGGTTGTCGAAGAGATTAAAGAAACGGTTCGGTTACGATCGTCGACTCCGGAAGAAATCGTCAAAGTGAAGAAAGAGAAGTGTGAAGTGAACGATTTTAGTATCGACAGTCTCAACAACAGTCTGCTGAGTAACGTCAGCTCGACTGAGTCGAACTTTCCGATCGCCGCTCTGGAAAATGAGTACGAAGAGTTTATTAAAGCCGTGAGTTCGGAGTCTTCGGTTTCCGTTTCTTCGAAGAAGAAACCCGAACGGAGGAATTCTAGTTCGAGCTCGTGGAGTTCGGACAGCGACCACAAAAAAAGAAAACGTAAGTCTAAACTGAAAAAGAAGAAGAAAAAGAGGAAAGCTCGCGAGTGTGAGGGGCTCTTGGTAGGAAAAGGCAACAACATTTTTAACGAGTTTGATATTCCAGTTCCTAGTGACCTGCCCATCGAAGTGGTTCCCACGCCTGTGCCAGTACCATCGCCCATTGTCCCCATCGAACAAATCCTCCCCCTCACCGCCCCCAATCTTCTCCTAAACACCATCGTCGACTTAAGCGAAAAGCCGATAATGGAAGAACCAAAACCCGAAAATGGATTAGACCTTAAGAAACCGTTTGTGTTCTCCTCAATAGTCCTGCCCATTAAAAAGACACCCTTGGTCGACAATTCAAACCTCAAACTCGCCGACGACGATTCCGACAGCGTCGACTTCACCGACAAATTCGTCAAAAAACCCGAACCTAAAGAAACCCCTCTCGAAGAAGCAAAAGAAAACGAAGAACCTAAAGAAGTCGAGAAAGAAGAACCCGAAGACGCGAAAAAAGAAGAAATCGAAACCCAGCCCCCACATGACGCCAAACCTCTCCTCGCCGAAATACCCATCCCGGAAGAAGCAAAACCCAAACCAGTAGCAGTCGCCCCGCCCCCGCAACCCGTCCCCCAACCCATCGAAGACATCCAAAACGTGCCCCTCCCTCCCGAAAAACCCACACCCAAAGCCCCGCCTCTTTCCGAAATCAGACCCCCCAGCGACACGAAAATCCGAAGGTCGCGTTCGCGCTCGTTCTCCCCACCACGCAAACTAAAAGAGAAGAGGCGGAGTCGCTCGCGCAGCCCGAAACGTCGCAGTCCCATCCGCCGGCGCGATTCGCCTCCACGCCGTCGCCATTCGTCGCCGCGTCGCAGATCTCCGCCCAGGAGGCGTGGCTCTCCGTGGAGGCGTTCCCCGTCGCCGAAGCGGCGTTCCCCGTCTCCCAAAAGACGGTCTCCTTCTCCCAAACGACGCTCTTTGTCGCCCAAGCGCCGTTCTCTGTCGCCCAAACGGCGCTCGCCGTCACCGAGGAGACGGTCGCCGCCGCGACGTCGCAGGCGGAGCCCGTCTCTCTCACCGCTGCGTTCCAGGCGAAAGAGAACGCCCTCTCCGCGACGGAGGGCGTCACCGTTGAATTCGCCGCTCGACGGGTTTAAGAGGAGCGTCGCTGATTCGACGATCAGCGACGACATGCTGCCGCAGCACACGCCCGAGGACTACAACGATTCGCCGAATGCGTACGGGGGCGGGGCTAAGTATTATGATAGGAAGGGGCTGTGCAAGAAGATGTCGCTGTCGCCGCAGATGTCGCCGAAGAGGATTCCGTTGGACGATAGGATCAATCAGGTGTTGGGGTTGGAGAAGAACGAGCCGCCACCGCTGCCGCCCCCGAAACCTCAGGAGACGTACGCGAATTATGGGTATGGTGGTGGTTATGGAGGGCAGTATCAGTATGCTCAGTACGGGCCGCAGAAGAGTGATTACGGGCCGCCGCCGTTCGGGACGATGATGTACACTCAGCCGCCCCCACCCATCGTCAAACCGGTACCCACACCCACGAAGGTGGTTCAAGTGGGGAATATTTTGCAAGTGGTTCCGACTGAGGAAATTCCGCCGCCCCCGGTGGTGGAAAAGGTGAGTTAATTTTTTTTTTTTTTTTGATTCGTTGATGACGTGAGGATTTTCAGACAACTGAGAGGAGCCAGAAGATAGTACAAGTGGGAAATATGCTCCAAATCGTACCTGCCGTCATCGCGTCGCCGATTAAAGTGCCGCCCCCGGAACAGCCACCTGTCGCTAAACCGGTGCCGCCCCCAGAGAAACAATCAGCTGAGGCCATAATGAAACAGAAGATAGCCGAGAGGAAAGCGGAGAGGGAGAAACGCCGCCAGGAGCGCGAGAGGCGGCGCAAAGAAAAAGAAAAGAAGCGTAAAGAGCGAGAAAAAAGAAAACAAATGAAGCTTAAAATAAAAACGGAAAATATGATCAAGGTAAGACGAAATCATGCCACGCCCATTTTTTTGTAAACGCCTTTTCAGAGAGCCATTCAGATCGAAACGGAGGCGTTGGCTAACGACGAAGTCGAGGAGGAGGGAGAAAGCGCCGAGCTACCCGTCCAATGGCCGCCCGTTCCGGTCATCGTCTCAGCCACGCCCAATTGCAGGAGCATCCTCTCGCAAGGCGGCAGGTCAGTATTACCCCTCCAGTCGCCCCACCATACTGACTCTTTTTCTTAGTAAACAAAGGAAAAGCGTCCAATTCGCGGATGGGGTGCGGCCAGGCGAAGGCACCTCCCCTTCGGGAGGGGAGGAACTATCGTCTCCGCCCCCTCGCAAACTCCCCAAAGAGAAGCGGTACAAAAAGATCAAAATACCTAAGAAGAGCAAGAAGAAGAAGGTGAGAGTGAAGGTGGTGAAGAAAGCGCCGGTGGAGGAAGAGGAGGACGACGACGAGGAGGATAATTTACCGCCGCCGTCGCCGCCTCCGGGTTCGCCGCCGCCTCACATCTTCCCGTCGAGGGTCAAAACGCACACAATCAATAACGTGCACCAGTATGTGGGGAATATTATACAAAGTACGGCGCCGGGGTTCCCGTTCAGGTCCCCGATGCCGCCGATGGTGATGAACAGGCATCAGCCGCCTCCTGGGTACATGCCGGGGGCGTTTCCGACAGGTAACTTCGACGACTTTCATAGGTTTAATGTTGAACCGAGTGTTTTAGATGTCGGTGGACTTTCACATTCACATCCCACGTATCAGGGGGTTTCGTCTCATCATTAAAACGAATTGTTGAAGGGTGTTCTTTGTAAAGTGGTTCACATTGTTTTTTTTTTTAATTATTTTATTTTACATTGTGTATATAAGCAGTGATTTTTTTTTTATATTTATAGTTTCTCGATAGACGTAGATTTCGATGTATCGGTAGACTGTTTATAATTTAAGTGAATACATTTATTTGAAGACAGAATGTTGGAAATAAAATATTTTTCAATATTTTATTGACATTTGTGTTTATGTTGGTTGCTATGCGTAACGAAGTTGACGCTGTGGTTGCTAAGCGACCTGTACAATACAAACAAGTGTGAGAAATTGAACTCGTCAGTTTTATTTTTGCTTTTATGAGTTTTTTTGGGGATGGCGGAGCCGACTCAGCTTGATTTATTTGAAGGTAGTGTTTTTTGAGTTTTATTTTCGTCGTTAATACTTTGGGTTTCATTAGCGGTGAAAGAGTCTTTGCATAAAGATGGTCGACTGGACAAGTTTAAAGCAGAACTACGATCTGCAGTTATGTCAATTTTGAACAAAAACGCGTCGGCCGAAGAGCCCCCAAAAGTTCCTGAAGAAACGAAATTTATTAACGAGCTGATTAGGGAATATTTGAACTGGAATGGGTACATGTACACCGAGCAAATATTAGCTGCTGGTCGAAAAATTATATTCTTGTGGTTATGATATTTTAACAGTCGTTTTCAGAGTGTGGACAAAACATGGAACGTTTAAACCGCGACGTCTTAACCACAAAATTAGGAGTTATGGATGATTCACGAACTGCTAAAATACCTCTGTTATACTACATAGTAACAGCTTTCCAAAATCAAGACAATGAAGAATCTTAAATATGTTTATTACAAATAATACAAAAATATAAATTTAATTAATCATTTTCACTATCAACTGACCCTTGAGAACTATTCTGATTGGCTTGACTCAGGTAGTTATTGATTTTATTTTGTGTTTCCTTATCAGGCACTAACTCCCTCACACTAATGTTCTTATTGCTACAACCTATATAAGGACACTTTGCTTTATTCTTCATTGACTTTATATACTGCAGAATAAATTTGTATTCATACACATGTCCACACTTCCTGTTCTTATAAGGATCTCTAATCACTTTTTTACTTATAGGGTCCACGGGTGGGGTAAACACATTTGAATAAAATATCGAGTCATTCATTTCTTCATATTCCACCGGTTCTTCACTTTGGCTTGCTTGAACTTCCTCCACATCATGATCAGTGATCCCTTGAAACACTTCCTTCCAAATTTTGTGCTGCGAATAGTTACCACAAAAACTCTCCTGCTTCTGTGCTAACTTATCCTTGTACAAATCATCCACATCGACGTTCGGGTCGGCAGACTCTTCCGCAAAATAATCAACAACTTCCTGACAAGCTTCGGAGGTCTTCGAGGCAGTGAAATCGATGAGACAGTACTCTTTGACAATTTCTTCCAATTCGTTAACTTCAGCAGACTTCTCCTCGCCCTCTAAATGTGTGTCTATTAGTTCTTTCCACGTTTTTAGAGAATTTATGCAGTCGGAAAGCAAATTTGCTTGATGTTCTAGTTGGGACGTCATTTTCAAAACACGCAGAGATAACAACACAAGTGTCAACTGTCATCTGTCAAGGGTTGCCAACCGAAACGCGCGATTTCAAGTCTAAATCCATTTTAAATCTAATAACATTAAGAAAAATCGATGATTAAACACGCATATTCAGACACACTGTCTGTTCTATAATTCAAGTATCGTATAAAAAATGTAAAATTGTTGGAAAATCGAAAAACATATTATTCAGTGCCAACCCAAGAATATCAAAACCACCAATCCGATCAACGTGTTGCACTAACCTCACTTTCAAGCAAAACATAAACACGATGGATTCAAACGAAGAAAACCCCGCAAGCCAAGAAATCAGTGAAGGTTTGGCCAAAATTAAAACCTCCGGAAGCGTTTTCTACAATCCCGTTCAAGAATTCAACCGTGATTTGAGGTTAGGTTGTGGCCCCACATTTTCCAATTCTCACGATTTTACAGTATTATAGTTTTGAACACCTTTGCGAAACAACTATCGCAGTCTGAGACACCGCTGAACCCCGGAGTCAAACACGAAAACGGCATTTCAATCCTGGAAGCCCTGTCAGCTACCGGTTTGCGCAGCATTCGATACGCTAAAGAAGTCAAAGGCGTGAAAGAAATCATCGCTAATGATATTTCAAGTAAAGCCGTGGAAGATATTAGACGCAATGTTTGTGACAACGGGGTCAACGATTTGGTTGTACCCAGCCATGATGACGCAACGTATTTGTTTGATTTCTAAAAAAAAATTTTCTAAGGATAATTTTTAGGATGTTGATGTATAAATGTCGCAAGGAGCGTCGCTTTGACGTTATCGATTTAGACCCGTACGGGTGTCCGTCTATTTTTCTAGATGCTGCAGTGCAGACAATTAAAGAAGGGGGGTTATTGTTGGTTACGGCCACTGATATGGCCGTTCTGGCAGGTAATTCACCTGAGACGTGTTATAGTAAATATGGTGCTATTTCCTTACGGATGAAAGCGTGTCATGAAATGGTTGTTGCTTGTAAATGATGATTCTTGTTAATGGTGTGTGGTTTTTTAGGCTTTGAGAATTTTATTGCAATGCATTGAGTCCCACGCTAATCGATATGGCCGCTATATCGTACCTTTATTGTCACTGTCGGCTGATTTTTATATCAGAGTATTTGTACGAGTGTTCACGAGCGCTAAAACGTGTAAACAGACCTTGAGGTGTGTCGTGTGACATTTAAAAAGAAAATGTTTCAATTTTTGTTTTAGTAAATTGTCGATGGTTTATCATTGTACAGGGTGTGGCAGTTTTCAGTTGCAACCTCTAGGAACTATGAGAATAAACGAGAAAAATCGACAGATGAAATACGGGTTGCCTACCAACCCCCCAGGTGGTAGTTGTGAACATTGTAACCATCCGTATCATCTTGGGGGCCCCATTTGGAACGCCCCAATCCACTCGTCTGACTTTTTAAACAACTTACAAACCGAAGTGTCTGAAAATTTCGCCACTTTTAAACGTATACAGGGTGTTTTAAGTGTTATTAGTGAAGAGTTGATAGATGTACCTCTGTATTATACTTTGGAACAGCTTAGTGGGACTTTACATGTGGAGACTCCATCTATGGTCGCCGTTAGGTATTTTGTTCCTTGAAATTATTCCTGTTGGTAATTTGAGTTTTCCAGATCGGCGATTTTAAATTCTGGTTATAGAGTTTCATACACGCATATGAATAAAACCTCTATTAAAACAGACGCTCCTGGGAGACTACTTTGGGATATTATGAGGACGTGGGAATCCCAGCATCCAGTAAATCAAAAACGATTGGTGGAAAACAGTCCCGGAACGAATATCCTGGCGAAAAAAATCGAATTTGGAGTTTCTTTTGAATACCATAGTGAAGCGAGTCCAGAATCCAAAAAGCTAGGTTTTTTGAGGTTTCAGCAGAATCCAATGCCCAATTGGGGGCCTGGGACTAGAGCCACAGCAATGTATTCACTATTTTATTTATTTTTTTTAATATAAAAAATACATTGACGTTTTCAGGGTAGGTGACAACAAATTGGAAAAACGGAAAAAGAATCAAGGGAAACGGAAGAGGGAACAAAGCGATGATAATGAAAACTCCGAAGACAACAAAAATTGCTAAAAAATTGTAATTCTAAAGTCTTTGGAATGACTCCTGTGACAATTAATTAAATATTATAGCCATTTAAATAGCTGCATAAAAATAAAACTCGTTTTAGGACTGCTGTTTAAAGTTTAAAATTTCTATTGGTTTATGTCCCACCTCACTCACTTTTTTCATTACTTTTTCCAGCAAAAGCTGATGAACATCATCTACACCACCATCAGCTTCCACCACATCCCAGTCCTCTTGTTCCTCGCTCATTTTCATAAACATGTTTGCCACCTTTTCTTGAGTTTCTTTATTCTCGTAACGTTCGTCGCCGTAATTCGGCCTCTTTGATATTTCCTTTTCACTTAAAATCAGCAGGAGGACCAAATCTGGTTTCAACAGTCCTTTTTCCGGTTCCTGACACCAATGGACGTTCATATCTGAAATTTTGCATTGTTACAACCACCCACACATTTTAAACGCTCACTTTTTTTAACTGAAGAATACACAACTCCAGAAAATGAGTATCTGTCAACAATCAAAGTGACTCCTTGTTTGAGTAACCGTTCCATTTCTTCCTTTTTCTCCCACCGATTGGCACAAAACATGAGATGAATCGCTTCATCGCACAAGTTGCTCTTCTGCTTCAAATAGCTGTCGATAATTGTCCCAATGCCTGTTGTTCTGTCCGGAAAGGTTATTAAATTGGCGTTCACATTTCGGGTTTTTAAAGATTCTACGAGTTTCTTACATTGGGTGGACTTTCCAGATCTGTCTACACCTTCGACTACTATTAAAGCCCCGCGTTTTAAACCGTTCATAATTGCAGAATTTTGGGAATTTTGTAAAAAAGCAGCAACTGCCAGTGATTATCATTCAAAAGTGACATTTACGTTAGTCACGTGGTTAAAGTCCCTAATTTGGGGAATTTAATTTTGTTGTTAGAACAATTAATTTTTTTAATGTGGACTGAACATTTTAATTAATCAATAATAATGTAGACGTTATTAACGGTAATGGGTATTTATGGTAAATAAATGAACAATTGTACGTCTCATTTTGGATATTTTCCAAAATTTAGTGATTTCGGTCGCAAGGTTGGTGCACCTGATGAATCTTTGTTTGCGCTTTGTTTTCCTTGTTCGGTTATCTCGTAACCGCACGTTTTCGTTAATAAATCTTCCGCAAGGCCTAGTCGACTATATTAGGTAAAAATAATCGAATTTTGTAAAAAAATGAGGTTATGTACGCGTCATGTCTTTATTGCAGCGTGCGGAATCCTTTGTTTACCCCATTTCACGCGTTTTCGGCCACGATCGCGTCTAAAGAGGTCACCCGTCATGCGCACCGCCGCCCCCGGAACGGGAAGTGGGAAAGGGAAATTGACACTGACATTGGCCTAGTTGCTTTAATTTTTTTAAGTTGCCTGCATTTAAGTGCAGCCTGCAACCAGGAAAACCTCAGTCGAGCCCGAGACGTCGAGCTGGTTGCATACCGCGCCGAGGTACGCACTAATCAATGAAATTTCTTCCCTCACATTTTCTGCTTCCAGATGACTTCGACCAAAGGTTTTAAAGTAACCGACGCCGATCGAAAATCGCGCGTGGGAATCGCAGCCAAGACCCTCGACGACCTAAAACGAAAAACGATCGAAAAATTCAAGCTCAAGCAATCCCCCGACGAGATTTTTTTCCAGACGCAAGACGGCACTCTGGTGGAGAACGACGAGTATTTCCAGACCTTGCACGCACAGACGCTCCTCGTGTGGGTGAAGAAAGGCGAGACCGCCTTGACCGACGCGGAGATGCTGTACAAGACGATTCGAGAAGTCAACGACGAGTACCTGACGGCCGGCGAAAAAGTGCAAGAGTTCTTCACCGAGAAGATGAAGAGCAAGGTGTTCAAGCTCGCGGAGGTGTTGCGTGGGATCGACGGCGACAAGGCCAAACACAGTCTCAAGTGTGATCACCCGGAGTGGTTTGAAGGTGAGTCCATTCCAAATACGTCACATCATGACTTTCATGTGAACCAATCAAGAACGCGCGTGGCGCGTTTTTGGTTGCCGTCATGTAACCCAACCGGGAGCTCGGCCCGCCTCCGGGGCGTGGCCAGCGCCTGGTCCTCCCCGCCGCACACATTACAATGTTACGCTCATCCAGGCCTTGACACCAATGCAAAAACCAAAGAGGACTATATGTTTAGGAGGGCGCAGGACCGGATTCGAACCTATTACTACAAAAGCCGAGAAGAACTGTTGAAGGACGCCTCGATTCCGAAGCAGCGCCTAAACGACCTCGTCTTGGAACTCCACAACAGGCTAAAATTGTCCAAATTCAACGGGTGTTATTTCGATCGGAGCGATAAGAAGAGTTTGTGCGATAAAGGGGGGGAGTTTACGTGTCAGGGGCGGTGGGACAAAGAGGTGTGTTTGTACAGTCCTAAGCACAAGATTAATCCGTACGCGAGCAGGGAGGGGCGGATCGTGTTTCAGACGTGGAATTTAGACCATGTGGTGGAGCGGTCTAGGTCGGTGCTGCCCGAAGTGGGTAGGGCGCTCAAAGAGGCGGAGCGCACCATCACGAAGGGCGGGGGCGAGGCGGCGCTGGACGTCAAAGCTATATATAGTGATCTTTTTACCGTGGGTAACTTAAAGTTCGTGCACATTGTGTGCCACGACAAGGGCGCCCATAGTAAGAAAAAGGCAGGTCCGTATTTGCTCTATTGAGAGGAGGAGGAGTAAGCACTGCAGACGCTTACTCATCGACGCAAACATTGATTCCTACACGTTTGACCTCAAATCGAATCCCGTATTAGCAAAGTTATTTTTTTAAATAGAGGGAAATACGGATCACTACTTAGAAAATATACATATATATACATACCACGATAAGTACTGTAGTTATTAAGTATTGTATATTTACGGACCCATTGGCAGAAAATGTGTAGATTTAGGACCGTTAGCTGACCTAACGCTTCGTATTATCAAAGAGTTAGTTACCTAGATTGTATATTTGGTCGTTTTAGTTGCTACTATTTTAGTCTTTCCGTATTGATTGTCGAAGACTGATGTTTTAAAAAATTGAAGAGCTTATACACTCACTGAACTGAACTCGGGCGTGTCGTAAAGTCTTTATTTTTCTAAATATATCACAGAGGAGAGTAGGGTAACGCGGTAGCGTAGTTTTCCGTTGGTTAATTCCAAAATGCTTCATCAAGTTACAATGTGATTACGCTATACAATAAAAAAATAACAATATATGAAGTAGTGGCTTTAGCAGTAGAGGGTAGAAGTTGTGCTTCAGATGCAATAATAAGTAGACGGGGATTGTTGGTTGGTTGCTATTAATAAAGTCAAACAAGGCTGTGCCGGGATCGCTCAAATCCCCTTGTAGTAGTACTATTATTATTATAGGAGTAGGTAGTCGTATACTAGTATACTACCATATCAACTATTATGAAAATAATAATCACGACTGACTGTTGACTGCCATATTGTCTCCCTTCACGTCGTAACCTATGTATAAGTTGCGAAATAAATGTTTACGACACACACCCCATGTATTATTCATCCCCTCGCTCGACCCTCGTCACTAAAACGCCCCAATTTATCGAAAACACTTTATTGCTATTTCATCAGAGTACAATACAGAGTCTACACACAACCTAACAATACAACCTACGCGAATCACACTTAGAAGAACCAACGCTACAGCAATGGATGATATAAATTAACTCAATGAATGATCAGCAAATGTCACCGGCAACTCCTTAAATAAATCTTTGGTTGTTACGTCAATCATAAAATTGGCAGAATCTCTCCATTCGAGTCAGACCTGCAACAAGATCGCTACCTGTTGTGAATCGATCGACCGGGAATCGGGTCAAGGATGTGCCGTCACTCGGTTTCCTCCGCACTTTTGACCGACTTGCGCCAGGTAGAATTGGGTCGAACCCCGGCCGACCTCGTTTCCGAAACGGATCAGCTGACGGGACGCTCCGCGCCCTGACCCATTTCGGAAGAGGAGCGACCTTAGCCCACGGTGACCCGATTCGGCACGTCCGTGACACGCTCTCTAGGGCAAAGGGTCAGCGGAATCGGGACGGGAAACGGGACCCTTCGACATCGATTTTCGCCCTCTTACCTTCCCTCCTCTTCAATTCAGCTTGGAAATGAACTGCGACAAGTCGTATTCGTCGTCGTATTGTTTCTGGTCCCACAGTTCCGGCAGTGTTTCCAAAATAGTCTTCACGCTTCCGCCTGCTCCGTCCGAACTGTTGCCGCTCCCGGCGGACGGCTTGTGCGAAAACAAATCCAACAATTGGTCGGTGCCCATCGTCTCCAGTTTGCTGTTGTTCCCGCTGATTATGGTATTCACGGTCTGAACTTTGAATTTCTGCAAACTAAAAGCGACAGTCAAATTTGTTACGAGAAAGTGGTATGAACCCACCCCATGATTTTTTCTTCCAGGGTAGCCCTGGTGATCAGTCTGTACACGTTGACGACTTTCCTCTGCCCTATGCGGTGCGCCCGATCCATGGCCTGTAAGTCTTTCATCGGGTTCCAGTCGTGCTCGACGAAAATCACCGTGTCGGCTCCGGTCAAGTTCAACCCCAAACCGCCGACTTGCGTCGTCAACAACAAGACGTCGATTGATGGATCGTTGTTGAAGCGCGTCACGACGGAATGTCGCTGACTAGGGGGCACAGACCCGTCGAGTCTGAGGTAGGTGACGCCTGGCATGTGCTTCTTAAACAAGTCCTTCTCGATGATGTCCAGCATGGCTTTAAGCTGACAGAAAACGAGGGCTCGGTGCTGGTTGATGACCAGCTCGGTGGATTGGGGCTCGGTCACCCCGATGCCGCAGTCCTGCAGCAATTGCCTGCGCAAAACAAATAAACCAATGAATATTTTTATTTCTCACCAACGCGTGAGTTTGACATTTATAGCCAAACAACTGTCAATTAATTTCACGGCCTACTACAACTTTTTGTAGATATGAAACTATTTTTTAAATAATGACGTTGGCATTCCTGCTATTTGACAGTTATTTGCTCGCAAAGACATACTTCAAAGCCGGCAGCTTCGCCGAGTGGCTGATGTCGTCCAACTTGGAGTCCTGCTGCTGCAAATCCCCCAGGATGCTGGCGTACTGTGGATGCGACGCGTTCAGTACCAACTTCGGGTGGTTGCACACGTTCTGCAAGTACCGCAAGGCTTGGAATATGTGGGTGTTGCCTTGCATCGAGCTCGCCGTGGCTCCCGACGAGATCGACTCCTGCAGGGTTTGGTGGGCTTGCGATTTGGAGAAGTCTTCGTACAGGCGCTCCTGCAGAGGACTCAACTCGCAGTAGTAATCTTGCGTGATCTTCGGGGGAAGATCGTCTAATACGTCCTCTTTGACCCGTCGCAGCAAGAAGGGAAGAACTTGTCTGTGCAGAGCTTCCATGGCCAGTGCTCCGGCTTCCTGTTCCTTGGGTAAGGATTTAGGGTCGCGACTTGCCAAAATCGGGCGGGAGTAGCGCGCCGTGAATTGTTTTTCCGTCCCGAGGAAACCCGGCATGAGGAAATCGAACAAACTCCACAACTCGAGGACGTTGTTCTGGATCGGGGTACCGCTTAAAATCAGTCTGTAATTCGCGACGAGGTTTTTAATGGCCATACTAGTGCGAGTTTTCCCGTTTTTGATAACGTGTCCCTCGTCCAGAATTATGTAGTTCCACTTGATGTTAGAGAATACGCCGATGTCTTTACGGACTATGTCGTACGAAGCCACGATTAAGTTATGACGTTTGAATTTGTGTCGCAATTTCTCGCGTTCGGTAGGAGAGCCGTTGTATTGTAGAGGTTTCAAGTATTTATTGGAAAGGAATTTTTCTACTTCGTAAACCCAATGACCTGTCAGAGTCGGCGGACAAATGACGAGCGACGGTAAAGGCGCACAATCTGCAGATTTGGTCTCTTTGTACTTCTGTTCACGGTAATAGTGATCGCCCGCTAACATACAAATGCTCTGAATGGTCTTCCCTAAACCCATGTCGTCACACAGTATCCCGTGAAGTTTATACTTGTTCAGAAACGCCAACCAGTTGATACCCGCCTGTTGGTAACTTCGTAGTTCTGCGGCAATCGGAACTGGTACGTCGTAGTCCGGGATGGAGTTCGGGGACAGTAATTGTTGCAAGAACTCTCTTTCGCGCTCCCGCTTTTCACTAAGAGTGCTCCCTTGAAGAGCCGGCGGTTCGGGAACCCCCCCATCCAAAGGCATCAGTTGCACCAAAGTGGCGAAACTGTGCGTCCCCATCAACCTCACACACATATTTTGGTCAGACATCCGTCCCAACAATGGCACAACTAGCAAAACCACGTACGGTATAATATCGAACTGTAGCGTCTCGATAATACAAGCGATGGCTTCCACCGCCCCCTGCCGGTCAATATCGCAATCAATAGCCCCCAGTTTCGGCAACACCAAATGAACAATCATCTCCATGACGGTGACCGAGTCGAGCTTAGCGAACACCGCGAGACACCGAGAAGCCAAATGACGCACAGCGCGGTACGGATGAGACAACAAAACGCACAGACGCTTCAAAGACTTCTCCATAAGAGTCGGCCTGAGGTTGGGGTGGAGACTCGACGAAGTCACCTCCAGGACTTGCAAAGCCCACACTAACTTCTCCGAGTCATCGTCTTTCTCGTACCACTTAGCCGCATCGAAAGTCTCGGGCTCAATCGTCTCGACGAGCTGCCCCACCATCAACTCCCACAACTTCGGGATTTTCTCCGGAAGCTCCTCCCCGAAGAAACTCGTGATTTCGATCAAACCTAACGTGGAGCCTCGCCGTTGCACTCGATTGATCTTCTGCGCTTCGTCTTCTTCCTTGAATAGTTCGTCGAGCGGGATATCGGTAGCTGGTGGCCTCCCCGGTCCTCTACCTGTGGAGTTCGAGCGCCTGAACGCCGCCTTCTCCGCGTTTCTCTGTTGGTTGTTGAGTGTGACTATCCCGTTATAGTTTCCGGGTCGGCCCCAAACCAGTTCCGCTTTGCTGCTATTCTCCCCTTGTTGTTTGTGTATGACGGGGGTGAATTCGGGGTCGCCGCGCAAGAACGTGCACAAATTTATCAAAATTTTGTCGTTGGGGCACGGGGTTCGGCCTCTGCACTGGTCCAACAACTTGGCCAAGTGCTTCGCCGTGGTTCTTTGTAGATTCTCGTCGTTCTCTCTCCGCACCGATTCCATTAGGGGTTTGGCTAGAGGTGTTAGCTTCTCGGGGAGGGCTCGAAACATGACCGCCGCTCCCGCCAAAGCGGCTAACGTGCTGACGCTCAACACCAGCTGGTCGTTGCTGGTTTGGATCACCGAGTTCTGGATGCTGCGTCTCCGTTCTTCCAGACTTTCTTGGACTTTGGATTTAAGTTTGATTTTGACTAGAATTTCCTGAGTTTGTTGGCCGGTCAGTTCTTGGATACGTTCCAACGTGAAAACGCTGTCGTTTTCGCAGTTTATAGGAACCTGGGGGAAAGTCCGTCTAGTAGAGGTACTAATTTTTTAAGCAAAGGTGAGTTTTCGGGATTGGGGGTGTCGCTATTCGAAAATAGGGTTTCAAATATGTTTTTGATCCCCTCGGTAACCGTGAGTCTGACAACAAAACTGTAACAAGCGTTTTTGCAGTGGCGGCTCGCGAAGTTTAAACCGACTGAAGCCAAGAATCGTGGCTATACCGGGTGTCCGGATAATGGCGTTATGTACGAAGGTCGCGGGAGTCCCAAAAATATAATAAAAAATTATTTATAATGTAGATTACGAAAAAAACGTAATTTTATAAAAGTAAAATTGGCAACAGTGCACGCATCTAATGCGGCTTGCGTTCTTATTTCTTAGTAACAATGGTGACTGAAATCCAGCGTTTATTTTTTTCAGGATAATAACCATCCATAATAATGACCAGTAGTCATTAATCGTTGCGCATTATTATTAAATAAATTTAGCTTCTCTTTTTCATTAATAAAAAAATTGGTCTAAAGAGTTTAGACAGTACTTCCCTCGCTGTCGGAAACGTGACGACTGCATGCCTATTATGTTTTTTTTTCGCAGTGGATTTCAAAGAATTGGGTTTTGTAGTTCCTGAGTAAATCAATAAAATAAATTTACGCCTTCATTAATTTTTTTGAGTCACCCTGTATATGCAAATCCAAAAAAAAATCAATGGAGTGATAAATCACAAGTACAGACTCATCATACTTTGTACATTTTAGATATGATTTATTCGGCAAATTTTCGAGCTGACGTCATCAAGTTTTTGGAGGGGATGAGCAAATGTATTTTGACTAAACATTTATTATGCTCTTTATGACCTTAAAACATCTGCAAGATTTCAGAGCATTCGGTTTTGTAGTTCCTGATTAAATCAATAAAATATATTTACGCATTCATTAATTTTTTTGAGTCACCCTGTATACGCAAATCCAAAAAATATGAATGGAGTGATAAATTACAAGTACAGACTCATCATATTTTGTACAGTTTAGATAGGATTTATTCGGCAAACTTTTGAGCTGACGTCATCAATTTTTTTGGAGGGGATAAGCAAATGTATTTTGACTAAACATTTATTATGCTCTTTATAACCTTAAAACATCTTCAAGATTTCAAAGCATTCGGTTTTGTAGTTCCTGAGTAAATCAGTAAAATAAATTTACGCTTTCATTATTTTTTTTGAATCACCCTGTATATGCAAATCCAAAAAATTTGAATGGAGTGATAGATCACAAGTACAGACTGATCATATTTTGTACATTTTATATATGATTTATTCGGCAAACTTTCGAGCTGACGTCATCAAGTTTTTGGAGGGGATAAGCAAATATATTTTGACTAAACATTTATTATGCTCTTTATGACCTTAAAACATCTGCAAGATTTCAGAACATTCGGTTTTGTAGTTCCTGAGTAAATTAGTAAAATAAATTTACGCTTTCATTTATTTTCTTGAATCACCCTGTATATGCAAATCCAAAAAATATGAATGGAGTGATAGATCACAAGTACAGACTGATCATATTTTGTACATTTTAGATATGATTTATTCCACAAACTTTTGAGCTGACGTCATCAAGTTTTTGGAGGGGATAAGCAAATATTTTTTGACTAAAGATTTATGATGCTCTTTATAGCCTTAAAACATCTGCAACATTTCAAAGCATTCTGGTTAGCAGATTAAAAATTAAATTTCAAAATGTTGTTTTATAATTTTGATTTTTTTTCCAAAAATCTGGACGTTTCGGGTGAAAAGTCGATTCAGAGTTGTAAACTACATGTGTAGGACTATGTTATTTTATACAATTGAAAACCCATTTACTATGTACAATTTTGAAGTGACGTCATCGCATTAGTGGTGGGGATGATTAGACAAATTTTGGTTAGCGTTTTACCATCTACATGATATTCTTAATATAAGTACAAAATTTCACAACAATCGGTCGAGTACTTTCGGAGATTATCTGTCTAATAAAAATCCGGGACAGACAGACGGACAGACGGACGGACAGACGGACGGACAGACGGACGGACAGACAGACGGAAATGGGAGACCTATTTCTTCGTCTCCTAGGGGTCATGAAAGATCGAGAAAACGTAAAAGTAGAGAGTCGGCCGACGGACTCGATTACAATACTTCCTTTGCTTACGCTCGGGAAGTAAAAAGCAAACAAAAAATCATTTAATAAGACATTAATAAATTATAAATAAAAACAAAACCAACAAAAAAATCCATTCAAGCATTAAGAACGAAATACTAGAGAAGATGTTCAAAATTCCTGCCAAATTTTGATCATTTTTTGTAAAAGTTAGTCATCAGCACTTGCGAAGATAAAATTGTTTTGGAAAATGACAGTTTCTCTAAGAAAAGAGAGGGTGGGTGGGTGGATGGGGCTAGTACTTGCTAAGATAAGACTGTTTTTTGCAAATCAGATACCATCTAAGAAAAGAGAGGGTGGGTGGGCGGGGCTAGTGGCTGCAAAGATAAAACTGATTTTGGCTAATGAGATACCCTGTAAGAAAAGAAAGGGTGGGTGGGTGGGCGGGGCTAGTACCTACCAAGATAAGGCTGATTTTGGCAAATAACATATCCTCTAAGAAATTTAATGAAATTTTTTGCAAACAGAACCTCAAGATTGTTTTAAATGTTTAAAAAAAGGGTCCCAAAATTAACTCAAAAACAGGTCAGGTGAGAATTTTCCAAAAACAGAACACCGCAGTTCCCCAAGATTGTTTCAAATAATTAAAAAAAAAAAAAAATTGGTCTAAAGAGTTTAGACAGTACTTCCCTCGCTGTCGGAAACTTGACGACTGCATGCCTATTGTGTTTTTTTTTCTCATTACATTTTTGTAGTGGGAATTTAAAAAAAAATTGCGATTACGTCATCAACATTTTTGCAAGGACACGTATATCAGTTGGGATAGATGTAGTGTAATACTAAGAATAAAATTATTATATTCTCAAATTTTCGGGAAAATGAATTGGGTCGTTTTGAATATTGATTTGTAATAATCAATAAAATAACGAAACAATTTACTCACGTATACGTATCAAAGGCAACTGAAAATCGTGTATGTATAAACATTCTTAATTTAAGATGACAGGCGTAACAGCATACGTGAGAGTCAAACAGAGAAACTGTAAACAAAACGACCATCGGTTTTATTGCTTCGACTTCCGCTTATTATATAAAACATTGGGTTTTATTTTAATTCTTGACGGTGAAATTCACAATTGGTTGATTATAAACATGTCTATTTCACATTCGCGGAACCAAGCGAGCGCATAAAACAAATGCAGGTCTGTAATGTTAAAGTCAATGTAAATAAGCGTGCTACCCTTATGTTTCAACCGAGTTTTTCCTTTAACAAATTTTGTGTCTACCAAATTGGGTTGGTTGGGGTGTAATACTAATAATAAGTGTTGCCTTTAATTTAATCAATAAAATAAATTGACTTCATTAATTTTTTTGAACCACCTCTTAAGAAAATCTAAAAAATATGAATGGAATGATAAATCACAAGTACAAACTCATCATATTTTTTGCATTTTAGATAGGATTTATTCAGCAAAATTTAAGGGTGACGTCATCAATTTTTTTAGGAGGGATGAACAAATACATTTTGAACAAAAGTTTACCATGCTTATAATAACTTTAAAATATTCCCAAGATTTCAAAGCATTCGGTTTTGTAATTCCTGATTAAATCGATAAAATAAATTCACGCCTTCATTAATTTTTTTGAGTCACCCTGCATATGCAAATCCAAAAATATGAATGGAATGATAAATCACAAGTACAGACTCATCATATTTTGTACATTTTAGATACGATTTATTCGGCAAACTTTTGAGCTGACGTCATCAGTTTTTTGTAGAAGATAACCAAATATATTTTAACTAAAAATTTATTATGCTCTTTATAACCTTAAAACATCTGCAAGATTTCAAAGCATTCGGTTTTGTAGTTCCTGATTAAATCAATAAAATAAATTTTCATTAATTTTTTTGAGTCACCCTGTATATGCAAATCGAAAAAATTTGAATGGAATGATAAATCACAAGAAGAGACTCACCATATTTTGTACATTTTAGATAGGATTTATTCAGCAAAATTTTGTGGTGACGTCATAAATTTTTTAGGGGGGACGACCAAATACGTTTTGATCAAAAATTTACCATGCTTATGACAATTTTAAAATATCTTCAAGATTTCGAAGCATTCGGTTTTGTAGTTCCTGAGTAAATCAGTAAAATAAATTTACGCTTTCATTTATTTTCTTGAATCACCCTGTATATGCAAATCCAAAAAATATGAATGGAGTGATAGATCACAAGTACAGACTGATCATACTTTGTACATTTTAGATATGATTTATTCAGCAAATTTTCGAGCTGACGTCACCAAGTTTTTGGAGGGGATAAGCAAATATATTTTGACTAAACATTTATTATGCTCTTTATAACCTTAAAACATGTGCAAGATGTCAGAGCATTCCGTTTTGTAGTTCCTGATTAAATCAATAAAATATATTTACGCATTCATTAATTTTTTTAAGTCACTCTGTATATGCTAATCCAAAAAATATGAATGGAGTGATAAATAACAAGTACAGGCTCATCATATTTTGTACATTTTAGATATGATTTATTCGGCAAACTTTCGAGCTGACGTCATCAAGTTTTTGGAGGGGATAAGCAAATATATTTTGACTAAACATTTATTATGCTCTTTATGACCTTAAAACATTTGCAAGATTTCAGAGCATTCGGTTTTGTAGTTCCTGATTAAATCAATAAAATATATTTACGCATTCATTAATTTTTTTGAGTCACCCTGTATATTCAAATCCAAAAAATATGAATGGAGTGATAGATCACAAGTATAGACTCATCATATTTTGTACATTTTAGATATGATTTATTCCACAAACTTTTGAGCTGACGTCATCAAGTTTTTGGAGGGGATAAGCAAATATTTTTTGACTAAAGATTTATGATGCTCTTTATAGTCTTAAAACATCTGCAACATTTCAAAGCATTCTGGTTAGCAGATTAAAAATTAAATTTCAAAATGTTGTTTTATAATTTTGATTTTTTTTTCCAAAAATCTGGACGTTTCGGGTGAAAAGTCGATTCAGAGTTGTAAACTACATGTGTAGGACTATGTTATTTTATACAATTGAAAACCCATTTACTATGTACAATTTTGAAGTGACGTCATCGCATTAGTGGTGGGGATGATTAGACAAATTTTGGTTAGCGTTTTACCATCTACATGATATTCTTAATATAAGTACAAAATTTCACAACAATCGGTCGAGTACTTTCGGAGATTATCTGTCTAATAAAAATCCGGGACGGCAGACGGACAGACGGACGGACAGACGGACAGACAGACGGACAGACAGACGGAAATGGGAGACCTATTTCTTCGTCTTCTAGGGGTCATGAAAGATCGAGAAAACGTAAAAGTAGAGAGTCGGCCGACGGACTCGATTACAATACTTCCTTTGCTTACGCTCGGGAAGTAAAAACATGGGCTCTCAAAATAATACACCATGGGTTCCCAAGTCTCTCGAATTAAAAAAAAGAAAAACACACTGCGGCAAAAGAACCAATTTTAAAATCATTGTAACTCCACCAAAATGTGAGAAGGATTTTTTTTTACAAATTTTCCCAGACTCACCAGTTGATTGTTACGAGCGTAACAGAGAGTTAATCCGCCACCCAAGAGGTAATCTACCATTTTGTATAAAAAGTTTTTTTTTTACGTAATGCAATGAATTTGCTGAGTAGTCACTGATGCCCGGCTTCAGTTGCCTCCTCTGACGAGCCGCCACTGCGTTTTTATAGGTAGTATAATTATCTAACCTTTTGTTAATAGCGTTTCGGTGTACCATTAATAATCAAATTTAAATAAAAAAAATTTAAGGCGAGATAACTCTGGTGGTGTCATAAATAACCGCCTCCAGTCTCGAGAACGCTGCCACCACAGATCGATACCTACCTTGTAGTGTTTAAGTGTCGCCATAAAATCCCTCGTCTCCTGCGTCAGCCGGGTAAAACTCACTGCGATCTCGTCAAAATAAACTCGTTCGTTCAAACAGGCGTGGATGCGCTGTTTGAGACCGTCGGGACAGACCTCGGTCTCTCGGTCCCTTTCGGCCCATTCGGCAATGACCAACCCGGCCATCATCCTCTGCAACGCCGACTTGGAGTTCAAGTGGACGAGAAGAACCTTCTCGTAACACTCCACCGGCTTCTCTATGTTCCCGCTATAGTCGATCCCGGGGGCGGGCTTGATGATGTAACACGACAGCAAGCCCAGCATGCGCGCGCACATGCATCTAACTTGAACCGAGTTGCTTTCGCGCGTCGCCACCGGAGTGGTCTCCGACCCCCCTAAGTAACACTTCGGCATGGCCACCGCGTTGTCAAAACTATTCAACCCGTCGTTGGCGTTCTTCTTGCGCTGCGTCTTCGCGTGGATGAGGAAGTTCGGGTCGAAGGGCACCCGCGTCGGCTGCATGCTCAAGAACAACCACACGGTGATGAAGGGGCAGGCGGCATGCAACAATTCCACTAGTCCCGAGTTCTGGACTAGTTGCTCCCAGACTTTCTCCGCCACCGCTCGAACCTCCGCTTGCGGCTCTACCAACACCCTTTGGTAAACGTGCCTCATGGCGTCCTGGAGTAGTTGCGCCTCCCACTTGATAGCCCCTCCGTCGCTCTCCCTCTCCGTCAGAGTCCCCAAAGTCTGTAAAGTGGCTTTACGCACAGACGACGCGCTGTGGCTCAAAAACGGCCACAATCTCGGCACCACGTCGTTCAGCGGCTGCGGAGGCAACAACGTCTGCGCCGCCGGTAGGTTCAAAATCGCCGCCAACAACCCCATGAAGCTATTACAAGCGGCGGCGAGCTCGTCCTGTTCCGCTAACAAGTCCCACAGTTTTGTTACGACTACGGGGACGTCGTACGGGACGAGTTGCACTAGTTTCGCCGTCACCGGGATCAGAGCGGAGGCGGCTACCGCCGCCACGTCGTCCACGTTATCCGACAAGCCTAGTAAGATGTAGGGGAATGCTTCGGGCAGGAGGGCGTTCACCATGTCTTCTCGTACCGCCAGAAGATATTTCAACCCTAATAGACCACCATGACGCGCTTCCCATTCCTGGTGGTTGAGCAATTGTAAAAGGATGCCGAGGGCGCCTCTACACCCGTCTTCCTTCATGAGTTTGAGGACTGCGCAGAGGGACTGTGCGCAGGTTTCGCGCACGGGCGCCACCACCGCGTCCGAAACAAAGTCGCCGAAGCGGTCCAGCGCTAACACGCAGAGGAGTCTTATGGCGATGTCCTCCAGCCAGATTTGGTGGTTTTCGTCGATTTGTGTGGCGGTGGAGTGGGCGGTTTTGCCGGCCCCTCGACCGTGGACGGTGATGATTTCGCGGAGGGCGGTGGCGGCACCGTGGCGCGTCTCCCAGCTCGAGCTAAACAAGTCTTGACTTAGCTGGTCGCAGAACCACTCCAGCGGCCAATCGGTGGCGTCGGAGATGTCGACGTCAGGGGCATCTGAAAACCCGTCAAGTTACATTTAATTCCCACCCTCTTGGACTAAACATACCCATACTCGTATTACTTTCTTCTTTGACTTCCACCTTTAACTTCTTTCTTTCGGGCTCCTCCCCGTTACTGGTGGTTTCCTCCGGTTCGCGCGACCTCTGTTTGTAAACAGCCTGGCGCGCTTTCCTCTTCGCTCGGTTCATCTCTCTGGAACTCAGACCTTCGCTCACGCTGGAAATGAGGTCGCGCAGCGGTTTCTGAAAATCGAGCGTTTCAATTTTTAAGTGGTGGTTTCGTGCGAGCTCTTACTCTTGCGGCTTCGTTGTTTCGGTCGGAATTTTCTTGTTTTACACGCGGCACCATCAAGTCTTCGTTGGTGAACAAGTTGGAGGTGTCGATGCCGATCTGGGCGGCCACGTCTAGACCCAACCTGGCGTTGAGGATCTGACGCTGTTTCGCCATCTTTTCGCGGATGTCGGCCGACGATGCGTCTTCTTCTAAATCGAACTCTTTGCCTTCGGAGGCCATCAGGTGGGTGCTGTTCTTGAGGACTTTGGCAATGTCGAACTGGCTGAAACGGAGGCGCCCGACGGAGGAAAGAGAGGGGCTTTGGGCGTCATCGCCTGCAAACGAAGACGAAAAACTGTCAAATCGAACAAGGCGCCAACACAATTTTTTTAGTAAAAAATCAAAACTAACAATGAATAACATAATTAACATACATTGTTATCGCGCAGATTGAGTCATATGTTCTTTTTGTCAGTGATAAATTGCACACAACTAGAAAATATAAAAAATAATTAGGTCCAAATAGATATTTAAATTAGATGAATAATTTCCAGACAACATCGTCATTCCAATTCTTTTGTCAACAAAGTGTGCTACTTTATTACCGACGGAAAAAATGAAGTGGGTGTGCCTACTAGTCGTCCACCCGGCATCACCCCCAATTAAAACTGTCACTCCTTCCTTCGTGCTACAGTTCCGACCGTTTATTTGCGCTTTGCATGACCCACTTTGCAAAGCTTCGACTCTTTGTAGTGCGTTATTTCATTGTTTGTATAAAAACCGAGCCCATTTTTCCACATACCAGCCTCCCAAGTCACGGCAGAAAACTCGCCGTTCTTATCACGACACGCAAAAGTCTACGTATTCCAACGATCCCTTGACCTCTTTTAAAAAAATCGCCAACGATTTTCACTAATCTTATCGCATTTTCCCATTTAATCTACGCAAGCAATATCAAGCAACCTTGAACATTATGTACCTTTGCAACAATTTAAAGCACTATAATAGACAGCATTTAAATGTTAAGCACTTAAATACCTCGCTGTATCGCATTTGTAAATTAGCAGGTTGAAGAATAGTTTTGTTTGTTTTTTATTAATGCATTTATAGTCGTGTTATCGTAATACGCCCACGTTTGCGAGTATTGCGTTTCAGTCGTTTCCCACCCCTTGCGTTATAATGTCGTCATTAAACCATCTGTTTACGTATCTTCGGGAATTTTGCCATTTTTATTACTTGTTAGTAGATTACCATCGAAAATACTTAATTATCATACTTGACCGGTTTAATTCGCGGTATTAATTTTTTACTTGCATCATAGATCGAATCAAGAGTGCTGGGTATTTGCATAAGTCCTTGTTACACTGACAAAATTAATTTCATCTGGGTGAAGTTATCCTCACGTATAAAAATTACAACAATTATAAATGGAATCGTTTTTTTTCGAGAGCGAATCGAACGTGATGGAATTTCACAGAGCTCACATAAATCAAACCAAATAATAAGGAAAAGTGATAAATTGATAAAAATAAAATATTAATTAATCCCACAATAGCGTGTCATCTTGATTTATTGTTGGTAAATAAAAATACCACAATTAAGAGATTAATTGTTAATATCGTCCCCGTACAACAACAACAACGGACCACTCAAGTACTATGATTATATTTTTGGCGGTCGCAATTTCAGAGTGCATTATTTATTAATTAAAAAATAATCTATTTATAGACGCAAATAATATTTTCGTGTCTAGGAAATACCATGACCTTGGTGATTACGCTGTGGACAAAACCAGATCCCAAAAAAAGAAAACAAGCCAGATTTGATTCTGGAGCAGGAAACTCGCTATCTTAACAAACATCAAATTTCCTATATATTTAGTAAACAGGATGTCCAACAGAGAAAGTTAAAATTTTCTCACGAACTCTTTCGACTCTGATAGCGAGAATCTCGCCTACAAAAAGCCACAAGGAAAACGTATTAAACTGATAAACCGCGAGGCATACAAAAATCGATTACTTTAATGTGAGAAACTTTCAATCAACGTTACAATGACACGAATAAACGCTTCGAGTGTGATAAATGGTGCAGTTTTGCGTCAATGGAAAGCGCAGTTTTTGATTTAGGTATTCGATGTATGTTAGGTTGTGGTGCGGGTATTTACGATACAACTCAAAAATTATTATTAAGTGTGCATCCAATTAGGAGTTGAGTAACGATTTTATATCACACTTATCAATTGTAATAAAACTGTAGTCGGGCTTTTGTCAAGTGAGTGCAAAACAAGTCACCCGTTTTATTTTTAATTGCAAAATTATTCCTGAACTAATAAAGTTTAATTTATTTTATTCGACAACTTTGTTTTTGTTAAGCGTGTGACACATAAAATTTTAACATATAATCTTTGTTCTATTTTTCATTTAAGTGTCCGTAAATCAACCGAAAATTTTATTACTACTATTTAAAATTCAAAATTGAATCTTATAGGAAAACAAATTGTTTAAATACACAAACTTTTAAAAATATTTCTTGAAACACCTCGGCTTCAGTATCAATGGTTGTAAAATTATTTAAATATATAACCTGAATTTAGCATAGATGTACTATTTTTTGGCTAAGGATAACTCTGTTACAAATTATCTTCATAAAACGTATTGAAAAAACAGTTTTAAAATTCCAATAAGATTAGTTTTATTTAAAAGACAAGAAAGCCCACAAATTATTTCAAATTAGCATAAATTTGAGATTCAAAACGGAAATCTAGTTTTTCCCCCAAGAAACGCACTTTTTCAGTAATTTATGTTTTATATAATGAATATTTTTACACTCCTTTATCTACATAAAATATTGGATTTTTTATTCCCGTCTGAGACAAAATGTCAAGCTATGAAGTTGATTTAGCTGTTCCCTATTTATTTATTCATCCCCTTGGAAAATGGACGACGGCATCTCGAAAAATTATCAACTGACGTTTATTAATTAGAACTGCTGTAGTTTAACAACCGATATGCGAAAAAAAATGTGGTCAAGTGTACTTGGCGGTATTACTGTTTCTATCCTTGTTTAGTTGATTGCGAACGTAATACTTGTATTTGTAGTTTACCCTGACGGTTTCCTATTAATTAAAAATAACCTACTCTTCAAATATTTTACCATACTATTTTGGAATTAACACAAAACTTAAAATATAACATAAGCAATATATATATAAACTTTATCTTTACAATATTTTTCTACATTTCAAATGTAAATTTTTGATAACCTTGACTAGATAAGACTTAAACCGAAAAAACGTTAACAACACAAAGAAACATTAGTCACAGTACAAAAATTGCATTTTTATCATTCGACACTAGTAATTTACATGAAAACATATGTTAAAAGAACACAAAACACAAATTGGCACGTGTCGACTATTCGTACATGAAACTAAAATCCACATGAAATCATGCCACCCGACTACCAATAAAAAAAACTCAAAACAATCAATACCTGACGTCACCGCGCCGAAAACCGCCTTTTACGACCAGATAACAATATAATTATCTAACGCGATTAAAACCCCGTTCGTCTACTCACTGTTGGCCGCCTCAGCCACCTGGGGCTCCCACTGGGGCACGTTGCTCACGATGGCCCTGACGGCCTCCGCCGCCGCGATTCTCGTCTCCCAGTTCGTGGACCTGAGGTATGTCGCCGTCCTCGTCAGTAACGTGTTCAACTCATGGGGGTGCAGCTTCTGGACTTCCCCTAGTTGTTTGGCTGCTGCCGATCGAGTGACTGCTGAGCTGCCAGTCTCCAACAGCACGAACAGCCTGTCCAACCTGCGGATCCTAGAGATAAGCAGATGTGCGAAGCTTTGACAGACTCTCACCTGCTCGACGTCATAATCGATTTCTATTGGGGTTAATGCGAACATATGGAAGAATCTCGGCCCGAATGCTTCTGGAATTGCGAAAATTGCGTGAATTTGGGGGCAGGGAGGCGGCGGGGGTCGTTCACCTGAGCTAATTACGCTTAATTTGGGAGATAAAATGGAGATCAGATGATCGAGGAAGTTGGAGGAATTTTGGGGTTTGCGGGGGCGCCGGTACTTACTTGGGGGTTGATGGGGGCTCACTTGATGGATATGCGCATTTTGTACCTTCTGGGCGACAGTTGGACGCGTTTTAATTGAGGAAATGCGAAAAATGGGTTTTTATATGTCGATTTAAACGAAGGGAAGTTCATGATTCAACGATCAAATTTATACTGACAGCCATGATGAGATGAGGTCCGACTTTGTGCCACGATATGGCTGTGATTGGTCGAAAAATTAGCCAAAGGCGTGAAAGGGATGATTAGTCAAAGACACGCCGACGTTCATACTCACATCAAAAACAACCCCACAAATACGCACTCCACCTTTAGAGCAAACCCGTTCACGCTCACACGTTTCAATTAACACTCTTCCACGTCAACGTAACAGTTGCATTTTTAACTGGCGATAACCCCCTCATGAACACGGATCGTCACTGACCATATTTACTTTTGAGTAAAAATAAATAAATAAAATTAAGATGGCCGCGGGTCGGTCTGTCAAGAAAAATCAAAACAAGACGAGGAAAAGTCGACCCAATAAACTCCATTTGGTGTTTGATGAAACCAAACGCAGGTTAGTTGCAATTTCGGTCGCACCCATCACCCGGAAAACTTCACTTTCGTGTACTTTTCCAGCGCAACCTAACCTCACTTTATCACGTCAAAATAACACGTTTTTAATGATTAAAGGGAGTTTCTGACGGGTTTCCACAAGAGGAAACTGCAAAGGAAAAAAGAGGCGCGCGAAAAGTTGGAACGGGAGCTGAAAGAAGAGCGGAAACGCTTGAAAACGGAGGCGAAGGAATCTTACAAAAAACTGGTGGTTTCACATAGGCCTATTCCAGAGTTGGAAACCCTCTTGAAAGAAGAATATGAAGAAGACAATGCGACTGTTAGGATTGAGGAGCTGTCTACTAATAGTATAGCTAGAGAAAGTAATTGGATTGGGGCCAATCAACCAAAATGCCAGTCAGATGATGATGAAGAAAAAGAAGAAGAAGTGCCTGGAATGGGTTTGACTAACACCAAAAAAGACAAAAAGGAGATACAAGAATTTGACACTGAACGAGACGTGAAGAGATTGTTAAAAAAAGAAGCCACCAAGAAAGTAAAAAAGAGTAAAGTGTTTCAAATGAAGAACAAGATTGAGAAAGAGAAGCAAAAGAAAAAGTCCTTGCAGATGAAGAAACAGAGAATGAAGTTCAAGGAGAAGAAGTCGCGAAAGCGCCATTAATTTGTATGTGTATATTGTCAATAAAGTGTTTTATAAAGTCACATACCTTTTTCATATTTTCAAGTAGTCAGTAAAGTGGGGTTAAGTTAGGGCAAATCAGCCTCCATAATAACGCAAGCAGACGAAATAATTAATGTTAATGTGAAGTTTCGACATCTTTATTTGTTAGTGTTTATTGATTTATTGTTTAATTTTTACCCCTTTTTTTCAAGGTGGTATACAACATGAAGTTGGCCACGCAGGGTCACCAATCACCGATAAAGTTTTTTTTTAATCAAATAATTAAACTAAAAATGGATTTCGTTTTCTTTCGTAACGAAATATAAAATACTTCGTTGTTTTTCCAAATCCGGAAGTCTTTGTTGCTTTTTAATTACGGCTTCAAAATTCAAATTGACAGCGGCTAACTTCGCGGTATTTACCGACAGTTACGGTTTGCGCCAAAAGTCAAAAATGTCTTAAATTTTCCACCTAAAATTAACCCCTTTATCGTGTTTTCTGCGTCCGTGTGTGTTAATTTTGAATGTTTAGACTTGAAGTAAGTACCGCCGACGCGCACAAACAAAATCTCCCCCTTTTTATATTGTAGGTTATGTCATGTCTATCCTGGAGGAAATCCCGGCTTTCTCAATATGGGAGACCTTCCACCAGACCATTCCCGCTCTCATGAGCACAAAAACGTCCGAGCGAAGCGCCGAACACCTAGCAAAAATCATCAAGTCCGGCGATTTCACAAATATCTTCGTTTACAGTAGAGACCCGTCCATGAGCTTCGAAGCCTACCAGACTGTCGCAAACAAGTACAAATCGTTCACGACGTGGTTCCTCGGACAGTTTTTTTATTTGCTAAGTTGCAAGGGGTTGAGTAAGAGTCATGGTGTGTACGTCGATATACAATTGTGTGTTTTGGAGCAGCTATCGCACACTCAGTTGAACGTGTACGACGAATTGGCGAAAGAGTATAGTAAGGCGTTTAATAACGTGACCAGATTTATTAAATGTGGGGATGAAAGTTTAACGCTGGAGGTGTTTATTCCAGTGAAGTTCCACGACGTGTGCGAGAAGCTGAATCTCGATCCAATTTCAGTGGAAATCACTAAAGATTATGAAAGTTTTCTTCTTAATTTTTTGAAGATTATTAACTATATAGTTAACCACAACTTCGATTTCCGGTGCTTTGATGCAGACACGAGGCGAAATTTGGATAATTTGTTGTTTTTGATCTCAGAGTGTAGGTGTGTTGTTAAGATTGAAATTTTAAAAATATATGTCGAAATGGTGAAAAAAATCGACTGCAATGTCGATACCGACGTACTTATTTTACGCAAAGTAGACTTGTTTGCTCAATATTTCGAACAGATTGTTTATAACATGTATAATAAGAGGTTCGCCCCAACGCCAAAAGACGTAGAAGTGTTCGAAATCTTGTTGTTAGAATTTTTGGAAATGAATACCGACAAGGAACGATTTATGAAAATAAGCGAATTTTTACTAATCACACGTTTCGAGAAGCCGCCTACTCAAAAAGTTCTCAACTTTTGCAAGAAAAAGAGAGACAGACCTTTGTATAGTCCTGAAGATTTTGATAGTTATATTAGAAACGCCTTGACTGGCTATGACACGTCGGCTTTATGTGGCTTGAGACAGTATATAATCAGTGATATTAACACCTTCCGGGCGACGCGAGAGGGCGTTCACGAACTTAAACTCTACAACTTTTCGTCCGGAAAATGGAAAACTGTATATTTCATGATTATACAAGCCATAGACAACACTAATTGTGTGAATAATTGCAAAATCCTCTCGTTTGTGGAATTCATGATCGAGTTGACGGCTCTTCTCATCGAAATCAGAATCGAGTTCAACTCGTTTAAAATTGTGTTCATAGAAGAAAACGTCGTTTTTGTTAAAATCTTCTCCCTCTTGAACCGACACTTCGCCGACTGTACAAACAACATCGACTTTACAGCGATCTTCAACTTACTTTTAAACCTGTCGTTTTGTTCGTCGAAATTGACAACTTTCTTTGATTGCTTCGCATACCCGTTCACTTCGTCACTCACCGACAATGGTTACGTAGCAAGTGACGATTATCGTCAATATATGAAAGAACTGAGCGACTTTTGTCACAATTCAAGTCGGTTTTTAACCCAGAAAGAACTAGCTTTCGAGTACTTGAACAAATTACTCGAGGGTGCGTCCAGCGGTTTGTTCGACCTTCCACCGATTCACGACATGGAAATAACGTACATGAAGATAGCAAAACAGAGTAAAAGTCAGTTGGCCATCACGAATTTACCCCATCTGTTGACCGTTTTCAACAACAGCGATCGAATCATCTCAGAAATCCTAAACCCGGCTTTGGCTTCAAGTGACGAGGCAACTCTGCGTGACGTCACTAAAGTACTACCCCAAATCATCTGCGTAGCCTCGTCTGACTTTATCAAACTCGTCCAGATAGACCCTGATCTACGAAAATTAAAAGTGGAGATTCTCTGCGACAAATGTCACCTCGAAATCCAACCCAAATCATCCGACAAACACAAAAAAATTGACGAGTTGAGACGAAAACACACGAACAGTTTGGCTACAAGTTTCACCAAAGTGGACGTAGATCTGTCCGCTTTAACCAGTTCGATTTTGAAAAGCGTCCTTAAATTTTTGACACTCGACGACACGGAGTTGAAAGTAGTCGCGTTGGAAGCACTACCCTATTGCTCCAGCCATATCCTCAAGTTCTACTCCGGCACTGTTGCCAACATTTGGGTCGAGAAATGTGGCGATTCGGACGAATCCGTGCGACGAAAGTGTGGCGAAGTGAGTGCCAAAATAGTCACACTTTCACAACAAAACAAAGTCTTATCTAACTCCACTAAAAACGAAATCGTGGACACACTTTTTGACGCGTTGATGAAACAGACGAAGAAAAGTCTCCAAGAGAGCGACTTTAAGTTACAGGAGACCATTTTAGACACGATTTTGCAGCTCAGTGGCGTGAAATGCGACAATACAGTACTACCAATTATCAAAATATTGATTTATCTGATCATGGTACCAACCTCGAAGCACTCTCTAGTCGCGGTCAACCGGTTTCTGAATTTCGCCAAAAGTCGCGATTACACCGCTAACCAGTTGTACAAGCTTTACAAACGCGAAATTTGCGAAGTGGTTGCGCATTTGTGTGTTGTGAACCAGACTCTGATTAATTATTCGCTCGCGACGTCTTTGTGTAAAATTTCGGCCACATTTGAGTTTTACAACGTTAAAGATTTCGTGTCACGGGAGTGCCACCAGTTGTTACCTTTTTTCGTCTCTAAAGTCATTAAATCACCCGTGGTTGGTAAACTTATGGATGAGATGGCGCTGATGGTCAGTATGGGACTTCCCGAGTTACTCACCAACATCTACGGGAACATTTTCCTGCACGTGTTTCTTAACGAACCCAAAGACGAGTTCAAACAGTGCTCAAAGTATCTGGAAACCACCACTGGTTTGTCGTCGACGCAGTTGCGCAAGCGCAACCTGTGGGTGATTCTGAACGAACTCCTACTGAACTTCCACGAAAAACGGGACAAGGTTTTGATGGCTTTGCAGTACCTGGCGAAGGAGGACACGAATACCGAAAACGTCCAGGAGTACTTACAGTCAAGGCTTCTGGGGTTGTTACAACACTTCGATTTTAAACTCATGGGGAAGAACACGAATCGGAAAGGCCCAATCCTTCTCAGTCTCGCGGACTTCTTCAAATACATGGGTCCTAGTCACATAGGGCCGCTGCGTTTTAAAATCATCGCCATGCTTCAAACCGCCGACTGTGGAGGCTTCCCCGACCTCACCTGCGAAGTTTGGAGCGCCTTCATCAAGAGCTGCGACGTGGAGTCTTTGGCACCTCAACTAGCGACGATTTTCGTGTCGATTCTGCCTTTGATTAAGTCGTGTCCGCGACAAATCAACGACATTTTCAAGTACTTGGTGATTCAGAACGAAAATCTGACGAAAGACTACATCAAGGACTTGTTTTTCGTCGACGAGTTAAAAGTGGACGCTCTGGTGCTCCAAACCATCCGTCGGTACGTGCGACCTTTCGACGACTACCCGTTGAAAGACAAAATGAAGATTTTTCTCAAGTACTTGTCTCACGAGACGAGCGAAGTTCGCATCCGCAGTCTCAAACAACTCAAACTTTTGATGGAAAAAAACCGCGAGGAGTTGGATCGGATGATCCTCGGCTACAACGGGATCGACCCGGTGATCGTGGAGTTAATCGAAATTTTGACACTGGGTTGTCGCGAAAAAGACCCGAGTTTGAAACTGGCTTGTGGCGAAGTGATGGGTGAGTTGGGGGCGGTGGAACCCAGTCATTTACCTCGAAGATACGCGCAAAATAGCCGAAACTTTAGTTTCTTCATGACGGACGACGGCTTCATCGTTAATTCGTTGAACGAGCTAACTAAGGCGCTTCAAGGCGAGAAAAACACCGTCGTAAGGCTGAGTTTCTCAAAGATTAGTAGAATAGCGACAATCACGGTTATTTTAGAGCATGGACCGCTTCGCCGTGGCAATCCAGGAAATTCTAAAGAACTATGAAATATCGTCGGACGCCACTAGTACCAGGAACGACTTATGGAAGCAGTTTCCGGAAAGCCAGCAAGCGTTGATGTTGCCGTTGCTGACGTCCAGGTACATCGTATCGCAACCCCAGGAAGTCACTGTTGCTACTCCGATCTATGGAAGCGCGGATGGGGCGTCGTTCCAAACGTGGCTTTACAAGTAAGTTCGGGAAACACTTCGCTGTGAGAGTCACTTTGGGTTTTAGTTGGACGCGCAGCTTAATCGCGACGTTACCACAAGACAACCAGGTGGTGTTGCACCCGTGCTTGCCCGCAATGAAGCAAGACAGTCGAATCCTGATGGTCTTCCTTCCGTACATTGTGTTACATTCGGTGATTTCTGACGTGAAAGACAACCGGGAGAAGATGTACACGGAGATTAAAACCGTGACGAGTTCGTTTGACAAGAAGCGGCAGCTCCAGGATGTATTTAATTAGAATTTAGTCAAGAAAATATCTTCAGAGTGTTTTTTAGGTAGAGTCGCTGACGTTACCTAGTGGTAGTACACCAGAGCGGGCACCCGAACGCGTGGAACGGACCCAATGCACGAAAGTCGTCTTCATAATTCTGGATTTTTTGAACCGCTGGACGCGCGAGTGGCAGTGGAGGACGGGCTCCAAGGGTCGCAATGACCCCAACTTCGTCAAAATTAAAACTTTCTTGGAGCGCTTCTGCAAACTGGAGTTGGCTAAATGTAATTTTCAGTGTGGCGAGTACCCACGCGCTCTCATGTACCTGGAGGACTACATCAGCGAGAAGCCGCACGAAGTTTCCAACCAGTTGATTTTCCTGACTAAGGTGAGTGCGCATAGATTGGTGTCTTCGCAATTAACCCGGTTCTAGATTTACGCGCAGCTGGACGAGCCCGACGGCGTGGCGGGCGTGACCGCCCTCCAGCCCACCGAGCCTCCCATCGAGCAGCGCATTCTCTCGCTCGAAGTATCGGGGAAGCTCTCCGACGCCGCTGCTTGCTACGAGCGCCTGCCGCAACCCTTCAAAATGCACCACCTCTCCGGCCTAATCCAGTGCTACCTCGACCTGGACAACGTCAACACCGCGTTGAATTTCGCACAAGGCGCATTGGCCCGCCAACCCGAATTCGGGAACATGCTCCTGGAGATGCAAGCCGAGCCTTTGTGGCGATTGGGTCGCTACGACGACTTGAACACGCTTCTGGAACGGCCGGAGCTCGTCGACAACACCTCCTGGGGTGTCCAGATCGGCAAAGCCCTTCTGTCTTTCCAGAATCGCGACCGCGGCCTCTTCGACGGGTTGATCCAGTCGCTCAAAAACCAACAAGCGGATCTACTGGGGGCCGCTAGCGTCGAAGAAGGTGCCTACCAGCACGGGTACTGCTACATCTCGCGCTTGCACGCCTTGAACGAGCTACAACAAGTGGAAAGAGCCACCTACGAAATTTTAAAAGGGGGCGACGCGGTACGGGTGATCAAAAACCTAGCGAAGGAGTGGGAGTTGAGGATCAAGGTGGTCCAAGAGAGTGTGAGGATTGTGGAGCCGTTGATGTGTTTGAGACGAGTGGCGGTGGAGCAGTCGAAACGGATCATCGAAGAGAGGGTCCCCGGTGGGGTTCCCCTTTTGAATTCGTTGTTGGGGGAGTGTTGGCTGTATAGTGCGCAGACGGCGCGACTGGCGGGGGTTCACCAACAGAGTTATACGTACACGTTGAAGGCGGAGGAGTTCGCACCACCGAGTTTGTTCGTGGAGAAGAGTAAGCTTCATTGGTTGAGAGAAGAGCACGAACAAGCTCTAACCACGTTAAGGAGAGGCTTGGAGATTTTGCTCCCCGACAGTTCGAAGGAAGCCATCGCCGCTCTACCTCTCGAAAAACGAAAAATTTGCGCCGAAGCTAAACTCCTCATAGCGACGTACAACGACACCGTGTCCAACGTGGATACGGACATCAAGACGGCCAACTACCGAGAAGCCACGGAAGTGTATAAGGAGTGGGAGACGGGTTTGGTGAGTCTAGCGCAGTTCTTTGATCGTCGCTTCCAGAACTACTCCGACGAAGATCGGGACTCCCGAGGTAGTGACATGCAGATCTGGATGATCAGTTACTTCTGTAAGTCGTTGAGGTACGGTACCGCTTTCGTGTACCAGTCGCTACCACGACTACTATCCATCTGGTTTGATTATGGTACCCGGTTACTCGACGTGACTGACCCACAAACCCGCGACGAACGAAAAACCAACCTGATCAAAATGACCAAGTTGATCGACGTAGCGTTGGAAACGCTACCCGTCTACGTGTTTCTGACCGCGTTCTCGCAGATCATTTCACGGATTTGTCACCCCCAGAAGGAGGTCTACGTCGAGCTGAAGTCCATCATCATCAAACTACTCCTCAACTACCCGCAGCAAAGTTTGTGGATGATCATTTCGGTGATCAAATCCAGCTACATGGTACGATCGAAACGGTGCGCGGACATCATCAGCGACCCGAAGCTAAAAACCATTGCAAAACTCGTAAAAGACTTCACTAGCTTAGCTGAAAAATTAATCGAGTTGTGTAACAAAGACGTGGCGCAGGATGTCGAAACCACGACTGTGAGTGTCCTCCTACGGACTCTTCCTAGGTAACGACTAACGACGACTCTTAAGTTATCCGATCTAACTCTAGTGTCTCTAGGATGTTAAATAAAACCGACTTTAGCGAAATCATGATCCCCACTCACAAGTTCCGAAAGTTGGTACTACCCAATCCGGACTTCGCAAACGGCGAACACAACCCCTTCCCTAATCACTACGTCCACATAGTGGGGATAGCCGAAGAAGTCACCATTCTACGGAGTTTGCAACGCCCTAGAAAAATAACCTTCAGGGGCTCAGATGGGAAAGGGTAAGCACTAGAGGCCACACGTTGGGCGCCAATTGCAACCGTCTATCTCTCTAGGTACGTCCAAATGCTAAAACCCAAAGACGACTTAAGAAAGGACTTCAGGTTGATGGAATTCAACGACATTGTCAACCAATTGTTGTCGCGCGAATCCGAGTCGCGGCAGAGGCGACTCAACATCCGACTTTATTCAGTCTCGCCCCTAAACGAAGAGTGCGGCTTAATCGAATGGATCCCGAATCTCCTAGGTCTACGACCCATCTTAACCGAAATATACAAACAAAAAGGTGAGTTTCCCACCCCCGTGACCCCATTTAACACACTTGTGTAGGTCAAGGAATGACCATGAAAGAAATCCGAGACGGTAGCTGCAACATCAGAGACCCTCTAGCCAAAAAAAGAGAAATCTTCAAGAAAGTATTTTTAGCAAGGTACCCTCCGGTTTTAGGGGAGTGGTTCCGGCGCACCTTCCCCGACGCACAGGTACGACTTGACCCACTACCACCCTAAACTAATTTAATTTTTAGAGTTGGTTCTTCGCCCGAACTGCGTATATTCGCACCACTGCGGTTGTTTCCATGGTGGGCTACATTCTAGGATTAGGGGACCGTCACGGCGAAAACATCTTGCTAGATTCGATTTGTGGCGACACCGTCCACGTGGACTTCAACTGTCTTTTTAACAAAGGGGAGTCGTTCGAGTGGCCGGAACGAGTCCCGTTTCGTCTCACCCAAAACATGGTGGCCGCCATGGGTCCGTTGGGTGTGGAAGGGGTGTTTCGGAAGTCGTGCGCGTGTGCGCTTCGCGTTTTGCGCAATAACGCCAACACCCTCATGTCGATAGTGACGCCTTTCGTGTACGATCAGTTGGTGTCGTATAAAACCGGCTCCGGTTCTGCGAATAATATGGCCGAAAGGACGAACGAACAGGTATGGGTATGCCACTTTCGTTTTGAGGTTAATGTGGTGTTTCAGGCGCTGGATCATGTGAAGAATATACAGCTTCGGTTGCAGGGTATCATAGTAAAAACCAAAGATCGCTCATTGTCTATTCCGTTGTCGATTGAAGGACAAGCTAACAGTTTGATCAATGAAGCTATAAGTCTTGACAATTTGTGTCAAATGTACATAGGATGGGGGGCGTATCTTTAAGTAAAGATTGTGATATTAATTGTTTACTTTTTGTCTGGTGGAGCCTGGAGAACAATTTTTAGTCTGACGTAGTTGTGAAAGGTTTCTTGGAGGTCGTTTTGGAGGCTTGCGGTGATCTGGCGCAGTTTTCCGTCGCTTTCGCCGGCTACGAGTTTGGAGATGCGTTGGCTGGGGCAGTGGACTAGGATTATCGCTGTCGTTACACCTAAGAAAAGCGGATGAGAATTGCGTCGTAAACAACTATGTGTATACCTTTCTCGTTGACATTAAAGAACTCTAATTCGGGTTTAAGTGTATATGGAATTTCCTGGGGCAGAAAATCCAGTAATTTCGCTTTCACGCTTTTTGTTATAATTTCTTCGGCCGTCTGATCTGACCAAATCTCTGCCGGGAACAACCAATGATCCGGCTTTGCATTTTTAATGAGATAAGTTTTAACTTGTGCTAAGCCGTCGCCTGTTAACGCCGAAGTCATAAATATGTCTTGGAAGTGGGGCCATCCTTTCGTATCTTTATTTTTGAGGGGTTTAGTACCAGGTATAGGCTTCCCGTTTATGCAGTTCTCCGTGACTATTCGAGTCAAATCCAGAAGTTTACGTTTTGACCGAATTATATCAACCTGCAGAAAAATATTGAACATAGTAAAAAGTGAGGTTACGTTACTCACTTTGTTAAAAACTAAAAAACTAGATTTGTTTTTGTGATCCTCTAATAATCTAATAACTTTAAGGTCTAATTTGTGTCTGGTCCACACGTTGCTGGCGTCGTGTATAACTCCAATAATGTCGGCTTCTTGTAAACTCGATTTACTATCTTTCATGAAACTTTTTTCTAAGTTAAATCTAAAAACGAAGTTTGTCATCGCGTATTTAGTAAAATCAAACTTACTTTTTAAATTCCTGTAAACTAACGAGACCTGGAGTGTCTAAAAAGACAATTTGGGAGTCCCCTTCTGTGAAAATGGCCTGTGATTTAACCCTTGTGGTGTGAACTTTGGATGATGTGGGACAAACCTATTAATTATCATTTATTTAATACCCATTGTATGTAAAAACGTTCAACAACCTTTCTATCCATCAAATTATTAATGAATGTACTTTTGCCTACATTGGGGACCCCAATCACTGCTACTTTCAGCAATCTGGTGGTTACATCTTCATCTGGTAAAACCTCACGACGGGCATTCGTACTAAATTTTACCTCAAATCCACGCAAAATAAACCCAAAATTTCGCAACAATTTCATTTTTTATGGTTTTCTCTACATGAAAAGAAATTGAGGTTATATCAGCTGCGTGTGGGGTTTATGCCTATTAATAAATCTATATTAGTACCACCCAATGGTATTTTTTTGTCGTGTCACGTGACACCGCTTGTCGTATTTTTATTGGTGATGTGCGCAAACTTCAATTTATTCATGTTGGTGCCCCTGCGTTACTGTCACTTTTTTTCCGCCATTCTTCACAGTTGGTAGCACATTTTAAAATCCGTTCCTTCTGTGTAGTGATCGTACTTGGTTGTTAAATCTGCAAATTAGTAAAAATGCCCAAGAACAAGCATTCTAAGAAGGCGGATACTTCGGACTCCGACTCCGGACCCGACGATGTAAGTTTTTCGGGTCATGTTCTCCTAACCTAACTTTTGTACTCAGAGGGTGCCAGCAGCCAAGAAGCCGAAAACGCAGAGTAAAAGCAGCGGCGACAGTGACGAAAATTCGTGGGATTTGGGCAAAAACCGCTTCGTCAAACTCACGGAGTTCAAGGGGAAATGGTACGTGAGTATCCGGGAGTTCTACAACGCTGACGGTGACCTGCGTCCGGGGAAAAAGGGGATAATGTTGACCATGGAGCAATGGCACAAGTTCAAAGAGATCGTACCCGACTTGGAAGACGCCATCAAGAGAAACGTTTAAATGGTCATTACACTATAAGTTATTTTTGCATTTGTAATGGATAAATTATAGTTTCATGTGCTAGATAGTTGTTTTATTTAGAGGTAACAACCGAGTAAAAATATACTTTTGATATACGGAAAGGGCGCCACATTAACAACAAAAAAACAATTATATACATAAATTAGAATAAAATTTACATAATACTATTCTAACATTTACACATCGCTTGATTTTATGTCATTATTTGTACACGTTGTTGGAATGGTGAAATTCTGCTCGGTCCCGAAGAGAATTTCCGAACCTGGTGGAATAAAATCTGTCCCGGGGGTCGCGTTGAAATAATTTGACGACTGAAACACGTTCGTGTTGTTGTTAGGACCGTCATCGACTAGATCGTTATTTTTATTCACGTCCAACATGTTGACGGAATTCTCGTCCACCTCTTTGGGAGCTTCTACGTTATTGTACGGATTACCAACATACTCTGAGTATAACGATACCGGGCTGTTATATAAAACTGGAAACGTGTGAGACTGATTTTTTGAGTACAAGTACGGCATCCCTGGTTGCAAAGTCGGTTGTAGGAATGGGGGCGGCGGCGGCGGTACGTTTTGGGGCGTGGGGGCAATCGGCGTGGACACCATCTTGAAAACCACAATCACAACCAACTCGCCACAATTACACGATACAAACCTGCCCTAAATGTGCAAATAAATGCGACGAGACTTGCTGCTGACTCGACGGGGGCTGCAATATAATTGACCTTGTAGCATTTTCGATATTGTGTTGGACGACTTCCACGTTCGTCTCTGGTGTTTGAGGCGGTTCCTCGGCTTTCGCCTCGTTCATCTCCTTAAACAACTCGTCTTTCATGCCTGGGAGGAACTTATTGATTCGGTCCCACGTGGCCACCCAGAGAGGACTCTTCCCATCCGGACCATCAAAAACTTTGGCTGAATCCATCACCAATAACATGTTTTTCAAAGACTCGGGAATGGCTTCAAACAACAAATCACTCTTGTCGGCGTGCATGTACTTGTCGGTGAAGTCCAAAATAATCAACCATAGATTGGAAAAGGTGGGAAGCGATAAAAGGGGGGTGAGGTGGTGTAGGAACACTTTTGAAAGAACAGTGGCGGCCCTCATTCGGGTTTCTTCCATGGAAATGGGGTCTTTGGGGTCTATGTTGGTAAGGAGATGGGCTAAAAGGGGGAAAAGGACTCGATGGAAGCACGCCTCCCACTCCGGGCCTGTTAAAGTCTGCAGATCGTGCACCAGAAGTGCTCGTTGCAAATACGTAATTGCACTCATCCGGATCTGGAATACCAAAACATTTATTTAATAAAAAAAATTTGGCCGAGTGTGCGAAGCCCGGCCGTATTTGTGTATCCATCCTTGTCTAGGGGAGTGCTAACCGTCTCTCCTTTCATGCTACACAACTACAGTTAGTTTGTATTAATGTATATATAGTTACGCTTGACCGTCTACTAGTAGTGAGATATAACCTTACCTCTCTGCGAATGTCACAACATAACCTCGCAATCCCTTGTAACAACGGGCACCACCCCTGCGTCCACAACGACGTTTCTTTGGCCAAAGCTCCGCCTTCCTCCGCCCACCACTTGAAGATCTGGGCGGTCCGCGTATGTAGCGTGTGCATCAAATCCAATAACTGTATCGAAATCTGGTGATAGCCGCTCGGTAACTCCTCCTCGTCGCTATCCTCGTCCAAACTACTCGTGGGACTCTTGCGATACGACTCCGCCCCTTTCCTCCTCGGTCTGCGCCCTCTCGCCTCTCTAACTTTCTTATGTCTGCGACTGCCATGCAAACTCGCCTCGACGAAAGTACGAATACAGTGAACACAATCGTCGAAATTATACGGAGTGATGTGAGCCACATCCCTGACCAAAAACGCTAAACTCTCGCAACATTTGATTAAACTACTGGGGTCGTGCGGCCCCAAATTCCTCTCCAACGCTAAACTGTACTGACTAGGGGGCACCGTTCTGCCTACCACTGGCTGAATCTCCCCTTCGTTTCCTACGAGGATCCAGCCGCCGGTGTTGGGGCTTCCGGGCGAAAACTGGGGGCTTTGCGAGCGGTTGTTGGCGTGTCGGGGGCTCCGACTCAACTCGGAATCCGACGTGTACCCCCTATCCGTGTTAGTTTCTTCGTCTGAAGGGGCCACGCCTTCTCCGTCAGATTTGGTGCTTTGCTCGTCTGCGACGGGTTTCGGCGGGGCGGCGCCTGCCCCCACGCACTCCAAAAGTGTAAAAATTATCGTCCAATCAGTCTCGGTGTGGATGTTTTGAGCGGAAGTCTTCAGGAGTTCGTACAGACCGAAGGAGATCTGACGCGATATTCGACACAGAGTGCTGCTTTTGAGTAGGAGGAGCATCTGGAGGGACTGGAGGACGATGGGGCTCATGTCTTCGTTGCGCATGAGGCGGATGGCGATCCGAAGAAGACCTATGACGGAACGTTCAAGGAGGAATTGGTAGTCGAAGACGCAGGCGTTCATGACGAGAGTGTAGATGTGGTCGCGGACGGTATGCCAGATGGTCATGACTCTATCCCTATTCTGGATCACTATTTTTATTAGAAGTTCTAAAAAGAAAACGGCCACGTTTTCGTTGTAGTTGTAGCCGAGGCTCTTTTGCACGTCCGGTCCTCTACACAAATCGACGAGTCCGCGCACCAGCTCCTTCAGAGCTTCTTCGTGTAGGAACTTCGAGTCGGTAATGATCAACTCGAGGTTGCAATCTTTGATCGTTTCTTTCGCCACGTCGATGTGCTGCTGCTCCTCGATCGTAGGAACTTTGGATAAATTCTCACTAGAAACCATATACGAATACAAGGAGCTGAATAATCCAGTGTCCTGTTTCTGCATATTTTCGACTTCTTCATACACCAACACGATGCGGCCACTGCTGTCTATGAAATCTTCGGCTTCGACGAAGCTTTTCGGCAGCAACCCCAAACTATACAGTGACAAAAGAAGATCGAACACGTTCCTCCACCCTTCTCTGATATTGTCGCCGTGGTGGTGACACAAATCGGTCACGCATTTCAAAGCCAACCGAGCTTTAATATTAGCACCGAATGCAATAGTGCCATTGTGAGACCTCTGCACGCTATTAAAAGTAGTATACTTGGTCAAGGTTTGTATCAACATGTCTAGATTCTTCGTCATCCCGAACTGTGACGATATGAAAGCACACTTCTGGAAACCCGTCATCGCCTTTTTATAAATCAGCTGTTCTTCAGACTTGTCGAAAACGAAAGAGAGCGCTGCTACGATTGGGGCCCAAATTAAAGAGAACAGTTCGGGGTCGTACTGACCGCTGTTTAGGTGATAGTACCGCCCGTCTTTGGACGAACCCTTGCGAAGTAGTACCTTCCAGAGGTAGTTCTCGCGGACGAGTCCCGTCTGCTCTGCCGGCATCACAATCTCGTCGGTCCTAACAAAACAACAACAATAACAATGACAGTGTCACGTAAACGAGTATTACTTGATGGCGTTGTAAACCTCGTCGAGCATTTCCTCGTCGAAGTCTTTCCCTCCATTGACCGTCGACAGGTTTTTCTTAAACCCCGACAACGTCATCGGAGTTGTTTGCTTCTTGGCGTTCTGATTATGTTGGTCCACGTTTAGTATGATAACGGCGTAGGCGAGGGTGAAAGCCGCGTCCACGTTAGCAAACGGTTCCCCGTTGCTTTTCTACAACGAAAATCAAATCAGTGACGCTTTCGCGCCAAAACGTAGCAACGCGTGACGTGTGTGACCTTGATTTATAGTACGCGGAATTTTGCGAAAGGCGGCACACAAACTTCTACATCACGCATTTCTACGCTACTTTAAAGTCCGCTTACATGCCAGTGTTCGGCAAAATGCTCCAACAAATGCGAAATGATCGGCGCCTCCCCCGGCAACCTAAACGTCTCCAAGTAGTGCCTCAGCGCCTCATCGATCCTAGTTTCCGAAAAATCGAACGTCTTCAAAAAAGCCTCCAAGATCGTCACGTTGCTGCGATTCCCCAAGTACTCCCCGATCATTTTCTTATCCAAACCGCTGTTCTCTTTCAGAAATAGAGCGATCTCGTGCGGGTCCAACTCGGGTTTAAGAACACCGTGTTCTTGCAGAAACTGGATACCTTTTTTGGGTTTGTGGTTGTAGTGTTCGGTGCCTGTGGGGAGCCACTACGAACAAACAAAGTTAGCATCTTCGAGACGACGAAAATCGTGAAGTGACATAACCTCACTTTTTTCACAATACTTACTTTTTTGATACTTTTGCGCGCCATGAGCTCCTCCTTGCTTGGAACGTGTTCTGAAACCTTCTGTCGCGTTGATTTTCCGATGAAGTTGTTAATACTTTCGATCGTTTCGTTATTTTCATCCAGTTTTGGGGCCTCCGCGGAGGGTTCAGTTTTACCTTCGCGACAATGCTGTTCTATGCTTTCAATCACAGTGAGGAGAGCATCAAGAGATAGCATGTGGGTGTGGTAAACACCTGACGTGGCCGAAAATGCGTTTTTGGCCAAAAGCTTAGTCAAATCTTCGTACAAATTCGTGCAATACATATTACAGTCATAATTTAAGTAGAGCTCGGTGACTAGACCCGGGATTCGCCACAACTGGAGAATGTTATCCAACGCTATCTCTTTATGTTCGTACGAAATCTTCCCTGAATCGGTAACAATGATATCAATTAATTTTGTCAAGTAGAACTCCAACTGGAATTTTAAATGGGTACGGAGACTCTCAAACATCAAGAAACACACTTGTAGATCGGCTGCGAACACGGAAAGTCGTTCTGTAGTCAACAGCTACAATTAAAAAATTAACAAATAAAGGAAATTCTTGTTAATAATTTGTAACTAACCGAAAATAAATTTCTGCAGAGATCGTCTCTAACTAAAGCTAACAGATGTGAGTACTTTCCTATACTGTCGGCCCCCACTTCGAAGGCGACAGTCAGCAAAGTAAGCCCCAAATGAATCATCACATCCGTATTTTGCTTATCTAATGGATTACAAAGACTGATTAGAAACCGGAACAATTCCCGGACGCATGCTAACCCATATGGTACCAAAACCGTCTCTTCTTGCATCTGTTGGGTAAATCTAATCCCCCTTTGATTGACATAGTCTTGAGTCTCTTCCTCCGTGGCTACAGACTGCTCAACTTTTTCCTCTTCTTGGGTTTCAGTTTGTTCGGGAGTCGCCGGTTCTACGTTAATCTGGACATTTTCACTGTTTTCCGAAAACGTCGACGGCGATTCTGTATTAACATTCTCAGGTGTATTCTGTGAAATTGAGCCCTGCATGTCCACGATATTTCCAGCTGGAGTCAGAGGGGTCGTGGATAAATGATTGATTCTGGGGTTTTGGGGCTTCAGAGTCGGCGACTGCGTGTCCTCGTGGTTGGAAAGGCGGAACGACTTTTTTCGTTTACTTCTGGTTTGTTCGATAGCTCCTGGACGCATTTTGAATTGTTTAACAGCGTGTAAATCCTCGGAGAATTGAGGAAGGCGCATGAAGACAAGTTGGACCATGTCTTTGAGGTAGTGCTCAGCGGTGCGTCGCAACAATTCTAAAACTATGAAACTTAGACACAAAGAGCGCAAATCTTCCAACTAACCATTCAACCGTGTCTCGAAACATATACGGAAACACGATAACATAATTTCGCAGAGGCTTTCATTCGTGAGTGTAGCCCCTTCCGGTGCTAGCGTCAGCGTCCGCAAAACTTGCAAAATCCGCATGAGGACGACCCCATCCGAGGACTGGTCGGTGCCCACGAACCGGGCATGGGTGACCGCGTCAGCTATGCTGTGTACTGTCGTGGGTACAGTAGAGTGCGTCGGGTCTACAAACCAACTCTAAGCAACGATTCGTTCACGAACAACAGCTTACCGATCAGGCCATATGACAGGAATTTGTTAACAGCTGACAACGCTAAACTGGTGACGGGTCCGGTGGTTTCCTCCGATCTGATCACTTCCAGAAACGGTGACAAGTAGACGCTGGCCTGCACGAGTCGCAAATCGTCGATTTTGTTGAGGATTTCTTTGAGTTCTTGGAAGTTTTTCATTAAGGGATCATCGGCATCTTGGTGGGAATGCGACGACCAGCGGGCCCCTCGACGCATGGCAGTCATGAGGGTGCACATTTCGCCCCTCACGACGAAAATTCCGTTCCCCGGAAGCGACATTTTCGCGTTTTTGCAGAGAAAAAAGATTTTGGAGTGTTTACATCCTTCACAACACGTCAACCTTTCCACGTCAAGTTTGACGTATGAAAGCTGGGGTGACATCACGAACAAAATTCCCAAAAAAATATTTCATAATCGGTTTTTAAGCCAATTCGGGCCGCGTTTGTCGATGAAGAATCACAAAAAAAACACAAAAAATAACAAACGTGGTTGAATTATACACAAATATTTATATTTTTTAATATTAAAAACTAGTGACTTCATCCGTGCATTGGCACCCCTGTGTCAACCTAACCTCAAAAACTCATGTGTTTTAAATATCAATAAATGTGTTTTTGAAAACCGCAAAAATGACGAACGACCATGCAGAAGCCGACACAAGCCAGAAAAAGTCTCACCGGGAGCGCCACGCAGGTAAGACTCTGTTATTCCGTCGACTTATATTCAAAACTTTCACTCTAGGTCGTAAAGCGCAGAAGAAAAAAGACAAGAAGAAGAGCCCCATAGAGGAGCTTTCTGATAAGCAGCGGAACCCCAAAGCCTTCGCTTTCAACTCGGCGGTTCGTGCTGAGCGCCGCTTTCGTCGGAAACAAGATATCAACACCAAAAAACAGCACATTCCTTTAGTGGATCGGACGCCTCTAGAGCCCCCTCCGATTCTAGTAGCTGTGGTAGGCCCCCCAAAAGTCGGCAAAAGCACAGTTATTAACAACCTCATCAAACTATTCACGAAATCGCCCCTCGTCGAAATCAAAGGCCCCGTTACCATAGTCACCGGAAAGAAGCGCCGCATGACCTTCATAGAATGCAACAACGACATAAACAGCATGATCGACTTGGCGAAAATTGCCGACTTGGTCCTCCTTTTGTGTGACGCCAGTTTCGGCTTCGAGATGGAAGTCTTCGAGTTTTTAAACATCTGCCAAGTGCACGGTATGCCGAAAATCATGGGGATTCTCACCCACTTAGACATGATTAAAAACGCAAAAACGCTGAAAAACACGAAAAAAGTACTGAAACATAGGTTCTGGACGGAGGTTTATCAAGGTGCAAAGCTATTTTACTTGTCGGGGATTATTCACGATGAATATTTACGTAACGAAATAAAAAATTTGGGGCGTTTCATTTCTGTAATGAAGTTCCGCCCACTGACCTGGCGCACCACCCACGGGTATATATTGGGCGATAGGTACGAAGATCTAACCAATCAGGAATTAATACGGAAAAATCCGAAGTGCGATCGAAGTATTTCGCTGTACGGGTATATACGGGGTGTCCCCATTAAAAAAGATACGTGGATACATATTGCCGGTTTGGGTGATGTGAAGGTCCAAGATGTGTCGTTTTTGCCGGATCCTTGCCCTTTACCTGAACAAATCAAGAAAAGAGCTTTGGTGGAAAAGGAGAAGTTGATTTATGCCCCTTTTTCTGGAGTAGGGGGTATTGTGTATGACAAGGACGCCGTATATGTGGATTTGGGGGGTTCACATAGTCACAATAGACGAAACGAAGACGAAACTGATAATATCGTTACGGGTTTGATTGACAGCGAGAAGCCTCTAGACGTCAAGATGGCGCATTCGAAGATACAGATTTTCTCAGGCGGGAAAGAACTGACGGCGCAGGACTTGGAAGAAAGTGAAGAAGAAGGCGAGAAACAACTGTACGAAAAGAAGGAACGGGAGAAGAAGAAAGAGGAAGATTTGGAGGGGGAGTTAGAGGAACTGAGGGGGAAATTTGGGGGATTCAAAGAAGAAAAAGTTGAAGATTCGGGAAGAGTAAGAAGGAAGGTTGTCTTCGAAACGGGGGATGAGGAATTGGCGAAAGATTTGAGCGATGAAGATGAAGATGGGAGTGACGAAGACGGGGAAAGCGATGATGAGGATGACGATCTTCAAGGGGACGAAGAAGATGAAGATTCGTCTGAGATTATAGTCACTAAAAACAACAAAAGTAAGAAAGAAGATGTGAATGAAGAACCTGAGAAAATTTCTGGAGAGAAGAAAAGTGACGTTTTTTCAAAAGTCAGTAATATATTGAAGAAGCTCGACGATAAGAAGAAACAGGAACAAAGCGATGAAGATACGTCAGAAGAATCAGATGAAGATCTCTCTGGTGCAGAAAGTGACAATGACAGTGAAGAAGAACTAGATGACGAAGGCGCGGAAAATGAAGACAATAGTGAAGAAGAGAAACCAAGTGAAGAGGTAGAGGAAGATTCAGACGACGAAATGGAAGACGATGCGGTAAAATGGAAGGAGAATTTGGCAGAAAAAGCCCAAAATGCCTTCTTAGAGAGGCAGAGTGCCACCCAAAACTTAATGAAACTAATTTACGGTAAGTACAATTAACATTATTATTATTTATTATTGTTATTGTTATTACAAAAAACTTAACATGAAGGCATCTTCGACGTGAAAACGCACCCACAAGAAGAATCTCCAGAGGATGAAGACCAAGACGACGAAGAAACCATTGGTGGTCTCTTCAAAAAAGCCGCCAAAACCCAACAAAAACTCAAACTCGACAAAGACACAATGAACCTCACCGAAACCTCCCTAATCCTCCCGTGGAACGCCCCCACTAAGAACTGGCTCGACGAGCAGAACAAGCTCCTCATAGCCAACTGCTTCGTCACCGGTAAATGGAAAGAGTCTGAAGATGCCGCCGAACTGTTGAAACTGGACGATGCCGAAGATCTAGACGACGAAGACGTGTTTGGCGATTTTGAAGATCTAGAAACGGGCGAGAAACATTCGGCGCCGAAGCGTCCACGACCTAACGAAGACGAAGCAGACAAAGAAGCTCTAGCTGAGAAGAAGAGGAAATTGAAGGAGAAGTTCGACGAAGAATACGACAACAGTGAGAAGAATACGTTCTATGACGATTTGAAGCAGAGCGCGGAGAGGCAAGCGCAGCTGAATAAAACCGTGTTCGAGAACATGGCCGATGATATCCGAGTCCAGATCGAGGGGTTCCGGCCGGGGATGTACGTGCGGATCGAGGTACAAGACGTACCGTCGGAATTCGTGACGAATTTCGATGCCACGTATCCGCTTTTGATTGGAGCGTTGAATATGGGGGAGGAGAATGTGGGTTACGTGAACGTGAAGATCAAGAAGCATAGGTGGTATACGAGAATTTTAAAGACCAATGATCCTCTTATTATTTCTTTGGGGTGGAGACGGTTTCAAACGATACCCTTGTACTCAAAGCTGGAAGATGATTTGAAGTTTAGGTACTTGAAGTACACCCCTGAGCATTTAGCGTGTAATGCGCATTTCTGGGGGCCTATTACGCCACAAGGTAGCGGTTTTTTAGCGCTTCAGTCGATCGAGTCAAATCCAGAGGTAAGTACTTGAAATTCGTGAACGCTACTACATTGTATGGTCGTTTTAGATCTTGAAAAAACAAGGCTTTCGCATCGCCGCCACTGGAGTCGTCCAAGAACTAGACAAGTCGACCCAAATCATGAAAAAACTAAAACTAGTAGGATACCCCTTGAAGATCTACAAGAAAACCGCCTTCATTAAAGGGATGTTCAATAGTGCCTTAGAAGTAGCCAAGTTCGAAGGAGCTCGCATTAAAACAGTCTCGGGCATACGGGGTCAGATTAAAAAAGCCGTCAGTAAACCGGAAGGTAGCTTTAGGGCCACTTTCGAAGACAAAATAATGTTGAGTGATATTGTGTTCTGTCGGACTTGGTATAAAGTGGACGTGCCTCAGTTCTACAACCCCGTAACGACGTTATTGTTGCCCCCTGAGACAAAAAATTCGTGGAAGGGGGTTAGAACTACCGGCGAGATTAAACGGGAGAAAGGAATACGTAGCGCACCCAATCAGGATAGCTTATATAAGGTGAGAATCTCTCATTGGTGGAAATTTTATTACGTCGGTTTGTTTTAGCCAATCGAAAGGAAAGAACGGCCGCTTAAACCTCTCGTTATTCCGGGTAAGTTGCAAAGGGCGCTACCGTATAGGGATAAACCGAAGCACGGGGTGAAGGCGGCGGATAGGAAGAAGGGTCTGGATAGAGTGGCTGTGATTAAGGAGCCCTACGAACAAAAGGTGATTTGTTTTGTTGCTGGTTACCTTTATTAATTGTTTGGGTTTAGGTTTCAAGTTTGATGAAGATGGTGAAGACGAATTATGAACACAAACAAGAGAAGCTTAAGTTGGAGATGAAAGAGCGTGTAGAGAAGCATAGGGAGGCGGTGGAGGCGCAAGAAACGGTGAAAGAGAAGAAGTTGAAGCAGAAGAAGAAAGAAGTGTTTAGGGCGCGGAGTAAAGCACAAAAGAGTAAAAGTTGATTTGTTTTAGTTTTAAGAGAGAATAAAATTTGTTTTTACATGTTTTGGGTTTTATTAGGGGAATGAGAAAATGAAAATAAGTTCGCATGAGGGTGTAGGTGCAATCAATCGTAGTTGAAATGTACTTTAGTTGTAGGTGCAATTTATTATAGATCAAATGTACCAATTTGTGACAATTGAGCTACGAGAAAAGTGGGTTAGGATTTCGTTAAAATTAAATGTATATAGGGTGATGTATATATTCTGATTTAATACAGCTCGGAAATATCAAACCTGTGAAAGAAAAAGAAAAAACGGCCACCATCAACGTTGGAAATTATTGAAATGACGTGCTTCTACAGTAGTTCAAATGTTTTAGGCCTATTGTTCAACCACATGTTCGTGTTGTTGTTGATCTTCAATATTCCGTTATAAAAATTCAAATATTTAGATCCCGTTGTGAAAATGTAAGGATATAATTTTTGCAATACTTTTTCGATTCCGTAGCGAAATAATACCTTGGATTTTGTGAAAGTACCAGTTACATTGTAGGTGTACCCCGGAACGCAACTTCCAGGTTATAAAATTTGCCCCCGGAGTCGAAAAACCAGAAGCCGTGGTCATAAAACGCGAAAAATGTGATGCAGTACCCATGTCGAACCACGTCGACAACTGTGATGTCGATGTTGACATTGCCCAACCTACCAAAGACGAAATAATTGATCTGATTACTTGTGACCACTGGGCCGACGTCGCCGTGGTCGCAGAGTCGGACGACGAAAACGCCAACAGTCGAAAAGTGCTCTCAAAAACAACCAGAAGAAAAACCGATCAATTGTGGTACATGTGCCTTTTGTGCAACTACCGGAGTGAGCTTGAAGAACCATTCATGAAACACCTGCTTCGTAAACACACTTCCATTTACGGGGATTTTTTCAAGTGTGGCTTTTGTAAACGCATGTACCAAACCGAAGACAGGTTGCAAAAACACGTCATCAATCACAAACCAGGTAGCAGAATTGGTTTTTCGATCGAATAGTTGTCCCTGGAATTTTTTTTAGAAAAGCAAATCGTGGACGACTCGTGGAAGTCCAAGCTTGGGGTTCGTGGTTTTGGAAATTTGAAGCGCCACCGTCTGACGAAAAACGAAACCGCCATCTTGGAAGAAGTGTTCAAGAACAACCAATACATACAAGGTGAAACCAAGCTGGAATTAGCGAGGAGATTAAACGTAGGTGCCAACACGGTGCAACGCTGGTTTAAAAGAAAAAGGCGCAGCGTGCGCGAGAAATAAAACCGTACGTCGGAATTTAAAACGGGTTTTAATTATATGATATTTTTTATGTTGATTTTATTTAGTATATAGCGGAAACAATTCAGTATTTTTTTAAATTAAAAGTAATATGACATTGTGATAGCTTTCATTATAAAATAATAAAACTATTTTTATGGAGAAAATAAATAATTTATTTCTTTAACGCCTTATACAACAATTTATGAATCTCGAAAATCGTGTCCTGCTTCACTTCCTCATTCACGATTTTCCTCAACTGCGAAGCCACAAATTTCCCAAAAACGTCACTTTCGTCTTCTGACAGTCCCCCACTTTCAACTGGTTCGTCTTCGTTTTTTTGTTTTTTCGCCAGAGGCGCGTCTTCGATTTCTTCTTTTACTTCAACACAGGACTCCAATGGGTCGGTACCATCTCTCCATTCGTGCGCTTTTGTCGCAATTTCTGGTTCAAACAAATTCGTTTCGTCGCACTCTTCATTATCGCAGTCTTCTAGTTTCACGTCTGTGGTGCCAACGTGGTCCTGGAGGAATTCTAATTTATGGAGGTACCAAAACTGTGGCTCCTGACTCTGAGTGGCTTGGGAATATTTCACCATTAAATTATTCCATTGAGAAGTCACATCTGCTTCGGTCACCCCCGAACGTACGGTCTGTAAAGCTTCCACGATATTGACCAGACAAGCATTTTTGACAGCCGTGTTGGAATAGTCTTCATGGCTGGGGTCATACAACACGGGATATTTTTTGTACTGGTCGATTAGAGTTTCGACTTGACTCACCGTCCATCGGTTCTGTCAAAAAAATACAACTGGACATTAACATCAATGGCCGGCCAATGTTGTTAGTCGCATCACAAAATGACTTACCGATTGTCTTCCGACGCTACAACAAGACTCTAAAATTGGTTGCGAAACGTATCCGGTTTTGATATGCGCGGATTTCTTTCGACATTCACTACAAAGTTCCAAGTATGCCATTATCGTTTCTTTAGTGATATTCGCATACTGGTGTTTTAGTTTGGCAACCATGCGATTTCGCCCCCCGTGCCCTATAGCTAAATGGGCGGTGTGCAAAATGTCAAATAACTCCTCATTCGTAGCATAATAGATGGCCTTTTTTGTAGTTTTGTTCATGGGTTTGATGAGACGTTCTTTCCCGTTTATTGATAGCACGTCATATCTGGTCACGATTCTGTAGTCTTTGACGTTTTTTTTCAAACCAGGAGTTCGAAGCACCATTTTCGATTCTTTCACGTTTTCTACGCGCGCCGCGTATTCACTACTGTTCAAAAACGATTTATTATCGTTGCGTTTATTGCGAATAATTGCACTGATTTTAGTATTGAAGCGATCTCTCATTTGGTTTATATCCATAACTGTGGTTATTATTAGTTATCACAACCCTAACCTCAAAAATTCGGCTTCACTTACAACACTGACCGGTCAGTTAATCACAAATCTTGTTATAATCGTCAGTGATTTCGGGAAATAACGTTATTAGCCGAGCAATGACACAGTGTATTGACACGGTCGGTCATTGACGACATTGATCAGGGCACATTTACTACATTAACCGTGACACAAATCGTTGCCACTCCAACAAACCAAAAGTTGCTTACAATGTCAAAACTAGTAACTTTCGAGTGGCTATGAACGTCAATGGCCGGCCAATGTCATAAATTGTCGGTCGTTTTACGTACTTGCACGCAGATGTGGTTATGGTGGTCGTTGAAGCTCTTCACGTCCAACGTCTGACCATCCGGAGACACGCACAAACGAATGTAGGCGGCACATGGAGATCCTAACCTGAACGTGCTAAAAATGTCAACTTAGAGCCAAAAAAGCAATCTCGGGGATTCGTACATGGATTTGCGTAGACCTTTACTTCGTGATTTGAAATTCTCTCCCCCAAGAATGCAAGAATAGCTGATTTCGTAGTAGACAAGATCGGGTTTCATGGGGCGTTTTATGTTTGCCGTTGACGTGATTTTCCGACTCGATCGTTTCCAGAACTTCTGGCGGTGATAACATTCGTACTGGGAAACAAAAAATGATAACGAAGCGTAAGAATCGAAGGATTTTCCAATGAAAAGCGTTGGAGGAGACTGCATGATGGGGAAAATCAGGTCACGGTGGCCGTCATTACACGTTATAACGTGAGAATAAGAGTAGGTCAAATGACCCACACGCGAAAACGCGAAATAGTGAAACTACGACCGACACAAGTTGTGGAAATAAAGATCTTCAAAGATTAAAAAAAAACAAAACGAGTAGTTTTAGTCCCCGCCCACTTGGCCAGTAAGCTCCGCCTCCATGCTGATTCTGTACATGCCTCTTCAAATTGTCGAGAACGCAGACACTGACCAACTTCAAGCTCCGCCTATCGTATATTTGAACCACGGACTAATTCTGGCAACTCTTTGTTTTGTGTTCACAGTGGTCACATTTGAACCACTGGCTCTTGGAAACGGTAGATTTTTCCGTGCACTTTCGTTTATGTTTCGTGAAATGAAAGATCGAAAAGGTTTCGAAGTCGTTGCATTTTTGGCAATTGTAAGTTCATGGAGATGTGGATTATATTAAAGTGTTGTGGTTGTGTTTTTCGGAAAGTATTTTTACATGGATGGAATATGGGCAAGTGCAACAATCAAACAGCCTTGGCAATTCTTTCGCACCGGTGTAATGGTGGAATTCGTTTTGTTTTGTTGATGAATGCATTGGGGCCCCCGAGTCTCGAAAAGTGAGGTTATGGCACATGTTAAAGAAGTTATGGACGTTACGCTATAAAAATAAATCAGAGCTAATTTTTTGTCAACTTTGTGATGATACTTACTTAATTGTAGCTTTTAACACACAATTTTACTTATTTAAGTTATTTTTGTGTGTTTGGGAAAAAGTCGTAGTTCTAATGTATCGGAAACGTAGGAAACACTTGCATCGAAAATTGGAGTATTGTTGGTTGCCTATCACAATTTTATCTCTATATCTTTCTATTTATTTAAACTATAATCCTTCTAGTTTACATTGTAGGAGTAATTTTAGTTAAGGCGTTATATATTTATATCTGACAAGTTGAAGAATTTAATCACCTGTTCACTACAAAAAGTATGGATTTTGCAATTAGGCTCCGCCCCTCGGTCTGACAACAAATGAAAAATTCATTACATTGAGCTTGGGATGGATATGGGTGGGGCTTAATTTTTGGCTTGTTTTTACTTCTCGAGCGTAAGCAAAGGAAGTATTGTAATCGAGTCCGTCGGCCGACTCTCTACTTTTACGTTTTCTCGATCTTTCATGACCCCTAGAAGACAAAGAAATAGATCTCCCATTTCCGTCGGTCTGTCCGTCTGTCTGCCGTCCCGGATTTTTATTAGACAGATAATCTCCGAAAGTACTGGACCGATTGTTGTGAAATTTTGTATGTACTTATATTAGGAATATCATGTGGATGATAAAACGCTAACTAAAATTTGTCTAATCATCCCCACCACCTATGCGATGACGTCACTTCAAAATTGTACATAGTAAATGGGTTTTAAATTGTATAAAAGTAACATAGTCCTACATCTGTAGTTTAAGACTCCGAATTGAGTTTTTAACTGAGTGAGTGAGTGAGTGAGTGAGTGAGTAAGTGAGTGAGTGAGTGAGTGAGTGAGTATTTAAGTAATTAAGTGATCACTAATCACTAATCACTAATCACAAATAACTAATCTCTAACCACGAATCACTAACCACTAATCACGACTCACTAATCACTAATCACGACTTACGAATCACTAATCACTAATCACGACTCACTAATCACGACTCACTAATCACGACTCACTAATCACTAATCACGAATCACGAAATAACGAAATCACGACTCACTAATCACTAATCACGAATCACGAAATCACTAATCACGAAATCACGAAATCACGTAATCACTAATCACGAATCACTAATCACGAATCACTAATCACGAATCACTAATCACGAATCACTAATCACTAATCACGAATCACTAATCACGAAATCACGAAATCACTAATCACGAATCACTAATCACGAATCACTAATCACGAAATCACGAATCACTAATCATTCGTGATTAGTGATTAGTGATTTCGTGATTCGTGATTAGTGATTAGTGATTAGTGATTAGTGATTAGTGATTAGTGATTCGTGATTCGTGATTTCGTGATTTCGTGATTAGTGACTTCGTGATTCGTGATTCGTGATTAGTGATTCATGATTAGTGATTCATGATTAGTGATTAGTGATTAGTGAGTCGTGATTAGTGATTCGTGATTCGTGACTAATCATTAATCGCTAATCAATGATTATCACTAAATACTAATCAACTAATCAATGATTAGTGTTTAGTGATTTTATTTGTTTGGTGGTTTGCAATCTTGGGGTTTTTTTTTTCCTTTCGGGTATTTTAATTTCTAAGCTTTGCAGTTTTATTTTTCATTGTTCCTATTTTTTCCGATTTTTGAAGAATTTTTTAATTTTTCGTGGTTTGGAATTTTGGAATTTTTCAACTTTTAGTTCTTCGATTTTTAATTTTTCAGTTTCTCGATTTAAATTTTTAGATTTTTAAATAACATCCATTTATTTACGAAAGTGTTCATTACATAAATCAAACTAAACAAAATAAATGAATTTTTATGCTTAGTATTTCGATTTTTAGTAGTTTGATTTTTAAGTTTTGATGTTTCAATTTTTCGTTTCTTCAATCTTACGATTTTTTAGAAATGTGTTAGATTGTTAAATTTTTTACTTTTTCAATCTTGCAGTTTTAAAATTTTTAAGTTTTTCATTTTTGAATATTAATTTTCTCGGTGTCTCAACTTTTCAATTTTTCGATTATTTAATTTTTCAGTTCCTCAAATTTTCGATTTTCCATTCTTCAATTTTTCAATTTTTTAGACATTTTAATGTTTCCTGCAATTTTGCGTTTTTTCCTCTCTCTATTTTCTTTACAATTTTTCTATTTTTCTATTTTCTATTTCCCAAAGTCTTAAACTTTTCGATGTTTCATTGTTATAATTTTTCAGTTTTAGTTCGTTTTTTTCCGATTTTTGAACAATTTTTTAATTTTTAGTTATTTTATTTTTTGCTGGTTTGCAATCTTGCGGTTTTTCCTTTCCGAATTTTTAATTTCCAAGTTTTTCAATTTTTCTATTTCTATTTCCAAAATTCTTAAATTTTTAGATGCTTCATTATGCATTTTTTTAATTTTTCCTATTTTTTCCGATTTCTTGTTACCGTTTTTTTGTTGTATTTTTTGCTCGCTTTTTGGCTACTTTTCTTGTGCCTTTGTTGTCCGTTTTTGTCGGTCTTTTTCTATCGCATTTACTTAAGAATTGTCGCTTTTTTGTTCATTTCTTTGGAAGCGTTTTTTTTGTCTTTTTTCTCGCCTTTTTTTGGTCGTTTGTTTTGTTCCTTTCTTTGGTCGTTTTTGTGTGTTTTTGCTATCGGTTTTTTATAGCCGTTTTTATTGTTTTTACTACCCGAGCGTAAGCAAAGGAAGTATTGTAATCGAGTCCGTCGGCACTTCAAAATTGTACATAGTAATGGGTTTTAAATTGTATAAAATAACATAGTCCTACATCTGTAGTTTACGACTTCGAATTGAGTTTTCACCCAAAACGTCCAGAATTTTGGAAAAAAAATCAAAATTATGAAACAACATTTTGCAATTTAATTTTGAATCTGCTAACCCGAATGTTCTGAAATGTTGCAAGACTCTAAAGAGCATAATAAATCTTTAGTCAAAATATATTTGGTTATCCCCTCCAAAAACTTGATGACGTCAGCTCAAAAGTTTGCCGAATAAATCCTATCTAAAATGTACAAAATATGATGCGTCTGTACTTGTGATATATCACTCCATTCATATCTTTTGGATTTGCATTAAATTTTTGCTCAAAATGTATTTGGTCGTCCCCCCTAAAAAATTTATGACGTCACCACAAAATTTTGCTGAATCTCTTCTTGAGTCTCTTCTTGTGATTTATCGTTCCATTCAAATTTTTTCGATTTGCATATACAGGGTGACTCAAAAAAATTAATGAATGCGTCAGTTTATTTTATTGATTTAATCAGGAATTACAGAACCGAATGCTTTGAAATCTTGGAGATGTTTTAAAGTTATTATAAGCATGGTAAATTTTTGATCAAAATGTATTTGCTCATCCCCCCTAGATAATTGATCACGTCACCCTAAAATTTGGTGAATAAATCCTATCTAAAATGTTAAAAGATGTTTATAGTGGTAAATTCTTGTAGACAAATATGGATCTTGCAATTAAGCCCCGCCCCTCGATCTGACAACGAATGAAAAAGTCATCACAATTGAGAATTCAGATTGGGGCGGGTACGGGTGGAGCCTAATTTTTGGCTTTATTTTTTTCTCACTATACATAATAGTTTTTGAACAAAACGATACTCAAAAACATGTTTTTAATTTCTCGTAGAGAAATGAGGATTTTGCAGTTAAGCTCCGCCTTCTTGGCTTACGACGAATAAAAAAAATCATCACAATTGAGATAGGGTGGGTGGGCGGGGTTACATTTTGCCTTTTTTTTTCTTAATATGTGTAGACTTATTTCGACAACAAGAACAGCAAGTTTATAAATCCCAGTTAACAAAAACTGAAAACAAACAATTTGACAAGTTTGACATTTACGTCACGTAACCTCATTTTGGTACCAAGATAAACACTTCTAAAAGCCTAAAAATAAATCCAATGAACTAATCATAAAAAAGTAAGAACCATTCGTTAAAAACAAATATTTAACTCTAAGCTCCGTTTGCTTTACAGCTCAAAAAGTAAACCTGGCGCGTCGTTTCGACATAACCTCACTTCTGCAAAATGCACGAAATGGGCATAAAAACCGAATTTATATTTAAAACAGAATCGCAGACTGATCATTTCGAATGTGCAGACGATCTAACCAAATACAAGTGTCAACAATGCCCCTATACCTCTCACTTAAAAGTGCTAATTGAGCCACAAAACCACGATTTGGACATGGATTTAGTCAAACCTCGACACTACAAGTGTCGCAGATGTGATAGCTTCAAAACGTACTCCGTGTTGCTGCTTTGGCGACATAAACGCACGTCTTGGAAATGCCGGAGAAGTCAGAAAGAAAAAAGCGACCCTGGCGTTATTAACAACAAATTTGTGGTAATGTTGAAAAACGTCTCTTTCAAACGAAGACGTAGAAAACCGAGAACTTTGTGGTACAAGTGCGACCAGTGCTCGTTCAAAACCAAATGGCCAAGCAGTTTCCGTGTCCATGTAAAACTCTCACACTACCCTGAAGAATTCGTGGAGTGGGCGCAATGTGACCACTGCCCCTACAAAACCAAATTCAAAAGAGCCCTCAAACGCCACGTTCTCGTCAGACACACCGACCCCGCTTTAATCCAGTGGTGGCAATGCGACTTTTGCGAATTTAAAACCAAAGAAAAATGTCACTTAAACAGCCACATCCATCGAAAACATACAGTTCACTGCGATTCGGACTACTACAGGTGCGATTTCTGCCCATACAAGACCATCGATCGAGGGTCTTTGAAACGACACGCCCAGAGCCAACACTCCACCGAACAAATCATCCTCGACGAAAAGTGGTACGAATGTGATCAGTGTCCCTTCAGATCTAGTCATAACACGAGTCTTAAAAGACACCTCCACGTTAACCACACCGACTTCGAAAACATCAAACTGTGGGAGTGCGACAGCTGCATTTTCAAAACTAAATACCGCCATAGTTTGCAGTATCACATTATATCGAACCATACAGCGTTGGAGGATATTCAGTGGTTCGAATGCGAGCAGTGTCCGTTTAAAGCCAAGATGAAGCGGTTGTTGCGGAGACACGTGAGGCTGCAACATGGCGACAACAAATGGGTGAAATGTGAATATTGTGAGTACGAGACGAAGCACAAGAGCCATTTGAAAAGTCACATGAAGTCGAAGCATGATGATATCGAGAGTGTGGATTTGTTGCTTTGTGAGCTGTGTGGGTATTGTACGAAGTTTGGGTATAGTTTGAGGAGGCACGTGAGGCTGAAACATGTGGATAAAAAGGATTTGATGCTGTTTGCGTGTGAGTTTTGCGGGTATTCGACAGCTTTGAAGTCGGATTTGATGAAGCATGTGAGGAATAGGCACGCGGTCGTTAAATTGAAGATGGAGACTCCTGAACTACAGTGAAGAAAATTATTGTTTTACGTTATTGTGTTTTCATTTTTAAATTGTATATGATTGTTTTGTTGGTTGCCTAACTAGTCATTTTTCTTATTAAAATAAAAATTTTAATTGATGTGGTTATGTTAAGTACAAATTAAATAATCTATTGGTAGTATACCATAGATTAATATAGATGCGACGTACAGGCTGATTTTGCAAAACCACCCTTATTGACATAGGAGTCCTCAACCGCCAAAGGCAAGCGCCAAATTTAAATAGTCGATGGCAATAAAAAAACTTGTTTCACTACAACTCGTCGCCTGAGAACTTGTTTGATCTACAGACCACAGCGCGCTCAAGCCAATGTCGACTCTAAGCGTGCAGAAGCGATGGTTGGTTTGGACTATAATTTCTGCGGGAAATAGTTGTTTCGTTGGTTTTTATAACGACTAAGTGAATATTTTTGGTACATATTTAGATGATTTTACATATTTTTTTTAACTAAAAATTAATTATTTATTTGTGTTTTATACTAGCAAAACGTCTTAAACTAAGAATATTATTGAAATCATAATAACCCAATGGATTTTTTTCGGCAAAATGTTTTGGAAACACTGTCTTCTATTTTGTATGAATTTTTAAATGTTTTTAGTGACCACTTTTGTGGTTGTTTTCGATCCACTGTATGATAATAACGGTGAGAAACAAAGTGAAAATTAAAATAATCGAAAATTCGAAAAATCGAGAAATCTAATAATTGAAAAATCGAAACCTTAAAAAATCGTAAAAACGAAACATTGAAAAATCCAAATATCGAAAAACTGGAAAATCGAAAAACCGAGAAATCGAAAAATCAAAAGATCAAGAAATCATAGAGTCCAAAAGTCGAACAATTGAGAAACCGAATAGGCCAAAATCGAAAAATCGAAAAGTTAAAAAATAAATTGATAAATTGACAATCAAAATATCGAAAAATCCAAATTTCGATAAATCGAGAAATCAAAAAACTTAAAAATTCGAAAAATTGAAAAATTGAGAGACTGAAAGGTCAAAAGAACGACAAATCGAAAAGTGATGAAGTCGAAAAATCGAAAAATAGAGAAATCGAAAAACAAAAAGTTAAAAATTGAAAAATTGGAAAAGCGGAAAAATCAAAAAACGAAAAAATGGAAAACTGGAAAAACTGAGAAACCGAAATAGGCCAAAATAAAAAATTGAAAAACTGATCAATCGTAAACCTGAACAATGAAATCTCGATAAATCGGGAATGAAAAATTAACAAATCGAAAAATTGAAAAACAGAACATCTAAAACCAGAAAGTCGAAAAATCGAAAGATTAAGAAATATTGAAAAATTAAAATATCACAAGATTGAAAAATCTAAAATTTAAAAATCCGAAAAGCCGAAGAATTGAAATATTGAAAAATCCTAAAACTGAAATATCTAAAAATTGAAAAATCGAAAAATCAAAAGAGTGAAGTCGAAAAATAGAAACCTTAAAAAATCGAAAAATTGAAAAATCAAAAACGTGAAAAATCAAAAAATTAAAGAATTGAAGAACAGGAAAATCGAAACACTCGAAGGTCAAGAAATGGGAAAATCAAAACATCGATTAATTGAAAAATCGAAAAATTGAGAGTTTATAAAAGTCAAATTTGAAAAATTAAAAAATCGAAAATTTGACAAAATGACAATCGAAAAACAGAAAATCTAAAACGGGGAAATCGAAAAATCAAAACATTAAGAAATCGAAACACTTGAAAAATTCGAAAACTTGAAAAATTGAACTGAAAAATCGAGAAATCGAAAAATCTAAAATTTTAAAAATTAAAAAATCTAGAATTGAAAAATCGAAAAAGTAAAGTAATCGACACATCGAAAAATCCAGGAGTCAAAAATCGAAAAGTCGAAGAATCGAAATATTGAATAATCCCAAAACTGAGACATCGAAAAACTGAAAAATGAAAGAAAAACTGAAAAATGGAAAACCTGAAAAATCCGAAAACTAAAATATCCAAAAAAATTGAAAAAGTAAAAAGTCGACACATCCAGAAGTAAAAAATGGAAAAGTCGAAGTACAGAAATATTGAAAAACCCCAAAACTGAAATATCGAAAAACTGAAAAATGAAAGAAAAACTGACGAATCAAAAAACTGAAAAATCCCAAAACTGAAATATCCAAAAACTGAGAATCTGAAGAATCGAAAAATTGAGAAATCGAAAAATGAAAAAAGTGAAGTCGAAATATCGAAACCTTAAAAAAATCGAAAAATTGAAAAATCAAAAACCTGCAAAATCGTAAGATCGAAAAATTGAATAACAAGTAAACTGAAAAATCCCAAAACTGGGAAATTAAAAAACTGAATAATTGAGAAATCGAAAAATCAAAAAACCCAAAAAATCAATTAATTGAAAAAATCCGACAAATAGAGTTTATAAAAGTCAAAACTTGAAAATTCGGAATATTTAAAAATCGTAAAATTGAAGAGAAAAACTGAAAACCGAGAAATTGAAAAAATGAGAAATTAGAGTAAACTGAAAAGTCCCCAAACTAAAATTTCGAAAAACTGAGAATTCGAAAGTTGAAACAGCAAGAAATTATGGTCGAAACCGGTTAGGATGTGTATCAGATCACGGATCATGGCTTATAAATCAAATCGTTTCCGAACGCTTAGAGTCGACATTGGCCTGAGTGCACTCTGGTCTGTAGATCAAGCAAGTTCTCAGACGACGAACTCTTTGAAGGAAACAGTAAGCAGCTTGTAATATTCTGGTAAATCTACTTATGTGACCAACAATACAGCAGTTTTTTGGTGCCTTTGTTTCATTTGAAGTATTAGTATACGACACCCAAATTTCCATTGTATCCAGCAATAAAAGAAACATTTTAGACTAATATGTAGAATCTTGTATTATGGGTTGCCTATAATCCTCAATATTTTAGTAAATAAGAATGATTTTTGTATACGTACAGAATTTTTTATTATTAAAATTTTGATAGAAGTTTACAATATTTCAGATTAAGCTCAGAGCTCAGGTAGATTTCAGAAAGAATTGCTAGCTGCATTTAGGTCAACAAATGGCGCTTAATTCAAACTTGTCTGTCGTTCCATTATATACAGAAACATTTTACATAAGCTTACGAGTAAACTCAGCTTAAAACCATACCTTAATGTTACTTTGTGCTTTTACTTAAAAAATAAAAATTGTTTAGTACCCGTTCGTCTGATTATCCCTTATTCATTTTTATGGCCACTCTGTATGAGTGATGCGCCTCTTCCCGAAACACGTCAGGATTGATTTTCCATTAAATAAAAAAAGTCTCGAGCTACGCAAATCGATACAACTCTAAAATTACATTGGCAACAGTTCAAATAGCTCAATGAAGTGGTGAATGGTTTACATAGAAAGGTATAATGCATCAACGCACAAAACAAAAAATAATAAACAAAAAATTGAAACCCCTCCATTGGATCGATACGAAAATAGAATCCGCCGCGGCCACCTCACCCTCGAGTTGAATGCCTCTGACTGCACCAGAAAAAAAAAGCAACGCAAAAAAAAAACGACGAGACTGCGAAATATCGCCGAATCACGTTGACCTCAACCGCGCAAATATAAACCGTTGTTGATAAAATCGGCGCGAGTGCGTAAAATGTGTTTTTGGCACAAAGAGCCCGTGTTCGACGAAAAAATAAAATAATTAACGAAAATAATCCGGGGGCCCCTTTGTACGTGGTGCGTGTATAATGTGTTGCATATCCTGTCAAATTTGACAAATGTGAACGACCTTCATTTTCCGCAATTAAAAATAAAAGTTTTCCGGAAAAAATATAAATACGACATTGGAGCAAAGAAAACAAAGATTTGGCGGCCAAGTGCAAACTTTAAAATAGAAATCATTTTTCCCCCGAACCGATGAAAATAGAGTGCGTGCGCACTCACCTTGACGAAGATACCCAATCGGCGTCGCCACTTGCCAGACAAAGACGGGGGTCGAGGTGGATTATCGAGTTGTTAGGTTAGACTGTGACAAAACAAAGACGTGAGGTGGGATTTTGCAAATATTCTAATGTCAATTCGGATCTCAGCTGTTAGAGGGTGATTGACTTTTCGTTTTTATCAAGTCTCTCAATTTCCAGTCATTCTCCCAGGTGATTTTTAACGAAATTTACTTTGGAACGTTATAGAACAAAGACAAGCGTAAAGAACACCAGAAAATGAGTGAACTATCGCAAGAAGAGGTGAGTCTAGGTTATTTTCCCCCCCGAAAGCCTGTTATCGTCGTCTCCTCTCCTTTCCACGCAAAAACATCGCCGCTTTTTCGCATTTCCACCCAAAAACGCTTCCACGAACGCACGAAGTAGCAGGCTGCGACTTTGACAACTTGTTTTAGCCCCCTGCTGCCAACATGACAATTCCAAAGTTTAAACATTCATGTTTTGCGTTCTTGGAGCACAGCGGCCACGTTTTGTCTCGAAATCTCAACGGCCCCCTTGTGTTTTCAGATGCGGAGGAGGCGCCTCGCGCGCCTGGCAGTCCTCGACAACGTGTCACCCTCTAATTCGATCTCGCCCCCCATCACCCCCATTTCGCAGTCGCCGAGCAGCAGCAACCAGGCCCAGAGCCCCCCGAGCACCCCCATTGACGACAAGTGCTTCACTGACGTGAACAAGCGCCCCAACGACGACGACAAGGAGCTCAACTACGAGCAGAAGGACGGCGTGTTCCAGGTGCCCAGCAAGCCCATCGACATGCCCTCGAGTTCCAAGAGGGAAAGGGCACGGGCGCCGCCGCAGCGTAGCGACTCGGAGACCAGTTCGATACACATGGAGGTGGACGAGGTCAGCGGGTGCGCGGACAAGGCTGGGGCCAACACGGACATCGACTCTGGGTTTGAGAATATGGAGGTGAGTCGTGGTGTCATGGTGAGTTGACAGTTTTGGCGGGTTGGCAGCACTGAGAGCTGGCTTCGGGGTAGGATTGGTGCAATGATTTAATATTTATTGTTTATTGATTGCATCGGGATTGGGGGGCTTTGGGAGGCGGATTTTGTTAATTAGGGAGGGTCAGATGGTAACGGGTTGATTGTTTGGTTAATGATGTTGCGATTTACGTCTTGGATGTAATTACGTTGTAAACAGAGTTATGGGTTTCTGATATTGGATGGGTCATAATAGAGATATGTTTCCTGGATCGTTTGGCAGGGTTAATCATAACACTGCGAATTCTTCACATGCCGTTGATATAACCAAAATAGTTTTTTTTATTTTCAAGGTTGGTAAGGTTTGAGACAACATAAATAATAAATTACTATAATTAAAACTGGCTATTTATGAGAGAAATTTCTAAACTTAGAAAGAAAGAAAGTATCGGAAGTTATTATTAATTTACTGTAGATTAGAGATGTGCATATACACAAAGGTTATTATGGTGTCACAAGGTTTTGCGTCGCGCTTCGTAAATGCATTTTAAATTTGATAAAAACCCGTTTTGAAAGTCGACACTCGTGCGTCGACGACGAGTTGTATGCTTAAGTAATATTTAATGGTTTCGAGTAAAAAAGTGCGCATTTGTCAATTAAATGGAAAATTTCTTATTTCTTAAGATTATAATTTGAAATAATTAAAAATATTCCACAATAATATTACTCCATTCATCGACGTACGGAGTAAAAGTTACTTAATTCCGAAGGTTAATGATTTTCCGGTGTGGTTAACGGACTTTGTGTTACAGCCACCTACAAAAATATTAGGTGGTGATTTATTTGGCCTCAGTTCAAAGTACTTGGAAAGTTGTTGACTCGCAGTTATCTCTTTTATGATTAGGAATTTGCGTTCTTTGTAGGCTACGACAAACAAAAGTATCAAGGAATGTTGACATATTGAATTAACTAATTTTCTGTAGATAAGTCGCGACCCGTTATAAAATTAACGTCAAATCCTCTAGTAAAAAAAGCAAAGTTTTTCCAAAAGAAGTTTCAGTTTATTTAAGAAACGACATAGCGAACCTTCACTTAATAGTGACCATTATTGATTTATTCGTTGATCGATGTCATACGAGTTCTGGGTAACTTATTTTTTTTGTTGGCACGACTATATTCCCCTAAATGTAAATGTCAGATTTATGTCAGAAGTGAGAAGGTTAAAAAAACATCATACCTTTGTCGCTTTGCGAACAATAGTTGAAAAGGATGTGGTATTTTTATAACCTTTGACATCTACATTTAAGACAACGTAGTTCTATTAACACAAAAAATGTTACATTCCAAGCGTGACCAATTTAGCGACAAATGACGTTGCAAATAACGTATTACAAAAATGGAATTATTATCTGTTCAAAAATTGAAAAACCACTCAATCGGCAACATAGTACGAAAACTCAACCGATAACATTGTCTAGGGAATTTTTTGTTACCATGATGTGCTGTCAAAAAAACTGAGGTTAAGATGATTTTGGTTTTCATTCAAAATACGTTATTTTTATTTATTTTATTTTGACATTTTTGTCACGAAACTACCAAGTTTCCAGTGTAAAAATAAGCCCTGCAGGAATTTTATTTGCTGCTAACTTAATTCATCACGTGAATAAGTATGATTTAAGTTGGCAATAGAAATGACCAATTTTGAGGAATGTTTTTTGCGCTGCTGTTGCCAAACCTGATTCAAATGTTTGACACTATGTCACTTTGAAGCGCCCAAGAAAGTTTGGTTAATGGTTATGACATTTTAGTAATAATAACAAATTTTGACATAAAGTAAATGTCATTGTCAGCCATGACAGTTTTAACAACAGGAAGTAAAGTGAAGTGGCAGGTCTACCAATTTCAAGCAAAATTCATTGATACCAACTGAAACAGTACTTGTTGATCACGCTGTATAGATATATATACTTGCCAAGATAGGACTTATAAAAAAGTTCTACCTTCCATTTTCTTATGGTGTATCTAGTTTAACAAAATCAGTCTTATCTTAGTGGGTACTAGCCCTCTAAGAAAATAAAGGGCGGGTGGGTGGGGCAGTGTTTGCCAAAATAAGATTGATTTTGGCAAATGACGTACTCTCTAAGAAAATAATCTCTTTTCTTAGAGAAATTCCATTTGCCAAAATCAGCCTTATCCTAGCAAGTACTAGCCCCGCCCACCCACCCTCTCTTTTCTTAGAGGATATTTCATTTGGCAAAATCAGTTTTATCTTATAAGGAACTAGCCCCGCCCAACCGCCCTCTCTTTTCTTAGAGAATATCTGATTAGCCAAAATCAGTCTTATCTTAGCAGGTACTTATGACAAAATAAGGGCGGGTGGGTGGGGCTAGTACTTGCCAAAATAAGACTGATTTTGGCAAATGACCTACTCTCTAAGAAAATAACGGGTGGGTGGGCGGGGCTAATAGTTGCTAAGATAAGGCGGGGCGCCCACTCGCCCTCTTATTTTCTTAGAGGGTATGTCATTTGCCAAAATCTGTCGAAATCAGTCTTATAGATTAGAAACGTCAATGAAATAAAAAATTAATCTTGTTTTCTAAATGTTTGCATTTGCGTCAGTTGGTAGTTAACAACATAATGTAACAAAAATCACTAAATCGGCTTACCTTGAGTAGTGTCTACCACGTGGTCAAAAATGGCTGAGTCTGTTGACATTTTTAAATTTGCAAAATGTATCCAAAACAACAAATTTATGGCATGTCATGAAATTTCTTCTATTATACCAACATCAACGCAAGAAAAGCTCGCATTTTTATTTAAAAAGTACTGCCAACAGACTCAGTCGTTTTTTATTACGCTGTATACAGGGTCATCAAAATTGATTGAGAGAGTTGGTACTCCCTGTTTTTGTCGTGAAGTTTGTCAACCTTATGACAGATTTGTTTAAGGTTATATGGCAATGAATTCAGTGGCGTGACAAAAATTAGAAACTTCAAATCTGACAACTAATGTTTTCACCAAAAAAAAAAGTCGAAAAAAGACGCCACTGAGTTTTGAAATTTGAAACTTGAAACTTCAAATCTGACAGCTAATATTTTTATACAACTTAGTAAACCAAATTATTCAAGTTCAGGTTTACCAACTCTCTCAATCAATTTTGATGACTCTGTATTTGAAGAATCGTAAACGATTAATAAGTATAAAGCGATTGTTCATCCAGATTTGACGTTGGCCACACTGTTGAGCATGTGACAAGTATGACATTATTTTGACATATTTGATATAAAATGGCACTATATCACACAACCAGGCACTAGTGATCCAAAAAATGCAATAACTTTATTATTCTATTGTAACCAGTGAACCAATCCTACGCCCCATTGGAAAATTATTCATATTAAAATGAATCCTGAAAATTGAATTTTTGTTTGATTTAAGGACCTATGTTTTTTTTTAACCACAGTGCTCGTTTTTCGGAAATACCCATCATGAACCATATCCGTAAAGAATTTAATTTCGAATGCAGCACCACGTTGTTTCAGGTCGACGAAACCGACATCCAGAAAAAAGACGTGCCTCGACAACGAACATCGTCTTCCGTGACGGAAATCACCGAAGAACAACTCCAATCGACCGTACTCAGAATCCTCCATTCCACCCTCGACAAGCCATCCGAAAGTCGCATGTACCTGCCGCAGACCGGCGAAGACGTGAAGAGCAACCCCTCGATGAGCGTCCGCGACATCGTCTCCAACTCGCTCATGGAAGTCCTAGTACAAATCTCCAAAGGCAATAACCCGTTCAAGGACCTGGTGCCCAGCAACAGCGACGCGGCCGACACGAGCAGCATAAACTCGCTGAGTCCGTCGCCGAGTCCCAGCCACACGTGTCCGTTGCCGACGCTGCCGCAGAAGCGGGTGGAAGACGACGAGCCCATGAACCTGGGTCTGAACTACTTGATGGACTGCTACAACCGGGTGAGCGTGGAGGAGCGGAACCACCCGAAGCGGTCCAGCATACCGCCGCTGAGCGACGTCCTCATCGAAGTGCGGGCCCAGCTGGTGCACTACACCACGCTGTTGCTGCAGGGGTACATCATCCCCAACGACGAGCTGTACAAGTTCGGCCGGTCGCCCATGTTGACGCCTATTCTGCAGCAGACCTTGCCCCGGGGGTTCCTCACCGAGCTCGTCACGCGCACCTACACCAACGAGAAGCTGTTCTCCTCGGTCTTCAGTCCGCTGCTCCAAGGACTCTACCGCATGATGCAGAACGCCAGCATCGTCGGCGAGGAGCACCGAATCCCGATTCAGACGCTGTTCGACCTCGCCGATATTCGCTGCGGCTCGCGCCCGATCTGCACACTCATCACCAAGCAAGTACAGTTCCTCCAGGAGCCCTGCACGCCGGCGCAGGGCCGCGAGATCGTCCGCACGTCGTACTTGGGGCCGTTCCTCTCGGTGTCGGTGTTCGCCGAGGACGAGCCCAAGGTGGCCGAGAAGTTCTTCTCGGGGAATTCCTCGAGCGACAAGAGCTTGAACCACACGCTCCAGTTGGAGCTGGAGAACACGAGGAATTTGCAGCACAGGATTTTCCATTACTTGCTGGCGAATCCGGAGAGCCGGGATTCGTGCTTGAACTACTTGGCCAAGGTCTTGAAATACAACGAAAAGAGGTCGCAGCTCCAGATGGAGGAGAGGTCGCTGGCCGGCGACGGGTTCATGCTGAATTTGTTGAGCGTCCTCCAGATGCTCTCGCTGAAGATCAAGCTGGACAAGATGGATTTTTTGTATCCGTTCCATCCGGAAAGTTTGATTTGTATCAAGAACGACACGAGGTTGAAGCATACGTCGCAGGATGTGGCGACGTGGTTGGACAATTTGGGTGAGTGCATTGTTGCCACTTTTATATTTTTCCCTCGTCTATAATACTCGATCTGTCATTTTCAGGCAGCGTCCATCAGTTCCAAAGCCCAAATTTCTCAACCATCTGCTGGTTCTTAACTTTACACTGCCATCACTTATCGTTATTACCCGCCCTTCAAAAGTACCAACGTCGAATCCGTGCAATCCGCGACCTGCAGAAACTTCTCGACGAAACAGTGGCGGCGGAAGCCCAGTGGCGTAACACCCCGTTCGCCCATCGAAACAAACAGTTCATCAAGAGGTGGAAGCAGCAGCTGAAAAAACTGAACAAGTGAGTTCCGTTTCGGCAGCTACGCTGTCCTCTCGGATTACTGTCAACTTGAAATTTTCAGATCGAAAGCGTGCGCCGACGCCGGTTTACTCGACAAGAACCTTATTCGTAGGGCCCTAATTTTCTACACTTCAGTTGCTCAATTCCTGCTGAGTCTGATGACGAACACGCCGCCCGGGAGTCCGATACCGAACTTGCCGCTGCCGTCGACGACGGCCGAAGCCTTCTCGGCGCTGCCCGAATGGTACGTGGAGGACATCGCCGAGTTCCTGCTCTTCGCTTTACCGTGAGTCGCCGCTCTCGGTAAAAACGCCCTTGACGTGTATTATCGCAGATATTTCCCGACGGTCATCACCGAAAACATGGAGGACTCGCTCATCACGTGGCTGCTCGTCACGATTTGTTCCTCCAGCATGATCAAGAACCCCTACCTCGTGGCGAAACTGGTGGAGGTCGTCTTCGTCATCATCCCCACGTTCCAGCCGCGCTGCGAGATGCTGTACGACCGGTTCATGTCGCACGAGATCTCGCGAACCATCCTCCCGAGTGCGCTGATGAAGTTCTACACCGACGTGGAGACGACGGGCTCCAGCTCCGAGTTCTACGACAAGTTCTCGATCCGTTACCATATCAGTTTGATTATTAAGGGGATGTGGAACTCGGCTATACACAGACAGGCGCTCGTTAACGAGTCCAAATCGGGGAAACAGTTCGTCAAGTTCGTGAATATGTTGATGAACGATACGACGTTCTTGTTGGACGAGTCGCTCGAGAGCTTGAAGCGGATCCACGAGGTCCAGGAGTTGATCAGCGACGAGGAGAAGTGGTCGAAGGTGAGCTCGGAGCAGCAGCAGAGTCGGATGAGGCAGCTGACGGCGGACGAGAGGCAGTGTAGGTCGTACTTGACGTTAGCGAGAGAGACTGTGGACATGTTCCATTACTTGACTGTTGACATAAAAGAGCCGTTCTTGAGGCCGGAGTTAGTGGATAGGTTAGCGTCCATGTTGAACTTTAATCTGCAACAGTTGTGCGGGCCGAAGTGCAAGAATTTGAAGGTTAGGAACCCGGATAAGTACGGCTGGGAGCCGAGGAGGTTGCTGAGCCAGCTGGTGGACATTTACTTACACTTGGACTGCGACCAGTTCGCCGGGGCGTTGGCAGGCGACGAGGTAAGCGGTAGAAAGTGTAAGTAGTACGTTTTGACGGTTTTCTTTTCTGCCAACAGAGGTCGTTCCGGAAGGAGTTGTTTGATGACGCAGCCGCCCGTTTGGACCGTCTGTCGATTAAAACCCCAGTAGAAATCGAACGTTTTAAAGCTTTGGCAGATAAAGCTTACCAGATCTTGTTGAATAATCAGAAAAGTGACGACTGGATGTCTGACGCTCCAGATGAGTTTAAAGATCCGTTGATGGACACGTTGATGACGGATCCGGTTTTGTTGCCCAGTGGGCAAGTAATGGATAGGTCAGTTATAATGCGACATTTGCTTAATAGTAGTACGGATCCGTTCAATCGGCAGCCTTTGACGGAAGACATGTTGCAACCAGGTGAGTGTAGGATAGTGGGGGGGATTTGGACGATTTTCGATGTTTGTCTTTGTTGCAGTAAATGAGTTAAAGGAAAGGATTAGGATATGGAAATCAGAAAAGACACGTTCAGCAAATTAATTTTATTTGGTATAAATATAATTTTATTTTGAATAAATTGATTAACTCGAATAATTGTTTCTTAACCGGATTACGCAAGAAGGCTGATTGTAAATCTCATTCGTTTGCATTTGTTCCTGGATCATACTGCCAACTTTGAAGCTTTTAGTTGCCAACTGACCCCTCCCCAATCCGGCGGATAATTTTGTATATACAACGGAAAGTGAGATGTACATTTCGTCTATTAGTTTTATATTATAACCTTATTTGTGCAAACAAATTTGATTGTTTCCCCGACTTTATTTAGTTTAAAGACAGCTCGTAGACACCGAAATAATCAAATTTATTTGTAATTAAAAAAGAGATTTTTATATGAAACCTAGTGTAGTTTGTATGTATGGGTCAATAAAAATTTATAAAAAACCAACTTGTACATTAACGGATATGTGTTTAAGCTCTAGTCATGCAATACTGTTCTGGCTTATAATTAAAGGAACCCCCTACTCCTTGTAAAATGCTATGATTGTGCTATCATATCACTACCTTAGTAAAAATTGTGCTTGTAGTCGGTCAGTTTGCGTGCTTTAAAAACGTGAACGTCATAAGCATCAAACAGCACGACGAAACCGACCTACAAGTTATTGTTCTTTGATATAATACGCAGACTTTTTGTTATTGTCGATTTTCAAATGAGCATTCGAGAACTGGAAGATGCCGTATAAACATGAGAACGTGTAAAAAGCGGCCACGCCGGCCGCGCACTCTAGAAGAGGTATTTAAGTCACCTACTCTACGAAAGCGTCTCGTTATCAGCTAATCAACGAGCACACCTCAAACTGCGTCATCGTGACGTCACTCAGCCTGAAAGTGTGACCGCTGCGACGAACACACACAAAATAAAAAGAAAAGAAATCAAAATGAAATAGTTTACTATAAAATCTCGTACACAATAACTTCTCCATACAAAATCAACAATAAATTAGAATTATTAGCTATAAAAATACACCGTAACTTTATTTATAAATAGCTATAAAACGATAACTGGCTATTCGCTTGAGATTCGTCCCGAATAATTAACTAGCAACCTCAATCGGCCAATTATTCTTGATTAGGTTTCATTGTCTTTGTTGTCGAGCGGCGACGGTCAAACTTTCCCCCGTGACGTCAGTCTGAAAGTTTGACCGCCCCGCTACTTAAGTACTAAACGAACCAATGAGCAAATTAAGTAACCGCCACTGTTACGTATACTTAACGCAATTCCTCAAAACAGTAAAAAATAACTTAACGCAAATAAACACAACTAACAAAACCTCGTACATCTATCTTTGAGTAACGTACGGTAACGAAGGAACTAGACTACATGCCAAAACGTACAAAACCCCGAAGAACAAATTCAACTTGGCAGTCTTTTTCGGAACACTGTGTATATCGTTGGATCTGAACTGTTTCTCGATTTTGAAAGCCCCGGGAAGAGTGACCAAAGGCAGCATGAACCATTTGGAGTATTTCAAAGAAGCTACCATGAACATGATATACGGTGTGAACAACAAAAACGCGTACAAAACATGCGACGCAGTGTGCCCGATAATAATCGCCAAAGTCACTATTCCCACTTTCTTGTCCGACTCCGAATCCCTCGTGTTGTTACTGTGCAAAATCGCCTCAGTGTTCAAAGCCAGAGGGATCGCGTAATAAATCGTCGCCCACTCGACTCGCCCCGTCTGCGACATGAACGCAAACAAAACCGAAATGGGTCCGAACAAAATCAAAATCAGTACGTCACCTAAAGCTATGTACTTAAACCCGATCCCTCCAGTGTAGAGAAAGCTCGACGACAGCCCCCCGAAGTACACCAGCGCTAGATGCTCCATCTTGGCCGGGGACAGCGCCGCCAGAAGGATGAAGCCCACGCATCCCGCGAAGTACAGGAGAGCCCCCAAGGAAACCACCTCGTCTTTGGTCAAAATGTGGTCTACGAGTATCCTGTCGTCGGATTTCCTGTTGTCGATCCCTTTCACGTAGTCGAAGTAGGTGTTGACCACATTGCCGGCTCCGTGCACCGAGACCACGGTGAAGACGGTGAGGAGGAGAGTCACGTAGTTGAAGTCGGTGGTGCCGGGGTACTTGTAGGCGATGGTTGACCCCAGCAACGTCGGCATCAAGCTAGCACTGAGGGACCAGGGGCGCAGCGCCAGCACGTAGCTCGACAGCTTCATCAGACCTGATTTGGGGCGATTCGGGGGGCGGGGGCTCGGGGATCCGTTCGTCAGGAGTTTCTCGTCTTGGGTGCTCTCCGGGAGGGTCATGTTTGAGTGAAGTAGATCGGTGCTGGTTCTTGATGGTTTTTGATTTTTTATAAGTTTGACAAACGTAACATAACCAATCTATTTTTGACGTGACGTTTGACGGCAGCGGCTAAAGTTACGATGCGGAATATCGAGGGGGCGACTAATTAACAATAATTAGTATATCCAAGTGACGCAGCTAATTGGATTTGTGAAAAACGCACCTGCTTTTTATTATACTGATACTGGTAACGAACAGCAATAATAAGTTACGAACTTCAAAGATCACTACCATAACCACTTCCACGAGTTTCAAATTTGTTGCTAAGTCCTGTCCCGTTTTTATCGCTTTCGCAGCAATTTGTAAGTGCACTTGCTTATAAGTCAATTAACTATAAATAAAACACAGGTTTTTCGTATTTGCGTATCAATTTATTAAAACTAAAAAATAATTTAACCTAACCTAGAAACTTATTCGTATTTATTAGTTCCCCTTTTCCGCAAGGGGGAAGCTGATTTGGTCCATAAGATCGTCTATTTTTGCTTGCAGGATGTCCAGAATATCGGCGGAGATAAACAAATGGTTGTCGTCCAAATCCTGGATGATAAATTTTCGGCCCAATTTTGTCGTTTCATCTAGGTAGAGTAAGAACTGTTTCATCGCCTGGTCGCTACACAAGACGAAAATGTCTAAGAAAGGACTCACTTTTGACGAGAAAAAGGCAAAAATGTTGCAGCTCTTTTACGAAAAGAAGGAGTTTTTTCAGCTGAAAGAATTAGAGAGAATTGCTCCAAAAGAGAAAGGGATTGTGGCGAATTCTGTAAAGGAGGTCGTGCAAGCGTTGGTGGATGATGGTGCAGTCGATACTGATAAAATCGGGGGTTCCATTTATTTTTGGTCATTTCCTAGGTAAACAAACAAAATTTGCACCCTTTCTAGATATTTAAATAGTTAGTTTGTAGCAAAGTTATGAACGTAAAAAAACGCAAATTGGACGATCTGCAAACGAAATTAGAAACATCGAGTAAGAAGCTGAAACTAATCAACAAAAGTTTGGAGGAGGTGGAAGCGAATAAAGACAATGTAGAAGATTTAAGTGACCTTATTAAACAAGTAGAACAGTTGCAGGAACACAGAGATAAACTGCAATCGGAATTAAAAACACAGTCTGAAAATAACCCCCTGAATTTAAGTGAAATGAAGAGTGAAACACAGCCAGTGAAAGAAGCTGCCAATAGATGGACCGACAATGTTTTTGCCGTTAAATCATGGTGTAAGAAGAAGTTCATGATCGAGGATAAAGTGTTGAACAAACAATTTGGAATTCCGGAAGATTTAGATTACCTTGCGTAAATTTTGAGGTTATGTTTTCCATTAATTTTAAGAGTGTTACATGTTGAAGAGTGACTTACCATTTCACTAGAACTCCTTTCATTACATTGACCATCCTGAATTACTTTTTATTTGTAAATAAATCGAAAAAATGTTCTGCAATTGACGTTCGACATTGACACTATCTAGTGACTTTTTATGTCATTTTAATTGTTGGTAATACGGACGTGCGAAATTCAAATTGAACGTGAAACGTTTTTTAAACATTTATTACAAATGTAGAAAAACACAACTCATGAACACAAATTGATGACAAAAAATTAGTAACAACCTCCTTGTCCTCTTGTGACAATTATTCAGTTTACACAAAAGATAATTTCAAGTATTAAAAATAACACTTGTAGCATGACTTTCTTTTTTCGTTAGTTATACAATAAATAAGATAAAAATACGATTAATAAGTCATACAAAAACATGAGCGATTAGGAGTCGGTGTGCATAGGTTGAAACCTGGACTTTAACCTCCGTGTTTTATGACCTTATTTAAGCGCAATATATCACATTTGCCTTATCATTCTTAGTGGCCTTTAACAGTGCAGTTTGTACTTTTTCAACCGCTCAAACCCACAACACTACCATACTCTACCATGGCTCTACCATTTGTCCTGAAGCGAGGTCTCTCCACATCCTCCGCAATGAACGCAGTAATTAAAAACGTAACCATAGTCGGAGGCGGCTTGATGGGCTCCGGAATCGCCCAAGTGAGTATCAAATAACCCAAATCGTACATCTTCGCCCTTCACCCATCTAAAAATACCACCCACAAACCCTAACCTCACTTTTTACCACCAAGGTAGCAGCTCAAACCGGCCACAACGTCACCCTCGTCGAAGTCAACCCCGACTTGATCAAAAAAGCCGAAGACAACATCGTCAAATCTCTAGCCCGCGTTGCCAAAAAGCAGTTCAAGGATGACCCCGAAGGTGGTAAAAAATTCATCGCGGAGTCCCAAAGCCGCATCAAAGGCACCACCGACATCGCCGAGGCCGTCAAAGACAGCGACCTTGTGGTCGAAGCCATCGTGGAAAACATGGAAATCAAACACAAGTTTTTCAAGACGTTGGACGAAGTGGCCCCCGCTAAGACCATGTTCGCGTCCAACACCAGCTCGCTGTCGATCGGGGAGATCGCGTCGGTGACGAAGAGGAAGGACCGGTTCGGGGGGCTGCATTTCTTCAACCCCGTGCCGGTGATGAAGCTGTTGGAGGTGGTGCGGATTCCCGAGACGTCCGAGGAGACGTACCAGGCGTTCATGGCGTGGGGGAAGGCCATTGGCAAGACTTGCGTCACGTGCAAGGACACGCCTGGGTTCATCGTGAACAGGCTGTTGGTGCCGTATGTGGCGGAGGCGATTCGTATGATGGAAAGAGGTAATTTTGAGGTGATGGTGTGGTCGGGTTTAACGATGTTGTCATTTTAAGGAGACGCTTCTCCTCGCGACATTGACACCGCCATGAAGTTGGGTGCGGGGTACCCGATGGGACCGATTGAATTGTCTGATTATGTGGGGCACGACACTTCCCACTCGATTTTGCAGGGCTGGCACAAGAAATTCCCCGATAATCCGCTTTTCGTGCCAAACGAGTCGGTCGATAAACTTGTGAAAGAGAAGAAGCTGGGGCTTAAGACTGGCGAAGGGTTTTATAAATATACTAAATAAGCTCCAAACTGTATTACTTTATTTTTACACTTTATACAAATAAAAATTTTTACTGTGTAGCTTTTCGTCGTCTGATACTAATGTGGCACGCAGTGGCGTCTACTGATTTTTTTTATCTCACTAAAATTATTTGTCGTAATCGTACTTTTTGATTCGTTAAAAAATAGGCGTCACATGTGGGGACGAACAAAACAATTAATTTAAAACCGGGAACTGTGGACACGACTACACAGAAACATTTGATCCGTTTTGTTGTCTTGGCACCAGTCCCACGAGCAAAAAATAAATATCCTAATTTTACAAAACGTGAATTTTTAAGTAAACTGGAACAAGTGCATTTCCGCCAGAACTAAAAATTATGTCAGCCAAAAATTCCCCAAATTGCTTTATCAAACTCGCGAGTACTTCGTGGCTTGTCAATCTTACAGTGTTCTGGCCATTTTAAGTCAGATCGGTGCTGCTTTCGGCCATATTTGGACACGCCATAGGTTTGCCAGGGAACTGCATTATCAGACTGAGGACCCATTTTCATTTTTCAGTGTTGCAACACAACAAACACATTTAAGGAAACTAAAACGCCCGTGTGAATTTATTATCAGTAACGTCACAAGAATACAATAAACATAACTGACCTTGGAGCACCGTTTCCTAATTCAGCGTTTAGCCGCAGTTCTTATCAAATTTACATAATTGGTGTTGTGAATTTGTAAACTTGAAATCCCGAAAAGCAGAACTTGACCTGAAACGCGCTATTAATGTTGGCAACACATTTAAAATTTCATGGTGGCACACCTGATTGTCAAATTGACATTTACGGCACCAATGCTTGTGATTTTTTTGTCAGGTTGGCAAATTTAATTATTATTAATCTTTGGCATTCATTTTTTCTTAATATACCACGTGTTTCTTTTATTTGATACAACCCCCGAAATTTTTTTATTTAAAAAAAAAAACATAGTTCTTTGACCAAATTTGTATAATTTTAAAAGATCACCTATGTGAATAAATGATATGTGTCAGTTTTTCAAGCTACTAGATTGTCATCAATTAATATGAATTTTGTTAATGAGTTGTTGATGGAAATGAAATTTTAATAAGAGTGTTAATTTTATATTGGAACAGTGGCTATGTAAAAAAAAAAAAAATAATAATTATAAATAAATGATTAACAAAAGTTAATTTTCCAATTTTCTAATAAAAAGAAGTAAAAGTAAAAACCAGAAATCACAACAAATTTTTCGTGTATTTTATTTTTAACTTTTTAAGTATTGATTTTAGAAATATTGGTTGCCTTTAATTTTTAGAAAAAATCAGTCTTTCCATTTATGAAAAAATATACCTAGGGTTCCATAAAAAAAATAAAGTTGATGTCATTTCCAGTTCTACCGGAAGTGATAATATAAATGTGAGGTTGCCATCACATAGATCTTTTAAAATGATACATTTGCTCAAAGAACTACAGGTTTATCTTTAAGAATAAAAAAGTTACAGGGGTTGTATCAAATAAAAGAAACACCCTGTATATAATAGTATTCTTTGCATAACACGATACAAAAAACATGTCTTACATGGTAATTTCTTGTAAAAAAATAATAAGAATTTTGCAATTAAATTCCGCTCCTTTAAAAAAAAATCATCACACTTGAGATAGGGCGGGTGGGCGGGGCTTATTTTTTGCCTTTTTTCTTAATATGTGCAGTCATCTTTTCACAACAAGAAATTTAAAATGTTGTAAGTTTCTTGTTGTGAAAAGATAGACATGTTTATTTAAAAAAAAGGCAAAATGTAGCCCCACCCACCCGCCCTATCTCAAATGTGATGAATTTTTTATTCGCCGTGAATCAAGGGGGTGGAGCTTAACTGCAAAATGTTTATTTCTTTACAAGAAATTAAAAACACGTTTTTGAGTATCGTTTGTTCAAGGATACTATGTATATTAAGAAAAGAAGGCAAAATATAAACCCCGCCCACCCACCCACTCTCAATTGTGATGATTTTTTTTATTCTTAGAAACTTAAGACGTGTTCAAAATGGTAAAAGGAAGTATGGATTTTGCAATTAGGCTCCGCCCCTAGATCTTCTAACGAATGAAAACTTCATTAATATGTTTTTAGATCAGGGCAGGTATAGGTGGGGCTTAATCTTTGGTTTTAATTTTTTCTTAATGTATCTACTATTTTTTGAATAACACAATATTCAAAAACGTCTCTTACTTGGTAATTTTTTATAGAGAAATAATAACGATTTTGCAACTAAATTCCGCTCCCTTGGCTCTCGAGGATTTAAAAAAAAATCATTAGAATTGAGATAGGGTGGGTGGGTGGGTGGGGCTTATATTTTGCCTATCTTCTTAATATACGTAGTCGTCTTTCCAGAACAAGAAACTTAAAAGATGTTTATAGTTTCAAATTCTTGTAGATAAATACGGATCTTGCAATTAAGCCCCGCCCCTCGATTTCACAACGAATGAAAAATTCATCACAATTAAGAATTGAGATTGGGGCGGGTATGGGTGGGGCCTAATTTTTGGCTTTAATTTTTTCTTAATATACGTAGTAGTTTTTAATCAACGTAATACTCAAAAACATGTTTTTAAATTTCCATATAAAAATATGGATTTTGCAGTTAAGCTCCGCCTTCTTGGCTGACGATGAATAAAAAAAATCATTACAATTGAGATCGGGTGGGTGGGCGGGGCTACATTTTGCCTTTTTTTTCTTAAAATGTATAGACTTATTTCGACAACAAGAAACTTAAAACATGCCTAAAATTGACCTTATTTATTTTATTTTGGTTTTGTTATTTTTGACACTGCAGGGATGCTTTATATTTTAATACTATATAATCGAAAAATTTGTCTAGTAGGCCATTAAATTTATTTTTAAATTATGTTGGCATTGGAACACACCGAACAAGGAACGGGTTGGTATTGCCAACTTATTTTTTTTAACATTAAATGTGACTGTTTGCTAGCGGTTTCTTTCTCGATCATACGGAATATGTATTTATGTCGAAAGGATTAAAGTTCTCACCTGATGATACCAAACTGCGCCAGCACATCTCTTGGGGAACTTCTTGTTTTATCGGTAAGACAGCACAGTGAATCTTCTCAATCAAGTCTGTACCTTTGATCAGGCTGTAGACACTAAATTAACATAAGCTTGTTAGAAATGGTTGAAGTTTTAATAAATGATAAACTTCTAATGTAGACTCGCTCTCTCCCCCTTATTTTAGTTTTAGACTCTAAACTTTTTAAACGAACTTTACGTCTGCGCTGTGGCATTATTCTGTTGAACGAATCCAAGCTGTAGCTCTTTTTCGTCTAGCTTTGGCATGGTCAACTTTGATTATTATTTTTTCGATCTTTGTAGTATTAGGATATTTTTTTTACTAACGTTACTAATTCTACAGTGCATTCCTTCATGCTCTAATTATTATTAATCAATTACATTAATAATGCATATTGTTTCTACTATAGATGAACAAATGGTAACTCTTTAATTTATATACCTACAGGGTGTAGCAAAATATAAGTTTCCATTTGTTCCTATAACTCACAATTAATTCTGCTCTATGCTCACAGGTGACGCTTCCCCTCGCGACATCGACACCGCCATGAAGTTGGGCGCTGGCTACCCAATGGGGCCAATAGAACTGGCGGATTACAGTGGCCATGACACCAATGGTGCAGTAATGGAAGGCTGGCACAAGAAATTCCCCGATAACCCCCTTTTCGAACCCAACGAATCCGTGCGGAAACTCGTCCAAGAGAATAAACTTGGCGTAAAAACAGGCGAAGGTTTCTACAAGTACACAACCAACAAACTCTAAACTTGTAAAAAATTCAAAAAATACAAAAACACACTGTATATCGAGTATCAATATTTCGCTTCCTCGCAGGTTATTGATTGCGGCGCGGACCTGATCAACCACAATACCCCGAAATAGCCCTGGCAGGCATCGAAGGCTCAATTACAAGTGTCATTCATACCGCTCTATTTATACCCCAAGTGATTTATTTTATTTCAAAGGTCTCCGCATGTTGTACACCATAAACTCCGTTTGAAATCGGATTTTATTATCTACATTGTCGCTATAAAAACACGCTTAAAACCGAAGGACGCTTTAAAAATACCCCCCTTCAACGTGGGAACAAGATTTAAATTCGGCCGCACCGCTGATTGATCGTTTTTGTAGCGCGATTTTCGCATTTCCTTGCACAAACAAACTCTTGTTCCGCTTACAACAATTAGCGCGTGGGCGTGAAGAGGAAAACATTTCCGCGAAGATTCACGTCAATGATTCGTCAATAAGTAAACAGCCGCATCCTGTTTTCGGAGGAAAAGAGATAAGGTGGAGCGATCTATTTTCGTTAGTTTCGTGGCTGAAGTGGATGGGGTTCCCGGAGTTGGGTTGGCGACACTGCGGGTGGCAACACAATTGACACCAATAAAGCCGGATCAGATCGAGCGTTGTTTACACATTTTCTTAATTTGTTTATTTATATTAAGTTAAGTGTCGCGGCTAGAAATAAGTCGGACTCAATAAATCGATAAAGTCAGCAACCGATTTCTGACTAGGGGTGAGAAGCGGCATTTCGTCAAAATAAAGTTTTATTGGGTTGGCACCAGCCAGGACGCTTTATATCAACAGGTTGTAAATATGTTACACATGATTATTCAAAAAGAGTGGGTTTCACATAAAAAAAGTGATTTGTGTCTGGGAGAAATGATGCTTCCTGTATGAATATAATTTTTTATTATTTTGTTTTGTCGGTCTTCCGTGTTAAAAATTAAATTAGCCAAACTTGCACAGGTTGCGCCTGATTGTATTGGTCAATCAAAACCAGCGTCACAGCCACCCAATTACAATTGCAAAATCTCGTAAACATTTTCATTCAAATAAATTAATGTCCGGCACGTGGCTATAAACTTGTTTGCATTCAACAAATCAAAAGCGTATTCGGCATTTCTGGAATCGTAAAAAAGCGCTAAACGTCTCGTGGTAAATTCCGCGAATGTAATAATTCGCACCAAAAAAAGGGCATCTCTTTTACTTACGTCTGTGATCCGTGTCGGTCTGCGCATGCGCTGCCAAGTCTATAAATCCAATCCCCCTGTCGCATTTTCGCAAACATCGCAGTGTCAGTGGTGTGTTCGCATGACAGTTCAAAATCCTCATTCCAACTGTTCTTTTTGTAAAATGAACAACGTGCAGTGTTCAGTGTGTAAATTCGGTTATAAATTACGCAAGTTCTGGTTCGAAGTCGAATAGGTATTGTTGGGTTTTAGCACTTCCATCACCTAACCACAACCTCGTCTCGCGGTTATTTACGATCGAAAAATCACAAGGAACGTGCAATAAGGTGTTGGATTACGACAGCCTGCTGGGGTTATATTTGAAGAAAGTGATTCACGCACTCATGTTTAATTCATTTCTTTTCTTTATTTCCAAGTGTTATTTCTGCGAGATGGAAAGGTCATCGCCTGACATTGAGACTTCGAGTAATTGGGATTTTCGCCGGGGCTTTGACCTTTCGAAATAATGCAAATAACTGCACTTTATCAAATCGAAACACGGAGCGGTTTATCAACAAAAATGCCTGCTTATTAGAGCGGAGTTCGCATAATTGCGGTGAAATTTCTATAATTAATCGAAAAATTACGCGGTGGTTAAAATTCGAAGATAAGAAGAGATAACTCGGAGTGTGGGAAAGTTAGAAAGTGTGAGAGGGAACACTTACATTGTTGAGGGATTTTTGCAATTGGGTGACCTCTGGACCATTTTGCAACTGTCACCCATTATGGACCAATAGAGAAAAGTGGAGCATCGAGGCATTATTACAACCTTGTGACGTACATACAATTGGGTTTATTGCTGCTATACGGGTCATCATTTTTGCCGGAGTGCAACTAGTATACAGGGTGACTCATAAATCACACTAATTTAGTTGATTTTATGCGACAACATGTGTCCGTCATTATCTAAATAAAGAAAAAACAAGCGATTATTATGATAAATAATACGCTTCATTGATTTTATGGGCTTGTTATGATGCAGGAAATATGGTTGGATTTTTATCAATAAAAATAGATTCGTCTATTACGCAGCCAATTCCTGGTGTAAGATTTTGACTGGTTTCATCACCACGTGACAAAACGGCACTTTTAAATAAATTTGTAAAAAAAGAAAAATCAGTGGGGAATAAATTTAATTATGTTTTCGTCTTGGACTCGTCGCTTTGTATCCGACGACATTAGCTTTAATTCAATTATTTTGTTGGCTTGATTTCTACTGTATTTTGCCGCTCGTGGGTGGCAAATATAATTCAAATTAAGTAGCGACGTTGGATTTTAAATCCAGGCGCGCAATGTCACCTTTGGAACTAACGACAGCTCAAATTCAATGTGATAATATACAGGGTGTGGCTGCAATAATGGTCGAGATATTTGCCACAAAGCAGTTTCAAACACCCGCTATAGTGGCGCCTGAAACGTTAAATATAACAAAACGCTGTTTTCGACTTATCCTTTATTAAATTTATTACTTGAGAATGCTCCCACAAATGTTTTTTTTTTGTTAGTAAAGCGCCAAGGTGAAATTTTTTAGTGTCGATGTGGGTGCCAAAACGTATTGTACTAGGTTTAAAACGCGATGAAATTGCAGTGGATGCTCAGTACAGCAAGTAGCAGCCACAAATACTGACCTTTTGATTTTATTTTTACCCATTTAATTCCTGCAGCTTTTGTCACAGTAAGCATTGCGTTTTATCACTGTAAATGCGTGTAATCCATTAGTATTTAATTAGTTGTCACTGTATTTATTTTGTCCTGAAAACTCAACTTACTGATAAAAATAAAGACAAAAATTAAGCAAATCGGACGTGATGTCCGTAGTACGTGCCTTCCTTATCTCCGGATCGTGTCACATAAATAAAGAAAAATTATGTGCAATAAGTCAAGACAAATCAATTTTTAAGCCCCCAGATAACTAATTCTCTAATCCTAACTCTGCATTGTCACTCTTCAAAATCCTCTACATGTTTGCGTTTTCCTCGTAATCCAATTCCATCGATCGACTTAATCACTTCCCCTAATTGGAATACGTTGTTCGCTTTTCTTGCATAATAAAAACGCGGATTAAATGCATAAGCGTCGTTTTTATCATCGATATTTTATGGTTCGGTTTTAGACAATCCAGATAAGAGCTCGCCGGGATTAAACAATAAAACAAAATAATCGAGGGATAAAATGGGAAAATCAGAAGTCGTACCTATGCCAATCCACAGACAAGACAGTTTGTATGCCGCATGCAAAGGTGCCTTTAATACCGTCGTTCACACGGTCGACGAAGAACAAGACGAAGACGAAGACGACTTCGGAATACCGGACAACATGCAACTGTTCACCAACCAAGTGGCCGGTCACACGAACGACGGCAAATCATACGGTAAAGCCCCGCCTCGTCACGTCCCCCAACTAACCCCTAAACCCAAAGGTATGATCAAGCACAACGGTACCATCTTGAAACCCATCACCAAACAGAAATGCGGCGAAAGAGAGATCGACTTCTACGAGGAGATTAACAGCGCGACGGACAAAACGCGGAGCGAGCTGAGGGATTTCGTACCGAAGTACTACGGTAAAGTCACGGTGCCGATAAAAGGGAACGACGTGGACTGCATAGTACTGGAAGATCTGACGCGGTACTACAAAGAGCCGTGCGTTATAGACATCAAGATCGGGAGGAGGACGTGGGACCCGACGGCGTCGTACGACAAGATCGTCAACGAGGAGGTGAGTAGCGCGATTGGTGGTACCGAATGAGTGCGCTGCGTTTCAGGCCAAGTACCAAGAGTCGAAGCGAGATTTGGCGTTCTGCATTCCCGGATTTCAAGTTTACAAAATCCACAACAACCAATTATGCAAATTTGATAAGAACTATGGCAAGACGCTGAATAAGGAAACGGTGCCTCAAGGTTAGTTGCGTTTATTGGATTCTTGTGATAATGTGGCGTTTTAGTTTGAGAATGTGTTGTTGGTTGTGTTGCAGCACTGAAGATGTTTCTAAACGCCGAGACGGTCTGCTGTCGCAGTCTGATAGTGCAATTTCTGGCGAGTTTATGGCGGATTCAGATGTGGGCGCGCAAGCAACGTTACTACCATTTCTACTCGTCGTCGCTGTTGTTGGTTTACGACGCGCGACGATTGAGAGAACTGCTCAAAACCGACGACGACGTTAAACCCACGTTGAAACTACAGCGCTCGACGAGTTTATACAGACCGTTGAGTTTGGCGGTGCTCAACAACGAGAAGATCTCTACGGGGTTCAGCGGCCAGTTGACCAATCAAGGGCCGATTTTGAGAACGCCTACTTCTCCGACTAAACTGAAGCAGTTCAACGATTTGGTGCAAACCAACAACAACAACAGTAACAACGTGTGGCAGAAGTCGATCAGGACGTTGAAACGCACCCATTCCTTCCAGAACGACTACGATAAAGACATGCAGAGCAAAAGGCAGGATTATACTTACATTTTGGATGAGTTGTGTACCGAGCAGAAGTCAGAATTGTGGGCTACGGTTAAAATGATCGATTTTGCGCATGCGTTCATGGCGGAACATCATGAAGTCGACAAGAATTATTTAGAGGGAATTGATAATTTGATCAAGTTGTTCGAGGAGTTTCTGGTTGATAGCGAGTAGGGACAACGAAATTTTTTTTTTGGGCGGGAATGCACGTGTTCCAGTTTACTTAAAGTGTTCTGTTTTGTAAAATTAGGGTATTTATTTTTTGCCGGTGGGATTGATGCCAAGACAATCAGGAGTAAGGGTCGTAAATGTAGTAAACGCCCACTTTCCGGTTTTAAATTAATTTTTTTTCGTAATTTATTGTTGATTGGAAACATCACTATTGTGATATTTTTTTCCTTCTCGCATTGACTTTTGATGTTTAAGGTTGCAGTAACCTGTTATTGAGATGTAATTAGGTTTTGTATTCAATAAATTTTTCTATGCAGGTTTGCACTATTTTTATTAAGGAAGAGTCCCAATCTACAAAAAACAATCCATTTCTCAGAATATGCTTAACTTCGACTGTTTATGTTTATACTTGGACCGAATTCGACTACTAGCACAAACATTAGTGAGGTCCGATAATCCAATACAAACGAAAAAACTTTGACTAGTGATTTAAAATGTTTACGATAACGTAAAAAGTTTCAAAGTTAAATTGCAAGATGTTGTGATTTTGATCTTTTTCTCCAAAAATCTGGATGTCTAGGATAAAAATTCAACAAGGGTTCATAAACCACACATGCAGGAGTATCTTATTTTATAAGATTTAAATAATATTTACTACTGTAAATTTTGGAGATGACGTCAACAAATTGTTGGTGGGGATGATTAGCCAAATTTTGATCATCTCCACGATATTCGTAATACACCATAAAATTTAACAACTGGAGTAGTTTCGGAGATTATCTGTAGACTGTTTTGGGGCCCACGGAGAAATTTCCCGGTGTTCCGCCAGCACAATCCGACACTGCGGTCAAGTGAAGATATTCTAGGAACTAACATTTTCTTACCATGTGATTCTCTAGTTGGACCTTTGGAGCTCCGGGCAGCCGGATAAGTTTAGATTAGACACTACTGGGGGGCGTAAGACTTTCTTCAGCTTCACATATTTCTAACAATAACAATAATTGCGACAATTGAAACTTCAAATGTTAGTTTGACATTTGTCATACCAACCACAACCAAATTCCCCAAAATAAAAAAAATACAATTTTTGTTTTAAAATGCAAACAATATGCGAAGTCGAAAGAAATAGCTTAAAATACGCATGTCATAAGGCATTTTAGGGTACTCATCCCTTAGAAAACTCGTGTGACGCTTCGTTTTCTAATATTGGAATTATCAGTGATGAACGTGATATCTCACTCCTCGACCTTGACGGAGTCAATCTTGTCTTGCGCAGGGAGCCTGCGCAATTTATTTTGTCTGGTAAATTTAAATGTATAAGGTTAAAAATTTTCGTTTCATAACTCATTTGACGGTTCGTTCTCCAATTTTGGAATTCATGCTCTAAACAAGATTATTTTCGAAGAATATTAATCGTTTATAGGTTCACCATATATAGGAACGGAAAATGGTAGGACATGCCACTCAAACGCTTCGTGTTAGTTACGAAGTGGGGTTATATTTTACAGAAAATATTTACAACGATTAAAAATATTAACACAGTATAATCACAAAGTATACATAACGAATTTTTTTCGGTTTTGTGTTATTAACTTTTTAGGACGGTCCAAACATTACTGTAGGAACATTTGAACTTTTTCATATGCAAGAATAAAAATATCATTCCCTAAGTTAGACCATAGACTAAGAAACGAAGAAGAAAAACTCAAATCAACGATTAAAAATAAAACCTCGTGACAATATATAATCGCAGCCACAATCCCGTGCAAATCACAAAGAAAAAACCTCGAAAGCGGCTGGCCACTGTGTGCTGTATTATATAGCCGCTAGCTCGTTTTACATCCCTAACCAGAAAGAAATACACGTAACTCTAGCACGCAAAAGTGAAGCAAAAGGTAAACGGTATATTTCGCTGAATCGACAATACAGCAGAAGAAAAAAATAATAAAATAAATAAATCCAGGCACTCTTTAGATTCGGTTAATCTTGTCGGCAGTAACTAACGGGTTCTGGTGCTCGAGAATCCTCCTTCCTTCGCTCTTGTAGTCGTAGCTGCAGCGGTGCACCTCCGAGTACCTGTGCTGCGAGCAGAAGATCTTGCCGCAGCGGCAATTATAAATGTTCGTGATATTCAGGCGCTTATTACACTCGCTACACCTAGACTTCTTCTTTATCACAGGAGGCAAAGCTTCGCTCTTCCCCTTCTCGCCCAGCAGATCCGTCGCACACCCTAAATTGTAATAACCGTAAAGTTCGTCTATACTCTCGTCGTGACCCGACAATATACTCTCACTCAGGCTCTTCTGCTCGTCGTTCTTCAGTCTTTGGATGCTCGAGCATCCGAAACTCTTGATCTCGGGGAGCTTCTCCTCCGTCTTGCTGCCGCGCCCGTACAGCGGCGACCGGTAGTAGTCCCTCGGCGTCCGGTAGATGTCGCACAGATCGCGCTCCTTGGGCGCGTACTGCGGCGGGATGGCGCTCGGCGAACTCACGAACTGGTGGAAGAAGTTCCCGGAGCAGACCTCCCCGTAGTCGTACTCTCCTATCTCCTGCTTGGGGGCCTTGTCCTCGTAGTAGTCCACGCTCTGTCGCCGCTTCAGCAGCCCGAACTTGCAAGTGGCGCTGTGCTTGAGGCGCTCGGACGCCGGCTCGTGTATCTCCCACAGATCCTGCGCGTTCTCCTCCAGCTCGATGCTGTCGGTGCTCTTCGGCCTCTCCACCCCCTCCGACAGCACGAGCCGCGTCAAGTGCACCGTGTTCCCCTTCGGAACCGCCAGCGGAAGACACAAATCCGACTCCTTCGACGTGCCTTCGCCGCTCCTCAAGTCCCTCGTCTTCTTGTGTATCCTCGCGTAGCTCTGCTTCGTGTGCGAGAACGCCCCCTTGCTCTCGCTGTACAGGCTCTTCCCGAACCCCTTCCGCGTCTTTATCCGATGTTTGTCCTTCAGCGCAACCTCCTCGCTCTCGCTGTGACTCTCCTCCTCCACGCTCTTCTCGAAAATCGTCAAATCCACGTTCTCCAAGATGTCGTTCCCGCACTCCGTCAACAACTTGTAGCCCATCTTCTCGCCTTCCTTCTTGCTGTTCTTCATCTGCCGCTTCAAGTTGACGTCCTCCATCTTCTTCCTCAGGGTCGATATCTTCGCCATCATGTCCGTGTCTTCCACCAGCTTCTCGAACATTGCCGTCTGGATTTCCTTCCGGTTCGGTTTGCTGGGGGGAGATATGGGTTTCTCGCTGTACGGCGAGTACGAACCGTCCTCGTTCTCGATCACTCGGAGAAGGTTTAAAATGTCGCCCTCTTTGAATACTAGCACGGATACTTTGGAGCCCGGGGCTAGTTTGTCGCCGATTTCGTCCCTGGAAAAAAACGAACAATGAGTGGGGGTTGGGGGTGTGCAGGTTCAAGTGACCTTGTGTTCTCGAGGAGTTCTTTCAGTTCTTTGAGCATCATGTGGTGTTCGCAGCTGACCGACAAGCGACGGGTTGAAATAGGACCGCCTTTCATCGCTATCACTAGTTTGATTATCGAACCGTTTTTGATGCCTGCATCGCACAGACGACGCGAATCCTTCAATTCTTTTGATTGGAATATGAGGTTCTGTTGGTGGATTGGAATACCTACGGGAGAAAAAAGGGTCAAGGACGGGCGACTTGGGATCTGCAGAATCTCGACAACGGTGCAATTTATATTTTCAAGATTGGTAGTCATTACAAATGTCATTGTCAAATAACAAGTGAAATAAACGTCAAAAAACTATGTTGAAAATGACTTTCATGGCTACCAACAAGTTTAGATTTTGACAGTGCTGACCCAAACGTATATAGGATCCATACATTGTTAATAAGAATTTATTGTGAAAATGTAAACTTCACATGTCACAATCTGTCATTGTCGTACCAACCGCGAAAAATTCCCCAAATTTAAAAATTCCATTTTTTATTTTAAATGAAGCTCGTTTTCTTATTTCGGGGTTCGTACTCCAAAATAACGTCTTATGAAAGTTGTTTTTAATAAAAGCGCCCCACCCCTCGGACTAGTCCAATATTTTAGCCTACACTTAACTTGTCAAAATTTTGACACTTTAGCCTCTACATGAAATATCAAAATAGATTGACACTAGTGACAGATGCAATAAATAACCCAAAGTCGTCCAAAATTAATCCTAAAACGAGAAAATAACAAAGTTAGGTATTTTCCCAGACATATGGAATTACAACAGTGTTTGAGATTTTTTTTGTCATGTTGGCAATGTATCTAAAAATTGTTTTCGAATTGACATTTGACACTAAGGCAGTAGCTAAAGTCCCTATATTTAGTAAGGTCTGCGCATAGTGGTAGACAGGGAATACCAAGGGAGACTGTGAACTGTGACGTCAGAGTAGGGGCTCGATATGACATGAGTTTGTTTATTTGTGTTTGAACCTGCTAATTTAATACGTTGTTTCACACTTTGGACACTTCTAATGCAGTGGGAAAAAAAGTAACTAGATTCAAAATTTAAAGCGTAGGAGGTACTTTCTACGTCATCAACATGGCGCTATCAAACTTCTGTGAACTGTAAAATAACGTAAGGTATTTTATTTTATTTCCTTGTTTAAACTTCAAATTGATAATTCGTGACAAGCAGCTGTCAAACTTTGTATTGCCAACCTTTGCTATATATTCAGGTTTTTTCCTTAAATTGAATTCAAAAAGTCGGGGATTTTTTATTTTAGAATAAATTATAGTTCAACTGGAGCTTTGTTTGATTTTTTTTATTAAGTATTAATCCATCAATTTAATACAAAACTTGTCATTTTTGGTGTCAATTTGATGACACAAACAAAACAAATTCGGCCGAAGAGTAGGTCGTAACTTGACTTACAAAAATGAAGCCAAAACGCTAGTCACAACACAAGTTGTATCTTCCAAGAGACGACCTACGTAATTTGGTGACGTGGCGAAAACTAGACGAGATAAAAAAAAATCATCCGGTATAACAGATGAGCAACATAATTAGTGATCGCAGTTGGCTCTTTTGTATCGATCAAGCATAGACTCAAAATTTTGTTTCCAAAACCTTCTGTGATCACGAATTACGTTGTATGAACAGCAATTGTCAAGTAGTGGAAGCGACAAACTCTGAACACTCTGTATATGGTGAAACTTGTTGATTAAAAAAACGGTGGCGCCACTGTGCACTTCAATGTCAAGTATCAGGGCAATGAGCTACGTCAACGAAAATAGCAACCAAAGTCGGCAAATATTGAATGTCATTTCTAACAACAATAAATATTTTGACGTCATACGTCCATCATTTTCGGTAAATTGTTCCACGAATCGTAAACCTGCCCAAGGTATGACTACAATCGCCTCTGAGAAATGACGTCACGTCAAAATGGTGCAATTATGGTTTTTAATTTAATCGATTTCGACGACCATTTCGTCGATTTTTTCGTTCGAAGACGCGCCAATTTGTCGATATAATTAGAAAATGGGCCGCTTTCGGAATGACTTAATAAAGACCACACCTTAACGACATTCCCGACGCATCCGTCCATCTCCATGCCTTGCATAAAACATGAGTCGTTATCGAGATTTTGCAAAACGAAGCAGTTCTAGCAACTACGAGCTACGCATATCGACGCCTTCCATTGCCAAATGCAAGATAAAGGTCCATTATCATATCGCGAATAAAAACCGTCCGCGTTCCACCAAACCGGTGGTTTTCTTCGCTATCGCCACCCCGAAAATACCCGCTATCAACCGGACCTCTATCTTTCACCTTGACACCCGAAGGCCGTCCCCAAACCTTCGACTCGCTGAATCCGCTGCTTGATCTCCCGAATGGTATCGGTGGCCGAAACTCGCATGTCGAACGATGTGCCCATGAGGGTGTCGATTTGTATTTCCATGTTGGGTTCGTCGAAACAGTCAGAAAACCCATCCTCGGACATTTTAAATAATTTTCAAACGTTGACAGTTGACAGACAAAGTCACTTTGATTATTTAAACAAATTACTGCGGGGGCAGGTCGCGGAGTCGCATCGCAACCGACGACGTCTGGGCCAATTAAACACCTACAAAAGCGAAATTGCGTGTCACAAATGAATTAATTAAGGCTGCTTGACGGGACGGTAGCTGGCATGTGATATTTCACGGATTTGTTTTCGCCGCGCTACCTCTGTCTAATTTTAGTTCTAGCGGGCTATTTTTAAGCGGGCGTCTTTCTTACCGCGTTACGACATGCTGGAGCCGCAAGAACGACGTTCGAGACACGAAAATGACGAAACTGAAGAGGTTCCACACGAAGTGACACAACTCACTCGGACGATTACCAACTTTGACGGAGCACTTCTTGCGGGTTTGCGCACGACGATGGGCAGTCTGGGGGCGCGGAGGCGCTTATAGACACGAACACAATGGAATTTTGCCCCACAAACGGCGGAATTGTTTATGTAACTAAAAAATTAACGCAAACATACGTAACGATTCTAAAATTAGTGTTGGCAATGATTCACCAGCTGTCAACGGGGCGGTCACGTGACGGGAATCGCTGCCAACGCTGCAACCACAGACACGAAACCCCCTAGCAAGTCTAGATTTTCAAAAATCAAGATAAATAACCATAATGTTTTATTTCCAGTTTTGAAACTTAACACGCTTACAATTGTATGTGACGCGTGGTCATTTGGTTAATTATATACATTTATACACCCACATTGATACATTTTTCTACACATAAGTGCATATTAAGCGTTATTTCGAGTTAGACATTTTTTTAAAAATAAGTACGGTTCGGTTACGGACTATCAAAGGGGAACGGCGGCAGCGGCTTTAAACTCCCTAAATCGAAATCTAAATTAAGCCTTTTAACCCCACTCGGCTTTTTCTCATTCACACCTTCAAACTTCTTCTCTGCCATGATTTTCTCCAACATTAAATTCTTATGCTCTGCTCTATCTCTACTTATTTCTAATTTTAAAGAGTTTAACTCTTGTTGTTGCGCAAGTACTGTGTCTTTTAACATTTTTGTCACCTCTTTCAACTCGGTTATTTCGTCGTCGTAATTTTTGCTTCTTTGAAACTTCCTTTGGTCAACTATAGCCTTTAAACTTTCCTTCAACATAGCGTTCTCTTCCTTCAATCTCAAAATCTCTTTATCCTTTAAACTTAATAAATGTTTCAAATGTGACGTTTGTTGCTCATTTTTTAATGAATCAGTTAAGTTGACTGTGTATTTAGACTCAGCTGAGTAGATTTGGAACGGTGTGCTGATCCCTTGGACCACGTTTTCGCCGCTTATGTAGCAAAATTGGTACAAGTCATCCGTGTCGTTTGGAGTACTCGGTAGATCATACTCTAAAAGAGGTATAAGCGATTAATGGAAACACTCTGTACAACTTACTGCAAAAAATGACTGAGTTTAGTCCAGCCGGAGTAGAATGCATGGCCCACTCAAATAAAAGATAGTTACGTAAAGACTTCCAACCCGTTTTAAAAATCGCGATTCTATCACCATCTTGAACCTTAGCGCTTCTGGTGTAGACGTATTTACACTCTAAGTCCTCATTACATGGGTATCTGTCCAAGACCTCGATGAATTTAACCTGAAGGAAAATTAACAAAATCTGGACACAAAAATCGGTAAACCTTACATTAAGTTGGCCCGCCATTAAAGCTATGCTTTTTTCCATAACGAGAATGTACACAAAAACTAGTTAAACTACTATAAAATTGAAAATATTTACAACATCATCAACATTATTGTTGTTGACATGTGACGTTGACGTACGTCGACAAGATGGCGGCTAGTGACGACAGGTGACAAAAAACTTCCGCTTAAAGCGTCAAAATTACATTTTCAAACAACGTTTCGCTTAATGCAACCGAAACATCCGCCCTTTAACATTTCTGACGATTTGTTTCCAGCGAAAACACATTTTTCAAAAAAAAGATACGGATTAGTTGGCAGTCCTTAGTTGGTTGGCAGTACTGTTGCAACAAACAAACATCAACCGGCGGTTCCTCTGTTTGTTGCAAAATTTCGCTAAAAAAACACAGAAAATGACCGAAAAACAACTCTCGACAGACGAGGCCGAGCTGTACGATCGTCAGATCCGTCTATGGGGGATAGAATCTCAGGAAAGGTCAGTAGAAACACAAGTTTGGGAACATAACCTCACTTTTGCGCAGGTTACGGGCTGCCGATGTTTTGTTGATCGGAGTGCGCGGGCTGGGCTCAGAAATCGCCAAAAATATTATTCTTGCGGGGATTAATTCGTTGACGATTCTGGATGACGGGGAAGTCACTCAGGAAGACCTACGCCAGAATTTTCTGTTACAGGAGAAGATACCTCTGGGGAATAAAGTAAGTCGTGTTTTGGGTGTAATTGTGACTGATTTGTGCAGATTGCAGAAGAAGTGTTGCCGCGGGCGCAGGCTCTCAACCCTTTGGTGAAACTCACCGGGGACACGGAGCCCGTCGCCGCCAAAACTAGCGACTATTTTAAAAAGTTCACCATGGTTGTGGCCACCAGGATCAAGTTTGACGCTATCATCAAAATTGATAATTATTGTAGAGAGCACAACGTTAAGTTTCTCTATGGGGATATTTTTGGGTTCTTTGGTTTTGCGGTGTCTGATTTACAGGAACATGACTATTTTGAGTATGTATGAAACTTTTGAAATCATTCACTAACACTGACTTTCCAGGGATCGCGTCCAGTTACAAAGTGGCCAAAAACGGGGTCACGACGGCGAAAAGAAGACGATAAAAGTGGAGGCCAAGATGACTTTCCCTCCTCTCAACAAAGTTTTAATTTTACCAAACACCAAACAGGACATTAACGCTATTAAAAAGATGTCCCGGCCAAATAATTTATTTGTAGCTTTATTAGGTACGTTTTTGTAAAATGAAAAACACAAATTAAGAGTCGGTTTTAGTGCTTTTAGAGTTTAGACGACAACACGACAGAGACCCCGCCGCTGCCAAAATGTCTGAAGACGTGGACACTCTCAAGAGTATTTCGTCCCAAATCGTCGAACTGTACAATTTTTCAAATATCCAAATGGACGATTTGTATGAATTGTTCTTTGGTGACATATCACCCGTTTGTGCGGTTCTCGGAGGTGTGATGGCGCAAGAAGTGATTAAAGCAGTATCGCACAAAGAACCCCCCATTAACAACATTTTCTTGTTTGACCCGGTTTCTTACAGCGGAAAGGAACTAACAGTGGGACCCTAATTAACTCCATTTTTCTTTTTTTTAATAAAATTATTATTAAGGCTACTTATGGGTTTAATTACCAGAAGTTACAATACATGACATTGATCCTTACTTAACGTGTTTAAAACTCTCTTCTATGATACTTATCTGGGTCAAAATACGACGTCACCACGACTCTGTTACTGAACTTACGACCAGTCAGAGTTTGTTGTGCTTTTTGACAATCAAGAACTGAATTGAATTCGACAAATACCTGAAAAAACCAATCAAATATCGACCGTCACCGAGCTGTGGCTCACCTTTCCGCATCCCGGCACTTCCACCCCGTCGATCGGTCGTGGAATCTCTATACTCCGCACCACCCCGTACTTGTTACATTCTTCTTTAATGTCTTCCAGAATATCTTCGTACTCTTCTTCGTCTTTAAGTTCGTCGGGTGTCACCATGTTCAACAAACACAAGACTTCGGTGGCGGGTCCTGACGCCCCCACTATACTCAAACCGGGCACTTGGATTTGTACGGCCGGTAAAACTGTGGTGTTCTTCGCCCCCACGCTTGCCCTCTGCACGATCAAACGTTTGTCGCCCAGTTGCATCCCGTTCAAACCCGCGATGGCCTGACAACGAAACAACCAATGATATTTGGCCGCCTGGCTTTACGCGACTGGATAAGCCACGCCCACTCACCTGATCCGTCATCGTGATGTCGATGTATTCGGCAAACGCGTACCCTTTACTCAGGCCGAACGCAGTGTCCTTGACGAGATTGAAGGCTCTCAATTGTCCGAACGACATCAACAATTCTTTCACCTAAGGGAGTTGACGATATTAGTGCATTGAATTTCTGCGCCGTTGGTAGCGCGCACCCAAATTCACAGCACTCTTGAATGTGGGTGCGCGATCGTCATGGGAAAAACTTACAGAACGTCGTGCAATTAAACACAAAATTCGTACAAATAAAAACACGTTAGACCCGTCTAGATTTTTTTTTTTAAATGGAAGCCCCAAGCCAGTCAGATTTTGAAAATTGTCTCTCTGTGAACTATAATGACACTTGCCTGATATTCCACAAGGCGTTCAAGTTTATACGAGTCGTGTTCATAGCTCTTTATAGGGACCGACATGGAAACCCTAGCTATAGGGCAAACAAAGCAAAAGGTAACATGAGAAAAGTTTGCACAAAATGATTACGTTACAATAATATACATTACGGTGTGCCAATTTATTACATATTTTCAGCACCTGAAAACACGCCGATTTTTGATTTTTTTACAGCACCTTCTTTCCTTTCGACCTGAAATGCTGAAACGGCGAAAAGCAACCACCGAGAAACCGTATTTAAACATAACCTGCAATCAGTGACGTGAACCCACTTGATTTTTTCGATTCGTATCAATTCGTGTTGTTTAGTTTTTGAACACCTGTAAACGCGACACTAAAATGGGGAATCTGTCGCCGATTTTTACAAAACGAAATTTTATTTTGTCTCTTTCACCTGCAAATTCCTCGAAAACCGCCTTTTGCTTTACTGAAAATCACCTGCAATAACGAATGACGTGACCCACTTGATTTTTTTTTTAAATTGACGAATAATTGAAAATTTTTAAATTCCTGTAAAACCGACATTAACGAACAACGGCTGACTTTTTTACAAAATGGAGCTCTTATTCTTTCACCTGTAATTCCACAAAAGGCGCTTGCATTACTGAAACATAACCTGTAAAAACGACATAGCCTACTTGATTTATTTTTCAACTTGTAACCAACTGAAAATCTGCTGTGTGTTTATTTTTGAACACCTGTAAAATGTGACATTTCGTAAAAAACAAATTTATTATCTTTATCGTTTATCCTGTATTTCTCTTCAAACCGTTCATTTTAGCGAAACAACCTGCTTGACGTGTACCCACTAGATTTTTAAAATAATAAAACAATAGTACAAAATCCTGCAGCACTTTTTTTTTAAATCACCTGTAAACGTCGCGTTTTCTAAAAAAGGGGCGTCAACGCCGCCCCCTTTTTACAAAACGCGCCAAATTCCTGAAATTTCGTCGTTTGCTGAAACCTATTTTAATTTTTGTCGGCTTAATTTTGAAAGTTCTCGCTGAAAGAGAGAAACTCTAGACATAGAAAAAACCCTGAAAAATTCCCAGAACCTGTGAAAGCCTGAAAGTCTAAAATTCAACTGACTGACTGTGAACTGCTGTTTTGGCACGAAGTAACCGGTGATTGCTAAAAACTAAGAAAAAGGGAAGGGATCATTACAAACACCCAATCGCTCGACTCCTGAATTAAATCTCGAGAAATTTAATTGCAAGGAGCGCTCCTTTCACCCATCCACTCCTAATAAACCAACAACTTAATTACCTGATCTTCGTTCAAATAATTTGGTAACCCTCCGATAAAGATCTTGTGTGGAGAATCAGGCACTACAGTGCTTATAACCCCTGCTGGAACACTTATACTACTTTCCGCCATACCTGGCATCGGTTGATAATCGTGCGGCCGCCGGATCTTCAAACTTTGTCCTGGAAACAATCGTACAATACACGACAACCACACCAAAAATATAGTACCTTTGAAATTAATTCCGTCGAAAGCCATCGCCTGTGTCGTTTCATCGATAGACCTAAACTCCAAAAACGCGAAATTCTTGTCCAAGTTAATCTGGCACGCTAACACTGGATTTCCGGCGGCTTGAGCCAACCCGCTCAAGTGCATCTGTTGGTTGAAGAACTCCATCATCTCCTCTTCCGTCACCCCGAATGGAATATTACCAACGTATAACCTTCTCGCCTGTCTCGTGATCGTGGACCCCACGACGGGGACCGCGGCTTGGGGCGTATCCGCCACTATGTTCGCCGGGATTTGTCCAGCGGCTTGCATCGCTTTATACTGCAGAGGCGTGATGTGCTCGAAACCCGGCGGGGGCACATCCCAGTACAGAGAAGGCTTGCGTCTGCGAGAGTGACTCTTGTGGCGGCTCCTACACGACAAGTTCAAACCTCAATTTTTACAAAAAATCGAAATTACCCTGATCTGCTCCTCCTGCGCCTGTCTCGACTGCGGGACCTCGAGCGTCTCCTGTGTTCCCGGGACCTAGAACGCCGCCTTCGATCCTTCTCCCTATCCCTGTCGCGGCTCCGCTCACGCTCGTTATTTTTTCCGTCTGAAAACATCCCTATAACACTGCTAATCAAACAAACAGCTTACCTTTTTCTTCGCCCATTTTTCAAACAACCCCTAAACTTTCACCCCGAATCTGTAAAAGGAAATGTTTGTTCAAAACAACTTGCTTTCGCCACAACAACGCAGAAATGGCGCAGATAAAATGGCGGAGTGTCAAGTCGAACGTGAAGTTGGCCGCACTAGAAATTGAGGTTATGGTTTTATTTTGAAAAAGCGGCGATAATTTGGGTCAGAAAAGGTAGCCGAGGTTTTTATGGATTGAGTAAACATGTACGACGAAGACAAAATCGAAATGAAAGCGAATATCGATTTGCAAAAACCTCAAGTTTGTAGGTTATGTTTAGGACTGACCACTACATGTTTTTCGTTAATAGCGAACCATGGGGCTTCACAAATGCTTGAAGCGTTGACATCACTCAAGGTAGTCTCTTTTATGCCATTTACATTCGTGTGTATAATCTAGGAGTTGCAGATTTTGCCTACAGATGAAATATCAACAATTATGTGCCTGAAGTGCTCTCTCAACTTAAAATTAGCGTTCAAAATACAACAAAACATGGTAAAGGCGGAGCAGAAATTTCGAAATCATCAAATAAATACTCAGAATTCAAATGAAGTGAATAAAGTTGAATCAGTGTCTGATGATGATGCAGATGTTCCCTTGTCTGATTTAATAAAAACAGAAATTAAAGAGGGACAAACCAAAAAAGAGTCAATTTGTGACCTTTGTGGAGAAAAATTTCCAACAACTGCGTTAAAAAATCAACACAAGGATGACTTTCACGTAATATTGAATTGTCCAGTTTGTAAGAAAAGTTTATGTAGAGATGGTCTTCAACGCCATATTAAAAGACACACTGATTCAGTCACAATATGTGAAGTGTGTGGAGTTCCTGTGAAAAACATGGATTTAGGGGCCCACATTAAAAGGAAACACGTGAGACCGCTGAGCTACAAGTGCGATTTTTGCGATAAAGTGTTCAAAAGAGCGAGTAATAGAAAAATACACATGAAGAAAGAGCACCTGGGTATGTATTTTTTTGTTTGTTTTATTAACTTTGGACACTAATTTTTCAGATGAAGCTGATTTTGTCTGTGATACTTGCGGAAAAAAGTTTTATAGAAAGCGCGATATAAAGAAACACGTTGAATCCAAACACCTTAAACTGAGACCACACATTTGTGAAATTTGCAACGTAGGTTTTTCCACTAGGTTTGCAAAGAGGACGCATATGAGAAAGCACACCGACGAGAGGCCTTTTAAATGCGAGATTTGCGCCGACGGGTTCAGGCATAAAGTGTCTTTAAAAGTGCATTTAAAGTCCAAACATAACGTTGAAGAAGAACTCACTTGTGAATGTAGAGAATGTGGAAAGAAGTTTGGGTCAAATGCAGCCCTCAGTTCGCACAAAAGGATACACTGATATGTTAGAAAATGTAAATTTATTAAAAAAAACATGGTCAGATTTTTATTCCATTATTCAAAAATCGTTGTTGAACTTGAAGTTGGCAACACTGGTACACACGTGTTCAAAGTAAATATTTTTCATTGGTGGTCATCACAGGTTACAAGTTGTTGATAAACAATAAGTTGAGGTTAAGTTTATTTACAATTAATAAAAAATAACATTAATTACGACAAGTATCACGCAATGAACACACAAAGCGACGATACAAAGCCTCAAATATGCAGGTTATGTTTGGCTCTAACCTCAAAATCTTTTTCGTTAATTACAAACAACGTGGCTGTGGAAATGCTTCAATCCCTGACTTCTCTCAAGGTACGTAGCCCCTCAGGTACACACTAACCAACAACAACCCGTTTCAGATTCTACCCACTGACGAAATCTCGACAGTGATGTGCCTCAAATGCTCCCTCAATCTCAAACTAGCCTACAAAATCCAACAAAACATGTTAAACGCAGAACAACGATTTCGTGCCCAAATTCTAGCCTCAGTGAAGCAAGAAATCGACGTTCCTCAAAACGGAAAAATAAAAACCGAACAACTATCTGATGAAGAGCTTCCTAAAACGTCTGCACAAAGTACAAAATCTCTGAAGGAAAAACAGTCAGAGTACGTTTGTGACGTCTGCGGAAAAAAGTTTCCCGCACTCAGTGCCATCAAGCAACACAAGAACAACGCTCACGTGAAATTGGAGTGCCCCATCTGCAAGAAAAAAGTCACGAAATACAGTTACTCGCACCATTTTCGCGGCCACACGGACTCATTCACGATGTGCGAACTGTGTGGAATGGTGGTGAAAAAAGTCAACTTTTTATACCACGTGAAAGCAAAGCACAAAGAGCAGAGTTACAAATGCGGCTACTGCGACGAGGTTTTTAAACGGACTTTTACTAGAAATATGCACGAGAAAAAAGTGCATTTAGGTGCGTAAATTTGGTGTTTTTGAAAAAAAATTAATCTCGTTTTTAGAGCAAGCGGATTTCGTCTGTGACACATGTGGCAAGAAATTTTATAAACACAGCCACTTGAAAAAACACGTTGAATCCAGGCACCTTAAATTGAGACCTCACATTTGCGAATTTTGTAAAGTGGGTTTCTCGACTAGGTATGCGATGCTGACGCATCGGAGGCAACACACTGGTGAAAAACCCTACAAGTGTGAGGATTGCGGTGACGGATTTAGGCACAAAGTCTCGTTAAAGGCGCACTTGAAGTCCAAGCACAACGTCGAAGAAGAGCTGACTTGTGAGTGCGCAGAATGCGGGAAAAAGTTTGGCTCAGATGCAGCGCTAGCGTCACACAAAAGGATACATTGATAAATGAAATTACATTTTTTCAAATTTGATTTTTCGTTGTCGCGATTGGCAACAATGACCGTCAAGTCGTTAGTCACGTGATTGATGTGTGACCAAGTTAGTTTTCTTGTAAATAATAAACACAAACAAAATATAGGCACTGAAATCGTTCAACAGACGCATGGAAAGTCTAAATTTACGTATTTTTGTTGTTTAGGGGAAATTTCCTTTGATTGTTGGTAGTTGTCACGTGCCAGCCAGCTCGTTTCTTATTGGCGGACGACTATGCAGCAAGTTTCATAGGTTAGATGCATTTTTTCCATATTGTGATAATTTTAATAAACTTTGGTAGAAAACCCTTTGTTACACGTAAACCTACACCCAATTACGACAATGAGTGAAAGCAGCCTGAAATATCAAACCCAAATTTGTAGGTTATGCCTAGCTTTAACAAACACGAGTTTTTCGTTAATAGCCACCAACGAAGCCTCCGGGATGCTCGAGGCCTTAACCTCACTACGAGTAGGTCGCTTGTGCCCCAATCGCAGCCACTTCACCCTTTACTTGTAGATTTTGCCTTCAGATGAAATATCCACCGTCATGTGTCTCAAGTGCTCCCTCAACCTCAAACTAGCGTTCAAAATCCAACAAAACATGTTAAAAGCGGAGCAACGATTCCACCAACAAATACCCCTAGTGGCAAAAAAGGAGTGTGATTTCATTGAAAACACAAAAAGCGAAATATTGGAGCAAACCCCACAGGAACTAATAAAATCAGACCACACTTGTGATATCTGTGGAAAAGAAAACCCTTCAAGCCTCATGTTAAACAAACACAAATACAATGTCCACCAGACCGTAGAATGCCCCAAATGCTTGAAAAAAATTACGCGACCGAGTTTCAAACGACACATTTTGCGCCACAACGACGCCGATTTGCTACAAATCCCGAAACGCGTGTTCGCAAAAGTGGATTACGTGCCCCCTCAACCCAAAGAGGAATTACAAGAGTACGTTTGTGATGTCTGTGGTAAGTCGAAACCTACAAGCGCGACGCTGAAAAAACACAAGCGCAACGCGCACGTGTTCAAAGAGTGCCCAATATGCAAGAAAAAAGTCACACAGACGGGTTTTAAAAGACACTTGGAGGCGCACGAAAAGCGCGTCGTGCGAGCAGCGCAGAAAGCCGAACAAGAGTTGGCTAAAAAGCAAGAGTACACTTGTGACATCTGCGGGAAGAAAGTGTTCTCGAAAGATGGGTACCGCAGACATAAATATAACGTCCACTTGACCGGGGAGTGCCCCATTTGTAAGAAAAAAATCAGCAAGATTAATTTGAAACGTCACATTGAACGGCACAACGACCCTCTCATTGTTTGCGAACTCTGTGGATTGTCGTTCAAACAACACGACTTGAGAATTCACCACTACAACGTGCACCAGAACCGCAGCTACAAGTGCGAATTTTGCGATAAAGTTTTTAAAACGCGAATGAGTAAATCGGATCATGAGAATAGGCACCATTTAGGTATTTTTTGGAGACTTTTTTGTATTTGATTAATTTTGTCTTGTAGGAGAGGCCAACTTTGTCTGTGATACATGTGGAAAAAAGTTCTACAAGTCGGATAATTTGAGAAAACACATTAAGAGTACACATTTAAAAATGAGACCTCACATCTGCGAATTTTGTAAAGTCGGGTTTTCAAGCAAGTTTGCTCTGAAGACACATCGGAGGCAGCATACAAACGAAAAGCCGTTCAAGTGTGAGTTTTGTGCAGAGGGGTTCAGACAGAACGTGTCTTTGAAGTCTCACTTAAAGTCACAACATGACGTTGAAGAGGAATTAATTTGCGAATGTAAGGAGTGTGGAAAAAAATTTGCTTCAAATGCGGCGCTGATTTCACATGGAAGAATACACCGATAAGAGATTGTGGAATTAAAATTGGGATTGTTGTTCGCTTCAAGTGTTGTATTGTATATAGGAGGATATATTTATAAAGTATGTAAAACATGACAAGTTATGCAACCAACATTGCACGTGGAATATAAAATAAAAACTTGGTCGTTGCGTGTTAGGCAACCAACATTACACAATCGTAAAGTGAGGTTATGTCCGTGCTGTTTACATTGATTTATTAAACAGAAATCCGAAAAAATCCAAAACTCGTTACAATTTAATCGATGTAAATTCTTAATTTGTGTCTAATATACATCACGACCATGCACAATGAATCTAAAATCAAAAACGCCCCCCAAACTTGTAGGTTATGTTTGGCCCTAACCACAACAAGTTTCTCGTTAATCGGAAACAACGGAGCCTCGGGGATGCTTGAAGCCCTAACGTCGCTAAAAGTGCGTATTTTAACACCTTTGTAAAGTACTACGCAAATAATTACAGATTTTACCCTCAGACGAAATTTCGACGGTGATGTGCTTGAAGTGTTGTTTAAACCTAAAACTAGCTTTTACGATTCAACAAAACATGCTCAGAGCTGAACACCGGTTTCAAGAGCGCATTTCCACTCTCATAAAGCAAGAATCTGTGAAGTCTGAACTAGAAGACAATTCGGAATATTTGTGTGACGTTTGCGGCAAAAATTGCCCCTCTAGAGACCACCTGGGTAAACACAAGAGGGCTGTGCACGTGCAAGCGCCGTGTCCCGTTTGTGGGAAACTATTCAAACCGGCAACAATTAAAAGACACATGGAGGAAGTGCATGAAACGCTCCCTCAAGATAAATACAGGTGTGACATCTGTGGGTCCGAAAAGTCAACAAAAAGACGCCTGGAGCTCCACAAATCCAACGTACATGGAGTGAGGAATTGCCCCATTTGTAACAAAAAAATCCAAGGAACACTCTTGAAAGAGCACGTTCTTGAACATGATCCACCCAACCCAGAACTGGCAGACGTCGTGAAAAAGTTACTCGAAGACCACGACTGCGAAATTTGTGGCAAAAAATACTCGTCCCGGATTTTACTCAAACACCACAAGTACAGTGTTCATTTGAAAGGGAAGTGTCCGATTTGTGGCAAAGAGTTTAAAAAAGGGAATTTAAAAACGCACATTGCGCGTCACGAAGTAGAAAAGGCGCCTTCCTCCTCCAAGTACGTGTGCGACATTTGCGGGAAAAATAAATTCTCGCAGGCTGACTTAACCAAACACAAGTATAACGTCCACGTCAGGTCGGAGTGCCCCGTTTGTAAGAAAACCATCTCTCAAACCAACCTAAAGCGTCACATTGAGCGCCACAATGACCCCCAAACAGTGTGTGAACTGTGTGGAATCTCGGTCCTCCAACAAGATTTGAGATACCACATGAACAACGTGCACTCACTACAAAGGTACAAATGCGGTTTTTGCGATAAAGTCTTCAAGGGAAAATCGTCTAAAGTTGCGCACGAAAAGCGAGACCATTTAGGTGAAGCGGACTTCACGTGTGACACGTGTGGGAAAAGGTTTTTTAAGAACGTCAATCTGAAAAAGCACATTGAGAGTACCCACTTGAAAATGAGACCCCATATTTGCGAGTTTTGTAAAGTGGGGTTTTCGAGCAAATTCGCGCTTATCACGCACAGGAGGCAGCACACCAATGAGAGACCGTTCAAGTGTGAATTTTGCGGAGAGGGCTTCCGACAAAAAGTGTCTTTGAAATCCCACTTGAAGTCGCAACACGACGTTGAAGAAGAACTGAACTGTGAGTGCAAGGAGTGTGGGAAGAAATTCGCGTCAAGTGCGGCGTTAATTTCACACGGAAGGATACACTAACGAAACGAATTGTTGTAAATACAAAATTAAAAAAAGTTTGTTAAAGTTAGGTTAGGTAACCATGGTAACCAATGACAAGTAGATTATACAACCAGCAATACACATTTTTGTGGGTTTTGTTTACAACAATCCAAACAATCAACGTTTTTGTTGCTTTATTTTACAAATGTGACTTCGATAATTCACGAACGGGCACCATGAATGTTAAAACCAACGACTCCGTTATCAAAAACCAGCCCCAAATTTGTAGGTTATGTTTGGCTTTCACAACAACGTGTTACTCGTTAATAGAAGACACCAAAGTGTCGGGAATGCTTGAGGCTTTAACTTCGCTCAGAGTACGTTCGTTCCAACATAAATCACCACTTGCTACTTACTTAATTCCAGATTTCACCCTCCGACGACATTTCAACCATAACATGCCTAAAATGTTGCTTAAACCTCAAACTCGCCTTCACCATCCAGCAGAACATGCTCAAAGCCGAGCAGCGATTCCGCCAGCACCGCTTTCTCACCCCCGTGAAGCAAGAGTACGACACTGAGAACGTTGAAGACCAATTCGAGACCAACTCAGTCAAACTGGATCACCCTGAGTCGTCCGAACAATACACGTGTGACGCCTGCGGCAAAAAGTGGTCTTCGAAGATGGATTTGCGCAAACACCACGGGGCCGTGCATGTCCAAGTCGACTGCTCGGTTTGTGGAAAAACGTTGAAAAAGGGGAGCATCAAGCGTCACATGGATGATAAACATGCCACGACTGGAGAAAGCTTGATTTGTGATATCTGTGGCATCCCTAAAGCGTCGAAGGTGTCTTTATACAAACATAAACATTGTGTTCATAGATTAATTAAATGTACTATTTGTGGCAAAGAAGTAAAATCCGCGTCCTTGAAAAAACATGTAGCGACTCATAAAAGTGTCACAGACTTAACTAAAGTAGAAAATGTGGAGTCGGAAGCTGCGCTTCGCAATCCACAAATGGAATACGTGTGTGACATTTGCGGCAAACTTAAACCCTCGAAAACCGCACTCAACGCCCATAAATATAGCGTCCATGTGGAGGGTGAGTGCCCCATCTGCAAGAAACGAATCTCGCAAGCCAATTTAAAACGTCACATCGAGCGCCACACTGACCCTCATACAGTGTGCGACTTGTGTGGGATTTCTGTCCTTCAACAAGACTTGCGGGTGCACAGATACAACGTGCACACAGTGCGCCAGTTGAAGTGTCATTTTTGTGACAAAGTCTTCAAGAAAAATTATTCCAGGACAATGCATGAGAAGCGGGAGCATCTAGACGAAGCGAACTTTACTTGCGACACGTGCGGGAAAAGATTTTATCAGAACGCGTTTTTGAAAAAGCACATCGAGAGTAAACACTTAAAAAAAAGACCGCATATCTGCGACTTCTGTAAAGTCGGGTTTTCCAGCAGGTTTGCCCTGAAAACACACATCAGGCAACACACAAACGAAAAACCGTTCAAGTGTGAGTTCTGTGGAGATGGGTTCAGACAGAAGGTGTCTTTAAAGTCCCATTTGAGGTCACAGCACGACGTGAAAGAGGAACTGATTTGTGAATGTAAAGTGTGTGGGAGGAAGTTCGCTTCTTCGATTGCGTTGTTGTCCCACAAAAGAATACATTGATTAAAAAAATAAAATTCTATATTTTTAAAGTTATGCAACCAGTAATACAGCTGCGTTTTTGTGGAAGGGCGATCTGGTTGGCCACTCTTCAATCAAGTGACACATTTAGTGCACAGTGAAGTGAAATTGCTTTTAATTACAAATCTAAGCGATAAAATTGCGACAATATTAAAGAACCAAACCATGGACATTGACACCATCGATTCTAAAATCCGGTACCAACCTAGAGTTTGTAGGTTATGTTTAGCCCTAACAACAACATATTTTTCGTTAGTGGAAGACACCCGAACGGCTGGAATGCTGGAAGCTCTCACGTCGCTAAGAGTACGTATTTCACCCCAACTCACTCACCTACAACCCTCAATTGTAGATTTTACCTTCTGATGACATTTCTACAGTGACGTGCCTCAAGTGCCTCTTAAACCTCAAACTCGCCTTCAGCATCCAACAAAACATGCTTAAAGCGGAACAGCGATTCCGGCAACACTTTTTCTCGGTTCCGATTAAGCAAGAGCGCGATCTCGAAAACGTGGAACCGGAAGAACATAAGTTTGACATGGATGTAACCCACTTGATGAAAGTGGATCAAGACAGCCCGCCGGAAGAGTACATTTGTGATTTCTGCGGGAAAAAGTGGTCTTCGAGGAGCGATTTGAGCAGACACAAAAAGAACGTGCATATGCAAGTGACTTGTCCCATTTGTGCGAAAACTATTAAAAAAGGAAACATTAAGGCGCACATGGATAACAAGCATGCCACGACTGGAGAAATCCACGCTTGCGACATCTGCGGGATCGAAAAATCATCAAAAGTCGCGTTATACAAACACAAACACTGGGTGCACAAACTCAAAAAATGTCACATTTGTAACGAGGAATTTACTTCAATTTTGTTAAAAAAGCACCTGGCGACTCATAGCCCGCCGCGGGAGCCACCAATGAAAGTGGAGTTGCAAGACCCCGAGATCACGCTTCAAAGAGAGCGCCACATTTGCGACCTTTGTGGCGTAGAAAAGTCAACAAAGGCCACTCTAACCAGACACAGACACAGTGTTCACAAACTAAGCAAGTGTAATATATGCGAGAAAGTAGTCAAGTCGGAATCGTTGCGAAAACACCTAAAAACCCACGACACTCTTCCAATTAAAACAATCAAAGTGGAAAACGTGGACTGCGACGACGCTCTCAACATGAATCCGGAAGACGAATTCAGTTGCGAAATCTGCGGCAAAACTAAAACCTCGCTTAAGGCTTTAAATAGACACAAATCTAGTGTCCACGTGGAGGGCGAATGCCCTATTTGTAAGAAAAAAATGGCTCAAGTGAACCTGAAGCCCCACATCGAGCGCCACAGCAAACTCTTCGCCGTGTGTGAGCTCTGTGGCGTTTCTGTGGTTAAGCAGGACTTGCGCAGACACATGTTCAATGTACACACAGTCCGGAAATTGAAGTGCGCCTTCTGTGATAAAATTTTCAGAAAACATTATAGCAGAACTTTGCACGAACGGCGGGAACATTTAAGTAAAATTCCATAGTTGAAAAAAATCAATCATTTAGTGTGTTTTTTTACAGATGAAGGCAACTACACTTGTGACAGGTGTGGGAAGAGGTTTTATAATCCGCGTCGTTTGAGAAAACACATTGAAGGTATACATTTGAAGCTGAGGCCCCACGTCTGCGAGTTTTGCAGTGTGGGTTTCTCGAGTAAGTTCGCTCTGCAGACGCATAAAAGGCAACATACGAATGAGAGACCGTATAAGTGTGATTTCTGTGGGGAGGGGTTCAGGCAGAAGGTGTCGCTAAAGTCGCACTTGAAGTCGCAACATGACGTGGAAGAAGAGTTGAATTTCGTGTGCGACGTTTGCGGAAAGAGCTTTGCGTCGACGATAGCGCTGAAAACGCATCAGAGAATCCATTAATAGAACGAATTACGACGTATATTAAGTATATATAATTATTCTGAATAAGGCTTGATGTTTGTATTATGCAACCAACAATACGCGCAACGTTTAGTATACTGAGCAAGGTTAGGCAACCAGAAAAACGCGTCTTTAAGATTTGAAATTGTCTACAGCCTGTTACCAGTTTTGATAAGAGATTTATACGTAAATATTTATTCAATGTAGAAACTTAAGTACTGAGTATAGGTGTAAGTTTAGTTTCTAAAGAGGAAATTATGCAATCAACGCTACAGGTGAATGTTACTTCGTTGAGTTGGTATTAGAGCTTTTGAGGTTATGTATCGCTCAACAACATTGTTGCATTTGAAGAAGCATTTAATCGTGTAAATAACGCAATCATTTTATTAGACTAAGCCCCAAATGAACCTTAATAAAATGGAGGAAAGTGGTTCGAGTTATACCCCCCGAGTTTGCAGGTTATGTTTAGCCCCAACAGCCACAACTTTTTCCTTAGTTGAAAGTAACGAAATCTCGGGGATGCTGGAAGCTTTAACGTCCCTACGAGTAATCCATGTGGTACCAGATTCGTCACCCATTTCACCCATTAATTACAGATTTTACCGTCAGACGAAATCTCGACTGTGATGTGTCTAAAATGCCACCTCAATCTCAAACTCGCGTTTGCCATTCGGCAGAAAATGGTAACCGCGGAGCAACGATTTCAGCGACGCGTATTACAATCCATAAAAACAGAAACTAATGAAAATAATATCAAACAAACTGAAAAAGTCTTCACTTGTGATATCTGTGGTAAACAGAAACATTCAAAGAAGCAATTAAGAGTGCACAAGTACAGCAACCACGAACAAGTTGAATGTTCCTTATGTAAGAAACAAATCCGAAAAGGGTACATTCGTGAACACATCAAGATGCACGAGCGAAAAACGCAAGGAGACGGACAAATCCCCGTTTTTCAAGAGTTTGCGTGCGATATTTGCGGCACGTGGAAATCCTCAGAGGCTGCTTTACGCAAGCACAAAAATTACTGTCACGTGGAACGGGATTGCCCGGTTTGTTTGAAAAAAATCAAACTTGCTAATTATAATCGCCACTTGTTTCAAGTGCATGGGATCAAAGTGGAGCGACTTGAACCAGAGAGGGCGCTCAAACCACCCACAAAAAAAGAGTACACTTGTTATATCTGTGGTGGGAAAAAGGCGTCTAAAACGAGTTTGTACAATCACACATTTACCGCCCACAGATCTAGTGAGTGTCCCGTATGTAAAATGAAAATCAAGACTGCCAACTTAACGCTTCACATTGAACGCCATAAAATAGACTTGAACGAGACTTCTGACTTGAAATTTAAATGTAACTTTTGTGATAAAGAGCTCTTAAGCAAGCCTGCGTTGACGAGACACGTGCATACTAGTCATTCCCGGAGCGAGTGTCCTATTTGCAAAAAAAACCTGTCGTCGTCGAACTTGAATCACCACATCCGTCGTCACGCTAGAGCCACCACAGTTTGTGAAGTCTGTGGACTCACTGTGAAAACCATAGACATAAAATACCACATGATGTGTCACTCATCAGTCGTCTACAAGTGCGACTTCTGTGACAAAGAATTCAAACGCAAAAATAACAAAGTTTTGCACGAAAGGAGAGAACACAAAGGTACGACCGGTGTTACCCAAATCCACGCTTTATTTATCTTTGTAGGTGAGGCGAATTTCGTGTGCGAGACCTGCGGCAAGAGATTTTATTCAGCCCCGTATTTAAAGCGACACATTTCAGCTATACACTTAAAACTAAAACCGTTTGCTTGCAATAACTGCGATTTGAGTTTTTCAACTAGAAATTCGTTGAGAACGCACAGCAGGCAACACACTGATGAAAGACCCTACAAGTGTGATTATTGTGGTGAAGGGTTCAAACAAAAGGTGTCGCTGAAGTCGCACTTGAGGTCGCAGCACGACGTCCACGAAGAACTCACCTGCGAATGCGACACTTGTGGGAAAAAATTTGCTTCAAAGTGGGCTTTATTGACGCATAGTAGAGTGCATAGTTAGATTGCGGCTAGGCAACCAGTAATACACGCGCTATTCGAATTTAATTTTTCACCAACCAAAACTAAACGTGGAACGAATTAGTCACCAGGTTTAGGTTGTCATCCAGATGACATTTCTGCACAAAAATGCTAATTTTTATTAATAAAAAATATGGTAAAATGGAAGCTTTAACTGTTATCACTAAATATCACCGGATTGCAAGATACACTAGTAGCAATATCTGAACACCTATATAGTTCAGAGCAACTTTTGGTTCAAATTTATCACCGTTTTTGAAAACGCAAAATCCTGGTATTCGACAAAATCGGAAATAACGATGTTCAGACCGCTATCTCCAGGTTTCTGCTGCCGCAGCCACTCGTATTTTTGTGGTTCCAAAGGCAACACGCACTTATTTTTTAAAGAACCTTAAAAATAATCACGTTATTGTCAATTAAACAAAACAAAAAACGACTTACTGAAAATGTGTCTGAACGCGAACCACACAGTCGGAGTTAAGACACACTGGGAGACAAACCCTAAAGCACAATTCCGGTTTTTCAAACCCTGATTTATAAAGTCGATTAAAACGGGTATTTTGAAAGTATCGGGCCACGGAGTTGGAAAGGACATCGCCGGCCACAGCACCTCTTCAACGTTCGAAATATCACCTCTATACACCAATAAAACCTGGTACGAGTGTTCTTTCATGTAGTCTAGAGTGACGTGCTTCATGGAATACGAGTACGGTAACAACTTGTGGCCAAATATTGACTTAAGTTGATTGACAAGTCGTTTATGGTCACTCAACAACAAATTAAAAAAGTGTTGGAAATCTAAAATCACGATCTACCAAAAAATGAGCACAGAGAGTTCAGTGTGAACATACTTCACTGGAATGCTCCTCCACAAAACTATTGATTTGTGTCAGCACCGTATCCACACACTCCGAGTACAAATTATGCACGAAATAATAATTTTGCGAGTGCGGTTTCATAGCGATTCTCAAATCGAAATATCTGATCCCGGCGTTTAATTGTTGTGTGATGTTTGTGGACTGGGTTTTGGACCACTTGATTATGAGAGGGCGTAACAAAGGTTCGAGGAATTTTAACAACTGGATGGGTTTTCTAGCGTCTGGAGATATCTTAGACGTGTGGTTTATAGCATATGTCGTACTATCGTGCGAACCTACAAAAAATCGTCAACACTTTCGTAAATCTGGTAGACATTAACCTGGTATTGCTAGATGTATCACAGGCAGTTTTCTCAACTTGTCGGGAAGGTTTGTCATCCAGAATTCCAAATCTATTGCTAGGTTAACCATTTTGTTTACGTTTCAATAATACTGGTTCGGTTTACACTTACACACCTATTTATCTACGTTATCACGGGTTTTATAAAGTGCGCCGACCCACTACGAACGACAATAGTGACTTTTGGTTTCTTGTTGTGGTGTTCGCTAAATCGGTCGGGATTGCCAACATAACGACAAGAAACACACCCCCGATCAAGTTTTTTCAACCCTCATTTTAAACATTTCCTTCGTTTGGACACACGATTTTTACAATTTCCGACTTTCCACACACGCCGCCTCCTGTACGACATGGCAGAAACCAGCGCCCCCCAAATTTGTAGGTTATGTTTAGCATTCACAAGAACCACTTTCTCTCTAGTTCAATATAACGAAGCAACGATGTTGGAAGCTGTAACTTCTTTAAAGGTAGTAAGAGTTTATCATGTTTGCAGAAAAACACGCCAATCATTTGTAGATTTTACCAAATGATGACATTTCGACTGTGATGTGTCTAAAGTGTCACTTAAACCTCAAACTCGCCTTCACAATCCGGCAAAAAATGCTCAAGGCGGAGGAACGCTTTCGTGAACACAAGTGTTCAATTCCGGTGAAAGAAGAATGCGCTGACAATGAATTAATAAAGGAAGAAAATGTTGAAAGTAGTTACACTTGTGACATTTGTGGCAAACGGAAAAACTCAAAGGCTAATTTAAACAAGCACATAAAACATCATCAAAGTTCAAATTTGGGGATAGAACTAGAAGAAAAAGAAAATTATGATTACTGTGAAACTGAAGAAAATGAGAGAGAACTTGAAATAGATGTAAAAGAACATATTCTACAAACTCCAGAGGTAGAATTAAAGCATAAACCGGCTTCAGGTGGTGACTACACTTGCGGCATCTGCGGTATAAAGAAACACTCAAGTAGTAGTTTAAGAAGCCACAAATACAACGTACATTTGAAACGGGAATGCCCCATATGTACGAAAAAAGTGTGCCGGCAATCTTTCAAGCGTCACGTCAAACTCCACACTGTCAAAAAACCAGTACAAGACACAGAATTCACTTGTGACATGTGTGGAAAAGTGAAGCCATCCAAAGCTTTGCTCACTGACCACAGAAATCGGGCCCACCAGGTCGTGGAATGCCCCATTTGTAACAAAAAAGTCAAGAAATCTGGTTTAAAGTGTCACATGGGTCGCCACGACACCTCCAAAGAGGGCGAACACACCGAATACGTTTGTGATATCTGCGGAAAAAATAAATTTTCCAAAGGAAATTTACGTCAGCACAAATATAACGTCCACGTGGAACTGGAATGCCCAATTTGTCGGATAAAAGTGACCCAAACTAACTACAAACGTCACGTCGAACGTCACACTGACCCCCACGTTGTGTGTGAACTGTGTGGGGTCTCTTTCAAACAGCAAGATTTACGCAAACACATGGCCAACAACCACAGAGACCGCCGGAGTCACAAGTGCGATTTATGCGACAAAGTTTTCAAAACTAAGTACAATAAGTTCTTACACGAGAAAAAACATTCAGGTACAGTTGCACAAACCTAACACTATTGAAGTTACTAAGTCATAAAATCAAGTTGTACTTTATAGGTGAGGCAGATTTCGTCTGCGACGTTTGTGGAAAAAAATTCTATCAAGCGTTTTATTTGAAAAAACACGTCGAAAGTACGCATAATAAACTCAGACCTTATATCTGCGACTTCTGTAACGTCGGTTTTTCAAGCAGCCATGCGCTGAAAACCCACCGGAGGACCCACACAAATGAGAGACCGTACAATTGTGAGTTCTGTGATGAGGGATTCAAGCAAAAAGTGTCGCTGCGGTCGCACTTGAAGTCGCAACACAACATCACTGAAGAACTTAAGTGTGAATGTACAGTGTGTGGGAAAAAGTTTGCGTCAGAAACCGCCCTACTCATACATAGCAGGGTTCACAAATAAATGCAAGTATATTTTTCTAAATAAAGTGAATTTTACTGATCTGTCAACGTAATAAAACTAAAAAGACTCACTTTCCATACTTTCTAACCTGACGTAATCGTGGTCAAAAAGCGCCTCCTTCTCCCCTTTCTTCAATTTTTGCACCTTGACCTCGTAGCCACTCTCCCACAACTCCCGCAGCTTCTCCAACACCTCCACTCTCTTACTACACACATCTTCACCGACTTCGCTGCACAGGCCTGCCAACGACAAACACGCATAGTGCGCCTTGGCGAACTTGCCTTCAGTTGGTACCCCTTCCGCATCTCCACGTCTACCAACCTCCTCGAACAAATCCCTAGCGTAATTTTTGGTCCACCGTTCCGAAAATAAATACTCATCAAACAAATCCACCCCTTGTGATTTTCTGTACGCCAGTAAATGAACACACGGTAGTTTCATTATCGTAAAAAAGTCACAATTGCAACTGATCTCAGACACCACGAACGTGTTACCGTCGCTTTCGCAAATCACGTCCGAACCGTCGTTCGGACTGTCGAAACTTACTTCGTCCATTTCCGATAAAAATTGTTTGATTTTTTGGACGGCGTACGGTGTGAGGTGTTTCGAGTATTCAGTTACATCTTCGGGGTGCTTCTTCGTGACCATTCGGTTAAGTTCGGATTGGAGTTCGTTCCGTCGGAAGTACACCACGAGGAAAAAGTTATTGATGAAGCGACTGAAAGTCTTGCAATTGGCGACTGGGGATTTTAATTTTAGGTTGGAACTGTCGAGTTTGGTGTTGATGCAGGTGCGAAGGGAGGGATTAAAACCTTTAACCCACTCGTTTCGCAAGTCGTGCCAGTTATTAATGAAATAGTCCATTAGGGAATATGGTACGTTGTCTTCCATGTCTTCTAAAATCGTGTGGTATTCTTCCTCCGATTTTGATTCTATTAACTGACTGAAGAAATGTAGCGCACTTTCGGATTCTGATGGTATTACGTTCAAGACTTTTGACGGTTGGGTGTCTTTTTTGAATGTTTCGAGGGCGTGATAAGGGCAGATTAGTTTCGTAGCGGTGGGGAAGTACCGAGGGACTATGTCATACTCACTGGTGGGTTTATCAGTGACTACGATGACGGTTTTGTCACACTTGGGGTTGTTGTCTTTGAACTTTTGCACGACCCATTCAACCGATTCTTTTTCTTTTGTCGTTAAAACACCGACAGCGACAATGTCGCTACCACCTAGTGAGTTTTCCACGCACAGAATGTACACACAACAAGCGATATTCTGCAAAAGATAAGTCCCATCTATGAAAAGTATTTCTGGAAACATGTCAAAACATTTCCTCATGTGGTAGTCCTGGAAGAAGAAACCAATCACTTTGCCGCTCCCGTCGTCCTGGAGCGTCACACTACACCTATACTTTTCCCTCAAAACATTTGACACTTTTCTCAGATTATTAGACCTCGCCAAAGAATTAACTTTAACAAGATTATTCAAAATGTTTTGTTTGTCTTCAAGCTTCATTATCTTCTCGTAAATTTTCGGCTCTGCGGTTTTCAGCTTTTCCATCTTCCGTCGCGTTTTCTGGCGAAAAACCTCCCTACAATCACGGGTCACATTCAACCTACTAAACCAAAAATTGACTCACTCTGAAGGGATTTCATGATTGTGCTCATCGACGATTTTCTTCACAATTAAGCGATTCTTGTCTTCGTTCAAACCTACCAAGATTTCGGCTTTACAGTCTTGCTTCCACGTCCTAGAGACAACACACTAGAGTACAATCAACAACAAAAGAAAATTCTATACCCTCTACTTTTCCTCCGTCGAGCTGCGAATACGTTCTTTGGACGAAAAGTCTGACCCCCATGCACACACGAAAATCTTATACTGCAATACTCCAACTGGGGGTAATTTTTAACAACTTCGAAAATTTTCGGGGGGGCTCTGTGCAGCCGTTTTGTGTCGCGTCTCCAATAGAGGACACGACGGGCGTTCCCGTAACTGGTGACAGCTTCTTGGAGCTCTTGGTACGACGAAAAAGTGTCGTTGATGTTTAAATCACAAGTAGGTTTGATTTGATCCATTTTGTCACAACACACTATATAAATTTTTAAATTTCGCGCCACATTTTTAGGTTACACACACAAAATTGATTTTTTTTAATTGTTTTAATAATTACAGCGGGAATTATTATGTATGATCATGTTTTCGATCCAATAATGCGAAAATCACATTTTGTTGTAACCGGGACTTTAAGCCAACGTTTTAATACCGTTCGGACTGGAATTTAGACACAAAGTTTCAACCGTCGCGATTTTAATTGTTGCGCGATTTTGTACGCCTGAAATGAATAAATAAAGTGCAGAGGAGCGCAACAACGCACAAATAAATAAGCAACTGCATGAAAATTTGGAAAACTTTATAACATTTTTGAAGGTTATGTGTCACTAATGTCACTTATGCCAATCAGTTTTTAGGCATGCGTACTGCGTTTAGTGCATCATTCGAATTTAAACAAATTACGATTCCTTTGTAGTTTTTTTTATAAATAAATATAAACAACCTGAATACGTCTATCCTTTAAACTAATCTTAAATAATGTAAAATCACTTCAATGTATCCTCTGATGCGAATACAAAGCCACTTTGGACGCAAACCCTTTCCCACAAACCGAACACTTGCAAGTCTCTTCCTCCACGATATTGTGTTTTGACTTTAAGTGCGACTTCAGAGACACTTTCTGTCGGTACCCTTCACCGCAGACCTCGCACCGATACGGAGTCTCGTTGGTGTGCTGCCTCTTGTGTGTCTTCATAGCGAACAGACTCGAGAAAGCACTGTTACAAAACTCGCAAACATAAGGCCTCAGTTTCAAGTGGGTCATTTTCACGTGGGTGTTCAGATGTCGATTAGAGTAGAATTTTTTACCACAAGTGTCACAAACATAGTTGGCCTCACCTACAAAAAACAATTATTTTAGAGTAAAATAAACGAAAATCAGCACCTAAATGTTCTTTTCGTTGATGCGCATCTCTGTTGCTCCGTTTTTTAAAAACTTTATCACAGTAGTCACACTTGTGCCTTGAGGCGTTATGCGAATAAAACATGTGTTGTCTCAAGTTCCCTTTCGTTTTTAGAGTGACGCCACACAATTCGCAAATTTGGGGTCCTTCGGTGTGCGATTTAACGTGGTTGCGTAGATTGGGGGCTGTGAGTTCTTTGCCGCAGATCGGACACTTGCGTTTAACGTGGTTGTATTTGTGTCTACTTAACAGAGTCCGCGTGGGAAAAGTCCTTGCACAAATCTCACACCCAAAATCTATCGTTTCCAAGTTTTTTTCTTTCTTTGGGGTTCGTTTTGTCGGTTCTTGTTTTATGAGAACTTCATTTGAGATAGTTTCATTAAACACAACTAAGTCCTCTTCAACCGGTACAGGAGACAATTCCTTTTTTACTAAACGTTCACGAAAACGGTGTTCCGCTTTTAACATGTTTTGTTGAATGTTGTAAGCGAGGGTCAGGTTCAAACGACACTTGAGACACATGACAGTCGAGATTTCATCAGAGGACTGAATCTGCAATGATTGTTGTTATACAAGACTAGAGTTAGGACGCAGCTTTACTTTCATGGAAGTTAGAGTTTCCAGCATGCTTGACGCTCCGTCGTTTCTAATTAAACTGAAAGAGGTCTTAGTGCGAGCTAAACATAACCTGCAAATTTCAGTTTTTAATATTTCGTTAAGATTCATTCTGGGTGGTTTAACGGGTTTGTTCTAACACCTACTCCAATAAAAGGGTTTATTTATGTGTAAAAAGAATCTAAAACGAGAGATTTATTTGTAACATAACCTCAACTGTCATTTTCGACAATGACAGATTAGTTTTTTTGACACAATAATAGATAATATAAACAAACAATAAAGATATAAGTAAATATAAACAGTGTTTCCTTAATAGTAACGATTACTTTTTGATTTTCAAGTCCTTATTGATAAAATCAACTCCATAGGGGCACAGCTCATGGTTTAAACAAGTGGCACACTGGGGCTTCACCGGTTGACAAATCTGCTGCCCGAATCCCACCAATAACAGCCCAATTTCGTCCCACAGCTCCTTGGGTAACCACTCTTGCAGGCTTTTCCTCGTTTCGTCTGGAGTTTTTGAATTTACCCATCCTAATCTGTTACAAATACGGTGCACATGAGTATCTACACCAATTCCAGTAGTCTCGTTCCAGGCCGTCTTCATACACAAATGCGCCATTTTGGGGCCCACCCCTGGAAGCTTACACAAATCTTCAACTGTTTTGGGAATGTCACCACTGAAATTGTTCTTCAGGATCTGAGTAGTTTTCTTAATGTACTTCACTTTTGTCTACAATACAGTACAATTTGTCCCATTATAACTTATCAACAAGTAGTCAAAAGGTACCTTCCAGAAACCCACTGGGTAGATAAGCTCCCCCAATTTTTCATCAGACGTGGCTAAAATATTGTCAATGGTGCATCCGTGTTTCTGTAGTTTTAACATAGCGTTGTAGGTCACTTGATCTTTAGTTTGGCTGCTTAACATAAGCGACAAGAGAGCTTGATACCGAAACACTTCAGGGCTGGCACTCTCTTCTTGACATTTATTGCACCCCATCGAATCCACAGGAGCGTCGAAGTTCTTACGCATCTCTCTAACGTTCGCCAGAATTTGCTCCCAATCGCTGGGTGCCCAATTTTTCTTTGGTTTCTCATCGGCTTCGATTTTGACGTGTTCGCGCTTAATGTGCTTATGATCGGAGCTCGTGGAAGGCTCTGAATGGGTTTCTTCTTTGTTTTTGCTCAACAGCTTCCGTTTTGGGGCCAATTTAAACCTGGACAGGTCCGGCTTAGTGTCAGGTTCCATGAGTTTGACAGTTGTTGTGGACCGACTAAACGACTTCTTCAAATCGAGTTTCTCCTTATTTACGGTCCGAACGGCGGCTAAAATTCTTTGAACTAGATAAAATCGCATCTAAAAGAGATGACACAAAGTTAGGTTAGGTTTTTAAACGCTCAGCGTTACATGGGTACCAACTTACTCTCAAATTTCTGTTATAAAATATTAAAGTCTGATTAAAGTAAAGCAAATTGTAGTTCTATTGGGGTTGTTATTGAGTTTCGTTGTACTAAAGCAACAAAGCATGAATAAATACGTTCAAATATATATTTTTTCATTTTACAGTCGTACCAACCCATTTTTAAATTCTTAACCTAACTTGTACACAAACCGCTTAAAATCGACTATTCGTTAAAAAAGAGCGATGAAGCGCACAAATAAAGAAAAACCGCCCCCAACGGACCGCACTACGCGAAGTAAACGAGTTGTCGACCAGTCTGAAGTCAGCAATGTTGAAGATTCAGGGGGTGCTCCGGGAGCCCCATCAAACACATCGAAAGTCACACGAAAAGGCAGAAACGCAAAGCGGGAACATGTTACTGTTGAAAGTGAGCCCGAAACTCCGGTTGTTAAAAGTGTGAAAAAGAAAAATCCGCCGAAGGACTGGGAACAAGTTTTGGCTAATTTGAGAGAAATGCGAAAAGATTCGGACGCCCCTGTGGACTCCATGGGGTGCGATAAGTGTCAGGATGAAACAGCCAGTCCAGAAGTATTAACTTAAGTCGGATTTAATTCAAAATAATTGGTATTTTGTAGGTTATTAGATACCAAGCTCTGTTGTCTTTGATGTTGAGTAGCCAGACTAAAGATCAAGTGACGCATGCCGCTATGCTAAAATTGCAACAACACGGTTGTACAGTTGATAATATTTTGGAAACTTCGGATCAACAACTCGGGGAATTAATCTATCCTGTTAGCTTCTGGAGGGTATATAATTTATTCATTTTGTGCACATTTAAATGAAACCATTCACAGAACAAAGTCAAATTCATTAAGAAAACTACAGAAATGTTGAAGAACGAGTGGAGTGGAGACATTCCAAACACGGTTGAAGATTTATGTAAACTTCCTGGTGTGGGCCCCAAAATGGCTCATCTTTGTATGAAGACGGCGTGGGGCGTAGTCACTGGGATCGGTGTCGACACCCACGTCCACCGCATCGCGAACCGCCTCGGCTGGGTGAAATCCAAATCTCCTGAGGACACAAGAAAAGAACTAGAAGATTGGCTGCCAAAGGAGCACTGGAGTGAGGTTAACCATTTGTTGGTGGGTTTCGGCCAGCAGATTTGCCAACCTGTCAAACCTCAATGTGCTGCTTGCTTGAATAACACCCTTTGCCCTTTTGGGGTGACCACCATGAAAAAATCCAACGCTAACCATTAAATATTTGGAAAATCTACTCTACTAACACACAATTAATAAATACTTTATTTGAGAAATGCTGAGTGTTTTCGCCGAATGTGCAACTTGAGCGACGAATTTCTCCGCGTGACGTACATGAGACAGTACTGACATTTCAGCCAGTTAATTTCCCCCGGTTTGCTATGCAGCTCCGACTTGTGCTTATTCAATCTGCTGCGGTTTCTTGCTTTGTATTCGCAGTGGCTGCACTGGTGCCACTTTACATGCTCCGGTTGGACATGCCCCGTCTTGTGGTTCCCCATGCTACTCTTTGTCTTTGATCTGTACGAACATACGTCGCAATAAAACCAGTCGATCTCATCATCCGCCAAGTGTCTATGTTTTATGTGCACAGTCATGGCGCTCTTCTGCTTGCACTTGTGGGGGCAATAGTCGCAGTAGTACCACGGAATCACGGTTCCGTCCCCGTGCTTAATAATAAGGTGTCTTCGCAAATTATCTCCATGTCTCGACTTGTACTTGCACTGGTCACATTTGAACCATCTTTTCTGAAAGTTGGGTTCGAACCTGACGGGGTCGACCAGAATCGTGTTCTCGTTTATCTCATCCGGCAAGAGCAACAGCTCTTCTTCAGACTCCACCCGGATGCTGTTGGGTAAATCTGGAAATTCGTCAAGTTGGAACTGCTCGGATCTGCAGCTGTCGCAGGAGCAGTTTGCCGGTGGCAGGTTTTCCTCGAGTTCATCTAAAAGAAATAAGTTTCCGCCGTGGATGTTCATGTGGTTGTTGAGGATGGTTTCGCATTTCGACTCAAAGCAGCAGAACGGACACAGATGCATTTTGTATTTTTCAGGATTTTCAATTTTGGCACATCACAGCACTAAGGGAATGTAAAACTAAACGGTATCACAATAATTTTTGGATTTGGCTTGGGTTGAGCGACTAGGGTTGGATGAGCAAATTCGGGTGTCGAGATTGGGGGTTACATTGTGGTTATTATTGAAAGGGTGGCACAATCGTTGATTAAAAGCCAACAATCGCGGTTATTTTAGCCCGAAAGTGACATTTTTACGACGTTCTTTGAATTTTTTTGAGCGGTATTTGGTTATGTTGTCGACGCCGACACTGTCGATCAATCAATTCGCCCTACTGCAACTAACATAACAAAAGTAGATGTCCGAAGATAAGGTACAAAATCAACAATTAAAATTAAAATTTTATCGAAATTGGATGAGTCCGTGACTGCAACCGGTTTATTTAACAAAAATATACATGAATAAACAATTTACATCTAGCTGGAGGTTGTTGTTTTTTATTGAAACATGAAAAAGTTTAAGATAAATGCTATATTCTTTAGATCTGTGGTTGTGGGGGAGGAAACTCCCATTTTAATGGGCTTCCAAAATACACCGCCCACCTGGACTTCTCCTTTCTCCTCAGCGAAAATACGTCTTGGAGGAAGTCATCATGTCGATATTTTTGGTTGTAATACGACAAAAATACGACTTTTTGAGATGGCATGAAATTTTGACAAATGTCTCGAATTTGAACGTCAATGGGTTATAAGACAGTGTTGTATTTTATTTTTGCCCTAATTACTTTACATATATTCGCGTACTCTATCCTCGCCTTTGTCTTGTTTGGCATCTTTTTGCTAATTTATTACTTCTGGGACGACAGCAATTAGTTACAGACCCCCGGAGTTAGAGATTCTACGTTTATTCAACATCTACCTTCACACAGACTTGCCCTGGAAGAAATTTTGCTTGAAGTGGTAGAAAAAACAGAAATTATCGCAACTGGTGTAAATGATGCCACGGACGCACATGTTGTTCTATACTAGCAGTACACAAAAAATATGCGTGTCAAAATTTGGCTTTTTGAAAACTAAACGTTGACAACTGAAGATTCAGGACAATTGGTCTACTCGAAGAGCGTTATTAAAGAAAATTTGAAGATTTTACCGATGAAGGCAGCATTGAGAAGTCTTTTAAACAAAGATTTGGTCTTAAGTACCACAAAGTTTCGACGATCGGATGGTTGAATGATTTTTTATCTTGCTTTATAATTTTAAATGTAAATCAAAATAAATAGCTCGTTTTGAACACGTTGCTTTTTGTGGTAAATTATTATGTTCATGATAGAGTATGATTACCGAATTTTTTGAGAATTTTTAGACGACGTTTTCCAAATATGAAATTTTCCACTATGAATCCAAGTTCAACGTTTTGGTAAGTTATTAAATTGTTGCCGAATATGTAGTTTACTTTAATCGTGGTGGGTCAGACGGATTGTAAAATAAGTGCGCAATTATGCATTTATATGCATTTTTTCAAACAAACAGTTTTGTTTAGGTATTTAAAGGTATGCAAAATTATAGAAGCGTGTTCAAATAATAATAAAAATAAGTAAATCTCTCTTAAATATGGAGGAACTCAAAGTGCGTATTCAAATTTTCCCCCAAGAAATATTTTGTTTCAACTAAGTATATTGTTATTACAGATATTTTTGAATCTTTTATCCGTTTGAACAGAAAATACAGACTACTACCAATTTATGTTTTTACTAGGACACAAATTGTTTGTTTTTTAGCTAGTTTTTATCATCTAGATAACAATATTCCGTCTATTTCGATTTGTAAGCGCAACAAACTTAAAGACATTAAATAAAACCATTAGTTGTCATGATGGCAAACGAACATGTTCAAAGTGTTTGCCTTGCAACCACTATATGTCTTGTGATTTTTCTTCTTCTAAGAACTTGGAAAAGAAGACACATTTACTACCGCGCAGCTAAAGTTAAGGGACCTTTTCCACTCCCGGTAATTGGAAGTACTTATGTTTTATGGGGCCACACTCAAGGTAGGTACGGTCATATAATTTCTCTTGATCATGAAAGTCTCTCAGACCTCTTGGAAGGTTTAATTCGTCTAAATAAAAAGTATGGTTCCCTTTACAAATTTTGGACGGGAAGTGAGTTGTGCTTTTTCGCTTCTAAACCCGAAGAAGTGCAAATCGTTCTCAACAGTTGCGCCGAGAAATATCAAGATATGAAATACTTGAATCCAGTTTTTGGGAAAGGTCTCCTCACTTTACCAGGTTAGTGAGACATTTGTTCGATCACGTTTCGTTTTGTTATTTGTGGTTAGCCCCAGAGTGGAAAATACACCGAAAGCTGTTACGGGGGACTTTCAGTCAAGAGATTTTGAATTCGTTTGTGAAGACTTACGTGGTTTATTCTAACATTATGGTGGGAAAACTTGAAGAAAGTCTTGGTAAAGGTTTGGTTGATGTGTTCCCGCTTTTTTCGCTGTGCATGACGGATATTCTTTGCGGTAAAAACGAAAACGGAAATCGAAATGTGATTAATCGTTGCATTTTAGATACAATGATGGGTGTTCAAGTTAACACAATGAAGGAAAATGGGTACAATTTAATATTACAAACAGCCAGGTACTTTTTTTATTGTGGTTCCGAACAATTGTGTTCAACGATAATGGTTTTCCAGACTAGGAGAGCTAGGTTGTTTGCGTACGGCCAATCCTTTGCTTCATCCAGACATTTTGTGGAATCGAACTTCTCTGTCCAAAGAAACACGTACAATACTGGAAGAGGTTCAACAATTTATTAAAAAAGTAGGTCAATGCCACCGCATTGGTACAAATTTTACACCACGCAATTTGTTTAGATCGTTGATACTAAGAGGCTGGAGAAAGCAAAAAACGTCGCTTGTGCGTCTCAAAAACCCATTTTGTTGAATCGAATGCTAGAATTAGAAGACACTGAAAAAATATGGGACGAACAAATGTCACTTGAAGAAACTCAAGCAGTTCTAGTGGCAGGTGCCGACGCAACAACTCTGACTTTAGGTTACGTCCTCATGATGCTAGGGATGCACCAAGAAATACAGGTTCTTTTAGCAATCATGTAACCAAAGCTTCAAATCCAAATTTCAGACACAAGTACACCAAGAACTAGATTTCGTTTTTGGTGTCAGTAACAGAGATGTCACTTTGGAAGATCTGCTCCAACTACCACTTCTCGAGCGTGTCATCAAGGAAACTTTGAGAATTTTTCCCGTGGCTCCGTTAGTTGGAAGGTACTTAACCAAAGACATTGTGTTGGGTAAGTTCTAGAATTTTTCGTCTGCAGGAACTAATCGATGTTTTATTTTAGAAAATGTTGTTCTTCCACAAGGCAGTACTGTTTATGTACCCATTATCTGTGTCCATCGAGACGGAAATTTGTGGCCGGAGCCTCTCAAATTCGACCCTGATAGATTTCTGCCAAGCGAAGTGGCCAAAAGGCACCCTTTTTCCTATTTTCCGTTCAGCGGAGGTCCTAGAAAATGTCTGGGTCCTAGGTATGCCATGATGGCTATCACAACAGTTTTGGCGACAATCCTGAGACACTATAAAGTTGCGGAAACTGGATTTGGTGAAATTTCTGAAATAGAAATGAAACTTGATGTTTCTGGTAGGTGTGTTAAAGGCCAAAATGTTAAATTAGAAAAAAGGTCTGTTGAAATGTAATATATGGTTAATAGAGTTTTTACCCAATACATTCGTGTTTTGTTTCTTTCGTTCTACCATCACCTGCCATTTTTTGAAATCTTGAAATCGAGATGAAACAACTTTTGTGGTGAAGCTAAAATTAATATTGCGAACAAATATGTTTCACCAAGTATTTACGTCTATCAGCTGTCAGAATTATTGATAGATTCTCCTGAAAAATGAATGACAGATATGTCGTTTTTGTAATGAAACTCTTGGTAATAACCTTTTTAATTATAGAGAGGATAAATAGAGAGACACAAAGACGAGAAAGTTTGACCCGAACCGTTAAAATGGAACCCTGACAGATTCCTCCCAAGTGTAGTTGTTAAAAAATAATAAGATTTTGGCAAATGACATACCCTCTAAGAAACGAGAGGGTGGGTGGGCGGGGCTAGTACCTGCTAAGATAAGACTAATTTTGGCAGATGATATACCCTCTAAGAAACGAGAGGGTGGGTGGGCGGGGCTAATATCTGTTAAAATAAGACCGATTTTGGCAAATGACACATCGACATATTAGAAGAATAAGAACAGAAAAATAGAGTAAAATACAGTGATAAAACACAGGGTGTTTATTTGAGAAAACTGAAATATGGATATTTGAAAATTGTGGAGTTTAAAATTTGCATTTAGTAAGATCAATCTGATCTTAGCAAGTACTAGCCCCGCTCATCTGCCCTTTATTTCCTTTTTCTTTATTTATCATTGGATAAAAATTGCAAGACAGACTTTAAAAATAACCCTATTGCGATTTTTTTATGAGCCGCTTCATTAACAACAAAGCTAAAGAAAATTGAAATATATTATACAATTTTTATTTTTAGCCAAAATTCTGGATGCCATGGACTCAACACGGATTTTATACTCCTAAAATTTTAAGAACGTTTATTATCGGAAAAATTGGAAGATTACGACATCATTTTTTATTTATTATGCTTCCTACAACGTTTGCAAGATTTGAGAGCATTCGGCTCTGAAATTTCGAAGTTAAATTGTAAAATAATGGTGTTATACAACTGTTTTTATTTATCATTTAGTAGCGGACCTAGAAATTGTATAGGTACTGGAGAGTGTGAGGTACAGCCTTCGATATAGTGTAAATTAGCAGCTTTGTTTTAGAGACGCTTCGGTATTTTTCGCAAAATTTGGTGTTTTAAGAAACGTTTTAGTTGCATAGATTTCTACTCAAACGATAGAATCAAATGGAAAATTTATAAAAACAGCGTAATAACAAGTATTGAATGAATAAATTTGTTCAACATTCTGGACTATAATTACCGAATAGTAACCTTGATAGTGTCTACTAAAGCCTACTCAAGTTTATTGCAAAACAATTTGCTTTTATAGTCTTTGCCATTTCTATTGAAACACCACTTGTTAATCGTAAATTTGACAACATTCATATTCAGACAATTTTCTAACTAAAAGACGTTGTCAATCAACCGAAAGCTGTCACCAATTGCTAAATTTTAAGCAAAATCAACAGGTGGTGTTTCAATAGAAATGGCAAAGACGATATATGTTTATTCCGAATTAACAGTTGCTAATTAATTATTTAAACGTACCTGATAGTTAAGTGCAGTCGTAAATTTTCGGAAACGTGTCTAACAATAAAAAATAAAATAAAAGCCTGCTTAAAATAATGATTGATGAATATATTCAAGATGTCTACATTATTCTCGGTTTTTGCCTTTCTTACTTTTTTCTTTCAAGAATGTGGCGAAGAAGACGTCTTTACTACTACGCGTCTAAAGTGAAAGGACCCATTTCACTTCTGTTTCTTGGAAGCTCGTATGTTTTTTTGGAGGAACTCAAAGTGCGTATTCACATTTCCCTCCAAGAAATATTTTCTTTTAACTATATCGTCATTGCAGACATTTTTGAAGCTTTTATCCGTTTGAACAGAAAATACGAACACATGTATAAGCTTTGGTTGGGTGACGAGTTATGTTTTGTCGTCAGCAAGCACGAAGACGTACGTGTGGTTTTAAAGAATGCCATAGAGAAGTTACCGAGTTATAAACTTATGACTCCTGTTTTCGGAAATGGACTTATCACCTTGCCAGGTCAGTGAGACACATATTTTTAAATGTGCTCAATTTAGCTTATTAGGTGATGAATGGAAAATGCATCGAAAATTTCTAAATGTTGCATTTAATCAACAAATCTTGAATTCCTTCATGGGGACTTTTGCGAGCTACTCAAACACACTTATAGGTAAACTAGAAGTAGAAGCAGGAAACGATTTGTTTGATTTGGTCCCCATTCTAAGTCGATATACTTTGGATGTTGTTGCTGGTAAAAGTAAACTACTTTATTCCAACTAACTTATAAATAATTGTAGATACAATTCTGGGGGTGAAACTTAACACTATAAACCAAAAAGGACACAATCTGATTGCATGGACCTCGCGGTACCCATTATTCCTACAACGTCTTTGTTAAATAATTGTTCTTGCATAGCTTTAGCTTTAATAATGTTCTTGAATAGTTTTCATGATGCATGTTCTAGACTGTCGAAAATAAAAGATCTGAGAAGTTGAAAACTTCTGAAAATAATCCAAACAAGCATACTTTTTTGGAACATGTATTTAAACTGGAAGATGTTGAAAACATGTGGAGCAAAGAAATGTCTGTTGCAGAAACTCAAACGGTTTTAGTAGCAGGTGGTGACACAACATCTCTGACGACCGGTTATGTTCTTATGATGTTAGGAATGCATCAAGACATACAGGTTTATCTTGTACAATGATTATTTAAAGTACAGTTCAATTTTTAGAACAAAACTTACGAAGAATTGCTTTGTGTATTTGGCGACAGTCAACGAGAAGTCTCTCTGGAAGATTTACACCAGTTGACGTATCTTGAACGTGTTATTAAAGAAACTTTGAGACTTTTCCCTATAGGTCCCGTATTGGGGAGACATTTAACCAGCAATCTTGTTTTAGGTGCTATGATGTTTCTCAAATTTGCCGCTGCTAATTTATTTTTTTACTAGGAGACTATATTTGTCCGAAAGGCAGTTCCATTTTGATTCCTATAATAGCTATCCATAGAGATGAGAAAGTGTGGCCTGAACCGTTAAAATTTAACCCTGACAGATTCCTCCCGAGTGAGATATCCAAACGGCATCCATGTTCTTTTTTATCGTTTAGTAGTGGACCTAGAAATTGTATCGGCTTTAGATTTGCAACGATGGCTATAAAAACCGTTCTTACAACGGTTTTGAGACACTACAAAGTTGTGGAAACTGAATACAGTTCAATTTCTGAGATACCACTAAAGATGGATGTTGCAACAAAGTGTGTCAACGGCCAAAATGTTAAATTACAGAAAATATTACAACAATAAATTCTTGCTTTTATTACTGACTTTATAATGCGTGCAAAGGAGGTACGGTTTTATTAAAAGTGACAAATGTAGACCTTCGAATAAATGTATTTTATCTATGTAGGTAGTATTTTTATTTTTTACAAAAGGTTGACACAAATTTTAAAGTTTTTATTTGATTTACATGCAATTACTCTTCAACTTTATCATTTCGATAACCACAGCAAGAAAGTAAGAAATTAAAACCATTAGTGGTCACGATGGTAAACGAACATGTTCAAAGATTTTACCTTGCAACCGCCATATGTCTTGTGGTTTTTCTTCTACTAAGAACTTGGAAAAGAAGACATATTTACTACTGTGCAGCTAAAATTAAAGGACCTCTTGCACTTCCATTAATTGGAAGTGCTTATGTCTTATTGGGTCACACTCAAGGTAAGTATGGTCGTACAATTTTTTTTTTTTTTTGATTCTGAAAGTATCTCAGAGATATTGGAAACTTTAATTCGTCTAAGCAACAAGTACGGTACCCTTTTCAAATTTTGGGCGGGCAGTGATCTGAGCTTTTTCGCTTCGAAACCCGAAGAAGTGCAAATCATTCTCACGAGTTGTTCGGAAAAATACCAGGACATAAAATACTTGAATCCAGTTTTTGGGAAAGGTCTCCTCACATTACCAGGTTAGTGAGAAATTTACTCGGTCACGTTTCGTTTTATTATTTGTGGTTAGCCCCAGAGTGGAAAATACACCGAAAATTATTACGAGGGACTTTCAGTCACGAAGTTTTGAATTCGTTTGTGAAGACTTACGTGGTTTATTCTAACATTATGGTGGAAAAACTTGAAGAGACTCTTGGTAAAGGTTTAATCGATGTGTTCCCGCTTTTTTCTCTGTGTATGACGGATATTCTTTGCGGTAAAAATAAAAACGGAAATCGAAATGTGATTAATCCTTGCATTATAGATACAATGATGGGTGTTCAAGTTAACACAATGAAGGAAAATGGGTACAATTTAATATTACAAACAGCCAGGTAGTTTTTTTCTATTGTGGTTCCGAACAATTGTGTTCAACGATAATGGTTTTCCAGACTAGGAGAGCTAGGTTCTTTGCGTACGGTCAATCCCTTGCTTCATCCAGACATTTTGTGGAACCGAACTTCTATGTCTAAAGAAACACGTACAATACTGGAAGAGGTTCAACAATTCATTAAAAAAGTAGGTCAATGCCACCGCAGTGGTACAAATTTTACACCACGCAATTTGTTTAGATCGTCGAAACTAAGAGGCTTGAAAAAGCACAAAATGTCGCTTGTGTGTCTCAAAAACCCATTTTGTTGAATCGCATGCTAGAATTAGAAGACACTGAAAAAATATGGGACGAACAAATGTCACTTGAAGAAACTCAAGCAGTTCTAGTGGCAGGTGCTGACGCGACAACTCTGACTTTAGGTTACGTCCTCATGATGCTAGGGATGCACCAAGAAATACAGGTTCTTTTTGCAATCATGTAACCAAAGCTTCAAATCCAAATTTCAGACACAAGTACACCAAGAACTAGATTTCGTTTTTGGTATCAGTAACAGAGACGTCACTTTGGAAGATCTGCTCCAACTACAACTTCTCGAGCGTGTCATCAAGAAAACTTTGAGAATTTTCCCCGTGGCTCCGTTAGTTGGAAGGTACTTAACCAAAGACATTGTGTTGGGTAAGTTCTAGAATTTTTCGTCTGCAGGAACTAATCGATGTTCTATTTTAGAAAATGTTGTTCTTCCAGAAGGCAGTACTGTTTATATCCCCATTATCTGTGTCCATCGAGACGGAAATTTGTGGCCGGAGCCTCTCAAATTCGACCCTGATAGATTTCTGCCAAGCGAAGTGGCCAAAAGGCACCCTTTTTCCTATTTTCCGTTCAGCGGAGGTCCTAGAAAATGTCTGGGTCCTAGGTACGCCATGATGGCTATTACAACAGTTTTGGCGACAATCCTGAGACACTATAAAGTTGTGGAAACTGGATTTGGTGAAATTTCTGAAATAGAAATGAAACTTGATGTTTCTGGTAGGTGTGTTAAAGGCCAAAATGTTAAATTAGAAAAAAGATTTGTTGAACTGTAACATATGGTTAATACAGTTTTTGCCCAATACATTCTTTGTTTCTACCATCACTTGCCATTTTTTGAAATCTCGAAATTGAGATTTAGCAGCTTTTGAGGTGAAGCTAATTGAATTAGAAGAATTACTGAAAGATTCTGCTATGTTCAAACCATTAAGTTGTTACTAAAGGAAAACTTGATGAGGCAATCACATTTCTATTTACTGTTAGAGCCAGTGTTAGAAGACGTGACAATCACGTAGAAAAAATGGATGACGAAAATTGTTTTTGGGTACGTTTTGGTTATGTAATGAAACCGTTGGAAATAATTTTTTTAATTATAAAGAGCATAAGTGGAAGGTACGAACTCATAAATCAGGTTTGACTAACTATAAAGTGCGTCAAAGCTCAAAGAGTACACTGATCTATATTAATATATTCTGAAATTAACTAACTGGTTTCTTGGACATGGTACCGTTTTCTATATTACGTAATTATTATTATTATTATTTTAATATAAAAGATAACAACAGTTAATCCTACAAGTAATATCTTAAAATGTTGGATGTTTACGTCGCTGTTAGAGTTCTTCTTACTGGAACTATCACGTACCTTCTTTACGTTTTTTTACAAACCTGTTGGAACAAAGAGGTGCAGTTTTATTAAAAAAGTAAATGTAGAACTAGGCACAATTAGTATTGTTATTATGTCAATAGATTTTATTTTTGGTGGCAGCTAAAAGGACTTCACCTTTCTCGATTATCACTTCCAATAAGTGTTATTAAAGAAACCTTGTATCTTTTTTGCCTTTGTTCCAACTGAATATGGTGAAGTTTCTGAGACAGAAAAGAAACTCGTGGCGAAAATATTAAGAGATAAAGAAAAATCTCTAAGTTTTGAAGGATAATAAAAACATATTTTTCCGACAGTGATAGCAATGACAGCAACAAAAATACGTTGTTAGTCACCATTTAGTTGAAGACCTAGAACTTGAAAAGAATCTAGACGGAGATTTCCTTGACCCATTTTCCTGTTTCATGCAGGCTATTCCATGTCATAAATATTTCTGCCGTACAGTTAATTTAATACGATTTCATCTCCTCCCTCCACTGCGTCTGCATCTCTTTGGTTGCTGCTGCTACCTGCCAGTTAATTATATTTCGTCTTTTTGTGAGTGAACAAGCGGATTTATTTATCTTGATGCTACACGGTTTTGTGGACAGTGTAACGTACACCTTCGACATTTTTGGAAATTAGCAGCTTTGTTTTAGAGACGCTTCGGTATTTGGAAAATTTATAAAAACACCATAAATTGGTACAAGTTGTGAGTGAATAATTTTTTTCAACGTTTTAAATAATTATTGCTGAATATGCGTTTAACCTTGATACTGTCGAGTAAAGCTTACTCATATTTATTGCAAAATAAGTGTATTATTTTGCTTTAACAAGTTTGTTACAAGTTCGTCGTTAATTAATTATTCAAACATACATAACAACTAAGTGCAGTGGTAAATTTCGGGAAACGTGTTTAATTATAAAAAAATAAAATAAAATTCTGCTAAATATAATGATTGGCGAATATATTCAAGATGTTTACATTATTCTCGGTTTTTGCCTTTCGTACTTTTTTCTTTCGAGAATGTGGAGAAGAAGACGCCTTTACTACTACGCGTCTAAAGTGAAAGGACCCATTTCACTTCCGTTTTTTGGAAGCTCGTATGTTTTTTTTGGAGGAACTCAAAGTGCGTATTCACATTTCCCCCAAGAAATATTTTCTTTTAACTATATTGTTATTACAGAAATTTTTGAAGCTTTTATCAGTTTGAACAGAAAATACGGACACATGTATAAGCTTTGGTTGGGTGACGAGTTATGTTTTGTCGTCAGCAAACACGAAGACGTACGTGTGGTTTTAAAGAATGCCATAGATAAGTTACCGAGTTATAAATTTTTGATTCCTGTTTTCGGAGATGGACTTATCACTTTACCAGGTCAGTGAGACACATATTTTTAAATTAGCTCAATTTTGCCTATTAGGTGATGAATGGAAAATGCATCGAAAATTTCTAAATGTTGCATTTAATCAACAAATCTTGAATTCCTTCATGGGGACTTTTGCGAGCCACTCAAACACACTTATAGGTAAACTAGAAGTAGAAGCAGGAAACGATTTGTTTGATTTGGTCCCCATTCTAAGTCGATATACTTTGGATGTTGTTGCTGGTAAAAGTAAACTACTTTATTCCAACTAACTTATAAATAATTGTAGATACAATTCTGGGGGTGAAACTTAACACTATAAACCAAAAAGGACACAATCTGATTGCATGGACCTCGCGGTAGCCCTTATTTCTTCAACGTTGTTTTAAAATAATTGTTTTTGCAGACTTTCAGAACTGGCCGCTATTCGAATGGCGAATCCTCTTCTTCAACCAGACTTTTTGTGGAAGAAGACATCCATGGCCAAAGAGACTAAAATTTTGTCGGAGAAAGTCCACGACTTTATTAGAACAGTATTTAGCTGGAATAGTCGTTTAAGTAGTTTTCACAATGCATGTTTTAGACTGTCGAAAATAAAAGATCTGAAAAGCTGAAAACTTCTGAAAATAATCCAAACAAGCATACTTTTTTGGAACATGTATTTAAACTGGAAGATGTTGAAAACATGTGGAGCAAAGAAATGTCTGTTGCAGAAACTCAAACGGTTTTAGTAGCAGGTGGTGACACAACATCTCTGACGATCGGTTATGTTCTTATGATGTTAGGAATGCATCAAGACATACAGGTTTATCTTGTACAATGCTTATTTAAAGTACAGTTCAATTTTTAGAACAAAACTTACGAAGAATTGGTTTGTGTTTTTGGCGACAGTCAACGAGAAGTCTCTCTGGAAGATTTACACCAGTTGACGTATCTTGAACGTGTTATTAAAGAAACTTTGAGACTTTTCCCTATAGGTCCCGTATTGGGGAGACATTTAACCAGCGATCTTGTTTTAGGTGCTATGATGTTTCTCAAATTTTCCGCTGCTAATTTATTTTTTTACTAGGAGACTATATTTGTCCGAAAGGCAGTTCTATTTTGATTCCTATAATATCTGTCCACAGAGATGAGAAAGTGTGGCCTGAACCGTTAAAATTTAACCCTGACAGATTCCTCCCGAGCGAGATATCCAAACGACATCCATGTTCTTATTTATCGTTTAGTATTGGACCTAGAAATTGTATAGGCTTTAGATTTGCAACGATGGCTATAAAAACCGTTCTGGCGACGGTTTTGAGACACTACAGAGTTGTGGAAACTGAGTACAGTTCGATTTCTGAAATACAACTGAAGACTGATGTTGCAACAAAGTGCGCCACCGGCCAGAATGTTAAATTACAAAAAAGATTTCAACAATAATTGCTTGCCGTTTTTACTGTCTTGATAACATGTTATAGTAAAAGCCGATTAATGTAGGCTTTCAAATGTAATTAAAATACAAATTGTTCAAGTCTTTTAGCTGTTTTGAATGCAATCAAACTTTTTATCATCTAGATAACAATATTCCCTCTATTTCTATTTGTAAGCGCAACCAAATAAGGCATTAATTAATGAAACCATTAGTTGTCACGTTGCCAAAAATTCATGTTCATGTTCAAAATGTTTGCCTTGCAACCGCTATATGTCTTGTAATTTTTCTTCTTCTAAGAACTTGGAAAAGAAGATATATTTACTACCGCGCAGCTAAAGTTAAGGGACCTTTTCCACTCCCGGTAATTGGAAGTACTTATGTTTTATGGGGCCACACTCAAGGTAGGTACGGTCATATAATTTCTCTTGATCATGAAAGTCTCTCAGACCTCTTGGAAGGTTTAATTCGTCTAAATAAAAAATATGGTTCTCTTTACAAATTTTGGACAGGAACTAAGCTGTGCTTTTTCGCTTCTAAACCCGAAGAAGTGCAAATCGTTCTCAACAGTTGCGCCGAAAAATATCAAGATATGAAATACTTGAATCCAGTTTTTGGAAAAGGTCTCCTCACTTTACTAGGTTAGTGAGACATTTGTTCGATCACGTTTCGTTTTATTATTTGTGGTTAGCCCCAGAGTGGAAAATACACCGAAAGCTGTTACGGGGGACTTTCAGTCAAGAGATTTTGAATTCGTTTGTGAAGACTTACGTGGTTTATTCTAACATTATGGTGGGAAAACTTGAAGAAAGTCTTGGTAAAGGTTTGGTTGATGTGTTCCCGTTTTTTTCGCTATGTATGACGGATATTCTTTGCGGTAAAAACGAAAACGGAAATCGAAATGTGATTAATCGTTGCATTTTAGATACAATGATGGGTGTTCAAGTTAACACAATGAAGGAAAATGGGTACAATTTAATATTACAAACAGCCAGGTACTTTTTTTATTGTGGTTCCGAACAATTGTGTTCAACGATAATGGTTTTCCAGACTAGGAGAGCTAGGTTGTTTGCGTACGGCCAATCCTTTGCTTCATCCAGACATTTTGTGGAATCGAACTTCTCTGTCTAAAGAAACACGTACAATACTGGAAGAGGTTCAACAATTTATTAAAAAAGTAGGTCAATGCCACCGCATTGGTACAAATTTTACACCACGCAATTTGTTTAGATCGTTGATACTAAGAGGCTGGAGAAAGCAAAAAACGTCGCTTGTGCGTCTCAAAAACCCATTTTGTTGAATCGAATGCTAGAATTAGAAGACACTGAAAAAATATGGGACGAACAAATGTCACTTGAAGAAACTCAAGCAGTTCTAGTGGCAGGTGCCGACGCAACAACTCTGACTTTAGGTTACGTCCTCATGATGCTAGGGATGCACCAAGAAATACAGGTTCTTTTAGCAATCATGTAACCAAAGCTTCAAATCCAAATTTCAGACACAAGTACACCAAGAACTAGATTTCGTTTTTGGTGTCAGTAACAGAGATGTCACTTTGGAAGATCTGCTCCAACTACCACTTCTCGAGCGTGTCATCAAGGAAACTTTGAGAATTTTTCCCGTGGCTCCGTTAGTTGGAAGGTACTTAACCAAAGACATTGTGTTGGGTAAGTTCTAGAATTTTTCGTCTGCAGGAACTAATCGATGTTTTATTTTAGAAAATGTTGTTCTTCCAGAAGGCAGTACTGTTTATATCCCCATTATCTGTGTCCATCGAGACGGAAATTTGTGGCCGGAACCTCTCAAATTCGACCCTGATAGGTTTCTGCCAAGCGAAGTGGCCAAAAGGCACCCTTTTTCCTATTTTCCGTTCAGCGGAGGTCCTAGAAAATGTCTGGGTCCTAGGTACGCCATGATGGCTATCACAACAGTTTTGGCGACAATCCTGAGACACTATAAAGTTGTGGAAACTGGATTTGGTGCAATTTCTGAAATAGAAATGAAACTTGATGTTTCTGGTAGGTGTGTTAAAGGCCAAAATGTTAAATTAGAAAAAAGGTTTGTTGAACTGTAACATATGCTTAATACAGTTTTTGCCCAATACATTTGTGATTTATTTCTTTGGTTCTGCCATTACTTGACATTTTTTGAAATCTCGAAATTGAGATTTAGCAGCTTTTGTGGTGAAGCTAATTGAATTAGAAAAATTACTGAAATATTCTGCTATTCTCAAACCATATAAGTTGTTACCAGAGGAAATCTTGATGAGGCAATCACATTTCTATTTACTGTTAGAGCCAGTGTTAGAAGACGTGACAATCACGTAGAAAAAATGGAAGACGAAAATTCTTTTGGGTACGTTTTGGTTATGTAATGAAACCCTTTGAAATTATTTTTTTAATTATAGAGAGCATAAGTGAAAGGTACGAACTCATAAGTTAGGTTTGACGTAGCTATAAAGTGCGTCAAAGCTCAAAGAATACACTTAGATAATATACTAAAATATACTGAAATTAACTAACTGGTTTCTTGGACATTGTGCCGTTTTCTATTAAGTAATAATTATTTTTTTTTCTTTTTAATATAAAAGGTAACAACAGTTTGTTAATCCTACAAGTAATATCTTAAAATGTTGGATGTTTACGTCGCTGTTAGAGTTCTTCTTACTGGAACTTTCACGTATCTTCTTTGCGTCTTTTTACAAGCATGTTGGAACAAAAGACGTTTGTACTACTGTGCGTCGAAAGTGAAAGGACCTTTGGCATTTCCGGTTATTGGGAGCGCATACCTATTTTTTGGAGGAACTCAAAGTTAGTATCCAGCCACATTCAAAAGTATTTTTAAGCAAGTTGAAGTTTTGTAGACATTTTTGAAAATTTCATTCGTTTGGGTAAAAAATATGGGTACACGTATAAACTTTGGTTGGGTAATAGATTATATTTTGTCGTCAGTAAACCCGAAGACGTACAAATGGTTTTAAACAGCACTGTAGACAGACTGTCAAATATTAAATTTTTGATTCCAGCTTTTGGAAATGGACTGCTTACTTTACCAGGTAAGTGAGAAACAAATATTTAAACAAGCTAAATTTTCTCTGTAAGGTGATGAATGGAAATCACATCGAAAACTTCTGAATGTCGCATTTAATCAAAAAATCTTGAATAGTTTCGTGGGGACATTTGCCAGCTATTCAAACGTGCTGGTTGATAAACTAGAAGCAGAAGCAGATGACAACTTTTTTGACTTGGTGCCTATTTTAACTCGTTGTACTGTGGATATTCTTATCGGTATGACAGTACTAATTGATTAAAACTCTCTTAAAGAAATTTCAGGTACAACAATGGGTGTCAATCTTAACATCATGAAAGGCGGAGGGCACAATTTAATTTCGTGGACTTCGCGGTAGCTATTAATTATTTAACGTTTGTTTTAACTCAAGTGCGTTGTAGACTTTCAGAGTTGGCCGTTTTACGAATGGCAAAACCTCATTTTCAACCAGAGTTTCTATGGAAGCGGATGTCCATGGCTAAAGAGAGTAAAATTCTATCAGAAAAAGTCCATAACTTTATCAAAAGGGTATTATTTCTATGACTTTATCTTGAAGTTGCTTTTTATGACACATCTTTTAGATTGTTGAAATGAAAAGATCTGAAACGGCGCAAAACGTTGAACTCAGTGGGACTAAGCGTATCTTTTTAGAACAATTACTTAAGTTGGAAGATAGCGAAGCTATGTGGAATAGAGAAACGTCCATTGAAGAAACTCAGACTATTTTAGTTACAGGCAGTGACTCAACAGCTGTGACGATTGGTTTTGTTCTTATGATGTTAGGAATGCATCAGGATATACAGGTTTATTCTGTATTTGTACAATATTTATTTAAAATTCACTTCAATTTTAGAACAAAACTTACGAAGAATTGGTTTGTGTATTTGGTGACAGTCAACGAGAAGTCTCTCTGGAAGATTTACACCAGTTGACGTATCTTGAACGTGTTATTAAAGAAACTTTGAGACTCTTCCCTATAGGTCCCGTGTTGGGGAGACATTTAACCAGCGATCTCGTTTTAGGTACTATGATGTTTCTCAAATTTGCCGCTGCTAATTTATTTTTTTACTAGGAGACTATGTTTGTCCGAAAGGCAGTTCCATTTTGATTCCTATAATAGCTATCCACAGAGATGGGAAAGTGTGGCCTGAACCGTTAAAATTTAAACCTGACAGATTCCTCCCGAATGAGATATCCAAACGGCATCCATGTTCTTTTTTATGGTTTAGTAGTGGACCTAGAAATTGTATAGGCTTTAGATTCGCAACGATGGCTATAAAAACCGTTCTGGCAACGGTTTTGAGACACTACAGAGTTGTGGAAACTGAATACAGTTCAATTTCTGAGATACAACTGAAGATGGATGTTGCAACAAAGTGTGTCAACGGCCAAAATGTTAAATTACAGAAAAGATTACAACAATAAATTCTTGCTTTTATTACTGCTTTATAATGCGTGCAAAGGAGGTACGGTTTTATTAAAAGTGACAAATGTAGACCTTCGAATAAATGTATTTTATCTATGTAGGTAGTATTTTTATTTTTTACAAAAGGTTGACACAAATTTTAAAGTTTTTATTTGATTTACATGCAATTACTCTTCAACTTTATCATTTCGATAACCACAGCAAGAAAGTAAGAAATTAAAACCATTAGTGGTCACGATGGTAAACGAACATGTTCAAAGTTTTTGCCTTGCAACCGCCATATGTCTTGTGGTTTTTCTTCTACTAAGAACTTGGAAAAGAAGACATATTTACTACTGTGCAGCTAAAATTAAAGGACCTCTTGCACTTCCATTAATTGGAAGTGCTTATGTCTTATGGGGTCACACTCAACGTAAGTATGGTCATACAATTTTTTTTTTTTTTGATTCTGAAAGTATCTCAGAGTTATTGGAAACTTTAATTCGTCTAAGTAACAAGTACGGTACCCTTTACAAATTTTGGGAGGGCAGTGATCTGAGCTTTTTCGCTTCGAAACCCGAAGAAGTGCAAATCATTCTCACGAGTTGTTCAGAAAAATACCAGGCCATAAAATACTTGAATCCAGTTTTTGGGAAAGGTCTCCTCACATTACCAGGTTAGTGAGAAATTTACTCGGTCACGTTTCGTTTTATTATTTGTGGTTAGCCCCAGAGTGGAAAATACACCGAAAATTATTACGAGGGACTTTCAGTCACGAAATTTTGAATTCGTTTGTTAAGACTTACGTGTTTTATTCTAACATTATGGTGGAAAAACTTGAAGAGACTCTTGGTAAAGGTTTGATCGATGTGTTCCCGCTTTTTTCTCTATGTATGACGGTTATTCTTTGCGGTAAAAATAAAAACGGAAATCGAAATGTGATTAATCGTTCCATTTTAGACACAATGATGGGTGTTCAAGCTAACACAATGAAGGAAAATGGGTACAATTTAATACTACGAACAGCTAGGTACTTTTTTTATTGTAGTTCCGAACAATAACGAACAATGTGTTCAACGATAATGGTTTTCCAGATTAGGAGAACTAGGTTCTTTGCGTACGGCCAATCTCTTGCTTTATCCAGATATTTTGTGGAATCGAACTTCTATGTCTAAAGAAACACACACAATACTAGAAGAGGTTCAACAATTTATTAAAAAAGTAGGTCAATGCCACCGCAGTAGTACAAATTTTACACCACGCAATTTGTTTAGATCGTCGAAACTAAGAGGCTTGAAAAAGCAAAAAATGTCGCTTGTGCGTCTCAAAAACCCATTTTGTTGAATCGCATGCTAGAATTAGAAGACACTGAAGAAATGTGGGACGAACAAATGTCACTTGAAGAGACTCAAACAGTTCTAGTGGCAGGTGCCGACGCAACAACTCTGACTTTAGGTTACGTCCTCATGATGCTAGGGATGCACCAAGAAATTCAGGTTCTTTTTGCAATCATGTAACCAAAGCTTCAAATCTACATTTTAGACACAAGTACACCAAGAACTAGATTTCGTTTTTGGTGTTAGTAACAGAGACGTCACTTTGGAAGATCTGCTCCAACTACAACTTCTCGAGCGTGTTATCAAGGAAACTTTGAGAATTTTCCCCGTGGCCCCGTTAGTTGGAAAGTACTTAACCAAAGACATTGTGTTGGGTAAGTTCTAGAATTTTTCGTCTGCAGGAACTAATCGATGTTCTATTTTAGAAAATGTTGTTCTTCCAGAAGGCAGTACTGTTTATATCCCCATTATACTTATGTGTCCATCGAGACGGGAATTTGTGGCCGGAGCCTCTGAAATTCGACCCTGATAGGTTTCTGCCAAGCGAAGTGGCCAAAAGGCACCCTTTTTCCTATTTTCCTTTCAGCGGAGGTCCTAGAAAATGTCTGGGTACTAGGTATGCCATGATGGTTATGACAACCGTATTGGCGACAATTTTGAGGCACTACAAAGTTGTGGAAACTGGATATGGTGAAATTTCTGACGTAGAAATGAAAATTGATGTTTCTGCTAAATGTGTCAAAGGTCAAAATGTTAAATTGGAGAAAAGGCTGTGTTAAAGTGTAACATATTCTTAATACAGTTTTTAGTGAATAGGGTCGTGTTTTATTTTTTCTAACAAAAATGCAATGCATAAATTTTAATCGTTAAATATATTTGAATAATTTACAGAGTTTAAAATTACAAACATTATTATAGTTGTTTGTTGTTGTTATAAATTTCGTTACTAATAAAACTGTAATAACATAAAAAAAATTAGTGCAGTCGACACGGTAACGAGCGAATAATTTGAATATCGTAATATACGATGAGTTTTGACGTGGCTTTTTATTGTGTTTGTTGTTATCGACGTATAAACTTTAATTGAAATAAAGACAACAAAATGTTATACTAGAAAAAAGATCGTTGTAAAATGATAAAGTTTTAATGCGTCAGCGATAATATAAAAAACACTTAAAACTAAAATTATAATCAGTCAAGTGTTATTCGTATTCTGGAACCAAAACACGCCCCTCGAAGAGCACAATGTCGTTGATTTTTATATAAAACATAAACGGGTGGTCAGCTACGAAAAACTTAGTCGCTGGTGGAGGCAAACTATCATTACCCTCTACAATCAAAAGATTACATCACCAACTTCCACAACTCCGAACTTACCAATCTCGGTAGCCGCCGCCGCCTCAACTCCAATTTCATTCACATCAATATAAGTCTTCTGTTTAGCTTGACCAATAAAAAGCTCCCCTTGCTCTCCAGCGATTCCACTGAAGTCAGCTTCCACAAAATCAAACGCTTTTTGAACCCCCAGCTACGACACAAACATGTATTTTGACAAACTTGACACGAACCCACCTTTTGTAGAACATCCTTGAAGTTAATAGTACTCTCGATTTTGAACTTTGGCAACACGACTTGAACAAACTCTTGCGTGTACTTTGGAGTAATCAAAGCCTTCTCGATTTGTCGTTCCAAAAGCGCGATTCCGTCTTTCTGGTTTGGTAGCACGAAAGTCATGGTAGCCTCCTCCCCTTGGAACGGAATTTCCAAAATTTGGGCATCTAGTTCGTCACTAGCGTAATAGTTCAGCTGCTCCGATTCCTTATACATGGACAAAGCATCAACGGTACTATCAAGACTAGTAAAAAACTTAGTTTTGTTGGTGAAGACTGGATCAAAAGGTATCGTCCAGTTTCCTTGGAAGTACAAAGCGTTAACCAAGACGATTTTCGTACTACCATCAAGATCGTCAGGTTTCACCAGTTCGTGAATCTTGTCACCCGTATTGTCCTCAACCCATTTATTAATCTCAGCAGCTGCCTCTTCGCTGTCCCCGAACTCGATATTTTGAAAATCGGCCTGATAAACCTCTTTTGCCACTTTTTGGAAATCGTCTTTGATTGCGTAGTTGTTTTCGACGAAGATTTTGTTAGCTGTGGTTAAAGCAATGTAGTCGCTGTGGACAGTTGGAAGGACGGCTCGGATGGCATTCTCGGTTTCTTCTTTGGTGTCTGGGAGGTGAAGGGCGGCTCTGATTTCGTCACCGGTGGCACCTTGGGCTCCCGATTGGGTTAGAGCGACGATGGTTTCGGCCGAAAAAGGGCTAACCACGATGTTGGCAGTGCTTTCGGAGAGAAGTTGCTAGGGACGAGTGTAAGTGGAAGGAAATTGGCAAGTCGGTACTTACAGTGTAGACGTCGCCAGTGAAGAGTCTGCTTCCGGTTGTGAATTCGTCGATTTGACTATCGTCAGCTAGTGCTGCTGCTAGAGCGACGACGAAATAGAAGAGGGTGTGCATTTTCGACGTAGTTCTTGTGTTAGATGACTAAATACAAGTGTCTAGATTGCGGGTTATTTATACAAGATCTAATCTGTTATCACTGGTGGTCGTCATTTTCAGATAGCATACTCAATTAGTGGAAACGTTGTAGTACCTTATCAAAATTAATTTTTGTGTTTAGCTGTCAAACCCGTTTTTACTTTGACGATGATGGTATCAACTTTCGACAGTCAAACCAAACTTGAAGAAATGCTTTTATTTACAACAATTTACATTCTAATATCTAACGCGCCTTCCCACGAACACAATTATCCCTTTGTATTTAATATAGAATAGAAATGGATGGTCGGCCACGACGTTGTGCTCCTCAGTAACTCTCAATTCCACCGAAGTATCTGAAAAAACCCGAATTACTACCACAAACCACAACTGAGAAAACCGTGCTAGAATAATAATCCTAGACCGCTTTCCCACTAAATCCCTACCAGTTGCGATTTACAAACCAACAATAGCTTCCACTCCAGTCTCGTCAGCTTTTATGTAAGAACTTTGCAGAATTCTGTTGGCTCGTAGCTCCCCGGGAACACCTGCCATTCCACTCAAATCAGCACTGTTGCTCCAGATGTTTTGCACCCCAAGCTAAAACCGAACCTAACCTTATTTTCCAAAGCTGCCACTAACTTACCGTCTTCAGAGGAGTTTCCAGAAGAGTGCGCTCAATCTTGAAGCTTGCCGTGGGAAGCGACACTTGCACATACTTTTGACCGAAATCCGTGGTAGCCAAAACCTTATCGATTTGCTTTTCGAGCTCAACGAGGCCGTCTCTGGCGTTTGGAAGCACTATGGTGAAAGTGGTACTCCCGTCGTCAAAAGGCAGTTCCAAAAATTTGGCATCTAGTTCTTAGCTTTCGAGGTAGTTGTATAGAATCGGACCTTGCGTTTTTCAAATCGAAATTTTTAGAAATCTTCAAAAATTCGCATTCCGTGCCGATTTTTTCGAAAAGGTTGCTCCGTGACCATCAACATGCTATATTTTTGGAATCAGCGTGTCGAGATCTACGTCCCTGAATTTTTTCACAATTTTTAGACAACTTTTTTGAAATTGAAATTTTTTCAATTGTCCCCTTCTTCAAATTTCGGCCAAATTTTGACATTTTCGAAACTTAACTAAATACATTTTCTTGTAGTTTTCGAGCTCTAGAACTCACTTCCGGCTTCGTTTCTTTGATAACTGCAACCGTTTTTCCGGAATCGACCGTTGAAATATCGAAATTTTCAGAAATCTTCAAAAATTCGCATTTCGTAGTGATTTTGTTGAAAATGTTGCTCCGTGACCATCAACATGCAATATGTTTGGAATCAGCATGTCGAGATCTACGTCCCTGAATTTTTTCACAATTTTTAGACAACTTTTTTAAAATTGAAATTTTTCCAATTTTTCTTCAAATTTCGGCCAAATTTTGACATTTTCCAAAACTTAACTAAACACATTTTCTTGTAAATTTCGAGCTCCAGAACCCACTTCCGGCTTCGTTTCTTTGATAACGGCAACCGTTTTTCCGGAATCGACCGTTGAAATATCGAAATTTTCAGAAATCTACAAAAATTCGCATTTCGTAGCGATTTTTTCGAAAATGTTGTTCCGTGACTATCAACATGCTATATTTTTGGAATCAGCATGTCGAGATCTACGTCTCTGAATTTTTTCACAATTTTTAGACAACTTTTTTAAAAGTGAAATTTTTCCAATGGTCCCCCCTTCTTTAAATTTCGGCCAAATTTTGACATTTTCGAAACTTAACTAAATAAATTTTCTTGTAGATTTCGAGCTCCAGAACTCACTTCCGGCTTCGTTTCTTTGATAACTGCAACCGTTTTTCCGGAATCGACCGTTGAAATATCGAAATTTTCAGAAATCTTCAAAAATTCGCATTTCGTAGCGATTTTTTCGAAAATGTTGCTCCGTGACCATCAACATGCTATATTTTTGGAATCAGCATGTCGAGATCTACGTCCCTGAATTTTTTCACAATTTTTAGACAACTTTTTTAAAAGTGAAATTTTTCCAATGGTCCCCCCTTCTTCAAATTTCGGCCAAATTTTGACATTTTCGAAACTTAACTAAACACATTTTCTTGTAGATTTCGAGCTCTAGAACTCACTTCCGGCTTTGTTTCTTTGATAACTGCAACCGTTTTTCCGGAATCGACCGTTGAAATATCGAAATTTTCGGAAATTTTCAGAAATTCGCATTTCGTAGCGATTTTTTCGAAAATGTTGTTCCGTGACTATCAACATGCTATATTTTTGGAATCAGCATGTCGAGATCTACGTCTCTGAATTTTTTCACAATTTTTAGACAACTTTTTTAAAAGTGAAATTTTTCCAATGGTCCCCCCTTCTTTAAATTTCGGCCAAATTTTGACATTTTCGAAACTTAACTAAATACATTTTCTTGTAGATTTCGAGCTCTAGAACTCACTTCCGGCTTCGTTTCTTTGATAACTGCAACCGTTTTTCCGGAATCGACCGTTGAAATATCGAAATTTTCTGAAATTTTCAAAAATTCGCATTTTTTAGCGATTTTTTCGAAAATGTTGCTCCGTGACCATCAACATGTATATTTTTGGAATCAGCATGTCGAGATCTACGTCCTTGAATTTTTTCACAATTTTTAGACAACTTTTTTAAAAGTGAAATTTTTCCAATGGTCCCCCCCTCTTCAAATTTCGGCCAAATTTTGACATTTTCGAAACTTAACTAAATACATTTTCTTGTAGATTTCGAGCTCCAGAACTCACTTCCGGCTTCGTTTCTTGGATAACTGCAACCGTTTTTCCGTAATCGACCGTTGAAATATCGAAATTTTCAGAAATCATCAAAAATTCGCATTTTGTAGTGATTTTTTCGAAAATGTTGTTCCGTGACCGTTAACATGCTATATTTTTGGAATCAGCATGTCGAGATCTACGTCCCTGAATTTTTTCACAATTTTTAGACAACTTTTTTTAAAATGAAATTTTTCCAATGGTCCCCCCTTCTTCAAATTTCGGCCAAATTTTGACATTTTCGAAACTTAACTAAACACATTTTCTTGTAGATTTCGAGCTCCAGAACTCACTTCCGGCTTCGTTTCTTTGATAACTGCAACCGTTTTACCGGAATCGACCGTTGAAATATCGAAATTTTTCAGAAATCTTCAAAAATTCACATTTCGTAGCGATTTTTTCGAAAATGTTGCTCCGTGACCATCAACATGCTATATTTTTGGAATCAGCATGTCGAGATCCACGTCCCTGAATTTTTTCACAATTTTTAGACAACTTTTTTAAAAGTGAAATTTTTCCAATGGTCCCCCCTTCTTTAAATTTCGGCCAAATTTTGACATTTTCGAAACTTAACTAAATACATTTTCTTGTAGATTTCGAGCTCTAGAACTCACTTCCGGCTTCGTTTCTTTGATAACTGCAACCGTTTTTCCGGAATCGACCGTTGAAATATCGAAATTTTCAGAAATCTTCAAAAATTCGCATTTCGTAGTGATTTTGTTGAAAATGTTGCTCCGTGACCATCAACATGCAATATGTTTGGAATCAGCATGTCGAGATCTACGTCCCTGAATTTTTTCACAATTTTTAGACAACTTTTTTAAAATTGAAATTTTTCCAATTTTTCTTCAAATTTCGGCCAAATTTTGACATTTTCCAAAACTTAACTAAACACATTTTCTTGTAAATTTCGAGCTCCAGAACCCACTTCCGGCTTCGTTTCTTTGATAACGGCAACCGTTTTTCCGGAATCGACCGTTGAAATATCGAAATTTTCAGAAATCTTCAAAAATTCGCATTTCGTAGCGATTTTTTCGAAAATGTTGTTCCGTGACTATCAACATGCTATATTTTTGGAATCAGCATGTCGAGATCTACGTCCCTGAATTTTTTCACAATTTTTAGACAACTTTTTTAAAAGTGAAATTTTTCCAATGGTCCCCCCTTCTTAAAATTTCGGCCAAATTTTGACATTTTCGAAACTTCACTAAATACATTTTCTTGTAGATTTCGAGCTCTAGAACTCACTTCCGGCTGCGTTTCTTTGACAACTGCAACCGCTTTTCCGGAATCGACCGTTGAAATATCGAAATTTTCAGAAATCTACAAAAATTCGCATTTCGTTCCGATTTTTTCGAAAATGTTGCTGCGTTACCATCAACATGCTATATTTTTGGAATCAGCATGTCGAGATCTACGTCCCTGAATTTTTTCACAATTTTTAGACAACTTTTTTAAAAGTGAAATTTTTCCAATGGTCCCCCCTCCTTCAAATTTCGGCCAAATTTTGACATTTTCGAAACTTAACTAAATACATTTTCTTGTAGATTTCGAGCTCTAGAACTCACTTCCGGCGTCGTTTCTTTGAAAACTGCAACCGTTTTTCCGGAATCGACCGTTGAAATATCGAAATTTTCGGAAATTTTCAGAAATTCGCATTTCGTAGCGATTTTTTCGAAAATGTTGTTCCGTGACTATCAACATGCTATATTTTTGGAATCAGCATGTCGAGATCTACGTCTCTGAATTTTTTCACAATTTTTAGACAACTTTTTTAAAAGTGAAATTTTTCCAATGGTCCCCCCTTCTTTAAATTTCGGCCAAATTTTGACATTTTCGAAACTTAACTAAATACATTTTCTTGTAGATTTCGAGCTCTAGAACTCACTTCCGGCTTCGTTTCTTTGATAACTGCAACCGTTTTTCCGGAATCGACCGTTGAAATATCGAAATTTTCAGAAATCTACAAAAATTCGCATTTCGTACCGATTTTTTCGAAAATGTTGCTCCGCGACCATCAACATGCTATATTTTTGGAATCAGCGTGTCGAGATCTACGTCCCTGAATTTTTTCACAATATTTAGACAACTTTTTTAAAATTGAAATTTTTCCAATGGTGTCCTTGGCAAATAACATAATATATTGATTACTTAGAGAATGTTTTACGAAAATTTTGTAAATATTTATTTTATAAGACGTACGGACACTATCCAACACCACAGTATGAGCAGAAAGCATTGTTACATCGAATAAATGAAAACTCTCTCTCAAGTAGAAGATATGTGGCGTGTCTAACTTTTCTACAAAAAATAATATTTGGTACAATTAAAAGTGCTGAACTTCTTGGTGAAATAAAAATAAATGTAAACAGAATTATTAGTAGACACTCATTCACATTTTCTTATAAAATTCCTAACACATTTCGTCATTACAACTCGCCTTCTCTAAACTGTTTCAAATTGTATAACTGTGTTAGTGATAAATTTGATATTTTTTTTGATAATGTCTGTAACCGTAAATTTAAAAATATTCTTCTTACTCACTACAATCAGTAATAGCAATTATCTCAGCTGTCAGTATTTGATTATGTGGATCTTTATTGTTTATTTATTATTTTTTTTTGCTCTAATTGTAACAGCATACCTTATTATTTTGTTTTTCCTTTATTATTACTATTATTATTAATTTCGCATATATTTGTATTTTTGTTCCCATAAGGACGTTAAATGTCTGTGGGAAAATAAACTACCATTATTATTATTATTATTATCTACTTCTACTAAATAGTGTAGATTACCAACATATTTTGTAATTATTCCATATTCGACATCCGCAAAAGTTCCTTTTACATAATTTTCGACTGTGTCCGAAAAAAATAAAAAATTCCATAGAATCTCATATTGAAAAATTGAGCTCTTGGAAAAGTTGCCTAAAAATACATCAAAAATTCTAGAATATAGATAGATCTCGACAACTTAATTCAAAAAACATAGTTTGTTGATGGTCCCGGACAAAAATTATAGACGTATTTTCATTTTCAAAATAAAATTTTTAAATATTTATAACAATTATTATCATACGCTATTTTAACGATTCTGGAAAAATTGTAGAAAAATAATAATAATTTCTTACAAAATTTTTATACAGAGCTGTTTTGACGAAACTGTTAAAACTGTCATCTGCCAAAATCAGTCTTGTCTTATCAAATACTAGCCCCGCCCACCCACCCTCTATTTTCTTAGAAGGTATGTTATCTGCAAAATCAGTCTTATCTTATCAAATACTAACCCCGCCCACCCACCCTCTATTTTCTTGGAAGGTTTGTCATTTGACAAAATCAGTCTCATATTAGCAAGTAAGTACAAGCCCCGTCCACCCACCCTCTGTTTTCTTGGAAGATATTTGATTTGCCAAAATCAGTCTTATCTTATCAAATTTCGGCCAAATTTTGACATTTTCGAAACTTCACTAAATACATTTTCTTGTAGTTTTCGAGTTCTAGAACTCACTTCCGGCTTCGTTTCTTTGATAACTGCAACCGTTTTTCCGGAATCGACCGCTGAAATATTGAAATTTTTAGAAATTTTCAAAAATTCGCATTTCGTAGCGATTTTTTCGAAAATGTTGCTCCGTGACCATCAACATGCTATATTTTTGGAATCAGCATGTCAAGATCCACGTCCCTGAATTTTTTCACAATTTTTAGACAACTTTTTAAAAGTGAAATTTTTCCAATGGTCCCCCCTTCTTCAAATTTCGGCCAAATTTTGACATTTTCGAAACTTTTCTAAACATATTTTCTTGTAAATTTCGAGCTCCAGAACCCACTTCCGGCTTCGTTTCTTTGATAACGGCAACCGTTTTTCCGGAATCGACCGTTGAAATATCGAAATTTTCAGAAATCTTCAAAAATTCGCATTTCGTAGCGATTTTTTCGAAAATGTTGTTCCGTGACTATCAACATGCTATATTTTTGGAATCAGCATGTCGAGATCTACGTCCCTGAATTTTTTCACAATTTTTAGACAACTTTTTTAAAAGTGAAATTTTTCCAATGGTCCCCCCTTCTTCAAATTTCGGTCAAATTTTGACATTTTCGAAACTTAACTAAATACATTTTCTTGTAGATTTCGAGCTCTAGAACTCACTTCCGGCTTCGTTTCTTTGATAACTGCAACCGTTTTTCCGGAATCGACCGTTGAAAAATCGAAATTTTCAGAAATCTTCAAAAATTCACATTTCGTAGCGATTTTTTCGAAAATGTTGCTCCGTGACCATCAACAAGCTATATTTTTGGAATCAGCATGTCGAGATCTACGTCCCTGAATTTTTTCACAATTTTTAGACAACTTTTTTAAAACTGAAATTTTTCCAATGGTCCCCCCTTCTTAAAATTTCGGCCAAATTTTGACATTTTCGAAACTTAACTAAATAAATTTTCTTGTAGATTTCGAGCTCCAGAACTCACTTCCGGCTTCGTTTCTTTGATAACTGCAACCGTTTTTCCGGAATCGACCGTTGAAATATCGAAATTTTCAGAAATCTTCAAAAATTCGCATTTCGTAGTGATTTTGTTGAAAATGTTGCTCCGTGACCATCAACATGCAATATGTTTGGAATCAGCATGTCGAGATCTACGTCCCTGAATTTTTTCACAATTTTTAGACAACTTTTTTAAAATTAAAATTTTTCCAATTTTTCTTCAAATTTCGGCCAAATTTTGACATTTTCCAAAACTTAACTAAATACATTTTCTTGTAGATTTCGAGCTCCAGAACTCACTTCCGGCTTCGTTTCTTTGATAACTGCAACCGTTTTTCCGGAATCGACCGTTGAAATATCGAAATTTTCAGAAATCTTCAAAAATTCGCATTTCGTAGTGATTTTGTCGAAAATGTTGCTCCGTGACCATCAACATGCTATATTTTTGGAATCAGCATGTCGAGATCTACGTCCCTGAATTTTTTCACAATTTTTAAACAACTTTTTGAGAGTGAAATTTTTCCAATGGTCCCCCCTTCTTCAAATTTCGGCCAAATTTTGACATTTTCGAAACTTAACTAAATATATTTTCTTGTAGATTTCGAGCTCTAGAACTCACTTCCGGCTTCGTTTATTGGATAACTTCAACCGTTTCTCCGGAATCGACCGTTGAAATATCGAAATTTCCAGAAATCTTCAAAAATTCGCATTTTGTAGTGATTTTTTCGAAAATGTTGCTCCGTGAGCATCAACATGTTATATTTTTGGAATCACCGTGTCGAGATCTACGTCCCTGAATTTTTTCACAATTTTTAGACAACTTTTTTGAATTTGAAATTTTTCCAATGGTCCCCACTTCTTCAAATTTCGGCCAAATTTTGACATTTTCGAAACGTAACTAAATTAATTTTCTTGTAGATTTCGAGCTCTAGAACTCACTTACTGCTTCGTTTCTTTGATAACTGCAACCGTTTTTCCGGAATCGACCGTTGAAATATCGAAATTTTCAGAAATCTACAAAAATTCGCATTTCGTACCGATTTTTTCGAAAATGTTGCTCCGCGACCATCAACATGCTATATTTTTGGAATCAGCGTGTCGAGATCTACGTCCCTGAATTTTTTCACAATATTTAGACAACTTTTTTAAAATTGAAATTTTTCCAATGGTGTCTTTGGAAAATAACATAATATATTGATTACTTAGAGAATGTTTTACGAAAATTTTGTAAATATTTATTTTATAAGACGTACGGACACTATCCAACACCACAGTATGAGCAGAAAGCATTGTTACATCGAATAAATGAAAACTCTCTCTCAAGTAGAAGATATGTGGTGTGTCTAACTTTTCTACAAAAAATAATATTTGGTACAATTAAAAGTGCTGAACTTCTTGGTGAAATAAAAATAAATGTAAACAGAATTATTAGTAGACACTCATTCACATTTTCTTATAAAATTCCTAACACATTTCGTCATTACAACTCGCCTTTTCTAAACTGTTTCAAATTGTATAACTGTGTTAGTGATAAATTTGATATTTTTTTTGATAATGTCTGTAACCGTAAATTTAAAAATATTCTTCTTACTCACTACAATCAGTAATAGCAATTATCTCAGCTGTCAGTATTTGATTATGTGGATCTTTATTGTTTATTTATTTTTTTTTTTGCTCTAATTGTAACAGCATACCTTATTATTTTGTTTTTCCTTTATTATTACTATTATTATTAATTTCGCATATATTTGTATTTTTGTTCCCATAAGGACGTTAAATGTCTGTGGGAAAATAAACTACCATTATTATTATTATCTACTTCTACTAAATAGTGTAAATTACCAACACATTTTGTAATTATTCCATATTCGTCATCCGCAAAAGTTCCTTTTACATAATTTTCGACTGTGTTCGAAAAAATTAAAAAATTCCATAGAATCTCATATTGAAAAATTGAGCTCTTGGAAAAGTTGCCTAAAAATACATCAAAAATTCTAGAATATAGATAGATCTCGACAACTTAATTTAAAAAACATAGTTTGTTGATGGTCCCGGACAAAAATTATAGACGTATTTTCATTTTCAAAATAAAATTTTTAAATATTTATAACAATTGTTATCATACGCTATTTTAACGATTCTGGAAAAATTGTAGAAAAATAATAATAATTTCTTACAAAATTTTTATACAGAGCTGTTTTGACGAAACTGTTAAAACTGTCATCTGCCAAAATCAGTCTTGTCTTACCAAATACTAGCCCCGCCCACCCACCCTCTGTTTTCTTAGAAGGTATGTTATCTGCAAAATCAGTCTTATCCTATCAAATACTAACCCCGCCCACCCACCCTCTATTTTCTTGGAAGGTTTGTCATTTGACAAAATCAGTCTCATATTAGCAAGTAAGTACGAGCCCCGTCCACCCGCTGACTTGCTAAGATAAGACTGATTTTGGCAGATCACATACCTTCCAAGAAAACAGAGGGCGGGTGGGCGGGGCTAGTATTTGATAAGATAAGACTGATTTTGGCAAATCAAATATCTTCCAAGAAAACAGAGGGTGGGTGGGTGGGGCTAGTACTAGCTACGATAAGACTGATTTTGGCAAATGACAAACCTTCCAAGAAAACAGAGGGCGGGTGGGTGGGGCTAGTATTTGTTAAGATAAGACTGATTTAGGCAAATGATATATCCTCTAATAAACTAGAGGGTGGATGGGCGGGGCTAGCATTTGATAAGATAAGACTGATTTTGGTACTTTTGACATTTTCGACCATTTTTTAACTATTTTCGAAAATTAATTGGATAGCCTTTTGTTTTCTTGAAAGGCAAGTCATTCGCCAAAATAAGTTCATATTATCAAATACTAGGCCCGCCCACCCACCCTCTGTTTTCTTGGAAGGTTTGTCATTTGCCAAAATCAGTCTTATCGTAGCTAGTACTAGCCCCACCCACCCACCCACCCTCTGTTTTCTTGGAAGATATTTGATTTGCCAAAATCAGTCTTATCAAATTTCGGCCAAATTTTGACATTTTCGAAACTTCACTAAATACATTTTCTTGTAGTTCGTTTCTTTGATAACTGCAACCGTTTTTTCGGAATCGACCGCTGAAATATCGAAATTTTCAGAAATCTACAAAAATTCGCATTTCGTTCCGATTTTTTCGAAAATGTTGCTCCATGACCATCAACATGCTATATTTTTGGAATCAACGTGTCGAGATCCACGTCCCTGATTTTTTTCACAATTTTTAGACAACTCGTTTGAAAGTGAAATTTTTCCACCTTCTTCAAATTTCGGCCAAATATTGACATTTTCGAAACTTAACTAAATACATTTTCTTGTAGATTCCGACCTCTAGAACTCACTTCCGGCATCGTTTCTTTGATAACTGCAACCGTTTTTCCGGAATCGACCGTTGAAGTATCGAAATTTTCAGAAATCTACAAAAATTCGCATTTCGTAGCGATTTTTTCGAAAATCTTGCTACGTGACCATCAACATGCTATATTTTTGGAATCAGCGTGTCGAGATCCACGTCCCTGAATTTTTTCACAATTTTTAGACAACTTTTTTAAAATTGAAATTTTTCCAATGGTCCTCCGTTCTTAAAATTTCCACCAATTTCAGGTTCCGTCCTCCCCTGAACACATTTGTTATTCAGATTTGTAAATTCTCCAACTATTAGAGATATAATAAGTGAATAAATAGATTTAATTGTGCTGACTTGACCAACATAAATGCTTACTTTAGGGTCACTGTTGACGCGTGTATTGCTTGATAAAAGCTCGGTAGATGATAAGAGCGCAGTGGAGACCAAAGATCAAGAATTTATCGCAGACGTGTTCACAAGAATTTTGCTAAATTCGTTTCGACATAAATAAAACTTGCAACTCTGGATTTTCACAATTTCTGCAACGAACAGAAACAACAACAAAAAACATCAGAGATAATTTCATCTTCTTAAAAACAATTCATCAATTTTGTTCGTTTTTATTTAGTTTTGTTGCAACAAAAACTGTTCTGAACCGGTGAAGGTCACTTTTACAACTTGCATAATAAATATAACTGTGGAGAGCGGAAGTTCCCCGGAATCTTTACGCTCCGCTTTTTTGTGTTAGAATCTGTAAAGAACCACAATCGAGGAACGAGGAAACTTTATCACTTCAGATTTGAAAAAAATAAATCCGCGGCTTTTCCACAGACGTTTTCAAACGGAAAGTTCGTTGCACCAGCGTACATTCCACTTGATTTACAACCAGCGAGGACTCCATGTCCAAATTGACTCAGCAGATTCACGATACCGCGAAATTATCAGAAAATACAAAATTGATAACGTCCGGTATTTTTGTTATGAATATTCACGAAAGGATTTTTATAATCGGTCCAAAAATTAGGTCATGAACGGTCCGGGTTTTTCAAAACACTCATCATTATTAGCATTAAACACAAATCCTTTTCAAAGAAGCCGCACGTAATACCTGCGGAAACCGCGTCACGAATATTATCATTCCCAGATAAAGCTGGTTATAAAATAATCATACTCACTCTTACTCTAACAGTTAGCAAATAGTGTCGCCAATTTGCATAATCGATCTTCGTTAAATTCGCACGTTTGCATTTTTGTTTGTTGAAATCTTGAGGCCGCACTTTCCAACCAATCTGTATTTTCCCTACTACATAATTCAAGGAATCCGTCGTAGGATTATATTTTATTCGCTTAAATAAAAATACGTGAACATCTCGAACCTCATTGATTGTGAATTACGATGAAGAGTTTCTTGGTTCTTGTGGGGCTGTCGGTGGTCTTCGCCCACCCTCTGGACTACAGGTTCGTCCTCAACAACACGAAATTCGCAGCGTCCGTGTACAAAGTAAGTTCTTGGTGAATGCAGACTTTGTCTAAATGGTTTGTCTAGGAAGCGGCGCTTCAAAACGAAGACAACTTCTTGGTGAGTCCGTTATCGGCCCAGTTGGTACTAGCCCTATCCCAGTCGGGCGCCAAGGACCAAACGGCCCAAGAAATCCAAGACGTCCTCAAACTCTCCCACTCGAAAGTCGTCATCGACTGCACCATGGGAGGTCTTCTGCAAAATTTGAACCGACAACACGACTACGATCTACGCACCGTCAATAAAATCTACATCAAAGAAAACTGTCCGATTAACACAGACTTCATCGACAGCGCTAAATTGATATATCAATCCGAAACCGAAAATATTGACTTCGGGAGGAACAAAGAAGCAGCGGCTGCTATCAACCAGTGGGTCGAACAAGCCACCGACGACAAAATCCACAATTTGATTGACCCCGAAAGCTTGACCAACGACACTCGAGTCGTCCTCCTCAACGCCTTACGCTTCAAAGCCAACTGGACAACCCCATTCCAGATGTTCTCCACCATGAAACAAGATTTCCACTCCGCAGACAGTACCATCCAAGTCGACACCATGCACCTGTTTGAAGAGTACTTCGACTGGTACGACAAGCCCGAGCTCAACGCGACGTTCCTAGAACTTCCTTTCGTCGGTGACAACGTTTCAATGACCATCGTCCTCCCGGAAGTCTCGGACGGTTTGAGTCTCCTCGAACAAAACATCGACTTGGTTTTGGAACCCCCGCACTCCAAAAGTCGCGAGATGTTCAACGTCGCGCTGCCAAAATTCAAAATGGAGTCGAAGATCGACTTCAAGAGAGTCCTGCAGAACGTGAGTGGTTTTTCGATTTTGTTGGGTTTGTCTAATGGGGGTTTAGTTAGGGGTGAAGAAAGCGTTCGAGGAAGGGGCAGCTGACTTTAGTGGGATGGCTGGTGACAAAGGGGAGCTTTTTATTGACGAGGTGGCTCAAAAGACTTTTGTGGATGTTAACGAAGACGGGATGGAGGCGGCAGCTGCCACTTTCGTTGGTAAGTTTGACGTTTGGAAGTTGAAGTAGTGTTTAACGGGTTGTTTGCAGTTAAAATCGTCAACAGGAACGTGGAGGCGTCGCGGGATTTTATCGTCAATCGGCCGTTTTTATTCTTCGTGAAAGTGGAGGACTTGGTGGTGTTCATGGGGAGGGTGGTGGTACCGTATTATTAGCTATAGGATGTATTTATTTGTCTGTAATAAATTATTGTAAAAAAAAGCGTCGTGGTTGTGGTTTTTTGACCAACTTGTACGTGGAAACTACGAAAACAAATATTGGATAGGTTAAAAATAGTACCACCGTGTTGGTTTTGGGTACGTTTGATAAAGCGATAAAGAAACGTAAACATTGCTTTATCTCACCACGAAGATGAGTGTTCATGTTATCACCAAATTAAAAAAGACAATTCTTTCAGATTGATATTTTTGATAATTAAGTGACCCTAGTTTATCACTATTAATTTGAAACAACACACATTTTAGCAAAACATTTATTTTAAACTACATACAAATATCATGGCACGTACTTATCAAACAAGTGGCATTACAACTCTTCCTGCGAAAACCACCAACTCCTTGATTTTGATATAGAAGATAAAGGGATGATTCACGTTGAATTGTTTCGGTTCTGGCGTCGACTGGATACTCAGAAGGGTCAAACCTAGACATAAAGGTCACTCCAGGTTTTTCACCTACCAACAACTAAGTACCTGCATAGGTTGCAGCTGCCGCTTCAACTCCAGACTCGTGCACGTCGATAAAAGTTTTCTGAATGACGTCGCTTATCACTAACCTACCGTCACTAATTCCTTTAAAGTCGGCTAGTTCTGGCGAGAACGGTGCCCTCACCCCTAACTAACAAATTCGTTATCACTATCACCCCATCAAACTGATACTCACATTTTGAAGAATCTGTTTAACGTCAAGCTCGCTCTCAATCTTAAACTTGGGGATCGACATGTTAACGTACTCCCTCGTCCAAGCTTGAGGCTCAAACACTTTGTCGATGTGTTGCTCCAGGTAGCTAATCCCGTCCATTTCGAACGGTAGCACGAAAACCATCGACACCTCTCTGCCTTGGAACGGCAACTCCAAGAACTGTGCTCTAAGTACCTTACTTTCCGCATAGTTGAAAGTGATATCGTCCTCGTTCTTCAACATAGTGTCAACTTGGGTTGGCGTTCGTCCAGGGGTGTAGAAGTCGCGTTTCTTGGTGATGAAACGCTTAAAAGGGGTTGACCAATTCCCGTTAAAGTACAAAGCGTTGATCACAATCGCCTTAGTACTACTACCAATCTTACTAGGACTTATCAAATCGCGTATCTTGTCATTGGTTTGCTGCTCCACCCACTGGTTCATGGTATTGGCGGCCTGCAAGGACCGTGAAAAATCAACCGTCCCCACATCTGCCCCGAAAACGTCAGTCGCGGTTCTGCGAAAACCACTCTTGATGTTAAAATCGTGATTGAGGTAGATTTTGTTCGCCACGTGAAACGAATACCCACGAGCTGTCTTCAAACTCGGGAGCAACGTTTCGAAACCTTCTTCGACGTCTCGTTGGTTATTGGGGAGGTGCAAGACCGATTTTAGTTCTTGTTCGGTTTGTCCTCTAGCACCTGATTGAACTAGCGCTAGCACGGTTTGCGCCGAAAACGGACTAAACAGGAAATTGGCTTGGTTTTTAGGCAACAACGTCTGAAAAAAAGGGTTAGAAACACACTCGAAACCCACGAACACTCAATCTTACCTCGTATATATCCGCCGTCAGTTTATTATTCCCAGTTATCACTTGACGCACATCGGCAGAGATTGACGTCGCCGCTAAAAGCACAATTAGAACAGTCTTCATTGCGATGTTAACAGCATCAATAACGGACGGCAACTGCAACACTGTACAATGAATGTAATTTATTATCGGTGTAAAAACCCAGCGTGTCAGCCTTGGGGATAAACACACTGATGCGACATTTAAGAAATTCCCTCAAGTAACACTTCGTTTCAATCGAAACCTGTTCTTGTAAGATCGTGGAGGATGGTACGGATGAAACCAGCTCAGTTTAGTCAGTTTTAATTTCGCCATGAAGACACTCGTGTTGTTTGCAGTTTTAGTCGAGTTGCTCGCGTTGGAGGAAACAACCTTGACAGAGTTCAAGTTAGGCAACAACCTTTTCACTTCAGATATATACAAAGTGAGTAACTTTGATAATCAGTACTCCGACTTGGTTACTCGTTTTCTTGCAGGAACTGCTTAAACAACAAAGCGGAAACTTCTTAATTAGCCCGTTTTCCCTCGAGACTGTCTTATCCTTAACCTTGACAGGTGCGAGGGGTCAAAGCGCCGAAGAAATGCGAACCAGTTTGCGTCTGCCTAGCAACGAAGTCGAAATTTTTGAAAAACTTATCTCCGAACTGAAAAGCGACAAGTACACGCTGCTTTCAGCCAACAAAGTTTACGTCAAAGACGGTTACCCCATTCACGACGGGTTTAAAAAAATCGCCACGGAGAAATACCAAGCCGACTTCCAGAATATCGACTTCGGGAAAAAAGAAGAAGCTGTGAAAGAGATCAACGAGTGGGTGGAAGCGCGCACCAAAAATCGAATCCATGACATCATTTCGGCCAACGACATTGACGAACTGAGCAGACTTATCCTCATAAATGCGTTATATTTTAAAGGAAATTGGTCAACACCTTTTCCCGAGGGACTCACCCATCCTAAAGACTTTTACCCGAAGGAAACGGAAGCGGTTAGTGTTGATACCATGCACGTGACGGCGAGTTTCCACTATTACGAATGCACTGAAGTCGACGCGAAATTTTTGGAACTGTTTTTCGAAGACCGGGATGCCTCTATGGTCGTAGTTCTCCCGAATGAGAAAAACGGGCTCGGGAAACTCGAGAGCAAAATCGAAAAAGTTTTCACGCCTCGGAATTTCACCACGGAGCTGGTGCAAGTCAGCATCCCCAAGTTCAAAGTCGAAACGTCTATAGAGTTTGTCGAAATTTTGAAAAAGGTAAATCTGGAAATTGTACTTTTTGGGAAACTTTGTTTGTGTTGTAGTTGGGTATGAGGAAGGTTTTCAACGGGAAGGAAGCCGATTTGAGCGGGATGGCTGGTGAGCCGGGAGAGTTGGAGATCGGGAAAATTCTGCAGAAGACTTTTATTGATGTGAAGGAGGGGGGAGTTGAAGCTGCCGCCGCCACCATAGTTCGTAAGTATTAATTTCAGAAAAAAGGGTGAATTTTGACTTTTGTTTTTAGATGTTCCGGCTGTCATAAGCGCTCTGGAACCCGATTTACGCGTCCCGAAGAACTTTAAAGCCGACCATCCCTTTATTTTCTACCTCAAAGTCAAAGAAGTTGTTTTGTTCGGAGGGAGGATCTTGATTCCTGGAAAATAATAAAAAAATGTCTTGAGGAATTTTGTAACGAACAAATAAACTATTCCACTATTTTTTATTCAAAGTTTCAGCTATCAGTTTTGACAGGAAGCTTTGTTTACATTTAGTAAACACAAAGATTTATTTAGCGTACTTAAACGCAATGTTTACTTAAATCGGTTTATTTATTGTGATAATTTGCGGCTTCGCCTGTTTATCTCTCTGCGGTTAATAACCAAACCCTTCCTCTAGCTCTTGATTCAGTCATCTTTTGTCACTTCCAGTTCATACAATACGATAACAAACTACCGCAATTAAATACTCCAGATCCAAACACACATTTTGTGTGACGCATGAGATTCTTATCATTCCGTGTTTTTCCTCCTCTTGTAGATTTTTAAAATCTAACAACTGCCCCCATATAAACCCCACAATCGCAAACTGACCTCAGATTTCTTAGAAAAAATAAATCAAAACAATTAAGTGAAGTGGGTCCAAATATGTACAAATACTTCAAATTATAAGATAACCATAAATAAAAATAAATCACACACAAAAAAAACAAATCGCACACTCAAGATTTGTATCAAGACCACTAGACAATTTTACTAAGAGTATAAAAACAAAAACATAAATTAATCCCAATCCAGTTTCCAAAATGAAGACTCTTCTGCTTTTGTCTTTCTATTTCCTTCTTGGAGCCGCCTCTTTGGAAGATTTTTCTTCAGGAAATCACCTTTTCACCGCTGATCTCTACAATGTACGACCTTCACTCTATCTCAGTCAAATTCTTAGATTAATACTCCACAGGAACTTCTAGAAGAAGATGGTAACTTTGTCGCCAGTCCATTGTCGCTCGAAACCGTCTTAGCTCTAACACAATCCGGAGGCAAAGATGCAACGAGTGCAGAAATCCGATCTACCCTCCATCTTCCAGACAGCGAAGAAGAAACAGAATCGACCATGAAATCCGTCCTACCGCTTCTACAAAGCGAAAATTACACACTAAAAGCAGCTAACAAAATCTACATTCAAGAAAACTACTCAATTAAAGAAGAGTTCAAAAAAATCGCAGCAGATGTTTACCAAGCGGACATCCAGAATGTTAATTTCGTGGAAAATGAAGAAGCAGCTGCTGCTATAAACCAGTGGGTTGAAGCGCAAACGCAGAACAAAATTCACGATCTTGTAGCAGCCGATGATCTAGATGCCAACTCGAGACTGTTTCTGGTCAACGCTTTGTATTTCCAAGCGACGTGGTTGCACTCCTTCCAAGTCGCTTACACAGCGAAAAAGGACTTCTATTCTTCCGGCGACAAAACAGTATCCACTGACACCATGCTGCAGTACTCAGTTGAGCGCAAGTTCTACCAAAACGAAGAACTAGATGCTAAATTTTTAGAAGTACCGTTCGTGGATGAAGATGCTTCAATGACTTTTGTACTTCCCAACAAAATCGATGGGCTTGCGGTTCTCGAGAAACAAAGAGACAAAGTTTTGGCAGACCAGCCTTACTCTGTCAAACTGGTGGATGTAGCTCTTCCTAAATTTCGAATTGAGACGTCGATTGATTTTAACGAAGTTCTACAAAAAGTGAGTTGATTTTAGAAAATTTGTATCGACATTGAGAGTTTTTCCATAGATGGGTATTCGTGCGGCTTTTAGTCCCGGTCAAGCCGATTTTAGCGGAATTTCTGGAGAAAAAGGGGAGTTGTACCTTCAGAAAGTCAAGCAGAAATCGTTCATTGGGGTTGACGAGAATGGGGTGGAAGCGGCCGCTGCTTCTTCAGCTGGTAAGTGAACGATTTAGGGTTTGTTTTTGTAACATAATTGTTTCTAGATGTTCCCATATATTCGATAGCTATGGACAAGTTTGTGGCAGATCACCCTTTCATGTTTTATATTAAGGTGAAGGGGGTGGTTTTGTTTGAAGGAAGAGTGGTAGATCCACAATATTAGAGTTGTATGAAATGTTGTACTGAGTTAAAAATCTTCAAAATAAACCTTACATAGAACTAAAGTAAATGCCCTCTTATCTGGTGCTTATTATTTATCATGTCGAAATTAAGTGACACCTGCTTAAATCTAGATCAACAAAATCATAAACACATCTTGAAGGAATTTTTTGACGCAAAAAATAAAAGTGCTTTTCATGTAACAAAAAAGTGGTCTGATAGATTACCAAGTAATATAAAACGAGATCCGCCGTCACCAAGCAGACTAAACCAAGATGAAACTCTTCCTAGTACTTTTCTTGTGTGCAACCGCGGCCTTCGCCAGCGAAGCAGACCTCCAAAAGTTTGCTTCCAGTAGCAAACTCTTCACAGGAGCCGTCTACAAAGTAAGTCTTCAATTTAACTTTCATCTTTATTCTCCCGGTAGGAGCTTCTAGTTGACAACAATGACAACATCCTCGTCAGCCCCTTCTCCGCTGAAACCGTCCTCGCTCTAACCCAATCCGGCGCTATCGGCATCACCGGCGAAGAAATCCGCTCCAGCCTCTTCCTCCCCGACACCAAAGAAGAAACCGAAGCCATCATCAAGAGCGTCCTCCCTACAATCCAAAGCGACCAATACACCCTAAAAACCGCCAACAAAATCTACGTGGAAGACAACTTAGCCATCAAACAAGACTTCCAGAAAGTAGCAACCGACGTCTACCAAGCGGCTTTCCAAAGCATCGAGTTCGCAGAAAGCGTAGAAGCCGCCGAAGAAATCAACCGATGGGTGGAGGAACAAACCAACGACAAGATCCACGACCTGGTGTCCCCTGACGCGTTGGACGGAAACACGAGGGTGGTTCTCGTCAACGCTCTATACTTCCAAGCCAACTGGTCTATCCCGTTCAAGCCCGTTCTAACAAGCAAAGCCACTTTCTACGCCCCCAACGACGAAGAAGTTGAATCCGACGTTATGTTCATCGAATCAGAAGCGTTAAACTTTTACGAGAGCGAGGAACTCGACGCGAAATTTTTGCAGCTGCCTTTCTTGGGGGAGGGTGCCTCCATGACGCTTGTTCTCCCGAATAAGAAAGAAGGGATTGCTGTGTTGGAGAAACAATCGGCGGATGTGTTGAATGTGCCTGAGTACAAGCAGGAGTTTGTTCAAGTTTCGTTGCCGAAGTTTAAGATTGAGGCTACGGTTGATTTTGAGAATATTTTGGAGAATGTAAGTTCGGGTTGTTTGTAATCTTGTAAGGTTAATTTTTGGGTTGTAGTTGGGAGTGCACGCCGCTTTTAATCCTGTGGTTGCCGATTTTAGTGGAATTGCTGGAGCACCTGGTGACATTGTCATCAGCAAAGTTACGCAGAAGACGTTTATTGATGTTAATGAGTTCGGGGTAGAGGCAGCTGCTGCTACGGATATTGGTGAGTGGTTTTAAGAGATGGGGTTCTTGATGGTCATGTTTGGGTTGTAGTTGCGCCTACTACGGAACCACCACCGGCTACTCAGATTTTCACCGCTGACCATCCCTTCGTGTTCTATATAACAGTCAATGATGTGGTTCTTTTCGAAGGAAGGGTGTTGGTGCCGAACTATTGAAATGTATTAACTGTTGTATGATTATATTACTTACTTGAAAATAAAGCACCATCTTATGTTCAAATTACTAAATATTTTCTGATAATTCATTAAAATCTAGATAACGAACAAAAATGTGAACTGTATTTTGCTTGAGACGAGGTATAATACTTATTATTAGAAATTAATCATGATAACATTCACCATCTCAGTTCTACCACCTGATAAAAAATGACAATCGTGGATTTTTTAGTCAGAATTGCCAGATTGTATCAAGAGATCATCACCACACCCAAATTTTTCACTTGTGGCAATTTCTTTCCGTTTTACATACAAAATAGTGAACGATATAGCCCTCTTCGAAGGAAAGGTGTATTAACTATTCTATAGTTGTATTACTTTCAAATAAAACATCACCTTGTGCCTCCAAGCAGGTAAATATTTTCTGCTAACTCATTAAGATAACAACCTCATAGTAATAGCTTCAATTATTGCAATTAGTGACAATCTTCGTCCCTTCATAAATTTTTAGCTTGGATTAGACAAACCAATCACCTTATTCAGCTCAGATCAGAAATAATGAAGAATCTTTTGGCACTTGTATTTTTTGTAACTGCCGTTTTCTCTTATGAAACAGTAATCCGAAACTTCGCTTCCAGCAACAAATTATTCGCTGATTATTTCTACAAAGTAAGTATTCAATTCAATTTTTGGTTTCTTCATTTCTATTTTCTCTGTAGCTGGCACGAGTTGACAAAGACGGTAACATCCTCTTCGGCTCTTTCTTGGATGAAATCATTTTTGTCGTCAATAAATCTGAAGTCTTCGACGTCGCCAGTGCAGAAATTCGCCCGAGTCTCTTACCCCCAGAAACAAAAGCAAGCATAAAGGACGTTCTCTCCAAGATGCCGAACCATCAAACGATCTTGGAATGTTTCGTAGACATTTACAGAGTCCCAAACAACATCTTAAAATATTTCCTGTTCTCAGTACAAGACTTCTACCCAATTTCTAACCGCGAATATTTCGTTAACGGTATAGAAGTAGAGGAAGAAATCATAAAATGGATGGAAAAACAAATAAACGCCGAAATTTACGACCCAGTTTCTTTTTTAGACAAAAAGACAGAAATAATCTTTGTATGCATCAGTTTTAATAGTTTTCAACTAAACTGGTATTTTCCCTTTGATTACGTCCTTAGAGACGAGATGACCTTCCACTCCCTCAACAACGAAGAAGTTCAAGCCAGTTTCATGTTCCTCAAATCACAATGGCTCAACTATTACGAAAGCGTGGAACTAGACGCGAAATTCCTGGAACTCCCGTTCTTGGAGGAGAATGCTTCCATGACTTTTGTTCTCCCGAATAAGAAGGAAGGAATCGCTCTTTTGGAGGAACGATGGACAGATATATTGAGTGTGCCTCCGTACAACCAACAATTCGTTCAGGTGTTTTTGCCTAAGTTTAAGATGGAAACTGCATATAACCTCGCAGATATTGTCGAAGGAGTGAGTTTAAGTTGTTTTTAAAGTTTTGTGTAGTTTATTTTTGGTTTATAGTTGGGAATACAAGACGAGGCCCTTCCATTGCGTGCCAGTTATATTGGCATTGCTGGAGCAGCTGGTGATTTTTTTTTCGATAACAGGATAAAGAATAATTCAATAGATGTTAACGAGTTTGGAATGAGCCTTGAGTTTTGGATTCCTGTTATGACTGAAGATACAGACAGTACCACCCGCACATCATCATCTACCCAACAATTCATTGCTGACCATCCCTTCGTTTTCTATATAAAAGTGAACAATATAGTTGTATCCGCAGGAAGAGTGTTGCTCCCACGTTATTAAAACTGTTAGTGCCTCTGGCAGAAACCTGTTTCATCCTTCTTCACCCGTAAGGGTGGGAACCAGGGTCACCACCACCTTGGAACACAGGGTAACATACATTCACTATTCATTCGGAACTCATTCATAGACCCTATATTCACTCTGTGGACCTAACGGTCATATTCTATTCTTATTCTAGACCTAACGGTCATACTCTATTCTTATTCTAGAACACACTTGTTATTCGTTAATAAAACTTATAAAACGACTGTCCGCTGTTCTAATTCATAATCATCAAACTTAACAAAAACTAAGCAATAAATTACATATAATATAATAATAATAATAATAACTTTATTGAGTACCATAAATAAAAACAAAAATACAAGTAAACAAAAATAAATAAATAATGGATACCCAAAAGGGAACAAAAAACAGATTCAGTATTACTGATTTACAATCTGTCCCTATGTTGAAAAGAAATGAGATATGAAATACAAGTTGTAAAATATGAAAGAGGAACATAATTTTTTATACATAGTATTAAAGGTACAGACTTTATAAAAGATTTAAATTTAATTTTAATTTTATTTCTGCTTGCTCAGCCAAGAAGAGATCCTTTACAGATTTGATGATGTAATGGTTATTTAAGTTGGAATAATGACGTAAAACGTTATTTATGGCATATGCACATAAATAAGAAAATGACGATTTATATGAACTCAAAGAATGAGAAGGTATGTCAACAGTCAGATACATTTGTCGAAGGTTTTTGTCATGTACAGAACTACGAATTGAAATTTTATTTTGCAGATAGTGAGGCTCATTGTGAGGTCGGATCTTTATTATGAGTTTTATAAAGTGATGAAAACGTCTTTCATGCATTTTCATCCAGCCTAAATTCCGTACAAAAGGTGTAATGTGTGTCTCACGTGGAATAGAATAAATATACATATCTCACACAAAAGTTTTGAATCTTTTGCAAACGATATTTGTTCACACAAGATAGACAGAGACCACATACTTTGTCAGCATAGTTTAAATGTGATAGTATCAAGGCATCAGTCAACAGGCGTTTGGCAGATCTTATTTATATAGTCAGTAAATTTTAGCTGATTATCAATATGTAACCCAAAATTTTTAACTACTCTGGCAGAAGAAATAGTGGTACCTCCAATATGAACATTAAGATCTGAGTTTATTGCTCTTATTTTATTTGGTGTGCCCAAAGTAATTGAAATAGTTTTTGCAAGATTTAAGGAAGGACAGTTCTTACAAGTGAACGTTCAAGATCTGAGTTAATTTTTTTCTGGAGCGTTATGTTCAGATAAGGATTAAAAGAATAATAAATTTGAAAGTCGTCAGCATACATATGAAGTTGACAATCTTGAAGATATTTAGGGAAGTCAGGACCTAGTACAGATCCTTGAGGTACACCACTTTTTATTGTTTATTGTTGTTGAGGTTTAGAGCCAAGTTACGCAGTTTTCAAAAAGGCCATAATATTTTAGTTTAGCAAGCAATAACTTAAAATTAACCGCATCGAACGCTTTAGACATAATAATAATGTTTATTTATTTCCAACGGGTAAGCACCCAATTACAGGAAACAAAAACAGAAAAACAATGTAGGCATAATGGTACAAACTGTAGCACTAAGAATAAGGAAAAAAAAAATACAATGCTGAATTTATAATAAAAGACATGTCCAGTAAAGTAAGTGAAGTTACTTTACTGTCACAGCAGCCTTTCAATACGTCATCAATTAGGAAACTTAAAACAGTGGTCGTGCTAAACTGAGTTCTGAAGCCTGATAAGTAGGAAGAACATTTGCCTGAGATATAAATATATTTAATTGTTGCAAGAGGGCTGATTCTGCTATTTTCAGCAATGTACTAAGTAACCTGATTGGTCTGAGATCTTTAAGGTAGGTTGGAACACCTTTTTACTTCCCGAGCGTAAGCAAAGGAAGTATTGTAATCGAGTCCGTCGGCCGACTCTCTACTTTTACGTTTTCTCGATCTTTCATGACCCCTAGAAGACGAAGAAATAGGTCTCCCATTTCCGTCTGTCTGTCCGTCTGTCCGTCTGTCCGTCCGTCTGTCCGTCCGTCTGTCCGTCTGTCCGTCTGCCGTCCCGGATTTTTATTAGACAGATAATCTCCGAAAGTACTTGACTGATTGTTGTGAAATTTTGTACTTATATTAAGAATATCATGTAGATGGTAAAACGCCAACCAAAATTTGTCTAATCATCCCCACCACTAATGCGATGACGTCACTTCAAAATTGTACATAGTAAATGGGTTTTCAATTGTATAAAATAACATAGTCCTACACATGTAGTTTACAATTCTGAATCGACTTTTCACCCGAAACGTCCAGATTTTTGGAAAAAAAATCAAAATTATAAAACAACATTTTGAAATTTAATTTTTAATCTGCTAACCAGAATGCTTTGAAATGTTGCAGATGTTTTAAGGCTATAAAGAGCATCATAAATCTTTAGTCAAAAAATATTTGCTTATCCCCTCCAAAACTTGATGACGTCAGCCCAAAAGTTTGTGGAATAAATCATATCTAAAATGTACAAAATATGATGAGTCTGTACTTGTGATTTATCACTCCATTCATATTTTTTGGATTTGAATATACAGGGTGACTCAAAAAAATTAATGAATGCGTAAATATATTTTATTGATTTAATCAGGAACTACAAAACGGAATGCTCTGACATCTTGCAGATGTTTTAAGGTTATAAAGAGCATAATAAATGTTTAGTCAAAATATATTTGCTTATCCCCTCCAAAAACTTGATGACGTCAGCTCGAAAATTTGCCGAATAAATCATATCTAAAATGTACAAAATATGATCAGTCTGTACTTGTGATCTATCACTCCATTCATATTTTTTGGATTTGCATATACAGGGTGATTCAAGAAAATAAATGAAAGCGTAAATTTATTTTACTGATTTACTCAGGAACTACAAAACCGAATGCTTCGAAATCTTGAAGATATTTTAAAATTATCATAAGCATGGTAAATTTTTGATCAAAATGTATTTGGTCGTCCCCCCTAAAAAAATTATGACGTCACCACAAAATTTTGCTGAATAAATCCTATCTAAAATGTACAAAATATGGTGAGTCTCTTCTTGTGATTTATCATTCCATTCAAATTTTTTCGATTTGCATATACAGGGTGACTCAAAAAAATTAATGAATGCGTAAATTTATTTTATTGATTTAATCAGGAACTACAAAACCAAATGCTTTGAAATCTTGCAGATGTTTTAAGGTTATAAAGAGCATAATAAATTTTTAGTCAAAATATATTTGGTTATCTTCTACAAAAAACTGATGACGTCAGCTCAAAAGTTTGCCGAATAAATCGTATCTAAAATGTACAAAATATGATGAGTCTGTACTTGTGATTTATCATTCCATTCATATTTTTGGATTTGCATATGCAGGGTGACTCAAAAAAATTAATGAAGGCGTGAATTTATTTTATCGATTTAATCAGGAATTACAAAACCGAATGCTTTGAAATCTTGGGAATATTTTAAAGTTATTATAAGCATGGTAAACTTTTGTTCAAAATGTATTTGTTCATCCCTCCTAAAAAAATTGATGACGTCACCCTTAAATTTTGCTGAATAAATCCTATCTAAAATGCAAAAAATATGATGAGTTTGTACTTGTGATATATCATTCCATTCATATTTTTTAGGTTTTCTTAAGAGGTGGTTCAAAAAAAGGCGCCGTATACCTGAGTAAATTGTTTCGTTATTTTATTGATTATAAGAAATCAATATTCAAAACGACCCAATTCATTTTCCCGAAAATTTGGGAATACAATAATTTTATTCTTAGTATTACACTACATCTATCCCAACTGATATACGTGTCCTTGCAAAAATGTTGATGACGTCATCACAATTTTTTTTTTAAATTCCCACTACAAAAATGTAATGAGAAAAAAAAACACAATAGGCATGCAGTCGTCAAGTTTCCGACAGCGAGGGAAGTACTGTCTAAACTCTTTAGACCAATTTTTTGGAATTGGTTTTACCAAAGCACATTTCCATTGGCTAGGAATTTGACTTAGTTCAAAAGAGTAATTGATGATGTGAGTTAGAGGATGTAAAATCCATGGAAGAGCCATTTGCAACATTTTACCTGATACTCCATCAAGGCCAGCAGCGTAAGACTTTTGTTTTGAAATGAGTTCACTAATCGTGTCAGTATTTGCGGGATGATAAGAAAATTTTGAGTTGTTATCATAATATTGAGATGAGAATTCGGATAAATACTCGACATAAATACGGAAAATTATATGGTTATTCTTATCTAAGTAGCTACTCGCTGCTTACTTAATTAAACAGCGCGCTTCAACACTCGATGCAACACGCATTTTCAGATGCGAAGAGGCAAACTCGCAAATTGCCTCTACAGTAGACGCACAATTGGTATCCTTTAATATGCAAGCAACCTGCATTACACTCATAAACGGTATGAGTTGAAAAAAGATCAAAAGTGAGTTGATTTTGGAAATTTTTATCGATATTGAGAGTTTTTCCATAGATGGGTATTCGTGTAGTCCTGGTCAAGCCGATTTTAGCGGAATTTCTGGAGAAAAAGGGGAGTTGTACCTTCAGAAAGTCAAGCAGAAGTCATTAGAGTTGACAAAAATGGGGTGGAAGCGGCCGCTGCTTCTTCAGCTGGTGAGTGAACGATTTAGGGTTTGTTTTTGTAACATAATTGTTTCTAGATGTTCCCATATATTCGATAGCTATGGACAAGTTTGTGGCAGATCACCCTTTCATGTTTTATATTAAGGTGAAGGGGGTGGTTTTGTTTGAAGGAAGAGTGCTAGAGCCACAATATTAGAGTTGTATGAAATGTTGTACTGAGTTAAAAATCTTCAAAATAAACCTTACTTCGAACTAAATCTTATCTGGTGCTTATTATTTATCATGCTGAAATTAAGTGACACGTACTTAAATCTAGATCAAGAAAATGATAAAAACATCTTGAAGGGATTTTTTTACACAAAAAAAAAATAAAAGTGCTTTTCATGTAACAAAAAAGTGGTCTGATAGATTACAAGGTAATATAAAACGAGATCTGCCGTCACCAAGCATACTAAACCAAGATGAAACTCTTTCTAGTACTCTCCTTGTGTGCAACAGCGGCCTTCGCCAGCGAAGCAGACCTCCAAAAGTTTGCTACCAGTAGCAAACTCTTCACAGGAGCCGTCTACAAAGTAAGTTATCAATTTAACTTTTCGTCTTCATTGTCTCGGTAGGAGCTTCTAGTTGACAACAACGACAACATCCTCGTCAGCCCCTTCTCCGCTGAAACCGTCCTCGCTCTAACCCAATCCGGCGCTATCGGCCTCACCGGCGAAGAAATCCGCTCCAGCCTCTTCCTCCCAGACACCAAAGAAGAAACCGAAGCCATCATCAAGAGCGTCCTCCCCACAATCCAAAGCGACCAATACACCCTAAAAACGGCCAATAAAATCTACGTGGAAGACAACTTAGCCATCAAACAAGACTTCCAGAAAGTAGCAACCGACGTGTACCAAGCGGGTTTCCAAAGCATCGAGTTCGCAGAAAGCGTAGAAGCCGCCGAAGAAATCAACCAATGGGTAGAGGAACAAACCAACGACAAGATCCACGACCTGGTGTCCCCTGACGCGTTGAACGAAAACACGAGGGTGGTTCTTGTAAACGCTCTCTACTTCCAAGCCAACTGGTCTATCCCGTTCATACCCGATCTAACAACAAAGGCCACGTTCTACGCCCCCAACGACGAAGAAGTTGAATCCGATTTTATGTTCATCAAATCAGAAGCGTTAAACTTTTACGAGAGCGAGGAACTCGACGCGAAATTTTTGCAGTTGCCTTTCTTGGGGGAGAGTGCTTCCATGACGTTTGTGGTCCCGAATAAGAAAGAAGGGATTGCTGTGTTGGAGAAACAATCGGCGGATGTGTTGAATGTGCCTGAGTACAAGCAGGAGGTTCTTCAAGTTTCGTTGCCGAAGTTCAAGATTGAGGCTACGGTTGATTTTGAGAATATTTTGGAGAATGTAAGTTCGCGTTGTTTGTAATCTTGCAAGGTTCATTTTTGGGTTGTAGTTGGGAGTGCACGCTGCTTTTAATCCAGAGGTTGTCGATTTTAGTGGAATTGCTGGAAAACCTGGTGACATTGTCATCAGCAAAGTTACGCAGAAGACGTTTATTGATGTTAACGAGGTCGGGGTAGAGGCAGCTTCTGCTACGGGTATTGGTGAGTGGTTTTAAGAGATGGGGTTCTTGTTGGTCATGTTTGGGTTGTAGTTGTTCCTATCAACCCAGCACCACCGGCTCTTCAGATTTTCACTGTTGACCGTCCCTTCATGTTCTATATAACAGTGAACGATGTGGTTCTTTTCGAAGGAAGGGTGTTGGTCCCGAATTATTAAAATGTATTAACTGTTGTATGATTATATTACTTACTTGAAAATAAAGCATCATCTTTTATGTTCAAATGTTTCAATATATTTTTTGATAACTGATTAAAGTATATACTTATAGATAGCGAACAAAAAATTTGAATGGCATTTTGCATGTGATAAAGAAGTATTTATTTTAAAAATAATCATGATAATAATATTTATTATCGCACTTATAGATCTAGATAGTTGCAATTATAGATAATAATTGATCTTTGTGAGGTGCATATAATAAAGCATATTCAAAATATTTTAACCTAATTTATTTAGTCCTTGTTTTTAATTTCGTGTGGGCCCTTTAAATTTATAAGTTCCTAATAATAAGCAATACAAAATTTCTGCTCATAGTAATGGGAATTCGAAAAGAAATGCAAGAATTGGAAAAGGGAAGTAATAATAAAAACGGACTAATGAAGAAAGTAATACAGTTGGATAATAATCGATGGGAAATAATAACGGTTTATTGCAAAAAAATGGAGGAAACCAAGATAAACATAGAAAAGGAAACAAAAGAAAAAAGAGATGGAAAAATACTTATAGGAGGGGATTTTAACGCAAGGGGACAAGAATATAGATAAAGAAAAGAGAGGGAAAAGAGGATCAAAAGACAAAGGAAATAACAAAGAAGGCAAAATATCGTGGGAGATAATAAGAGAAATGGGATGGGAAATTCTGAATGGAAACAAGGAAGGAGATGAAGAAGAAGAATGGACGTACACAGGGGCTAGGAGAGAATCAATTATAGACTAGAAATAAAAATCAAAGGAAAAAAGAAAGAGTACGAAAAACAAAAGAGAAGAAACGAAAGAAAAGAAATAGAAAAAAGAATATGGCATAAAGAGGGAATTCAAAGATATAGAAGTAGACTAGAAAAAAAGAAATTCGAAGTGAAAGAAGATATAGCAACCATAATAGCAGAACTGATCAACCTAATTGTAGAAGCTACGGAAAAAAGAAAGATATACAGATGGCAAGGGAGGAATAATGGATGTAACGGAGAATGTAGTAAGTTGAAGAGAAAAGTAAGAGAAAAATTAAGAAAATAGAAGAATAACAAGAGAAGGAAAGAAGAGTACCTAAAAGCAAGAGAGAATTATAGGATAAAATGGGAAGAAAGAAAAAGAGAAAAAACGAGAAGCAGAAGAAGAGAAGACAATAAAGTCCCTGAAAACAGAAAAAGAAGTATGGAGATATATAAACAAGGAACGGAGAAGGAAGACTGAAGTCAGTAGGAAAATCAAAATACATGAATGGAAAAGACACTTTATGGAATTATTGGGAGGTTGTGAGGAAAAATGCTGCAAAATAAACAAAGGAATCACAACGACGGAAGAAATGTGGAGAGGTTCCCAAATAACAGAAGATGAAATAGGAAGACAGATTGAGAGACCGAAAAGAGGTAAGGCATCAGGAGGGGATGGAATCCAGAACGAAGCGTGGATGTTCGAGACAGAAGGAGTGAAAGAAAGGATATGGGAAGTAGCAGATGGAGTTTGGAAAGGAAAAGAGTTTCCTCGGCAGTGGAGAGAAGGATAATAATCCCATTAAAATAATAAATTAATACTACTAGAAAGTTTCAGCTTTATTTTTCCACTCTTTGTCACATCTTTTATCTCCAAATGAACAAATCGTTTTTGACAACTCAATAAAATCTAGATCAACAAACAAACAAAATTTGTACTTTACAAACGATGGTGAAACACTCGTTTTTAAATTAGCCACGATAAAAAAATTTTTGAAGATACGATCTGTTTGACGTATTTTCATAAGTGTTTTTAATTTAAATATTCGACAAACAAATAACTTGATCGATTACAAATACATATAAAAACACGACTTCAGTCTTACTTCTCAGACACGCAAAAATGAAAACCCTTCTACTACTACTTTGTGCAACTGCGGCTTTTGCCGACGACACAGGCATCGAACAGTTCGCTTCCAGCAGCAAACTCTTCACCGGATCCGTCTACAAAGTAAGTCTTTATTTGAAATTTCGTAGTCAATCTAAACACCTGAACAGGAAGTCCTAGTTGACAACAACGACAACATCCTCGTCAGCCCCTTCTCCGTCGAAACCATCCTCGCCCTCACCCAATCCGGCGCCGTCGGCGTCACGGGTGCAGAAATCCGCTCCAGCCTCTTCCTCCCAGAAACCAAAGAAGACACAGACGCCCTCATCAAAACCGTCCTCCCTGCCCTCAAAAGCGACCAGTACACTCTAACAACCGCCAACAAAGTCTACGTCGAAAACAACTTCGCCATCACACAAGACTTCCAGAAAGTCGCAACCGACGTCTACCAAGCGGCTTTCCAAAGCATCGAGTTCGCGGAAAATGTAGCAGCAGCGGAAGAAATCAACAAATGGGTGGAGGAAGAAACGCACGACAAGATCCACGACCTTGTGACTCCTGATGACTTAGACGAAAACACGAGAGTGGTCCTGGTCAATGCTTTGTATTTCCAAGGGAATTGGACCACTCCGTTTGAACCCCTATTCACCAAGAAAGCCACGTTTCACTCCCCTAATGACAAGACCGTCGAAACCGACACCATGTTTATAGAGTCAGCGGAGTTCAATTTTTACGAAAACGAAGAACTAGACGCTAAATTTCTGGAGTTGCCTTTCGTGGGGGAGGGGGCTTCTATGACGTTCGTTCTCCCGAATAAACAAGACGGGATTGCCGTTCTGGAAAAGCAAGCAGGGGATGTTTTGAAAACGCCGGAGTACACGAAAGAGTTTGTGCAGGTGTCGCTGCCTAAGTTTAAAGTGGAGGATGCGGTTGAGTTTAAGGAGATCCTAGAAAGAGTAAGTTAGGGTGTTTTTTTTTTGTGTGAGGGTAAAGGTTTGGTTGTAGTTGGGAGTGCATGCCGCTTTTAACCCAGAAGTGGCTGATTTTAGCGGGATCGCCGGACTTCCTGGAGACATCATGATCAGTAAAGTTACTCAGAAGACTTTCATTGATGTTAATGAAATGGGAGTGGAGGCGGCGGCTGCTACAGCTATTGGTGAGTAGTATGAAGAGGTGAATCAATTTTGAATTGTGGTTTTTAGTTGGACCTACGAATGTTCCGCCACCACCTACGCAAGTGTTCATTGCTGATCATCCTTTCGTTTTCTATATATCTGTCAACGGTGTGGTGTTGTTCGAAGGGAGAGTGTTGGTGCCTAGTTACTAGGTGATTTGTTTTGGCTGTTGATAAATAAAGTGATATAAAATAAAATGTACTATCTAAATTACCGAATTGACCTTTTGTGCATTATCTCTAACTTGTTGCCAGCCGCACAATTCCACAAATCATTTTGTGTCCCCTCACCACAATGAAGACACTCGTCATTCTTTTCTGCTTTATCAGCACAATCTCTGCAAACAATGCAGACGAATTTACAAAAGCAAACAACCAATTTGCCTCAACCGTGTACAAAGTAAGTCCACAATTTTCCACTTTGTTGAAAATTGAAAATTATTTTGCAGGAAATCGCCAAAAACGAAAAACAAAATTTCTTGGTGAGTCCATTCTCGGCGGAAACCATTTTAGCTCTGACTCATGCAGGCGCTAAAGGTCAAACCGCCCAAGAACTACAAAGTGCCATACACCTCCCCGAAGACAACAAAAAAATTGAAGAAGGAGTTAAAACTTTGCTTCCAGCTTTGAAAGGTCACGATGCTTACACCCTTCAAACCGCCAACAAGATGTACATACGAAACAACTTCGAGATAAAGCCCGAGTTCAGAAAAGTTGCAACTGAAGCTTTCTTCGCCGATAGTGAAACCATCGACTTTAAAAAAAATGTCAAGGCGGCTGAAACTATGAACAAGTGGGTGGAGAAGCAAACCGAGAACAAAATCCAGAATTTGATAAGTCCGGACGTGGTGAATAATAAAACAAGGCTTATTTTGATAAACGCGTTGTACCTTAAGGCCAACTGGTCATCGCCCTTTTATCTTTCATACACTAGGAAGATCGATTTTTACAAGAGTGCTTCAGATGTTGTCAAAGTAGACGCGATGACTAACATATATGGACAAACATTTCTCTTTTTCGAATGTCATCATCTCAACGCCAAGTTTCTAGAACTACCGTTTAAAGGTGGGGAAGCTTCGATGACTATTATTTTACCAAATGACAAAGACGGTTTGTCAAAACTCGAGAATGATTTGGAGAGAGCTTTAGTCCCTCATAATCTTACTCATGAGATGGTGGAAGTGCAAATACCCAAATTTAAAATCGAAAGCAAAATTGACTTGAAAGAGATTCTCAGAAATGTATGATAAGTCAGCGTTGTGACACTTATATAAAATTTTGTTGTAGCTAGGAGTAGTGACGGTGTTTACTGATTTTCAAGCCGATCTTAGTGGTATTGCGGGTGAGCCGGGTGACTTGGTTGTCAATAAGGTGATTCAGAAGAGTTTCATCGATGTTAATGAAGAAGGCGTGGAAGCAGCCGCTGCCACATTCTCTCGTGAGTCAAAAAAACTGTATTTATTTTTTTAAATATTTTTATTTTTCAGTTGTTGCTATACCCGATAGTGCCTATGATGACAAACCTAAAGAATTTTTTGCCGATCATCCTTTTATTTTCTACATTAAAGCCAAAGGAGTGATCATATTCGTAGGAAGGGTTACTGATCCTAGCAAGTGATTAAAATATTTTGACTCAATTTATAATTAAAAAAAACATATCAGAATAAAGTTTCTCTGCACCACAGTTGTTTATTTTAATTCTAAACCCACAAAAAAAATTTTATCTCAGACTTCAACACAGCAAATTTGATGTTTTTTCAAAATTGAAAACTCAGCTCAAATAAATCGTTGACCTTTGGTGCATTATCTCCGAATTTGTTGATCGGGTAAATATAACACGAGTTCCACAGATCAGTTTGTACTGAAAGTGCAGCAATGAAGACCTACATCACCCTTGTCTCCTTCATCACCGTGGTTTTTGCAACCACCGCAGATGAATTTACAAAAGCAAACAACAAATTTGCTTCAGCCGTGTACAAAGTAAGTCAATCTTCCACTTTGCCAAAAATGCAAAATTCCCTTCTAGGAAATCGCCAAAAACGAAAATGAAAACTTCTTGATTAGTCCATTCTCGGCGGAAACCATTCTAGCTTTAACTCACGCAGGGGCTAAAGGTCAAACCGCCAAAGAACTACAAAATGCCATCTATCTTCCCGAAGACAACAAAAAAATTGAAGAAGGGGTTAAAACTTTACTTCCGTCTTTGAAAGGACACGATGCCTACACCCTTCGAACCGCCAACAAGATGTACATAAAAAACGACTTCCATTTAAACCCCGGCTTCCGAAAAGTTGCAACTGAAGCCTTCTTCGCCAATACTGAAAGCATCGACTTTGTGCGAAACGTCAAGGCTGCTCACGTTATGAACAACTGGGTCGAGAAGCAAACCGAGAACAGAATCCAGAATTTGATAAATCCGAGCGTTTTGAATAATGAAACGAGGCTCGTTTTGATAAACGCGTTGTACTTTAAAGCCAACTGGTCGCACCCGTTTCATCTTTCACACACGACGGAGATCGACTTCTACAAGACTGCTACGAATGTTGTCAAAGTGGATGCTTTGGCTAATGATCACGGACAAGAATTTCTCTTCTATGAATGTGGTCGTGTTAACGCGAAGTTTCTAGAATTACCGTTTAAAGGTGGAGAGGCTTCGATGACCATCATTTTACCAAATAAGAAAGAGGGTTTGACAGAACTCGAAAATAATTTGGATCGTGTTTTAATCCCTCATAATCTGACGTATCAGACGGTTGAAGTGCGAATCCCCAAATTCAAAATCGAAAGCGAAATTAACTTGAAGGAAATTCTCAAAAATGTACGTTAGGTTAATAGTTTAACAATTATGTAACAGTTTTCTTGCAGCTGGGTGTTACAACAATATTTAAAGATTTTGAAGCTGATCTCAGTGGCATTGCTGGTCAACGTGGTGATTTGGTTGTCAATGAGGTGCTCCAGAAGAGTTACATCGATGTTAATGAGGAGGGAGTAGAAGCAGCTGCCGCTACGTTTTCTAGTAAGTCGACGAAAAAATTGTCAAGGTTGTACTAATAGGAAAATTTTTGTAGTTGTTTATGTATCCCTGCAGGGCTTTCTCGACGAACCACAGCAATTTTTTGCCGAGCATCCTTTCATTTTCTACATTAAGGTTAAAGGAGTGATCGTATTCGTAGGAAGGGTTACTGATCCTTCCAACTGATTGTTTCTATGTAAATATTTACACACAATTTAATAACTGAAACTATATCAAAATAAATTTGTCTGAATTTTTTTCTGTTATTTGCACGAGTTTTTTTATCATCGGGATAACCCAGACATCAACGCAGCAAATTTGATGTTTTTCTTAAACTTGAAAAGTCAGCTCGAGGAAATCCTTGACCTCTGGTGCATTATCTCTGAATTGTGATAATCGAATAAATATCACCCGAACAAGTTCCACAGCTCAGATTATCTCTATCCAGAGTGCAGCGAACAATGCAGACGAATTCACAAAAGCAAACAACAAATTTGCCTCAACCGTCTATAGTGTTAAAGACAATCTTCCACTTTGTCGAAAGTCAAAAATTTTCTTGCAGCAAATCGCCAAAAACGACAATGAAAATTTCTTGGTGAGTCCACTCTCGGCCGAAACTGAAAAAAAATCCTCAATGCGCTTAAATATACCCCTTTCATTTGGAAGATACAAAGTAGTTACATTTTTTTAAAACAATATCTAGTAAAAATGAGTTTAAAACTAGTTTGAATGAGGAGATTTGGAAACTTTAGAATTTTCAGAAACTTTAGAATCTTTAAAATCATAAGAATCCTTAAAATTGTTAGAAAATTTAGAATCTTTGGAATCTCTAGAATCTTTAAAGTTTTTAAGATCTCTAAAACCTCTAGAGTCTTTAGAAAATTTAGATTATTTTAGAATCTTTAGAATCTCTCGTCAAAATTTCTAGCATTTTTTTAATCTCTAGAATCGCTAGTCTCTAAAATTTGTACGATCTCTAGATTGTCTAAATTTTCTACAGTTTATGGAATTGCTGGAATCTGCATACCTAATCCCTGGAATATCGAGAATTTTTGAAACCTTTACAACCAAATTCAGGAATCCCTGAAATTTTTGTAATCTTGGCATTTCCTGAATTCTTTGCAATCTCCGAATTTTTCATAACCTTTGATTTTTCTGAAACTTCTAGAATTTTTGATATAAAAATGATTTGGAAATTTTAGAACCTCTAGAAACTTTAGAATCCTTAAATCAATAGAATCCCTAAAACTCTTAGAAGATCTAGGATCTTTAGAATGTTTAGAATCTTTACAGTCTCTTAAGATCTCTAAAACCTCTACAGTCTTTAGAACTTTAGATTATTTTAGAGGCTTTAGAATCGTCAAAATTTCTAGAATCTATAATCTTTGGAATCTCTCTTCGCAATTTCTACCATTTTTTTAATCTCTAGAATCGCTAGTCTCTAAAACTTGTACGATCTCTAGATTGTCTAAATTCTCTACAAATTATAGAATTACTGGAATCTGTATAATCCCTGGAATATCGAGAATTTTTGAAACCTTTACAACCAAATTCAGGAATCCCTGAAATTTTTGTAATCTTGGCATTTCCTGAATTCTTTGCAATCTCCGAATTTTTCATAACCTTTGATTTTTCTGAAACTTCTAGAATTTTTGATATAAAAATGATTTGGAAATTTTAGAACCTCTAAAAACTTTAGAATCCTTAAATCAATAGAATCCCTAAAATTCTTAGAAAATCTAGAATCTTTACAGTCTTTAAGATCTCTAAAACCTCTAGAATCTATAGAAACTTTAGATTATTTTAGGGTCTTTAGAATCGTCAAAATTCTTAGAATCTATAGAATCTTTAGAATCTTTAGAATCTTTCTTCAAAATTTCTACCATTTTTTAAATCTCTAGAATCGTTGGAATAGCTAGACTCTAAAATTTGTACAATCTCTAGATCGTCTAAATTCTCTACAATTTCTAGAACTACTGGAATCTGTATAATCCCTGGAATATCGAGAATCTTTGAAACCTTAACAACCAAATTCAGGAATCGCTGAAATTTTTGGAATCTTGGCAATTCCTGAATTCTTTGCAATCTCCGAATTTTTCATAACCTTCTAGAATTTTTGATATAAAAATGATTTGGAAATTTTAGAACGTCTAGAAACTTTAGAATCCTTAAATCAATAGAATCCCTAAAATTCTTAGAAGATCTAGAATCTTTAGAATGTCTAGAATCTTTACAGTCTCTTAAGATCTCTAAAACCTCTAGAATCTATAGAAACATTTTTAGTTGTTTTTTTTTCAGGTGTTATTACACCAGTGATGGCCTACATTAACAAACTCAAATAATTTTTTGCTGATCACCCTTTCATTTCCTACATTAAGGTTAAAGGAGTCATTATATTCGTAGGAAGGGTTACTGATCCTTCCAAGTGATTGTTCCTAAGTAAGCAAATATTTTCAAACAATTTAATAACTGAAACTATAATAATAATATGTAAAAAAATCTATATCAGAATAAATTTCTCTGATTTTTTCGCCGTTTTTTCCATGAGTTTTGTTATTATCGGGATAACATAGACATCAACAGAGCAAATTACTTAGATGTTTTTCCTAAACTTGAGAACTCAGGTCGAGCAAATCCTTGACCTCTTGTGCATTATCTCTGAATTTTGTTGATCGGGTAAATATCACTCGAACACGTTCCACAGCTCAGTTTGTCTCTACCAAGAGTGCAGCGATGAAGACCTCCCTCATCATTTTGTCTTTCATCGGCATAGTTTTAGCAAACGATGAAGACGATTTCACAAAAGCAAACAACAAATTTGCTTCAACCGTCTATAGTGTAAGTCCAAAATCTTCCACTTCGTCGAAAGTCAAAATTCCTTCGTAGGAAATCGCCAAAAACAAAAAAGAAAACTTCTTGGTAAGTCCATTCTCGGCGGAAACCATTTTGGCTTTAACGCACGCAGGGGCTAAAGGTCCAACCGCCCAAGAGCTACAAAACGCCATACATCTTCCAGGAGACAACAAAAAAATTGAAGAAGGAGCTAAAACCTTGCTTCCATCTTTACAAACACACGATCCTTACACTCTTAAAACCGCTAACAAGATGTACATAAAAAACAACTTCGAGATAAAACCCGATTTCAAACAAGTTGCAACTGAAGCTTTCTTCGCCGACAGTGAAAGCATCGACTTTGTTGAAAATGTCAAGGCTGCTGAAACCATGAACACCTGGGTGGAGAAGCAAACCGAGAACAGAATCCAGAATTTGATAAGTCCCGACGTTGTGAATAACGAAACAAGACTCGTTTTGATAAACGCGCTGTATTTTAAAGCCAACTGGTCATCGCGTTTTCATCTTTCATACACTAAAAAGATCGATTTTTACAAGAGTGCTGCAGATGTGGTCAAAGTAGACGCGATGACTAATAAACACGGACAAAGATTTCTCTTTTTTGATTGTCATCATCTCAACGCCAAGTTTCTAGAATTACCGTTTAAAGGTGAGGAAGCTTCGATGACCTTTATTTTGCCAAATGACAAAGACGGTTTGCCACGACTCGAGAGTGATTTGGAGAGAGCTTTAGTCCCACATAATCTGACACGTGAAAGGCTGACAGTGCAATTACCCAAATTTAAAATCGAAAGCAAAATTGACTTGAAGAAGATGCTGAAAAACGTACGATAACTTAACACTGTAACAATTATTTAATAGTTTTGTTGCAGCTAGGAGTAGTGACAGTATTTACAGATTTTCAAGCCGATCTTAGTGGTATTGCGGGTGAGCCCGGTGACTTAGTTGTCAATGAGGTGGTCCAGAAGAGTTTTATCGATGTCAATGAAGAAGGAGTGGAAGCAGCAGCTGCCACGTTTGCTCGTAAGTCAAAAAAGTTATAAAACATTAATTTATAGTTGTTTTTTTTTTTTAGTTGTTGCTGTACCCATGATGGGCTTCTCCAACAAACCCAAAGAATTTTTAGCTGATCACCCTTTCATTTTCTACATTAGGGTTAAAGGAGTGATCATATTCGTCGGACGGGTTATTGATCCTTCCAACTAACTATGCAACAAAATATGTTCACTCAATTGAATAAAAATTGTATATAAATTGTATATTTAATTATCGTCGGAAAAGCCAATGAACCGATTTACCAGAAATGTTTACCACACACCAAACTTATTTTCGTGTTTATCTAATCAATAAAAACTGCTTCTTGACCTCCTCCAATCACAGTTTCTTTCGTGTTGCCTTCGCAACAACAACATGATGCTGTTCCTCCTAGCTTTCGTTCTTTGCGTTGCTTCGGCAGAAGATTCCCACGTTTCCCTAAACGCGAACAACCTCTTCACCCCCACCGTTTACAAAGTAAGTGACTTGTGAGTAAAACCCACCTAGACAAAACTTTCCAGGAAATCGCCAAATCAGAAACTGGAAACTTCTTAGTGAGTCCCTTTTCGGCCAAAATCATTCTATCTCTAGCTCAGTCCGGCTGCAAAAACGAAACGGCGAAAGAAATCAGACAGGCTTTGTACCTCCCAGACGACAACTCTAAAATACAAAGCCAAGTTAAAAACGTCCTTTCTGCTTTAACCAAAAACGAATATGCTTTACACGCAGCCAACAAGATCTACGTCAAGGAAAACTTTGCGATTAATGACGAGTTCAAACAAGAAGCGGTGGAAGTGTATCAATCTGAAATCGAAAGCCTCGATTTTTGTAAAAAAGAGGAAGCTGCGACTGCGATGAACCAGTGGGTGGAAGAGAAAACCCAAAACAAGATACAGAATTTGATAAATCCAGACATACTAGACAACAAGACGAGAGCCGTCTTGATAAACGCTCTTTATTTTCAAGGGAACTGGTCAATAACGTTCCCACCGATGCTAACAGCCAAAGCTAACTTTTACAAAAGTGAGAACGAAGTGGTTGAAGTCGACACCATGAACCTCGAAGACGAAGAACTCTTGTACTACGAGTGTCCCTATTTAAACGCCAAATTGTTAGAACTTCCATTCAAGGGTGAAGGCGCCTCCATGACCATCGTGCTCCCCAACGAAAAGCATGGTTTAGCTTCCCTCGAAAGCAACATCAAGTGGGTTTTCACCCCCCATAACCTAACTCTGGAGACTGTAAGCGTCGCCTTACCCAAATTTAAAATCGAGAGTCAGCTCGACTTGAAAGCCGTTCTCCAAAATGTGAGTACCGTAGTTAAGTTTGACCAGATTTTAATTCAGTTGTAGTTGGGGGTTGCCAAAGTTTTTGATGAGGAGCAAGCAGACTTGAGCGGGATTGCTGGAGAAAAAGGGGATTTGATAATAAGCGCGGTTGTTCAGAAGACGTTTGTTGAAGTGGACGAGAAGGGGGTGGAAGCTGCCGCCGCCACCTACATCCGTAAGTGTGACGTTTTTGTTTGTTAAAATCTAGAGAAAGTGTTGCAGCTGTGATTGTTCCTGATATGGGGGTTGTGGATCCGAAGACGTTCATAGCAGACCACCCCTTCATCTTCTACATCAAGGTGAAAGGAGTGATATTGTTTGCAGGTCGGGTCGTACTACCAACTTTGTGATTGTAAATATATTGTGACACTCAGTTAATATTTAGGGTTTTTTACCCGCCCAGCAAAAAGAATACATTTTTTGTATAATATATAGTAAATAAATGGACGATTAAAGACGATCTCTTTGGGTGGTTGTGAAACGACAGAAGTTGCAACGACACCTGTGGAATCAAAATTAAAATAACCATAACATCGATTGACTTACATACCAACATAGGTAGCAGCTGCTGCTTCCACCCCTCCTTCATTCAAATCGATGAAAGCCTTCTGGACCACCTTGCTTACCACCAAGTCACCCTTCTTTCCAGAAATCCCGCTCAAATCAGCTTGCGCAGGGTCAAAAATTTTGCTTGCACCTAACTTCAAAAACATCAAAATTGCCAACTAATTCAACATGTACTCACACTTTGCAACGTTGCCTTCAGGTCCATGGTATTGTCAAACTTGAATTTGGAGATGGCGACGTTAACGTATGTCGATTCCAGCTGCCTTGAAACGTTAAAAACCTCACAAGCGTGCTTTTCCAACTCCGAAAGCCCGTCTTTAGCTTGAGGAAGCACAAACACCATAGAAAAATCGTCATTTGCAAAAGACAATTCCAGAAACTCAGCTTTCAAGCTTTTGCTTTCGTGGTACTTGAAGTGTTTGCGCGAATGGTGCAAAAAGTCCACTTTGACCACATCGTTTGCCGTTCTGTAGAAATCCCCCTTCTGGGTGTTACTCACCGAGAACTGCACCGACCAGTTCCCTTTGAAACGCAACGCGTTGACCAGCACGAGAACTGTATCCGGTGTTAGAGCGTCCGGAGTTACCAGGTTCTTGATGACGTTGTGGGTTTTGTTCTCCACCCATTTGTTAATAGTGTCGGCTGCTTGTTGTGGTTTGCCGAAATCCAGGGTTTCAGAAAGAGCGTCAAAATAATCTTTTGCTACAGTCAAGAAGGTGTCTTTGATTTTGAAGTCCTTCTGTGCGAATAGTGCGTTGGCTATGTTGCAGGCGACTTTGTCGTTCTTTTGGAGTTGTCCAAGAAGGGTTTTTTCTTCGGTTTGAATTTGTTTTTTGTCGTTTGGAAGGTGTAAGGTTTGGGCGAGTTCTTGCGCTGTTGATCCTTCGCAGCCGGAGTGGAGAAGAGCTAAGACTGTGTCGGCGGAAAGGGGGCTGAGGATGAGGTTGCCTGTTTCGGTTTTGATTATTTGCTACGGTGGTTGTGTTAATGGGTTAACGATTATGGAAAGAGTTACCTTGTATAGGTCAGAAGTGAAGCGATTGTTGGCTTCTATTATTTTTAATGGTTGGTTTTGAGCTGTGGCGGCAGCCATAAGTAGTAAGAAAACTAGAAGAGTCATTTTGATACTTGAAAGTGATAGACAGAAGTGTTTATTTGTAACTAGATCGTTTAAATAAAATATAATTTTAAGGCCACAAATGACGTCAACGAAAAATATATGTGTTAAAAATGCATACCTGTGTACAGAATTTACTGATAAGTACACAAACCTGTGAATTTTAATAACTGACCTTCCAATTGGGTTATTTACGTGTGGTAAAAAAAGAAACATTGCTATTTTAAGAATGAAATAAACATCGAACATATACTTTAAAGTACTATTTTTTGTTTTCGAACAGAGGCACCAACAATAACAACTTACAAGCTTGATATTTCATAACAATGCAATAATACTTCAAGCATGTTTCACTACGCATTTTCTTGTGCAGAAATATGGACTTCGCGATTAAGCGACGAATAAAAAAAATAATCACAGTTCATAAGGGGCGGGTGGGTGGAGCTTATCCATTACCTTCTTTTTTAATACACGCAGTCTTCTTTCAAAGATTTTTTTTTTCTCTTCTGCATTCCCTATTTCTTTTTAAAACAATTCGATAATACTTCAAACAAGTTTCACTCAGTAATTTTTTGTCTCACAACTAAGTAAAAATTTATCACAATTGAGAGGGGAGCGGGTGGGCGGGGCAAAATTTTTGGTTTCCTTTTCTTAATATATTTATATCTCTAACTTCCTTTCAACAATACGATATTTGAAACATGTTTTTTTTGTAAAGAAATATGAACTTGGCAGTTAAGCTCCGCCTCCCGTCTCACGACGAATAAAAAAGATTATCATATTTTAAACGGGGCTAGTGGGTGGGGCTAATCCATTGACTTTCACCAATAAAATGCTTGAAATATCAAATGGCGAATTATTATGTTTTAAGTGTGGTTTTGTAGAAAAAAAAAACTGTATATATTAAGAGAAAAAAGTAAATGATTAAGCCCCGCCCACCCACCCCAATCTCAATTATGATGAACTTTTCATTTGTTGTGGGTTCGAAGGAGGAGTTTAATTGCAAAATCCACTTTTGTTTACAAACATGTACCATTTTAAAAATATTTTAAATTTGTTCTTGCGAAAAGATGACTACAGCATATTAAGAAAAAACAAAGGCTCAGTAAATGCCCCGCCACTCGGCCCCATTGCAATTCTGTTAGTCGCAAGCCGGGGGGTGGAGCTTAATTACAAAATCTTTATTTCTCTACAAGAAATTACCATATGGAACGTGTTTTAAGTATCGTGTTGTTAAAAGAAAACTATATATAAATATTAAGAAAAGAAACGCATGATTAAACACCACCCACTCGCACAATTGATACCCGGGTGGGTGGGTGGGGCATAATTGTGATTAAACCCCACCCACCCACCGCTACGTCAATCGTGATGAATTTTTCATTCGTTGTCAGATCGAGGGGCGGAGCTTAATTGCACAATCCACATTTGTCTACAAAAATGTACCATTTTAAACATGTTTTAGGTTTCTTGTCGTAAAAATAAGACTGTCTCGAGACAAAAGACTGAGTTTTAATTACAAAATCCTTGTTTTTCTACAAAAAATTACCATGTGAAACTTGTTCTAAAGTAATGTATTCTTCAAAGAAAAAAGTTTTTTTCGCTTTGTCATTACCTATTTTTTCTTAAAACAATACGATAACATTTCAAACAAGTTTCACTCCGTAATTTCTTACACTGACTCACAACAAATAAAAAATTGATCACAATTGAGATCCGGGTGGGTGGGTGGGGCATAATTGTGATTAAACTCCATCCACCCGCCGCTCTTTGTATCATGATGAATTTTTCATTCGTTGTCACTCTTCCCACAAACACAATCACTCCTTTGACTTTGATATAGTAAAGAAAAGGTCTGTCTGCTTTCAATATCTTGTGTGGTTCTCGTGGAGTACTCATAGCAACTGCGATCACCAAACAACAAATTTCAACCGCTACCAAAACCAAAATCACAAAACTTTCATGACCCAACGTCCTCCTCAACAAAAAAGAGGGTTTAGTTTACCTCAAAACCAACATCAAGTGGGTTTTCAACCCCTTTAATCTAACTCTGGAGACCGTGAGCTTCGCCTTATCTAAATTAAAAATCGAAAGTCAGCGCGACTTGAAAGTCGTGCCTTAAAATGTGAGTACTGTAGTTAACTTTGACAAGATTTTAATTTCCCTGTAGTTGGGGGTTGTCAAAGTTTTTGAAAAGAAGCGAACAGACTTGAGTGGAATCGAGACCTTAAGTTCTTCATAGCAGACCAACTCTTCATCTTGTATATCAAGGTGGGAGGAGTGATATTGTTTGTAGGTCGTGTGGTACTACCAAATTTATGAATACATATTGTACAATCTCAACCAATATTTAGGGCTTTTTACCCGCCCAACAAAAAGAATACAATTTTTTACTGATATATAGAAAATAAAAGGACGATCAAAGACGATCTCTCTCGTTGGTTGTGTAACGACAGAAATCATAACATTAGCTACAAAATCAAAATTAGATGCAACCATATCACCGATTGCCATATGTACCAAAAACCGTAGCAACCGCCGTTTCCACTCCTACCTCATTTAAATCAATGAAAGCCGACTGGACCACCTGGTTTACCACCAGATCTCCCTTCTTACCAGAAATCCCGCTCAGATCAGCTGTCTCACGGTCAAAAAAGGGGGCTTAGGATGAGGTTGTCGGTTTCAGTTTTAATTATTTGCTACAATGGTTGTGTTAATAGATTAACGATTTTGGAAAGCGTTACCTTGTATAGATCAGATGTGAAGCGATTGTTGGCTTCTACTTATTATTTTTAAGTTTTGGTTCTGAGCTGTAGCGAAGGCCATTAATAATAGAAAAACCAGAAGAGTCATTTTTGATATTTGAATGTGATAGACAGGAATGTTTATTGGTAACACTATAATTGCAGTGTCACAAATGATGCCCATTGAAAGATATATGTGTAAAAATACGAGCCTGTGTACATAATTTACTGATAAGCGCACATGTTCAATAAGGTAGCGATCTACCATTTGGGTTATTTATGGGTGGAGTAAAAAAGAAATATTGCTATTTTAAGTATGTAAAAAAAACTGACACAATACAGTCATCAAACAAAAATATAACTTGCTAAATAGAGACTTCATAACAAAAACGTAAAATACAACATTGTATACTTCCAACCATTTCAATAAAACAGTGGACCTAAATTGAGGACCAGCTTTGCAGGGGTCGTTAAGCCGATCCATAAATTGCGGACCAAGTAAGGTACCTAATCTACCTAGAAATAGTACCGACATCGGCTAGAGACACTAGCTGATGATGTTAGTTTTTACTTTCTAACTTACTAGGAGTATTTAATTATCGCTAATGCTAAAAAATAGCACACAATTGACATCCGAGTGGGTGGGTGAGACATAATTATGATTAAACCCCACCCACTCGCCGCTATCTCAATCATGATGAATTTTTCATTCGTTGTTAGAGCGGGGGGCGGAGCTTAATTGCAAAATCCACATTTATCTACAAAAATGTACCATTTTAAACATGTTTTAGGTTTCTCGTCGTAAAAACAACACTATGTATATTAAGAAAAAAAGTAAAAATATAGGCCCCACCCACCCTATCTCATTTGTGATTATTTTTTCATTCGTCTTGACCCAAAAGACTGAGTAATTTCAAAAAATCCTTGTTTTTCTACAAAAAATTACCATGTGAAACTTGTTCTGAAATAATGCATTCTTCAAAAAAAAAAAAGTTTTTTTCTCTTCTTCATTGCCTATTTTTTCTTAAAACAATACGATAACATTTCAAGTTTCACTCCGTAATTTCTTACACAGACTCACAACAAATAAAGAATTGATCACAACTGAGATCCGGGTGGGTGGGTGGGTGGGGCATAATTGTGATTAAACTCCATCCACCCGCCGCTATCTGAATCATGATGAATTTTTCATTCGTTGTCAATCTTCCCATAAGCACAATCACTACTTTGACTTTGATATTGTTACGAAATAAACCCATACGCCGCCCCAGTACGACGCCTATGCGTCTTCTAGTATGTACGCGTTTCTTCTTGTATGTAGTATGACTCATGGGCCGCGCGGATGCAAGTGGATGTCGCGACGGGCCCAGAAAGAGTCTCGAAGCGGCGCTCAAAAAGCCTGGAACCGGAAGTCACGAATACCCAATTCGAGAAAGAGCTCGATCGCCGAAATAAAGATTTAAATAGAGGCCACCTTCGGGAATGAGGATTTATTCATGAAGTGATCACGTCGAGTCCAGCGAGTGTTCAAACAAGTTACGCCGAAGTTATTTTGTGCATAATTGCTGTAGTAGTTCTCATTGTGGTTCTCATGGAGTACTCATAGCAACTGCGATCACTAAACAACCAATTTCAACCCCTACCAAAACCAAAATCACAAAACTTACATGACCCAACGTCCTCCCCCACGAAAAGGAGGGTTTAGATTACCTCGAAACTAACATCAAGTGGGTTTTCACCCCCCATAATCTAACTTTGGAGACCGTGAGCGTCGTGAAAGTTGTCCCCCAAAATGTGAGTACTGTAGTTAATTTTGACCAGATTTTAATTTCTTTGTAGTTGGGGGTTGTCAAAGTTTTTGATATGGAGCGAGCAGACTTGAGCGGGATTGCTGGCGACAAAGGGGATTTGATATAATCAGCGCTGTTGTTCAGAAGAAGTTTGTAGAACTGAACCAGAAAGAGGGTCTTGTGGACCTTAAGTTGTTCATAGAAGACCACCCCTTCATCTTCTACATCAAGGTGAAAGGAGTGATATTGTTGCAGGTCGGGTCGTACTACCAACTTTGTGATTGTATATTGTGCACACTCAATCAATATTTAGGGTTTTTTACTCGCCCAGCAAAAAGAATACATTTTTTGTATAATATATAGTAAATAAATGGACGATTAAAGACGACGTCTTTCGGTGGTTGTGAGATGACAGAAGTTAAAACGACACCTGCATAATCAAAATTAGAGCAACTATAACACTGGTTGAAGTACGTACCGACATACGTGGCAGCCGCTGCTTCCACCCCTCCTTCATTCAAATCGATAAAAGCCTTCTGGACCACCTTGCTTACCACCAAGTCACCTTTCTTTCCAGAAATCCCGCTCAAATCAGCTTGCGCAGGGTCAAAAATTTTGCTTGCACCTAACTTCAAAAGCATCAAAATTGCCAACTAGTTCAACACGTACTCACACTTTGCAACGTTGTCTTCAGGTCCATGGTATTGTCAAACTTGAATTTGGGGATGGCGACATTAACGTATGTCGATTCCAGCTGCCTTGAAACGTCAAAAACCTCACATGCGTGCTTTTCCAACTCCGAAAGCCCGTCTTTAGCTTGAGGAAGCACAAACACCATAGAAAAATCGTCATTTGCAAAAGACAATTCCAGGAACTCAGCTTTCAAGCTTTTGCTTTCATGGTACTTGAAGTGTTTGCGCGAATGGTGCAAAAAGTCCACTTTGAGCACATCGTTTGCCGTTCTGTAGAAATCCCCCTTCTGGGTGTTACTCACCGAGAACTGCACCGACCAGTTCCCTTTGAAACGCAACGCGTTGACCAGCACGAGAATTGTATCCGCTGTTAGAGCGTCCGGAGTTACCAGGTTCTTGATGACGTTGTGGGTTTTGTTCTCCACCCATTTGTTAATAATGTCGGCTGCTTGTTGTGGTTTACCGAAATCCAGGGTTTCAGAAAGAGCGTCAAAGTAATCTTTTGCTACTGTCAAGAAGGTGTCTTTGATTTTGAAGTCCTTCTGTGCGAATAGTGCGTTGGCTATGTTGCAGGCGACTTTGTCGTTCTTTTGGAGTTGTCCAAGAAGGTTTTTTTCTTCGGTTTGAATTTGCTTTTTGTCGTTTGGAAGGTGTAAGGTTTGGGCGAGTTCTTGCGCTGTTGATCCTTCGCAGCCGGAGTGGAGAAGAGCTAAGACTGTGTCGGCGGAAAGGGGGCTGAGGATGAGGTTGCCGGTTTCGGTTTTGATTAGTTGCTACGGTGGTTGTGTTAATGGGTTAACGATTTTGGAAAGAGTTACCTTGTATAGCTCAGAAGTGAAGCGATTGTTGGCTTCTATTACTTTTGAGGGTTGGTTTTGAGCTGTGGCGGCGGCCATAAGTAGTTGGAAAACAAGAAGAGTCATTTTGATGCTTGAAAGTGATAGACAGGAGTGTTTATTTGTAACTAGATCGTTTAAATAGAAGGCCACAAATGACGTCAACGAAAAATATATGTGTTAAAAATGCATACCTGTGTACAGAATTTACTGATAAGTACACAAACCTGTGAATTTTAATAACTGACCTTCCAATTGGATTATTTACGTGTGGTAAAAAAAGAAACATTGCTATTTTAAGAATGAAATAAACATCGAACATATACTTTAAAGTACTGTTTTTTGTTTTCGGACAGAGGCACCAACAATAATAACTTACAAGCTTGATATTTCATAACAATGCAATAATACTTCAAGCATGTTTCACTACGCATTTGCTTGTGCAGAAATATGGACTTCGCGATTAAGCGTCGAATAAAAAAAATAATCACAGTTCATAAGGGGCGGGTGGGTGGAGCTTATCCATTACCTTCTTTTTTAATACACGCAGTCTTCTTTCAAAGATTTTTTTTTTCTCTTCTGCATTCCCTATTTCTTTTTAAAACAATTCGATAATACTTCAAACAAGTTTCACTCAGTAATTTTTTGTCTCACAACTAAGTAAAAATTTATCACAATTGAGAGGGGAGCGGGTGGGCGGGGCAAAATTTTTGGTTTCCTTTTCTTAATATATATCTCTAACTTCCTTTCAACAATACGATATTTGAAACATGTTTTTTTTGTAAAGAAATATGAACTTGGCAGTTAAGCTCCGCCTCCCGTCTCACGACGAATAAAAAAGATTATCATATTTTAAACGGGGCTAGTGGGTGGGGCTAATCCATTGACTTTCACCAATAAAATGCTTGAAATATCAAATGGCGAATTATTATGTTTTAAGTGTAGTATTGTTGAAAAAAAAAACTGTATATATTAAGAGAAAAAAGTAAATGATTAAGCCCCGCCCACCCACCCCAATCTCAATTATGATGAACTTTTCATTTGTTGTGGGTTCGAAGGAGGAGTTTAATTGCAAAATCCACATTTCTTTACAAACATGTACCATTTTAAAAATATTTTAAATTTGTTCTTGCGAAAAGATGACTACAGCATATTAAGAAAAAACAAGGGCTCAATATATACCCCGCCACTCGTCCCCATTGCAATTCTATTAGTCGCAAGCCGGGGGGTGGAGCTTAATTACAAAATATTTGCCTCTCTACAAGAAATTACCATATGGAACGTGTTTTAAGTATCGTGTTGTTAAAAAAAACTATATATAAATATTAAGAAAAGAAACGCGTGATTAAACACCACCCACCCGCACAATTGATACCCGGCTGAATGGGTGGGGCATAATTGTGATTAAACCCCACCCACCCGCCGCTACCTCAATTGTGATGAATTTTTCATTCGTTGTCAGATCGAGGGGCGGAGCATAATTGCAAAATCCACATTTGTCTACAAAAATGTACCATTTTAAACATGTTTTAGGTTTCTTGTCGTAAAAATAAGACTGTCTCGAGACAAAAGACTGAGTTTTAATTACAAAATCCTTGTTTTTCTACAAAAAATTACCATGTGAAACTTGTTCTAAAGTAATGTATTCTTCAAAGAAAAAAGTTTTTTTCGCTTTGTCATTACCTACTTTTTCTTAAAACAATACGATAACATTTCAAACAAGTTTCACTCCGTAATTTCTTACACTGACTCACAACAAATAAAAAATTGATCACAATTGAGATCCGGGTGGGTGGGTGGGGCATAATTGTGATTAAACTCCATCCACCCGCCGCTCTTTGTACATCATAATGAATTTTTCATTCGTTGTCACTCTTCCCACAAACACAATCACTCCTTTGACTTTGATATAGTAAAGAAAAGGTCTGTCTGCTTTCAATATCTTGTGTGGTTCTCGTGGAGTACTCATAGCAACTGCGATCACCAAACAACAAATTTCAACCGCTACCAAAACCAAAATCACAAAACTTTCATGACCCAACGTCCTCCTTAACAAAAAGGAGGGTTTAGTTTACCTCGAAACCAACATCAAGTGGGTTTTCACCCCCCATAATCTAACTCTGGAGACCGTGAGCTTCGCCTTATCTAAATTTAAAAATCGAAAGTCAGCGCGACTTGAAAGTCGTGCCCTAAAATGTGAGTACTGTAGTTAACTTTGACAAGATTTTAATTTCCCTGTAGTTGGGGGTTGTCAAAGTTTTTGAAAAGAAGCGAACAGACTTGAGTGGAATCGAGACCTTAAGTTCTTCATAGCAGACCATCTCTTCATCTTGTATATCAAGGTGGGAGGAGTGATATTGTTTGCAGGTCGTGTGGTACTACCAAATTTATGAATACATATTGTACAATCTCAACCAATATTTAGGGCTTTTTACCCGCCCAACAAAAAGAATACAATTTTTTACTGATATATAGAAAATAAAAGGACGATCAAAGACGATCTCTCTCGTTGGTTGTGTAACGACAGAAATCATAACATTAGCTACAAAATCAAAATTAGATGCAACCATATCACCGATTGCCATACGTACCAAAAACCGTAGCAACCGCCGTTTCCACTCCTACCTCATTTAAATCAATGAAAGCCGACTGGACCACCTTGTCTACCACCAGATCTCCCTTCTTACCAGAAATCCCGCTCAGATCAGCTGTCTCACGGTCAAAAAAGGGGGCTTAGGATGAGGTTGTCGGTTTCAGTTTTAATTATTTGCTACAATGGTTGTGTTAATAGATTAACGATTTTGGAAAGCGTTACCTTGTATAGATCAGATGTGAAGCGATTGTTGGCTTCTATTATTTTTAAGTTTTGGTTCTGAGCTGTAGCGACGGCCATAAATAATAGAAAAACCAGAAGAGTCATTTTTGATATTTGAATGTGATAGACTATAATTGCAGTGTCACAAATGATGCCCATTGAAAGATATATGTGTAAAAATACGAGCCTGTGTACATAATTTACTGATAAGCGCACATGTTCAATAAGGTAGCGATCTACCATTTGGGTTATTTATGGGTGTAGTAAAAAAGGAATATTGCTATTTTAAGTATGTAATAAAAACTGACACAATACAGTCATCAAACAAAAATATAACTTGCTAAATAGAGACTTCATAACAAAAACGTAAAATACAACATTGTATACTTCCAACCATTTCAATAAAACAGTGGACCTAAATTGAGGACCAGCTTTGCAGGGGTCGTTAAGCCGATCCATAAATTGCGGTACCTAATCTACCTAGAAATAGTACCGACATCGGCTAGAGACACTAGCTGATGATGTTAGTTTTTACTTTCTAACTTACTAGGAGTATTTAATTATCGCTAATGCTAAAAAATAGCACACAATTGACACCCGAGTGGGTGGGTGAGACATAATTATGATTAAACCCCACCCACTCGCCGCTATCTCAATCATGATGAATTTTTCATTCGTTGTTAGAGCGGGGGGCGGAGCTTAATTGCAAAATCCACATTTATCTACAAAAATGTACCATTTTAAACATGTTTTAGGTTTCTCGTCGTAAAAACAACACTATGTATATTAAGAAAAAAAGTAAAAATATAGGCCCCACCCACCCTATCTCATTTGTGATTATTTTTTCATTCGTCTTGAGCCAAAAGACTGAGTAATTACAAAATCCTTGTTTTTCTACAAAAAATTACCATGTGAAACTTGTTCTGAAATAATGCATTCTTCAAAAAAAAAAGTTTTTTTCTCTTCTTCATTACCTATTTTTTCTTAAAACAATACGATAACATTTCAAGTTTCACTCCGTAATTTCTTACACAGACTCACAATAAATAAAGAATTGATCACAATTGAGATCCGGGTGGGTGGGTGGGTGGGGCATAATTGTGATTAAACTCCATCCACCCGCCGCTATCTGAATCATGATGAATTTTTCATTCGTTGTCAATCTTCCCATAAGCACAATCACTACTTTGACTTTGATATTGTTACGAAATAAACCCATACGCCGCCCCAGTACGACGCCTATGCGTCTTCTAGTATGTACGCGTTTCTTCTTGTATGTAGTATGACTCATGGGCCGCGCTGATGCAAGTGGATGTCGCGACGGGCCCAGAAATAGTCTCGAAGCGGCGCTCAAAAAGCCTGGAACCGGAAGTCGCGAATACCCAATTCGAGAAAGAGCTCGATCGCCGAAATAAAGATTTAAATAGAGGCCACCTTCGGGAATGAGGATTTATTCATGAAGTGATCACGTCGAGTCCAGCGAGTGTTCAAACAAGTTACGCCGAAGTTATTTTGTGCATAATTGCTGTAGTAGTTCTCATTGTGGTTCTCATGGAGTACTCATAGCAACTGCGATCACTAAACAACCAATTTCAACCCCTACCAAAACCAAAATCACAAAACTTACATGACCCAACGTCCTCCCCCACGAAAAGGAGGGTTTAGATTACCTCGAAACTAACATCAAGTGGGTTTTCACCCCCCATAATCTAACTTTGGAGACCGTGAGCGTCGTGAAAGTTGTCCCCCAAAATGTGAGTACTGTAGTTAATTTTGACCAGATTTTAATTTCTTTGTAGTTGGGGGTTGTCAAAGTTTTTGATATGGAGCGAGCAGACTTGAGCGGGATTGCTGGCGACAAAGGGGATTTGATATAATCAGCGCTGTTGTTCAGAAGAAGTTTGTTGAAGTGAACCAGAAAGAGGGTCTTGCGGACCTTAAGTTGTTCATAGAAGACCACCCCTTCATCTTCTACATCAAGGTGAAAGGAGTGATATTGTTGCAGGTCGGGTCGTACTACCAACTTTGTGATTGTATATTGTGCACACTCAATCAATATTTAGGGTTTTTTACCCGCCCAGCAAAAAGAATACATTTTTTGTATAATATATAGTAAATAAATGGACGATTAAAGACGATCTCTTTCGGTGGTTGTGAAACGACAGAAGTAGCAACGACACCTGTGGAATTAAAATTAGAACAACCATAGCACCAGTTGACGTACGTACCGACATATGTGGCAGCCGCTGCTTCCACCCCTCCTTCATTCAAATCGATGAAAGCCTTCTGGACCACCTTGCTTACCACCAAGTCACCCTTCTTTCCAGAAATCCCGCTCAAATCAGCTTGCGCACGGTCAAAAATTTTGCTTGCACCTAACTTCAAAAGCATCAAAATTGCCAACTAGTTCAACACGTACTCACACTTTGCAACGTTGCCTTCAGGTCCATGGTATTGTCAAACTTGAATTTGGGGATGGCGACGTTAACGTATGTCGATTCCAGCTGCCTTGAAACGTCAAAAACCTCACAAGCGTGCTTTTCCAACTCCGAAAGCCCGTCTTTAGCTTGAGGAAGCACAAACACCATAGAAAAATCGTCATTTGCAAAAGACAATTCCAGAAACTCAGCTTTCAAGCTCTTGCTTTCATGGTACTTGAAGTGTTTGCGCGAATGGTGCAAAAAGTCCACTTTGACCACATCGTTTGCCGTTCTGTAAAAATCCCCCTTCTGGGTGTTACTCACCGAGAACTGCACCGACCAGTTCCCTTTGAAACGCAACGCGTTGACCAGAACGAGAACTGTATCCGGTGTTAGAGCGTCCGGAGTTACCAGGTTCTTGATGACGTTGTGGGTTTTGTTTTCCACCCATTTGTTAATAGTGTCGGCTGCTTGTTGCGGTTTACCGAAATCCAGGGTTTCAGAAAGAGCGTCAAAGTAATCTTTTGCTACTGTCAGAAAAGTGTCTTTGATTTTGAAGTCCTTCTGTGCGAATAGTGCATTGGCTATGTTGCAGGCCACTTTGTCGTTCTTTTGGAGTTGTCCAAGAAGGTTTTTTTCTTCGGTTTGAATTTGCTTTTTGTCGTTTGGAAGGTGTAAGGTTTGGGCGAGTTCTTGCGCTGTTGATCCTTCGCAGCCGGAGTGGAGAAGAGCTAAGACTGTGTCGGCGGAAAGGGGGCTGAGGATGAGGTTGCCGGTTTCGGTTTTGATTATTTGCTACGGTGGTTGTGTTAATGGGTTAACGATTTTGGAAAGAATTACCTTGTATAAGTCAGAAGTGAAGCGATTGTTGGCTTCTATTATTTTTAAGGGTTGATTTTGAGCTGTGGCGGCAGCCATAAGTAGTAAGAAAACTAGAAGAGTCATTTTGATGCTTGAAAGTGATAGACAGGAGTGTTTATTTGTAACTAGATCGTTTAAATAGAAGGCCACAAATGACGTCAACGAAAAATATATGTGTTAAAAATGCATACCTGTGTACAGAATTTACTGATAAGACGCATACCTGTGAATTTTAATAAGCGACCTTCCAATTGGGTTATTTTCAGGTAAAAAAAGAAACATTGCTATTTTAAGTATGTAATAAACATCAAACACATACATTCAAGTATAATAATAACTTACTAACTAGATATTCATAACAAAAAGTGTAACAGAATTCGGTACTATTTAGGTTTAGTTTAATTTCAATGGATTTGTCACTCTTCCTACAAACACAATCACCCCTTTGACTTTGATATAGAATAGGAAAGGTCTGTCCGCCCTGAACATCTTGGGTGGTTCTGGTGGAGCACTCATCGGAACTGCGATCACTAAAACAACCATTTCAACCCCTACCAAAACCAAAATCCCAAAACTTACAAACATAGGTAGCAGCGGCAGCTTCAACCCCTTCCTCACTCACATCAATGTAGCTCTTCTGGGCAACTTTATCCACCACCAAATCACCCTTCTTACCTGCAATCCCACTCAAATCGGCACTCTTTTCGTCAAAAATCGAACTAACCCCCATCTGAAACACCTCTTAGAGTGAACAAACCCAACCACTTGTGTACTTACATTCTTCAACACTTTCTTAAAATCCAGACTCGTTTCGATGCGAAACTTCGGCAGCAACACGTTGACAAACGTACTGGCGAATTTCTTAGGCCTGAGTACTTTCTTCATCTGAGTTTCCAGAAGTGGTAACCCGTCTATGTCATCAGGAACCACGATCACCATAGAAGCTTCCTCTCCTTTAAAAGGCAATTTCAAAAAAGTCGCCTTCAAGCTGTCGCTTTGGTAGTAGTTGAAGTGCTTCTCGTGCAGGATCATCATGTCGACTGTGGTGTTTTCAGACGAAGAAAGGTGAAAATTTAGCTTCTTGGTGTAAGCTATGGGGAAGGCTTCCGACCAGTCGGCTTTGAAATACAACGCGTTAACCAAAAGCACTCTAGTCCGATCATTGAAGCTAGAAGGGGTCACCAAATTTTTGATCGTGTTGTTGGTTTGTTGTTCCACCCACGAGTTGATGGATTGAGAAGCCTGGTTTTGGTCGCTGAAATCTAAATTCTGGGTGTCGGCGTCGAAAGCTCGACACATTCTTCGAAACACGTCGCTAATAGCGAAGTTTTTTTTGACGTAGACTTTGTTAACGGTACGCATTGTGTACTTTTTTGACACGAAGGAAAGATTTTGGAAGGTCGCTTCGACCACTCTGGGGTCGTCTGTGAAGTTTAGCGCGTTTTTGATTTCCGTGGCACTTTCTCCCTTGCATCCTGTTTGAGTGAGAGCTAGGATGGTTTGAACCGAAAGAGGACTAACAATGAGGTTATTGTTCGTGTTTTTTGCGATTTTCTAAAAGTAGGGTTATTAATTATTGTTAAACGGAATTGGTTAGTTTGTACTTACCTTGTAGGCAGTGGCTGCGAATAATTTGTTTGACGTTTTAAAATCTACTTCGGCGGATAAAACTAGAGTCGTTGTAAAGAGAACGTAAAAGAGCTTCATCTTGGTTAAAATAACTGTGTGTTTATGAAAATGGATATCAAAACGTCGCTCTGAGGTCAAGTGATAACACCGAACGTAAAGATTGCAAAGTCGCGGTTTTCCCGATTTATCAGTTCTTGGACTCCGCTTCGTTACGATTAGGAAATAGGAGTGTTGTGTTTTCCACATTAACGTAATTCATTGTGTGGTTTTATTAAACATTTACAACATTCTGATTATTTTTATTGTTGCGTGGGGTCTAAAACCCGACCAATGCACACAATCAAATCTTTAACCTTTACGTAATAGATGAAAGGATGGTCCGCTATGAACTCCTTCGTCGGTAAAAAAGCAGCAGGAGATGCACTTCTCTCTGTATTTGTAGCAGTACTAGAAGCAGCATCTATCCCCCCTTCTTCCACCTTAAAATAAACCTTCTGTAACACGTTGTTAACAAACAAACTCCCTTTTTTCCCAGCAGCGTCGCTCAAATCAGCCGTTTTTTTCTCAAAAGGAGCGTTAACCCCCATCTAGAAATCACACTCTAATTCTGGCAAAAAACCCAAAATACTCACCGCTTGCAGGATATTCTTCAGGTACCCCCTAGTCTCAGTCTTGAATTTCGGCACAACCACAACCACATTTTCTACCACGAACGGTTGCGGTTCTAGAACTTTCTCAATCTGGTTTTCTAGATTGCCCAAACCATTTTTGGCGTTCGGTAGCGCTATGACCATAGACACCTCTCCTCCTTGAAACGGTAGCTCCAAAAATCTGGCATTCAACTCCACGCTCTCGTACAAGTTATAAAGGTGGGCCTCGTTTTGGAGCAACGTGTCAACGAAAATCTCATTGTCAAGATTTTTATAGAAAAGTGTGCGTGCCGAAAGCGGAGGAAAAGGGTTTGACCAGTTGGCTTGTAGATAGAACGCATTGAGAACCACCATACCGGTACCACTTCCAAAGCTGCTAGCCGAAACCATATTTTTGATCTTGTTTTTGGTGTTCTTCTCCACCCACTTGTTTATAGTTTTGGCGGCTTTCGCCCTTTTCGAAAAGTCGATGCTTTCGGTTGTGGCTAAATACACTTGTTTGGCTACAGTTTTGAAGGTTTTTTTGAAGGGGAGGTTCTTTTTGCCGTAGACTTTGGTGACAAAGTGGAATGTGTAGAAGCCGTTGCCTTTTAAAGTCGGAAGGAGGGTTTTAAAACCGGCTTCGATTGCGTTTTTGTTGTTGGGTAGGTGAAGGGCCGTTCGGATTTCGTCGGCGGTACGGCCTTTACACCCTGATTGGATGAGGGCGAAGGCTGCTCCTGCACTGAATGGGCTTATGGCGAAGTTGCGGTTGCTGCTGAGGTGGATGGTCTGCAATCGTAGCTAGAAACAACTGGAAAAGAGTTTGAGGTACTACCTTGTAGAGCGAAGAGGCGAAGCGGTTGTTCGCGTTGACTATTTCCTGAAGGGCTAAGTCGTCAGCGTTTGCAACTAGTGTTAAAAATAGTACTACTATTAGTACTACAGCGTGCATTTTTAGTGACTTCGTGATAGTGCTTAGATAAAATAATACAGTTCATTTTCGTGCTTGAATTTAAATTGCTTTTTCGCACTTGTTAGTGGGTAATAGGGTGTGTCGAATTATCGGAACACGTCGGAGGAAGTACCATTAAATCGACACAATGCGTTTTTAATTGGGTTGTTGATGAAACCTGTTAACGAAAATTTAAATGGTGTGAATGGGTCATTAATGACCGGTGACACTTAACAATGAATTTTTAATGCTTATAAAGAAATTTATTTATAGACGGGTTTCCCATTACTGAGTCAACAGGTTTCCACCGCACTTCGATAACCTTGTCAATGTTTACAGTTTCTATCAAATATTTACTCACACATTTACGTATAGTTCGTACAATTTTGCTGTGGTACTTGCGAATCACCATGTCCGCATGGTACGACTCCAAAGAACATTTAATACAAAAACACACAGTGAAGGTACGTTTGGATTTATTAAAAAAATATATCTAGAAAACATCGGTCTCTACTGACTCGGATCCACAACTCTTCCTGCGAAAATCACCAAATCCTTCACTTTAATGTAGAAGATGAAGGGATGATCGGCTATGAATTCCTTGGGTGGTACCGCGTAGTAAGTGCCACTCAATGGAACACCAACAACTAAAATAATCAATTGTGTGGTGTAAAAATCGCCAATTTGGTTTAAAAACACATACCAGCGAAAGTGGCAGCTGCAGCCTCCACCCCATTTTCACTAACATCAATAAAAGTCTTCTGTCGTACCTTATCAACAATCAAATCTCCCTTCTCTCCTGCAATTCCACTCAAATCGGCTTCATCATCCCTGAAAACTTTGTTCACACCCAACTACAACAACAAATTACTTTCACAATAAAAATCAGTCAAGTGGTACCTGTTGAAGAATGGTTTTCAGATCAACCACACTCTCGATTTTGAATTTGGGTAACACGATCCTAACGTTAGTCTTGTCGTAAGAAGGAGCGTCAAAAACCTTGTCCAATCCACTTTCCAGAGCAGACAATCCGTTGCGTTCGTTCGGTAGTACCACGGTTAAAGTAACATCGTCCCCTTCAAACGGCAATTCCAGGAACTTAGCACCCAATTCTTGACTTTCATAGTAGTTCTGGTACAACGTATCATGCATCATCTCCACCTGCACTTTATCCTCGCCCCCTTTGTAGAAATCTTGCTCGAAAGTACCATACCTTTCAAACGGAACCGACCAATTCCCTTTGAAATACAGAGCGTTGATTAAAATCGCCCGCGTGCGATCATCCAAATCCTCTGCGTTGATCAAGTTCTTGATTTTGTTGTTGGTACGACCTTCCACCCACCCATTCATGGTAGCTGCAGCCGCACCCCTTTGCTCGAAATCGATATTCTCCAACTCCGCGTCGAAATCAGTGGCGACTTTCTTGAACTCGTCTCGGATTTCGAAATTTTTCTTTATGTAGATTTTGTTCGCCGATTGGAGGGTGTAGGGGTCGGTTTTGCGCAACAGTGGCTGCAGGGTTCGTACAGCGTCTTCTATTTTTTCCTGGGAGTTGGGGAGGTGGAGGGCGGTTCGGATTTCTTCGGCGGTGGCATCTCTTGCTCCAGATTGGGTTAGAGCGAGGATGGTTTCCACGGATAACGGGCTTACTAAGAAATTACCTTTTTCGTTGTTGGTGATTTGCTAAAAATAGTGGGTTAAGCGAGGCATGAGAGCGTTTGGGTTTTACTTTGTATAGCGACGTGGTAAACAAGTTGTTGCCAGAGGTGAATTCTCGAAGAGACGCTTCGGTGGCCAAGGTCAAGGGTACGTACAGCAAAAGACATAAATAAGGCTGCATTTTCTGAAAAAGAACAAAAAGTGGTTGGGCGAGGTCGTACCGGAGGTGTTAATATGTTGAAAAAAATCTTAACGGTTAAAAATACTCAAAATAGGTAGTACGAGAAGTTGTTAAGTCGTACTGCGTGATTAATTAGTTAGTACTTACGTATTAGGAAATTTTTCGTTTGTTAAAGTCGTTTCAAAGAAAGCGACTTCGATTCGGCCACAACTAAGCGACGACTGTGTTTACAATCTCGTGTTCAATGTTATCCCCACACCTGTGATTCTTGATCTTATGTCTAGTTTGGGTGCAATGGGTACGATTCGTACGGGTCATTAGCTGTCCCTCACTACGTGTTTAAACTCACCTATTGTTAGTATAATGATTTACTGGGGAATTTCACACACACTTTTATTGACGATAAACACGAAATGGTGGTCATAGGTGTAATACACTAAGCGTGGATCAGATAAGCTCAAACGGTGGATCGATATTACGACAAAAAAATAAACACAGTTGTTGTAACGGTACTTTAGACGCTTTGTCCTCTATGGAATCACATTTAAATAATACCAAATATGTTGTTGTTGATATTCAAAATTTATTGACAGAAGTGTTAAAAATAATTGTATATTGAATTTTACTGAGTCGGATCCACAACTCTTCCTGAGAAAATCACCACATCCTTCACTTTAATGTAGAAGATGAAGGGATGATCGGCTATGAACTCTTTCGGTGGTGCCTCAGGGGACAAGGAAAGACTACATTGGACAAAACCTAAAACACACTGTAAGTATCTAATAGTCATATCTATGCTGCAGGCATACGAAGGTAAGTAGCAGCTGTTGCTTCCACTCCACTTTCATTAACATCAATAAAACTCTTCTGTTGTATTTGATCGACAACAAGATCTCCCTTATTGCCGGCAATTCCACTTAGGTCGGCTTCTTCACCTTTAAAAACCTTGTTAAGACCCAACTAAAAAAAAAAAGTAAATTACTTTTACAATCAATGGCTAAAAATGTAGTACCGTCTGAAGGATTGTCTTCAAATCTATCGTACTTGTAATCTTGAATTTGGGTAAAGCTATTCTAACTTTCTCCCAGGTGTAAGAAGGGACTGGGAAAATCTTCTCCAACTGAGTTTCAAGAACGGACAATCCGTTCCTTTCGTTCGGTAGTACCACGGTAAAAACAACCTCATTCCCTTCAAACGGTATTTCTATAAATTTGGCACCTAGTTCTTGACTTTCATAATAGTTCCGGTACAATGTATCATGCATGGTATCCACTTGTACTTTTTCCGTACCCAGTTTATAGAAATCTTCCTTCGTAGTCCTAGAAGTTTCGAAAGTGGTCGACCAGTTCGCTTTGAAATACAGAGCGTTTATTAAAACAGCTCTGGTGTGATCACCTAAATCCTCTCCGTTAATCAAGTTCTTGATTTTATGGTTGGTACGATTTTCCACCCAATCGTTCATGGTACTAGCGGCGGCATTGCTTTGCCCGAAATCTATATTTTCTAATTCCGAGTCGAAAACTGTAGCCGATTTTCTGAATTCGTCCCTTATCTGGAAATTATTGTTGATGTAGATTTTATTCGCCGATTGGAGGGTGTAGAGATCGTTTTTCTTCAAGAGTGGTTGGAGGGTTTGAATGGCAGCTTCTATTTTTTCTTGGGAGTTGGGGAGGTGGAGAGCTGTTCTGATTTCTTCAGCGGTTGCATCTTTAGCTCCTGATTGGGTTAATGCGAGGATGATCTCCACTGATAAAGGACTTACAAGAAAATTACCATGGTCGTGGGTGGTGATTTGCTGAAAAATGGGTTTATTGATGAAGCAAAGATTGGAGTTTTACCTTGTATAGAGATGTCGTGAACAAATTGTTACCAGAGATAAACTCTCGGAGAGAAGTTTCAGTGGCGAAAGTCATAGGTATGCAGTGGAGCAAAAGATGAAAATAAGACTGCATTTACTAAAAAATTAAAAAAATTTGAGTTGAGGATAGTAAATTTAGGTTGACCTGTTTTAGAAAATGTTTTTAATGTTGCAGGAGCTGTTGGAACACAAAACTAAAGCACTAAAGTAAATATTCTGTTTAGAATCTCTTGCTCATCACAACTGAAAATAATCGAAACAATCATTTTATATTATACATAGATCGAATAAAATTACTTAGTATGAATCATTTGCGGTCAACCACGATATTATGTTTAGACTTATTTATTACAAAAAAACAGTGATTATCCTGAACTTGACTTTTTATCGCCGATATACGTTCACCTAAACGACAAAAAAATGGATCTAAAGAGTTTAGACAGTACTTCCCTTGCTATCAGAAACGTAACGACGGCATGCCTACTATGTTTTTACTTCCCGAGCGTAAGCAAAGGAAGTATTGTAATCGAGTCCGTCGGCCGACTCTCTACTTTTACGTTTTCTCGATTTTTCATGACCCCTAGAAGACGAAGAAATAGGTCGCCCATTTCCGTCTGTCTGTCCGTCTGTCCGTCTGTCCGTCCGTCCGTCTGTCCGTATGTCCGTCTGTCCGTATGTCCGTCTGTCCGTCTGTCTGTCTGTCTGCCGTCCCGGATTTTTATAAGACAGATAATCTCCGAAAGTACTGGACCGATTGTTGTGAAATTTTGTACTTATATTAGGAATATCATGTAGATGCTAAGTAAAATTTGTCTAATCATCCCCACCACTTATGCGATGACGTCACTTCAAAATTGTACATAGTAAATGGGTTTTAAATTGTATAAAATAACATAGTCCTACATCTGTAGTTTACGACTCCGAATTGACTTTTTAAGTGAGTGAGTGAGTGAGTGAGTGAGTGAGTGAGTGAGTGAGTGCGTGAGTGAGGGAGTGAGTGAGTGAGCGAGTGAGTGAGTGAGTGAGTGAGTGAGCGAGTGAGTGAGTGAGTGAGTGAGTAATTAAGTGATTAAGTGATTAAGTGATTAAGTGATTAATCACGAATCACGAATCACTAATCACTAATCACGAATCACGAATTACCAATCACTAATCACGAATCACTAATCACGAATCACTAATCACTAATCACTAATCACCAATCACGAATCACTAATCACGAATCACCAATCACGAATCACGAATCACGAATCACAAATCACTAATCACCAATCACGGATCACGAATCACGAATCACTAATAACTAATCACGACTCATGAATCACGAATCACAAATCACTAATCACTAATCACTAATCACTAACCACGAATCACGAATCACGAATCAGTAATCACGAATCACGAATCTCGAATCACGAATCACGAAATCACGAAATCCAGAAATCACGATCAGTGATCAGTGATTAGTGATTAGCGATTTTATTTGTTTGGTGGTTTGCAATCTTGGGGTTTTTTCTTTCTGATTTTCCTTTCGGATTTTTTAATTTCTAAGTTTTGCAGTTTTATTTTTCAATGTTCCTATTTTTTCCGATTTTTGAAGAATTTTTTAATTTTTCGTCGTTTGGAATTTTGGAATTTTTCAACTTTTAGTCCTTCGATTTTTAATTTTTCAGTCTCTCGATTTAAATATTTAGATTTTTAAATAACAACCATTTATTTACGAAAGTGTTCATTACATAAATCAAACTAAACAAAATGAATTAATTTTTATGTTTAGTATTCCGATTTTTAGTAGTTTGATTTTTAAGTTTTGATGTTTCAATTTTTCGTTTCTTCAATCTTACGATTTTTAGAAATGTGTTAGATTGTTAAATTTTTTACTTTTTCAATCTTGCAGGTTTAAAATTTTTAAGTTTTTCATTTTTGATTATTTTCTCGGTGTCTCAACTTTTCAATTTTTCGATTATTTAATTTTTCAGTTCCTCAATTTTCGATTTTCCGTTCTTCAATTTTTCAATTTTTTAGATACTTTAATGTTTCCTTCAATTTTGCGTTTTTTCCTCTCTCTATTTTTTTACAATTTTTTAATTTTTTTATTTTCTATTTCCCAAAGTCTTAAACTTTTCGATGTTTCATTGTTATAATTTTTCGGTTTTAGTTCGTTTTTTTCCGATTTTTGAACAATTTTTTAATTTTTAGTTATTTTATTTTTTGCTGGTTTGCAATCTTGCGGTTTTTCCTTTCCGAATTTTTAATTTCCAGGTTTTTCAATTTTTCTATTTCTATTTCCAAAATTCTTAAATTTGATTTAAAAAAAAAAAATTGTAGTGATATTCCTAATATAACTACAAAATTTCACAACACTCGGCTTAGTACTTTCGGAGATTATCTGTCTAATAAAAATCCGTGACCACAGACAGACGGACATACAGACGGACAGACGGACGGAAGTAAAAAGTGCAAATATGTGCGCTCAAGACCACAAACTCAGTTGTTGACAGCCAAAATTTATTGAAGGAGATTTACAAAAATGGTAAAAATAATTGAACATTGAATTTTACTGACTCGGATCCACAACTCTTCCTGAGAAAATCACCACATCCTTCACTTTAATGTAGAAGATGAAGGGATGATCGGCTATGAAGTCTTTCGGTGGTGCCTCAGGGGACAAGGAATCACTATGGTGAACAAAACCTAAAACACACTGTAAGTATCTAATAGTCATATCTATGCTGCAAGCATACGAATGTAAGTAGCAGCTGTTGCTTCCACTCCACTTTCATTAACATCAATAAAACTCTTCTGTTGTATTTGATCGACAACAAGATCTCCCTTATTGCCGGCAATTCCACTTAGGTCGGCTTCTTCATCTTTAAAAACCTTGTTAATACCCAACTAAAAAAAAAAAGTAAATTACTTTTACAATCAATGGCTAAAAATGTAGTACCGTCTGCAGGATTGTCTTCAAATCTATCGTACTTGTAATCTTGAATTTGGGTAAAGCTATTCTAACTTTCTCCCAGGTGTAAGAAGGGACTGGGAAAATCTTCTCCAACTGAGTTTCAAGAACGGACAATCCGTTCCTTTCGTTCGGTAGTACCACGGTAAAAACAACCTCATTCCCTTCAAACGGTATTTCTATAAATTTGGCACCTAGTTCTTGACTTTCATAATAGTTCCGGTACAATGTATCATGCATGGTATCCACTTGTACTTTTTCCGTACCCAGTTTATAGAAATCTTCCTTCGTAGTCCTAGAAGTTTCGAAAGTGGTCGACCAGTTCGCTTTGAAATACAAAGCGTTGATTAAAACAGCTCGGGTGTGATCACCCAAATCCTCTCCGTTAATCAAGTTCTTGATTTTATGGTTGGTACGATTTTCCACCCAATCGTTCATGGTACTAGCAGCGGCATTGCTTTGCCCGAAATCTATATTTTCTAATTCCGAGTCGAAAACTGTAGCCGATTTTCTGAATCCGTCCCTTATTTGGAAACTATTCTTGATGTAGATTTTATTCGCTGATTGGAGGGTGTAGAGATCGTTTTTCTTCAAGAGTGGTTGGAGGGTTTGAATGGCAGCTTCTATTTTTTCTTGGGAGTTGGGGAGGTGGAGAGCTGTTCTGATTTCTTCAACGGTTGCATCTTTAGCTCCTGATTGGGTTAATGCGAGGATGATCTCCACTGATAAAGGACTTACAAGAAAATTACCATGGTGGTTGGTGGTGATTTGCTGAAAAATGGGTTTATTGATGAAGCGAAGATTGGAGTTTTACCTTGTATAGAGACGTCGTGAACAAATTGTTACCAGAGATAAACTCTCGGAGAGAAGTTTCAGTGGCGAAAGTCATAGGTATGCAGTGAGCAAAAGATGAAAATAAGACTGAATTTTCTAAAAAATTAAAAAAATTTGAGTTGAGGATAGTAAATTTAGGTTGACCTGTTTCAGAAAATGTTTTTAATGTTGCAGGAGCTGTTGGAACACAAAACTAAAGCACTAAAGTTCTGTTTAGAATCTCTTGCTCATCACAACTGGAAATAATCGAAACAATCATTTTATATTATACATATATCGAATAAAATTACTTAGTATGCAACATTTGCGGTCAACCACGATATTATGTTTAGACTTATTTATTACAAAAAAACAGTGATTATCCTGAACTTGACTTCTTATCGCCGATATACGTTCACCTAAACGACAAAAAAATTGATCTAAAGAGTTTAGACAGTACTTCCCTTGTTATCGTGACGTGACGACGGCATGCCTACTATGTTTTTACTTCCCGAGCGGCGTAAGCAAAGGAAGTATTGTAATCGAGTCCGTCGGCCGACTCTCTACTTTTACGTTTTCTCGATCTTTCATGACCCCTAGAAGATAAAGAAATAGGTCTCCCATTTCCATCTGTCTGTCCGTCTGTCCGTCTGTCCGTCCGTCCGTCTGTCCGTCTGTCCGTCTGATCACTAATCACTAATCACGAATCACGAATCACGAATCACGAATCACGAATCACTAATCACTAATCAGTTATCAGTTATCAGTTATCACTAATCACTAATCACGAATCACTAATCACGACTCACGACTCACGACTCACTAATCACTAATCACTAATCACTAATCACGAATCACGAATCACTAATCACAAATCACGAATCACGAATCACGAATCACGAAATCAAGAAATCACGAAATCACGAAATCACGATCAGTGATCAGTGATCAGTGATTAGTGATTAGTGATTTTATTTGTTTGGTGGTTTGCAATCTTGGGGTTTTTTCTTTCTGATTTTTTCATTTCTAAGTTTTGCAGTTTTATTTTTCAATGTTCCTATTTTTTCCGATTTTTGAAGAATTTTTTAATTTTTCGTGGTTTGGAATTTTGGAATTTTTCAACTTTTAGTTCTTCGATTTTTAATTTTTCAGTTTCTCGATTTAAATTTTTAAATTTTTAAATAACAACCATTTATTTACGAAAGTGTTCATTACATAAATCAAACTAAACAAAATATTTAGTATTCCGATTGTTAATAGTTTGATTTTTAAGTTTTAATGTTTCAATTTTTCGTTTCTTCAATCTTACGATTTTTAGAAATGTGTTAGATTGTTAAATTTTTTACTTTTTCAATCTTGCAGTTTTAAAATTTTTAAGTTTTTCATTTTTGATTATTTTCTCGGTGTCTCAACTTTTCAATTTTTCGATTATTTAATTTTTCAGTTCCTCAATTTTCGATTTTCCGTTCTTCAATTTTTCAATTTTTTGGATACTTTAATGTTTCCTTCAATTTTGCGTTTTTTCCTCTCTCTATTTTTTTACAATTTTTTAATTTTTTTATTTTCTATTTCCCAAAGTCTTAAACTTTTCGATGTTTCATTGTTATAATTTTTCGGTTTTAGTTCGTTTTTTTCCGATTTTTGAACAATTTTTTAATTTTTAGTTATTTTATTTTTTGCTGGTTTGCAATCTTGCGGTTTTTCCTTTCCGAATTTTTAATTTCCAGGTTTTTCAATTTTTCTATTTCTATTTCCAAAATTCTTAAATTTGATTTAAAAAAAAAAAAAATTGTAGTGATATTCCTAATATAACTACAAAATTTCACAACACTCGGCTTAGTACTTTCGGAGATTATCTGTCTAATAAAAATCCGTGACCACAGACAGACGGACATACAGACGGACAGACGGACGGAAGTAAAAAGTGCAAATATGTGCGCTCAAGACCACAAACTCAGTTGTTGACAGCCAAAATTTATTGAAGGAGATTTACAAAAATGGTAAAAATAATTGAACATTGAATTTTACTGACTCGGATCCACAACTCTTCCTGAGAAAATCACCACATCCTTCACTTTAATGTAGAAGATGAAGGGATGATCGGCTATGAAGTCTTTCGGTGGTGCCTCAGGGGACAAGGAATCACTTTGGTGAACAAAACCTAAAACACACTGTAAGTATCTAATAGTCATATCTATACTGCAAGCATACGATAGTAAGTAGCAGCTGTTGCTTCCACTCCACTTTCATTAACATCAATAAAACTCTTCTGTTGTATTTGATCGACAACAAGATCTCCCTTATTGCCGGCAATTCCACTTAGGTCGGCATCTTCACCTTTAAAAACCTTGTTAATACCCAACTAAAAAAAAAAAGTAAATTACTTTTACAATCAATGGCTAAAAATGTAGTACCGTCTGCAGGATTGTCTTCAAATCTATCGTACTTGTAATCTTGAATTTGGGTAAAGCTATTCTAACTTTCTCCCAGGTGTAAGAAGGGACTGGGAAAATCTTCTCCAACTGAGTTTCAAGAACGGACAATCCGTTCCTTTCGTTCGGTAGTACCACGGTAAAAACAACCTCATTCCCTTCAAACGGTATTTCTATAAATTTGGCACCTAGTTCTTGACTTTCATAATAGTTCCGATACAATGTATCATGCATGGTATCCACTTGTACTTTTTCCGTACCCAGTTTATAGAAATCTTCCTTCGTAGTCCTAGAAGTTTCGAAAGTGGTCGACCAGTTCGCTTTGAAATACAAAGCGTTGATTAAAACAGCTCGGGTGTGATCACCCAAATCCTCTCCGTTAATCAAGTTCTTGATTTTATGGTTGGTACGATTTTCCACCCAATCGTTCATGGTACTAGCAGCGGCATTGCTTTGCCCGAAATCTATATTTTCTAATTCCGAGTCGAAAACTGTAGCCGATTTTCTGAATCCGTCCCTTATTTGGAAACTATTCTTGATGTAGATTTTATTCGCTGATTGGAGGGTGTAGAGATCGTTTTTCTTCAAGAGTGGTTGGAGGGTTTGAATGGCAGCTTCTATTTTTTCTTGGGAGTTGGGGAGGTGGAGAGCTGTTCTGATTTCTTCAGCGGTTGCATCTTTAGCTCCTGATTGGGTTAATGCGAGGATGATCTCCACTGATAAAGGACTTACAAGAAAATTACCATGGTGGTTGGTGGTGATTTGCTGAAAAATGGGTTTATTGATGAAGCGAAGATTGGAGTTTTACCTTGTATAGAGACGTCGTGAACAAATTGTTACCAGAGATAAACTCTCGGAGAGAAGTTTCAGTGGCGAAAGTCATAGGTATGCAGTGGAGCAAAAGATGAAAATAAGACTGCATTTACTAAAAAATTAAAAAAATTTGAGTTGAGGATAGTAAATTTAGGTTGACCTGTTTCAGAAAATGTTTTTAATGTTGCAGGAGCTGTTGGAACACAAAACTAAAGCACTAAAGTTCTGTTTAGAATCTCTTGCTCATCACAACTGGAAATAATCGAAACAATCATTTTATATTATACATATATCGAATAAAATTACTTAGTATGCAACATTTGCGGTCAACCACGATATTATGTTTAGACTTATTTATTACAAAAAAACAGTGATTATCCTGAACTTGACTTCTTATCGCCGATATACGTTCACCTAAACGACAAAAAAATTGATCTAAAGAGTTTAGACAGTACTTCCCTTGTTATCGTGACGTGACGACGGCATGCCTACTATGTTTTTACTTCCCGAGCGGCGTAAACAAAGGAAGTATTGTAATCGAGTCCGTCGGCCGACTCTCTACTTTTACGTTTTCTCGATCTTTCATGACCCCTAGAAGATAAAGAAATAGGTCTCCCATTTCCATCTGTCTGTCCGTCTGTCCGTCTGTCCGTCCGTCCGTCTGTCCGTCTGTCCGTCTGATCACTAATCACTAATCACGAATCACGAATCACGAATCACGAATCACGAATCACTAATCACTAATCAGTTATCAGTTATCAGTTATCACTAATCACTAATCACTAATCGCGAATCACGAGTCACTAATCACTAATCACGAATCACGAATCACGAATCACGATTCACTAATCACTAATCACGAATCACTAATCACGAATCACTAATCACTAGTCACGACTCACGACTCACGACTCACTAATCACTAATCACGAATCACGAATCACTAATCACGAAACACGAATCATGAATCACGAATCACGAATCACGAATCACGAAATCACGAAATCACGAAATCACGATCAGTGATCAGTGATCAGTGATTAGTGATTAGTGATTTTATTTCTTTGGTGGCTTGCAATCTTGGAGTTTTTTCTTTCGGATTTTCCTTTCGGATTTTTTAATTTCTAAGTTTTGCAGTTTTATTTTTCAATGTTCCTATTTTTTCCGATTTTTGAAGAATTTTTAAATTTTTCGTGGTTTGGAATTTTGGAATTTTTCAACTTTTAGTTCTTTGATTTTTAATTTTTCAGTTTCTCGATTTAAATTTTTAGATTTTTAAATAACAACCATTTTTTTATGAAAGTGTTCATTACATAAATCAAACTAAACAAAATGAATTAATTTTTATGTTTAGTATTCCGATTTTTAGTAGTTTGATTTTTAAGTTTTGATGTTTCAATTTTTCGTTTCTTCAGTCTTACGATTTTTTAGAAATGTGTTAGATGGTTACATTTTTTACTTTTTCAATCTTGCAGTTTTAAAATTTTTAAGTTTTTCATTTTTGATTATTTTCTCGGTGTCTCAACTTTTCAATTTTTCGATTATTTAATTTTTCAGTTCCTCAATTTTCGATTTTCCATTCTTCAATTTTTCAATTTTTTAGACATTTTAATGTTTCATTCAATTTTGCGTTTTTTCGTCTCTCTATTTTTTTACAATTTTTCAATTTTTCTATTTTCTATTTCCCAAAGTCTTAAACTTTTCGATGTTTCATTGTTATAATTTTTCGGTTTTAGTTCGTTTTTTTCCGATTTTTGAACAATTTTTTAATTTTTAGTTATTTTATTTTTTGCTGGTTTGCAATCTTGCGGTTTTTCCTTTCCGAATTTTTAATTTCCAAGTTTTTCAATTTTTCTATTTCTATTTCCAAAATTCTTAAATTTGATTTAAAAAAAAAATTGTAGTGATATTCCTAATATAACTACAAAATTTCACAACACTCGGCTTAGTACTTTCGGAGATTATCTGTCTAATAAAAATCCGTGACCACAGACAGACGGACATACAGACGGACAGACGGACGGAAGTAAAAAGTGCAAATATGTGCGCTCAAGACCACAAACTCAGTTGTTGACAGCCAAAATTTATTGAAGGAGATTTACAAAAATGGTAAAAATAATTGAACATTGAATTTTACTGACTCGGATCCACAACTCTTCCTGAGAAAATCACCACATCCTTCACTTTAATGTAGAAGATGAAGGGATGATCGGCTATGAACTCTTTCGGTGGTGCCTCAGGGGACAAGGAAAGACTACACTGGACAAAACCTAAAACACACTGTAAGTATCTAATAGTCATATCTATGCTGCAGGCATACGAAGGTAAGTAGCAGCTGTTGCTTCCACTCCACTTTCATTAACATCAATAAAACTCTTCTGTTGTATTTGATCGACAACAAGATCTCCCTTATTGCCGGCAATTCCACTTAGGTCGGCTTCTTCACCTTTAAAAACCTTGTTAATACCCAACTAAAAAAAAAAAAGTAAATTACTTTTACAATCAATGGCTAAAAATGTAGTACCGTCTGAAGGATTGTCTTCAAATCTATCGTACTTGTAATCTTGAATTTAGGTAAAGCTATTCTAACTTTCTCCCAGGTGTAAGAAGGGACTGGGAAAATCTTCTCCAACTGAGTTTCAAGAACGGACAATCCGTTCCTTTCGTTCGGTAGTACCACGGTAAAAACAACCTTATTCCCTTCAAACGGTATTTCTATAAATTTGGCACCTAGTTCTTGACTTTCATAATAGTTCCGGTTCCATGTATCATGCATGGTATCCACTTGTACTTTTTCCGTACCCAGTTTATAGAAATCTTCCTTCGTAGTCCTAGAAGTTTCGAAAGTGGTCGACCACTTCGCTTTGAAATACAAAGCGTTGATTAAAACAGCTCTGGTGTGATCACCCAAATCCCCTCCGTTAATCAAGTTCTTGATTTTATGGTTGGTACGATTTTCCACCCAATCGTTCATGGTACTAGCAGCGGCATTGTTTTGCCCGAAATCTATATTTTCTAATTCCGAGTCGAAAACTGTAGCCGATTTTCTGAATTCGTCCCTTATCTGGAAATTATTCTTGATGTAGATTTTATTCGCTGATTGGAGGGTGTAGAGATCGTTTTTCTTCAAGAGTGGTTGGAGGGTTTGAATGGCAGCTTCTATTTTTTCTTGGGAGTTGGGGAGGTGGAGAGCTGTTCTGATTTCTTCAGCGGTTGCATCTTTAGCTCCTGATTGGGTTAATGCGAGGATGATCTCCACTGATAAAGGACTTACAAGAAAATTACCATGGTGGTGGGTGGTGATTTGCTGAAAAATGGGTTTATTGATGAAGCGAAGATTGGAGTTTTACCTTGTATAGAGACGTCGTGAACAAATTGTTACCAGAGATAAACTCTCGGAGAGAAGTTTCAGTGGCGAAAGTCATAGGTATGCAGTGGAGCAAAAGATGAAAATAAGACTGAATTTTCTAAAAAATTAAAAAAATTTGAGTTGAGGATAGTAAATTTAGGTTGACCTGTTTTACAAAATGTTTTTAATGTTGCAGGAGCTGTTGGAACACAAAACTAAAGCACTAAAGTTCTGTTTAGAATCTCTTGCTCATCACAACTGGAAATAATCGAAACAATCATTTTATATTATACATATATCGAATAAAATTACTTAGTATGGATCATTTGCGGTCAACCACGATATTTTGTTTAGACTTATTTATTACAAAAAAACAGTGATTATCCTGAACTTGACTTCTTATCGTCGATATACGTTCACCTAAACGACAAAAAAAAATTGATCTAAAGAGTTTAGACAGTACTTCCCTTGTTATCGTGACGTGACGACGGCATGCCTACTATGTTTTTACTTCCCGAGCGGGGTAAGCAAAGGAAGTATTGTAATCGAGTCCGTCGGCCGACTCTCTACTTTTATGTTTTCTCGATCTTTCATGACCCCTAGAAGATAAAGAAATAGGTCTCCCATTTCCATCTGTCTGTCCGTCTGTCCGTCTGATCACTAATCACGAATCACGAATCACGAATCACGAATCACTAATCACTAATCAGTTATCAGTTATCAGTTATCAGTTATCACTAATCACTAATCACTAATCGCGAATCACGAACACTAATCACGAATCACTAATCACTAATCACGAATAACGAATCACGAATCACTAATCACGAATCACGAATCACGAATCACGAATCACGAATCACGAATCACGAATTACTAACCACTAATCATTAATCGCGAATCACGAATCACGAATCACGAATCACGAATCACGAATCACAAAATCACGAAATCACGAAATCACGAAATCACGATCAGTGATCAGTGATCAGTGATTAGTGATTAGTGATTAGTAATTTTTTTTGTTTGGTGGTTTGCAATCTTGGGGTTTTTTCTTTCTGATTTTTCTTTCGGATTTTTTCATTTCTAAGTTTTGCAGTTTTATTTTTCAATGTTCCTATTTTTTCCGATTTTTGAAGAATTTTTAAATTTTTCGTGGTTTGGAATTTTGGAATTTTTCAACTTTTAGTTCTTTGATTTTTAATTTTTCAGTTTCTCGATTTAAATTTTTAGATTTTTAAATAACAACCATTTATTTACGAAAGTGTTCATTACATAAATCAAACTAAACAAAATGAATTAATTTTTATGTTTAGTATTCCGATTTTTAGTAGTTTGATTTTTAAGTTTTGATGTTTCAATTTTTCGTTTCTTCAATCTTACGATTTTTTAGAAATGTGTTAGATGGTTACATTTTTTACTTTTTCAATCTTGCAGTTTTAAAATTTTTAAGTTTTTCATTTTTGATTATTTTCTCGGTGTCTCAACTTTTCAATTTTTCGATTATTTAATTTTTCAGTTCCTCAATTTTCGATTTTCCATTCTTCAATTTTTCAATTTTTTAGACATTTTAATGTTTCCTTCAATTTTGCGTTTACAATTTTTCAATTTTTCTATTTTCTATTTCCCAAAGTCATAAACTTTTCGATGTTTCATTGTTATAATTTTTCGGTTTTAGTTCGTTTTTTTCCGATTTTTGAACAATTTTTTAATTTTTAGTTATTTTATTTTTTGCTGGTTTGCAATCTTGCGGTTTTTCCTTTCCGAATTTTTAATTTCCAAGTTTTTCAATTATTCTATTTCTATTTCCAAAATTCTTAAATTTGATTTGAAAAAAAAAAAATTGTAGTGATATTCCTAATATAACTACAAAATTTCACAACACTCGGCTTAGTACTTTCGGAGATTATCTGTCTAATAAAAATCCGTGACCACAGACAGACGGACATACAGACGGACAGACGGACGGAAGTAAAACGTGCAAATATGTGCGCTCAAGACCACAAACTCAGTTGTTGACAGCCAAAATTTATTGAAGGAGATTTACAAAAATGGTAAAAATAATTGAACATTGAATTTTACTGACTCGGATCCACAACTCTTCCTGAGAAAATCACCACATCCTTCACTTTAATGTAGAAGATGAAGGGATGATCGGCTATGAACTCTTTCGGTGGTGCCTCAGGGGACAAGGAAAGACTACAGGGGACAAAACCTAAAACACACTGTAAGTATCTAATAGTCATATCTATGCTGCAGGCATACGAAGGTAAGTAGCAGCTGTTGCTTCCACTCCACTTTCATTAACATCAATAAAACTCTTCTGTTGTATTTGATCGACAACAAGATCTCCCTTATTGCCGGCAATTCCACTTAGGTCGGCTTCTTCACCTTTAAAAACCTTGTTAATACCCAACTAAAAAAAAAAAGTAAATTACTTTTACAATCAATGGCTAAAAATGTAGTACCGTCTGAAGGATTGTCTTCAAATCTATCGTACTTGTAATCTTGAATTTGGGTAAAGCTATTCTAACTTTCTCCCAGGTGTAAGAAGGGACTGGGAAAATCTTCTCCAACTGAGTTTCAAGAACAGACAATCCGTTCCTTTCGTTCGGTAGTACCACGGTAAAAACAACCTCATTCCCTTCAAACGGTATTTCTATAAATTTGGCACCTAGTTCTTGACTTTCATAATAGTTCCGGTTCCATGTATCATGCATGGTATCCACTTGTACTTTTTCCGTACCCAGTTTATAGAAATCTTCCTTCGTAGTCCTAGAAGTTTCGAAAGTGGTCGACCAGTTCGCTTTGAAATACAAAGCGTTGATTAAAACAGCTCGGGTGTGATCACCCAAATCCCCTCCGTTAATCAAGTTCTTGATTTTATGGTTGGTACGATTTTCCACCCAATCGTTCATGGTACTAGCAGCGGCATTGCTTTGCCCGAAATCTATATTTTCTAATTCCGAGTGGAAAACTGTAGCCGATTTTCTGAATTCGTCCCTTATCTGGAAATTATTCTTGATGTAGATTTTATTCGCTGATTGGAGGGTGTAGAGATCGTTTTTCTTCAAGAGTGGTTGGAGGGTTTGAATGGCAGCTTCTATTTTTTCTTGGGAGTTGGGGAGGTGGAGAGCTGTTCTGATTTCTTCAGCGGTTGCATCTTTAGCTCCTGATTGGGTTAATGCGAGGATGATCTCCACTGATAAAGGACTTACAAGAAAATTACCATGGTGGTGGGTGGTGATTTGCTGAAAAATGGGTTTATTGATGAAGCGAAGATTGGAGTTTTACCTTGTATAGAGACGTCGTGAACAAATTGTTACCAGAGATAGACTCTCGGAGAGAAGTTTCAGTGGCGAAAGTCATAGGTATGCAGTGGAGCAAAAGATGAAAATAAGACTGAATTTTCTAAAAAATTAAAAAAAATTGAGTTGAGGATAGTAAATTTAGGTTGACTTCTTTTAGAAAATGTTTTTAATGTTGCAGGAGCTGTTGGAACACAAAACTAAAGCACTAAAGTTCTGTTTAGATTCTCTTGCTCATCAGAACTGGAAATAATCGAAACAATCATTTTATATTATACATAGATTGAATAAAATTACTTAGTATGGATCATTTGCGGTCAACCACGATATTATGTTTAAACTTATTTATTACAAAAAAACAGTGATTATCCTGAACTTGACTTCTTATCGTCGATATACGTTCACCTAAACGACAAAAAAATTGATCTAAAGAGTTTAGACAGTACTTCCCTTGTTATCGTGACGTGATGACGGCATGCCTACTATGTTTTTACTTCCCGAGCGGCGTAAGCAAAGGAAGTATTGTAATCGAGTCCGTCGGCCGACTCTCTACTTTTACGTTTTCTCGATCTTTCACGACCCCTAGAAGACAAAGAAATAGGTCTCCCATTTCCGTCTGTCTGTCCGTCTGTCCGTCTGTCCGTCTGTCCGTCTGTCTGCCGTCCCGGATTTTTATTAGACAGATAATCTCCGAAAGTACTGGACCGATTGTTGTGAAATGTTGTGCTTATATTAGGAATACTATGTAGATGGTAAAACGCTAACTAAAATTTATCTAATCATCCCTACCAATTATGCGGTAACGTCACTTCAAAATTGTACATAGTAAATGGGTTTTAAATTGTTTAAAATAACATAGTCCTACATCTGTAGTTTACGACTCCGAATTGAGTTTTTAAGTGGGTGAGTTAGTGAGTGGGTGTGTGAGTGAGTGATTAAGTGATTAATCACTAATCACTAATCACGAATCACTAATCACTAATCACGAATCACGAATAACGAATCACGAATCACGAATCACTAATCACGAATCACTAATCACTAATCACGAATCACGAATCACGAATCACGAATCACGAATCACGAATCACGAAATTACGAAATCACGAAATCACGAAAACACGATCAGTGATCAGTGATTAGTGATTTTATTTCTTTGGTGGTTTGCAATCTTGGGGTTTTTTCTTTCTGATTTTCCTTTCGGATTTTTTAATTTCTAAGTTTTGCAGTTTTATTTTTCAATGTTCCTATTTTTTCCGATTTTTGAAGAATTTTTTAATTTTTCGTGGTTTGGAATTTTGGAATTTTTCAACTTTTAGTCCTTCGATTTTTAATTTTTCAGTTTCTCGATTTAAATTTTTAGATTTTTAAATAACAACCATTTATTTACGAAAGTGTTCATTACATAAATCATACTAAACAAAATTAATTAAATTTTATGTTTAGTATTCCGATTTTTAGTAGTTTGATTTTTAAGTTTTGATGTTTCAATTTTTCGTTTCTTCAATCTTACGATTTTTTAGAAATGTGTTAGATTGTTAAATGTTTTACTTTTTCAATCTTGCAGTTTTAAAATTTTTAAGTTTTTCATTTTTGATTATTTTCTCGGTGTCTCAACTTTTCAATTTTTCGATTATTTAATTTTTCAGTTCCTCAATTTTCGATTTTCCATTCTTCAATTTTTCAATTTTTTAGACATTTTAATGTTTCCTTCAATTTTGCGTTTACAATTTTTCAATTTTTCTATTTTCTATTTCCCAAAGTCATAAACTTTTCGATGTTTCATTGTTATAATTTTTCGGTTTTAGTTCGTTTTTTTCCGATTTTTGAACAATTTTTTAATTTTTAGTTATTTTATTTTTTGCTGGTTTGCAATCTTGCGGTTTTTCCTTTCCGAATTTTTAATTTCCAAGTTTTTCAATTTTTCTATTTCTATTTCCAAAATTCTTAAATTTGATTAAAAAAAAAATTGTAGTGATATTCCTAATATAACTACAAAATTTCACAACACTCGGCTTAGTACTTTCGGAGATTATCTGTCTAATAAAAATCCGTGACCACAGACAGACGGACATACAGACGGACAGACGGACGGAAGTAAAACGTGCAAATATGTGCGCTCAAGACCACAAACTCAGTTGTTGACAGCCAAAATTTATTGAAGGAGATTTACAAAAATGGTAAAAGTAATTGAACATTGAATTTTACTGACTCGGATCCACAACTCTTCCTGAGAAAATCACCACATCCTTCACTTTAATGTAGAAGATGAAGGGATGATCGGCTATGAACTCTTTCGGTGGTACTTCAGGGGAAAGGGAACCACAATGTTGAACACAACCTAAAACACACTGTAAGTATCTAATAGTCATATCTATGCTGCAGGCATACGAATGTAAGTAGCAGCTGTTGCTTCCACTCCACGTTCATTAACATCAATAAAACTCTTCTGTTGTATTTGATCGACAACAAGATCTCCCTTATTGCCGGCAATTCCACTTAGGTCGGCTTCTTCACCTTTAAAAACCTTGTTAACACCCAACTAAAAAAAAAAAGTAAATTACTTTTACAATCAATGGCTAAAAATGTAGTACCGTCTGCAGGATTGTCTTCAAATCTATCGTACTTGTAATCTTGAATTTGGGTAAAGCTAATCTAACTTTCTCCCAGGTGTAAGAAGGGACTGGGAAAATCTTCTCCAACTGAGTTTCAAGAACAGACAATCCGTTCCTTTCGTTCGGTAGTATCACGGTAAAAACAACCTCAATCCCCCTAAACGGTATTTCTATAAATTTGGCACCTAGTTCTTGACTTTCATAATAGTTCCGGTACCATGTATCATGCATGGTGTCCACTCGTACTTTTTCTGTACCCGATTTATAGAAATCTTCCTTCGTAGTCTTAAAAGTTTCGAAAGTGGTCGACCAGTTCGCTTTGAAATACAAAGCGTTGATTAAAACAGCTCTGGTGTGACCACCCAAATCCTTTTCGTTAATCAAGTTCTTGATTTTATGGTTGGTACGATTTTCCACCCAATCGTTCATGGTACTGGCGGCTGCAATGTTTTGCCCAAAATCTATATTTTCTAATTCAGAGTCGAAAACTGTAGCCGATTTTTTGAATTCGTCTTTTATCTCGAAATTATTTTGGATGTAGATTTTATTGGCCGATTGGAGGGTGTAGAGATTGTTTTTCTTCAAGAGTGGTTGGAGAGTTTGAATGGCAGCTTCTATTTTTTCTTGGGAGTTGGGGAGGTGGAGAGCTGTTCTGATTTCTTCAGCGGTTGCATCTTTAGCTCCTGATTGGGTTAATGCGAGGATGATCTCCACTGATAAAGGACTTACAAGAAAATTACCATGTTCTTCGACGATGATTTGCTGAAAAATGAGTTTATTGAGGAAGCGAGGGTTGGAGTTTTACCTTGTATAGAGATGTCGTGAACAAGTTGTTACCGGAGATAAACTCTTTGAGAGAAGTTTCAGTGGCGGAAGTCAAGGGTACGCCAAAGGGTGAAATATATAAATGAGACTGCATTCTGACTTGTTTCAGAAAATCAGAACTTGAAATAATCGAGACACTGATTTTATATATACCCACTGAGTAATACTACTTAGTATGAATCATTAGCGGTCAATCACTGTATTATGCTTAGGCTTATTTATTGCAAAAAAACAGTGGTTATTTTGAACTTTCCTTTTTATCGACGATAGACATGCACCTAACCACAAAAAACAAATTATGAATAATTTATAAACAAATTGATTTCTTGGTTTCTTGTTTATTTATATTTCAAAATTAGTATGTAATAGTAAAACCGTAATTAACATAGTACGACATTCTACTGTCTCGGATCCACAACTCTTCCTGCGAAAATCACCATTTCTTTCAATTTAATATAGAAGATGAAGGGGTGATCGGCTATGAACTCCTTCGGTGCTACGTGACGAAAAGATGACCCACTTTTAAAAACAATACCTGAAACTCACTGTGAGTACCTATATACTAGTCATATCGATTCTGCAGACATACTAAGGATAGTAGCGGCTGTTGCCTCCACTCCTCTTTCATTAACATCAATAAAACTCTTCTGTCGTACTTTATCAACGACAAGATCCCCCTTATTGCCCGCAATTCCACTAAGATCGGCTTCTCCACCAAAAACTTTGTTAACACCCAACTAAAAAAACACATTATTTTTTAATAAACAAACAAAAATGTAGTACCTTCTCGAGGATTGCTTTCAAATCTGTCGTACTTTCAACCTTGAATTTGGGTAAAATAATATCAACGCGTTCTCTGGTGTAAGCAGGAGCTTCGAAAACCTTCTCCAACTTGGCTTCAAGAACGGACAGACCATTTCTTTCCTTTGGTAGTACCACGGTTAAAACAACCTCACCCCCTTTGAACAATATTTCCAAAAATTTAGCATCCAGTTCTTGACTTTCGTAGTAGTTTTGAATCGCGGTGTCATACATGGTGTCAACTTCAACTTTGTCTCCATTTGCTGTATAGAAACCTTGTTTAGTAGTACTAGTTTTGAAAGATCTTGACCAGTTTGCTTTAAAATACAGTGCGTTGATTAAAACCGCCCTGGTGTCGGCACCCAAATCATCTTCTTGAATCAAGTTCTTGATCTTATGGTTGGTACGATTTTCCACCCAAGCGTTCACGGTACTAGCGGCTGCAATGTTTTGCACGAAATCTATATTTTCTAATTCCGAGTCGAAAACTGTAGCCGATTTTTTGAATTCGTCTTTTATCTCGAAATTATTTTGGATGTAGATTTTATTGGCCGATTGGAGGGTGTAGAGGTCGGTTTTGTTCAAGAGTGGTTGGAGGGTTTGAATGGCAGATTCTATTTTTTCTTGAGAGTTGGGGAGGTGGAGGGTTGTTCTGATTTCTTCAGCGGTTGCACCTTTGGCGCCTGATTGGGTTAAGGCGAGGATGATTTCGGCTGATAATGGACTTACCAGAAAATTACCATGTTCTTCGGCGATGATTTGCTGAAAAATGGGTTTATTGAGGAAGCGAGGGTTGGAGTTTTACCTTGTATAGAGATGTGGTGAACAAGTTGTTACCAGAGATAAATTCTTGGAGAGACGTTTCAGTGGCGAAAGCCAAAGTTAGGCAGTACAGCAAAAGATGTAAATAGGTCTGCATTTTCTAAAAAGTACAAAATACCCAATCTAGTGCAAGAAAAAAAAATTCAGAAAATCGATAGTGAAAAGACTTTCTGTGACTTCCTCGGTTCGTCTGACAATAAAGTAACTACAAATAATCGGGGCACTAATTATATTGGGTACGATTAACATGGGTCATTAGTGGTAAATCACTGTTACACTATTACCAAAAAAACAATGAGTATTTTAAAATTCCTTCTTTATCTGCGATAAACATGCACCTTAATGAGAAAAAAAACACCACTTAATTGCCTTTGCTTTTATTGGAACAAATGGTAGTTACAATTCACCACACTTTTATAAACTCGCATCCACGACTCTTCCAGCGAAAATCACCAAATTTTTTAATTTAATATAAAAGAAAAATGGGTGATCAGCTATGAATTCTTTCGAAGCTTTCTTGTAGTTAGTCCCAACGATCCTATTAACAATTTCTGAAATGCACTGTAAATAAGTACTATTCAATATGATTTTAAAAACATACCAACGAAAGTTGCACCCGCAGCTTCAACTCCTGTTTCACTAACATCAATAAAAGTCTTCTGTCGTACCTTATCAACAAAAAGCTCCCCTTTGTTGCCTGCAATTCCACTCAGATCGGCTTGACCCTCTCTAAAAATTAAGTTAACACCCAACTAAAAAATAGTACCGAAATAATTAACTCCCTTAACAAAAAAATAGCGACGTCGTACCTCTTGAAGTATCCCTTTCAGATCTATCTCACTTTCAACTTTGAATTTGGGTAGAGCTATTCTAACATTCTCCGTAGTGTAAGAAGGGTTTTGGAAAATTTTCTCCAGCTGAGCTTCAAGAACCGCCAGCCCGTTCCTTTCGTTCGGTAGTACCACCGTCAAAGTAACTTCACCTCCTTCAAACGGTAGTTCCAAAAACTTGGCATCTAGTTCTTGACTCTCGTAATAATTCTGGGACATAACAGCATGCATGGTGTCCACCTGAATTTTTTCCACACCTGCTCTATAAAAATCTCTCTTGGAAATTGCCTGAAAAGGAATCGACCAGTTCCCTTTAAAATACAACGCATTGATTAAAATCGCTCTCGTGTCATTACTCAAGTCTTCCGGTTTAATCAGATTCTTGATTTTGTGGTTGGTACGACCTTCCACCCATCCGTTCATAGTATCAGTGGCTGCATCTTTTTGCACGAAATCGATTGTTTCGAAAGCCGAATCGAAAACTGTAGCCGATTTCTTGAATTCATCTTTAATCTCGAAATTGTTTTTAATGTAGATTTTATTCGCGGATTGGATGGTGTAGAGGTCGGTCTTGGCCAGAATTGGTTGAAGGGTTTTCACAGCATCTTCGATTTTTTCTTGAGAGTTAGGGAGGTGGAGGGCGGTTCTGACTTCTTCGGCAGTGGCACCTTTGGCTCCTAATTGGGTTAGGGAGAGTACGATTTCAACCGATAAAGGGCTTACGAGGAAATTACTTTTTTCTTTGGTGGTGATTTGCTGGAAAAAAACGGTTATTGGGCGAAGCGACGGTTTGTAATTTTACTTTGTATAACGATGTCGTGAACAAGTTGTTACCAGAGATGAACTCTTCGAGAGAGGTTTCATTGGCCAAGCTCAAGGTTAACCAATGCAACAAAAAATATAAACAGAACTGCATTTTCTAAAAAATAAAAAATACTTGAATTAGTGCAAGGTCGTACCTTACGATGACGTTAATACATAGTTCGAAAATGGAAATTCATACAGTGTGATGGGTTAAGTTAGTACTACAGTGTTAAGAAAACTCTCGAACGTTAAGATATTTATAGGAGGGGAAAGTTCTTACCGTTACGTCTTCGGTTTGTCCAACAACTAAATACCTGTGAATAATCTACGAACTAAATTTAGACCAGTTTCAGTGCATACGATTAGTACAGCGTCATCAATTCCTCATAATTTCTTGTTCAAACTTATCTAGATTTTAAAATTAATTGTTTTTTAATTTCAATTTTTATTGGTGAGCAATACGCCTCGAAAATCCACTACACTTAAACACTCACTTCAAAATTTTCTTTTCTCAAAAACCGTCAGCGTTAAAATAAAAAGTAAATAAGAAAGTAATGATAATTTTATTTTGTTGAAAGAAAAAAGTAGTACCAATCGAATAAACAAACAATAAAATAACATCACAATTTACACACTCGGATCCACAATACTTCCTGCGAAAATCACCATTTCTTTCAAATCTATATTTTCTAATTCCGAGTCGAAAACTGTAGCCGATTTTTTGAATTCGTCTCTTATCTCGAAATTATTTTGGATGTAGATTTTATTGGCCGCTTGTTTGGGTTAAGGCGAGGATGATTTGGGCTGATAATGGACTTACCAGGAAATTAGCATGTTCTTCGACGATGATTTGCTGAAAAATGAGTTTATTGTGGAAGAGATACTTGAGTTTTACCTTGTACAAAGATGTCGTGAACAAGTTGTTACCAGACATAAATTCTTGGAGAGACGTTTCAGTAGCAAAAACGAAGAGTAGGCAGTACAGCAAAAGTTGTAAATAAGACTGCATTTTCTAAAAAATACAAAATACCCAATCTAGTGCAAGGTAGTACAATCGCACGCAAATGTTTTGAGCCTATGGGCGGATCGTTTTTGCCTGCCCTCACCGAAGAAGGCGGTCCAAATCCTTCAAGGACAGAATTTGTAGGTAGGCTCAAACTACAACGAAATTCACATTTTACCCTATAAAATTTTATTGACAATAACGGGACGGACAGTTGTTATATATACATTTGGTAAGAAATATTTATGGCTCACACCAGTTCTCCCGAATTTATCGGAGAAGATTTAGCAGGTAGTTGTTCCCATAAAATAATGGTCACTTTCGTGCCATTTTTGTTAACTGATATTTTTTTCATAAATGTCGCAAAATTATTAAATTTGTGTAATCATCCCCACCAATAATGTGATGACGTCACTTCAAATTTATGCATAGTAAATGGGTTTTAAATTGTATACAGTAACATAGTCCTACACATGTAGTTTATGACTCCGTGTTGAGTTTTTATCCGAAACGTCCAGATTTTTGGAAAAAAAATCAAAATTATAAAACAATATTTTGCAATTTAATTTTGAATTTGCAAAATCGAATACTTTGAAATCTTGCAGATGTTTTAAAATCATGATAAACATGATACATTTTTAATTAAAATATATTTGCTTATCCCCTCTAAAAAATTTATGACGTCACCTCAAAATTTTGCAGAATAAATCCTATCTTAAATGTATAAAATATGATGAGTTGTGATTTATCACTGCATTAATATTTTTTAGATTTGGCTATACAGGGTGTCTCAAAAAAGTTAATGACTGATTCAATTTATTTTATTGAAGAAATCAAGAATAGCAAAACTGAATACATTGAAATATTGTAGATGTTTTGAAGTTTTTGTAAGTATGGTAACTTTTTCGAAAATTTGATTATAATCAAATATGCGCAAAATCAAAAATCGGAAAAACTGAAATTCACTAATGCAAAAAACAGAAAATCGAAAAATACAAATCGTAAAAATCGAAATTTAAAAATGGCTAATCAAAAAATCGAAAATTCAATGAATCAAATACCTAGGTCGATCGAAAAGTGAAAATTCACAAACCTCAAAAATCGAAAACTCGAAAATTGAAAAACGGGAAAACCAAAAAATCGAAAAGTCAAAAATTTGTAATATTGAAAATTCAAAAAATCAAAAACAAAAATAAAAAAAATCGAAAATTAAAATAATCAAAATATATAAAGTAAAAAAAATTGCAAAGCCTAAAAACTAAAACGAACAGAAAAATCGACAAAGCAAAAAATTGGAAAAACAAAAATTCGAAAAATCTAAAATCGAAAAAGTGGAAAATCGAAAATCTGAATAAAGAAACTTGGAAATTCTGAAAATTGGAAATCGAAAACCAAAAAATCGGAAAGTAACAAAATTGAAGTTGAGAATGGAAAAATTTGAAAACCGAAAATTCTAAAAATCGACAATGGACAAATTGAAAATCGCAAAATTTAAATTGAAAAATTAAACATAGAAAAATCGATGAATTGAAAAATCGAAAATTCGACTACTCAAATTTTCTAAAAATCGAAAAATCATAAAACTGAAAAATCTAAAATTCTGATCATCGAAAGTCTGAAAACTGAAAATCGAAAATTCTGAAAAGCGGAAAATAGAATATCGAAAAATTTAAAAGAAAGAAAATTGAAGTCTAAAAACCGAAGAATGGAAAAATTAAAAATCAAAAATTCGAAAAATCAAAACCGAAAAATTCAAAAATTTAAAAAGAAAATCGAAAAATCAAAAATCTGAAAATCGAAACTCGAAAATTTGGAAAATCGAAAAGTAAAAAAATGGAAGTCTAAAAGCTGAAAAATGGAAAACTGAACAATCGAAAATTCGAAAATCAAATATCGAAAAATCGAAACTTTGATAAATCAGATATGCGAGAAACAGAAAATCTGAAAATACAAAACTGGAATATCAAAAATCTAAAAATGGAAAAACCGAAAATCGAAAATTCAATGAATCTAATACGTAGGTCGATCGAAAAACTGGAAATTCACAAATCTGAAAAATCGAAAATTTGCAAGATTGAAAAACCGAGAATTGAAAAATCAAAAATCAAAAAACTGGAAAAAAATAATCGAAAAATCGAAAAGTAAACAAATTGCAAAGCATAAAAACTGACGAACAGAAAAATCGAAAAATCGTAAAATCAAAAAGTGGAAAATCGAAAACTGGAAATTGAAAAATCAAAAAATCGAAAATCGGAATATCGAGAATCGACAAATTAAAAAACCGAAAAATCGAAAAATTAAAAAATCGGAAATCGAAAAATTAAAAAATCGGAAATCGAAAAATTAAAAAAAAACAAAAATTCAAAAATCGAATAATCCGAAACTAAAATAATAAAAAAGTGGAAAAGTAAAAATTGCAAAGTCTCAAAACTGACGAACAGAACAATCGAAAAATAAAAAAAAAATCGAAAAATATCTAAACATGGAAAATCGAAAAATCGAAAATCGGAAAATGGAAAAACCGAAAAATCGAAAATCGAGAACTCGAAAATTCGACGAAACAAATACTCGAAAAAGCGAAAAGTAAAAAAATTGCAAGGCCTAAAAATTGAAAAATCAAAAAACCGAAAAGTGGAAAATCGGAAAGTCACAAAATTGAAATCTAAAAGCTGCAAATTGCAGAACCATAAAAACTGAAACAAACAGAAAAATCGAAAAACCACAAAAGCGGAAAAACGAAAATCGAAAAATCGCAAATCGAAAAATCGTAAAATCAGAAAATGGAAAATCGAATAATCGAAAGTTGAAAAATTGAAGGTCGAAAAATAAAACAACCGAAAAATCGAAAAATTTTATGATTAATGGAAAATCGAAAAATCGAGAATAGAATAATTAAAAAACCGGAAAATTGAAAAATCGGAAATCGAAGAATTAAAAACGTAAAATCGAGAATTCAAAAATCAAAAAATCGGAAAGTAAAATATAATCGAAAAATGCAAAAAAATTGCAAAGTCTAAAAAGTGACGAACAGAAAAATCAAAAAATCTAAAAATGGAAAGACGAAAAATCGAAAATTGAAAGAATGGCAAATTAAAAAATCGAAACATCGAAAAATCAAAAAAACGAAAAATTAAAAAATCGAAAAACGAAAAAACTGAAAACTCGAAAAATCAAAATACCGCAAATTTGAAAAACCAGAAAATTAGAAAGTAATAAAATCGAAAAGTTGATAGAAAAATGGAAACTGAAAAATCTAATTCGATGAAACTGTTGGTCGAAAAAAAGAAAAATCGAAAATCGAAGTGACCTTTTTTTGAGACAGGCTGTATAAGTAAATCTAAAAAATATTACTGCAATGATAAATCACAGGTATAGACTCATCATATCAAATTTTACGATGACGTCATGCATTTTTTGGCGAAGATAAGCAAATACATTTTGATCGTGGCCTTGAAAGTATTCTTCGACTTTCGTTCCATTTCAAAATTTCAAAATAAAGCGTCAAATATGATTGATAAACTTTAAACCAAAATTAAGAAGTTTATAAACTAAACATTTTTTTTGCTTTTTGAAATGTAGTACACTTCAAAAAATGTCCGTAACTTACTTTAATAATATAGAATATTAGTGTGATTTTGAGCATATTCTCGATGTTATTAGAGCAGGACAGGTTTTTTTTACTAACTAATTGACAAGATTTCAAAGTATTCATTTTTACAGTTAGACTCATCATATTCTGAACATTTTAGATAGGGTATTTATAAAATTAAAACTAATTCAGAGTAAGTATTTATAAAATTAAAACTAATTCGGGGTAAGAATTTGGACCGCTTCCTTCGGTGACGACCGGCAAAAGTGATCCGCCCATAGGTTCAAAACATTTGCGTGCGATTGTACCTTACGACTTCTAGCTACACGAATTAGGAAAATATAGTTGGGGCACTAATTATATCGAGTACGATTAACATGAATCATTAGACAGATAAACATGCACCTAAATGAGAAAAAAAGACCACCTAATTCTTTGCTTTTAATGGAAAAACTGGTAGTTACAATTCACCACATTTTTATAAACTCGCATCCACGACTCTTCCAGCGAAAATCACCAAATTTTGTAATTTAATATAAAAGATAAAGGGGTGATCGGCTATGAACTCCTTCGAAGGTGCCTTGTAGTTACTTCCAATAATCTTATTAACAACATCTGCAACGCACTATAAGTACTAAGCAATTCAACATAACTTTAAAAACGTACCAACGAAAGTCGCAGCTGCAGCTTCAACTCCCTTCTCACTAACATCAATAAAAGTCTTCTGTCGTACCTTATCGACAAAAAGATCTCCTTTCTTGCCTGCGATTCCACTCAGATCGGCTTCACCCTCTTTAAAAATTATGTTAACACCCAGCTAAAAAATAGTACCGAAATAACTACCTCTTTTAACAAAAACATAATAACGTAGTACCTTTTGAAGTATCCCTTTCAGATCTATCACACTTTCAATTTTGAATTTAGGTAACGCTATTCTAACATTCTCCGTAGTGTAAGCAGGATTTTGGAAAACTTTCTCCAGCTGACTTTCCAGAACCGCTAATCCGTTTTTATCGTTCGGTAGTACCACCGTCAAAGTAACTTCGCCTCCTTCAAACGGTAGTTCCAAAAACTTGGCACCTAGTTCTTGACTCTCGTAATAATTTTGCTCCATAACAGCATGCATAGTTTCCACCTGAACTTTTTCCACTCCCGCTCTATAAAAATCTCTCTCGAAAGCTACCTCGAACGGAACCGACCAGTTCCCTTTAAAATACAACGCATTGATTAAAATCGCTCTCGTATCATCACTCAAGTCTTCCGGTTTAATCAGATTCTTGATTTTGTGGTTGGTACGACCTTCCACCCATCCGTTCATAGTGTCAGCGGCTGCATCTCTTTGCCCGAAATCGATTTTTTCGAAAGCCGAATCGAAAACTGTCGCCGATTTCTTGAATTCGTCTTTAATCTCGAAATTGTTTTTAATGTAGATTTTATTCGCCGATTGGATGGTGTAGAGGTCGGTTTTGGCCAGAATTGGTTGAAGGGTTTTCATAGAATTTTCGATTTTTTCTTGAGTGTTAGGGAGATGAAGGGCGGTTTTGATTTCTTCGGCAGTAGTACCTTTAGCGCCTGATTGGGTTAGGGAGAGTACGATTTCAACCGATAGAGGGCTTACGAGGAAATTACTTTTTTCGTTGGTGGTGATTTCCTAGAAAACACGGTTATTGACGAAGCGAGGGTTTGTAATTTTACCTTGTATAACGATGTCGCGAATAAATTGTTACCAGAGATGAAATCTTGGAGAGAAGTTTCATTGGCCAAGGTCAAGGATAGCCAGTACAGCAACAAATATAAATAAAACTGCATTTTCTAAAAAATAAAAAAGGCTTGAGGTTGTAGTGTGATGGTGTTTAGTTAGTACTTCAGTGTTAAGAAAACTCCTTAAACGTTAAACTATTTAGAGGAAAGGACAGTTCTTACCGTTACGTCTTCGATTTGTCCAACAACTAAATACCGGTTATGTTTACAACTTCATGCAGACCTGTGAATAATATAGGAACTAATTTTAGAATAGTATCTACGGGGTCATCAGTTTTCATCGCTTCATATTTTTCTTTCCTCAAATCAATAAGCGTTAAAATAAAAAGTCATTAAGAAAGCATTGATAATTCTATTTTATTTAAAGAAAAAAGTAGTACCGACAAAACAATAAACCAATAGTTAAACATCAATTATTACATTGTACACTTTCGGGATCCACAATTCTTCCAGCGAACACCACGAGATTCCCATGTTTTAAAAAGAAAACGAAGGGATGTTCCGCTATAAACTGTATCGGTTGTGGTTTAGAACTTCCAGGCAACGGAACACCAGCCCCTGAAATTCATCTTTAGTACTAACCAAATTAATTCTAAAAACTTACTAAGTGGCGCCGGAGGTTCATGCTGCACCCCAAGTTCATTTAGGTCGATAATATTCTTCTGAAACACTTTATCAATAACAAAATCTCCCCTTTCCCCTGCAATTCCACTCAGATCGCCTTCAGCACTAAAAACTTTGTTAACACCCAACTAAAAAAAAAAAAATACTTTTACAATAAAAACTCAGCCAGATAGTACCTTTTCAAGCATCGCTTTTACATTTATCACATCTTCTAGCTTGAACTTCGGTAAAACGACCCTAACACACTGCCTGCGGTAGGGGATTTCATAAAGAGTTTCGAGTTGGGCTTCAATTAGAGCAAGTCCAGTTCTCTCATCCGGCAGTACCACGTGAAAAGTAACGTCGCCTGATTCAAACGCTAGTTTCACAAACTTGCAATGTAGGTGCCGACTTTCATAGTAGCCGTGATAGGTGGTATCCTCCAAAGTGTCCACTTTAATCAGTTCCGTTCCTCTCCTATAGAAATTCTGCTTCCTAGTATGATGTACTTGGAAGTGCCTCGCCCACTTCCCTTTAAAACGCACAACGCTAACGCAAATCGCTCGCATTTGTTCATTCAGATCTTCTCCACTGATCAAGTTGATAACTTGTCCTTGAGTACGTTCTTCCACCCATCCGTTTACGACACCAGGAGCTGATCCTAGCCTGAAATCTATACTTTCTAACTCTGTACCAAAAGCCTGAGCGGCTTTTTTAAATTCTTCGCGTATTTCGAAAGTGTTCTTGTAGTAGATCTTGTTCCCTTCCTTCAGGGTGTAAAGATCATCTTTGTTCAAAAGGGGTAGTAGAGCTGTCACGCCATGTTCTATTTTTATCGGAGGAAAGGGGAAGCCAAAGCCTTTTCTGATTTCGACACCAGTTTCATCTCTGGCTGCTGTTTGAATTAGACCGAAGAGGAATCCTAATGTTGCAGGACCCGCTATAAAATTTCCTTCTCTGTTGGCTGCTATTTGCTAAAAAAAATTTGGTTTTAGTGAACGGATGGTTTGGAGGTTTACGTTTCACTCTGTATAAAGCCGTTGTGAAATGGTGATTTGCGATGAGGTACTGTTTAGTGGTCTGCCTGCGGAAAACCGCGCACATTTTCTGAAAAACAGGGTTTAGTGAAAGATAATTAAGAATATATTTGTATTGAGTACGATTAGTACCGGTTATCAAGTGAAAAAAGTGTTCGGCGCGGTGACAAAAACTGCAAAAAAGTACCTTTGAACGCACTGTCTATCATTACTGAGTACTTGACACGTGCAGAAATGAAGAAATTGGTAACGATAACATCGTACTTTAGCAAAAAAGTCGTACCTATAGAATGAATGGCGGCTCTTTCCAGGGGTGTATATATCGTACTTCTGGAGTTTCCAACACTGTTTTCCACGCAACGACACAATCTCTTTCGTAGTTGAGATCCGACTGCCCCCAACCCTTCAGACACAAAGATACCTACCGTAACTGAGTAGAGGGCGCTCGAAGCTCTATTTTTGAATTTGTTGCTTTCGTTTTGCACGTAAACAAACAGAATTAAAAATAATAGCAGTTCCCACTAAACAGGATTTTTTATTCGTCCAGCAAAAGCAATACACTGGTCAGTTTTGAGATAGAACATAAACGGCCGATCGGCCACAACCTCCGTAAAACTTGCAGATACGGTCTTCACAGAACGTACATCTAAAAAACAGACAAATTAGTCTATCGTCATCTATCCGACAAAGCTGTTTTCGCTTATACTCGTTCCACCAGCATTGGACGTCTCCTCTTCTAAAGAAAAAATACACTTGTGCATCACGTGGTTGATATGGAACACTTTGCTCTCTGGAATGATCCCATTAAAGTCAGCTTCTTCCGTAAACGCCTTCCTGATCCCTAACTACAAAGCACTTAGACCTTTTCCGTCTTGGAACCTACACTTACTCGTTGACAAAGCCTCCTCATATCCATGTTAAAATTTAGCGTACATCTCGGGACGATCAGCCGGACTCGTTCCTCCTTGTACTTCATGTTGGAGAAGACGTGGTCCAGTTTGCTTTCCATCAGGTCTAGTCCATTTTCGTCTCTAGGCAATACTAGAATTAGGTAGAGAAATTTGACTTCGAGGGGTAGTTCGAGGACCTGTGCCTTCAATACGTCGCTTTCGCAATAGTTAAACAGACCACACCTCTCCAGAAACTCCACGTTGACGTCTTTCATCGGCGCTACTTTGAAGGTCCGCTTTTTGGAGGCGTCCTTATGAAATTTCGACCAGCGGATCTTGCAATAAACCGCACACACTAGAACCATCATACTCGAAGGATCTATATCTTTGTCTTTAATAAACCCGTCTATCTTCTGCTCGGATTTAGCCTCAATAAAGTCGTTCAAAGGCTTGGCACGCTCATGGGTATTCGCGGTGAAGTGGTCCAACTCGATTTCGTATACAGTTTCTGCAAGAGTTTTGAATTCTGACCTGAAGGGGTACTGATTGTCCAAGAAAATCTTCATGCTCGAAAGGTAATGGATATTCTTGCTTTTTTTTAGACGAGGAACTGTCGCACTGATGAGGGTTTCCATTTCTTTGGGATTTTGGGGGTAGTTGAGGGATATTTTGATTTCTTGGGCGGTTTCATCGAGGGCTCCCGAACGAATTACACCTAGGATAGAGGAAAGTGCCAAGGGCGAAACGACGAAATTGTCGTTGTGGACATCCTGCAAGACTTCCTAAAGTTGAAAAACGAAAGTAAATGTGGCAGTATATTCGAAGGACTTACATGATATAGCTTGCTCGTGAAAGCGTAACCGCTGATGTTTGCGTAAGCCACTTTCAAAAGGGGTGATTTTGCGAGTGAAAGACGAAAGGTTTGACAGAGCTTATCAAAATTTCGACTACTAGATTATGTAAAACTGTGATAGAACGACAGACAGTGATTTTTTAAGCTTTATTATTTTTCGGAATCTTCGGAGGCTGACGTAAAAAATTGGTCGAAAGTTATTTCGACAGAACTTCCCTCGCTTCTGAAGTACAGTCCAACAAATACTGCTTCTCTGAAAAATTATAATATTTGATTTTGTGGAATTTTACTTTTTCGTGATAACCTCTATGGAGTCAAAACAATATTGAAGGTACTAGTCACAATCTAAGAAAAAAAATAAGGTTTTACCTTCATAAAAAAAGACACTTGGGGCACCCGAGAAGGTTTCGCCTTCTTTAAAAAAGGACAGTTGGAACCCCCAAGAAGATTTCGCATTCTTAAAAAATACAGTTGAGACCCCCGAGAAGGTTTTACATTTAAATAAAAAAGACAATTGGGACCCTCGAGAAGGTTTCACATCCCTAAAAAAAATACATTTGGGGTCCTCGAGAAGGTTTTACTTACATTAAAAAAAATACATTTGGGACCCCCGAGAAGGTTTTACATTAAAAAAAGACATTTGGGGACCGGAGAAGGTTTCACATTTAAATAAAAAAGACAATTGGGACCCTCGAGAAGGTTTCACATTCTTAAAAAAATATATTCGGGGTCCTCGGGAAGGTTTTACTTACATTAAAAAAAAATACATTTGGGACCCCCGAGAAGGTTTTACTTACATTAAAAAAAATACATTTGGGACCCCCGAGAAGGTTTTACATTAAAAAAAGACATTTGGCGACCCGAGAAGGTTTCACATTTAAATAAAAAAGACAATTGGGACCCTCGAGAAGGTTTCACATTCTTAAAAAAATATATTCGGGGTCCTCGAAAAGGTTTTACATTAAAAAAAAACATTTAGGGACCCGAGAAGGTTTCACATTTAAATAAAAAAGACAATTGGGACCCTCGAGAAGATTTCACATTCTTAAAAAAATATATTCGAGGTCCTCGGGAAGGTTTTACTTACATTAAAAAAAAATACATTTGGGACCCCCGAGAAGGTTTTACATTAAAAAAAGACATTTGGGGACCCGAGAAGGTTTCACATTTAAATAAAAAAGACAATTGGGACCCTCGAGAAGGTTTCACATTCTTAAAAAAATATATTCGGGGTCCTCGAGAAGGTTTTACTTACATTAAAAAAAATACATTTGGGACCCCCGAGAAGGTTTTACATTAAAAAAAACATTTAGGGACCTGAGAAGGTTTCACATTTAAATAAAAAATACAATTGGGACCCTGGAGAAGGTTTCACATTCTCAAAAAATATATTCGGGTTCCTCGAGAAGGTTTTACTTGCATTAAAAAAAAATACATTTGGGACCCCCGAGAAGGGTTTACATTAAAAAAAAAGGCAGTTGGGGCCCCGGAGAAGGTTTTAAATTCTTAAAAAAAAATACATTTGGGGACTCCGAGAAGGTTTAACATTTTTAAAAAAGGCAGTTGGGACCCCCGAGAAGATTTCACATTCTTAAAAAATATATTTGGGACCCCCGAGAAGGTTTCGCATTTTCAAAAAAAGGCAGTTAGGACCCCCGAAAAGCTTACACATTTTTAAAATAGACAGTTGGGGGCCCTGAGAAGGTTTCACGTTTAAAAAACCGGCAACGATTTACTAGCAATGATTTAGTTCGAACCGTGATTTCATGCAAGCGGCACACACGTAGACCCCGAGAAGGTTTTACATTTTTAAAAAGTCATGTGACACCCCCGAGAAGGCTTACATTTTTTAGAAGACAATTGGAACCCCCGAGAAGGTTTTACATGTTTAAAAAAGACAGTTGGGACCCCCGAGAAGATTTTACATTAAAAAAACACTTTTGGGGACCCGAGAAGGTTTCACATTCAAATAAAAAATACATTTGGGACCTCCGAGAAGGTTTTACATTTTTAAAAAATTAATCGAAAGTTATTTCAACAGAACTTCCCTAGCTCCTAAAGTAGAATGAAACATCAAAAATTAACACTCAATCAGATTTAGGAATTTAATTCGTTACTATGGAAACACCTTTTAAATTTAACAAGTTTTTACAAGATTAATAGAGGCAAAATCAGTCTTATCTTAGCAAGTACTAGCCCCGCCCATCCGCCCCTTATTTTCTCAGAGGGTATGTCATTTGCCAAAATAAGTCATATCTTGGCAAGTACTAGCCCAGCCCACCCACCCCCTATTTTCTCAGAGGATGTTATTTGCCAAAATGACTTTTATCTTAGCAAGTACTAGCCCCGCCCACCCGCCCCCTATTTTCTCAGAGGATATGTCATTTGCCAAAATGAGTCTTATCTTAGCTAGTACTAGGCCCGCCCACCCGTTCTCTATTTTCTCCAAGCATTATATCATTTGCCAAAATAAATCCTACCTTAGCCAATACTAGCCCCGCCCACCCGCCCTCTAATTTCTTAAAAGGTATGTTATTTGCTAAAATGCTAGTATTTGCTAAGGTAAGACTGATTTTGCCAAATGACAATCGTCTGAGAAAATATAGGGTGGGTGGGCGGGGCTAGTACTTTTATTAAGATAAAACTGATTTTGGCAGATGCCATACCCTCTAAGAAAATAGGGGGTGGGTGGGCGGGGCTAGTCCTTGCTAAGATAAGACTAATTTTGGCAAATGACATATCCTCTGAGAAAATAGGGAACAAATCTAGAAAATATGAATGCAATGATAAATCACAAGTAAAAACGCATCAGATTTTGCACAATTTGGGTAGAATTTATTCGACAAAATTTTGAGATGACGTCATCAATTTCTTGGGGGCGAATAAACAGATATATTTGTTTACATGCTTACAATAACTTTAAAACGTCTACAAGATTTCAGAATATTCAATTTTGCAATTCTTGATTTATTCAATAAAATAAATTGATTGATTCATTAATTTTTTAGAGCCACTCTTTATAAGCAAATCTCAAAAATATGAATGCACTGATAAATTCCAAGTATAGAATCATCATACTTTGCACATTTAAGGATTTATTCAACAATATTTTGGAGGGGACAAGTAAATAAATTTTGAATAAAAACTTATCATGCTTATCATAACTGTAAACCATCGACAAGATTTCAAAACATTCGGTTTTGCAGATTCAAAATTAAATTGCAAATTTTTGTGTCATAATTTTTATTTTTTCCAGAAAACTGGGCGTCCCGAAAGGAGAGAGTACTTTTTTAGTACTCTAGAGGTTGTGGCGACACAATAATACGTAATAGTACGCGAAGAAAGATAAGCTCCTCCATTGTCTAGTGGTAAGGGCACCCGCCCGGCAAGCGGTAAACGTGCGGTTCGATTCCCACCGGAGAAGCAACATTTCTCTTCGCTTACCTACAAGGTCATGAAACGTCGAGGAAACATAAAAGTGGCCATTCGTCCAATGGACGCGATTACTATACTTCCTTAGTTTACGCCCGGGGAGTAAGTAGACTGGTTCCACTGACACGTGATACACTTTTGTGTGAAAATACCTACCATTATCACTGATAGTTTAGATTTAATAGTACCATAGGCCAAAGTCGTACCTTACACTCACTAAAATTCGGGGGAAGTAGATTCTAGAGGTGAGCTGGAGGAAGAAGTTCTTGTTGCTGACTAGCTAAAAGAAAAAGGGGACCAACCAGGACCGAATTAACAAACGACGAATTTAAGTTGACTGTGTTTGGTTACGATTTCTAAAAAACTTGACTTGAAACAAACATAGTAGAACAAACTTGTTTATTGGTATTTGTGTTCTATAGGTACTTTCTTTACAAATTCAACACGGGACGCTTTACCCTTCCGGTAAACACGACCAAATCTTTCCACTTTATGTAAAAGAAAAAGGGATGATCGACGCAAAACACCTTAGCTTTCACATCAACGTCCTTGAAAGATTTCTTAGTTGCTAAAACAAAAAACAAGTGGAATTTCTTCATCTTCTACCGTACTAACCGTTATCAAGAAACTCCACGTCTAGTCCAGCTTCGTTGACCAAAATCCTCGAACTTTGTATAACCTGTGTAATAAAAACGTCCTTCTCTGCTACAAGTCCGGTGAAATTCGCTTGGTCACTAAACGGTACTTTCATCCCCATCTGCAACAAGTTCTATTTCTAACCATCCACCCAAGTCACCGCACTTACCTCACTCAAAGTAGTCCTAAAATCGATACTCGTATCGATAAAGAACTTGGGAAGACTAACTTTAACATAATCTAGAGCAAATTGGCGGCACGCGAAAATCGCGTCCATTTGTTGCTCCACCTCCTCAAGTCCTTCTTTTTCGAAAGGCAAAACCACCACCATGCTCAGCAGCTCGTCTTCGAACCTCAACTCCAAATACCTCGCTCTTATTTCCTTACTCTCGTAGCAATTGAAATATCCCACAGTTTCCATCATCACCACTTTGATTACTTGCGTCTCCGTGGTGAAGAAGTTCTGGTTGATGGTTCGCGACTGGAACGGATTGAGCCAGTGCCCTTGCAGAAACACGGCACTAAGCAGCAGCATCTTCATGTCTGGAAACAGATCCGAAACGTTCACCACGTCGACGATCTTGTCGTTGGTACTAGTTCTCAAGAACGTGTTAATGACATTCACCGCTGTCTCTTTGTCTGCAAAATCTATGCTTTCTACGTCCGTATAGTAGATTTTTTTAGCGAGAACTCGCAGGTTTTTTCGTATGGTGTAGGTCTTGCAGAGGTAGAGTTTGCTCACCGCACACAAGTCGAAGAGCTTGCTTTTGACTAGGATGGGCATGAGTACCTAGGTTTGATTAATTTTGTGGACTTTGAGGGGTTTGGATACCTTGAAGCACATTTCCTGGTTTCTGAGATTACTGGGAAGATTTAAGGTGGTGCGGATTTCGAGGTTGGTTTTGTATTTGGAGCCTTTTTGGGCGACGACGCAGATGACTTCGACGAAGAAAGGGCTGATGATGAAGTTGTCGAAGTTGGGGGTGATTTTCTGGAAGAAAAGGGTTAGAGAGGGACGAGGGGCGACGGGGACGCACGAGGTGGACATTTGTGGTGAATGTGTTGCTGCCCGTGATGAAAGCTTCTAAAGCAACGGTTTCAGCCCAAAGTTGTTCCGGGGAACGACAATTACAGAATGACAAACACATGACAATTTGATTTATCGCCACAACAAAATATTGTCTGTAATAAATAAATATTGCCGGGTAAACCGAAATTGTCAGAATTTCTGGAAGCGCTAACGACATTTCTACAACTTTGTGGTAAAATTACATTGTGTAACAAAAAAATTATTATCTTGCTTTTTTCACATTTATCGTTGTATCCTGATGTAACTTTTGACATGCTGTGGTTCGTTTGGTCGAACTGTCCCTATTTTCATTTATTTAATTTTTTTTGTAACAGAAAAAAAATTGTATATATTTTGCGTTTAAATTCGAAAATCGTAGCCACAAGCAGGTGTAAATTATCTGCAACTTCTTTTTGTTACATTTGCGGTTATTGCAAAACTGTTGACTAAGTGAAACATAAAATAGTTCCTACGACAAAGTTCTGGGTAGCATATGAAGCGTACTTTGAGAGAACTATTAAGAACCAGGATAAACCATGGGTTCATCTTGTTTACTGCGGAAGTTGCCGGTCAAGTTTGGAACCATGGTTTCGAGGAAATCTTACCTAAGTTTGTAGCATTTACCATTTCCCGTTTTTTAAGAAAACCAAGTAACCATCTTACTGGTTGTTATATATTTTTGTACGGTAAATATATTTTATAATTTAATTAACGTGTCAGCCCTCCCAAGCCCCAGGGCCACGCGAAGGTTCATTTTTATTTTTATTTGTAAATAATTTATGCTTTTTTTCTTCTTTGTAGTATTTCCAATTAATTAAACTGCTTTCGTTTTTTTTTTTAATTAAAATTTTGACATTTTTCACTAAATAACAAATAGTTAAGTATTTTTTGTGTTAGGGACTCTCTGTACGAACCAAATTCACATTCTCTAAGTATAGACTAAATTACACCCAAAACCACAAAAAAAGTCAGATAAATATTATTTTTCTATAATTTTGTTACATAGTGTTATCTGTAAATAATTACGATGCGGTGACCTTCGTAGCCACGTGACAATTTCATGCAACAATTTAAAAAATTGGTCTAAAGAGTTTAGTATTTGTAAAGATAAGACTGATTTTGGCCAATGTCATACTCACCATGAAAACGGAGGGCGGGTGGGCGGGGCTAGTACTTCCTAAGATATGGTGGATATATCATTGGCCAAAATCAGTCTTATCTTTACAAATACTAGCCCCACCCACCCGCCCTTTCTTTGCTTTGAGGATATATGATTTGCCAAAATCAGTCGTATCTTAGGAAGTACTAGCCCCCCCAACCCGCTCCCCCTTTTCACGGAGGGTATATCATTGGACAAAATCAGTGTTACTTTTTTGCCACTTTCTCTGTATACCTCAATTTTTCTCAATGTGCCCTTCGTTTGACTTCTATGCCGCACCCCCACTCTCTTTTTTCCCAGTTTTCTCTTAGAATTAATTTTTTTATGAAATCCTCAAAATTGTATATTATATTACTTACCACTTCCACTCTACAGAAGAACATATAACTAACCCCGCCCACCCACCCGCCTCCATTTCGGAGATTAATTTTTTCTGCTCTGAATAAAAGGTGGATCTTATACAGAAATAAAATTAGTCGCTAGAATGAGTAGAGGGAGGGTGGGCGGGGCTAGTACTTCGTAAGATATAATGGATATATCATTGGCCAAAATCAGTCTTATCTTTACAAATACTAGCCCCACCCACCCGCCCTTTATTTGGTTTGAGGGTATATGATTTGCCAAAATCAGTCGTATCTTAGGAAGTACTAGCCCCGCCCACCCGCCCTCCCTTTTCATGGAGGGTATATCATTGGACAAAATCAGTCTTACTTTTTTTGCCCCTTTCTCTGTATACCTCAATTTTTCTCAATGTGTTCTTCTTTTGACTTCTATGCCGCACCCCCACTCCTTTTTTCCCTGTTTTCTCTTAGAATTATTTTTTTTGTGAAATCCTCAAAATTATATATTATATTACTTACCACTCCCATTGTACAGAAGAACATATAACTAAGCTCGCCCACCCACCCGCCTCCATTTCGGTGATTAATTTTTTCTGCTCTGAATAAAAAGTGGATCTTATACAGAAATAAAATTAGTCGTTAGAATGAGTAAAGACAGGGTGGGCGGGGCTAGTACTTGTCAAGATAAGACTGATTTTGCAAGTCACATAGCTCTAAGAAAATAGAGGGTGGGTGGGTGGGGCTAGCTCTTGTAACTACGATTAGCGCTTTTTTTACAGTCTTATTTCTATCAGTTACCACTCCCACTCTAAGGAACAGATAATAAACCCCACCCACCCACCCGCTCGATGTCTCGACTTTACAATATTTCGATTTTTCAGTTTTTCAGTTTTTCGATTTCTTAGTTTTTCAATTCTTCGACTCTTCGGTTTTCCGATTTTTCAATTTTTGACGTATTAGGTAAATTTTCAATTTTGCGATTTCCCAATTTCTTTTCATTTCTTACCGTCTTTTCAATTTTGCAATTCTTCAATTTTTCGATTTTATTTTTTTTTCTGGTTTTTGATTTTTCAATCTTTCGATTTTTCGGCTTTTCGATTTCCCAATTTTTGAGTTTTTCAATTTCTCAATTTTTCAATGTTTCAGTTTTGGGTTTTTTCAATTTTTCGATTTATCCACTTTTCGAATTTCATTTCCGATTTTTCAATTTTAGTTTTCAGAACTTTTAATTTTTCAACCTTTAAAATTTCGATTTTACGAATTTTCAGTTTTTCTATTTCCATTTTTCAATTTTTCCAATTTTTAAATTTTCGATTTTTCGATTTGGGATTTATCGGGATTTGGATGTTTCGATTTTTTTATTTTTCAGTCTCTCGTTTTGCGGATTTCTCAATTTTCTGATTTTTTGACTTCTCGACTTTTCGATTTCTCGATTTCTCAATTTTTTGTCTCGATGATTCAGTTTTTGATTATTCGATGTTTCGATTTTTCGATTTCTCGGCTTTTAGATTTTTCGACTTCTCGACTTTTCAATTTTTCGATTTCTGGGTATTTAATAAATAAATAAATAAATAAATAAATAAATAAATAAATAAATAAATAAATAAATAGTTTATGATCATTTCGATTTTTGACATTTCGGCTTTTCGGCCTTTCGATTTTTTGATTTTCCACTTTTTCGATGGTCAATTTTTCAATCTTTCGATTGGAAATTTATCGGTATTTCATTGTTTTGATTTTTCCATTTTGCAGATTTTTCAGATTTTCAATTTTTTATCTTCTCGGTTTTAGATTTCTATTTCCTAATTTTTCGAATTTTAAAATTTTAGATTTTTCTGTTTTTGATCCCTCAGTTTTCCAATTTTTCAATTTTTGACTTTTTAAATTTTCAATTTTCCATTTCTTGTGTTTTCAATTTCTCGACTTTTCGATTTTTCAATTTTTCGTTTTTTAAATTTTAGATTTTTCAATTTTTCAAATTTTTAGATATTTTAATTTTTCAATTTTGTAAGTTTTTGAATTTCCATTTTTCGATTTCTCTATTCGATTTTTCAATGCTCCGACATTTCAATTTTTTTAATTTTTCAGCAAAATTTTGGGGTGACGCCATCAATTTTTTAGGGGGGCATGAGGAAATATATTTTGACTAAAAATTTACCATGCCTATGATAACTAAAATCAGTCTCAACTTAGCAACTACTAGCCCCGCCCACCCTCCACTTTTTTCTCAAAGAATATGTCTTTTGGCAAAATAAATCTTATCTTAGCAAATACTATCCCCGCCCACCCGCCTTCTATTTTCTCAAAGGATATATCATTTGCCAAAATAAATCTTATCTTAGCAAGTACTAGCCCCGCCCACCCGCCCTCTATTTTCTTAAAAGTCATTTGCTAAAATGCTAGTATTTGCTAAGGTAAGACTGATTTTGGCAAATAACAATCCTCTGAAAAGATAGAGGGGGGTGGGTGGGGCTAGTACTTGCTAAAGTAAGACTGATTTTGGCAAACGCCATACTCCCTGAGAAAATAGCGGGCGGGTGGGCGGGACTAGTCCTTGCTAAGATAAGACTAATTTTGGCAAATGCCATGTCCTCTGAGAAAATAGGGGGTGGGTGGGCGGGGCTAGTAATTTTATTAAGATAAAACTGATTTTGGCAGATGCCATACCCTCTAAGAAAATATAGGGCGGGTGGGCGGGGCTAGTACTTGTTAAGATAAGACTAATTTTGGCAAATGACATATCCTCTGAGAAAATAGGGGACAAATCTAAAAAATATGAATGCAATGATAAATCACAAATAAAAACGCATCATATTTTGCACAATTTGGGTAGAATTTATTCGGCAAAATTTTGAGATGACATCATCCATTTCTTTTGGGGGAATAAACAGATCTATTTGTTTACATGCTTACGATAATTCTAAAACATCTGCAAAATTTCAAAGTATTCATTTTTGCAATTCTTGATTTATTCAATAAAATAAATTGATCGATTCATTAATTTTTTGAGTCACTCTGTATAAGCAAATCTAAAAAATATTAATGCATTGATATATTACAAGTACAGAATGATACGTTGCACATTTAAGGATTTATTCAACAATATTTTGAGGTGACGTCATCAATATTTTTAGGGGGGATGAGCAAATACCTTTTGATCAAAAATTTATCATGCTTATGATAACTTTAAAACGTGTCCAACATTTCAAACCATTCGATTTTGCAGATTCAAAATTAAATGTCAAAATGTTGTTTCCTAATTTTGATTTTTTTTTCCAAAAATTTGGACGTTTCGGGTCAAATCTCAATTCGGAGTCATAAACTTCATGTCCAAGACTATGTTATTTGATGCAATTTAAAACTCATTTGCTATGTACAATTTTGAAGTGACGTCATCACATTAGTGGTGGGGATGATTAGACAAACTTTGGTTAGCGGTTTGCCATCTAAGTACATGATATACCTAGTATAAATACAAAATTTGACAACAATCGTCCCAGGACTTTTGAAGATTATCTGTCTAATAAAAATCCGGGACCGCAGATAGACGGACATGGGAAGTAAAAATAAAAACACAACATTGCAAATCTGTCAAATTGACTTCAAGACGATTTTGATGGGTAATCGAAAACAAATTAAGGAAATGTGTGTACATAATAACGTAGTGATAACCTAGTAACAAAATTTTGTTTTCTGTGGTGTGGTCATCCAGAGATAAATATTCTTGCGTAAACAAAAACTAATTACCGTTAGTGAGCTGGTTCATAACATTTTGATTTCTCAGCATCACACTTATCAAAATCATAATTATAACATGTTGATCTTGGGGACCATAAAACTTTCTCTCCACCTATTTACCGACTTATTTATTATCGCTTAAACTTTGGAACCATAAAGACTCACATTCCAACTAACCTCATTAATGCCTTACTTCACAGGAATATTTAAGGTTTTTGGAAAGTCATTAAAGGTGTAGAGAAAAGCGTTTCTCGGCAGAAATTCTTCGGCTTTAGTTGAATCAGGTGCCAAAAATGAAACAGCTGAAGAAATTCGATTGGTGTAAGAAAACAAAAATTTTCCACAAAGAAATAGGATGGACACTATTTCCCCCACTGCGTTATATTACACCCAATATTTGACCTCTTATGTAAGACGTGTTAATATAAGCACGCTCAAAAATTTAGTGACACAGTCGCTAACCGGTCGAACCTCCAGTGACCATGAAGATTCTTCTCGTGACCATCGTATTGTTTACCATCACCTATGGAACTCCAGTCCAGGACTTCGCCAAGGAAACCGCCTCTTCACTGCAGACATCTACAAGGTAATTCTCACCCCCACAAGTCCTTTTCAAACTTTAGTCTTTCAGGAGTACAAGAAACAAGAAAAAAGCAACTTCTTGATAAGTCCCTTTTCCGCTGAAGTAGTCCTGGGTTTAACCCACTCAGGAGCTAAGGATGCAACGGCCCAAGAACTCCGCACAAGCTTGCACTTCCCCAACAACGACCAAGCCATCAGATCAGGAATTCGTTCGTACTTCGAGTCCTTAGAACCGCGCGATTCAAACGAGTACCAGTTCCACTCCGCCAATAAAATCTACGTGAAAGAAAATCTACCCATCAAAGCCGAATTCAAGCAGATTGCGACTACCGATTATCAAGCGGAGGTCGAAAATATCGATTTTTCGCAAAAAACAGAGGCTGCTAATACCATAAACCAGTGGGTGGAGAAACAAACCAAAAATAAAATTCGCAACTTGATGGATGAAAAGAGTCTCGGAGACGACGTAGCGGCGGTACTTATTAACACTTTGTACTTCCAAGGACGTTGGTTGTTCGATTTTTCTAAAGAAGATACGAAAAAAGCTGACTTCTTTAAAAGTGGTACCGACGCAGTTAAAGTTGACACGATGTTCAAAAACCACAAATTTTACAGTTACTTTGAAAGTGCTGAATTAAATGCTAAATTTTTGGAACTGCCGTTCCAAGGTCGTGACGCTTCTTTTGTAGTGGTACTACCGAACGAAAAAGATGGTTTAGCTGCTCTGGAAGAAAAATCAGAGAAAGTTTTTGCAAGTCACGATTTTAAACACGAACTGGTGAATCTGGCGTTACCGAAATTCAAAATTGAGAGTAAAGCTGACTTCAAGAAGATTTTGCTAGAGGTAATCGGAAACAAGTTCGAAAAGTATATGTTCTGACGTGTTTTTGTAGCTCGGGGTGTCTAAAATGTTCACGAATGAGGCTGATCTAAGCGGAATTGCTGCTAACAAAGGTGACTTAACTGTTGGCGAGGTGGTGCAAAAGACTTTCATTGATGTTAATGAAGAGGGAGTAGAAGCTGCAGCTGCTACGGAAGTTTGTAAGATATTGTCTTTTCGTTAATTTTCGTTGTTATTTATTTATGATTTTAGTACCAGTTCTTGGTTCTGGCTTCACTCCTGACCCTCCAAAGGACTTCATCGTGGATCATCCATTTATCTTCTATATTAAAGTTCATGATGTCGTACTTTTCGCTGGAAGAGTTGTAGAACCCAAACAATAAACCTGATGGAATATTAACATATCGACAAAGCACTCTGTACCCACAAAATAAAGGAATAAGCAAACTGTTTTATCAATTTTTTTAAAACTTATGTTTCCTTAAGACTGACAGTAGTTCTTTAAACTTTATTTTTCAAAATACTTCGGGAGCCAAAACCCGCCGACGAAAAGGATGATGTCCTCGGCACTAACGTAAAAAAGAAAAGGATGATCGGCAATGAAACTTTCCCTCTTTAAGCTGGCTCCATTTGCTGCACCTCTGTCTGAAAGTACCATCATCACTGATAGATTTTTGAATTAGTATGGGCAAAAGTGGTACCTTCGACTATACCCGCCTTATGTACTCTCCTCGGTTGCCCGATCCCTCTCTCGTGAATCTCCACCACAGCAGATTGCACAACATCATCCACACACAGTTGCTCCTTCTCCGAAATTTCACTAAAATTCGCCATTGTCTCAAACGCTTGCGATACCCCTTCTACAACCTTCTTTCAAAACAAATCACTTCTGCCAAAACTCACCTGACGCAAAACCGGGACAAAACTGCTCCTGGTTTCAACCCGAAACTTCGGAAGATTCACATCCACCAACGTCAAATTAAGTTTCTGCTCCACCAACAAGTCCTCAACTTTCTGTTCGAGAGCTTTCAAACCGTCTCTCTTGTTCGGAAGAACCACCACCATAAACGCGGTACTTCCTAGGATACTCATTTTCAAGAACTTAGCGTCTAGAGTTTCGCTCTCGCAGTAAAAAAACCTCTCGCAGGTACCCATCATTTCTGCCGTGACTACATCATCCGGAGTTTTGTAGAACTGGCTCTTGACAGTTTGGTTTTTCTGGAAAGGTTTGGTCCAAGCCCCCGATACGTAAACCGCATCCACTAGAAGCATTTTCGTGGTTGGTTTGATCCCGGTTGGAACTATCACTTCTTGGATTTTTTTGTTCGTTTGTTGTTGCACCCATACGTTGATAGCCACGGCTGCGGCTTCGGGTTTCTGGAAGTCCAATTGTTTTACTTCGATGAAGAAGATTTTTTCGGCCACTAATGTGAATTCTTGTTTTATGGTGGTGTCTAGGGGGGCGAAGATCCTGGCGCCGAGTTGGAGGAAGAAGTTCTTGTTGTGGAGAAACTGGGGCAGGAGGGTCTTCATGGCGTATTTTATGTAGTCTGGTTGGAGGGGCGTCTCGAAGGCTGTGTGGATTTGGTCGTGGGTTAGACCCTTCGCTCCCAATTTTACCAAAGAAATGAGTGCCTGTGCGGTGAAAGTACTAACGACGAAGTCATCCCTTTCATTGTTGGTGAAGTACTGAAAGATGTTAGAGGTGGGAACAAGGAACGAGTGGAGCTTACTTTGAGGAGGGAGAGGCTGGCGGTGTTATTAGCGGCAATGAATTCGGTTAAAGCCAGGATGGAATTAATACACGGTGAATTTAAATTGACAATGTTTGATTGACATTTCAAAAAAAATTGACTTGAAAGATACACAAACTTTCTTGTTTCTAGACACCCCAAAATGGATCTACTTCTGGTCTGGACCAGAACATTTGGTCCTCTTTCATTTTCTGTATAAGTAGATCGTGTTTCTGGTGGATTTTCCGAAACGTGTTTTTTTTTTATTAGATTGACCACTTACAAAATAGAATATAATTTTTATTTCACTGTAAGCAGAGGTGGGTGGGGTCAGTTTGACCGTTTTTGGTCACATTCGACTGTTTATTAACATAAAATCCGTTTTTCGTCCAATAAAATGAGTGATCAAAAGGAAAACTACTACTTTGAAGTTTGTTTTTAATTAAATTTTACTACAAAACAAAATTCAGTTTTCAGCTTATGATAAATAAAATCAGCCAATGTAATTCCAGTGACGTTTCGTGACCTTTTGAAATGGGGGGACACAATTCTTATCTTATCAAGTACTGGCCCCGCCCACCCACCCCCCTATTTTTTCTTAGATGTCATTTGCGAAAATCAGTTTTGTCTTAGCAAGTACTAACCCCGCCCACCCGCCCTCTATTTTCTTGGAAGGATCTCATTACCCAAAATCAGTCTTATATTAGCAGGTATTAGCCCTTTAAGAAAATAAAAAGCGGGTGGGTGGAGCTAATACTTGCCAAGATAAGATTAATTTTGGCAGATGACATACTCCCTAAGATAATAAAGGTTGGGTGGGCGGGGCTAGTACTTGCTGAGATAAAACTGATATTGACAAATGCCATACCTTCAAGAAAAATAAAGGGTGGGTGGGCGGGGCCAATACTTGCCAAGATAAGACTGATTTTGCCAAGTGATATACCCTCTACCTATTTTCCTAGAGGGTATGTCATTAGTGAAAATCAGTTTTACCTTAACAAGTACTAACCCCGCCCACCCGCCCTCTAATTTCGTAGAGGCGTTTCATTTGCCGAAAATAGTCTTCCTCATTTCAAAGAAATGAGACCGAAAATTATTATTTTTGAATATCAAAATCTACAAGAAAATGTCTAGCTAATTTTCGAGAATGGTTGAAAAATGAGCGAAAATGTAGAAAGTGTCAAAATCAGTTATTACTTACAAAAAGTTAGCCCCGCCCACCCACCCTTATTTTCTTGGAAGATATGTCATTTGCCAAAATCAATTTTATCTTATCAAGTACTATCCCCGTCCACGCCCAATCTTGTCATTCTAAACAATAATTTTATTTGTGCTCATTTCATTCCGACCGCATAAAATTAATCACTGAAATGAAGGCAGGGTGGGAGGGCGGGGCTAATTATTTTCTCCTAGGAAGTGGGAGGGGAAACTAATAGAATCTAGGATGTGAAAAAGGTAAAAAAAGCGCTATTCGTAAATTTTTTGTTATACTATATGCTATTGGAACTGTTGAAATTGCTATATTTCAATTGACGTTTTTGGAAGAACAATAGAAATTTGCGAAGAAATGATTTCTAAATATTGAAATCTTCAAGAAAGTGTCTAGTCAATAATTTTCGAAATTGTTGATAAATATTCGACAATGACAAAAGTGTCAAAATCAGTCAGATCTTATGAAATGCTAGCCCCGCCCACCCGCCCTTATTTTCTTGGAAGATACGTCATTTGCCAAAAATAGTCTTATCTTATCAAGTACTAGCCCCACCCACCCGCCCTCTATTTTCTTGGAGGATATGTCATTTGCCAAAATCAGGTTTATCTTATCAAGTACTAGCCCCGCCCACCCGCCCTCTATTTTCTTGGAGGATATGTCATCTGCCAAAATCAATTTTATCTTAGCAAGTACTAACCCCGCCCACGCCCAATCTTGTCATTCTAAAGAATAATTTTATTTGTGCTCAGTATAAGACCATTCATTTCATTCCGACCGCATAAAATTAATCACTGAAATGAAGGCAGGGTGGGTGGGCGGGGCTAATTATGTTCTCTTATGAAGTAGGAGTGGAAACTAATAGAATCTAAGATGTGAAAAAAGTAAAAAAAAGCTCTAATCGTAAATTTTTTGTTATAGTATTAGCTATTATAACTGTAGAAATTGCTATACATATTTCAATTGACGATTTTGATAAATAGAACGCTACAAATTTTCGAAAAAATGAGACCGAAAATTATTTCTGGATGTCAAAATCTAGAAGAAAATGTATAGCCAATTTTCAAAAATGGTTGAAAAATGGCCGAAAATGTCAAAAATGTCAAAATCAATCATATCTTACAAAATGCTGGCCCCCGCCCACCTACCCTTATTTTCTTGGGAGGTATGTCATTTGCCGAAAACAGTCTTACCTTATCAAATACTAGCCCCACCCACCCGCCCTCTATTTTGTTGGAGGATATGTCATTTGCCAAATTCAGTTTTATCTTATCAAGTACTAGCCCTACTCACGCCCAGTCTTGTCCTTCTAAACAATAATTTTATTTTTGCTCAGTATAAGATCATTCATTTCATAAAATTAACCAGTGAAATAAAGGCAGGGTGGGTGGGCGGGGCTAAGTATGTTCTCCTATGAAGTGGGAGTGAAAACTAATAGAATCTATGATGTGAAAAAAGTAAAAAAAGGATACATTTTTATTATACTACTTGCTACTGGAACTGTATGAATTTCTATATTTCAATTGACGTTTTCGGAAGAACGATAGAAAATTGCGAAGAAATAATTTCTAGATGTTGAAAACTTCAAGAAAATGTCTAGTTGATAATTTTCGAAATTCTTGAAAAATATTCGAAGATGTCAAAAGTGTCAAAATCAGTCAATTCTTATGAAATGCTAGCCCCGCCCACCCACCCTTATTTTCTTGGAAGATATGTCATTTGCCAAAAACAGTCTTATCTTATCAAATACTAGCCCCGCCCACCCGCCCTTATTTTCTTGGAAGATATGTCATTTGCCAAAATCAGTTTTATCGTATCAGGTACTAGCCCCGCCCACGCTCAGTCTTGTCATTCTAAACAATAATTTTATTTCTGCTCAGTATAAGATCATTCATTTCATTCAGACTGGATAAAATTAATCACTGAAATGAAGGCAGGGTGGGTGGGCGGGGCTAATTATGTTCTCCTAGTAAGTGGGAGTGGAAACTAATAGAATCTAGGATGTGAAAAAAGTAAAAAAAAGCACTAATCGTAAATTGTTTGTTACACTATTTGCTACTGGAACTGTAAACATTGCTAAACATATTTCTGTTGACGATTTTGGTAGAACGGTAGAAATTTTCGAAGAAATGAGACCGAAAATTATTTCTGGGCGTCAAAATCTACAAAAAAATGTCTAGCTAACTTGCGAAAATGGTTGAAAATTGGTCCAAAATGTCAAAAGTGTCAAAATTCGCCATATTTTATAAAATGCTAGCCCCACCCACCCACCCTCATTTTCTTGGAAAATATGTCATTTGCCAAGGATAATCTTATCTTATCAAGCACTAGCCCCGCCCACCCTCACTATTTTTTTGGAAGGTATGTGATTTGCCAAAATCAATTTTACCTTATCAAGTACTAGCCCCGCCCACGCTCAGTCTTGTCATTCTAAACAATAATTTTATTTCTGCTCAGTATAAAATCATTCATTTCATTCAAAACGGATAAAATTAATCACTATAATAGAATCTATGATGTGAAAAAAGTAAAAAAAGGATAAATTTTTTGTTGTACTACTTGCTACTGGAACTGTATGAATTTCTATATTTCAACTGACGTTTTTGGAAGAACGATAGAAAATTGCGAAGAAATAATTTCTAGATGTTGAAAACTTCAAGAAAATGTCTAGTTGATAATTTTCGAAATTGTTGAAAAATATACGAAGATGTCAAAAGTGTCAAAATCAGTCAATTCTTATGAAATGCTAGCCCCGCCCACCCACCCTTATTTTCTTGGAAGATATGTCATTTGCCGAAAACAGTCTTATCTTATCAAATACTAGCCCCGCCCACCCGCCCTCTATTTTCTTGGAGGATATGTCATTTGCCAAAATCAGTTTTATCGTATCAGGTACTAGCCCCGCCCACGCTCAGTCTTGTCATTCTAAACAATAATTTTATTTCTGCTCAGTATAAGATGATCCATTTCATTCAGACCGGATAAAATTAATCACTGAAATGAAGGCAGGGTGGGTGGGCGGGGCTAATTATGTTCTCCTATGAAGTGGGAGTGGAAACTAATAGAATCTAGGATGTGAAAAAAGTAAAAAATCGTAATCGTAAATTGTTTGTTACACTATTTGCTACTGGAACTGTAAACATTGCTAAACATATTTCAATTGACGATTTTGGTAGAACGGTAGAAATTTTCGAAGAAATGAGACCGAAAATTATTTCTGGGCGTTAAAATCTACAAAAAAATGTCTAGCTAATTTGCGAAAATGGTTGAAAATTGGTCGAAAATGTCAAAAGAGTCAAAATTCGTCATATTTTATAAAATGATAGCCCCACCCACCCACCCTCATTTTCTTGGAAAATATGTCATTTGCCAAAGACAGTCTTATCTTATCAAGCACTAGCCCCGCCCACCCGCCCTATTTTTTTGGAAGGTATGTGATTTGCCAAAATCAGTTTTACCTGATCAAGTGCTAGCCCCACCCACGCTCAGTCTTGTCATTCTAAACAATAATTTTATTTCTGCTCAGTATAAGATCATTCATTTCATTCAAAACGGATAAAATTAATCACTAAAATGAGTGCAGGGTGGGTGGGCGGGGCTAATTATGTTCTCCTTCGATGTCGAAATCACGTTTCCACCACATTTCCGCACGCGCCTGTAATTACTTTATTATTGGAATTGTGATCATGCTCCTCTTACTTAATTTCTTCCAAAAATTGTGAAACGTTAATAACATCTCACTTTCTCTGTATCAAGCTTATCTAAATAATTAGACAGTCTGGACCGATAAAGACTTCCGCAAGATTCCAATTTTTAAACAAAACTTCCACAAGAGTGCAGCAGAAGTGGTTAAGGTAGACACGATGATGAAAGATGGAGCATTACTAAACTACTACGAACATTCAGAAGTAGGAGCTACATTTTTAGAATTACTTTTCGAAGGGGACGATGCACATATGGTTATAGTGCTTCCAACTGAAAACCAAGGACTTGCAGAAGTCGAAAAACAAGCAGAGAAAATCTTCAAGGCACAACCCTTCAAAAAGTTGTCGTCAGCGTAAGGATGCCAATATTCAAAGTTGAAAGCAAAATCGATTTCAAGAAAATCTTGCAACAGGTGAGTGCTTGTTAGTTTTTCGGGGTCTAATTTTGTGTAGTTAGGTGTGAAGAAGGCTTTCGATTTGGAGCAGGCGGACTTCAGTGGAATTGCCGGAAATAAGGGAGAGCTAGCTGTTGACGGTGTAGTACAGAAGACGTATATCAAGGTGAATCGGGACGGAGTTGAAGCTGCTGCCGCCACAAGAATATGTAAGCTCAAGTGTTTGGTTGATTGTCGTTTAAACTGGCTTTTAAGTGTTTAACATATCGCTATCTCAACCTACTAAAGTTTTCAACGTTGATCACCCTTTCATATTCTACATTGAAGTCAATGGTGTGATTATATTTGCTGGAAAAGTAATAGATCCCAGAAAATGAACACTAAGGACTATTGATTGTCGATACCCTGTACATTAAAATAAATTAATAAACCAAGGTAGTTTTATTGGTGGATTCCGAAATTTTGTCTCCAAGTCAACAAAAAATTAAAACAAACACTGTATTAATCACCTAACACTTGACCTCTTATATAAGCAATGTTTATATAAATACACTCACAAAATTTAATGACACAGTCGCTAACCGGTCGAACTTGCAATGACCATGAAGATTCTTCTCGTTACCACGTTACTGTTTACCATCACATATGGTACTCCAGTTCAGGACTTCGTCAAAGGAAACCGCCTCTTCACTGCCGACATCTACAAGGTAATTGTCACCCCCGCAAGTCCTTTCCAAACTTGAATCTTTCAGGAGTACAAGAAACAAGAAAACAACAACTTCTTAATAAGTCCCTTTTCGGCTGAAGTAGTCCTCGGTTTAACCCACTCAGGAGCCAAGGATGCAACGGCCCAAGAACTCCGCACAAGCTTGCACTTTCCAGACAACGACCAAGCCATCAGATCAGGAATTCGTTCGTACTTCGAGTCCTTAAAATCGCGCGATTCAAACGCCTACCAGTTCCACTCCGCCAATAAAATCTACGTGAAAAAAAATCTACCCATCAAAACCGAATTCAAGCAGACTGCGACTACCGATTATCTGGCGGAGGTAGAAAACATCGATTTTTCGCAAAAAACAGAGGCTGCTAATACCATAAACCAGTGGGTGGAAAAACAAACCAAAAACAAAATCCACAACTTGATGGATCCGAAGAGTCTCGGAGATGACGTGGCGGCGGTACTTATCAACACTTTGTACTTCCAAGGACGCTGGTTGTTCGATTTTGCAAAAGAAGATACGAAAAAAGCTGACTTTTACAAAACTAGTAGTGACGTGGTTAAAGTTGACACGATGTTCCAACCAGCAAAATTTTATAATTACTTTGAAAGTACTGAACTGAAAGCCAGATTTTTAGAACTGGGGTTCCAAGGTCGGGGTGCTTCTTTTGTGATTGTTCTACCCAACGAGAAAGACGGATTGGCTGCTCTGGAAGAAAAGCCAGAGAAGGTTTTTGCGAGCCATGAATTTAAACACGAGCGGGTGAAAGTGGCTTTACCGAAATTCAAAATTGACAGTAAAGTTGACTTCAAGAAGATTTTGAAAGAGGTATTTAGTTGGAAACAAATAGAGAAATGTATGTTCTAACGTGTTTTTGTAGCTTGGGGTGTCTAAAATGTTCACTAATGAGGCTGATTTAAGCGGAATCGCTGCTAAGAAAGATGACTTAGCTGTTGGTGAGGTGGTGCAAAAAACTTTTATTGACGTTAATGAAGAGGGAGTTTGTAAGATATTTTCTTTTGGTTAATTTTTGTGGTTATTTAATAATGATTTCAGTGCCAGTTCTTGGTTTTGGCTTCATGCGTGGCCACCCCAAGGACTTTATCGTGGATCGACCATTTATCTTCTACATTAAAGTTCGTGGTGTCGTGCTTTTCGCTGGAAGAGTTGTAGAACCCAAAGAATAAACATGATAGAATATTGACATATTGACGAACACCCTGTTTCGAAAAAATAAAGGTAGAAGAAATTTTTTTTATTACTTTTTAACCCATCAAAGGATCTTGTATTCACCACTATAAACTTCTTTTGAGTTCTGAGAGACCCTAATCCTTGAGGAACTGTCGTTAATTCGTTCCTCAACATAACAAGGGCTAAAAAAATAACATAATACAATATTATTTGAACGCTAATCAAGGTGGAACAATTGCATTCCAGACACGTGTCCGGCAGAGATTTTCGAGATATGCATGAGATAATAAGTCGATCCAGTGCAATATAGTTAAACAATCATACATAAATTACATATAATTCACCCGTCCACCTATACAATAATTAGTTTTATTGGTGGATTTTCCGGAACGTGTTTTCTTTATTATATGTATCTATCAAGACATAAATATTATTGCGTAAACAAAAACCAGTTAAAATTTCTGGAATTGTAGAACTTCTCACTTTCTCGGTGTCAAACTTATATAAATAGTTGCATCCTCTCGACCTTACCAGCTTATTTAACCACTTATTGTTTTTTAAACTTTGTAACGATGATCACTCGCACACTTTGGCTGGCTCTAACTGTGTCTTACGTCACAGGAATAACTCCACAGTTCGTCACAGGCACCAACTTATTCACCGCTTCCATATACAAAGTAAGTTTACCCAAATCATAACCTTATCATTATTCAGACTCGTAGGAAGCCATTAAAGATGGAAATGAAAACCTCTTAGTAAGCCCACTCTCCGTAGAAGTAGTCTTAGCTTTAGCCCAATCAGGTGCCAAAGGTGAAACAGCCGAAGAAATTCGTAGCAACCTCCACCTTCCAAACAATGCAGGAGAGACGAAAACCTCCTTCAAACAACTCCTTCAAACCTTTAACAACAAGGAAATTTATTCTCTTCACACAGCCAACAAGATCTACGTCGGAAAAAATTTTGCCATCAAAAACGACTTCAAAACTCTTGCAACGGATGTGTTTTTATCAGATATTGAAAATATAGATTTCGGCCAGAGCGTGCAAGCTGCGAACACTATCAATGGATGGGTGGAAGGTCAAACTAACCACAAAATCAAAGACTTGGTTGATTCAAGTGGTCTGAGTTCTGGCACACCCGCCATTATGGTAAATGCTTTGTATTTTCAAGCGAACTGGACGGATAAAGGCTTTCACGAATTTCCAAGTTTGAAAAGAGACTTCCACAAGAGTGCGACAGAAGTGGTTGAGGTAGACACGATGACGAAACAAGCAACACTAAACTACTACGAAAATACAGAAATAGGGGCTACGTTTTTAGAACTACCGTTCCAAGGAGGAGATGCACATATGGTCCTAGTGCTTCCCACTGACAAGCAAGGGCTTGCAGACGTCGAAAAACAAGCAGAAAAAGTCTTCAAGGCACAACCATTCAGAAGTGAGATTGTCGAAGTGACCATGCCTTTGTTCAAAATTGAAAGTAAAATCGATTTTAAGAAAATTTTGCAAAAGTTGGGGGTGAGGAAAGCGTTCAACTTGGGTCAAGCGGACTTCAGTGGAATTTCTGGACATAAGGGAGATGTAGCTGTTGACGGGGTACTCCAGAAGACGTACATAAACGTGAATGAAGATGGAGTGGAAGCCGCTGCCGCCACCAGAATATGTAAGCGTAGGTGTTTGGTTGGTTGTTGTCTAAACTTATTTTACAGGGTTTTACACGTCGGGCTCCCCTACACCTACTAAATTTTTCAACGTTGATCATCCTTTCATCTTCTACATCAAAGCCAATGATGTGATTTTATTTGCTGGAAGAGTTTTATCTCCAAGTCATGAAAATTGACGGAAATATAGAGTTTTAGCACAAAATGGACGTTTTAATCCTAATAACCACAATCAATACTCGTTTAATATACACATTTATATTATTATACGTGTTGTCTGGAAATTGGCGGATTAACTCTTCAGTACGTTGTATACGGGGGTTTCGATAGTCCCAAAAAAATAATAAAAAAAAATTTTATGATGTTTATTACGAAAAAAACGTAATCCACTTTTTATTTTCGTTAGGACAATAACCATCATTAATCGTTGTGCATTATTATTAATAAAACAAGGTGTCATTAATAAATTAACAAAAGAAAAATCCATTAAAGCATAACCAACTAGACACTATAGAAAAGATGTTCAAAATTTCTGCCAGTATTTTATAAGATATGACTGATTTTGACATTTTTGACCATTTTTCAAGCATGTTCGAAAATTAGCTAGAAATTTTCTTGCAGATTTCGACATCTAGAAGTCATTTTAGGCTTCGTTTTTTCGAAAATTTCTATCGTTATCTTGATTAGATAAGACTGTTTTTGGCAAATGACATATCTTCCAAGAAAACAGAGGGTGGGTGGGTGGGGCTAGTATTTTACATGATATGACTGATTCTGACATTTTTGATCATTTTTCAACCATTTTCGAAAATTAGCTAGACATTTTCTTGTAAATTTCGACATCTAGAAGTCATTTTAGGCTTCGTTTCTTCGAAAATTTCTATCGTTATCTTGATTAGATAAGACTGTTTTTGGCAAATGACATACCTTCCAAGAAAACAGAGGGTGGGTGGGTGGGGCTAGTATTTTATAAGATATGACTGATTCTGACATTTTTGACCATTTTTCAAGCATGTTCGAAAATTAGCTAGACATTTTCTTGTAGATTTCGACATCTAGAAGTCATTTTAGGCTTCGTTTCTTCGAAAATTTCTATCGTTATCTTGATTAGATAAGACTGTTTTTGGCAAATGACATATCTTCCAAGAAAACAGAGGGTGGGTGGGTGGGGCTAGTATTTTATAAGATATGACTGATTCTGACATTTTTGACCATTTTTCAAGCATGTTCGAAAATTAGCTAGACATTTTCTTGTAGATTTCGACATCTAGAAGTCATTTTAGGCTTCGTTTCTTCGAAAATTTCTATCGTTATCTTGATTAGATAAGACTGTTTTTGGCAAATGACATATCTTCCAAGAAAACAGAGGGTGGGTGGGTGGGGCTAGTATTTTACAAGATATGACTGATTCTGACATTTTTGATAATTTTTCAACCATTTTAGAAAATTAGCTAGATATTTTCTTGTAGATTTCGAACTCTAGAAGTCATTTTAGGCTTCGTTTCTTCGAAAATTTCTATCGTTATCTTGATTAGATAAGACTGTTTTTGGCAAATGACATATTTTCCAAGAAAACAGAGGGTGGGTGGGTGGGGGTATTATTTTAGAAGATATGATTGATTCTGACATTTTTGATAATTTTTCAACCATTTTAGAAAATTAGCTAGATATTTTCTTGTAGATTTCGAACTCTAGAAATCATTTTAGGCTTCGTTTCTTCGAAAATTTCTATCGTTATCTTGATTAGATAAGACTGTTTTTGGCAAATGACATATCTTCCAAGAAAACAGAGGGTGGGTGGGTGGGGGTAGTATTTTATAAGATATAACTGATTTTGACATTTTTGACCATTTTTCAAGCATGTTCGAAAATTAGCTAGACATTTTCTTGTAGGCTCGTAATGTTTCCAAATTTTGATCATTTTTTGTAAAAGTTAGTCATCACTTCTTGCTAAGATAAAACTGATTTTGGCAAGAAAAGAGAGGGTGGGTGGGCGGGGCTATTAGCTGCTAAGATAAAACTGATTTTGGCAAATGCGATACTCTTTAACAGAAGAGAGGGCGGGTGGGCGGGGCTAGTACCTGGTTAGATAAGACTGATTTTGGCAAATGACATACTATTAAAGAAAAGAAAGGGTAGAAATCATGCCTTCATGAAGATTTGCTAAAAATTTGGGAAAGATCAACATGTTTTAAGGATGATGATAGTTCAAAGGTGCGTCCAAAACGATGAGTTTTTTGCGCAAAGAAGTTGAAAGCGAAGAACGAGTAGCTCTAGTTTTGGAGACAAATTTCGACGCAAAAATTCTCCAAAAAAACGTTCCTACAGCTACAGGATTGTTGACGGAAAATACGAGTATTATGCGATGCCTATTTTGCCACGAAACACACTACAGCTCCGACTGCCCAGAAGCTAAGAAGAAATTTCTTACTGAACTGAAGAAAATCCTGTAGGAAAAAATACGTTGTCATGCCTGCTTTAAGTTTGTGTTTTTTTTTTCTCATTACATTTTTGTAGTGGGAATTTAAAAAAAAAATTGCTATGACGTCATCAACATTTTTGCAAGGACACGTATATCAGTTGGGATAGATGTAGTACTAAGAATAAGATTATTGTATTCCCAAATTTTCGGAAAAATGAATTGGGTCGTTTTGAATATTGATTTGTAATAATTAATAAAATAACGAAACAATTTACTCACGTATACGGCGCCGGCGTGTACTAGGAGAGGCAACTGAAAATCGTGTATGTATAAGCATTCTTAATTTAAGACGACAAGCGTAACATAGCATACGTGAGAGTCAAACAGAGAAACTGTGTAAAACCGATGGTCGTCTAGAGATTTTTACTGCTTCGACTTCCGCTTATTATATAAAACATTGGGTTTTATTTTAACTTTTGACGGTGGAATTCACAATTGGTTGATTATAAACATGTCTATACTACATTCGCGGAACCTAGTCAACGCACAAAACAAATGCACGTCTGTAATGTTAAAGTAAATATAAATAACCGTGCTACCCTTATGTTTCAACCGAGTTTTTACTTTACAAAATTTTGTGTCTACCAAATTGGGTTGGTCCAACGTCATACTAATAATAAGTGTTCCCTTTAATTTAATCAATAAAATAAATTGACTTCATTAATTTTTTTGAGCCACCTTTTAAGCAAATCTAAAAAATATGAATGAAATGATAATTCACAAGTACAAACTCATCATATTTTTTGCATTTTAGATTAGATTAGATTAGCAAAATTTAAGGGTGACGTCATCAATTTTTTTAGGAGGGATGAACAAATACATTTTGAACAAAAATTTACTATGCTTATGATAATTTTAAAACATCTTCAAGATTTCAAAGCATTCGGTTTTGTAGTTCCTGAGTAAATTAATAAAATAAATTTTGCGCATTTCGTAGGACTATGTTATTTTATACGTCATCGCATTAGTGGTGGGGATGATTAGACAAATTTTGGTTGGCGTTTTACCATTTACATGATATTCCTAATATAAGTACAAAATTTCGTAACAATCGGTCCAGTACTTTCGGAGATTATCTGTCTAATAAAAATCCGGGATGGCAGACAGACGGACAGACAGACGGAAATGGGAGACCTATTTCTTCGTCTTCTAGGGGTCATTAAAGATCGAGAAAACGTAAAAGTAAAGAGTCGGCCGATGGACTCGATTAGAATACTTCCTTTGCTTACGCTCGGGAAAGTAACAAGAGCGGGTTAAAGTGGCGTTGCTGAAATTCAAAATTGAAAGTAAAGCTAACTTTTTGAAAGAGGTGATCGGGAACAAATTCGAGAAATGTGTGTTCTGACGTGTTTTTGTAGCTCGGTGTGTCTAAAATGTTCACGAATGAGGCTGATCTAAGCGGAATTGTTGCTAAGAAAGGTGACTTAATAGTTGGCGAGGTGGTGCAAAAGACTTTTATTGATGTTAATGAAGAGGGAGTAGAGGCAGCGGCTGCAATGGAAGTTTGTAAGATATTTCCTTTTTGTTAATTTTCGTTGTTATTTAACAATGATTTCAGTCCCAGTTCTTGGTTTTGGCTTCATGCGTGGCTGCCCCAGGGAGTTCACCGTGGATCGACCATTTATCTTCTATATTAAAGTTCGTGGTGTCGTGCTTTTCGCTGGAAGAGTTGTAGAACCCAAACAATAAACATGATGGAATATTAACATATTGACAGACAACCTGTATCCAAAAAATAAAGGCAAAAGAAATTTTTTTTATTATTTTTTCACCCATCAAAAAATCTTGTATTCATCACTCTAAACTTCTTTTAAGTTCTGAGAAACCGTAATCCTTGAGGAACTGTCGTCCTGATGAGGTTTTCGATTTGTATGCGAAGGACTTACTCGATATAGTTTGCTCGTGAAAGCACAATTACTTTCACTACTTGACAACATCGTCAACACTTCTTTGATTATAAGGTCTTCAAAGCCTTGAGAAGACTGAAGTTACTGACAATAACAGAAATAATTAATTAATTCGTTCCTCAACATAACAAGGGCTAAAAAAATACCATCATATATCACAGGCGAGTCAATTTAAATTCATAGTCATCCACAATATTGTTTGAACGCTAATCAAGGTCGAGCGATTGCATACCAAACACGTGTCCGGCAGAGATTTTCGAGAAATGCATGAGATAATAAGTCGATCCAATGCAATATAGTTAAACATTCATACATAAATTGCACATAATTCACCCGCCCACCTATACAATAATTTGTTTTATTGGTGGATTTTCCGGAACGTGTATTCTTTATTGTATCTGTCAATACATAAATATTGTTGCGTAAACAAAAACCAGTTAAAGTTCTTCGAATTGTAGAACTTCTCACTTTCTCTGTGTCAAACTTATATAAATACTTGCATCCTCTCGACCTGACCAGCTTATTTAACCACTTATTGTTGCTTAAGCTTTGTAACGATGATCACTCGCACACTTTTGCTGACTCTAACTGTGTCTTACGTCACAGGCATAACTCCACAGTTCGTCACAAGTACCAACTTATTCACCGCTTCCATATACAAAGTAAGTTTACCCAAATCATAACCTTATCACAATTCAGATTCGTAGGAAGCCATTGAAGATATAACCGAAAACCTCTTAATAAGCCCACTCTCCGCAGAAGTAGTTCTAGCTTTAGCCCAATCAGGTGCCAAAGGTGAAACAGCCGAAGAAATTCGTAGCAGCCTACACCTTCCAAACAATGCAACAGAAATTAAAACCTCCTTCAAAGAACTCCTTCAAACTTTTAACAACAAAAAAAATTATTCTCTTCACGCTGCCAACAAGATCTACGTCGCAAAAAATTTTAACATCAAAAACGACTTCAAGACACTTGCAACGGACGTGTTTTTCTCAGATATTGAAAATATTGATTTCGGGCAGAGCGTACAAGCTGCGAAGACTATCAATGAATGGGTGGAAGGTCAAACTAACCACAAAATCAAAGACTTGGTTGATCCTAGAGGTCTGAGTTCTAGCACACTCGCCATTATGGTAAATGCTTTGTATTTTCAAGCGAACTGGGAAGGCTTTCACGAATTTCCAATTTTGATAAAAGACTTCTACAAGACTGCAACAGATGTGGTTAAGGTGGACATGATGACGAAACAAGCAACACTAAACTACTACGAAAATACAGAAATAGGGGCTACGTTTTTAGAACTACCGTTCCAAGGAGGAAATGCAGATATGGTCTTAGTGCTTCCCATTGACAAGCAAGGGCTTGCAGACGTCGAAAAACAAGCAGAAAAAGTCTTCAAGGCACAACAATTCAGAAGTGAGTTTGTCGAAGTGACCATGCCTTTGTTTAAAATTGAAAGAAAAATCGATTTTAAGAAAATCTTGCAAAAGGTGAGTACTTGTGAATTTTTCGAATTTAGTAATTTTGCGCAGTTAGGTGTGAAGAAAGCCTTCGACTTGGCCCAAGCGGACTTCAGTGGAATTGCTGGAAATAAGGGAGATCTAGCTATTGACGGGGTACTCCAGAAGACGTACATCAACGTGAATCAAGATGGAGTGGAAGCCGCTGCCGCCACAATAACATGTAAGCGCATGTGTTTAGTTGGTTGTTGTCTAAACTTATTTTACAGCGGATGTCACCTCGGCCAACCCTACTTCTGCTAAATTTTTCAACGTTGATCATCCTTTCATCTTCTACATCAAAGTCAATGATGTGATTTTATTTGCTGGAAGAATTTTGTCTCCAAGTCATGGAAACTGACGGAAATATAGAGTTTTATCACAAAATGGACGTTTTAAACATATAGTAACCACAATCAATACTCGTTTAATAGATTTAAATGGCGGATTAACTCCTCAGTACGTTGTATAGGGGGGTTCGACAGTCCCAAAAAAATAATAAAAAAAATTCTGTATGATGTAGGTATATTACGAAATTTCCTAGTAACGATAGTGATGACTGAAATCCACCTTTTATTTTTTTTAGGACAATGACCATCATTAATCGTTATGCATTATTATTATTAATAAAACAAGCTGTTATTTTTCATTAATAAATTAACCAAAAATAAACGTTTAATATGACATTTATAAATTATAAATTATAAAGAAAAACAAAACCCACATAAGAAAAATCCATTAAAGCATAACCAACTAAACACTAGAGAGAAGATGTTCAAAATTCCGGCCTTGTGCAAATAAGTAGGCTCGTAATGTTTCCAAATTTTGATCATTTTTTGTAAAAGTTAGTCATCACTACTTGCTAAGATAAAACTGATTTTGGCAATGACATACCCTCTAAGAAAAGAGAGGGTGGGTGGGCGGGGCTAGTAGCTGCTAAGATAAGACTGATTTTGGCTAATGAGATAGCCTCTGGAAGAAATGCCGAGATTACTATGACCAATTATATCTGTTGTTTATTTAATAGGTTTGTTTTTATATTATCCGGAGTTTGTCTTCACAATCAAAAGACTCTACTAGTGGAATACTGTAATAACAGATTGTCATTACGTATTCATAACATTTGGAGGCCCCGGGGAATAGCCTTTTTCCTTTTGATAGAGCCCTTGTGACAATATTCAAAACATGAAGAAGATCATAAGAACCCTGGATCTGCACAGAACCTCATTTATCAAGATTTTCGATACAATGAATAAACTTCTCACTAAAGAAAATCCAGTAAGAAGCAATATACTTACAAGTGCTCGCACAGCAAATGCAAAATATTAGTTGGTTAGATCTGACATGCCTCAGTACCCTCAGATAGAATTTAGAAAATTTGGTGTTTACATTCGCAACTGGTTGTCATTTTGGAGTCAGTTTAGAAGAATTCGCGAAGATCAGGCGCTTCCTAATGAAGAGAAATTACAACTTTTGATACAAGCAACGACTCCTAAATCACGAGCACGCCAATTTGTTGAAAACTACCTCAAAGTTATTGAATGTTTCACAAGACGTTTTGGAAGACAAGATCTACAGATAGAAGTCTACGTACGTGAAGTTTTACAACTTTACAATAACCATCATTAATCGTTGTGCATTATTATTAATAAAACAAGGTGTCATTAATAAATTAACAAAAGAAAAATCCATTAAAGGATAACCAACTAGACACTATAGAAAAGATGTTCAAAATTTCTCTCAGTATTTTATAAGATATGACTGATTCTGACATTTTTGACCATTTTTCAACCATTTTCGAAAATTAGCTAGCCATTTTCTTGTAGATTTCGACATCTAGAAGTCATTTTAGGCTTCGTTTCTTCGAAAATTTCTATCGTTATCTTGATTAGATAAGACTGTTTTTGGCAAATGACATATCTTCCAAGAAAACAGAGGGTGGGTGGGTGAGGCTAGTATTTATAAGATATGACTGATTCTGACATTTTTGACAATTTTTCAACCATTTTTGAAAATTAGCTAGACATTTTCTTGTAGATTTCGACATCTAGAAGTCATTTTAGGCTTCGTTTCTTCGAAAATTTCTATCGTTATCTTGATTAGATAAGACTGTTTTTGGCAAATGACATATCTTCCAAGAAAACAGAGGGTGGGTGGGGGGGGGGGGGGGCAAGTATTTTATAAGATATGACTGATTCTGACATTTTTGACCATTTTTCAACCATTTTCGAAAATTAGCAAGCCATTTTCTTGTAGATTTCGACATCTAGAAGTCATTTTAGGCTTCGTTTCTTCGAAAATTTCTATTGTTATCTTGATTAGATAAGACTGTTTTTGGCAAATGACATACCTTCCAAGAAAACAGAGGGAGGGTGGGCGGGGCCAGTATTATATAAGATATGACTGATTTTGACATTTTTGACCATTTTTCAAGCATGTTCGAAAATTAGCTAGATATTTTCTTGTAGGCTCGTAATGTTTCCAAATTTTGATCATTTTTTGTAAAAGTTAGTCATCTCTTCTTGCTAAGATAAAACTGATTTTGACAAGAAAAGAGAGGGTGGGTTGGCGGGGCTAGTAGCTGCTAGGATAAGAGTGATTTTGGCAAATTACATACTATTAAAGAAAAGACAGGGTAAGAATCATGCCTTGATGAAGATTTGCTAAAAATTTGGGAAAGATCAACATGTTTTATGGATGAGAATAGTTCAAAGGTGCGTCCAGAACGATGAGTTTTTTGCGCAAAGAAGTTGAAAGCGAAGAACGAGTAGCTCTAGTTTTGGAGACAAATTTCGACGCTAAAATTCTCCAAAAAAGTTCCTACAGCTACAGGATTGTTGACGAAAAATACGACTATTATGCGATGCCTATTTTGCCACGAAACACACTACAACTCCGACTGCCCAAAAGCTAATAAGAAATTTCTTACTGAACTGAAGAAAATCCTGTCGGAAAAAGGACGTTGTCATGCCTGCCTTAAATTTGGACATATAGCTGTCAAATGTAGAACAGCAATCCAGTAATAGCAATTATTGACACGGGATCACAATTGGTGTCATTTTTGATACAAGAAATTAATTTCTACAAATCAGTCTTCATCCATACGATTGAAATTTTTTAAGATTTTTGTGGTATGACAAAGATAAAGGGCTTAGGGTATAACGACATGTCAACGTAGTATATGGCGTCACATGCAGTCCCTTCTTATTGAATGCAGTTATCAAACATCACCTGAACACTTTACTAGAAGATAAACGAGTAAATTCACCAGAAGATACCATTTTGAAGTTGAGGAACTCCTTTTACGTTGACAATTGCGTAACTAACATTGACACACAAGAAGAGCTAGAAGAATTCATCAAAGAAGCTACTCAAACGATTTTTTCAATTCATCCAGCAACAAAACATCAGATTCCTTTAAATTTGTTAATTAGAACAAACAATATCTGCCCCACTGTCTTATATCACCTAACACTTGACCTCTAATAAGCAATGTTTAGATATAAACAGGCTCAAAAAATTAATAATACAGTCTCCAAGCGACCGAACTTGCATTGACCATGAAGATTCTTCTCGTTACCACCTTACTCTTTTCCATCACGTATGGTACTCCAATTCAGGACTTCGTCAAAGGAAACCACAAATAGAGAAATGTATGTTCTAACGTGTTTTTGTAGCTCGGGGTGTCTAAAATGTTCACGGGTGAGGCTGATTTAAGCGGAATTGCTGGTAATAAAGGTGACTTAACAGTTGGTGGAGTAGAAGCTGCAGCTGCTATGGAAGTTTATAAGATATTGTCTTTTTGTTAATTTTCGTGGTTATTTATTAGTGATTTCAGTGCCATTTCTTGGTTCTGCTTTCATCCGTGACCCTCCCAAGGACTTCACCGTCGATCGACCATTTATCTTCTATATTAAAATTAACGATGTGGTGCTTTTCGCTGGAAGAGTTGTAGAACCCAAACAATAAACACTTTTATTATGTTGTTTTTTACTTCTTCTGAATTCTGTAGCCAACAACAGATAACATTATCTTGTGAACAAAAACTAACCAAAGTTTCTAGAATCATTTCACTTTCTCTGTATCAAGCTTATCTAAATAATTGCACCGTCTTGACCTTCGTGATCATAAAATTTCCCCATGACCTGTTTACCGACTTATTCTCGTCTCAACTTTCGAACGATGAAGACGTTCATCCTGCTGGCTCTAACTGTGTCTTACGTCACAGGAATAACCCCACAACTCGTCACAAGCAACAACTTATTCACCGCTTCCATATACAAAGTAAGTTTACTCCAAATCATAACCTCATCACAATTCAAATTCGTAGGAAGCCAGTAAAGATGGAAACGAAAACCTCTTAATAAGTCCGTTTTCCGCAGAAGTCGTTCTTGCTTTAGCTCAATCAGGTGCCAACGGTGAAACAGCCGAAGAAATTCGTAGCAGCCTACACCTGCCAAACAATGCAGAAGAAACTAAAACCTCCTTCAAAGAACTCCTTCAAACTTTTAACAACAAAGAAAGTTATTCGCTTCACACTGCCAACAAGATCTACGTCGCCAAAAATTTTGTCATCAAAAACGACTTCAAAACTCTTGCGACGGGTGTGTTTTCGTCCGAAATTGAAAATATTGACTTCGGGGAGAGCGAGCAAGCTGCAAAAACTATCAATGGATGGGTGGAAGATCAAACCAACCACAAAATCAAAGACTTGGTGGATTGTAGTCTTTTGAATTCTGGCATACCCGCCATGATGATAAACGCTTTGTATTTTCAAGCCAACTGGACCGACAGGGACTTTCACAAATTTCCAAGTTTGAAAAGAGACTTCCATAAGAGTGCGACGGAAGTGGTTAAAGTAGACACGATGATGAAACACGGAGCAAGACTAAACTACTACGAAAATACAGAAGTAGGGGCTACGTTTTTAGAACTACCGTTCCAAGGAGGAGACGCACATATGGTCCTAGTGCTTCCCACTGACAAGCAAGGGCTTGCAGACGTCGAAAAACAAGCAGAAAAAGTTTTTAAGGCACAACCATTCAAAAGTGAGATCGTCGACGTTATCATGCCTTTGTTCAAAGTTGAAAGTAAAATCGATTTTAAGAAAATTTTGCAAAAGTTGGGTGTGAGGAAAGCATTTAACTTGGGTCAAGCGGACTTCAGCGGAATTGCTGGAAATAAAGGAGAGCTAGCTGTTGGCGGGGTGCTGCAGAAGACGTACATTAACGTGAATCAGGATGGAGTGGAAGCTGCTGCCGCTACCAACTTATGTAAGCACGCTTTTTTAATCGTTTTTTTTTTTAGTTAAAAAAAATTGTAGGGTTCTTCATGTCGGGACCTCCTCGAGCCACTAAAACTTTCAACGTCGACCACCCCTTCATCTTCTACGTTAAAACCAACGATGTGATTTTATTCGCTGGTCGAGTGTTGTCTCCAAGTCACTAAAAATGTAAAATGACATAAAAAATAAAAATAAGATTACCCAATGTTGGGTAAGCGCATGATTTGCGAGCATTGACACTCCGAAAAATCCCCGCCGGGTTTAGCCTTGCGCTGACCTCCAATTTACGCAATTATCAGACTCACACACTGCAATAATAATTATTATCCTGTTTAAATTTAAACTATTATTATAAAAGCATAGCATCACTTTCGTTGTCGATGCCACCATGTACGTTCCTCTCGTCGCTCTTATTTTAGTAACCGCAGTTGCCACACCTGTGGAAGACTTCTCCACAGCTACCAATCTCTTCGCTGCTGACATCTACACCGTAAGTATTATTCATTACAAACATTTTTTAACACAAACCACTTAGGAGCAAATACAACTAGAAACCGGAAACACCGTCGTGAGTCCCTTTTCCGCTTCAGCGGTTCTAGCTCTTGCACAATCCGGCGCCAAAGGGGAAACCGCGGAAGAACTAAAACAAGTTCTTCACCTACCACACGACCAAACGACATTAACAGCGATCCAAACATACCACGAACTCTTCAACGAAAGCAAATCGGTCTTCAGTGCCAATAGAATCTACGTCAACGAAGACTTCAAACTTAACGTCGACTTTCAACAAACCGCCAGAGACTTTTTCGGAATTGGGGTTGAAAATGTGGACTTCTCGCGGAATGAAGAAGCTGCTGACACTATTAATAAGTGGATTGAGGGTCATACTAGTCACAAAATCGGGGATTTAGCTAAATCGTCGAGTCTATTTAGTAGTACTGCAGCGGTTTTGGTAAACTCGTTGTATTTCAAAGGCTCATGGACAAACAAATTTGATAAAACTAAGACGAAGAAGAGGGACTTTTACAAGACGCCTTCTGATGTGGTGCAAGTCGATACCATGTTCGATAAAAACCATAGGTACTATATTGCTAAAAGCGACGTGCTCAAAGCCACGTTCCTGGCCATGCCTATCCAAGAGTGTCTCTGTTTCTTCATAATTGGTCTTCCGGATGATAAAGACGGTCTGGATTTATTGGAACAACGGGCTCATGAAGTTTTCACGAAAAGAGACTTTGTGGAGCAGAAAGTGAACTTGTATTTGCCAAAATTCATGGTTAAGAACGACATCGACTTTACGGAAATTCTTAAAAAGGTATAAATTTGGTTTTTGAGATGGGTTTCTTAGTTTTTTTACAGTTAGGGGTTACTAAGCTGTTTAGCGAAGACGCTGATCTGAGTGGCATTGTAGACCAAGGTGGTCTCCACGTAGACGAAGTTTTGCAGAAGTCTTTCTTTAATGTTGATGAGAATGGGATAGAAGCTGCTGCTACTACATTGCTGGGTAGATAATGGGCCAACGCTGCGTTTCTTTTAGTTAAAATTTCTTGTAGATGCTACCTGGGCTTCGCTTGATCAAGACACTCCTACGGATTTTGTGGCAGATCACCCCTTCGTGTTTTATATCTGGATGAATAATGTGGTACTCTTTGCTGGACGAGTGTTGGATCCGAGTCAGTAGTCTGCTTGCTTAACTTAGAATATGTTGTGTAGTTGTTCTTTAACTTCTCTCTTTTAATAAATCATAGTATGAAATAATAATCAATGCCTGCTTTCCGTCGAAAATAGACATATCGTCATCCTAACCTCTCCCTCTGACAAAACACTGATTTCGTTGACGTTTAATTGTTTAATCGGGTCAAAATTTCAGGAAACGTCGAACCTAATACCTGAACATGCTCCCCCGAAGTCGTGCTTCGAGCTCGGCTATGAACCGCGAACTCATCGAGTCGAACCGGCACTTCACTTCTGGCTTGTACCAGGTGACTCCTTGCAAGCTATCTTCGTCGCTTCACCTTTAATTTTCCAGAAGTTACTAAAGAACGAAAAAAACAACTTCGCCTTGAGCATCTTTTCCACACAACTAGTTCTCGCCTTAACACTCGCCGGTGCTAAAGAAGACACAGCCACTGAACTCCGAACCGTTCTACACTTTCCAGAGGAGTCCGACCCCTCGATCTTTTTCTCTCAATACATCAAATCGTGGAAGAGTTCGAACACCTGTCGTCTCTTCGCCGCCAACAAAATCTACGTAACAAAAAAATTCGTCATATCCGAGGACTTCAAGAAAACCGCAGCCAGAGACTACAAAGTGGACACGGAGAGTTTAAGCTTCGAGCAGAACCAGAAAGCCGCCAGTATTATCAACGCGTTTGTGGAAAAACAGACCAAGGGTAAGATGAGCGGTACCATCGCTCCTGATGACCTCAGTAAAGACACCAGTGTTGTTCTCGTGAACGTTTCGCATTTTCGGGCACGGTGGCTCAACGAATTCCAGCGGGCCTCTACGAGGATGCTTGAGTTCTATGCGAACGGAAAGAACGAGGTGTTGGTGTACATGATGCACCAAGTAAATAACTTCAATTACCATGAAAGTCGAAATTTGAAGGCGCAGTTTATAGAATTACCGTTCAAAGACAGGGACGTAGTGCTCGTGGTGGTGCTACCGAAGGAGAGAATGGGGTTGGAGTTCCTGGATCAGAAGCAGGAGGTGTTTCGAAGACCGGCGTTCGTGGAACAGTCGGTTCACGTGGTGCTTCCCAAGTTCAAAATCGAAAATGCGAGAGACTTGGTGACGGTCCTGCAGGAGGTAATTGGGTGCGTAGTTTGGAAAGTACTGACGGAGGATTGCAGATGCAGATTAGGAAAGTTTTCTCGGACGAGGCGAACTTGACGGGAATCGGGGGCAGGAGAAATGGGGACCTAAAGGTGGATAAGGTTGTGCAGAAGGTGTGTTTTGAGTTTGACGAAGAGGGAGTAGAGGCGTCTACGATGGAAACTACTGGTGACTGATTATTGTCGATTTTTGAATTCGGGTTTTATTGGGTTGTCTTTGCAGGGAAGGCTGAGGAACGTTCCTTGCACACGTCTGTTCCGGTGGAGTTCATCGCAGACCATCCCTTCATCTTCTACATTAAAATTAAAGATATTATCTGTTTCGCTGGAAGGATCATGGATCCTAGCCCTAGCTCATAAATTCGACAGACAAATAAACTAAGTGTTTCATGGTGAACTTTGGGATTTGACTTTCACTTCTTTTACTTCAAAAAAATTTGTCAAAAGTTATTTCGACAGAATTTCCTCGCTTTTGAAGTACAGTACAACATATAGGTACTGCTTTTCTGAAAAAAAGGACAGTTGTTACCCCTGAGAAAGTTTCAAATTCCTAAAAAACAGACATTTGGGACGCCCGAGAAGGTTTTACATTAAAAAAAAAGACAGTTGGAACCCCCGAGAAGGTTTTACTTAAAAAAAAACAGTTGGGACCCCCGAGAAGGTTTCATAATCTTAAAAATATGCATTTGGGGTGCCCGAGAATGTTTTACAATTAAAAAAAAGACGACTGCATGTCTATTATGTTTTTTTCTCATTACATTTTTACATTAAAAAAAAAATTGCGAAGGCGTCATCAACATTTTTGCAAGGACACGTATATCAGTTTGGATAGATGTACATTATATTTTGCCTTTTTTTCTTAATATACGTAGTCATCTTTTCACAATCAAGATTGAATACATATATTAAGAAAAAGAAGGCATAATATAAGCCCCGGCCACCCGCCCTATCTCAATCGTAATGATTTTTTTTATCTGTCGTAAGTCGTGGGGCGGAGCTTAATTGCAAAATCCTTGTTTTCCTACAAGAAATTGTTATGTGAAACCTGTTATTGAGAAATTCTGTTTAAAGCAAACTGTATTACGTAAAAAAGAAAGCCAAAAAAATAATCTAGCTTTAATTTTGAATATACACAGAATTTTTGGAACAATACTATGCTCAAAGACATGTCTTACATGGTTATTTAAGGATTTTGCAATTAAGCTCCGCCCTCTTGGCTCACGACGAATAAAAAAAATCATCACAATTGAGACAGGGTGGGTGGGTGGGGCCTCTATTTTGTTTTTTTTTTTCTTAATATAAGCCCCGCCCACCCTTCTTTTTCTATAGTACATGTTTCTGAGGAACTGTGTTGTTTAAAGCAAACTATATGTATTAAGTAAAAAAAAAGTCGAAAGATAAGCCCCACCCATCCGTATCGATCTCAATTTAGCTTTAATTTTGAACATACATAGTATTTTCTGAAAAACACTATGCTCAAAAACATGTCTTACAAAGTAATTTCTTGTAGAGAAATAAGGATTTTGCAATTAAGCTCCGCCCTCTTGACTCACAATGAATAAAAAAATCATTACAATTGAGACAGGGCGGGTGGGTGGGGCTTATATTTTGCCCTTTTTTTCTTAATATACGTAGTCATCTTTTCACAACCAAAATTTAACACAGATGACTACATATATTAAGAAAAAAAGGTATAATATACGCCCCGCCCACCCGCCCTATCTCAATCGTGATGATTTTTTTTCCCCCATCGTAAGTCGTGGGGCGGAGCTTAATTGCTAACTCCTTGTTTTCCTACTAGAAATCCCTATGTGAAACATGTTCTTGAGAAATTGTGTTGTTTAAAGTAAACTATACGTATTAAGTAAAAAAAAGCCAAAAATAAGCCCCACCCATTTGTCTCGATCACAATCTAGCTTTAATTTTGAATATAATCACAACTGATATGGGCGGGGTTTATATTTTGTCTTTTTTTTCTTAATATACATAGCCATCTTTTCATAACAAGAAACTTAAAACATGGTTAAAATGGTACATTTTTGCAAGGAAATATGGATTTTGCAATTATAGGGCGGAGCCTAATTGCAAAATCGATATTTCCTCATACAAATTTTTGCAAACATGTTTTGTTTCATGTTGCGAAAAGAAGTCTACACATATTAAACCAAAAAGACAAAATATAAGCCCGCCCACCCGCCCTATCTCAATTGTGATGATTTTTTTTATTCACCATGAACCAAGAGGGTGGAGCTTAACTGCAAAATAATCATTTCTTTACAAGAAATTAAAAACATGTTTTTGACTATTGTTGTTCAAAGAATATCTACTATGTATATTAAGAAGAAAAAAAAAAGGCAAAATATAAGCCCCGCCCACCCCTCCTATCTCAATCGTAATGATTTTTTTACCCGTCGTAACTCGTAAAGCGGAGCTTAATTGTTAAATCCTTGTTTTTCTACGAGAAATTGCTATGTGAAACATGTTTTTGAGAAACTGTGTTGTTTAAAGCAAACTATATGTATTAAGTAAAAAAGAAAGTCGAAAGATAAGTCCCACCCATCCGTCTCGATCTCAATTTAGCTTTAATTTTGAACATACTTAGTATTTTCTGGACAACACTATGCTCAAAAACATGTCTTACAAAGTAATTTCTTGTAGAGAAATAAGGATTTTGCAATTAAGCTCCGCCCTCTTGACTCACGATGAATAAAAAAATCATTACAATTGAGACAGGGCGGGTGGGTGGGGCTTATATTTTGCCCTTTTTTTCTTAATATACGTAGTCATCTTTTCACAACCAAAATTTAACACAGATGACTACATATATTAAGAAAAAAAGGTATAATATACGCCCCGCCCACCCGCCCTATCTCAATCGTGATGATTTTTTTTCCCCCATCGTAAGTCGTGGGGCGGAGCTTAATTGCTAACTCCTTGTTTTCCTACTAGAAATCCCTATGTGAAACATGTTCTTGAGAAATTGTGTTGTTTAAAGTAAACTATACGTATTAAGTAAAAAAAAGCCAAAAATAAGCCCCACCCATTTGTCTCGATCACAATCTAGCTTTAATTTTGAATATAATCACAACTGATATGGGCGGGGTTTATATTTTGTCTTTTTTTTCTTAATATACATAGCCATCTTTTCATAACAAGAAACTTAAAACATGGTTAAAATGGTACATTTTTGCAAGGAAATATGGATTTTGCAATTATAGGGCGGAGCCTAATTGCAAAATCGATATTTCCTCATACAAATTTTTGCAAACATGTTTTGTTTCATGTTGCGAAAAGAAGTCTACACATATTAAACCAAAAAGACAAAATATAAGCCCGCCCACCCGCCCTATCTCAATTGTGATGATTTTTTTTATTCACCATGAACCAAGAGGGTGGAGCTTAACTGCAAAATAATCATTTCTTTACAAGAAATTAAAAACATGTTTTTGACTATTGTTGTTCAAAGAATATCTACTATGTATATTAAGAAGAAAAAAAAAAGGCAAAATATAAGCCCCGCCCACCCCTCCTATCTCAATCGTAATGATTTTTTTACCCGTCGTAACTCGTAAAGCGGAGCTTAATTGTTAAATCCTTGTTTTTCTACGAGAAATTGCTATGTGAAACATGTTTTTGAGAAACTGTGTTGTTTAAAGCAAACTATATGTATTAAGTAAAAAAGAAAGTCGAAAGATAAGTCCCACCCATCCGTCTCGATCTCAATTTAGCTTTAATTTTGAACATACTTAGTATTTTCTGGACAACACTATGCTCAAAAACATGTCTTACAAAGTAATTTCTTGTAGAGAAATAAGGATTTTGCAATTAAGCTCCGCCCTCTTGACTCACGATGAATAAAAAAATCATTACAATTGAGACAGGGCGGGTGGGTGGGGCTTATATGTTGCCCTTTTTTTCTTAATATACGTAGTCATCTTTTCACAACCAAAATTTAACACAGATGACTACATATATTAAGAAAAAAAGGTATAATATACGCCCCGCCCACCCGCCCTATCTCAATCGTGATGATTTTTTTTTCCCCATCGTAAGTCGTGGGGCGGAGCTTAATTGCTAACTCCTTGTTTTCCTACTAGAAATCCCTATGTGAAACATGTTCCTGAGAAATTATGTTGTTTAAAGTAAACTATACGTATTAAGTAAAAAAAGCCAAAAATAAGCCCCACCCATTTGTCTCGATCACAATCTAGCTTTAATTTTGAATATAATCACAACTGAGATGGGCGGGGTTTATATTTTGTCTTTTTTTTTTTCTTAATATACATAGCCATCTTTTCACAACAAGAAACTTAAAACATGGTTAAAATGGTACATTTTTGCGAGGAAATATGGATTTTGCAATTATAGGGCGGAACCTAATTGCAAAATCGATGTTTCCTCATACAAATTTTCCATTTTGAAATGCGCCAAAATTTGAACATCAGGTATATTGTTACGGACATAATTAATAATTTTTAGATATTCCATTATTAGTCAGAGCAATTGTGGTTGCCTAAAAAATTAAAGTTATGCTTATCAGTGTTTGAATTTATGTCTTACCACCAAAATAATAGGTAGCATGTCAAATTTATAGTTTAATTTTGGCACCTGCTGTCTAAGTGCGTTACATTTATAAACTATGTATTATGAATATTATGTAGATGGTAAAACGCTAACCAAAAATTGTGTAATCATCCCCACCAACAGTAGGATGACGTCATTTCCAAAATTAACACTAGTAAATTACATTTTAGTTATATTTGGATGCATAGGTTTTATCTCTATCCTTATTTCTGTATTAATAATAATAAATATTGTTTAAACTTTATAAAAAAGATATCTCTGCATTCGTGGTTTATGAATCTGTGTTGAGAAGGTTTTTACCTTGGACATTCAGATTTTTGGAAAAAAATCAAAACTGAATAATAGCATTTTTCAACTTAACCCTGAAATTGCACAACCGAATGCTCTAAAATTTTGCAAACTTTTTACAGTGATATTAGAGACAGTAAATAGCTAATCAAAATGTATCCTTTATAACCCTCAAAATGATGTTGTCAGTTTAAAATTTTACCGAATAAATGTTACCTAAATTTTATAAAGTAACATACTCCTGCACATGTAAATTTATGAATACGTGTCGAGATTATATTACTGTAGACATGCAGATCTTTGGAAAAAAAATCACAATTGTATAACAACGTTTTACAATTTAACCTCTTCCCAAAAAATAGAGCTATCTCAAAATTTTGTTTCTGAAAACTCACTTGAAATATACCCATAGCATGCTTCTCTAAGTGTCTTTATTTTAACTTATAGGGTTATCATTAAAAAATAAAATTTGCAAAATTAAATTTAATGTTTCGAAATGCCATATTTGTTCAAATGTATAATATGCGAGATTTCTGTCGAAATAAGCTTCAGTCAATTTTTTTGTCTTGTTTGTTTAAATTTAATTAATTTGATTTGATTTTAAGACTTTGTTATACATGGTCCTTGGCATTTTTGACTGTACAAATTTTTAAGCTAAAGCTCTATATTTTGGTATTGATTTGCTCTTATCACTATTATTTTTTTTCTGACTATGGTGCATTTATGTTTGTGTCTTTCAAATTATAGAGTTCAGTGGAAATCACGCAATTATCAATTTTTTTTTGTGATTTTAATGAATTATTCCGATATTTAATAAATCACTTGCACATAAATATCTTTTGAATATAGTTTCCATTTTCAAATTACATATATTTTATAATTCAACAACCTACGAACTAAATAAATAATAGTGGTCTTCTGAATTTTAGATTTAAATTAAATTGAACGATTCCATCCAGTTCACCTCATGGTAAGATTTTTAACTTTTCATTCATACTAATACAATTTAACTACAATAATGTAAATAAACATTTTTTTTATAATAATAACATCTAAAAGTTCCATGTTGCGAAAAGAAGTCTACACACATTAAACCAAAAAGGCAAAATATAAGCCCGCCCACCCGCCCTATCGCAATTGTAATGATCATTTTATTCACCATGAACCAAGAGGGTGGAGCTTAACTGCAAAATAATTATTTCTTTACAAGAAATTAAAAACATGTTTTTGACTATTGTTGTTCAAAGAATATCTACTATGTATATTAAGAAGAAAAAAAGGCAAAATATAAACCCCGCCCACCCACCCTATCTCAATTGTGATGATTTTTTTCATTTTAGAAACTTAAAACACGTTTAAAATGGTAAATTTGTGTAAGGAAATATGGATTTGCAATTAGGCTCCGCCCTTAGGTCTACCAACGAATGAAAATTCATCACGATTGAGATCGAGACGGTGGGGCTTCTCTTTAGGTTTTCTTTTTTTATTAATACATTTAGTTTTCTTTGTATAACACGATTTCACATGATAATTTCTAGCAGAAAAATAACGATTTTACAATTAAGTTCCGCCCCTCGATTTACGACGAATAAAAAAATCATCAGAATTAAGATAGGGCGGGTGGGCGGGGCTTCAATTTTGCCCTTTTTTTCTTAAAATAGATAACCATCTTTTCACAAGACAAAACTTAAAACATGGTTAAAGTTTCATGTTGTGAAAAGAATTATTTCTTTACAAGAAATTAAAAACATGTTTTTGACTATCGTGTTGTTCAAAAAATACTATGTATATTAAGAAGAAAAAGAAAAGACGACATATAAACCCCGCCCACCCACCCTCTGTCAATTGTGATAATTTTTTTTTATTCTTAGAGACTTAAAACACGTTTAAAATGGTAATTTTTTGTAGGGAAATATGGATTTTGAAATTAGGCTCCGCCCCTAAGTCTGCCAACGTACGAAAACTTAATTATTATTTAGATCAGGGCAGGTATGGGTGGGGCTTAATCTTTCAAATTCAAAAACATGTTTTTAATTTCTCGTAGAGAAATAAGGATTGTGCAGTTAAGCTCCGCCCTCTCAGCTCACGACGAATAAAAAAAATCATCACAATTGCGATAGGGCGGGTGGGTGGGGCTACATTTTGCCTTTTTTTCTTAATAGGTGTAGACTTATTTCGACAACAAAAAACTTAAAAATGTCAAAACGTCAAAACAAGGTTATAAATTCCGCCACACTTCCGACGTACCAATCAAAATTTAACGTCACAAACGCAGTTCTAGCCCACCCACTGACCAAATGGCCTTTGACGTGTCAGAATCCGCCTCCATCCCCCTCCTCGACGGCACCTCGGCCGGCTCCTTCCCCCTCAGTAAATCCGCCTCCCTAATCCCCGTCCACCACTACTTCCGCTCGGGTAACCAAATGTGGGCCGCCGATATGTACAAGGTAACCCCTCCCTAACCCCTACCTCTCCCCACCCCCCATGTTCCAGGAGCAAACCAAGAACGAACGCAGCAACTTCCTCATGAGTCCCTTCGCCGCCCAGCTCCTCCTCGCCCTAACCCAATCCGGCGCCAAAAGCGAAACCGCCCTCGAGCTCCAGACCAAGTTGCACTTCCCCCTGGACGACCGCACCATCCGCGCCGGAGTCACCGAGTGCCTCAACTTCTTGCGCAGCCCCAAGGACTTCCAAATCATCCCGGTGAACAAAATCTACGTCAGACATAACTTGCGGGTCAAGCAGGAGTTCAAGCAGTTGGCTAACGCGGAGTATAAAGCCGACGCGGATAATGTAGATTTTTCGCAGAAAGTAACCGCCGCCAAAGTCATGAACGACTGGGTGGCGGTGCACACCAGGAACCAGATTCAGGACGTGGTGAGCGCGGAGCAGCTGCGGACCAACGTGGGGGCGGTAATGGTCAGCGGGTTGTACTTCCAGGGGCGGTGGGATAAGCAGTTCTCGAAGCAGTTGACTAAGATGGAGGATTTTTTCAAGGATGGTGTCGATGTGGTGAAGGTGCCGATGATGCACGTGCAAGGGTACTTCCAGTATTGTAAGTCGGCGACGCTTCAGACGAAGTTCTTGGAGATGCCGTTCAAAGGGGGGCAGGTTTCGATGATAGTGGCGTTGCCGTTAACCAAGGACGGGTTGCACGCTCTGGAGGAGAAGGCGGACAAGGTTTTGTGTAAAATGAAGTTTAAAGAGGAGTTGATTAACTTGACGTTGCCGAAGTTTCAGCTGGAGAAGTGTACGGATTTGAAGAAGATTCTGATGCAGGTGTCGGTTGTTTTGGGTTGGCAATACGACAATCATAACCTAAATGTTTTGTAGAGAGGGATTCAGACGCTTTTTTCGAATCAAGCGGACTTGAGTGGAATTGCTGGAAAAAAGGGGGAATTGAGCATTGAGCTTATTTTGCAGAAGACCGCGGTTCGGATTGACGAGGAAGGGGCGACGACACCGTCTACAACTGACAGTGAGTTTTTTTTTTTTCTCAAACTACTAAAAGTGTGAGTAAATTTTACATTTGTAGCCACACACATCGAGTCTTCTCTTTTCAAAACCCAACCGAAGGACTTCATCGTAGATCACCCTTTCATGTTCTACGTCTCAACCGACGAAATTATATTGTACGCGGGAAGAGTTTTAGATCCGAGGAAATAAACGTCTATCTTTTATTGACAGCCAAAATTACACACCACTAACAAAATTAGCATTTTTCGGCCAATTTTTCAAGTTCTTGCTCTATCCTTTCATCCCACCAGCCTGACGTTATGTCCGCTAACATCCCACTTCTTGCATTTTTCATACACTCCCTAAATCTATTTTCGTTGCACGTGTCCTTTTCCTGTTGGTAACACCACTCAATCGTTTCACTTTCCTTACTTTGTCGTTCGCTGTACACCGCAAACCTAAAATCTCACCGTTATTAACCCAATTATGGATGTGCCGCCTCTCAAAAATACAAGACTTACCGCAGATCCCACAAAATGTCAGAACTGGCATTTATTGCCACTTTTTGACCAACGTTGTTTTGACAAGGCTTTTCATACACTTTATTAAACGTCAGTTCTGTGACGGTGTCCATAAAACTGTCCCATTCGGGCGACGTTTCGTTTTCGAATTCATCATCAGGGTCGCAAGACCGAGAAAAAACACCCCGTAAGTCAAAACTTACCGAAATTAGACAAAACAGAGAAACTAAGTAGAAATTTTGCATTGTGTTCCGGCTGAGTTTACACAACGATTGAATTATCTTATCGCTTAGCACGAAATGTGCAGGTGTTGCAAGTTCTTCAATTACTAGATAGCGCAAAAACAACAAAGGCTGGGTTACGACTTTTATGTGTCGGTAGATGGCGTCAACAAGACCATATAATTTTTTGTATTTTAGATTATTGATTGTCTTTCTTTCCCAACATGATAATTGCTTACTCAATAAGTCACTTTCTTCAAGGTTTTCTTTTAATAGTGCGCCAGTCTTTGCTGTAAACCTTGACTAAAATGATTGTGGTTTGCGTTATTTTTGTCTTGTCGAATTTAACGTTAATACAGACCTGTCAAGACGACGTTAAACCAATAAGAATGACGTACTCGCTCTTTACAACGGCGTATCAAAATTTCGAAGTCATTGAGGACACCGTTGTTAGAAATTTGGAAGGACGTAACTGCGTTAGCATCGATTTACAGAGCAACCGAGAACTGTGCAACAAAATGTTTGATTTATCAAACTTCACACAATTAACAATCATGGGAGACATCACAGCAACAATAGAACAACATTTTCTGGAAAACAGTGATCTGGATTGCTTAGACAGTCTTATTATCCGTGGAACACAAATCAGTACCATTAGAACACACACATTCAGGAACCTTTCAGTTGAAACTATAGGCATGTCTGCCAACGATTTAAAAATTATAGAAAAAGAAGCATTCTTGGATTTGCCAAAACTAAAAGAAGTTGATTTAAGTGTGAATAAAATCACTAATTTGAGGACTGATTTTTTCGCACGAGTACCAAACCTGGCACAACTTGATATGGGAAGAAATCTGGTTGCAATTTTGCGGAAAAAATCGTTGGATTTTTTGCGAGAGAACCCAGCAAAGGAGGTTGATCTAAATCTGGAAAAAAATTGCATCGAGGTTTTAGAAGTGGGGGTTTTTGATGGCTTAACTTTTAGCAGAGTCTGGTTGGTCGACAATTTAATTCGTGATTTGTCCGACGAATTCCTGTATGGGTGCTTCAGTATTGAGAGTATTGGTTTTGCTGATAATCCACTCAGTGTAAAAGCTCGACAAAAATTGAGCTTGTGGTTGTTGAGGCATAACATAACCGCAGATGTCCCTGATTTCGTTGATGTTAAGAAAAGTAATTTGGTGTTGATTGCAATTATGACTTTTCTGGTGTGTTTAGAGTTCCAGTAATGGAATCGTATCTTCAGATTATATGTACATAATTCAAAATATGCAACAATTATACCAGTAGGAAACTTAAGTTCAGTAAAGTATGTGAGATGAAAAACCAGCCCGACAAAAGAACAAAAAAAGACTCAGTATTTTGTGTTTTCTATGTGGGTTTTCCATAGAAAGGTCGACGATCAATATTTTAGTCCTACGTATAGGCAACCAGTAAAACTCACATGGTATGTCGACGTAATCCTAATCTTTGCTTAATAAAATTCTTATTTCTGTAAAGTTTTTGTGTTTGACTCGGTCATCATTACACCAGCAAGAAATTACTAATTAGGCACATCGTTACATTTCTAAAAAATCCAGTTGGGAACCCTGAGAACGTTTTACATTTTTAAAAATGACAATTGGGACCCCCGAGAAGGTTTAATATTAAAAAAAAATCACAATTGGCGCCCCTGAGAAGGTTTCACATTCTTAAAAATATACATTTGGGACCACCGAAAAGGTTTAACATTAAAAAGACATTTTGGGTTTCCGAGAAGGTTTCACATTTCTAATAAAGCCAATTGGGAACCCTGAGAAGGTTATACATTTTTACAAAAGACAATTGGGACCCCCGAGAAGGTTTCACTTAAAAAAACAGAATTGGCGCCCCTGAGAAGGTTTAACATAAAAAAAAACACAATTACACAATTATTTGCGCCCCCGAGGTTTCACATTCTTAAAAATATATATATTTGGCACCCCGAGAAGGTTTAACATTAAAAACACATTTGGGGTTTCCGAGAAGGTTTTACATTTCTAATAAAGCCAGTTGGGAACCCTGAGAAAGTTATACATTTTTACAAAAGACAATTGGGACCCCCGAGAAGATTTTACATTAAAAAAAAGGCATTTGGGACCCTCGAGAAGGTTTAACGTTAAAAAGAAAACACAACTGGCGCCCCCGAGAAGGTTTCACATTCTTAAAAATATCATTTGGGACCCCCGAGAAGGTTTAACATTAAAAAGACATTTGGGGTTTCCGAGAAGGTTCTACATTTCTAATAAAGCCAGTTGGGAACCCTGAGAAGGTTATACATTTTTACAAAAGACAATTGGGACCCCGGAGAAGGTTTAGCATAAAAAAAGGCATTTGGGACCCCCGAGAAGGTTTAACATTAAAAAGAAAACACAATTGGCGCCCCCGAGAAGGTTTCACATTCTTAAAAGTAGACATTTGGGACCCTTGAGAAGGTTTAACGTTAAAAAGACATTTGGGCTTTCCGAGAAGGTTTTACATTTCTAATAAAGCCAGTTAGGAACCCTGAGAAGGTTATACATTTTTACAAAAGACAAATCGGACCCCCGAGAAGATTTTACATTAAAAAAAAGGCATTTGGGACCCTCGAGAAGGTTTAACGTTAAAAAGAAAACACAACTGGCGCCCCCGAGAAGGTTTCACATTCTTAAAAATATCATTTGGGACCCCCGAGAAGGTTTAACATTAAAAAGACATTTGGGGTTTCCGAGAAGGTTCTACATTTCTAATAAAGCCAGTTGGGAACCCTGAGAAGGTTATACATTTTTACAAAAGACAATTGGGACCCCGGAGAAGGTTTAGCATAAAAAAAGGCATTTGGGACCCCCGAGAAGGTTTAACATTAAAAAGAAAACACAATTGGCGCCCCCGAGAAGGTTTCACATTCTTAAAAGTAGACATTTGGGACCCTTGAGAAGGTTTAACGTTAAAAAGACATTTGGGGTTTCCGAGAAGGTTTTACATTTCTAATAAAGCCAGTTAGGAACCCTGAGAAGGTTATACATTTTTACAAAAGACAAATCGGACCCCCGAGAAGATTTTACATTAAAAAAAAGGCATTTGGGACCCTCGAGAAGGTTTAACGTTAAAAAGAAAACACAACTGGCGCCCCCGAGAAGGTTTCACATTCTTAAAAATATCATTTGGGACCCCCGAGAAGGTTTAACATTAAAAAGACATTTGGGGTTTCCGAGAAGGTTCTACATTTCTAATAAAGCCAGTTGGGAACCCTGAGAAGGTTATACATTTTTACAAAAGACAATTGGGACCCCGGAGAAGGTTTAGCATAAAAAAAGGCATTTGGGACCCCCGAGAAGGTTTAACATTAAAAAGAAAACACAATTGGCGCCCCCGAGAAGGTTTCACATTCTTAAAAGTAGACATTTGGGACCCTTGAGAAGGTTTAACGTTAAAAAGACATTTGGGGTTTCCGAGAAGGTTTTACATTTCTAATAAAGCCAGTTAGGAACCCTGAGAAGGTTATACATTTTTACAAAAGACAAATCGGACCCCCGAGAAGATTTTACATTAAAAAAAAGGCATTTGGGACCCCCGAGAAGATTTTACATTAAAAAAAAGGCATTTGGGACCCTCGAGAAGGTTTAACGTTAAAAAGAAAACACAACTGGCGCCCCCGAGAAGGTTTCACATTCTTAAAAATATCATTTGGGACCCCCGAGAAGGTTTAACATTAAAAAGACATTTGGGGTTTCCGAGAAGGTTCTACATTTCTAATAAAGCCAGTTGGGAACCCTGAGAAGGTTATACATTTTTACAAAAGACAATTGGGACCCCGGAGAAGGTTTAGCATAAAAAAAGGCATTTGGGACCCCCGAGAAGGTTTAACATTAAAAAGAAAACACAATTGGCGCCCCCGAGAAGGTTTCACATTCTTAAAAGTAGACATTTGGGACCCTTGAGAAGGTTTAACGTTAAAAAGACATTTGGGGTTTCCGAGAAGGTTTTACATTTCTAATAAAGCCAGTTAGGAACCCTGAGAAGGTTATACATTTTTACAAAAGACAAATCGGACCCCCGAGAAGATTTTACATTAAAAAAAAGGCATTTAGGGCCCTCGAGAAGGTTTAATATTAAAAAGAAAACACAATTGGCGCCCCCGAGAAGGTTTCACATTCTTAAAAGTATACATTTGGGACCCCGAAAAGGTTTAACATTAAAAAGACATTTGGGGTTTCCGAGAAGGTTTTACATTTCTAATAAAGCCTGTTAGGAACCCTGAGAAGGTTATACATTTTTACAAAAGACAAATCGGACCCCCGAGAAGATTTTACATTAAAAAAAAGGCATTTAGGGCCCTCGAGAAGATTTAACATTAAAAAGAAAACACAATTGGCGCCCCTGATAAGGTTTCACATTCTTAAATGTATACATTTGGAACCCCCGAAAAGGTTTAACATTAAAAAGATATTTGAGGTTTCCAAGAAGGTTTTACATTTCTAAAAAACCAGTTGGGTACCCTGAGAAGGTTTTACATTTTTAAAAAAGACATTTGAGACCCCCGAGAAGGTTTAACATTAAAAAGACATTTGGGGTTTCCGAGAAAGTTCTACATTTCTAATAAAGCCAGTTGGGAACCCTGAGAAGGTTATACATTTTTACAAAAAACAATTGGGACCCCGGAGAAGGTCTAGCATAAAAAAGGCATTTGGGACCCCCGAGAAGGTTTAACATTAAAAAGAAAACACAATTGGCGCCCCCGAGAAGGTTTCACATTCTTAAAAGTATACATTTGGGACCCCCGAGAAGGTTTAACATTAAAAAGACATTTAGAAGGTTTTACATTTCTAATAAACCCAGTTGGGAACCCTGAGAAAGTCATGCATTTTTACAAAAGACAATTCGGACCCCCGAGAAGATTTTACATTAAAAAAAAGGCATTTGGGACCCCCGAGAAGGTTTTACATTAAAAAAACGACATTTACCGCACCCGAGAAAATTTCACATTAAAAAAAGACAATTGGTGCTCCCGAGAAGGCTTCACATTCATAAAAATATATATTTGGGCCCTCGAGAAGATTTTACATTAAAAAAAGACAGTTGGGACCCCCGAGAATGTTTTACATTTTTAAAAAAGACAGTTGGGATCCCCGAGAAGGTTTCACATTCTTAAAAATATACATTTGGGGTCCTCAAGAAGCTTATACATTAAAAGAAAAGACATTTGGGGCCCCCGTGAAGGTTAGGCATAAAAAAAACACAATTTGCGCCCCCGAGAAGGTTTTCCATTAAAAAAAACCATTTGGCGCCTCGAGAAGACTTTACATTTTAAAAAAAGTCACCTGGAACCTCCAAGAAGGTTTCACATAAAAAAAGACCGTTCGGACCCCCGAAAAGCTTTCAAATTAAAAAAAAACCTTTGGCGCCCCCAAGAAAATTTTACATTTTTTAAAAAATAGGGAACTTATTTTCATCTTTACAAGAAAGTGGGGTAATTTCATCAATAAAAAATTTGTTATGACGTCATACATGTAGACAAGATACAATGCGAGAGAAAAAGAGAAAAACAAAAGAAAAAATCGAACGTGTGACGTCATGTCCGCGTTCCTGACTCGTAACCACTAGATTACGATCGAGATACCTTACGTAAATGGTAAACTGCTATATGTTTTTGCAAAAATTTGGCCGGTTAGGGAAAAACTCAAATCGGATTCGTACACCACACTTGTAGGTATATATTATCGTACAATAGTTAAATCAAATAAACATAGAGTTCTTAAGACATGCAGAGAGACGGAATTGGGAGACTACTTTTTTCGTACTCTAGGGGTCATGAAACGTCGAGAAAATATAAAAGTGGCCTATACTTAATTAGTTTACGCTCGGGATGTAATAAAAACTGAATAAACATGTTTTGTCAAAACTAATTAAGTATTTGAAGCTTATAGCAAAGTTCGCTGAAAACAGAGTTCAATGTTTTTTTTCTCCAATTACGTACTTATTTTCATAAAAACCCTAATTGTTTGTGTTGCGTACGTACACGATATTTAAAACGCAAGGTGAAGATCCATTAAAATAAAAAACAAGGTCAGATTTATTCGATTTATTTGCAGCAAACGTCATTACGACAAATCAAGGTACATAAGAGAGTTACGTAACCTATATACAAAGAACACTTACAACGTACGAATTAATAGGTACTTAAAATAAAAAGCTTTCAATAAAGAATTAATGTAATTATAATTTGTAACATATTACACGTAATTGTTGCAAAAGTTTGTTTTTGCACAGACATTAATTATATCACTTCAGATCGTCCTAAGAAGGCCATAGATTTGTTTGGTTAGGTTAGGTTACATTACCAAACACGTATTACATCTATTACAGTTTGTAGATGAAGAATATTTTTGTAATTATAGTATTTTTCTATATACACTATAAAACTTAAAAATAAAGATACTAGACTTTAGTAATACATATTGCAGTTGTACAAACTTAAAAAAAAAACGAACAGGGTAATATAGAATCTACAATATTAACAATATCCTGCTCTGTCTCATTCCTAACTAATAAATACTTTGTTATGTACACTTAGTAAATAATTTAATTTCTGAAACAGAATTTTTGGGGAATGTTAACTTTGGTATCATTTTGTTGGTAAAGTTGTATTATAACTATACATGAAAAATATTAATAAATATCTAAAAAACTAAACAATAAATTCTTAGAGAAAAGCCCGTCACCCTTCGTGAGTAATTTCGTTGTCCATTCGAGTATTATTGCAACTAAAACACAAACCCGATTACTCAAAAAGGGTCAAAACAAACAAAAAAAAACTCCAGATATCACAAGGCAGTGAAGAGAATACGTATTTGTGATGATGATGCATTCATGCTATGTGTAATGTGCAAACATCTAATTGACACCGTTAATGTTTACATATCAACTATGTATCTCGAACAAAAGTGAGTAATAATTATTTTAAATATTAAAATAATAATTACCGACGAACAAAAAAAATCGAAAAGTAAAAAATAACAATTAAACCGGAGATCTATCGCCGTTCGGACTATAATCCTTCAACAACTCCCTCAACCTCAGGATCTCCTTCTTCGCCGCCTCCAAGTCCCCTTGCAGACTCAGCTCCTTCTCCCGCAGCCTCTTGATATCCCTCTGACAACTCTGAAACCCACCATCAGTACTCCGTCCGACCAGTACTCCACGCACCAACTTACCACATTCTGCCTCAACAAATCCAGTTTATCACACTTTAACTTCGCCACTTCTTGGGCCAGCATTTCCGTGCTGGGCCCCGTCGTGCTCGTAGGCCGGTCCTGGCACACGCTGCAGGCCTTGGCGGCCGTCTCCGCGCTCGACATGCTCTCCAACCCCGTGTCGCTGTCGATGTATCCACCCGCCAAATGCTCCTCCAGGTCCTCGCTCGTCAGCGACGAGTCGTCACTGGCTTCCGAGAGCGCCGGATGGCCGTGGGCGTGCGCCGTCAAGTCCGGCGACGACGCCGTCGACGAATTGGCGCTCTTTTTCCCGTTGGAGATGATGGAGCTCTTCGAGAGCGACCTGCCGCTCTGAAAACGACAACCAAAATTAGCGACGGAGGATGTCGCGGGAAGAAAGACTTACCGAAGGCGTGGACTCGGAGATCGTCGGCTGGCTGGACTTCTTGGACAGCCGCTCGTGGCCGTTCGCGCTGGCGAGGTTGTTGTCCACGCTCTGGCTGGACTTGACGCGCGCGCTCCAGGCCTTTTTCACTGTGTCGATGAACCTGGAACCCGGGCCGGAGTCGCTCTTCGGGGTTCCGGGGACGGCCAAAGCGCCGCCACCGCCGAGGAACTCGTTGGTTTTTTCTCGGAGGTCTTCGGTGAGGGTCTGCAGGAGGGACGTCCGCGTCCGAAGTTCTAGTTTAGCGAATTTTTCGGCTTTGTAGCAGGCGTTTTCGGCGTTGATCAGCTTGGTTAAGAGGAACTCTTTGAATTCGGGGCCGTGGCGGAAGACGGCGGGGGTGGGCAGCGTCGGCCCGAAGAAGGGGACGTCGTCGCGGGCTGTCACGCTCACTTTGTACCTGGAAGAAAGATAAACGATTAGTTATAGAAGGGGTAGAATAAAAAATATATTTAGAGTAGGCCACGGAATTATGTATTATATTCGGAGATCAAGTAGGCTACCGAATCTAAGTTCCAACATGGATTACTACCTTAAATGCAGTCAGGTTGACAGATAATTGACATTTGAGTTGACAGCATTTCTTAGACTTACGTATCAACAAATGAAAAATTGAAAAATTCTGTGGCAATTTTTCATTTTTTTATTTCTTCATTTTTCGATTTGAAATTTTTCGAGTTATTGTAAGTTAAAATTTTTCAGTTTTTTAATTTTCCGACTTTTGAATTTTGCAGTTCGTCGAATTAAAATTTCTAGAGCTTTCAATTCCTAATTTTTAAATTTTTCGATTCTTTATTTTTTCATTTCTTCAAATTTTCGACTTGCAATTTTTCGTTTCGGTTTTTTATTTTCTTTATTGTTGCAATTTTTCGATCTTCCAATGTTCCGATTTTATTACTTTTCGTTTCTTCAACTTTTCATTCTTTTTTGTTTCTTCAGTTTTCATTTTAAAATTTTTCAGTTTTTCGATTTTCCAACTTTTGAATGTTTCAGTTTCTAGATTCTACAATTTTTCGAATTGCCTTTTCCGAATTTACAATTTTCAATTTTTAATTTTTCGTTGTTTCAATTTTAGATTTTTCGGCTAGATGATTTTTCATTTTTTCGTTTCTTCAATTTTTGGTTTGCAATTTTTCTAGTTTTCATTTTAAGCATGTAACAATTTAAAAAAAAATCTCTTTTTCAATTGATGTATTTTAAAATTTTTTCATATACTTGATTTTTCAATATTCAATGTAGGTTTTTGGCTTTACAATTTTAACGATTCTATAATTTTTCGTTTTCACAAGTTTCTCCATTTTTTGTTTTTCTTTCTTCAGTTTTTCGATTTCCTACTTTTCCGATTTTGCAATTTTTCGTTTTTAAAATTTTTCAAGTTTCCAATTTTTTCCGATTTTTTAGTTTTTCGATCTTTAATTTTTCTATTTGTCTCCTTTTGGAATTAAAAAATGGAAAAATTGCAGTATTGTAGAACCGAGAAATTAAAAATGAAAAGGTATAAAACCTAACAATTGGAAATCAAAAACTTGAAAAATTGAAGGAAACGAAAAATTGAAAAATCGAAAAAACGAAATATGTATGCTAAAATCGAAATATTGAAATTCAAGAAAATCGGATAATTGAGAAATTCAAAAAATTATAAAATTGAAAAATCGAAAGAAGCCTTGGAAAAAAAAATAAAGGAAATTAAAAGACGAAAAACGCTCACATAAAATCGAGGAAATGAAAATAAAAAAAAATGAGAAAATGAATAATAAAATTCAACAACTTGAAAAATTGAGGAAACGAAAAAATTAGAAAGTGAGAAACTGGAAAATTGAAAAATGGAAAACTTTTGGCTTCCAATTTTTCTAGTTTTTCTTTTAAACATGTAAAAATATTTTTTTACAAATTTTACTTTTTTAAATTGAAATTAAAAATTTTTCAATTAATGGATTTTTATACTTTTTCATTTATTTGACTTTTCAATTTTTCGATTATTCGATCTCTCAATGTAGGTTTTTTGACTTCACAATTTTTTGATTTCACAATTTTTTGGGTTTTTCAATGTTTCAATGTTTCGTTTCTTCAGTTTTTCGGTTTGCAATTTTTCGATTTTGCTATTTCTCGTTTTTTCAATTTTTCGATTTTCCAATTTTTTCCCGATTTTTTAGTTTATCTTTAATTTTCCTATTTTTACATTGAAAAGTCGAAAGACAAAAATTGAGAAACTTCAACAATCAAAAAAGTACAAAATAGGATAATTAAGAAATCAAAAATTAAAGGAGTTTAATTTGAAAAATCGAATAAATGAAAAATTATAAAATAGCAAGAAGTCTTGAAAAAATAAAAGAAATGAAAAAACTTAAAATGGCGACATAAAATCGAGGAAATGAAAATTATAAAATAGAGAAAATGAAAAATAAAAATCAAGAACTTGTAAAATTGAGGAAACGAAAAAGCGAAAAAGCGAAAAATTAGAAATTGAGAAACTCAAAAATTGAAAATTCACGTAAAAGCGAAAAATTGCAAAATTGAAAACTTTTGGTTTGCAATTTCTCTAGTTTTCATTTTAAACACGTAATAATAATTTTAATATAACAAAAAATTGATTTTAAAACTTTTTCATTTATTTGATTTTCCATTTTTTCGAGTTTTAATTTTCAATTTTTCAATCTTTCATTTTTGACGATTCTATAATTTTTCGTTTTTACAATTTTTGGGTTTCCTCTTTTTCGTTTCTTCAGTTTTTCGATTTGCAATTTTTGAATTTTCCACTTTTTCAATTTTGCAATTTCTCGTTTTTTCAATTTTCCATGTTTTTGTCGATATTTTTTCGATTTTTTGAAAACAAAATTTTAAATTGGAAAATCGAGGAATTAAAAAATCAAAGATTTTGTTTTGAAAAATTGAATAAACGAAAAATTATAAAATCGAAAGAAGTATTGAAAAAATAAAGGACATGAAAAAACGAAAAACGGTGATATAAAATCGAGGGAATGAAAATGAAAAATTAACCTTGAAAAATTGAACATTTGCACATTGAAAAATTGAAAACTTTTGATTTGTAAATTCTCTAGTTTTCATTTTAAACAGGTAATAATTTAAAAAAATTGTTCGCTTTTCAGTTTTACGATTTTAAAATTTTCAAAATTTTCAATTGATGGATTTTTAACTTTTTCATTTATTTGATTTTTCATTTTTTCAATGTTTCAATGTTTCAACATAGGTTTTTCGACTTTACAATTTTGACGATTCTATAATTTTTCGTTTTTTGATTTTAATTTTTCTATTTTTCAACTTTTCGAATAAAAAAAACATGGAAAAATTGCAAAATTGTAAAACTAAAAAATCGAAAAAGTATACAATTAAAATTTGGAAATCAAGAACTTGAAAAATTGAGAAATTTAAAAATGAAAAAAGTGCAAAATCGAAAAAACGACATATGTATCGAAATATTGAAAATTAAAGAAAATCGCTGAAAAATTAGAAATTGAGAATCTGGAAAATTGAAAAATGACGTAATATTGAAAAATTGCACATTGAAAAATTGAAAACTTTGGGCTTGCATTTTTTCTTGTTTTTATTTTAAACATGTAAAAATAATTTTAAAAAAATTTTGCTTTTTCAGTTTTACCATTTTAGAATTTAAAAAATTTTCAATTAATGGATTTTAAAACTTTTTCATTTATTTGACTTTTCAATTTTTCGATTTTTAAGTTTTCGATCTTTCAATGTAGGTTTTTTGACTTCACAATTTTTCGATTCTACAATTTTTGGGTTTTTCGATTTTTAGTTTTTCAATGTTTTCAATGTTTCGTTTCTTCAGTTTTTGGGTTTGGAATTTTTCGATTTTCCCATTTTGTCCTGATTTTCAAGTTTACCTTTAATTTTCCTATTTTTCCACTTTTCGGTGCAAAAAGATGAAAAAATTGCCAAAACTCTACAACTGAGAAATTAAAAAAAAAAAAACGAAAAATTCAATCGAATTTTTCGTTGAGAAACTTAACAATAAAAAAAAATACAAAATTGGATAATTAAGTAATCAAAAATCAAAGATTTTAATTTGAAAAATCGAATAAACGAAAAATTATAAAATCAAAAGAAGTTTTGGAAGAATAAAAGAAATAAAAAAACTTAAAATGGTGACAAAATCGAGGAAATGAAAATTATAAAATAGAAAAAATGAAAAATAAAAATCAAGAACTTGAAAAATTGAAAAATGACGTAATATCGAAAAATTGCAAAATTGAAAACTTTTGGTTTACAATTTCTCTAGTTTTCATTTTAAACACGTAATAATAATTTTAAAATAACAATAATTGATTATAAAACTTTTTCATTTATTTGATTTTTCCTTTTTTCGATTTTTAATTTTCAATTTTGAGGATTCTATAATTTTTCGTTTTTACAATTTCTGGGTTTCCTCTTTTTTCGATTTTAAAAATTGCAAAATTGTAAAACTGAGAAATTAAAAATGAAAAAACGAAAAAGTACAAAATCTAAAAATTGGAAATCAAGAACTTGAAAATTAAATTTTCAAGTTCTTGATTCAGTTCTTCTTCAAGTTGATTCTTAAAGAATCAAAAAAGTACAAAATTGAAAAAACCGAATATTGTAAAATTATAGAACTGAAAAATTTTAAATTGGAAAATCGAGGAATTCAAAAATCAAAGATTTTATTTAGAAAAATTGAATAAACGAAAAATTATAAAATCGAGGACATGAAAAATACAAAATTAACGTTGCAAAATTGAACATTTGCACATTGAAAAATTGAAAACTTTTGATTTGCAATTTCTCTAGTTTTCATTTGAAACAGGTAATAATTTAAAAAATTTTAGAATTTTCAAATTTTTGAATTGATGGATTTTTAACTTTTCATTTGTTTGATTTTTCATTTTTTCAATGTTTCAATATAGGTTTTTCGACTTTACAATTTTGACGGTCCTATAATTTTTCGTTTTTACAATTTTTGGATTTTCTCAGTTTTCGATTTTCCCATTTTTTCCCGATTTTTTTAGTTTTTTGATCTTTAATTTTTCTATTTTCCAACTTTTCGAATAAAAAAAAATGGAAAAATTGCAAAATTGTAAAATGAAAAAGTATACAATTAAAATTTGGAAATCAAGAACTTGAAAAATTGAGAAACTTAAAAATCAAAAAAGTGCAAAATCGAAAAAACGACATATGTATCTAAATATTGAAAAATAAAGAAAATCGCTGGAACTATGAACGACTCCGATGCTTTAAAATCGCACACACCGAAAACAAAATCCGTATCCCGCCTATGCACCAATTTTTTTTCAGTTTGCCATTTTCAATAACCTTTTTGTTTAATCCGCCTGCATTATTTAACGAACATCAAAACCAAACTGTCGAACTTTTCGCGGCCACATTTGCATATTAAAATATTGATTA